ACCGCTTGCCCACTGAGGCAGTCCCTGAGGGCACGCCCTACCAGCTGTGGCATGGGCGCAAGCCTGACATCTCCCACCTCCGCGTCTGGGGCTGGACTGCCTATGTGCATGTGCAGAGGGATAAGCGTCGCTCTCTGGGCTCCCATGTGGAAAAGTGCGTCACAACCCCACCACTAAGCGCACTGTCATCTCAGAGTGTGCTGACTTTGATGAGCACTACTTCCCTGGCCTCTCTAGGCCTAGGAGCAACCCACCACCTTCCCCTGCACCCCCTGTGGGTGTATATGTTCCTGATGAGCTTGATGAGCCATTGGGCCATGGGGGGGAGAATGGTGCTCCACCTGCGCCGCCTGCGCCTCAGGAGCGTCCCCAGGACGTCCCAGGTGCTCACAACCGTGCCCCAACGCCTCCTCCACCGCCTTCGCGTTCTCCTTCGCCTCCTGGTGATGCTGATGAGGGCCAAGCCCCTCCAGATCGCCCCAGTACTCCTCCTTGCCGTGCTCGCTCTGTCCCTGCGCCTCAAGCCCCTACACGTTGTTCTGCCAGGGATAGGACTGCTACCACTCAGTGGTGGAAGCTGGACAAGCCTCGCTTGTACCCTGCTGGGCCTGCACCTGCTGGGCCTGCCAAACCGCTTGTCCCTGTTGATGAGCAGGTGGAGGTGGTCCCAGACAGTGAGGAAGAGGACGACGCGGACACTGCACTAGCTGTGCATGGGGAGGCCTATGGCAGGGAACTGGCGCTCCAGGGTGATTCCTACAAGGAGCCCAGGACCTATGCTGAGGCTGTTGCTCAGGATCCCCTCTGGTATGACGCCTGTGTAGACGAGATGGGCGCTCACTGGACCAATGGGACCTGGGAGGTGGTGACTCTCCCTCCTGGGGAGAAGGCTATAGGAAGTCGGTGGGTGTTCAAGCTGAAGCGCAATGCTGATGGGTCCATAGAGCGTAGGCTCGAGTGGTTGCCCAAGGCTTCTCCCAGCGTCCTGGCTTCGACTACCTCGAGGTCTTCGCTCCCACTGTCCGCCTCTCCACCATTCGCTTCATCCTGTCCTCCAAAGTGTAGTCATCAAAGTGCAGACACATTCAGTGTCCCATAAGCATTAGCAATGCAAATCTTACAATTTTGGCTGGGATGCGCATCAATTTCATTTTGTGTAGTAACATGTTGCTCACCGCATTAGGGAATGCCCCCTCAATATTGAGATATAGGGCTGATACCACCTTATGTGATCTCCAGGCATTCTAGATGGCTGCCTTGAGAATGTTGAGCATGTCTGTAGTGCATCTTCCCAGTCTTCTGCTGAATGCCATCTCTGGCAGTAAGTTATTCCTCCAGTAGCCTCAAGGTTTGTTCTATGACCAGGGCAGTTAGGATTTTAGCCATTGTGTTGACTAATACAATGGGGCGGTATGCTTCTGGTACCACATAATCCAGTTTGCTGAGTTTTGGGGCACTACTATAGTAAACAGCCACCATGGGTCATAGTAGAACCCTGAGACAACAGCAGCATTGAAGATTGGGAGGAGATGTGGAATGAGTGTGGCCTGGCATCTGATGTAGACAGTGTTTGGTATGCCGTCAGGGCTGATGGTCTTGTAGAGGTCAAGGCCAGCAATTATGCATGCCAGATCTTCATGGGTGAATTTCCTAAACAGGGCCAGCAGAGCATTGTAGTTGTGACCTGTTGGGACTGATGAGACATGTGGTGGTGGAGGAAAGAATGTCTCTGTCAGTGCTGTAGCCTTTGTTTCATCCGCTGTTTACATTGAATCTGCATTGGTGATCTTCAGTCAGTCATTCCAGTGATCCTTCTCAGCTCGCTGGATGGCTGATGCGTAGTTTTTGCAGACCTGTATAAACTCTTCATGAATGGGGTTGCAGTGTTAAGCTCATTGTGAGCACAACTCATCTTGTTCTTCCACTTTTTCATCCCCATGAGTTCTTTTGTTCTCTGCTTTGTGTATGGCACCAACTGCCCAATTACCTTCTGTATGGCTGCCACTATTACCATGACTTGCTGCTGAAATTCACCATCAGTTACTATCACAGATGGAGGGGGAAGAGCACCAAGTTCAGTAGTCAGGGCTACAATAACGTGTATGGGTGTTTCATTCATTTGAAAGGGTCAAATGAGGAGGACATGTGGCTGCAAGCTGCAGCTGTGGCAGAGACACCAATTGTCTGGTACACCTTGGGGACATGCAGGAAGGGGAGTGGGGGCTGCAGCATATTGTGCATAGGCTTGGGATGGAATGTTGGTGGATGTGCTATGGGCATGTGAGGTAGGAGTAGCTGGCTGCAGTGCTGGTGTTGATGTGCTGTTGGTTGTTGTAGCAGGGCTGTTTGTGGTGGAATTGATGGCTGGGGTGCAGAGTGGGAGAGGAAACCCTTCCACCTGAGTGGGGAGTTCTTCAAGGGCACCTGATGCTGAGGGGGAGGTCAGAATAGCCACATCCTCTGTGGTTGCTTTGTGCCCATCTTTACCTCCCAATTCAGGTGTTGACTAGGTAGTCAGCAGTGGTGGGGCAGCAGCAAGTGAGTTTGCTGCCTCTGGCACTCCATAATAGGGAAGGGTGTTCTCCAGGTTGTGAGCATCCATATGTGCGTACTGTATCAAGAATTTGGGACATGAGCAGTCCAAACTTGAGTATATTGCTTTTGCATGAGACACAGCACACCTTCTTACCTTGTGAGCATCTATCAGTGTCTGCAGGTGTGCTGTGATGTGACCCCATTTGCTGGCACTTGGCGCATTTAATCGCCTTATGATTTTTCCAGGGCCAGAGTTTCTGGTGCATGAGTACCATGCCATCTTGAATGAACATGTCTACTACTACCATTATAAGGCATTTGAATATGGCACAGGCTACACCTTGTCCTTCTGTGTGCTTTCCCACCTTCTTGGCCCATCATGCTGAGTTGATGGTCCCCTCTTGTAAGCTGTTGTCGTCCTTGCACTCTCACAGTGCAGAGGGGTCATCTGGTTTGAAGTTGACCAGGATGAGGTGTACAAAGAGTGGGTACATGTGCACCCTCTGCCTCACTGAGCCTGTGAGAGTCAAGCCGTTGTCTGGCTTCAATTGTCCAAAGCCAGGCCACTGTTTCTCTAGACTAGAGCTCAATGAAGATGTATTGCTCTCACCTTGAGTTGTGCTACATGGGAGGAGACTACTGTCACTAGTCCATTAGTGACTGCTTTGGTGAGTGCACCAACCATGGCATAGTGGGTGTCTATGCTGTTGCTGCCCTCTGTAGCACACCAGTGCTGTTTGCATGATGGCCTTCATTTATGGCTGAACCTGCAAATGCCACTAGTGCAGCAGATATGATATTGGGTTGCCAGGACTCACCTTAGTCCATCCACTGACTCAATGCCATCTTGCACTTGCTCTTTTTGCATCTCCTTTCCCCAGCAATTCTTGCACTCCTTGCAAGGGCAGCACGAAAATGGCAGGTGCAATAGCCAATAGCCATCCATGACCTCCACCTTCGCTCTGTCGACATCTCCAATGCGTACTTGCAAGGGGACATGGATGTCACGCTCTACATGCGTCAGCCAAAGGGCTTTCACATCGGTGGCAAGGACCAGGTATGCCTGCTGAAGCGCCCTCTCTATGGGACCAAGCAGGGTGTGCACTCTATGTGTTCACCAGGGGAGGTATGCAGGTGCTGATCCCAGTTTTGTGGATGACATGACGCTCGCTTCGTCGTCTGAAGCAGAGCTGGATCGCTGCGTCGCCGAGCTGTCTCAGCGCTTCATCTTGGCCCCACCACTCAGCTGCTAGGCATCAAGATTGACAGGGACCGCTCTCAGCGCACCATCACTCTCTCCCAGCATCACTACACTCAGGATGTGCTCGAACGCTTTGGTATGGGCTCCTGCAACGCTGTCCTGACGCCTATGGAGCCTGGCCTTCACCTCAGCAAGGAGTTTGAGCCCAGGAGCGCTGAAGACGTCGCTTTCATGCGCTCTGCGCCCTATTCTGCTGCTGTGGGCGCCCTAGCCTATCTCGCCTCCACCACTCGCCCTGACATTGCTTTCTCCACCTCTGTCCTTGCTCGCTTCACCAAGAACCCTGGCCCCAAGCACTGGGCTGCTGTCAAGCACCTCATACGCTACCTTCGAGGCTCTCTCGACTATGCCCTTGTCCTTGGCCCTGACCCCCACTCTCCTGACCTTTTCACCACCTTCTCTGACGCTGATCATGGTGGCTGCAAGGACTCAGGACGCTCTACTGGTTCTTACCTCGTTCGAGTGGGTAGGGGTGCTGTCTCCTGGAGCTCGAAGCTTCAGAGTGTGGTTGCACTGTCTACCACTGAGGCCGAGTTCATGTCTGCTGTGGAGGCTGGCAAGGAGCTGCTCTGGATGCGCAAGCTGCTTGCTGAGATTGGGCTGCCTGTCTCTGGCCCTTCGAAGCTGCAGATTGACAACCAGAGTGCTATCTCTGTGGCCAAGAACCCTGAGCACCATGGGAGGATGAAGCAGCTGGATCTGTGCTTCTACTGGCTGAGGGATCAAGTCGAGTCTGGGCTCATTGAGCCTGTCCATGTAGGCACTGACCACATGGTGGCTGATCTCCTGACCAAGGCAACCCTGTGGCCAAGGTGCAGCGCTTCTCTCATCTGATGGGACTTGAGGCATTGGGGGGGAGCGAGTCTGCCAGAGCTGCTGGTTCAGGGGGGAGTGTCAGAGTGCGCCCTCTGCATCGCTCCTATGCCCTTGGCACAGCAGCCCAGTGGCCTTGGTACACTTTCCAGCATTCCAGGACACTTGGGTAAAAAGAGGTCAAACTTGCCTGTTGTGTGAGTTGAACCTACAGCCTTTTGGTAGTGCCCAGAGCGCTGCAACCACTCAGCTATTGTGTGTTGAGGTATACTTCTACTTGTGTCTTGTTTATACCTTCACCACCTTCCTATTCCAGTATCTCGCAACTTTGCCCCTATTTCGCTTTTCTCTACCCTTTGGCTTGCTATGGAGAACTCCGAGCTACTGTACAGTTCCCAAACCTTATTTCTTTTCACCTATATAACCCTGGTGTCCACAGAGCGTCTCCTTACTTGCTCACTGTTGGACACCAGGTTAATACCCTTGTATTTCGTCTTTATCAATACTACTTGCTCACTGTTGGACACCAGTGCCTCTCCTGAGCTTGATACAAGTATGTTGCTATCAGCCAAGATAAATGGACATGCAACCAACTGTACCTGCCAGCAGAAAATTAGAGATACCAACACTAGGGTTGGCGAAGAAGTATTTGACATTTACAATCCATGCTAGTGTTCAATGGGCTAAGGTTATTCACCTTATTTGTAGAGGTATGCTCCCTCTGCTTGTCTTGTATCATATCTCACTGTTGATAAGATGTGGCACAAATTAACTGCAGCAACTACTACATTCCAAAGCTGATGCATCCCCAGGACCAGGCATTCCACATTTACTATGATCAGATCCAGACCAGGTATCCTTTTCAGTATTATCAGGTTGGTGAGCATGACTACGTTGATGCACACCTTGCAAACCTGTGGACTCAGGAGATGCTCATCAGTGCGTAAGTACACATTCATTTATGTCATCTCTACGCCTTACAAGTATGGGCATACTACAGGGCTGCAGCTACTAGCTGCATGAAGCTATATGAGGTGGTGTTTGCTCATCAAGTTGAATGGCACTCAGTCCATTACTTTACCCCCCTAGAAACTGTGCAGTTCATTGCACCCTGCCCTTCTCTCCTTGCCTCACTGTCAACCATGTCTGGACAGCATTCACAATCCAAGCACTGCTTTGTGATGTGCACACCTACCATCAGCCATTCATTGTTTCTCATGATGGCAAGCAGGCTGTTCACTTCAATGCTGCCATGCACCAATGCAATCTCCACATCATAGAGTACGGTCAGGACAAGGGTGTTACTGCTGCAAGGGGTGTATGTGAACATGGGAGGAGACAAATGAGAGTACCAGTGAGACCATAACCAGTAAGCCATTCATTCATTTTATCCTTTGTGAGTGGCTCTCATGTTTTTGCAGAAAAACATCAGCCAATTGTATGCAACGGCATGACAATTGGACATCCTTGTCCATACCCACTCACAAAGCCTTGCAACCACCACTGCTTGGGCCATGCTACAATGCTACAGAATATTTGCACAGTTAACACTTGCAACCAGCCCATTGTCCCAACACCCATGACAAAGAAGACCTGCACTGATCTAACACACCAGGTGATGGAGAGAAAAAGAGATGACTATGGCTGGTTGATGTTTGTCCTCTCCAGCCATCTCAAGTGTGCAAGGACATCCAACCCACAGTTCAATGAGGAGAACATTGGTGGTGTTAACAATGAAGCCGATGAGTGGTTTCAAGTTGATGATCAAGGCATGGTCATTCAACACGTTGACTCTGCACCTGCAAATGTTGGTGTGTCTTACAACATTGTTAACATGCTAGACAACACTCATATATGCGTACACTGCCCAAAACAGTTGAAGGGACCCAGCCAGCAGCCCTTGCTCTTGATGGACTTTAGCTGACCATCATCCGCCTTGACAGCAATTGGACTAACATTGTTCATATGAGCAGAGGTGCAGGCTTGGCACCAGCTCCCCACAACCTCCTTCCCCCTGTCTGTCCAGCAAAAACAACCAAACACCAATGGATCCAACTGGCCCGTTGTCCAATATGCTGCAAAGTGACACTTGTCCGTCCCTGCGGCACCAGTGCTGAGGCCATATCAAATGTTCTTGTGAGTGGTTTATTTGTTTTACTACTTATTACTGATGGATAAATCTAGAAAATAATGAAGGTGAGCTTCTTGGTCCCAGAGGTGACCAAACCCGATCACTTTGTCTATTATATGACATGCAAGGCCAAGCAGCAAGTCTTGAAGTCAGGTGATCCATGGCGGAGGCCCGTCAGCATGTCTATTGACATCTGGTGCTTGCTCAACAAGCACAAGACAATGCACAATTTCTGCCAGCAGTACTGCAATCTGGCAGCTTTCCCTGAGTTGAAGTTGGATGATGGTACAGGGTGGTGGTTCAACACTTCCATTGCAGAGCAGACTAATGTTTGGTTGGGGAGTTTTCATTCTATGGTATGGGAGATGCTGCTGATAAGGTGTAATTTCTTTTTAGATGAGATGGTTCACCTCTGCAACATTAACACAATGGCAACCTTGAAAAGTTGGAAACATGAGCCCAACGTATACTCCTTTCAACCACAACAACACATAGAGACATTTGTAGTACACTTGCAATGATACAACCTTATAAATATCATTCATTTGATGGAGAAGGCAAGCTGCTCTGGCTGCCAGTTGACACATTCGCAAGAGAGAGCCTGAGGGGGTCACCAGCACTGCCTGCATGAGGGGGAAAAGGGCCACCAAGGAGAGCAAGGGAGATCATCTGCTCAGCTGTGCTTGGTGAGCATGCACCAGTAGTTTGCAGTCACTGACTTTGAAAATCATTCACTTTTCAAAGTTAGTGACTATCAGTGTCAGTCACAAAAGTCATGACATCAAGTGACTTTTGGTAATAGCTGTACCTTACATTTTCATACCGTGAATAGAAGTAAATCATGTGCAAGGGAGGATAATCAGGGGTATGTCTATAAGGGGAAGGTGCTGCTCATGTTGGTAGGCTCAACCAAGCTCAACCAGGCTTGTTTGTCTTGTGTTTATCATAAATATTATATCATAGAGCCATGACCTTGCCTCACGGTTCTCATCCATCACTCAAATCTTCACCCTCCTTGGATTGCAAATGTCACACACCCAATTAAATTAGTTGCACAAGAAGAAAAAAAACAAAATTCAAGTGTGGCTGGAGTAGTGTAAATGCTATAACTCATGCCTCAGATGCTCAAGTATTATATTAAGTACATGAACATTCATGTATAATCATGGAGATAATAAGGAAATGTTATAAATTCATGAACTCATTGGTGTTTGATTAATGGTGCACATATGATCAGAATGAATGAAGTACTTGAACATTGCCATGTCTCCAATGATGTTGAATGATGTTCAGTGCCATGATGTTTACTGTTGAGGTCAACTTAAGATCAGGAAAAACATAGAGAAACAGAAATCCAAGCAGATATATAAACTAGCTACTTTGAGACAAACCAGCTGCAAGAACAAACCTCCCCATTGCTTGCTATTCATGCCTAAGCATCCAAACACTCTATGGTGACTAGATTACTTTGTTACTCACTATGGTTGGGTCAATGGAAAACAAGCTGGCTTGCATCATTCAGGAAAACTGAAGATATTCTGCATTCAATGTATGCATAAATTGACTGCCAATGCACAAGTGGAAGACAGCAGCAAAATTACTGCAGGCATCAGAGCTCATGTGCAAACAGTTTCAGAAACACAGGAGGCTTGTAAATACTTGGTATATTCTCTCAGAAAGTGTTCCTAATTCAATGTATAATATAGTTTGGGTTGAGGAGAGCACTGGCCATCCTTGGGTTCAGCACAGGCCTAAGCAGGTGCTGAACCACTTGAGATATTGCAAGCTTTGGCCTGCAGATATTATCATAAGGGCTGAGGGAAAAACCACTGGTACTTATAGTGCTGCAGCTGCTTCTCCAAACAGAAGGAGGGCTCAGCAAATGTCTCAACATGCAGCAGCAGCAGGTACAAGCTTGCAGCACCAGGCTTGTATGTCAAGTGCAGGTCAGTCAATGCTTTACAGCCTTGTGTATAATTGATGGTTTTATTAGCACAATATCTGCCTCAGCAATTTATGGCTGCTAGTGGCAATGGATCTTTGAAGTTTAACATCCCAGGAACTGCACCTCCCACTCCTTCAATGTCTCTGCCTGGCAATAATTCTCTCAGCATTGACACTACTTCATACTCTGCCCCTACAAGCCAAGCTCTCCAATGCTTTTGGCCCTTGGTCTATCAGGCTCAGGCTATAACTCTCCTGCTTTGTTTTCCCCAGCCACCATTCCTCCTCCTTCTGTCATTCCTGAAACTATGCTGCTGCATGGCAGCCCATATCTTGCATTCTACAATCCTCTTCAGCAGCCCAGTGCTCTTGCTTCTTGTACATTATCTTGTCCTCCTAATGTAACATCTCTGCCAGTTCAAAGATGGTCTCAATCTATGCAGCGGCTTTTTGAGAAACATCTTGCACATCTTACAGCATCAGCAGGATTTGTTTTCTGCTGGGTTGATAATTCCAAGTGGCACACTTTGTGTCATGACTTTATTCCTGGTGCAAAATTACCATCTTAATATACCATGGCTCAGCAACATATTTCCCAGGCTTAGGTTCTTTACTAAAATAAGATAAAAGGACAGTAAATGTACATTACAAGCAGATGACTGGACTGGCTTGAGTAATCACCATCTTCTGGCTTTTATGATTAATCATACTCATTTATCTAACTGAATATTCTATCTCAATATATGCAGTCAAAGTATCTGATGTATTGAAGGAATGGAAGACAGCTGAAAACTTCCTCAAACTTCTCAAGGGATTTATCAGTGATGTGAAGCAGTCCTAGAGCTCCACAGTGACTGCTGTTGTTACTGATGCATCTGGCAAATCTTGCAAAGCTCAGAGGCTTCTCAGAATTAAGAAATCAATCATTATACGCACACCAGGTAAGTGCAGATCTAATTTCCCGAGGCATGTGCTCATTTATTTCATAGATAAACCTCATTGTGGGTGACTACTTTAAGTTACACTCAGAACTTTTTGTATACACAGACCAAGCCAACAGATTAATATCCCAGCTTTGTAGCAAGATCATTGTTCTTGCATTTATTGAGGAGTTTCAGAAAAGCCATGGAGAGTCTGCAACTGCAGTCATCCACACAGTTTTATCTCAGTGGGCAGCTCACTTCATGGCATACAGATGCCTCAGAGACCTCAAGCCCTGCTTTATTCATATCATCTTCTGCTGAGCTTGCACATCCAGAGAAGAGAAAATTCATTATCACAGGCAATAAGAAAGCAAGGGAGAAAGCAACTTCAATGCTAGAATTGATCCAGGATTGCTCAAATGTTTTTTGGCCATCAGTGACAACATATGTTTCTCTTCTACTGTAGTACAATAAATACTGAGCATGCATCTAGAACCATTGGCAATCACAGCTAATATCACACAAGCAGCATTTCATTGCCTCTACACAGTTCTACTTACATTTGGTTTCCTTGTGAAGTCTTATAGACAGCCCATTGATAGTAATCCTGTTGATAACAAGGCTTGTGAGGCAATTATAGCAAGTAACAAAGCCCATTGGGCCAAATCTGACCAGGAGGCCTTTATTGCTGCAATTGCCCTCAATCCCTTCTATGGTTGCAAGCCTTTCTCATCTGTGGCCGCCCTTATGCTTGGAGTGTCTATATTGTCAATATTTCTCATGCACCACTGCTCCTCTTGGGTTTGGTACTCATGTGAGAGCTTATCTACAAGCTGAGGGCAAATTTATGTTTCTGTATGAATGTGCCAATTGTGCCTTCACTGAGGCATTGAGAAAGGTAAGCTGCTCTTAATATGATGACTAGTATATACTCATTGTTTTTTTTTAGAAAATAACTCCAGACCCACTTTTACTCTGGATGGATATCTCATTTGAAGGCCCAGATGCTTTCTCTGTTGCCAAACTTGCTCAGCACATTTTGTCAATTGTGACAAACTCTGTATCTTGTAAACACCTTTTTAGCACATTTGGGACAATTCTTACAAAGATGTGCAATAGCCTGGGGACCGAGGCACTCCAAGCACTTGCTGAACTCAAAATGTTTGTCTGAGACGAGCACAGAGAGCACAACATGAAGATGAAGCTGTGCATACTTTGATCCATGCAAAAGCATTCTCAAGAAAACTACTTCCCTCCACCTTCCACTTTTCCCAAGCCCTCTCACAGTACCAATGAAGCCCACACCTCACCCTTGTTTACTGAGCTCAACAGCTTGGATAACACTTCAGAATCTGGCAACTTTGACAACCTGTCTGATAATATTGATGCTGCAGTGTCAGAGACCACAGATGATTTTTGGGCACTTGCTCTGCAACATGTAGAGCAAGTTTGTGAAGGTAACATGAACTCTGAGCCTGTTAGATCAGGCTCTACTATTACATTTTCCAATCTGATTGCATCTCTGTTTAACTTCAGCAATGATAGCTGGGCTACTACTTATTCTTTAGGAGTCAGAAAGCAGTTTGAGGAAGAACTTGCTCTGCACGAGCTTTTGAACATGGATTTGCAGCCTCACATGTTAGAAAAGGACAACACCTGTGTAGGTACGACTCTTGATGATACAACTGCTGATGTATTGATGTCCTAGCTATGTTTACATTGACTTTAGTATGCCTAAATATACTGTACATATGTATAGGAGCTTATTTCATTACCAGCTTCCTTCTACATCTGGTGCCAAGATGCGGTGTCTAAAAACACTGACCAAAAATGACTAAAGGTGAGATTTTTAGTGTCCAACACTGACTGACAGTGTTGGACACATAACTTGCAATGCACTGGCATGTACACGGAGGGTCTGGTGAGAAAATGGAGTTGCCAGAGAACACTGACTCAGACTGAGAAGGGGGAAGCATGGGCGGGGTCAGCAGCAACAAAAGGGTCTTTGAGCATTTTGAGGACAAGCTAGAGGCTGTAACTGAGGGGGAGGAAGGGTGTGCATGCTTGGCCAGCCCAAGCTTCAATTGCACCCTTGTGCGCTCAGTGTATAAATGCCCTGCTTGGTCTGTATGACTTTCTGTTGAGATAGCGCTGGTGAACTCTTTCTTGTGAGGGCAGATTGTCATTCTGTTGGTGCGGAACAAAAGCAAGCTGCCATTGCTGATGGTAAACCTGTGGCTTGCACTACAGGCCTTCCATGTGGCCTTAATGTGGTTATAATATTTCACGGGGGTTGACTCATCAATATTGGGCAGGCCTGGTGTCGACAACATCTACAACCTGAGAACCTGCACAATCACAAGCAAGCTGCTTGCGCTCCTGCTCCCTTGACTCAGCATCAACAAGCAACTGCTTGTTGAACCACTTCTGCCAGTCAAGGTTCATTTGCATAGTGCAGGCTGAACTCTTGGTAGGCTGTGATGGGGCTGGTGTTGATAGCCAGGGCTGGGCTGAGGGTAGAGGCTGTGCTGAAGGTGGAGACTGCATCAAGAGCAGAGACTGCATTGAGGGTCAAGGCTGTGTTGATGAGGGGGCCTGTGTTAATGAGGGGAGGTGCATAAACAAGGAGAGCTGTATCAAAGTTTGGGTGCTGCAGCCAACCACCGGTTGGCAGGTCTGGTGCGCCAGATTTAATGTCACACACATTGATAAGCCAAGAAAGATTAGATATCATCCAGGCTAAGCTCCCTACGGAATATTACATCCTTTTTTTTTTTTTTTTATGTGTTCTATTCTCTCAATCCTCCCTGATCCAAGCTCAGTGTAAATGTGATATACCTTCCATTCATAGGTCATTTTACTTATTGCTTTAACAATGCCCTCTAAGCCATACACAGCCATCCAAGACAGAAAAAATTTCTTTATTACCACAATTTATGCTTTTTGAATCTACAGTTTTGGATCATAAAGTTTTTATGAGCCCTGAATTTATGAAGCAAAGCTATACTACCCACAGATATAACATGTGCCTGGCAGTTTGGTGCAAGGGGAGTCTCAAAAAAATTAGTGTGCATCCTGACATGGGTGTGTATTCTGCCATGGAATCACAGTAATCACAGAGCTTCTGACTCTGGATGGTTCAGACAGGATGTGTGCATGCATCAGGCAGGTTTGGTGTCTCACATGTGAATGTAATGAAGGATGTGATGTAGGGCATGTAAACTTGCTGAATCTCCTGCCAGAAGCCAATGCATTTCTGCAGTGTATGACAACACTCCTGCAGTCCAACAAGCTGTTGGCTTGTTGCTTTGCTGTTGAACATCTTTGCCAGCACATCAAGCAACCTCATGGATAGAAGAGGTTATAAATATCAAGGCTTGAAATATGCGGATGAAATTACTGTTGGTCCTCTAGTTTGAGACCCATGCTCAGGAAGCTTGACAAGCTACGTTTGTGAATGGGTAGTCCTTGCATTGACAGGGGTGCATTTTTGTTAGCAAGATTCAGTTTCACATCTGCAAAGGTTGCCCCTGTACAGAAAATATGTTAAAGCATGCAGCAGTTGCATAAAGTGAAATGTACATACAAATTTCAGTCTTATATGGATTTGGCTTGGTGCAATTGTCCTCCCAGTCACTGATTATATGCTCCCACAAAATGTGAAGACTGTTGCTAAAGTTGGATGAGTAGTCACTGAGGAGGTTTTGATGCTTTGCAGCCAGTTCAACGGCCTCCTCAAGTTCAGCAGGGAGATACTTTACTACTGAAGACTTAGCTTACTCAGATAACAGTATGCAGCTGAAAAGGCATACCAATTTCATGTGTTTCAATGCACATCAAGTGTCTCTTTGCATGTACCAGGGGCCATTTCTTGGACACTTGTCAAGACATCATTTATATGAGCCTATTTAGTTTTGATTCTTTTACCACAAGTCTGGCTGGCTCCATGAACAAAGTTGAGGGAGTTTGTGCCTGACAGTTAGTTCCATGGTTGTGAAGATAAAACAGTGGGACAGCAAAATGCATGGGAACCTGGCTAAAGTTGGATTGAAGATCCTCAGGGAGGTTCTACATGTGCAGGGTGAAATTAAGTCACTATTGACATACAATATTGTAGGTTACAAAGAGCATGACAGTCCAGATTGGTACCTATGACATGTTCATGATGTTGGATTCAAACAATGAACAGGTGAGGGGCAGCACTTGGAATGGACTGATCATACAAGCAGGACAGAAATCCAGGGCAAAGATGGCAACCAGCAGTGTAGTCCCTCAGATACAATTGAGCGGATTATGAGATAGGGAATGATCTATGACATTTGCCAGGGGAGGGTTTTGTCATCAGCTTGATATGTGTAGTTAGCATATGCATATTCATAACAAATGATCAGTATATATACCACGAACCAATGCTGGAGCAGAATGCCATGTACAGTTGCAACTAGGGGACTTGAATTTCTAATACAGGAGAAAATGTGCCATTTGCTACAGGCGGCCTAGATCCAACAAGCTGAGCATGCATCTGAACTCTTTCCTTTCTATAACAAATCAAGTCAGCACACATATATCTGAGAATTGTGTGTAGAAAGAATTCATTATCTTTAAGACTCAGGATTTTGGTAAAAAGAACTCAGGAGAATAAGCCCAGGAACACTTAGCAAGGGATGACAGTGTGCTAGAGAATAATGGGCTAGGAAGTGGATGAGTCATCCAGGGGACTTAGAGACCTGAAGAAGAAGGGTGAAGTTTTAAAAAAAGTTATTAAAAGAATTACCCGCAGTGAGTGGATTGAAGATAAATGAATTCTAACTATGAGGGTGTAGAGGGGGCTGTACAACAACCTTATTAGGTCCAGTTGTTGTGATGTCAAGGTGAAAATAAATGTGCAAAAGTGTAAAATAAACAAGATAAGGGAATAGCTGCCATGGAAAACTCAAACCAAGATTGCCAGCCAGGAATACTTGTGTTTGCAAAACTGAGTAAGGCATGGGCTAAGTTTGAGGGGGAGTGTTGGATTTGAGATCCAGCAGTAGTGACTACATGTAAGCTCCAAGAATATATGAAGGCTCCTGCTGGATCTTCAATAGCAAACCAAATCCTATGCTGTGGGCACCCTATTATTTATCAAGGAGAAGGCTCCTAGAAGTGTATATAATTCTGTCTAGAAGCATAATCAGCAGCTTCCCCCTTAAGGCTCCAACTATTTAGTTTATGTTTACGGCTAAGCATAAACCTAAACATAATCAGCTGTAAACTGTCTAAACTGCATACAGAAACTGTTTACAAACTGTTCACATAATACTAACGAGGCTTGGCAATAGCCTCGTAATACAAATCGGCATCCTCAAGCCACTTTTTAGTACACATGACCGAAGTAATCGTTGAAGCTTTCAGAGATGATCTCGAATCTCGGCAAACGTGGCGGGAGGCCGAGAAAACACGCTCCACAGAAACAGAGGTGGCGGGAATAGCAAGAAAAGCACGTGCCATGCGCGAAATAACAGGGAATTTGTTTGCATGTTCCTAAGCAGCGCTATCAGCGAGTAATCTAAGTCAAGTGGGTCAACACATACCTTCCACCAGTCAAGCGGTTGATAAATGTCACCAAAACCACCCTCACCACTAATCCATCGGTCAAACTCAGAACGCGCCGGAGCAGGAGGCGGTGGTGGAACTGGGAGTGGGTGATAGCCCATCTGAGCCAGTCGGTCGGTTAGATCAACACGCGGAGGCTCGGGGACGGTCTCTGCAACCTGGGGAATATGTTCTTCTTGATAGACCTGGTAGACAAGTTCGAAAATGCGTGTTGCTCGATCCTTTTCGTCGTCACCAAATTTGCCAAAGACGTGGAGACGAAGGAACGGGTGACAAGCTATTGCAAGTCAGCATCATATGCGATGATAATGAGAACTAATGAGAAATACACACCTGTCGCAATGACGTTATGCTGGCACCGCCTTGCCTTATTGTAGTAGTCCATGAGCTTAGCCTTTCCTGCTGATGCAGCCTCCCGGATAGTGTACGAGTATGTGGCTTCATCTAAAATGTACTTATCAAGATGGTCTTTCATCGTTTGATACGCAGGTAGGACCCATGGAAGGGTGGGGCTCTTCTCAGTCGATACGAGCAGTGTATCTGCGGTGAATTCCTGCAGCCAAAAACTGTTAACTGCCACGCTTGAGAAAGGAAAACACGTAGCATACCTCAAGGAGCCCATGGAGCAGTATAATTTCATCCCAGTCCTCCACCGTCAAAACCAAGTGCCTCAACTGAACCTCGCACGTCCATAGCTCAATGGCCTGTAGACAACGTCAGCATAGAGATGTGAGAAGTTGCACATAGTTAAATCACCCTCATAAGGATTATAGCATGCCCCATCATCGCATGAGTTGAGTTCCATCGCGTACGAACATCACGTATAGGCATCAATCGCCAAAGTGGATGCCCATTGGCAAGAGTTTGATCCGGGGGGTATATACGAGCAGTAATATTGCGGAAACGTTGGCGCCGCGATGGCGAACTCACAATCTTGATAACAACTGTGCGAAGCTAGTAAGAGTAATCCTTCAGCAATTTACATTAAGGTACGTAAAGCACAGGATACACGTTACCTTCTCGAGCGCAGAAGTGCTGGCAGTGGACGGTTCATCTCTAGCCTGCGATTTGATGCCTGCTGTGAAGCTGGTATCCGGGTCTTGCACTTCATCCCCATCATAGTCCTCTGCCTCAATCGCCTCGAGATCTTCATCCTCCATCGCGAGGTCGAAGGCCACAGGCAGATACTTATTGAATTTTTCGTAGTAATCTACATCACCAGGTTCATCATCGACAATCTTGAGTGACGCGAGTATCGCTTGAACGACCAGGTTTATGACATGTGCTATGCAACGAATCTGGCCATTGCCCGGGTGGAAGGGGATTTGGTACCGATCATGGAGTAAATCCGTCAGGGTTTCAGCAAAGACATCATTTGCGGCGGCATTGTCCATTGTGATAGATATCAAGTGCTGAGGACGTCAGCCACCAAATTCTTCGTAAGACAGAGTAGACTTATCTTATTGACGCTTCCAATCTTACGTGCGGCATCCCAGAAAGCCTTAGCTAGCCCCTTTCCTGTATGCTCGTCCATCGCAAGGTGCCGAAAGTCGATAAGCCGTGTACGCAGAGTCCACTTCTCATCGATCCACGTTGCAAGTGTTGCACAGAACGTGTATATCATTTGAGGGTTTGTCCAACTATCAGTGCTATAGGCGATACGATAGGGTATAGAGGCCTGTAAACATAAATTACGATGAGTGATTGAGATTGACATGATCTGTCGAGAATGACGTACCGCCAGTTCCTTGGTAATGGCACCCTGAAGGTGCTTGTGAATCCGTGAGACGAAGTTGCCCACAGCGGTGTCAGAGGGGAGTTTGAATGGGCATTTGATGTACTCGAAGAGAATCCGTAGTGCAGGGGCTTCGCCAGCGGTCAACGGGTGGTTACTCTCGAGGATATATGCAGTAAACCTGCGATGGAAGCCAGGCTGCGAAGGCGAGTGAGACGGGTTGACTTTTCCGTCATCGAGCATTCGAGCCATGATAGCTTGCTGACGTTCGAGCACTTTTGAACCTGAGCTACTGGCGAGAAGCTCATCAGAGTTCCCACCATCCTTTTCCTTCTCTCGCAGCTGCGCAATCTCAGCACCGTGGACGTTCAGGTGCGTGGCAAGGTTTCCTAACTTCGGGCGTGGCTGCTCCTTGCTAAAGTCAGACGAGTCTACAGTGCGGTCAAACGTCCGAATTCTAGACGTCCCCAGTCAGCCACAGTCTCAAAACAAAACCATAACCACGCACTTCCGGCAGAGCTTGCAAGTAAATTCCCATCGCTTCTCCCCATTCGCGCGCACAGCCTTTGGGCCATGCCAGAACTCAAGCGACTTGTTTACAGGCCCGCGGGATCCCTCTGGTCGTGCCTTTGCCTCGCGTTCCTTCATGGCACGCAACGCAGAGTTGCCATCAGATTGCTCTGAGTCGCCCTCCACTACCTCCACTACCTCAGCATCCTGACGGCGGCGCTTTGATTGCTTGGTATTTGACTGATTGGGTAAGTACATCATCCATCTTGTAGCGTTGTTAAGGCTGTACTGACCTTTTGCTTTCCTTTTGCTGTTGATTTTGCGGCTGGCATGGTCTCCTTTGGTGCTGAGCTCAACACCTTGGCCATCTCTGACAAGGAGGCCTCTTCAATGCTTATGGATGTCTCGGAGCGCTCGGAGCTGGTCGAGTCAACACGAAGGCGTTTATGAGCACCTTTCTGGAGAATCGAGGTGCAGGTGAGTAATGTAAGTCGTTCTTCAGTGCGTAGTTAACGTACTGATGCCCCCTTTGCCCTCATCGTGACCCCAAGTCCTCCTTCATCATCAGACTCATCGCTCTCCTCGGAACTCCTGTTGTCATTACTGCGAGCAGGTGGGCGGTAAGTTTTGTCCTTGCGATTGTCCTTGATTAATGTCTCTATAGGTAATGTCAGCTCATAGCAGATCGGGTGGAGAAGAGGGGCAACTACGCACGTTCATGGCCATACAGTGCCCTAGCCAGGTGACCCTGTTTGAACTCTCGAAGCAAGTCTTCCTCGGTGCGCTCCTTTTCTTGGGGCTTTTCCCTTGGGGGCTTTGAAGTGGCTAGCTGGGTTTTGGGCTGGGCAGACGCTTCACCATGGACCGTATCGGCAGTGCCGCTGTTCATCAAAATTGGTGAGCTTGTTCCAGCTGACTGAGCAGTAGAGTGTTACCATAACCTCTTTAGCTCATTATCTAAACGTTGCAGCTTCAACATCAGCGCTGCATGTGTGTTGTGCGGCAGGTCAAGGGCAGTGTTCTGGATGTAGCTGGCGACATACTCGATCCCGTGCCGTCCTCGCCGCATGTCAGGGAAATGGCCATGCTTGTCGAGAATATCTTGAGCAAAAAGGGCATCAAATCGTCGGTTGAAGGTGTGCCAGTTGTTCTTGCCACGTAAGTTCTTCATCACCGTGTATATTCTGTCTGTCTTCTCTGCGATTTCGATTGAGTCCGGTAGCTTCTTGGCAAGCTCACAGATACTCTCGACAACTGTCTGTCGAGAGTGATATTCGTCATCGGCATTCGTCATAGTGGAATAGAGGGGTAGGACTAGCTGGCTGAATAGGAGCTTGGTGCGTGTCTTCAGTTTTGGACCAGATGTGCTGTGTCTCAGATCGCTTCACGCATTACATAATCCTCATCTCTTGAGGTGCGTCTCTATCCCCCTCGATTCTGAAGAAATTCTAACAACCAAACTGTATTTCACTGCTATCATAGCCAAACAGTTGAATCACTACATGGCTACTGCAAGCCCATCCCCTCACACCAGCTCTTCAAGTGGTTCCACTCCGCACAACTAAGGTAATTGTTTTCGAGCTCCTTGTGCCTAGACACCCATTCATCTACAGCCTATCTACAGTCAGCTTTGATTGTACTGATACTGGTAACTGTGCACACGAACCTTTTGCAGCGGAATTGCTCTAGATATCATTACAATAGTGGTTTGTACACGAGTAGGAGTATCTCGAACAAGGAGGCAGCCCAAATCATTATGCAGGCCAGTAGCAAGCTCCTCAAAGCGTCTTTGACGCGATTCAGATTGCATTATATGCCTTATGATAGCACGGAGCTAGAAAACCAATCAGCGTACTGTCACATTCACTTACATATCAACAAACTGACCTTTTGGATAGAAGAATGTAAATCCATGGATGCAAGGTGCAGGATCAGCGCGACCAGGACGAACACGCGCGAACACCAAGTGTCAGTTCCCACGGCCTACTCAGGGGCTGGCGAACATGGCTTGTCATCGTGTCTCGGCTAAAAACGCATCGTTGATGCGCTTTTTAAGCGAGCGACGACGAGCATTATGTCCCGCCCTCGTATCATAAAATTCCACAATATATATAGTTATAAACCGTTTATAGATGATATGTAAACCATATACAGCCAAGTGTATGCGTATACAGTAAACTAGTCAGTATATACAGTTTAAACTGTCTATGTAAACTAAACAGTTGGAGCCTTATTCCCCCTATCTGAGCATGAATCCTAACAGATGATGTTGTTTTAATTTTGACAGCTTGATGGTGCAGTGGATAGACAACTGAGTGTGGTCAAAAGGGTCATTGATTCAATCCACTGATTGAGTTTTATTTTGCTCATCCACCAATTACTTCTAAATTGTACATTTTGTAAATTGTAACTTTTATAGTCAACAGCAGATAGATGGAGGACATCAGGAAGATTGTCACCTTCTGGCCAGACTTTTGAGGTTTTCCAGGCCTTGTGCCTGATCAGCCAAGACCACAAGTCAAGGCAAGGTTGTATTTTGCCTATTTAGAATATTTAATGTGGAATATATGGGCATTGCTGCAGAATATACGGAGCAGGTGTGAGAAAGGAAAAAAAAGCTGTGGACATAAATCAAAAGAAGACTTCTCTGGGACTTGAACACACAACTGCCCAAAACCATACTGTTGTAATTGTAACCTTAACATTGCACTATGACACTGCTGAACTAGTAGGTAACTTCAAGTTATATAACCTACCTTTGTGGGACTTAGTAAAATTTCCCTTCAAACCCTTGACACAAGTATGCCCTTGATTGATACACTAGTTAATACATGTATGATAGCAAGTACTGTATTTTAACATGTGATTGATGAAACAGAAGTAGGCTTGATATTCAACTTGTAGCATCAGAATCTCCTGATGAGGACAAAATGTGTCCATAGCTGCAGGGTGACTGACAAAAATTTCACTAAGTCCTGTAAAAGTGGGTTATATAGACTAGAGTTACCTGCTACTTCAATGGTGTCATGGCACAATAGTTAAGAATACAATTGCAATGGCAGCCTTAGTATGATAAATAGGCAGTCATGTGTTCAAATCACAGAGAAGTCTTCTTTGATTTATGTCTGCAGCTTCCCTTTGCTTTTCTTTCTCCAGAAAACTAGGAATTGAGAAAGGCAGTGTGGTGCAGCAGTAAGGCTGGTGGTGGTGGTGGTGGCAGTGCCTGCCTAAATAGCCCAAGCCCTCATCTGGATCAGCTTAGTTGTGTTCACTATGCATGTACCTACAGTGAAACAATTCACTTGTTGTGAAACATACATGTAACTCAAGCACTTTGAACACTTCCCTCAACAGTTCAACATTTGTCTTTTGACCAATTTACCTCCCAAAACTTGTTTGTGCACTATATTAGGCCTACTTAATACATAGTTGAAGTTCAAGAGCAAAATCTTGAAATTGAGTAAATACAGCTCAAAAAACCTTCATATATTCTACCCTTTCAACAATTATTTGCTCAGGGCACCAGGTTAAATGTTCTTCAATTATGATATTTAGATAAATGTGACATACAACCATCAAAATGTTGTACATGGAAGATAGGGGTTTTAGTGTGGTAAAAGCTGACATCTCACTGGCATCTCTCCCAGACAATGGGCAAGTTTGTTGCTTTGTCCCAAGCTGAAAAAGACATGAAGATATGTGAAGATGAAGGTTTTGGAGTTATTGGAGATGTTTCAATATGGTTAAGGGACCAAGTACAAGTTGAAGATTTGGCTGTTCATTCTTGGGCTGTATCTCACATGTCACTTGTGGATTCCACCAAGGGATCAGCTGTGTGGTGGAGCTAAAGTTCAGGAATCACTCCTGACCTTTCTGCATAGGTCTGCTCATGAATATCAACTTGTTGTGCACTGGATATGATTCTATATACCTACCACTTTCAGATCTGCCCATATATTCTTTGAAGATTTGCATCCATATGTCAATGTGTTTCTCTGCGCAGTCAGGCTGAGATGTCAAGATGACCATTGACTGCAACATCACCTTTCAAAATCCTCACAAAACACAAACAGTTTTTTTGTAAGATCCGGCTAGGTTAGCAAATGCACACTTTTCCACAAAATTTGAGGCTGCCTCCTTAGGCTCCTGACCAAGCCCCAGCTCTGGTTGGCAGAAGATTATGCACTTGTTCAGATGAAGGATATTGATACATACATACAAGGTGACAAGTGTGGCAGTAATGTTGGGTGTCATGCCCATGCACCTCTGGTCAAACTCTGGTACATGTTTGCTCCTTTGGTACTGCTTCAGTATCTTTGGCAGCTACGGAGTAGATGCTGATACACTTGGAAATTATCAGTCAGCACATTATCTTATGAAAAACTCACTCCACATTCTTCCTGTCATTATTCCACAGTTATGCCTGTCATGTTTTATATTCTTACAACCTTCAGTCTTCTTTGGTAATTACTCACTTCACACTTACTCCAGTAGCTATCCAGAGCTTATCCAAAAATCTGAACTTATGATATAAATAGTGGTAGCATTCAACTTGTATTCAATAGTATGAATATTGATTTACTCCTACCCCAACACTTCTGTTGTCTTTAACATTCTTTTGTGCTTGTCATCTCTATCTGACTTATACTCCAAGTCAACTTGACGTCAACTTGTCATCTCCATCTTACTCCGCCGTATTTAGCAATTACTCCTTGCTACTATGCATATTTCCTTTACCTTTGCTATCTCCAGTTCACCTCCAGTTCACCTCTGGTCCATCTCCATACATCTTCATACCTTTGCTAGCATCTTCAGGCCATGGTATCCCTAGTAGAGCATAGCTCATACATCCCAGTTCTACCTGGGCAGAAACAGTGTTGACATTGGGGGTAAGTATATGCACCACCACTGCTGCCCCGCCACTGCACTGCCAAAGTGGCATATGCTGCCTTTCCCATTCACTGTGTTTCACCTGTTTCTGGCCTCACCTGTGAGAGCGGCACCTAGACATGGCTACTGTATCATACTCACACACTTACTATAGTTATTGCTTCTCATGTCTATTGTAGATTGGTTTCTTGCACCTAGCTGCCAGCTTCAAATAGCTGGTTTCTTTCTCAATCAGACCACATTCCTTTCCCCACCTCCTCAAACATCACACTATAGCCACAGCTCTTCCCATCATGTAGCCATTGATAGCCACCAATAGATATGTTCTCCCAACAGGTTATCAACTGACTACTGTAAGTTCCAAATAGGTTACACTAGGCTAGGTGAGTGCTTGGGCCTCCTGCACAAGGCCTTGCAATGAGACTTAAGCATTCAACAGTGCTTGACAAGGACCATCTCACTCTTTCTTCCCCCCACTATCTCCTCCCCCTCATTTTCTCTCCCCAGCCCTATTGAGTCACTCTTTCATACCATTCAGCCATATAGTAATATCTTCAAGTTCAGTGAGTACTCTTCTGACTTGTTCCATTGCTTCCTGATAACCCAATCACACAGAGCAATCCTTGCCATCACAATCTTGTTTGGTGCAACTGCAACCACACATGCAAGTGGTGGTTCCCTATTGTAGGCAGCAACTGGATACCCAAGTCCACCAAAAGGGCTCACAGCCACAGCCACAGCCAGGCAACCTCTGCCATCAGGACATGTGGTTATGCCCCCTTGATGTTGTTGGTGCGAACTACCGCCATGCATACACCTGCACATAGTGTCCACATAACTATGCGTAGTTGTTCTGCCCCAGCGGGCACTGTCACTCTACTGCTAGGTCAAGGATGAGCAGGACCACTGCAAGGTACAGTCACGCCAGCTCGAGTGCTGGTACCTGCCACGTGCTTGCATCTTCCTCAGTCAACACCAAGCAGCATGACGGAACCTTGCTTGCACAGGTGTGTACTTTCTTGTATCACTTATGTCAAACCTTTTTATCCATTTATTCCAGCCTGATGAACATATCCAATGACAATGTCATGTGGTATGTGAGAGCATTTAGCCTGCCAGCAGCTTTTCTGCTGATGTCTCCTCCTTTTACTTGACCTCCAGCACCTTCTTCCATGCCTCAGCCTCTCTTTTGCCAGCCATCAACAAGCTTAGAGCTTTGCAACTACGTTCCTTTACCCGCACCTCCCACCTCTACTCAGTCACAAGCATCTGGCTCAACATCTGCCGGTGTGTCAGGAATGCGCTCAAAACACATATGTTGGCCTGTGCGTGTACTGACCCTTTCACAGCTCAGCTTCGCTCTGCAAGGGTACAGTACGAGTGCGCTCACCATGGCCTTCCTTGTATTCATTTGCTCCTTTGCAAGCCCTTCCTGCTGGTCAGCTGTCCTTGGTTGCCTTGCTGATTGCTGGTGCTGCTCAACTGGCCTCAAAAGCGCCCATGTGTGCTTCAAAATGCTTGGACAGCACAGCTATCTGGCTGTTGATGTCCTGTGCTAGCAGAATTGCACTTGCTGGGGCTGTGAAGCTCAGGATTTGTCTGTGTACAAAATGTGAGTATATGCATATTTTGTTCAGCCATTTACTGACTGATTTATCTAATTTTGCATAACAGGGAATGTATAGAGGCCCATGTCTTCATACATCTGTATCTTCATGCTATCAGGCCATCTTGCCCAGGCCTTGTTGGTGATTATGAGGCCTTCTGGTTGGACTGGGTCCAGGGTATGAGCTGGCAGCAGCTCACTTTGCATTGGGGTGGCAGCCAGAAGCTCAATGGGTCAATGGCGCCCTGGCATCTTGATTACAGAAGACAATGATGGGTGGCATATGGAAAAGAGGGCACAATGCAAGCAAGTGAGCGGGAGCAGCGGACAGAGGTGAGGGTGTGGGTCAGGAACACATCAAGATATCAGTCCCATGATGTAGTGCAGATCCTCCAATTGAGATAGTCTATTCATACGTGTTTCTATCTGAGTGGATCTAAGGTTAGAGTGGGCCAAATAACAAGGGCAATAGGCCAATGCAGGCCCAGATTATTCTATGGTATAATTTGTCTGACCTAGTTACACCTAGTCTAATGTTTGAATGCAATGCTCATTTTGCATTATTTTGTGGCACATTTGTAAATGCAGGCACAGGTACTCTAATGTCTATTCTAATAATATGCTACCTGCAAGTAGCTGGGCCTGAATATGGTCAGCTAGGGATGGGTACAACCCAGTGATTTCCTGGGTGTTCTCCCTTTATGATACCCACTCCATATATTTTGTGGCTGTGTACCTCATTTATTTAGTCAATAAGCAATGAATATATTTGGTAGGAATAAACAAGGCATGCAAACTTGTCAAGTTCCTGGTTTGTCTGATTAACTTGTGAACTCTGCCCTGGTACCAGCTCCAACAACCTTGTACAAGCCCAAACCAGCTACTCACATTGTTCCTGATGGATGTGTGATATACCCACCATCTACTTGCAATTGTTGACAAGTGTGAGTGCAGGTATAAATAGTACATGGAGGATTATTTGATATTTTACTATCTATAGTCATCAGTAAAACTGTAAATCTTGCCAGCCTTGTCACCTTGCCACAAGGTGACAATGTGTCATAAAACATAAAACCCAACATGGAATTGTAAAAAAGACTCTGATATATAGTACCCCAATATTTTCAAGCTTCAGATTGTGTTTAAGGATCAGAATATGGTCTGGGGATACTCCTGGATCACTGAATGAAGTTAGTTTCTTTGCCTTTAAGCACTTGTCCATGCAAACTCTGCTCCTCCAAAGCAACCTTGCCATGTCAATAGACTTGCCTTGCCAATTTTGGTGTCCTGGTCAGATTGTTCCTGTAGAAGATTGAGGTCACCTGGGCTTGCAATGATGCATAGTGTGTTTGTCCCAGGCAAGAGGAGGATGCCCAAAGAATTGCATGAAAATTTTGACTATCTACAATAGGATTATATACTCACACCTAAAATAAGTAATGGCACAACGTGAATTTTCACACTCACCCCTAACACTTATTTGAGTAAACCACACATTTTTATCTTTATCTAAGGCAACTCCAATTATGGAGTATTGTTATGTTGTGTTTATAAAATGTCTAAGTAGTTCTAGAATGGTATATGTCCACCCTGGTGCTTAAGAAGTGCTTGCACACATGCTGGCGTCTTCTCAATGTGACTATCAATTTTTTCTTGAGGAATTGAGGTCCATGCTGCAATTGCAGCCATCTTGAGCTCTTGAACAGATATAAGAGGGTGAGGGCAATTCCAAATATAGGACTTGAAGTGATTCCAAAGGGGTTCAATAGGACTGATATTAAGGGAAGCCAGGGTGTGGGAAGAGGCAGATCAAATGGTCTTCAAGCCATTTCTTGGTGAGCTTCTGGCTGTGCGCTGGGGCTCCATCCTGTTGGAACATGATAGGCCCCTGCCCCTGTGTCATCCATGCCCAAAAATCTTGAAGTGCCCCATCCAAAATCTGTTCACAGTACCTTTTGCCCATCACCCCACCTCCCTTCCCTTCTGGGTACTCCATCACAACCAACGGACCCTTTATGCCCAACATAATGCATCTCCAGACCACAATCCCCTTCCCGCTCTTTTTGAAGACTGGCCGGAGGCATTCCTTGGAGTATTCTTTGCCTGAACCTTGTGTCACGTAGACTGTTCCTTTTGAATTGCTGATCACCACATAGCACTCATCTGACCACTCAACCTTAGCCCAATGTTGAAGCTTCCAATTCTTGAAGGTTTTTTTCCCATGAAAGTTGTTGAGCCTTCTGTTTTGTTTGTGAAAAAGACCACATGATGTGCCTTGCAACTGTGAAGCCCAAATTCAGGTAAAATGTTGTGAACTGACTATATCAAGATTAGTGGGCTCACAGAGTTGCCAAGCTCAGAAAGTGTCTTCTTTTGGTGTTTGCGGGCTTCTCAGGTGATGTATCGCTTCATACAAACAGTGATTTTTGGAGGTCAGCCAGATTTGGGTAATTTTTTTGTGCTTCCAGTTGCATGAATTTCTTTGAGAATGTCATAGGCTGTCCTTCAGGGGATTCCCTTGGCTTGTGCAGCCTCCAATTTTTTTTTTTGCAATCAATGTTTATTGTCCCACGAGGCTGTGCCTCATGTGGGACAGGGTCTAAGTAAACATGTGGTGTTGTATGTAGACGTTCTTTCTAGTGGGGCAGTCTGTGAGCATTTGCCTGTCCGGGCATCCAAAACCTTGGCTCCACTTAGGACACACCCAATAAAGCAATCCTTGCATGGTGAGTCATGAATTTGGTATGAGGACATTGAGGATGACATGTAAAAATACAAGTACAAACAAACTGCATGCGATCAAGACACATGGTGTGCCATTACTTATTTTAGTAGCAAGTATGTAGTACAAACTCAAAAGCAGTAAGGTAAAAATGACATGTCATGATGCAAGTGCTATTGAACACTAATTCCAACACATTCAATACAAGCAAGTATACATAAACAAAATAAAAACAGGGGCAATGCAAAGCAAGGAATGAGCAGACAACAACAATAAAAGTAACATGATGCAAGGCAAAACAAACAAGCCCTCGCACAGGCAATTGCAACAACACAAGCATTGATGGCAGGGCTACGACAGCATGCAGGGACAGCAGCAGCATTGGCAGGTTCTACAGCAGCATGTGAGAATGGCGGCAGTGTTGACAAGTGGCACAGTGGCAGGGACAAGTGGTGGTAGGTGCGACACACAGCAGGAGGCAGCCTCAACAGAGGATTTATGTGGGGGTCCAGCAGCAACAGTGGTGCACAAGAGATGGTGCAGCAGTGGGGTGTGCACTCTTGCAAGTAGCAGGGAGGAAGTGGCAAGTGGTGAGGGGAGGTGATGGTGGTGTAATAAGGTGATCCAACATGCGATAAGGCCTTGATGGCATGGAACTGTGGTGGTGCAAGCTCCAGTGACTTCAGCGGTGGTGAAGGGTAGCTAACACTGATGCAATTGTATAGATTATCAAGGTTGCATGGGCTTGAAACAATGCACAGCATGTTTGTCCCGGGCAAGAGGAGGGTGCTTGAAGGGCAATCACATAAAGATTTCAACTATCTATGACAGGACTATATACATAGTACAAATTCAGAAACAGTAAGATAAAAACATGTCATGATGTGAGTGCTATCACACACTAATTCCAACAATTCCCTTGCACAGGGTTGCACAACTTTGTACAAGCTGCAACAAGCATTTTTCAATTTTACTGATGGCCTACACAGCTGATTTTGAATTCAAAAGTCCTGTGATGGCTCGGTATACACTACAGTTACAGTCTCAAAGGTGGTCTTTCTTATAGGAGACCATGTAGATATTTACTAGTAAGCACTTTGGACTAGGTTACATAGGTGCACACTCATGACATTAGTCTTAGACAAAATGTTGAGGGACATCACAGTATTGCCAAACATTTCACCCATTACAAATTCAAAAAACAGAGGCAAAATTAATTCATCAGAATTTTATCAGTTTCAGAGCTGTGATAGTTCTTGCAAAGCAAATAAACACCCTAGATGAATGCATAATTTAATTTAGTGTTTCTGGATCCACTAGATTCCAGGTGTGTTTATAGAATTGTTGTAACTTGCCAGAGACTCTGGGCCACTGATCACATGCTGTTTAATTGAGTGCTCTTGTTCCCTGTCTTGTCCCAAACCACCACCACCACCTCTGTGGCTTCTTTTGTGTCCCTTCTCCTCTATCTCTTCATGCTTTCTATCCTTTTTGCTGCTAGGGATGCTTGTTGGGATGCCAATGGAGTAATTATAGTAGTGACATGCACAGCAACAATCCATTTTTTTTGCTCTCAGAGTGATGCAGGCAGGCCATGAGCTGGTTTACCACCTCCACTCTAGAACAGATTGCTCAATGTTGTGAATGTGATGCTCTTTCTGCTGTGGATTTTTGTGCCAGGCATCCTCCTGTCATTTTCCCTCTTAATTCTGATTGGGAAATGACATGCAATATCATAAGGGAGTGGACATCTTTCATGTGTGTGGATAGCGTCAGATTTGGTGCTTGACACTGGAGCTTTGTTTGTGTTGTTGGAGTGTCCATCCAGAAATGGTCTTTTGCAGCTCCGGTTCGAGCTGAAGGGTGTTATGTGTGCCCACAGAGCAGGAAAATCTGTAAACTGTTAGTCTATCATATAAACAAGAGAAGTCAGCCACTCACCAGCACAAGAACCCACAGTATCATGCGAGGATGGAATACTGGTGCCAGTGGTGTGACCAAGGTGTAAGGGGTAAGGGTGGGTGGGAGCACTGCCACACTGCAAATCTGGTTGCTTTTCAAAGTTTGTACAGTTCGTGCTGCAAACTGTTGTAAAAACAAATCAGATTTGAGGAGAACTTAGATTGATATAATAACTTACTGCAGTGTCACAAGGGACCGGCTGAGCAGTCAAGGCCACTGAAGGAGCCTTTGACTGCTTCTTGCTGGTGGATTGTGAGCATCTTGCAGCAGTTACCTTTTTTGCAGCCTCAGTCCTCGCCTGAGTGAAACACAATTTATTGAGGCCTACTTAGACCCTTATGCTGGACATACAATTAGACAAGGGACAACCAAGTTTGACAAGATCTGGGACAAACAGACAAAGAACAGGTCAAGCCCCTACAGTCCATTTAGGGACACAGATGAATGGGAACTGGCTTGCTGGCTATTCGAGAACTGCACGCAGAGTGCAGCTGATGAGTTCCTCAAGATGAAGATTGTAAGCATTCCCCTTCATGCATAGAACAACAACAAGAAGCTGAACATACCTGGGTAGATATCTACTCGCACAAAACCATCATTCACCAGCTCCTATACCCTTATGAACGCAATTGACAAGCTCCCAACACGATCTCAATGGACATGTCAGCATATCCTTGTCAACAGAAGTGGTGGCATCATGGCTCAAGATGCAGACACACCTGCTCACCAGGATGAGGAGAACCTTGAGCTGTGGGTGCGCAATCCTGTTAATGCAGTTGAAGAGCTCCTTGGGAACCCACACTTCCTTGAGCACTTAGCATATGCACCTGAGCGCATCTATAGCGATGGAGAGAGGTTGTTGAGGCAGATTGATGAGATGTGGACTGCCGACTGGTGGTGGGAAACACAGGTGAGCTATTTTACGTTGGAATGGTTGTTGGAATTCAAGTTGCTGGAGCTTGCCAACACAGTACAAGCACAGTTTGTCCCGGGCAGGAGAGTAGCCCAAAGGGCAATTGCGTAAAGATTAGCATAGCATAATACACAGAATATATACCATGGCTGATGTCCTGTACAGTATGTAGTTTCAAAACACTTACGTAAACACAATCTACAATAATAATGGCTCAAGAGGAGACTCACACGGCACAAGGGAAGGTTTCCTCAGGTAGAACAATCAGAGCAGTTGTCCTTAGCACTGACAAGACTCAGCTATCAACCTTTTGAGATGACAAGCAGGCCTATCCTGTGTACCTTACCCTTGGCAATATATCAAAAGGAGTTTGTTGTCAGTCATTACAACATGCATCAATAGTAATTGGATACCTGCCAGTGTCAAAGCTTTTCAGCTTTGATAACAACTCAGCTGCCTCCCACCAACTCTTTCACTTTTGCATGCAACAGATCCTTGCATGCCTGCAAAATGCTGGTCATGATGGTGTAAAGATGACTTGTGCAGATGGGTTTGTATGACTGGTCTTCCCGATCTTGGCAGTGTATATTGCTGACCATTCAGAACAGTGTCTCGTTGCCTGCTGCGCTCAGAACCGGTGTCTGAGATGCCTTGTGGAGGCAAAAAGGTGTGGAGATGACATCCTGCCACAATCTTGTCAGCAATCCGACATGCTAGAGACACTGGCCTTGCAAAGGGATAGTCAATATCCACCCAAATTCATTGCTGACGGTCTCTGTGAAGTGTTCTCACCATTCTGGGCTGATCTCCTGCACACCAACATTTTCCGCTACATTTCCTCTGACATCTTACACCAAATCCATCAGGGTGTATTCAAAGACCATCTCCTTAAATGGTGCACAAACCTGGTTAACAAAAATCCCAACACCAACCTTGACAAGCAGTTTGAGGCAATACCGCCATATGCAGGGTTGCAACACTTCAAGAGTGGCATAAGTGGGATCAAGCAGTGGACCATGGGTGAACACAAGCAGGTGCAATGTGTGTTTGTGGCTGCACTTGCTGGTTCAGTTGAGTCACACACTCTCACAGCCGCGCACGCACTTCTCAACTTCATATATCTCACTCAGTACTACTCACACACGACGGAGTTGCTTGCTGCCATGCAAGATGCACTCCACTGCTTCTATAAGGACAAAGATGTTTTCACTGAATGGAATGGCAACTTCAATATCCCAAAGCTGCATTCACTCCTTCACTATCTCAAGATCATACTCCTCCTTGGATCCCTCAATGGCCTCAACACCAAGAACACAGAACATCTCCACATTGACTTTACAAAGTGAGTGTATTGGGTGTCAAACAAGTGTGACTTTGTCATCCAGATGGCTCTCTGGCTCCAGCGCTTTGAGGCTAAATCACTTTGGTCTCAATATCTTCTCTGGTGATTCCCTCCTGATGCAGTCTCACCGGATGTACACCAGCCACCAGGTGAGGCCATGGATACTGTTATTAGTGCTGACTCTCTTGCCTCAAAATCCGATGACAAAGATGACTGCTGTGATGGCCTGGACATTACATCAGCAGGTACGGTAGTCCATCCACTGACAGTAGCCAAGCATGCACCCCACTGAAACATGCTGGTTAGCACGCTTGAGGTGAAGCATGGCACTGTGGGCTTCACTCATGTACTCACTACCTTCCTGGACAGTGAGCCTACCATCTGTTGTGGGTATTTGCCACACAATGCTGACACTTTTGGTGTTTACAATGGCACTGTTGTGCACATGACCCCAGAGCCTCATGTCAATGTTAACAAGCTCAATGTGCGTGTCCATGCCACCCCTGTCAAACTTCAACACCTATGCTTCCCACACTCTGGGTGAAGGTAAAGTGGTTGATCGGAGGTTTTCCTCCCCATTAATATGGTTGTTTAGGCCCTTCTCCCAGCCTCCGGCAGGTCGCCCTCCTGGGTCCTTAGGGACTTAGCCTTATTTCTGAGTCCCTCGCTGAGCGTGCCATGCAGCATCCCTTCCTACATATCAACATCTTCCCTACTGCATTCCTATTGGCTATGCTCTATTCCTCCCACCGCATCCGCTATCCCGCATCACCCCTGGGCATTGGCATGTCCCGCGCACCGTCCCCGGCACTGTGGACGCTCTCCCAGACAACGAGCATGGGTTTCTCCATCAATTCTCAGTATTTTTGTGCCATTTTTTCTTTATAGTATGTTACAATGTATTCATAGTAGCTACAAACAATGTGCTGTATGTTTTAAAACATATTGGGGGGTATGTCTAGGTGGGGAGAACTTAGGAAAATTTTCTGAAAGTGCGGCATTAGTCATCAGCAGTTTGGCATAAGGAGATGACGTGTCCATGGTGTATATTTAGTCCCGGGCCAAATTGATCTCAGGCACACAAGGGATGATGTGTTCTCGCATTATATTTTGGTACGGGCCAGAATACAGCTGAGCATATGCGCGTGACTGTTGTCCGGCTTTAGATGATCCCTTCCCTTTCCCTCTCGCCCACGTTGTTGTCATTGCCCGCACCCTCGCCTTCATCATTGCAAACACCCTTGCCCACTCCCTCTCCCTTGTCACATTCCCAACGTTCTTGCCATCTCAATCATCCTCATCATGTCTCTCGCGTGCACCGGCTCTCTCATGCTCGCTCTTACCAGCGGTCACTTGCCCTTTTTGTCCTTATCTCCCCACTCCCTTTTTTTCTCTCACCATCGCCCTCGCTGCCCTCTCCCTAGCTGCCCTCACTGCTATCAACACCCTCACTCAGCACTACAAATGTCTGTTGCTGTTTAATTGGCCCATCTGTCTCGCTGCTCGCTGCTTACCCAGTTAGAGTTACAGCGAAACTCCGTGAGGTGAGTAATACATTTTGACGGCTTTTCCGTGAGAACTTATTTATTTTCCTTCTTCGCAAGTCCTTTGTGCCCCATGGGCGCATGAAACTTGGTCAGAGGGGTTTCTTGTGGACTCAAAACCTTTTGCGACAACAACAACAGTCAACCACCAACCTGCGCCAAAGTCCTCTGCCTGTCTGGCCTCGCAGCATGCAAAAAGATCGCCCAAGAGGTGTTCTACCATGAACTTTGCAGTAAGTACTATACATTTTCCTTGTATACCTCTCTTATTTGTTCTTAGCGGTGGATGCCTGCTGTTGGCAGGCTCTTCTAGCCTCTTTCCCCGACAGGGAAGACTCAGCTGGCCCCTCCGCCATCAATCAAGAAGACCTTATTGGCGCTGCCCGAACCCGGAGACGAGGGATACAAATTAAGTTATGGAGGAGGTGAGTACAACACCTACCAGCAGGTACAGTCATCTGTTGACTTGGGCAAACCATTTTGAGTACCCTCTTTGGTAGTGAATATATGATCACACACTAATATTTCTTAGCCCTTGCATTGAGGATTGCGACCGGAGCGGTCAAACAGAACAAGTTGCTGGGGACTGGGGACTCTAATATGAACACCTAACCGATGCGTATCTCCAACATCAACTCGCGGTCTCCTCCCCACGCAGAGCCAGATGTCCTCCCCAGCCCAGACGAGTTTGATATTCTCGTTGTTGACATATTCTGTATGTCCCCATTCTTCATTTAATAACAGTAGCTCAAACAAGGCTCAGCCAGGGACATCCGCCGGTGCAAAAAAACTTCGACATTTACTAATGCATCCCTCATGCATCTTGGCTGCATTGGATGCAGCCTGTTGCTCCCATCTGTGGCCATCACCACTCGCACGCTCGCCATATACCGCCAAATGCATTGTGTCTGTCCCCGCCTTATGATATTTGCCGAGGTGAAGAAACTCTGTCATCTCCACAATGTGCGTTTAGTTTGGTGCCAAGTTTGGCACCTGTTTGTATTCAGATTTGGCTAACAACTGTTTCAGGTCCCTTTTCATTGGTATCTCACCAATCAATTCTGTATTGCCTACGATGTGTACCTCAAAATCCAACAATGCATCAACACCCGCATCGCTTCTGCCCTGGGCCGCAATACTCCGCACTGGCAGATGAGGAACTCCTGTCCAGCCTGCTATTGCTGTTGCGACGGCAAGACACCATTGCGGTTCAGCATCCTCTGTGCTCTCGATGGCAACAACTTGCTCAAGTTAGTTGATCAGACTTTCCGATGTGGATGTACACAACCAGATCCCAGGGACGCGCGCTCCAACATATGGATAACTGAAGAAGAAGTCAACAAATTCAAGAATTCCGTTGAGGATGCCCGCTGACCTCGCAACCATCAAACCCAGCCAGATCCATCCCCCATGGATACTGGCAAGTCATGGACCAACCTCAACAATGGTGGAGATGATGCAGAGCCCACTGACATCTGTATCAATTGCTGGCGCAATGCATCCCCTGAATTGCAGAAGAAGATGTTTGCAATCTTCTCTAAGTCTGGAGTGTTCATCACTGTGTGTCGACACGGTTTCCTCCTCACTATCTGTGATATGGTTCACAGTGGCGAACTGTAAGTCTTCAGTTTTGTTTATTTGCTCAACTCCTTGGCTTATACATTCCAGTATTTATACATTCCAGTATGAAATATCTGCTTGCTTGTATCAAGCGCCTCCTCGATGTCATCGGAGATGACATTTGCTTCAGCTATGATATCAAGTGTCATTTTTGGCAGATACTAATGGATTCATCTCTAGGTCCTGAGGCTCAGTTACACTGCTTTCAAGGTGTTGTCCCAGCGTCCCATGGGCATGCTCATAATTGATATTGTCAACTTAACCACCACTCAAAGTATATGCAAGGCGCCAGCGTCGAAGACTTCGAGACCTGTGAACGGCGCTTTGCTGAGTCTAATCAGGTCACTCTCAAGACTTGGTTTACGAGGTGTCCACTTATGATCCATTCTTGCAAGGTCGCATATGAGCAGGCTTGCATACAATTCTGACACACCAATACCAGCAGCAAATTCACTTGGAAGCATGCGGCGACCGCACACCGGCTTCATACCAACGCAATGAAGAAGGTCAAGCGCAAGACTGAGGTTGTTGAGGATTTTGAGAACAAGCTTGAGGTTGAGCGCTGGTCGCACAACCATCCGGAACGCATCCATTATCAGTCTCAAATTACTCATCGCAATTTCTTCAAGGTGGCGGGAGAGGTTGAGAAGCTTGTTGTGATGTGTCTCTTGGAGTTGACAAAGCTCCAAATGAGTGGCTTAGGTATGTGTTGCTACTAAATTACCTGCATGGATGTGCTGATGTTACTCTAGGATACAAGATGCGCACACAAATTACCAAGGCGCTCAAGAGCCGCGCCGTTGCCGTGCACCATGCACTCGAGCAGTACAACAAGCTGGCGGACAAGATGCAGCCTCTGCGTTCCCACCTCTCATGGGACAACATTGTTGACTCATCGTTTCTAGCTGAGTTCTCCCTGCTTTGTGAAACAAATCCCAACATTTTGTCCAAGCGCTGGGCTGATCCAGCCCGCCGTGTGCTGGCGGTGCAGCATTTTGAGATGTGCCGCGCCAAGGAGGAGATTGTGCGGTGTAACATAGAAATTCTGCACTTACTCACCAAAATCCACGATGACCAGGTTGATATGCTACAAGCCATCAAGACCGTCAAGGCTACCAATCCAGCGCTGGCAGCAGAGATGGAAAAGTGGTGGCGCTACCTCCGCCGCGTAAACCTTCGGCATCTCCAATGCCTGTCAGCTCTCATGAAGGTGCCCGAGTACTTGGGGCCACACTCTCCGGGGCAACGGGTGGGCAAGAAGACAGCACAGTTGGGCGGCAAGGAGGCTGGAGCACGAGGTGAGGATGTCAGAGTGGTAGACAAGGGTGCACAGGGAGGAGATGATAGCACACAAGGAGGGGATGAGGGGACACAGGGAGGTGGCGAAGGCACACAGAGAGGAGATGAAAACAACCAGGAGGACGAGCTTGTTGGAAATGTACAGAGTCATGACCAGACAGAGGCTGAGGATGGCAATGTCAAGGACTCATACAATGTATTTTCAGTGTTAGAAGACTTTGATAGTCATGCAGAAGTAGTGTACAATATGTAGAACTTGTGTAGCTTTTGAATTCACATGTTTAGATTTGATTCTATAGATTGCTTCATTCTGCACAATATTAAACTGAGTGACTTTGTATCTAAAACCAAGAATCAACGGCAGCGAGGGTTGTCAAAATGACAAACCTCAGATGCTCTATGTCTTACTTCATGTACCGTACATAAATTTATCTAATTTGCTACCTATGTTGTGGTTGGTATGAGTGTTGGCCAGCCACAGGTTTGAGCCAATTTGTTCAAACAGATGGACAAGTGCACGCATGTTTGGCATGCGTTCAACACGAGGCACAAGATACAAATGTGTGCATGCACATGCATTCTTGTTCACCACCCAACCCACCCATGGCACCCTGGGCAACGTCTCCCTTATTTCAACATCCAACCATTGATGACCTCAGCAGCTTTCTTTCGTCACTGAGTGACAGTGTTCCCGCCAACCTTCAACAAACTGACCTTTGGCAAGAGAGATGGGCCGCTGGCCTTATCTATATGCTGGCTTATGGATTCTGGAAGTGACCATGACACCTGTTCAACCAGCTTTGACTCGTGTTGGAGCATGACACTGCAATATTGAAGGTGCTTGCCTCATTCTACCTCGTTGACTGCTTCTGCCAGGCTGAAGGTTTTCACAAAGCTCATCATGCATCATGTGTGAGGTTTACCTCACCAAGCTTCTATCTAAAACAATTCAAGTTTGGGGCTCAACAAACGCTGAGGTTGTTGTCCTACCAGCCAGACAAATTGAGTGCTTCAGCTACAATTCCAGTTCTAGTGAGTGCTTTTGTTTCACTTGATGCTTTGTTTAAGCTTAACCTTGTGTTTCTACTCTCCAAGCTTCAATAATGAAGCAGCAAGGGCCTTGCTTTATCTTGCAAGTTTGTTGTTGCTTGACTGTGCTATTGCCCGGAGAGAGGTGAATAGAGGTGGAAGTTTAAAGGAGGGACTTTGACCCTCCTCTCTCTCCTTCTCGCCCCACATTTGCTCCTGCCAATACACTCTCTCACCATGCCCCTGATATTGGTGTCAAACTCATGTCCATCCCCATACCTCCCCTCTCCTTTCTTGAAGACCTTGCGGAACATCTTCGCAAGCACTACACTAGCAGCGGCTCGACAACTTGGCAGAACCTTGCTGGTATCATCAAAGGTGTTCACCTACCACTCTCCGCACTCCTTTTCTGGACCTCCACACTTGTAGCAATTAGGATTCAAATGGACTGGCGCCTTGCATACAAATTCTTTTAGAATCACATTGTCAACTTGCCCTCACCTCTGCCCCCTTACCTCTTGCACATTCCTCACGGTGTCCAATGCTTTTTTGACACTGTGGGCTGGAACGTCCTGGTCCTCCCTCAGCACAATGTCAGAAGCACCACCCTCATCCCTCTGGTTTCACAGTCACCACTCATGGAAAACCTCCTTGATGGGGCATGCCAGGTGTTGTCTGACTGGCAGCGCCTCGAAGGTATTCACAACTACATCTGTATTGAAACCCTCAATGTCCAGTTCTCATTTCTCATGGTTGACTGGTCTTGCTTTAACAGTGATGATCCAGGCTAGCTCATGTACTTGCAGTGTCTTGGCAATGACATCCATGGGTGTGACCTCAACTTCCAGCTCATCTTTCCCTTGCATGTCAACAACAATCATTTTGCCGCTGTCATGCTCAACTTCCGTGAACACTGCATTTGGTACGGAGATTCTGCCAACAATGCACTCAGCCCCAGCGACACTGATGGCATCCACAAGTTTGGGCGCGCCCTCAGTGTTAGCTTCCATCCACACACCTGCACACTCCCTCATTCTTGCCAGCCTGATGAGTACTTATGTCCAGACTGCACATCAACACAATTAAGTGCCACATTTAGCCCCAAACAAAGCCTTGGTCACCTGAGTCCACAGTTGCAGAGCAACTCGAGCTTGTGCTTCTCCTCGCCACACACAACGGCTGGTATGGCTTGGTAAGTCACATCACTTTGCTATTTCTGCTTTTTCTCATGTGGTTACAGACACTGCTTGGTCTCAGCAATGATATCATCACATCATCTCATGATGGTTGACACCTTGGTAACAAGGAGCCTACTCCTTTGGATACAGTCCCTCCTTCTCCCATCCTTACCCACTGTCCATCAAAACTTGTACATGTGGCCCACACTTGGCCTCAGAGCCACATTTCCCTCGCTCCCGCACCTCCTGATGCACTGCTAATCCACTTGTTGGACATCCTCAAGGCCAGGCTTGCTGTGGATCACCCTTGTGCCAAGCAGACCTGGCTTAGCAGCTTTTTCTTGCCAATCTCGTGCAATGAAGCTGAAAGGCAGCACCTAGCAACAAAGGAGGAGCAGCAAGGAGCACAGCAAGATCATGTGAGGCACTTGAGGCACTTGCAAAAGTGGAGCAAAAATGTGAACAGGACCGAGAGTGGAAACACCATCAGCAAGAGCGTGAGCATAAGAGCGAGGTGGGTCAACATTTCTATTCAATAGACATAACTAATTATGATACACAGCTGAACACAGCGTACACCAACAACAATGACTTAGACTTGGACTTGGACTTGGACTCTGAGCCCGACAATGCTGATGCACCTCCTTACAATTCTGTCAGCTTGTCAACCTCAGCCATCACCAAACTTTCATGTCCATATTGCCAGTTCAACAAGGATGTCTGGACCCGCTCTCAACAGACCATTGGGCGCAAACGTACCCACAATTACTCAGTTGCCAAGCTTACCAATTGGACAAACCTGCTCTTTTTTGCCCAGATAGATGCAGCTGCACGCCAGCCGGCCCTGACATGTTGCCAACTGATATTGTCCGCATCCTTCAGCACCGCAACCCCGCTCATTTTGCCACTGTCACCATCTAGGTCATTGGCTGTTACATTGAGCGTCAAGATGGTCATGCATGCTGAAAAGCATGGATTGAGCAGCAAATGGAGGAAGAGGGGGCAAAGCCAGGTGGACAGTGCATTCAATACGGGCTCTTGGTAAGTCTTATCCACATGAATTTGTTGCTTGTTTTGATGATGGTCCAAGGAACGGTATCCCAACATCATTGCCACAATTGTGGACCAGCTGACCAGGTTTCAACAGACTGGGATCCCTGTCACCATCAAGCTCATACATGTCATCATGCTTGGCAACATCAGGTACAAAGCCCCTGAGCTGTTTGAGTTGACAGCCCATGATGGCAGCTGCTTCAGATGTTCCGACTCCCCCGTCATCAAGTTCCTGTTTCCACACCTTCACTGGGTCACCCACATGGCAACCAAGGCCACCCAGAAGACACTTGTTGACACCCCACAGCAACTTTAACAACTGTTCTTCTATTTCATCCTCACTATTTGCGATTTCAACATCTGTGATACTGCCCTCATGGCCAACTTCGACCAGACACAAATCATTATTACTCACAACAGCACTCATACGTATGATGTCCAGGGTACAAAGCAAGTTTCTGTCACCAACAAGGAGGAGAAATGGATGTGGATGGCTGTTGTTGCTGTAGCTGCAAGTGGTGAGATGCTCTCCTTGCAAATCATTATGAAAGGCTCCACCAATTGATCCTTACCCTCTGCTTCCACCGTGTGCATGGACATGGCCCAGTTCATCAGTTTTGTCTTTAGCCTCAATCCCGATACCTATTGGTTGTTGACTCTGCCTATGGCCACCTACTTCAAGCAAATCCTGGTCCCCTACTTCACGCATAAAAAACTCCATCTCCACCCTCCTGCTGATCACAACTGTATTCTCCTGCTTGACTGTTGGCCAGTTCACAGGAGTGCAGAGCTGGGGGAAATAATTGCTCACCAGTGGCAGTGGATTCAGCTTTGCTATGTCCCTGGTGGCATGACAGGACTTGCACAGCCATGTGACATCAGCATTCAGCCCCTGTCAAAAAATGCCTACTGGCAATATATGTGAAGTAGCCTAGCCTTATATACAAACCATTGACTTATATGGAGAGCCTGTTGATACCAAAGCAAGCATGGCAAAGAGAAATGTGTTATACCAGACTATACTGTACAATATATACACAATATTGTAATGTACAATGCATGTAATGCATGCATGGATTTATACAAATGAGGCCATTGCAAGGCCGGGTCAACATACAACAGAGCACGCATGCAAAGCATGCATCTTGCATGCATGCGCTTGCACCAAAAATCAATGCACATGATTGTATCACATCCCCAACATGCCTTGCATAGTACTGCTATCCCCTATTCTTATTGCTGCACTGAACTGGCATGCATTCCCTTACCATGCCTAACTGTAAGAAAGACGCCTAGGAGGACCATATGTGCAGCTGTTTCACTTACTGCAGAGGTACAAGCAAACCTGTCAGAATATCAACATGAAATTGGCATATGAGAGATGCACCACCCAAAGAGCAACCTTGGATCTGGGTGTCACATCTATTACAAGAGTTCCAGTACTCTCTTACCCCAAGCAATATTCATGCGCTCATTGCAAAACAAAAAACTGAAGCTCTCTCACAGAAACGAGCAAGAACTACTGTACCTGTAAGTACAATGGACTAATAAGATGGTTTTTAACCTTTGACCTACAGTCAAAAACAAATCACACGACTAGATCTCAGCCCAGACCCCAGGAGACACCTAATAATGCTTTGGGATCTGGTACACACTCACAACAATCCTCTAGGCTCTCTCTTGCAGCAGGACAAGCTGCAACCACCCTCTTGAGATTGCTCACCTGCATGAGCATCTGACTCTCAGGATGCTCATCACCTCTCTGGATCTTAGGCTACACCTTCAGGCAACCCTATTGGCTTTCTAAATCTTGAGGAACTCAGGCAACAAGCTCAGCTAGATGACCTCAAATGGGATATGGACTTTATCCTTGTGCTCAGGAACGCATCTCTTGACGATGGCACTAGTCTCAAAGGCAATGCCTTGCACCAGCTGTGCCACCCTCTTTGGGAGGCTCCTCCTCTTGACAATCCTGCCATTTGTTTTGTTATCCACATGTACAACATCCTCAGCAAGGCATCAGGCCAGTCATACAACAACATCCGGGACACCTTTTACTCCTGTTTCCCTCAGCATCAAATACCATTGCTTTATGACATCAAAAAAAACTGTTCATGAGTATTCTGGAATAGAGGAGATAAAGATCAATATGTGCATCAACTCCTGTGTTGCATTTGATTGCCCTTATGCCAATCTGGAGGTCTGCCCCAATCCCAAGTACAAGAAATTGTAATGGGATCCCATCAAGCTGGCTAAGTCAAATGGAAAGGTAAAGCTATTGCAACAATGTATGCTACCAGGCCACAAATACAAGCTTGGTGGTGGAACTGTACCAGCGCTCTAGAGATGCAATATTGTCTACAGCAAACATACAAGGTCTTTGATGAGCTCGAGGAGAATGGTGGCACAAGGATGTAATTACTGGTGCATATAGTATTTGTCTCTCTGAACAGACTTATGACCGCATATATTTACAGGTCCTGCATATCTCAACACCTTTTGCAATGGTAAAATTGGGCCAAACAACACAGTCCTTATAATTGGGATGGATGGCACTCAGCTTGTTGTAAAGAAGGACCCAGACATTTGGATTTACATATGGATCACTGTCAACATTTCTCCCGAACACCAGTACAAGAAGAAATATGTTCTACCTGGTGGTGTCACCCCAGGCCCCAAAAAACCCAAGTATCTTCCATCTTTTTTATTTAGAGGTCCCCATCACATTTCCATGCTACAAAAAGAGGGTCTGGCAATCTAGGACAGCTTGGAGGACCAGGACTTTTTATCTAAGCTCTTTCTGATAATCATGGGTGCTGATGGTCCTGGTCTAGTGGCTTTCAGCAACCTGGTTGGTCACAATGGTCTTGTTGGCTGTCACATGCATTGCCCTCTCAAAGGACAACATGATGCTGATGCACCCACATATTATCCTGCGCTCCTCGCGCCGACAGCATATCCTTACAACAATCTTGGTGACATCAACATCTATTCACTCAAAAGTGGCTCCTCAGCAAACTACATTACAGAACTGAAACATCTTATGTGGGCTAGAAACTTAACTGACCATCAAAGACTGCAAAAGGATACAGGTATCATGGGCCCCAGCATCTTGCTAGGGCTACAGCCCAGCGGAATACTCAGCATCCCTGAGTGTTTCACCTTAGATATTATGCACTATAGTGCACTCAACATGACAGAACTCTGGCTTGCTCTGTGCCAACCCAAAGAGGCAAAATTCAGCTACTATTGACAGCATCACTAGCTGGGACTGGGCTGTTCTCAAGGATCCCACTACTTGGGAAGAGTACAGGCTTTGAGTGGAAGCTGCTCAGAAGCATTTTCCACCATTTTTTGATGCTGTCCCAGGCAACCCTGTTTGATTTATTAACTCTGGGTACAAGGCGATTAAATGTCTTGGTCTGATATATCTCCTACCCTTGGCTTTGCTTTATCATGTCCTCCCTGAGAAATACTGGAGGAATTTCTGTTTTTTTGTGTGTGCGGAATTTGACTTATCAGCCAGTATGGCATCACTCCAGAACAGGTTGCCAAGTGTCACCAAATCTTTGCTAAATAGGAACTGAAGTACAAGACACTCTACTGCCAGCTCCAAATGGATTGCATACACCTCTCAAATCATCTTGCTTCAGAAGCTGCTTGCATCAGATCCCCCATCATAGCATCTCAGTGGCCGATGGAGTATACCATTGGCAACCTCAAGGAGGAGCTTCGCCAGCCATTCCACCTTTATTTGAACCTTGCCACTTGTGCCCTTTGCAGATGTTGGATAAACACCCTCAAGGCAATTTATCCCGAGCTTGACCTGTCCTTACATAAGGACCCGTGCTGCTCCATTGATCTTGGCAACAGATTTGTTCTACTATCAAAGAGAGAGACTACCAAGGCACAGAAGTTGCTTCAGCACAAAGTTGATCTCATTCAACAGCTACTTTGTTTTGCACAACTGAAGATTCTAGCTGGACAAGCTGTTTGTTCTCAGTGGCGAGAAACACTAAGGGAAGGATGTATATCTTGGAATGTTAAGGTATATTTTATCTCATGTCTTCAAATGCACAACTCACTATGGTACAGCTCATATACAATGGACAGGAACACTTCACCAAAGTGTTCTATTTTTTCCAACTGTCTGCTTGCCCAGGATCCAACAACTCCTTTGCTATGGTACTCCTTTACTTGCTGCCCAATCCCCAGCTCAAGAAAATGTCATCCAACACTTTCTTGGCTTGTACACTGCCTCAAGATGATGTTGTATGTGCTGTGGATGTGAAAACCATCTGTGCAGTCATTAGTATGGTACCTCACTCCCCCAGTTTACCTTCAGGCAAAACAGGTCCAAGGTTTCATGTTATTGAAAAGATTGGGCTCAACACAATGAGGGTTTCAGGTGATGAAGAGCTTGAGCATGAGGAAGAAACGGGCAATGCAGAAGAGACATAGTTACTCATTCACACTGTATTTGAGATGTGCCCAGTACGAGGAGCCCTCTGATGAATAAAAATCTTATTTTTACTTCATGTATGCACAAGCAAACCACTTCTGAATCCATTCAAGCACATCTGGTATCATTCTACATGGGGTACACTACTTGTTGCTGCACCTAGTGTGTTTGGCATGCAACCATATAGCTTGGCTTCTCACAAAAGCCTCCCATCTCTTGTCTAACTCCTCTTGGGCCAATGAACATCCCTTGTTGTTGCTCGCAGGGTCCTCGGTTTTACTTTCCTGTCAAAGGTTCATCAGGAGATGATGCCAAAGTAGAATAATATGTACCCCATGTGATTGGACAATCTCTGTCGAAGTGGGCCAGAATATCTGCTTGGGACAAGCTAGCAGTTGCTTTGGCGGTTTTGCAGGCTGGCTGCTCAATCAAATAGGCCCAGGGTAAATACAAACTAGAAGGGAACTTACCTGTGCCCTTGTGACTGGCTGATCTTTGCCGTTGTCATCCTTGAACTCCAGGGGAGGGTACTCAGGAACCTTGCGCTGATGGTAAATTGGTGAGATGAAGCTGGAGGGTGTGACATCTTGTATGTACCAGCAACATGCGGCATAGCATCGGTCCTTTTGATGAAGGTGTTGTTAACAGGCATGGGGGACATCTTGTCCTATCTTATCTTAGTGTTGTGTAGATTAGGCGATGCATGTATTTAATTTGGCCTTGGAGCGGAGTTTAAACCTTATCTACATAGATAACCTAGTTATGCCTGCTCAATCATTTGTTATTCATAGTTTCCCGATTTCACTTGATGTTGGGATTGAAGCGTGGGAACACTGACTTAAAGGAATCCTCAATTTCTCTAAGTCTCGTTCCCTGTGTCTTTGTCTCTTTTTTCTTCTTCTTCTCCCACCTCCCCTATTTTTCTCCTCTCCATTTCTCCTCTCAAAATGGCCCTTTCTTGTCGGAAAAACCCCAAGTCCATCTCAATCACATGGCATTCTAACATGCTTCACCACGCGCATTGCAATGCATTGAGACACAGCTTTGGTGAAACAGTAGATCAACATGGACCTAGCGGGGTTTCAATATACCTGGGGCTGCTCCCAATACTTCAAAATAGCCCCTGTCTGAGTTGAGGGAGCCATTGGAATGTGATTGCAATGTACAATTTCCCTGGGGCCACATCAATAAGCTGTACAAGTGTTCACACCGCACTGAGAGTTTGACTCAACACCCTGCGCTTACACTCACCGCTTTAACATGCTGGCGGACCACAGCAAGGTGGTACAGTGCACTGTCTGCTTTGAGCACATCAAGGAGAAGGGGGTTGGGTGACATATAAAGTTGTGTGCCAAGCAGAGGTGGCGTGATGAGGAGGATTGTATCTACATGGAATCCCTGAGTAATAGTGAGCAGTCCTTTGATTCATCACTCCATATGCTGCAGAGTTACATGTCAATCTACCAGGAGAAGTTGCAGCAGCAGCAGCAGCATCTTTGGTGGCAGCAGCAAATTATGCCAGTGCAGCAGACCTTGTGGGACCATCATACGTAAAAGTCTCTCTGCCAGACTCTGCCCCCTGTCCTCCCACAAACCATCAGTTTGTACACCCAGGTGCATGGTGAAATCTTTGATCAACCTACTGTTATCAAACCTGTCATTGCAGCACAGCTGCAGCTCCACTGGTCATACAGGGGGACACCTGGAATCACAACGAAAGTGCCAGTGCCATGGGTGATACTCACCACACACTAAATTTGTGTAAGTCTACTATTTGCTTTCACAAATGACACTTCTCAGAGCTGATTGCCTCCCAAGCTCCCCTTTTGTTGCAAAGCATGCATAACAATGATGATATATGCATCAAGTGCCATCCACATGCTGAGAAATTGCCAGATTTGACACCTTTCTTGCAGTTCTCGTGAGATCACTTTTCAAAGCCCTGCTTGGACAATGAGAACCTCAAACCCTAGTACCCTTTCTGCTCAAGGCTAGACTTTGAGGTTGCCGAGCTGGCATTAGATGCGCTGATGACTAAAAAGCAAACTTCTTGGCTCATTAAGCTTATTCGGTGTGTTGCAGACGGCAGCGAGGACTTCTGCCTCAGAGATTATAAGGATTTGCGTCAGACTTGGGATGCTGTTGGCAAGCAAATCACACTGGTATGTATTTCTCCAAAAAGTGTTCATATCTCTTCGCTAAATAGTGTATACTAGTTCCAGTGCAAAACAATATCCATACAGTACGCAAAGGAGCCTGAATCCCGCCAATTTGATTTCTGGCACCGTCCTCTCTGGGACTGGGTGACAGACCTATTGAAGGATCCTCACACTGGACCTCACTTTCATTTTGACGCTCAGCGTCTGTCAAAGTTTGATGGTGAGTCATTTGTACGTTTCATTGATGAGCCATGGTCAGCAAACAACTTCTGGAACTTCCAGGTGCGTCCACAGTATATCTTAAGCTTACCAACACTGTTTTACACTAGTGTATACAACATCAGTTGACAGCTCTTATTAGAGACGTGATGGACATGTCATGGTGTTTCTAGTTAGAGGTCTTTAAGAGGCCAAAGACAATGCAAATTGGACCTAACTGGACCTGGTGATATACACATTTTTGGATTGGCAAGCTCATCAATAACACACATGCATTTCCTGTCAGTCAGATTTTAGTGCGTGCACTGATTAATTTGATTTCGATTCCTCCTTTCAGACTCACTCAGTGATTATGCAGAATAAAGCACATGATTGTCAATCATGCCAATAATCCACAGCCCAAGCAACAGGCTGTCAACTTTGGAGGCCAAGGGATATGTTAAAGTAAGTTCCCTCTGTTGTTTCTACCTCATACATAGCAGCACGTTTATGACAATGACTTCGTACCGGAAGTTCCGTACAGGACTCGTGATAAAACCAAATTGAGGCTCAACGCCAAGCATAAAAGAGGTACATTGATGTTGACAAAGTCCTCATCCTCTCCTTTGTCTTGTATCTGTTTGACACTGTCTAGCATTCATGTCTTTGCTCAGTGACCACCCTGCCCAACCCACAAACGGTTCTGGTGGTGCTCCTGCCGCATCCTCAACTATTTCTATGCATGACTGTGGTGCACGCATTGCAATGTTGAGGCCAACAAGGTGAGCAATGAATATTTTACGCTGAAGGATCATACTTACTAATGTTACATGTTTGATCCAGCTGAAGCAGCTGCAGCTGCAGCTCAACACCTTGCAGGCATAGAACTGCCAGCTTCAAGAGAAGAACATGGTCCTTGAGAGGAATAAACCTTGTTGGGCTTGTAAGACTGGCCTTCCACCTGCCCTTGCCTCTTTTGCTCGCAATATCAACATTGTCACCAAGAAGTTCGGGACAAACTACCAGATGTTCTGCCCCACCTTTTTGGTTTTCTCTCACCCTATGCTTTTTGACGCTCCAGCGCTTGATGGCAACCACTTTCAGACTCAAGAATCCCAGGCCGCAGCCACTGTCTGGGAGTTTGATGACATCCTCATGACAAACCTTCGCAAGTACCGCTCCATGCACACTTTTGTTGATGAGGTATGTCCACTTTGCCTCTTTTCAATCTGTTGTTTTTACCACCTTCCCACCCAACAATAGGTCGAGCACTGCATTGACCACAGGCACATGCAAGAGATTAACAAGCTTCACAAGACCTTTTGGAGTGTTATCGAACTCCAACAGGACTGCAAAAACTGGTTTGCTGCATCGTACAGGGATTGTTCTTACATCAAACCCTTGTGTGACCTCCTCGGTGTCCCTGTCAGCCCGCCTGAGAAAACCTACCAATCTCTCCCCCCTGTCTTTCTCAAGAACCACATTGTCAACGTACATTGTCCATTTTCAAACTGGATTGTCATTGCCTGTGTGAGTATTTCTCTAAGATGTTGTAGTAATTGCTTGATATTGAATCACTTATATGTGCTATTTTTCAGGCATGCAAGGTCATCATGTGGGGTAAAAAGTCCATTAATCACCCTGGACTCCCAAGTGGTGGCCCCATTTGTAATGCGTGGTTGTGGGGCTCCACCATAGTCCTACCTGGCCTGTGGGCCTTTGCCGCTACTTGTGTGAGCAATGACACCCTCTGCTTACCTTGAATTTGCTGAAATGACTGAAAAAGATTATATTCTTGCTCTCTCCCGACGTTGAGTTCTCCAAAGGAGGCAAGGGGAATTGCTCGGGTATCAAGTATTCTGAGTACTTCACCAAGTATAGCCATCTGCTTATCACCAAGTGGGATTCCCCTCCCATTACCACCCTTCGTGTGAAGATCAACGCCTTTGTATTTGGATCTGCCACCGCCAAAAATGAGCAATCTGATTCTGTGATGCAGGAAGATCTTGCCAAAGACATCAATGCAGCAATGGCGGCAATGGATATGGATTCTGATGACAAGCCCACTACACTACAGCCTAGTGGTGCCATGGGTATGGATACAGATGAAAATACTACTCATTCTATTTCTGCCACTGCAGAGCTTGCCCTGTTGCCTACTCTTTCAGTCCCCGCACCCAAGCCCGCTGTCCCAGCTGCTGCCACTAAGTTGGCTTGTGGTCGGGGTGTAGCTAACAGTCAGACCGCTGCTAATGCAGTTCCAGCTGTAGAGATGGCTGGGCCTGCCACCAAAAACCACCGCAGGAATGCGGCAGCTTAGTTATGCATAGAAATACTTAGATATGCACCAATATGGTATCTGCATATGTCAAACAAGCAACACATTACATTTGTCTGGCATCCGAGAAGAGTACAATATATTTACATGAGTATAAATACTTACACATGGTATTGTGGTGTAATGGTAAGACTAATTTGTGTAAGCTCAGTATTCAAGGTTGTAAGTTCAAATTTACCTAATGTCAAAGAATTGAGTACTTCCGTGAAAAAGCCCCATGAAAATGCGGCTGCAATACCTTTTTGGGTTTGGGTTACTCTTACCTTGGCGGTCATAGCAACAATTGCCACGTCATCCACAACTCTTTGCAATGATGATGCTCATGTTTGTTGCAATGGGCCATTGTGTAATTATGATGTGTTCACACAGGTGTTGAAATGTTGCTTGAAGTGGTTATTATCTTGCACATTGCAATCGTGATTGTAATGCTCATTGCAATGCTAATTGTAATGGGGTCTTTATTGTTTCAATGAGTATTGTAACCAAGCCTTTTCCTCACAGCATTTCAATGCATTGCCACCAATCAAAATCATTCTAGAGAATTTCCAACACTCCGCCCGATGACGCAAATTCCTTGCCTGGATCAATGTCAATCGGCCTTCCCAAATATAGTACCAGATCAGATATTGGCAACAATGGCTATAGCAAATTCTCCTCCACATCAAACTCTCTGGGCACCTTCTCAGCCCCAAACTCTGCAGGGAACTTCTCGGGTGCTCCTCAGGTAGGCACCCAATTGTTTTTGACACTATTGTTTTCCAACAATGGTAGTAACCACAAGGTATATTATTTGTTGACTATATGTGTCACTGACATCTATTTTCTAGGACTATATTCTCATGGGATTGTACAAGCAGCTGCAGCAGGCTCGTGCTACGATCATGAGTCAGCAGATGCAGATCACAACTCTTCTATCAAGCCAAAACACCTATTGGTAAGTCATATTCTCTTTTGATCATTCTATTTACATTTTTGTAGACAAGCATTCTCTTTCCTTGTGCAAAATGTTGGTGTCAAGGACACCAGCCCCACCAATCTCATCGTGCTTTTGAAGGGCAGCTGTTGTCTCCTCCGGCAGGATCACCCCGACAACAAGTTCTGCACCAAGGGCAAGTACCTCAAGTGGATCAAGACCTCTGATGTTGTCAATGCCGTGATCAAGAAGACCAAGCTCCCCTTCTTCAAGAACAAGGATGGTAATTGTTACAATAAGGTTGCCATTGCAAAGGTTGTTGAGATGGCATGGTTGGTCTGGCAAGGTCTCCTTGATGAGAACAAGGGCCCCAAATCATGAGGCAAGGCATCTGACCACACAATCAACTGACACATCAAGGAGGTTGGCAACAAGCACCCGGATGCTCTTCTCTCTGAGGGCAACTGGAAGATTTGTGAGCTGGGAAACCTGCAATACGGGTTTTGGAGGCAAAGCCAAGACATTGAGTTCAAGGCTATGTATGCGCGCATTGAGCTTGAGGCTGGGAAAGCACAGGTGAATGTGAGAAAGATCAAAGAGGAGCCCAACTTGGCGAGTAGCAAGTGCAAGAAGGACGCCAACAAAGGTAACAACAACAAAATCCAGGTGATCAGCATGATGCACCCCATGAAGAAATGCAGGACCTCAAAGAAGAACAAGGGTAAGCAGGAGACGTCTGAAGAATCCAGTGAGGAGTAGGGGAGCAACAATAAACTGGACATATTATCTCCAGCACCCAAGGTGTGTTTGTGCTTTCTTTGTCATTTGTTCCCTCTAATATTCCTCATAGTTTTGTTGCTCACTGCCAGCTCAAGCTAACTCCATGTAAGTTTCATTTCATTCATTAGTTACATTTGCCATACTAAATACTATGGTGCTCTAGTCAAACCATGGCCCGAGACTTGCCCACCCTGCGCAACCCGCTGTACATGCCTCATTCCTGCTTATATACTCACTGACACATATCTTTAGTGTGGTGGTGTCTGAGGCAATTGTGGGTGATGCAAGGGTGGCCACTCCTCCGCCTGAGTGCCCTCCTCCCTCTGCCGTGGAGGAACACCCACAGTGGCACCTACACCCAATCCCATGCAGGCTCCTGCTCATATTGCACCCAATGTGGCCCTACTTACAAAGGCTCCAACACCGATGCCTGCCCCCGACACACCAGCTGAAATGAACACAAAAACAAAGCCAAAGCCAAAGATGTGCTCCACCCCATCGTGCATGGGATGGTGTGTCTGTTTCTCCATCTTCCTTTATAAATCTAACATTTTTCACTCAGTGTCCTTGCTCAGCATTGTTATATTGCAAAAAAAAAAAAAAAAAAAAACCGGTGCCATCAAGCTCACCATCTTCAATGGGTGGTACAAAATGCTTGGCAGCACCATACAAAAGGTATATTTCTTGTGTATTACCTTACAACTTCTCACTACTATTTTGCTAGAAATATGATGATGAAACAAAGGCTTTGGTGCGTACTATATTCCTTCTCTTGCTCTCATACTCATTGCATCGTTTTTGCAGGTCAATGACAGCACATGGAAGGGACATACAAAGGTCTACACCAACAGGATAAAGGAAGAGGAGCTATACAAGCATGCTGGGAGATGGGACATTGCAGTGTTGCTTGTGTGCAGTATGAGGGTGGGGGGTGGTGGGAAGGATAGTGTATATGTCTTGATACCGAGCTGTACTGTGGCATATGGCAATGCAATTAGTTTTCCTTGCTATAGCAGAGTATAAGTGAATTGGAATGTGCTGAAAAATCAAAATCAAATAGCAGTATATTGTGTTATATGCTAGTATACAGGCCTGAGTGTAATATATGTCAATGCTACAGACTATATGGTCATACAAAATGCTTATACCCAGCGCTCACTCTGTTAGGCAGGTAAACTCACTTATACCGGTATACCCGGATACAGCAAAATATAACTTTATTGATCTAATTCTGATAGGGATTCAGCGTCCATTCAAACTCTCAATCTGGTGTTCTTAGCTTGATGATATGGTCAACAAGACAATGGGTCATCTCAACAACAACATGTCTGCGTTTTGTCTCAATATGGGGGGTGGGTGAAGCCCACTCCCATATGTTACATTATGTAAACATTCCCATCACCAAAGATTCAAACTCCAATGTAACCACCCCATCGAGACACAACTTGGGCTGAGAATCACGGCACAAGAGCACTCTACTATTTTGTTTCTTGTTCAAGGCTTGACTTTTCCTTTGTAAAAGTGCAGTAAAGGTGGGGTGAAAGTATATCTAGGATATATACCTTGCTATATAGATATACCAGATGGAATAAACTCTCTTCCAGGTGGTACAATATTAATCAGCCCCTGCATCCTTGCCACCTGAAAATGTTACCCCAGCTTCAACAATAATACTGAGCTCAGCTATTACCACTTTGAACTTGTCATCCTTGAGCTTGAGGTCCTTTTTCATGGTCAGGCCCTTCACCAACCACCGGTGCAAATCCAGTTGATCATCAAGCTCCTTGCTGGTGAGTGTTCTAATCTTGGCCTCATCCAGAATTAGCTCCACACTGTCCAGACATTTCTGACGGTTTGCAGTAGCATTTGCTGTCTTGGCTTGTTTCTGGCACTGTTCAAATACTGTCTTGGCCTTGTAGTAAGCAAGTTCTTTCCTATGTTTCTTCTTGGTTCAAAGGGCATCATGTTTGCATGCCTTCTTTCAAATGAAGGTAAGTTGCTTTGCTGTCATCCTCTTCATGAACAAGTGCGTATGGTTGCACTTGTACATCATCTTTGCATTAAATTGATGCTGTGTTGTTGAAGGTTTGAGCTTTTGATGTACCCAAAAAGTCCCCAACATGCCCTCATTCATGTCATTGGTTGAGGGCATCCAGCCATTCACTCGCTCAATGTCTGACAGTGCTGCGATAGCTCCATCTTCCAAAATTCCTGATGAGAAGTGTTCCCACCCATTCAGCGCTCCCTTGAGAAAGGCCACCAGTACACCCAATAGATGAGGAAGGTCACCATCAGTTGCCTGGATGTGCATGAGAGTTCTCCCATTTGCAACCATCGAGAGTTGTCTCAATGACATGTCCAGGCTTAACCAGTAGGTACGGGTTTTCTATCAGTTTCTTGATGTGGCTGACAACATGCACATGAAATGGGCCAAGATCAAGGATGTTTACCTTGCCAGCACCACAAACTTTGCGCATGTAAGGCCCTGAGATTATGATCCCATACAGAGTGAGAACAGCAAATTCTGTGATTGTCGGGATGTCATGGAGGGAGGCATGTAGATTTTTGTCTATGTGCAAGAATTGAGGCTTCTGTTTGTTGTCTTGCACTTGCTTGAGAAGGCTGATATACTGTTCTTGGTAGGTGACTAACCATGCAGCAGCCCTGCAGTGGCTGCCATATTGTGTGTTACTTGTGTCGGGGAAGGTGGTCAACTCTCCTGGACCAACAACTGTTTCCATGTAGTATTGGTGCGTGTCTTGAAGCCCCTTTTTATTGTCTTTATGGTTGAATATGGCTCCCGCCAGATTTGTCATCTTTATGCCCCCACAAGTAGTTACATTGATGGCTCAAAGCTGCGCATCAGTGAGTTCTTCAGGATCTGTGCCCTCAAGATCTTGTAGAACTGCTGCATTGTCCCTGTTCGGCAGTGAAATTGGTCCCTTTTCTCTATGAGCATCCCAGTAAGCCATCATCTCCGTGTTCCCAGCCTTGACACAGTTTAAATCCTTATGCATACAGCAGCCTGCACAAACAAGAAGCAGTTGTTCTTGCTTCTTCTCTGTAGAAAATTGAGGTCGCACGGGCTCGCGACAACGCACAGCGCATTTGTCCCGGACAAGAGGAGGGTGCCCGAAGGGCAATCATGTGAAGATTACAGCTAACTACGACAGGATTATATACGTAGATAAAACCTCGGAAACAGTAATATAAATCGCCACGTCATGATATAAGCAATATTGAACACTAATTCCAACATTCTCTTCCAGCAATGAGGGAAAGCATATCTTCCCCCAGTCTAATGCAACACTGTGGAGCATCTTTGCATTCTGCTGAACTTGTTCTGTTGGTGTTAACTTGGCCCATCTCCACCAACTTCATATTCTAGAGCTTCTCGGGTGTCTTGCCATGCAATTGAATAGGCAGTGTTATCAGACGGACAGCCACCAGCGTTCAGAAGTTCAAATCCAAGTCCCAGGCACGTGTTCTGCTCCTTCTAATTTTGAATTAATTTGAACATCGCTTTCTGATCAGCAGCATGATCCCCATACATTCCCATGAGCTTGTGTGTAAACTCTATTGCGCTGAAGGTTGGTTTATTCCCGTTTTTGTCCGTCACTTCCTCAAACTTGTTATAGAGAGCAGCAAGGGCATGAACCTTCTTCTTCCAGTCCTCTGCTTGTCTAGCACTTGAGTGGCCCAATGTCGACTCCACTCCAAGGAATCGGATCTGATGCTCAACGCTACCATCTGTGTGTTGAGTGGTGAGTGTGGCATGTTTTGAGCTGTAGTTGATATTGCAATGACCTGTGTTGTCAGTTATTGTGATTCCTGATGGTTTTGTTTTGTTTTAGTTATTGCACAAATGGCCTAGCAATGCACATGACGTACCTGTGGCTCCCTTCATCTCTTCGGAAATCTGCAGCTGCAATGCAATTCCTCCCTTGAGTAGGATGCGTGCTACGGAACGTTGGCTGAGTTTTTTGCTCAATCTTGATACCAACAGTGTTGTACAGCTTCTGTATGATCTTGCCAATTGTGTATTGTGCACAACCAGCCCAAAGCAAGGTCAATAATAACTGCACGAAGCACTGGAAAATAGGGAATGGATGACTGGGCTGAGTTCTTTGCCACCACACAGGTAACACCACGGCCTATCCTCCTTTTCTGACCTAAAACCTGTTGAAGCGTAGCCGCACAGCGGGCTACTTCTTTGTGATACAATTTTTTAGTATCCGCAAGCACCCTTGTTGCACAAAGCACCCTGATTTGATGCAGGCAAACCTTGTGCATGAGAGCTGCTACCCGCTTCTGTGCTTGATCCACCTCCTGCTGACCTTCTTGTAGACTTTTTCAGAGCTCATTGAGCATGGTAGCATGCAACGACCACTGATGTTGCAGTGTAGATGCTGACACTGCGTGCATAGAGGGAATAAGTGTGTCTTGCAGCAGCTTGAGGTGCATATTGAGCTTGGAATTTGTCGCCTGCATCCGCCTAACCACCTGCCTTGCACTTTGAAGCTGCTGATAGTACTTTGTCGCTACTTCTTTTGCCTGCTCCAGTCAATCCTCTACCTCCCTCAGGGCCCGATGCACCTCTTCTACCTCCTTCCTTGTGCCCTCAAGCTCTCTCCATGCATCTGCAACCCCAGTCTCCATAGCCTTGATGTCCTGCAGGGCTATTTGATACAAAACACTTGTTTGAGCAAGTGCTTCCTCCGAAGCCGTCCAAAGTTTCTCTGAGGTGTGTAGGCTTGTTTCAGACATCTTCAACTGATGGTCCAGGCTGACAATGGCCTTCTGAGCCAGCTTGAGCTCTTCCTTGCACAACACCAGCTCAAGAGCTGCTCTCTCAGTTGCCCGGGTATGTCTTGTCACTTCTTCCTCCTCATTTGCATTCTTATTATCTCCTATATTTATTGGCCAGAGCAGCATCCTATTCTCCTTGAATGCCTCTAGCTGGGCTCCTGACTTTGTCTGCTTCCATCATCCTATGGTAAGCCCAGTCTCTTGATATCTGAACCCTGTAGTGACTGATGGGTCCTGGTGCAATAATCATGGAAGAAACATGTTGATTTTTTTTAGACAGATTCAATTAACATGCACACTAGAATATACGTACAATTTTCTACGGCAATTGCACGCTTGTTGCACTCAAAAAACACGCTCAATAGATGGATATTGACACGTCTCCTGCAGTTGCAATGTGTTTGCACAGCCACCGGCACGCCTTCCACCGCCCTGGCGAGCTCAGCCAATTCAATGTTTGCATTGTAATCTGGTGCCGTGAAAAGTCTATATCCAGACTTCCTGCATCAAAATCATTAAATGTTCTAAGGATTTGTCCAAAATCGGACTGGATCTGTATATTCCCACATCAAAGTAGCTTATTCTAGTGATAACTCTAGTATGGTTCCATACCATGGGACGACATTAGTAGCCAAGGTAGATTAAGTACTACACTACACAATTGTATATTTTATTTGCCCACAGCTATCCATAGGAGAGACTAATTAGCTGAGTCAGTTGACCCAGCTGACGTGCTTGAGGAGGTTTCACGGTAGATATTCAAATCCAGTAATCAAGGAATATCTCCCGCACTTGTGCTGGGGGTGGGCAAAGCCCACCCCCACTCAATACACACATTAGAATGCACAGGAATTGGTCAGTCAGGTGGTTTGTTCAGGCTTGGCATGACATTAACAGGCCCAATTTGATCAGATGGGTACACCTCTTTTGTTTTGCTGTAATGGTACATGCCAACGTATGACATCATATTACAGTTGTTCTTGCACTGTGTTGTCCCTGACACTGAATTCAACCTGTCGTACAAATCCCTGACCTCACCTGCTGCTTGCCACGCTTTCTTGGAGCTTCCCACCACCAATCCAGAGATGTGGGCAATGGTTTTGGCTGATTTACAAGACAGCGGTGCAGGTACTGATGCAGGGGCCTCAGAGGAACCCCCATTCTACAACAGTGTTGTGGATGACACAGCAACGGAGCTGGTGGAGCTCATGGAGGCCATGCTTGCAACTCCAGACGCTTCCGCCGCTTCTGCCCTGTGTCCAGCTTGGTGCTGCTGAGCAGCTTGATCCTGATGGTGATGTTGAATTGGAAGCCCAGCTTGGTTGGGGCATGCGTAAGAGGGCAAAGACCTCGCATTTTGATGAATATGATGCTCCCTAGTTATTTTGCATACTCTGTCACATTGATATTCTATTTCTGCAAATTTGGTACTTGACACTGTTCATTGGGTTGAGAATGGTGTGACAAGCGCCCGCAAACTGTTCATCAGACTGGTCAGTGTGACATGTGACAAACACTCGGTCAAAATTGTACAGTATTGGCTTGACTTTGGCCTGGCTTGGTGGTACAGTCAATTCCCTCTAAAGGCATATGCCTCTAAAGGTATACACCCCCAAAAGGCATACCCCTAGTGGTTTTCCCGAGTTGGTTGGTGGGGAATTGAGTCCATAGAGGCATACCTACGCCTAAAGGCATGAGGCATAGGTCTTGACAGGATTGTAAAGGCATACCTCCGGCGTTTTGCCAGCCTTGTTCAGGGACAACAAAATGTAATTACGGTCTGAAGTATGCAAATGTAGGGCAAGTGAACACTGAAAACTGTATCAAAACCACCATGAGCTCACTGAAAACACTCAAGGAGAGCCTCAAGCTCCTCGAGAATCAGGTTGCAACACGCTGAGACAGCCTCCTGGCTCGTCTTCATGCTGGGCAGTCCCTCACTCCGGAAGAGGAGGCCTGGCTGGATCATGATGCCAACCTGGTTGACAAAACAACCCTCATTTGCACACTCAAGGAGGCTACAGACCTCAAAGGTTGCCTTGACTTGCTTGATATTGCTCAGAAGCAAGCATTGAACAGACTCCAAGAACTCACCGCAACTTGGCTGACCAGCAAGAAACGGAAGTGTGATGTTCCTGACACCACCAAAAAAGCGCCTGCACTCAAACCTACAAACACCACTACAAATGGAGCAACAGTCACCAAACCTAGGGCTAAGGAGTTGACGCTGGCCCAGCAAATAGAGGTCTTGAACTGGCTCTGCAGTGTCAGTTACAATCAGTCCAAAGCTGCTCAGCACTTCAACAAGATCTGGCCAGAACTTGAACTCAACTAGTCAAAGGTCAACAAGTGGGTCAGGAAGGAGCAGAAATACCAAGAGCAGTGGGCTTCTGGTAATGACCAGGAGCGACAGGCAAAGCGGCGGAGGTTGGTGGAGTATCCAGAGGTAGAGAAGATGATGTCGCTGTGGGTTTTGAAGGCTATGGGAGATGGGCTTCTTTTGACTGGGGAGGTGTTGAGGAAGAAATGGAGGGTTTTTGCGGCAAAGTTTGGGGTGCTGGAGGCTGACAGGCTGCCGCTGAGCGCAGGCTGGCTGACAAGGTTCAAGCAGACATTGAGGCTGAAGGCCATCAAGAGGCACAGGGAGGCGGCTTCAGCGGGCGGGGAGACTGTTAAGGAGGAGAGGAACCGGCTCCAGGAGCTCCTTGCAAACAGCGGATATCAGCTACGGGACATCTTCAATATGGACAAAACAGGGCTGGTTTATGCGTACGCACCAGTTCTTCTTTCTTACTCTCCAAAAGTCTCATCTTCCGTAAGTTCCCCCCGGATCATGGCCTAGCAAACAAGAAACAATCGGGTGTGAAAGGGGACAAGAAATGGCTCACATATGCATTTACAGCCAATGCAATGGGCACTGAGAAGCTACCCCCTATTGTCATCAGAAAGGCCTGGAAACCACGTTGCTTTGGGGAAAAAACTGGCAAACAGCTGGGCTTTGATTACCACAACAATGGAATGGCGTGGATGGTTGCTGAAGTGTATGGAAACTGGCTGAGGGATTGGGATGAAAAGCTGTGTTGCCAGAACCGTAGGATCCTTCTCCTTCAAGGCAACTTCTCTGGTCACATTGTTCCTGATGACCTCCAGTGCATTCGCGTTGAAAAATTTTCACCCAATCTCACCGCACATGTGCAGCCCATGGACCAGGGCATCATCATGTCTTTCAAGGCTAACTACAGAGCCTTCTTTACTGAACGCTCCATTGATCACTACAACAGTGGCATCACTCCTGGCAACATCTACAAGATCAATCAACTCGAGGCCATGCGTCTAGCTGACCAAGCATGGCATGCACATGTTGCAGGTAGATACACTCGACAACCTCGACATAGCGGACGTGTGAATAGTCCGAGGACTTCGTGCCAGCGGACGTCGGCCGGGGTTAGAGCAATCTCGTGTCGGCCAACATTTGAATCAAGTATAGTGCATGATATAAAAGATAACTGACCAATGAAGAGAAACTCGAGTTATTCGCGTCGGCCGATGTACGAGCAACCTCGCGTCGGCCGGTGGACGAGCAAAGTCATGTCGGCCAACAACGGGGTGGTCCAAGCAGGGGCCGCAAACGTAACGGATCAGGAGGATCCATGGGTATTGGCCGACCCATCGTTGTCGCATCACAGGCCGGCAGCACACGGACACCGTGTGCAACAGATGACGGCTTCCTCATGTGACATAGCAACTGATTGAAAATGAATGAGGCAACCCTGGTCAAGGATATTGTGGATTCAGCTCAACGCAAGGACGTCAGAAGCCTGCCGCGCGGCAGCGCGGCAGGAGGTTTTTGACGAGGCTGCGGAAACGGGGCCAGAATACTTGAAACAAAGCCAGTGTTTCAGGGAAAGTGAAAATCATCCAGCATCACAGCTAAGGGTGGTTGAAACTACAAAGCTCCTTTCGAATAGGCAGCATGTATCTCATTATGATTAAGCACATGTATTTAGCTGCAATGGCCTGAGTGAGATCGGCACCGCGGTAGCGCGGCAGAAACCGAGACCTGCCGTCCAGCGAAGCCGTCTCATTAAACGCACACTTAGATGGAACCCATCGAAGCTTTGACAGCTACGCCTGACCAAACGTATACTTAGCTCTATGGTTCGTCCTTCCGAGCAGGTAATGGGCAGGGTGTAGTAATGGATAGATATGCGTCGGCAGCAAAGGAGGAAAACACGACGGCAGCCATATGGCGGAGGCAGTGGCCTTCGGCAGGCTGGCAGGCCCACTAAGCGCCCCACACATGGTCTGATATGACCTGTGTGCGATATCAAATAATGATTAACTTCCATTGAAGACATCTGAGGGCCCTAATTGCACATACACAACCTGACAGTGCTCGCGCAAATTAACAAATTGTAGCACAGAACGGCGTGATGGGCGGAAAATGAACTGATGGTATTTGCACCTATGATGGAGTTTCCCTGCGGCGGCAGCTGCATGCACAATGGTCAGGCCGGCAGAGATGCAGATGGCAGAGGTTCAGAGCGGCAGCAGGTCCCGGCTGTTATTGGCAAAGCCATATATACAGGTCACACAAATCAAGCGTAATCTGTATGTTGTTGGCCTTCCATGTCAGTATCAATGTGATTGGGGGTCGTGGGAATACCAAGTGCGGCAGACCGGCAGCAGACATAGTCACGTCGGTGCTTCAAGTGGCACGAGTCCTATCATCAGTACTAGGTTCCCACAGGTCAGTCGGACTGGCACGGCCGCAGCACTCGATTAGAGAGAGATACCACGGATCGGCACCATGGGTGACAGGGGGTGGCAGTCCGCATTATCAGATTACGCACATTCTCAAGTGACTCTGACTTCTAAACTAGTAGTCACAACATATTGCATAAATGATCTAGATGTCGGTATCCAGACCATGTGATGATCCTCTTCAAATGCTGCCGGATCACCAAAGTTGACAAATCGGCAGGGTGGGCTTGGCTGAAATTTCACTCCACTGCGGTCAGATCTACCAGTACTCAACATAATTGGAGTTTGTGGTGCATCCATGTGAGCATTGGCGCACGAAGACCATATCGATCGTTGCCCACTCCGGCAGGCCGGCAGAGGTGGGATTGCTCTTGTTGCCCAGACAAATGCACCAAATCTGACCAAAGGAGCCCGATAAGGCTGTTTAAAGACACCATAAATCAAGAAATGTGCCCAAGCGTGGCAAATTCAAACTTGATTGCAGAACGAGAGCGGCAGGACTGACGGGCAGGATCCAAAGCTGTCCGCAGCATACCAGACTGCATGTGCTTGAGGGTGATGATTTTCACAGCAAATTGACAAGCCGAGACGGTAAATTAAGCATTCGAGTAAGCTTCCTAAATCTTGTATGGTACATTGTGTCATTATATCTATGCGATCTATCTACTTGCGCCTGCCAATGTTGAGCTCGAGGAGTGCTTGCTCCAACTGATCAAGCAGTTGAAGCTTAGCATCTAGCTGACGTCAGCAGCAGTCGTGGATAATGGAATTGATAATTACCTGTGACGGGTAACAGTTGGCGCTTCTGCCGGGGCGCCAGGGGAGCATGGGAGGGCAACGAGGTTGAATCGGCAGGAGAAGCTGCCGGTTCGTCCTGTTCCGGACTTGTGGGCGCAGCCTCGCCCAGACGCAGAGGCGGTGTCAACCCCTCTGTATCGGAGGGCTCTGGGCTGGGGTGGTTCAAGAAGGGCCCGTATTTGTGCGGTGCGGGTGTGGGAGAGCGGTCGCGATGCCCGGCACCTCCATCCTCCTCGTCGCTCTCGTTATCTGACCCTTTATCACATTGTTAGTATCCTGGGTGTAGCCATCGGCGCCTTACCTGGCATCAGCCTCTGCCGCTTGGCCTCAGGCACCATGTTATGGGTGCCAGCGAGACACTTTGACCCTGCCGGGACCGGCAGCGTCCCGCGTCTCCTTGCCTCTCGCTTTGCCTCCTCGCGGGCCTTCTTCTGCGTGTCCTCCCTTGCCTGGACCTTGGCAGCTGTCTGCTCCTTGCTTCGCGAACCAACTCTGTCCTTGGGGAGGTTGCAAGCGCCATGCACTTTCGCGCACGGGGTACAAGCGTACCCAGGCTTGTGAAAGCACGCGACGTTGTGCACCCAACATGCCATGCAACGGTTGTCTTCAGCAGGGTCATCGCTGGCGAAGAGGAAGACCAGGATGTCGGTCTCCTTCGGGTTCTCGGAGGCGGGAGGGTTGTGTGCCTGCGGCTATCACGAAGTCAATGAAATGATGAACATTGTGCTGTAGTCAACACTCACCTTTCTCTTTGCTTTGGTCGCGGGTGTCTTGCCCTGCCGCTCTGCCGCCCGGCGCCTCGCCTTGTCCAGCGGGCGCATCGCCAACCGCCCACTCGCTGCCGTTTCGCCCTCCTCGTCCCCCTCTTGTTCGTCCCCCTCGCCTGCCTCTTCTGCCCTGCCACCCTGCCCCTCTCCACTCCCATTCCGTTCTCCTTCGGGATCATCGATATCCATACTCCCCACTTCAGGGACGTACTCTTCCTCGTCGTGGGCTTCCTGCCGACCTCGCTTCTGCCGCCGCCCGTTGGCATCACTGACTCATTGTTAGTAGCAGTTACCCAGAAGAACGGTGACTTACGCAGAATCGTCGTGGCACCGCTTGCCGAAGGCAGCGATGAGGTTGGCTGCGGCATTCTCAGCGCCGCCCACCTCCATGGTGCGGAGCCGACTTGACTGCCGTCGCTGTGGCGTCCACCAGGCGTCGACGGCTACCGTGTTCTCAATACCGCGAGTGGTTGTCCTCCACTTCTTGCGCTCCGCTGCGAGTGAGCCCATTGCTACGCGGTAGAAGTACCGCGTGCTCAACGCCCCTGGTGCGAAGTCGAGCAGGGGGGGGAAGTTGACGATGTTGAAGTCACACCGTCGCTTCCATATTACGCGTAATATGGGGAGACCGGATTCCTTCCAATGATTGTCAATAACTCACAAACGCGAACAGAGAACGTGCTTACGATCTCGCCGCTGAGCTTCTCCACGTAAGTGTCGTTGGGTGTCTTCCCACCGGCGTCGAGAATGGCGTTGAGGTGAAGTTCGAGGCCTTCAAGGAGAGCCCAGGCGGAGTCGTGGGATGTAGGGAGTGGGAGGCCTAGGCTGCTGGCCCAGTTGGGCAGGGGGGTTGTGGATGGCATGGTCGAGTGAGAGAGATGACAGAAAGTAGAGCAGAGTCTTTGACGCGTCTGCAAGTCTGGTATTTGGCTCTGTTTATGTTTATTTACGCGTTGCGTGTGTGGCTTGCCACGGGGTCGGCACCGTTTCTGCCGTGGCTATGTGTGTGGTTCGGCGTGGGAGCAAAACGGGCTCTGCCGCGGAAGCAGGAGAAATGGGCGAGATTGGGAAAGGTTGGATAAAGAGTTTGATATCTGCCCACATCACTGTCATGGGCGTCCACGACGTCGCTGTGGAGGTCGCCACATACATGGCCTCCTATTATGATGCCTGCCGCGAAGGCAGGCCGCTCACCCGAGCCACCACCCTCAATCCCTCTCTCGCGGCAGCTGGCAGGCAGGCAGCAGACGTGGTTCTTGAAGCACGGGGGCGTAAAGGTGACTGCTGGGTGTTTTATCATGTCGGTTTGCGCTAAATAAACATGTTAGTGACTGTTCTCGGGGATGTTGAGGTCTATGCAAAAGACATCGGGCCCGGCAACAGGGGGCGAAACATATCATTGGAGGCAAAACGCGAAAGAGTGAGGCCACCCCTTGTCTGTAACACAACTGATACGCCCTGGAAATTGTTTGAGCGCGACCCTGGTACCAACAACGTCCTGATTGATGCCCCATGCGTTGTGGAAGATCAAAAGGAACGGGGACTCCTCTGGTATCTTCCTGGTGCCGGCGTTGCCGCTCACAATGATGTGATGGTTAGATCCCTCATGGGCCTAGGCCCTACGCTAGAGAAGAGCATTCTCAAGGACGATAGAAAGGAACAGCGACCCTCCTCGTTCCTTTTCAAAGATGCGCAGGAATGCAAAATTTCACCCAGAGGCACCATTAACTTCTCGCCCGCCTGGTACGGCCAAAGCAACCCAGTAAGCAGCGAACCTTTCCCAATGACAACGTACTGATGTCAGGAGAAGAAAGGAGTGGGCATTCCGCTGCCATCTGTCAATATGCGCAAAGAGGGGCCCCGTTCCCTCCTGGGTCAGTGACCAGGCAGACACGCTCTCAATCCACTCGGGTATCCTCTGCCTTGTCCATCCGCCTCAATTCTACGGCGGACTCCATAGCCAAGCCACCATTGGCAGGCTCACTGAATGTCGCAAGGCTCTCGCAGAGTGGCCTTCGGTCTTCGATGCCATGGCCATCTTCTCCAACAGGGAAACACTTTACCACTGAGATGGCTGCGGTCACAGGGAGTGGTTTGACATGCTAGCCACCTACGGCGACTACACCGATGGCCAGATATCTATGCCTGGCCTCGGACTAGACTTTGTTTACAATCCAGGTACCATAATTGCCTTCTGCAGCAACATTCTTCGGCATGGAGTTCCTCACTGTGACGGAGACAGGGTATGCGTTGCACAGTACATGCGCTCAAATGTTCAGACGCATTCAGGAAATATGTATGGGAGCTGGTCATTCGCGCACTCAGACGCGGACGATACTGATTAACTTAGATACACATTATGTAGGAATGCAGGTATGTGCAGTAGAACGCCGATCTATACCGCAGATAAACATGATAGCCATCCTATTGAGTTCTGTTGCCGTGAATGTCAAGCCCAAGGTCGACAAAAACGGGAGGTGGATGTTTCTATATATGGTTAGCAAATTTGGATCGCGCATCGGCAGCAAGTGACGCGGCAGAGACTGCCTGCCGCTTTGCCCAGGCAGCGTGACCACACCGATGCCCATTGGGGGCATTTAATCAGTCCCGCCAGATATCCGCTTGGTGATCAAACTCGCGCGGAATCCAGTCCATCTCATGACGCAAGATCGTCAGCTCTTCAACAGCACGATCACGTCGGCAGCGTGCTTTCATCCAATGTTGGCGAGCATCTGTGGATCGCTTTCATCAGAATATGTGATCAGGCAGTCGGGGAGAGCCACGGAGAGTTATAGCGGCAGGGAACATGAGCTGGCGCACTATCATTCTCTGCTGCTGATCAAGTTCAATGGGAAGTGGATCGGCAGGATGTCCTGCCGACCAGGTCGCGCACCGGCAGGAATACAAACAAAGGTGTAAGCAGACCAGTGAATGGAATGGACTCACATTCATTCAGGAGGGTTTTCCCTTTCTCTCCACCTAGCTTGAGCTGAACATCAATCTGCCATATCCACGACAGTCCCAAGTACTGTAAACCTCTTTCCGAAGGGTCCAACAGGGATGTGCGACTGGTGAGATCTTCTGGTTTCATCTCTTCATAATCAGACAAGCTATTTACGTCCTCCGACAGCGCGAGCATGGCCTGCCGCGCATGGTTGTAATAGAGGCGATGGAGATTCACTTGCACTGTCTGACTGCTCACTTGGTCGCGCGCGGCAGCAGCCAGGCGCTGACTCTTGCGTGCCGGACAAATGCGCTTATGGTACAGGACGGACTGCCACGTGATGTGGCTGTGTACTTTCCCAATAGCATCATTTGCTTGCCCTCTTTGCAGACGAAGCTCCATTTTGACCAGGTGATCCAACCCGTGCCTCCGGCAGCGTGCATGGCCGAATGCAGACGGCAAGCCTATGGTACGTTTTTCCGGGTCAATGTGGGCTTCCTCAGCGAGATCATCAAGGATATGCTTGTCGTTGTCGTCATTCTCTGCCATGAAGTCGTCATCCTCAGGGACGTCATTTTTGTCGCTCGCGATGGGTAGCACCACCGTATCACCATGGATGTCGGAAATAAGTAAACTTCCCATGTGCTTTGGAGCTTCTTGGGTCACCCAATCGAGGTCCTTCGCGAGCTGCCGACGCTCGCGCTGAATGGTTTGGAAATCAGCGGACCTGCCGGACTTGTCAAACCGACGGACCAGCGCTTGAATCTTAATTCTACGAGGTTTTCAGTTATCGGCACCACCTAGGAGCGGCAGCCACTCACTGTCTTTGCTCAACTTCAATCCCGCCGTTCAGCCAGCGGATCCGCTCGCCGTTCTGTTTGCTTCTTCTTGCCTTTTTCATCAATTTCGTCTCTTCTTCAGCACGCGTCAGCAATTTGCTAACTTCAATGTCGAAAATGTCATTTGCGTTGACATTTAACTTTCTGGTTTGATAAGCAATATCGACTGCCTGGCCCCACTCCTTGGTAGCGGCAGCTGAACAAACTTTGTGCAATTTTGCAAAAGCCTTGTCCGCTTCTCAAAAGCGCGCCAGGGTAGTAATCCAGGTTTTGCAGGTTGCGTCCACTGTATCAAGTGTCAGTCAAGTTCATTCAAGTCAACAGGAAGCCCCACCTATCCCTGCGTTTTTCATCTCGTTGTCGTCCCTCATGTGGTTATTGATGACATCGTGATGCGGTTCAGTGGCCATGTGCCGGGCACTGTTGGCGAGCTCATTCATTGCCGGCCAACGGGATTTGATGGTATCCCCGACCGCGTTGCCGGCGCCTTTGATAAACAGCGGCAAGTACCGAGCGACGCACTTGTCTTGGTGCCCGTGAACGTGGAATTGTCCGATGGCAGGGATGACCTCAAGGCCTTCGGGGACCTCAAGATGGGGGCTTTGCTTGACTCTAGAGAAAAAGTGGACGAAATATTGACACATAATGTCGTAGAAAAATATGACTGCCACGAGCCGAGTAGCCCAGAAAAAGGCACCGGTACTTGAGCAATCCATGGGAGCTTGCCTCAAATACAAAGCCAATTAGCAAGGGCCAGTTTCGGAAGCAGGGCCACTTACTGTTCCCCTCGTTCAAAATTGACCCCTGAATTCGGCACCCAACAAGCATGCTGTGAGCAGACAATGGCGCCGATGCCTGTAACCTTGAGATGGTTGCGTTTGACAAAGCTGTTGTTGACTGCTTTGTGATCATTGCACGTCGACCGCTTCGAAAACAATCAGTATGTCCAGGCGCATAAATAGTGGGGATACCATACCGTTGGTGTTTCTTTCGCCGTTGCAATATGAGCAGCAAACTTATCCTGTTTCACCATGTACTCCAAGCCATCTGGCAGGCCGACATCATTTTCTGGGTGTTTCATATTGTAGTTTTGCTGCTTGAAGTTTCCGTCCATCACAAGCTGCCAGAAGTATACCCAACGTGGCCTACATCAAGAATCAGACCTGCCACTTCCCAAAATGAACCGCGCCTTACATGAAATCCTTCCAATCTGCTGGGAGATTGACACCAGGCTGGGGGCATGCCACACAAAACGACGCGAGCGAGCCACACACCTTCTCCTTCTCTCGCTCGCCGTATCCATGTCCATACTTTTTCTGTGCTTTTAGACATGTCCACTGCCGAGCACACCTTGCCAACTCGCGGTAGCGGTCCTGCCGATCCATCAGCCAGGGCAAGCTCCGGCAGCAAATCACTTACAGGAACATCATGAGGGCAAACTAGATTTGTAAGCCTTGCCAGCCTTCTGAAATAACCATATGCGGCGACCTTGTTCTCGACATTCGACAAGAGGAAATTGTCCAAGACACTGAATGTAAAAGCGGTCTGCGGGCGTCCTTGGGATGCTGGGTAAAGTCGCAGCGCCATTAATTGTTCAGGGAGCGGAAGGGCATGCGGACAGTTGCACCACGTAACTGGCAATTCATGAACACCTGTTATGTCAACGACGGTGAGCAACTGGGCTCTGCATCCCCCGCCAGACCCGTGGGGTTGGTGCCATCCATCTGCCCCTGCCTCTGCCGCCTCCAGTTCTGCATCGGCAGTTTCGCAAATGGAAATACTGCCACCCACGGCAGAACTATCAATTGCGCGCGGGCAAATATCACCACCGTGGCCCATGTACAAGCGTATTCCCAATGCAGCTGCTGGCGCTGCCTGCCAGTGACCAGCTCGCCACTCCTCGAAGGAATGAAAGGGCAACCGACTGTGTTCCTGCCGCATACAGCCAATGCATCGTTCGGGGGTCCCAAAACACGTAAGACATCGCCATGTTGCCGAGTCGGTATTGCAGGCCGGGCAAGCTTCCTGGTTGAGACAGGCTTCGCTGTCCAGCAGGAGCTTGAGATATTTTCCTGCCACTCGAAGCCACCGGCGCATAAACTCTCCCTGCAGCTAAGTGAGTTTCAGCATGGCAAGTTCCTAGCATGCGTATCTTACGTACCCATGCCTGCGTCCTCTTCCTCTTCGGTGTTATCTCCTTGACAAAATCCTCGATGAATATGGTCTCAGACTGCGCTGGATACGATGGGATTGATTGTTCCCTTGACATTGACTTTGGTGTTGTGTTTTGAACAGAAGTTTTCATTCTCATTTTTTTGTGGAGAGTGTAAGAATGCTCCTTGCCGCCAATGATTTGTTTCTTTGAAGTCATCATGGTGTACCGTTCCTTGGCTTTCGCCTGCTTGTGTGGAATGGCTCGCGCCATGGTTCAGGTATTGGGAGGAAGATGGAAATTTTTATAAGCTGTCTTAATCCCACGCAGTGCAGCACCGGCTTTGTCTGACACCCTCGGCAAAGGACGGAAGCAAGGCGGTGATGCCTTCTTCTTTTGGATGGATTAAGGCACGTCGGTTATGATACCAAAACACCATTTCCTGCACTGCCGGAGTACTGCCGTTGTATTGATGTTGCCGCCGGCTCTATTTTTAGACTTGCTCTTTAGACTTGCGATCGGCAAGGTAGCTCTGGATCAATAACGGTCCATTGGTCCTTCAATAACCCGCGTAGATTAGGTTTGTTCCATAAACTCTACTACTTTAATGACATCGCTGTTCAAACTGAGCTTGCTGCCGATCTTGATCCCTTCCCAAGGACACCATTGAGTGCAGCTAAGATAGGCAGATAGCCAACCAGGGCCAGCCATGAATGATGCAGCATGTGCGTGCAACAAAGTAAGACAGATAGCACATCAGACAATCAACATCCTGGTCTTGCCAAGAGCCCCTTGCTTGAAACCTATTTGATGTTGTAAAAGCAATTGTTACTAGCTTCAAGGAATAGGATGATGATGGAATGCAACTGTGCATTGTCAACTGACAATCCGGGTTTTGTCACCATCCTATTCCTTGAAAGGTATTAAGTAAGTTTCAAGGAAAAGATTTATGACGAAACCCGGATTGTCAGTTGGCAATGCACAGTTGCATCATGCATCATCCTATTCCTTGAAAGATATCAAGTGAGTTTCAAGGAAAAGATTTATGACGAAACCCGGATTGTCAGTTGGCAATGCACAGTCGCATCATGCATCATCCTATTCCTTGAAAGATATCAAGTGAGTTTCAAGGAAAAGATTTATGAGGAAACCCGGATTGTCAGTTGACAATGCACAGTCGCATCATGCATCATCCTATTCCTTGAAAGAACTCGATTATGTTTGAAGGGAAACATTGATGATGGATACAAACAAATGCAAGGCCTGACACAAATCCTGTTAGGCAGACGACAGTGGAAAGGGTCTTGATCAAGATCAGTGACAATGTCGTCATGCAGACACCGCGCATCAGCATTCAGGAAATGGGCAGCACAGAAAGTGCACTCGATGTCCTCTATCTACCACAAATGTGGCCCATATGCAAAGTGTCATGCATCAAATGTAAAGAGGCCAAATATTGGGAGAAATGGCAAGCCGTGCATGACAATGCTTACCGCTGCCGCCATCTGCTGTTGAGGAACATCCTGCCGCCCACACAGTATCTTTTGCGGAAGGTATTATTGTGAAGTATTACGGCGTGATATGACATTAACGGATAGTTACCGTGACGGAATACTTGTTTTGTGCCCTTCCAAGCTTTGATGACAAGAATGATGCCGGCCTTTAGCTCTGCTGGGCCTGCCGGCTCATATTTAACGCGGTCGCATTCCACCAACCTGCCCCGCATTCATCACTGTGAATGCACCGTGTCATGAGCGTGAGGGGGGTGCCGTATATAATGGCTGCCAACTAATGGTACTTTGCAGCCCCTGACCTGAAAGACCCGCAGGGGAATGAGAGTATTAACGCCGTGCCTAATGTGTCAATGCCCACATGAACGCCATAACTCAATGCCTTGCATATGAATGGCATATTAACACATTGACGAAGGCATGGAACATATATAGAGTAGTTTAACAATGTTCTCCGCCCGCAAACACGCATGAACGACGTTAAGGCTTGCCCCGGAGTAACACGCATGGGTTGCAACCCTGCATTTCCACGTGACTGTGTTTTTTACTCAACAAACTGTCGTGTCTTGTCTTTGTTTCCACCACGGTGTCTGTGCCACGCTCTGCCATGTCAGATGCAGAAACCATTGACAGTCAGGTTGACTTCTTCACCAAACACGCCAAGAAATCCACCAAGAAGAAGAAGCAGCGCGGCAAGGCTAGCAAGGCTAGTAAGGCTGGCACAGGCCACAAAGCCAAGCGCGACACGGTCAAGGGCCCCGCAGGCAAGGGCAGCGGAGGCAAATCCAGCGGGTCGTCAACAAAGGTGTTCTTCATTGATGACAATGACGGATATGTCTTAACGCCGCATCTCAAGGGCTGGAAGGAGGCCACCAAGAAGTCTGATGCGGCAGCGAAGCAGGCTTTGCTCAACATGGCAACTGCTGACCTATTAGAGGGTAACGAAGATGATGACGTCAATGAAGGTGATGCTCGGGAGGTGGGGTTATTTTTATCTCTTCTTGGTCATCTAGCTGATGGATTATTGAATATCCTAGGCGGTTGAAGACTGGTTAAACATTCGCAGTCGACCTAAGCGAAAGCCTGGCAAGAGTTACACTGCCTGGGCATTAATTGATCATATTTATGGGCCGAAGATTAAAGCCCGCCTACCAAAGCTATGGAAGCAGCTTCATCCTGACAAGCCCCTGCCGACACCAGACAAGCTGAACGGCAACATGGGATTGTGGAGTCAAGCGCGGTCACTGGTTAAGAAGAAGCTCACCAAGAAAGAGAAAGCAATGCTCCAGGTGCTTGCGGATGACTGGAACGAGAAAGGAGCACCTGGAGATGTCAAGTTTCAGTGAGCGTTATTTATATTGGCATACCCTGCAAAGCACAAACTGCTGTTCATATATGTCGCCATGTATTTTGGCACCATGACTAACACTTCACTGCAGGCACTGGCGCAAGGGATACGCCAAATTTCAGAGAGATGTCGTCAGGGTCGGCAAGGAGTGGTACGGAGCTGACATTTTGATGTTCTCTGGCACGCGGGAGCCAGGGAAAAAGGAACCAGAGCTGAGCTGGTGCGGCAGTTAAAATCCGCTGTCTTTGTTCCGAACACTGATCCAGTCTCGTGATATCAGCTCTGAAGCCTATGTCTCGGGCCCGGCAACATTTTTGGGTTGGTCAGGGCAGCATTACTATGAGCTCCCCGTGTGGGATGACTGGTGTGCCTTCCAGTCCCTTACCCAAGGTGCGCCTTTTCACTCAATTAAATATGACGGCAGCTGAGGTTGCTGCAGAGGAACGTGTGGCAGAGTTGCGGAGTAAAGGGAAAATACGTCCATCCAAGGACACACCGCCTCCTATTAAACGCCTTCCTGATGGATACCCAGTCATTCCAAAGCCTCAGACCCTTGCCGTGCCTGTGCAAAAACAATTCCGCCATACACTCAATGCAGTTTTCTCATATCAACTAGGACAATTGGGTGGGCGTGACACTGTGCCTTGGGGTGCCGTCCGTGACCGTTTTGGGGATCATTTTGACACAAAATATTTCCCAACCAATAAGTGGGGATTTATCCGCGACCCGTCCAAGATGAGTGCGAAGACATGCCGTACCCTTCTCGCCCACTGGAGGGTCAACCAAAAAGTGCACAAGCACCCTGTTCGATTTCAGCAGTCATTCATCAACGAGCGATTGGGTGCTGGGGACGGCAACATGGGAGTGGAGGATGAAGTGAATACCTGCGGTGCCGGAGCTGGCATAAAGGGAGGAAAACGCGGTCAGGCCTCAAACAATGAAGACGACCAGGACGAGGATGACAATGACAAAGAGGATGACAACGAAGGCGGCGAAGAAGATGGGAGCAACAAAAAAGGGGATGATGAAGATGAGGACAATGAAGACGAGGACAATGAAGACGGGGACGATGGAGATGGGGACAATGAAGACGGGGACGATGAAGACAAGGACAATGAAGACGAGGACAATGAAGACGAGGACAATGAAGACGTGGACAACAAAGACAAGGAAGACGACAATGACCAAGAGGACGCCGCAGATAAAGGAAGCTCCACCGAAGAAGGCACTGACGATGAAGGCGCTGCCGATGAAGACGAGGCAAAAGAGCGCAATGTAGACGAAGACGGGGTCGATCAAGATGAAGTAAATGAGGACACAGACGAGGACGTCGCGGAACAAGGGGAGGGCGGAGCAGGACATGAGCCCGGCAGCGATGATTGCCAAGCGGCAGACGTGGAAGGTGCTGCTGATGGAGGTCACCCTCTCGTGCAGGGCACCGATATGGAAGTAGAATTGATATTTGACAGTGATGATGATAGCGATGACGAAGACGAAATCAATCGTCAGCTGGCTGTGATATCCACGGTATGATTTTTATTCCCCAAAAGAAGCCGTTGTTGACAGTCCGGCAGGGAAGCTTTGGAAGAGAGGAGGACGCTTCGCTCGTCAGTGCCTCTGTCAGGTCACGTCCAATGGTGGATCCGTTCCATATTTCTACCTTGAGGCCTACTGAAATCGCGTCCACAGCCCCGTCAAGCAAATCTCTCAAATGCCCCGCCGCATTATGTTGACACGTGGACACCTCCGGCAACACCTCCAAGTCATGCTACAGACAGTGATGGAGCCGACATGTCCGATTTGGAATTTCCTGATCTAGGATTTGACGTGAATGCCATCCTCCTTGACACAGATGAGAGCGATGCCCCGCTCCGCCTCAGCAACTTTGAAGATGAGGCGCCCGTAAGCAGACACAGGCTTGTCGGTGCTGCGCGAATGGTTGGTCCCTGCCGCTGGTTGCATGCTCAGGCGCTGATATGATGATAGCGCCCCCGTCAAGCTGTAGTCGCAGATGACAGCGACGAAGAGCTCGTGCCAGCCCGAGTACGAGCTAGGTGTCAGCCTACAAGTGAAGAGGATCCAATGGTGCTGGCCCCATCGCGGTTCAAGCGTCGCCCATCAGCAACGCCAATGAGTTCGCCACCGCCACGTCTAAGAAAACCTAGCGAGAAGCTGAAAGCGTCTCTCAACACGAAGACCTTGGAGGCCGATGACAGCCTGTCTGAATCCGCCTGTCGAAAGGGTGCTAGGAGAACCAAGGCTACAGGAAGTGGTGAAGCTGTCAGAGCTGACATTGCTGCGAGGGTCTCGGCAGCGGCATCCAAGCCACCCATGGCAGCATCAAAGCCCCTCTGCAAGCAGCGAAGGGGCAAGCTCGCGTCCCGATGGATAAGCAAGGAGCCAGAGGTGCGAGGCCATCAGGCCGCGACCAGCTCCCACCGAGCCAGCTGTTAGCACGGGAACATGGAGTCAAAAAGAAAAGGAAGCGTGAGGGTGAAGATGTGCTGCCGACAAGGCCAGCGAAAAAGACCATTAACAGAGATAAAAACAGCGCAAACGTAGGAAGAGAACCGCGTTCAAATAGTGGACGCAAAAATAGCAAGGCCAAGACCAAGTACACACAACATTCATCGGCAGCAAGGTCGGCAGAGGGTCAGAAGCAAAAGCAGTCACAACAACATGGAAAGGGGAAGGGGTAGTTATAGTCACATCAATAACATATCTCGGCGCACATGCCCATTCCTCATATTCATTAGCAAGTCGAGAAAGGTCTTCTATCAAGGGTCTAGGAGTCATGCTTAGTGCGCCTAGGCGAGCGCTGAATTCACGTCAGAATGAATGGGACCGAATTGATGATAAGGCAGATGTGGAGGAGGACGTGCCGCTCCGGAGGCCATGAGGGGCCTGGCAGAGAACACCGAGGGTCGGAATACGATTCCTGATACGAGTTCTGACAAACGGACATCGTTGGAGACTTATGCCGAATTGCAAGTTGTGTTTTGTCGAGCAGGTTCTCACCGAGAAATCATTCAATCCACCCATAGAAATCACTCAATCCACTTTTAGAAATCACTCAATCCACCCTTAGAAACAGACGGAGCTGAATGCTTATCCTCGGCAGAGGTGCCGAATGTTCACCAGCGAAAGTGGACAGGCGAGGGGGTAGGCATAGTCACATTGATAATATACAAATGATCTCGGGTTGTTACATGCTTTGGGGGGGGGGCATTCTCTACCTGCATCCACCTAGTTGCGGGGCTTGCCTTTGCCCTTGCCCTTGCCCTCCCCTGCGTCCTCCTTCTCGATGTGCATGTTGCGCGTGCCGCGGGTCACGGCATCAAGATGGCCCATGAGGTCTAGGCCTCGGGTGGCATTCGCCAACGTCTCCGTGTCCCACCCGCCCCAGTTCTGCGCCCAGAACACAGGAAACATGGTCCATAGCAGTTCCCGGGAGCGCTCAAGGGTGGACAGGATCTCGAGCATTGCCGACTCGGCGTGCTCATGATGCCTGGTCATGAGGCGGTCGCAGACATGTCTCACGATCATGTCCAATAAAAAGGCTGCCTGCGACTCCTTGGGCTGGGACAAGAGGAGTTCCAGGATCAACACGCAAAATTCTGGAGTAGTCACATCGTTAGGACGGATCGCGTCAACGAGGGGTGGGCGGGGCCACCCCGTGGGAACCCACGAGGGGCAGCTCCACCTGGTGTAGCCTGCCGCTGGATCGGGTGGGCTGCCGGAGGCGTTGGGCTCAGCAGCCTCTTCATCAGAGGGCAGGACTGGCACTCCACCTGATCACGCGGGCAAGACAAGTAATATCAGTTACTGAAACGTGTTCAATGAATCCAAAAAGGACTCACCAGGAGGGATCTCGTAAGCATTTGGATTGGCCGCTGGATGCCCACCAACGTTGCGGATTATGAGGTTCAGCACGTCAATACGCTCTCTGGTGAAGCCGACCCACGGAGCGCCCTGCTGTGCACCTTTAAATGTCCCGTTGCCGTTGACGTATGGCGCGTCATGTTGATGTTGGGTCCGGGACAGGAGTTGTTCTGCCAGTTAGAGAGTGCATATGGTAAGAGGAATTATGTGACGCACCTGACATACTGTGAGCAGCGTTTGCGGTGGTCTGCTCTTGCACTTGGTTCATGGTGCTCTGTACTCCTTGCGCTGCTGCGCCCATGTCAACATCGTGTTCGTTGTCGCTGCCGTTGCCACCATCGCTGCCGTTACCGTCGCTGCCGATCAAATCCAATATGTTCGATGGGTCGCGATCAGCCAAAGGATGGTTGTCGTCATCTTCCTCATCCTGGTTGTCGTCATCTTCACCCTCATCCTCCTCCGACGCTGTGTATGTCAGAGTCCTGCTGATGCCGAACGTGGGGGTGGACTCACAGCCAAAATCAAGATCCATGACAGAAATGGGCGCAGTGTCATCTATCTTCCTTGTTAGCTCCATTGAAGTCCATCGAAGGGAAACCATCACCTTGTTCATCCACTTGGTTCTCCTCATCATCTGCCGAGCCACCCAGCGATATCTCCTTCTTGCCATTGTCGGCGTCATCGCCACCATCGACTGCATGAGCTGCTCATAAAAATGTTTGAACTAGTAAGTCAAGCAAAGTGCTAACCTTGAATTGCAGCTGCCGATGGGGTCCCTGCCGCTGGGGCGTCCGAGGCAGAACCTGAGTGGTGAGGCTGTTTGACGTGTCATTGGTGCGATGATGACTTACTTTGGCTCTGGGGTAACAGATCTTCGACTGCCGATTGTCAGTGATGAGGAATAGTGCTGCTGAAGGCCGCGTACTATTGGGAAGATCCAGCTTGTTGACTAGTTCATCGTAGGCGGGATCGTGGTATTCATCCTCAGATCTGTTCTTGGGAGCTTCATCGTTGTCAGACCCATCATCATCGCAGTAATCTAGCGTGTCATCAGCAAAAACCTCTTGACATTGATGAGTACTCTCACCCCAGCTTCCCTTTGCTGCCGAGGCGCTCGACTCTGCTGCTGGAGCTCCTTCGTAATCCTCGGGAAACACTTTCTTCAAGTCTGCCTTCTTTCCTCGTCTTTTTGGTGCCATTCCAAGAGATGTTGGCCGATGCTTCGCGAGGGAAATGATCAGTATCGAACACGCCGCTGTGATAAGCACTTTGTGGCTGAGTAAACAAATACAAACATCATGAGGGCCACTGTTCCCCAAAATAGACAAGCCCCCGCGATCATCTGTGATAACTCAACTCACGTCTCTGTTCTGCTCTTGTCCTTCCTGCATCTCGAGTATGGCTGGAAAACAAACATCTCTCCCCAATACCTCATCGGCAGCATGCTCGGCAGAGGAGCCCGTGCTGTCCCCCATCTGGGTCGTCAAAGACAAGGTCATGAGGCTCCCAGCCGACTTTGTTCCCGACTGGAACGAGCTCGACTTTCGTCAACCCGATCACGTTCAGCATATTGTCGATATTCAGGAAGCGCGGTGGGCGGCAGTCTATATGAAGGGAACAAGTCCGGAGATGACCAAGATGAGGAAATGATTTCTTGCGAAAATGAACGAGGAATATGTGAGTCGGCCCATGAATGGGCACCGCATACAAATTTTAACATTGCCCAGCAAACCCAGGAGGTCTTCCTCAAGGAAATCATGAAGAGGACAAGAGGAAACCCTGGATGGAAGCTTCGACCGTACACCACGGGTGTTATCTTGACCAAGTTGAACATATGGGCGGATAATTGGACGACAACGGATTTTCCTTCGAGGATCGCCAAGCACATAGAGCCGTGCCCCAATCCCATGGTCTGTACCTTCAAGCTGTGGTGGAACGAGCCGCCCTTTGATAAAGGGCCGGCTGTCTATGGTTTGGGCTCAAGGCCGATGGTACGTGGGCATCGTGAGCACGGTGCTGCCGCTGACCGGCAGCAGGACGATGTCCAAATCCCGGATCCTTCGGACGAAGAAGAAGAGGCTCCGCGCAGGCCCAAGAAGCCATCCGTGAAGGCCAAAGACGTTGAGGTGAGCCATAATACTCATAAATGTGTGATCTATGAGCACTGATAGAGTGCCGGTGTGCCCGACAGGGTGACGTTGAGATGAGGGCAGTGTCTGACGAGGAGAGCGAGGGAGTGCGCCCACGGGAGGTACGGAAAGGACAGTGTTTGAAGGAACCTGAGGTGCGTACGTTGGCTAACAAATAGGCAGCAACTGACAATTCCAAGTCTGAATCTGCCAGCACTGCCAAGGTGCGTTCCACCCCCCCCTGTTGCCCTGCTGATGCTAACAAGGGCTCAGGCGCCGTCGGCAGCCCCTGCCCAGCAGGCACCCTTGACGTTGGGCGGAAAGTCCTCGAAGAAAACTGCCAAGAAGGCCCCCCCTCCTGGTGCCTCTTCCAAGGCAGGAAGTGATGCCAGCACTGACGCCACGGCCCTGGAAGACGACACGCCAGCTGCCCCGGCAAAGGCCACCAAGACCAAGAAGCAAGGTGCGGCATCGCAGCCAGAAGACGCTTCACCCTCTGCATTGGCAGGGGGGAAGTCAACGGCAGGCAGCGCCAAAGCTACCCAGGCAGCAACATCTGGGAAGGACAAAGGGAAGGCTGCCGCTCCGGTGACGTCGAACGCCGCCTCGAACCTTTTCGACGAACCGGTGCCCGATGTCCAATTGACCACACCTGCCTCTTCGCCTTTGATGGATCCACCCCGTGGAGGATCCGCTATTCCCATACAGCCTGTAGGCAACTTGGCCCCTCCCATCAGCACCTGGGGCCCACCCGACCCCAAGAGAATGAAGGTGCGTCACAGTGTGGCAGTGATGGTGTTGGCTCAAACATCGGCAGGATGCCGCAACCACTGCCGGTGAGCACTTACCCCCCGATTACCCGTTCCCCAAATTGCGTGTGCCAAAGCGGACGCCAGGTCCTGTCAGAGTCGATTACGAGGAGCGCATGCTCCTGGCGTCAACTGCCATGATGGAGTTCATCAGGGATTCGAAACCTGAAGTCAAAAAGGCAACGAACTCAGTTGCGGCTATGGCGGAGAAGGTCAATCTTATTTATGACATGCTGAAGACGTTGGTGCCGCCTGCCGCTGAGGCTGGCTCGGCAGAGGTGAGCTCAGCGAGTTCAGCAAGTAAGTCGCCTGCCACTCCCCCGGGGCTTGCTAAAACATATAAATTAATCACTTCCCGAATGGGAATGGTTTGGCAGGCCGAAAGCATTGACGCGGTAAGGCTGACATTTTGGGCATCATCACTGCCGTTCGTTGACATTGCTGGCAGGGTGCCAACCCGGTCCCTGCCGATGAGGGCATTCTTCGTGATATATCTCCAGTCGATCTAGTCTCCGATACACACGCAGTGAACGAATCCACGTAGTGTCAATGATACAACCATTTTGTTTTGCATGTATGTCGCTCTGTCTGAATATAAACACCTTTTGCTTCTCGTGCGTGTTACAGAATGTTAAGAATTTGGGGTGCGCAGCTAATGTATTTGTGTACTATTCTTGACCCCTGCCGGGACTAAGCATTTAGCCACATCCGTTTCTAAGGGTGGATTGAGTGATTTCCAATGGCGGATTGAGTGAGGTCTTGGTAACAACCTGCTCCATAAAACACGGCTTGCAATTTGACATAAGTCTCCGATGATGTCCATTCATCAGGACTCATATCAGGTGTTGTATTCCGATCCTCGGTGTTCTCCACCAGGCCCTGCATGGCCTCATGGTCGGCAACATCCTCCTGCACACCTTCCTTCCTATCATTTCAGCCCCATTCATTCTGAGGTGAATTTAACGCACGCCTAGCAAAGATAACCAATACTTGGAGGCCTTTGATGCGGAACCTATCTCAATTTGGCATTTTCTTGCCAACGCTATCGCTGCCGAATCCCTGCCGACCATGCTGCCGGTGACCCCTTCGGTCACATTTGATCTTTTCCTCTGCTTTACCTCCAAATAATGGCTGTGTCCTGCATTAGAGCTGCACGGCTCCGTGAATCATCTATGCGGCTGGTCTGGCAGGCAGGATATCTGCAACCGCAAGCTTACTTCTGCAGCTTATGTCAACAATGTGCATGGTATATTGTGATTTTCTGTTATTAGGGGCGCAATTGCATCCAATCCTTGCGCCCCTGCCGGTCTCCTGCTTGCTTGGTCTTCCACTCTGCCGGGGCATATGCCTGCGCCCTCGCTGTCAGATATTTGAATGGATGACGATGCGGTGGTTCCCATGCTATGACGATCGCTGCTGGTGGGTTCGCTTCTCCCTGCTCCGTGGTGCCGCCTCCTGCCGGCCTTTATTTTAGCCAATGCACTCGACAGGAAGTTGTCAGCTGCGGCGCCGCTCCTAATGCTACGAGCAGTTTGAGTACGGCACGCAGACCAAGCGCATCCGGCAGCCAGCATCTAATCAACGCACCGTCGGCTGACACGGTGCCATCGAACTTCTAGTTATCATATGTGCCATTGGTTCCAAAGTATATTGTTCAACATGGCTGTCGGCTGACACGAGGATGCTCAAGCATCGGCCGACGCGAGGAACTCGAGCGTGTATATTGCGCATATTGTATCACAGTTATTGTAAACTATACTACATCCAAACGTCGGCCGGCGCGAGGTTGCTCGACCACCGGCCGACGTCCGCTCAGTCGAGATTCTCGGATCCATAACATGTCCGCTATGCCGAGGTACTCATCGTTTTTTACCTGCAGGCACTGTGGCAGGAGGTTGATGCAACCACAATTTGCTACTGTTGGTGAAAGGCCGACATCTTGCCTCCTCTGGAAACAGCAGCAGAAGCAGCAGCGGTACCATCCCTCCCAGTCCATGCACTTATTGACAACAACTCCAGCTCACACGTGGACCCCATCACCCATGCAGAGGAGCTGTTTGAAGATGCGGTTGACATGATTGAGGCCCGTGGTGTGTTACATAAGTGCAACCATCTCACGCTCACCGAACTCCTCAACCCAGTTGATGAATACCACACCATGAGCAACATCATGGATGACAATATCTTCGCAGCGGTAATGAGGGCAGAGGAGGCTCAAGAGAACATGGAAAGCACAGGAACTGATGATGTTGATGATGAAAATGATGCTGTCGAGGATTATCCCAAGGCTCAAGAGGTGATTCAGGCCTCAGGCCTCATTGGTAAGTACATTGCAGCATTAGACAATCCCATAGCGTGGAGACTGGAGTCTCTCCTTGGGGGACTGAACTGCGGGCTTCACCTTGAAGCAACATCAAAGCTAAAGGACACAAGACTAACAGATTACTTCAAATGTACATAGTTCATATAGTCTAGTATAGAAAGGGTCGATAATCTGCCTCATTATTTGAACGCGATTTTTAGCCCCTATCTTTTCGACATTCTCTCTAATGGCATAGTATTTCTAAAGGCATACCCTGGAGGCTTTCCCGAGGGGTATGCCTTTAGAGGGAATCGACTGTACTGGCTTTGGCCTGCCTTGGCTTGGCCTGAAACCTGGCTTGGCTCGGCCTGGCTTTGGCTTCTAGGCCAGGCCAAGAACAACACTAGCTGAGACAGTCACTTGAAGTGACTGTCTCAGCCTGCCCAAGAGTCACACGTAGTGTGTGACAGTGACACTCGCGCGACGCGAACTGTTTTCTTGTGTGGAACAAACTCGAGCTCGACGCGCCACCTTGTGTCTGACGAACCCGAGGAAATCATCATCATCCTTCAATGCCTCGCATCCTCCTTCGACTCTTGCCCATTGCTCGACGCCCCGTCGTTGCAGCGCCTCGCCACATCCCCCGTGTCCAATTCTTCCTTCAACCGCGGCCTACCACACTTCTCCACAGTCGACCGCTTGCGCCTCCGACAATCCTCCCCTTGGCCGCTTCATCACCCATTCTTCACGCCGTATTCCAGAAGAGATATGCGAGTAGAGGAAGTGAATATCAACCATCCCAACGCAAGCGCAAACGCAAGCATGGCTTTCTGGCTCGGAAGAGAACCGCCAGTGGCAGGAGAATCCTCATGAGACGGAGAGCTAAAGGGCGCAGCACCCTCAGCCATTGAGTTCTTTGGGCATGGTGCGTGTCTTGGAATGGTCTTTTTCATAAAGAAGCTCGGTTTGACGTACGAAAGCAGACTACAGCAATGATTTAGCCTACGTTATCCCTCATATCCTAGATCCCCGCACCAAGCAAACTATGAAAGCAATGGCATTAAATAGACCGGTCAAGCTATATATTCAGTTGATGTCAATCTCTTCAAGTGTCCGCCTCGCTGAGTCGTCCGACTGATCTATAAGGATAAGTGGTTTAGATGGACCACCACGTCCTTTCGGAAGATACAGGTGAGGCGGCGGGAGCGGCGTCGAGGGAGTGAACTGGAAACCCTGTTGGATGGATGTCAGAAGCTCCGTAATGGGTGTCTTGGCGGTGATAGAGCAAGGAGTGAGTTTCGGCGAGGCGGGCAGAGGTATAGCGGCCGGTCCTTTTGGCGTTTCGGGAATAGGTGAGGGCGGGAGAGGAATGGCGGCAGCTGCTGCCACGTCTGGCTTCGGAAGTGAATTCGTAGCTGGGACCTTAGACGACGCACTCTTCGTTGGGGGTGCAGGCTTGCCGGGAACTATACCTCTACTCTTAGGCTGAACGGCCAACGGCTTAGTTGGTTTGCCTGGTTGCGATTGACCCCAGGCCGGTTTAACTTTTGCAGCGGGCGCCTTGCCATGATCCTCTTTGACCACATTTTGACGCATCGCTGCCGACTTTGTAGGATTGGTGGCACTTCGCGGTCTGGTTGCTGCAGGCTTCTTTTGATCCTCTGCATTTGGCACTCGCGAGGTTTCTTGTGCGCCCGCCGAGCTACTTTCGTTCTGCCTCTCTTTAACTTCGCGAACGACGGCAGGTGCGGGATCAGGTGTTGGTAACGGAACCCGCCGTGCGCCGCCTCCCGTACGTGCTTTCGCCTCCGCTGTGAGGGTTGGCTGAGAGGTGTGTCTGAGGGCCTCTGGACGCCGTGGTCCTTGCTGCGAGCGAGTCGCTCCAGTCAGCTTCTGGTGAATATCTGCAGGTTTCGCCCTGCCCAGCTGACTAGCAGGTCGGGTTGGTGGTCTTCGTGCAGGCTGCTGGTTCGATGTGGATGGTTGTGGCGTGACCCGACCGGACATGACTGAAGCAGGGCGGGATGGCGGGGCGCTCCTGGCTGGTTTGGATGGACCGGGATGAGGTGCAATAGCGTCCTTTACCCGCTGGGGACCGCTCGGTACATCCGCACCGGCAGATCGGGGTAAAGACTGCATCGCAGTCGCGGATGGCTTAGACTTCATGGAGTCATGAGAGGAGAGGGACTTGATAGGAGGCTTGATAGGTCTGCCGGATACAGACTTCCCGTCCGCTGGGGCTATGGAGATATCTAGATATTTCCTGACCACAGGCGTCAAGGGAGCAACGAAACTGGTGGAGGTGAGCTTCGACCACCAAGTGGGAAGGAGGTATAGACGAACCCTGCCACACGGCCAGGCATCAGCGCCTTATAGGCCTCGAAAACCTTCTTGCTGACTTTGCGGATGTCAGAGTTTGCATCTCGAGCGGTCGCTTTGATGACCTCTTCGACCAACTTTGCACGTGCATCTTTCTCGATGTCGGGTGGATTGAAGCAGTTCAAGCAGCTCAACACGCCCTCTATGGCAGTGAGACGAAGGGAGATGGACTTGTTTTTTACAGCGTCCGCGAGGTAGGTGAGAATGATGGGCAGTTGAGTGTTTTCGATGATTGTTACGATGCAGGCTTTGGCTCTCGTTGTGAAGACCTTGTTGGTGCGGGAGCATACGTTCAGCAGTGTGGGTAGGAAAATGGGGAGGAGTGAATCAAATGCGGAGCTGAGTCCGGCTGCGAGTGTGGTGACCAACTCGATGGCAGCACCAGAGAGCCTACTTCTCTCCGAGCAGATAGCAGAGCTGAGTGGTCGAGAAAGCGACCGCATAGCGTTGGTCAACTCGGCTGGGTACTCGCAGCCGCCTTGGTTGCAGAGAGCCGTCAGGTGGCTGATTCCGCCTGCAATGGCATCCCACGACTCTTCAGTCTCTGCAAGACACACTTTGGTCCGCACAGAGTTGACCTCCGCGGCGACTGAGGACGGCGACGAGCACTGGCGCACTAGTAAGCAAACAGTTGTGGATTTTTGTTAACACCATACCTGAATCTTGCGCATTGTGTTTTGCAGAGAAACGCAGCAGATGAGAGACGGACGACAGTCACCGAACTTGGAGCGCGGTCGAACGGAACAACCGCGACGCGTGCGCGTGTAAAGCCACGTGACTTTTGCCGCGGACAATGCCGTCAAAATGAAGCTCCGACGTCCAACGCCAGTGCCCCAGGAGGGTCGAGCTCGCCGTCTGAAGCGTTCCCGAGGCCAAATCATCAAGGTGAGCACACTCGGATCTATGCCTGGATATCGTATCCACCCCGTCATGCTGCTCCCGAACATGTCACCTTTGTCTTGCCGGCCAGCTTGCGATGGATCATCCTGCCAGTCGTGGATGTAGGCGCTAACTTTTATCTCTAGGCAAGTCACCATGTCTCTCGTCGTCCCCGAGCAGCACCAGCAATTTCAAGTGTGTTGCCTTTGTCTTCTGTCTGTACCCTCATTCTCATGGTTGCATTCCCCAGCACATTCTCCGTCTTCTCAACACCAATGTTGACGGCAAGCGCAAAATCATGTACGCCCTGACTGAGATCAAGGGTGTTGGTCGCCGGTATTCCAACCTTGTATGCAAGAAGGCCGATGTCGATCTCAACAAGCGGTGCGTAGCCGGTCTACTTTGTCGATTACCATCCTCATGTCATGCAGTGCTGGTGAACTGAACTCGGATGAGCTCGAGCGGATCGTTACCATCATCCAAAACCCCACTCAATACAAAATCCCCACTTGGTTCCTCAACAGACAGAAGGACATTGTGGACGGCAAAAACTCGCAGATATTGTCCAACGGTGTCGACTCGAAGCTCCGTGATGATCTGGAGCGGTTGAAGAAGATCCGTGCTCACCGTGGTCTCCGGCATTACTGGGGCCTCCGGGTCCGTGGTCAGCACACCAAGACCACCGGTGCGTGCCCTTTCATGCTCTGTGACTGGATGCGGCTTACAATTTACTTTGTGTGCTAGGTCGTCGCGGGAAGACTGTCGGTGTGTCGAAGAAGCGTGGTTAGATGGGTTAGCACTATTATTCCGACTACTGCATTTCTCTATGGCATCGAAGTTATGATCCAAACACATGTGCAATATGCTCGCAATGACCATGCTTTGCCTTGCCTGGCATTGTACACTCCAACTACTGAGATGGTAACGCTGCATCAGAGCGTGATGGCAATCCTTTCGAGGGAAGGCAGTTTGAGCACGCGCATGCAGACGATATATGCATGCGAACGGAAACCGTTGGGAAAGTCATGTTAAGCGAGCACCCACATGTTAATTATGTATGTCCTACTAATTAGGGGCTGGCAATCTGTGTTCTCTAAATCGGACGACGGCGAACCGACGTCTCTCTTCCCCGGTCAGATTCATCCGCGTCCCTCCAACTTTTGACTGGACAAAGCCCCATGTCCGTCACGCCTGGAAAGTTGCGCTCATCAGGTATTCCTCCTCCCGGCAGGTCGGTCAGTGGCATCCCAACTCCTGGTCGATATCGTTCTCCCTCTAGCAGTGCGAACTCCGCTGCAGCAGAATCCGACAGCGAGTATGCATCTCGTGCGTTCGCCGATGCCATAAAGGCAAATGATCCCGCCCAGCATCGCGCCGTCTCTGCTAGTGCGATCTCATTGAATCTTTCTCCAACTCGTGGCCCTGTTCCCTTGCCATCTGGTCGCCGCTCCGTCACAGGTCGCCCCACCTCTGCTACCTCCTCAGCTTCAGCTGGCCAGACACGCGCTAAGCAGCCTCGTCCTCCCAGTCGTCAGTCCGAGGTACACGTGAGGAGCACTAGTCGTTCTAGTCGTTCTTTTGAAGAGGGCGATACTGTCCGCATCGAATCCCTTGGTTTCGAAGGCGCACTCAGATACTTGGGCGAGATCGATGGCAAACCGGGCCTTTGGGCAGGAGTCGAGCTTTCTGGGGGCTTTGCAGGGAAAGGAAAGAATAATGGCTCGGTCAATGGGTGAGTGACCATTGACCATTGTGACGATATTGGGACGAGACCCTGTGTCATGTTCATCCCACCGGAAAGCTGTCTCTTAAGAGAATCCTAACTCTACCCTTCACAGTAAATCGTATTTTTCATGCCCACCCAATTGCGGTGTTTTCGTCGCTACTACCAAACTTTCTACTCCAACCCTACAGTCGCAGTATCGACCTCCTTCCGCTGCCTCCTCCCGCAGTGGGCGCGTAACGCCTTCTTACAGTGGCAGAGTCACTCCTTCAAATCCATTCGCTGGGCGTATTACACCAAGCGTTACCCCTTCATCAAGAGCAAAGCCTAGAATATCATCAGGCACCAAATTACCTTCGACGCGCACCCCAGGCAAATCCGACGGAGAAAGTCAGATCGCGTCAGGTTCTCGCGCCTCCAAGTATGTTGGATTAACGGCAAAGCAACTTCGTGTCACCAACTCCCCTGCTGCCGGCAATAGGACTCCTGAGCGTAATCTCCGCTCGCCCTCATCTCCATCTCCTTCGCGACCAGCGAGATTGGACTACTCCCCCTTCAACACCCCTCGGGCTCCGTCCACCTCTCGAGTATCTTTCCCTGGCGGCGGAAGTCGACCCTCCATCAACACCCCCCGTCCCCGCGTACCGAGTTCAGTGGCAATGCCACCTCCACCTTCACCTGGGCGCATGTCAACATCTGACATGAGCGAAAGAGAATCCTCGCCGTCTAGAGGTCTTCTTTTCCCGTCCACTGATCTGGTGGCTAGTGGCCAAGCCCTCCAGAATAAAATCAACTCCCTTCTTTCGTCGCATTCGCCAAGCATCCGTGACACTCACGTAACAGATTCAAGACCTTCGTCAGTTGCATCCCTTGGGTTATCTTCCACCGCAGATGATCACCTTCTTCAAGCACATAATGACGCTCTCACTCGTATTTCTGAACTAGAGGCGGAGATTGCTACTTTAAGAGAAACTAATACCGTTCCCGATAATCAACTCGAAGTGCAAAAAGCTACTTCTGAGCGAGACGAGGCTCTGACGCAAGTGGCTGATCTCGAGACCGACTTACGCGCATCCCAGCAAGCCTCTAGCGAATTGGAGTCTAAGATACAAACGCTGGAGACAGCTGCGCAACAGTCCGCCTCAGAACTGGACCAAATCAAAGCTGAGTACGAGGCTCGAGTAACAGACCTCCAAAACAAGGTGGAGGCAGGCGAATCTTTGTCCAAAAGTCTCAAGGAGGTAGTTGACGAGAAGGAAGGTGCCGAACAAGAGCACGAGTCTTTGCTCAAGGCCAAGAATTCGGAAATTGAGCTTCTTGAGGCTCGCGTCCAGAAACTCACACAAGAATTCGAACAGGAGAGGAAAGAGCTAGATGCGCAAATAGACGAGCTCCGGCATGCCGGCCAAGTATGAACCTTGTCGCGTCATTCCCGCTCCTTGCTTAATTGATTTTCTCATAGGAAACCATTGCACTGTACGAAGAGCGCTTGAGCGAAGCCGATGCGGTCAAGTATGAACTCGAAGATCGCATAGTCTTCCTGGAAGATCAAGCTACGAAAGCTGCTATCCCCTTATCTCCGCGAGAAGCGCTCCAGCGCGCAACGTCTGCGGCTGAGATCGACAACGAAGCCCTTCGGGAGCAGGTCCAGCATCTTCAGAAGAGGATATCCTCATTAGAGGACTCACTGGAAGACGCTCAAGCATTTGCCGAAAGAGAAGAGGCTGCGATGGAGGAGCGCTTAAAGCGTTACCGGGAGAAGGAAGAAAGCATGCGGAACGAGCTCAATGAAGGCAAGAAAGCCGTCGACGACGTCCTCAAAGCGGAAGGGGCTGCGAAGGCCCGTGTTGAGGAAGTGGAAGAAGCACTTCGTGAAAGCACCTTGGCACTTGAGAATGCTAGGGCGGAAATCGAGGCACTTAGGTCTGATGCAGCCGTGAGTACCCACACCCCTGTGACCCAAAAATCTAAACTGAATTTTTATATGCAGGCAGCCGACGTCGCCGCCGCAGAGCGGGAAGGCACCGAGGGACAGCGCTCGGAAGAGCTATCCGGTGAAGCAACCCGCCTACAGGCCGAGGTCGATCGTCTCCAGATCCTTCTGCAAGAAGCAGAGAACGCAAGCGCTAGAGCCGCTGAACACCTTGACTCTGATAGCGAGGTACGGATATATGTTCTGTCGAGCAATTATGTGCTTAACTATACATGTTTAGAGTGACTGGAGAGCAAGATATGAGGAAGAGCATGAGTCCGTGCTAATGCTCCAAAAATCCTTGGACGAGACATCAACTGAGTTGGAGACGACGCGAAAGAAACTCAACCGAGACACGCCCATAGGGGCCAGGGATGAGTCAACCTTGGCCAGTCCTACATCTCCACAGCATGATCCCGCCGAGATTACAGGCTTCAAGTAAATCTCCGTCACCTTTACTGGCGGGAGCTCAGTACTGACCTACCTGTCTCCAAGACATATTGTGCAGGACTTGCAGAAAGAAAACTCCGTGCTAAGCCAGCGGAGTAAACTGCTAGAGTCTGAAAATCGTTTGCTGATGTCAGAGACAGACCAACTACGACAAGTACGAGTATTCTGTTGTCCTCTGGAAGCATATCCCTGAACCTCCCTCCAGGAACTTAAGGCCCTTGAAGAGAATATCGAACAGAGCCTTCTCCGCGAAGAGGAAGCCTTGGATTTCTCCCATTCCTCTAGTGGAACACATGGCATTACTGACAAGCAGAAGGCCCAGTTTGAGGTATGAGTCTTTGACTGGTGTAGCTATTCTCATCTCACTGAGGATTCTCCAGAGCGAGATGCATGAGCTTCGACAGCGGTTGGTAGATGCTGAGATGAAGAATGAGAAACTGTCAAAGAACGTGAGTGCGAGACAAGTATGGACACTGCGCCTGCTCAAGTTGTTTCTAGCTCAACAGAGAGATTAGCGAACTGGAAGCTCTGATCGAGTCAAAGGTATGTTTGGAACATCCTAGTAGTTGCTTGGGGTGTGCTGACGAAAGGATTCGCAGATATACCGCGAAGTATGTATGTGCAATGCTCGACTGCTTCTGAGCTGACTAGACTGCACTTTATAGGAAGAGCTCGAGCAAGAAGTGGAGCGACTGAACACTGAGCTCGTCGGTGGACGATCGAAGGGCGGAAAGGGTAGTCTTGCATCTCCAGCAGCGCCTCGGCCCAGTAAAGCGTTGACAACGACGGGGATGTCGCCTCACACAAAGAAGAGGGAGGAGTCGGAGGAAGTGTGCGAGATCTGCGAACGACCTGGACACGACATTTTCACGTGCGACCTGCTGCAAGAAGGAACGACGTCGCAAGGGAACGGGCTCATCCGAGGGCAAACGCCAAGGAAAACATCGGACCCATCCGATCTGTTTTGCGAGGACTGTGAAAGTCACGGCCACGTAGCCGCGGATTGTCCGCACTCGATGGATGTGTTCTAGTACTTGATTGCTGTCATAACATGGCAAGGTATTGAGCGTTGGATGGATATATATTATTATAATAATGGACAAAATAGTGGAAAACTTGGATGCAAGTACGTACTCGCGTGTACATACGCATGCGCACATTATACACTCAAATTTGAATTGTTTTACATGCCCTTGTCGTTAGGAATGGTTGGGAAGACGGCCCAGAAGACTGCTGATAGGCGCTTCGGTTGCCTTTTGTGGGTGGACCACCGACACGTCGATGACGCAGTGTACTCGTGACGTCACTGCGATCACCTACAAAAAGGTGGTGGCTCAGTGCCCTCAAGGGCGAGTCTGGTCAGTTTCCCCCTCAACAAATAAATCAACCATATTTCTCGCATTCTCAGCCATGTCCTACGCAGCAGCAGCAGCAAGCAATGCAAGTCCCCTCTCCGATCAGGCTCGTCTTTCATTATATACTATCATCCATATTCTCTTTTCTCACATTTCACATATCATACAGCCCCACCCAGACCCTGCCCTTCTTACTACACCAGCAGACGTAGCGAGACCTTCCAACGTCGCTGATGACACCGCAAAAGTGAACGTCGTGTCTGCCGACTTCAAGCAGAACCCCGCCACCCTCACTTCTGAGGCACTTATTCCGGAGGATCGAGACCTTCCAAACAGGTCTAGGGGAAGGAGATCGAGGCCCAATCAGCGTCTCCAAGAAGCCGAGGCTGAAGGCATTTATCTCTGGAACACCTTCAAAACCTACCTCTTCCAACCTGGTGTTGCGGGCGGACTCGTTGGTTTAGGTCCGTCACCTTGATCTAACGGTTAGGACACGATCTGATTATGAGCTTGCTTTTACCCAGTCAACGTTGGCCTTCTTTCTTCAGCTGGTTATCACTTTTACACAGATCCCCAGCTACGTCGAGACTCCAAGATAATTAGTTCTACAATAGCTGGCGCAATTGCGATCCTCGGTGCAGAGGGATACGCGGTTGAGAAGTATCGCCAAACCGAGCGCGGCCAGGCGGAGGAGAAGAGGGTTCGTGAAGAGGGTGCGTCGATTGTCAAGGACATCTATGGAACCATCGCCCGCCCGGGCGTAATGGGTGGCATGCTTGGTCTTGGTGAGCCTTCCGCCGCTGCGTGCACCGAAAATCAGGTTAGCTGATAGCCATGTTTGACAGTTAATACGGCAATCCTCGGCGCAGTCGGATACTATGGCTACACAAACTGGGACCGCCCTCGGTGGGACCGGAACGTCGTGTCTGCTATCTCTGTGGGCTTATTTTCCTTGACGGCTGTAGAAGGGTAAGAGCTACTGTGCTTGGATTGTGCATGCATTGACATTGGATCCAGCTATATTGCAGACAGCTATAGGAAGCACTGAAGGATGGAAATGAGGGGTCGTGGACTTTTTTGTTAGAAGTCATATAAATCTGGGACTGTCGATGTATGATACAGAAATAATAATACTTCAATGATCCATTATCTAAGCGTTGTCGGGGGTTAAAAATGCGGGATGGACCGACAACCCAAATTTTTGATTAGGTGTGAGGGTGGCCTAAGCGCGATAACCGCATACACTCAACAATGTCTCGATTCTTCAAGAGAGCAGGCGAGTCAGACTCGGACACAGAATCCTCGGAGGAGGAGCTCCTCGTCAGCGGCGATGAGGACGATGCTCCTTCTCAGCCAGCAGCAAAGCCAGCAATGTCCAGATTCCTCCGCACAGCAGGTGACTCGGACTCGGACTCGGACTCGGGTTCAGATGAGGAGGAGAGCGAGATGTCCGATGAGGATGAGGCCAAGGAGGAGGTCAAGAAGAAGTCCAGATTCATGCGCAGCGACTCCGAGTCAGAGGACGAGAGTGATGAGGACGTCAAGCGTGTCGTCAAAAGCAACAAGGACAAGCGTCTCGATGAGATCGAAGCCACAGGAAAAGGCATCGACAACGGTCTCAAGATCAACGATTGGGTCGTCATCTCGAACGGTTCGTATTACACACACACGTCCCGATCTTTTATTCATCTCATCCCTTTCAGAATTTGACAAGCTCCTCAGGCTCGTTCAGCGACAAAGCAATGTTGCAGAGCCCATCCCCCCTTTCTTCATCAAGACAGTCATCGGCATGGAGACGTCCCTGAACGAAGCTATTGCGAAGGAAAAGGAGGCAAAGAAGAAGATGAACGCGACAAATGCTCGCGCTCTCAACTCCATGAAGCAGAAGGTCAAGAAAGCCTTCAAGGAATATGAGACGGAGATCTCGTCTTATCAAAAGGTACCTTTTCGTATGCCCTCGCCGTCTTTTCTAAATATGCTGAACACCCGTAGAACCCAGAGGAATTTGAACGTGAATTCATCTCGATGGTTCAGCCTGAAGCCGCGACCGCTCAGAAGCCCAAGAAGGCGAAAAAGGCCGCAGATGACACCACTACACCAGAGGTCGACGGGTTCGAAACGGTGGGCAAGGGCGGCAAGACCATGCAGTTCTCTGTCGAGACCATCTTCAAGACCTTAAAGGCTGTGAATGAGGCCCGTGGAAAGAAGGTCAGTATTATCACGACCTAGCAGGAAATGTGCTCATCTCTTTCATCCAGAATACCGATCGAACGGAACAAATGCGCATTCTTGAAAAGCTTCTCGAGGTTGCAGTCACCTCTTACCAGCGCATCCGTATCCTACTTGCTCTCGTCTCCTCTCGTTTCGACTACAACTCCTCCGTGGCTACCTTTATGCCCATTGAGCTCTGGCTATCTGCTCAGCGCGAAGTCGATCAACTGGTCCAAATTGTTGCAGCTGATTCCTCCTACTCCATTCAGGAAGTCACAGTTGACTACGATGAATTGGAGGAGCGGTCCCCTGCCACTGAAAAGGGAGGCATTGTCCAAGTTCGGGGTAGCATCATCAGCTTCGTTGACCGACTTGACGATGAGTTCACCAAGAGTCTTCAAAACATTGACCCCCATGGTACGGAGTACGTCGATCGGCTAAAAGACGAGAAGGTTCTCTATCACACTATTTGTCGAGCACAATGTTTCTACGAGAAGACAAGCCAATTGGATCCTTTATCGAGAGTTGTCAGTCGTCGGTTGGAGCATATATACTCTAAGGTATGAGAAACCTAGCAACGCGAAGGCATGCACGATCTAATTTCCTTCCAGCCCGACGCCGTCATATCAGTCTTGGAATCCTCGCTCTCAGCCTCTGACCTCGTTCCCAGCACGACATTGGCTTCGCAGGGTTCTTCAAAAGCTCTCATTCACTCCCTTTGTGTCCACCTCTACAAGGCAGATAACTCACTACTTCGTACGAGGGCAATGCTTTGCCATATTTACCACCACGCTCTTCACAATGAGTTCCATACTGCCCGCGATATGCTGCTGATGTCTCATCTTCAAGAATCGGTCCACTCCGCAGACGTGCTTACTCAGATTCTTTACAACCGCACTGTCGTGCAACTTGGTCTGAGTGCATTTCGATGCGGCCTCATCAAGGAAGCTCAGAGCACTCTGCACGACATCTTTGCGACGCAACGTGTCAAGGAACTCCTCGCTCAGGGTGTCCACCAACAACGCTTCCAGAATATAACGCCAGAGCAAGAGCGGGCAGAACGCCAGCGGCAACTTCCCTTCCACATGCACATCAACACTGAGTTACTGGAGGCTGCCTTCTTGGTTTCAAGCATGCTTGTCGAGATACCTTTGCTTGCTAGTATTGATTCAGACGAACTCAAGCGGAAGGCCATCTCGAAACCCTTCCGTCGTTTGCTGGACTTTGCCGACCGTCAGGCGTTCACCGGACCGCCCGAGAGCACGCGTGACCATATCATGCAGGCCAGCAAAGCTCTGCAAGATGGGGAGTGGGAGAAAAGCCGCGATTTGATCCAGAGCATCAAAATTTGGGCTTTGATGCCGGAGGCTACTTCAGTCAAGGATATGTTGGCTAGGTAAGCAATGTGTCGTCATCATTCTCATGTCACTTTTTCGCTCAATCTGCCATAGCCGTATACAAGAGCAGGGTCTCCGCACTTACCTCTTCACCTATGCTCCGTACTACGCATCTCTCTCCCTCTCTCTCTTGTCACGAACCTTCTCTCTCCCCCTGCGCACAGTCACATCCCTCGTTTCGAAGATGATCTGGAACGAAGAGCTCTCGGCTTCACTCGACCAATCCACCGGTGTTGTCGTGTTCCATCGTATAGAGCAGTCCCGACAACAGCAATTGGCCCAGGTCATCGCTGACAAGGTCAACGCTCTTGTCGAGCAAAACGAGAAGGTCTTGGACACGAAACTCGGCTCTGGTGGGTGGTCGGACCGTGGAGATGGCGCTAAGGGTGAGAAGCGCGAACAAGCTGCGGAACGGAAAGGAAACCGTAGTCGCGGTTCTGGTTTACGAGGTGCGTTTGCGTCTGTTGTTCTGCGGTTTTATCACGTCGTTCATACTGGTATCGAACCTTGCAGGAGGATCTCGCGGCAGAGGGTCGCGGTTTGCCCAAGGTCTTGGCAACCAAATGGCACGCACACGGTGACACTGTCTGTACTACGACATGTATAGTAAAGCTATCACGACTATCTCTATGCCAGTCTAGGTTTTTATTGCGAAAATATGCGCTCCATGGCTGAGACGCTCCTTTCCTCAATCGTCATCCTCTTCATCTCCATCGTCTTCCCCTTCCTCTTCACTGTCTTCGCTACGTTGATGACCTTCATTCCAGTCAGAGACGTCAAGTTTCTCATTCCGGTAGTTGGCTGTTACCAAGATGTAAGCAGCAGCAGTTGATTGAGACAGGAAATCTCACCATGTTCTTCCACCTCATAGCCAGCTTGAGTCACACACCCTTTCAACTCCGATTTGGTGCCGACCTTTGTGTTCCCGCCCAATAAGCAACCTTCAAGCCGTGCACTGCGCCAGATTAAACAGGCGGGAACATGGTTCAGATAACGAGCTTGACATACCCATCCGATATGACACAATGGTCGAGTAAAACGCAGCCGACGATCTTGGCCATTTTTCCTATGACGCAATGTTTCCCTATCACTGACTTTTTGATGCTTGCTCTCTCTTCCACGCGCGTGAAGTCTCCAACGGCTGAGTCGGCTGATATAGCAGCTTTGTGGTCGATCAGAGATCGCTTTGTTGGGTCGGAGGGCAAGACGTATGAGGTCTCCGACAGGAACTGCAGTTCGAATTTACGAAAAGGTGAGTCAGACTGCACGTGCAATTCAAAGGAAAGGCACACACCCGCCGGTTTGCCTCGAGGTAAGCTTGGAGATTGTTGGTGCGAACAGCGTAACCGCTATCTGCTCGATGAACGTGCAGGCCGATTCGCAAGCTCACCGTGATGGATTCGTCATCATCCGATCCCGTTGGCGATGGCGGCTGTGACAGACCGATTTCGCTCTGAGGGGCCGGCGAGCTCGCGTGCGAGCGAACATCTAGGAACGCTCGTGCTTTTGGTACGTCGGTGTACAGCGTGGAGTGCTTCATCGACATGGAGTGGCTGGCAGAATTGGAGACGACACCCAATGCTTTACGGGATGTACGTTATGTCGCCGATTGCATATGTACGTATGCCACTTACTATGACCGTACTTGCCTCGCTTGGTCGCCTGGTATTGAACCTTGCAGAGCCAAGGGAAGAAGTCCTCTTTGAGAGAGTCGAGGTGGCGTTTTTGCTGTAAAACGTCAAGGACAGACCGTTTACATACGTAGACGTGGGAGTCTTGAAGCTTCTTAGATAGCCGTGCTCGCGGATACCTACAAGACGTCAGTAGGAAGGTCAAGTCATATATGCATGACAAACTCACCGAGTCAGCAAGCTCATTCGCAGCTCAAAATCTTGGCCATTACGGTCTTGATCATCGAGTGTATCAACGTACAACAGGGTGCCAGAGGTATCATCCCACACAATTGTGGTCGGAGTTGGGGGAGGACCCCACTCCTCGGGGAAGGCACCCTTGTCTAGTTTGGAGTTTTCGAACCAGCAAGTGGTGGCGATGGAGCCATCGGACATGGCGTCTGTCCTGAACTTGTTCAGTATGGTCGAAAGAGGTAGAGAAGGTGGTGGGATGAAGTCGCATGGCATGATGACAAAGTCTTCTTGGATGCGGGAGGAGAAATGGCGGAGGATGGAGCATGTGCCTGTGCTCATCTCCTGTGACTCGTCATATGTCTGTATGTCGATGTTGAGGGAGGTGAACGAGGCTGACGAGGACTGGACGTAGTGAGAAATTGCATGCTTGTGTGATGATGGGCAGATGAGGAGGACGTCTGTAGAGTGCAGATGTTATGGTAGGCTATCAAGGAAGAACACTGGGTAGACCTTCGATGCCAGACTGCTCTAACCAAGAAAGAGGGAAATCGAGCATTGGCTTGTCTGCGACAGACAGAAGGGCCTTTGGACATGGCTCGTCTCCATGATCGCCGGTCAAAGGCAGGAGCCTGGCAGAGACAAAGTTGGAGGACTGCCTTTAGTTATTGGCTGGTCGGCTTACTCGTTCCCGAAACCAGCAAGGATGACGGCGAGAAACTCGCGGCGAGTGACCGATTCTGTCGGTGCAACCTCAAAATTCATGCTGATGCAGATGTTTGAGTCAGAAATTATAAGCAGAAAACAAAAGATGGATATGTACCCGGGTCACTAGCGTTAGGTGATATCGGGAATTGATGAGTTTGGAATTATCTTGGTCTGACGTCGCGCGCCTCTTTCCATATCCGATACGCGTCTCGGCGTGACTAAAAGTCTATTACTCCATACACCGTCCCCTTCATGTCCTCCCCCGCCTCTCCCTCATAACGCCCCTCACGATACCCGTTTTACTCTCCAGGTTATCTTTTACGAGCCTTTAACAAGCTGCTTTACATTTCTTTTGCCGTCAGAATCCCGACTTCGCCCTCACCGACGCTGGCACACTCTTCATTCTCTGACTGGGTTCCCCGACCCCACAGCGTGGACTTGCACACTTGCAACAACTCTCTATCCTCATGTCTCAAGTGTCTCAAACATCACAACAGCAATCAAATGTTCATGACCTCTATGAACGCCTCGAGACTGTCGGGAGAGGCGCTTATGGCTCAGTCCACAAGGGGGTGCACCGCCGCACAGGCAACATCGTAGCTCTCAAGATCATCAACCTTGATACAGCAGATGACGACGTAGAGTCTATCCAGAAAGAGGTTGCTCTACTAACTCAACTTCGTGATGCCCCAAATGTCACAAAGTACTTTGGCTGCTACCTAGATGGCCCTCGCGTCTGGATAGTGATGGAGTTTGCTCAAGGTGGTAGCGTCCGCACCCTCATGCAATCATCCAAAGATGGAGTACTCGAGGAAAAGTACATCGTTCTCATCGTACGTGAAGTCCTCATCGCCCTCAGCTATCTTCACAAATCCGCCATCATGCATCGCGACATCAAAGCCGCCAACGTCCTCGTCACCAGCACTGGCAAGGTCATGCTCTGCGACTTTGGCGTTTCTGCACTCTCCGCTACAGCTAATACCAAGCGCTACACCCTCATGGGCACACCTAACTGGATGGCTCCTGAAGTCGCTCAACAGGTCCCCGTGTACGACAGCAAGGCCGACATATGGAGCTTAGGTATCGTCGTCTACGAGATGATCAAAGGTGCTCCACCCCATGCAGACTTGCGAGATGTTTTCAAGGTCATGCAACTCATCAGTCGGGTTCAGCCCCCGCGCTTGTCGGAGGGAGAAGGGAGTAAGGATATGAGGGACTTTGTTGCTAGTTGCTTGCGTGAATCTCCCGCTGATGTGAGTCTAATCTCCTTTCCTCCCTTTTTTTCAGACTACTAAACGCTCGCAGCGTTTCTCCGCAGACGAACTTTCCAAAACTAAATGGATAAAGGCCGCAGCTAAAACCAACCTGTCGATACTACGAGATCTTATCCTTCGATACGATGCATGGGCACAGGCAGGGGGCTCAAGACAAAGTTTGGCAGGACCTCTGGACTGGGAAGAACAGGAGCAAGCTGAGTGGGTGGTTTCTATAAATTTTGCTCCCCACGTCTCTGATGATCTCCGTAGCTTGCAAGGCTCCGCCGCATTGCAGCGGGAAAGTGTATGGGAGTTCGACACCTTTAAAAGAATGTCAGCTGCTAACAGTGCAGACGAAGTTGTCTTAGCGCCTGGTTTAATGCCAGAGGACTCGTCCTCAGCACCCACCGTTCGTCCTCCCGCCTCCAGGCTGCCTACGTCCTTGCGAGGCCTATTTGAAGACGATTCCACGCCAGCCACCCTTGAAACATTCCGGCCTTCCGAAATGCCGATGAGACCTGGTCGACAATCACCTAGCCCTCCCCAATCTGGTTCCGTTTCCACGGCAAGAGACACGAGTCCCTGGAGTCGAATGACAACACCGGTCGAACCAGCCGAACCGGCAGCTATTCATGTTTCCGAGGACCCTCAGCGCGCAAAATACGACAGCTTCGCATTTCCTCCCCGTGGGTTATCTGGCCCTATGGGCCAAACGGTCGTAGACGAAACGGTTACCCAGCCCATGTTTGATCCTCTCGATGACGATGCAAGTGATATGTTTGATGCACATGAGGGCACCGATCAGCACAAGTTCTCAGCCCTCCTTCAGCAATCGGCCAGTGAAGGTTTTGATGAGGATGGAATGCCACCTGTCGTAGATTCCCCGCTTGACCCTTTCTTACCTGCAGGTCCCGTCGAACTTCGAACAGACACTCAAGATGCATCTCTAAACCGCGGGCGTTCGCGGATGAACACAGCCCAACAAACATCGTTTGGTGCTATGCGTAAGGACTCAACGACGACAGTTAACGAATTCCAATTTCCCTCTCCCTCAACACCGTCACTGGCTAGCTCGGGACCCTCTATAGCTGCCGCATACAGTCCACGCTCTCAAACAAAATCAGCCTCGGGTCACACTAATGCTACCAGCCCAAACGCTCACCAGACTATAGCATCATATGACTCGACGACACCCGCTGCCGTTCCATCCAGATTGCCGGGACTTGGCGTTCCGCTGACTGCACCAGCAATGCGTTCGTTGTCAGCTAATGATGCCGCTGGAGCCCCAGCATTGACAGTGGAGATACCCAACAAAGGCCCGACACTCCAGCGTAAGCCAAGCCTTAACCGACAAGCATCTGTCGCCATCATGGAGACAACGCCGACGTCTCCGTTGCTGCCTCCGATACGACCCTTTGCTATGAGGGAGCGAAGTGGTAGCTCTTCGAGCAAGAACAGTGATGGGAGCGGTTCGAACAAAAGTGCGGCGTCATCGTATCCTGGTTTAAAGGATGCAGTGAAGGTAAGGATGTCACCAACCACATTATTAGAGCTTTACTAAATCTTCAAAGATACCTACACTGACGAGCGAGCACCAGCTTGGACTCTCCGATTTGCTACCTCCTTCTCCCTCGTCTCTGACTCACACTGCTCGTACTTTCTTTCCTTCTCCGAGTGCACTCTCATCTTCCGCGACTACACCCAATGCAAATGGCACACCGCTTGTAAACAGTCATCTCGCTGACGCTTCGTTAACATCCATACCACCACGGAGCCGTTCCCCTCCGCTTTTTGATGGCCGAAACCACACGGCGTCACTGTCGCAAACGTCTGCCGCGGGAGACCCTGGCCCTTTGGGACCGCCTGTGAATCCTTTGGATCTATGCAGCCTCGTGGAATCGCATGAAGCTACTCGCGCTCACCTGTCACGGACTGTTGACGACCTATCTAAGTGGCTATCTTTGATAGAAACTGGCTTCAACAGGATGCTCGACAAGACTGTGGAGGACTCGATCGAAGAAGAGCAAGAAGAATCGCCTGGAAGAGTAAACCCTCACGATCCGTTTCAAACAGGTGTCGAGGATTCTGGAAGTGTTGCTGCGGTATGATTCTCCTCTTCGAGTTGTTTGCCTTCTTTTTTCACAGAGGATTTGGTGTACTGTTATAGTATTTGTGTATGACGTTTGGTATTGTGACATGAAGCTATTCTACAATACTAGATCTATGAGGTATACACCGTGTGGGGTAAATGCAAGCAAGAAAAAGTTTTCCTTATGAGATGTAGCCGTGTTGGGTGAGGTACTCGACGATCTTCTGGACAGCGCCCGTTACGTCGCACTCGTCCGTCCGAATGTGAATCTCGGGGCTTTCGGGTGCTTCGTACGGGGCGGAGACGCCGGTGAAGTCCTTGATCTCGCCGGCGCGGGCCTTCTTGTAGAGGCCCTTGGGATCGCGCTGCTCGACGACGCTGAGGGGTGCATCGACGAAGACCTCGATGAACCCGAGGTTCGCCTTCTCGTGGAGCTCGCGTGCGACCTTGCGATCGGCGATGTAGGGCGAGATGAACGCGGTCACGGTGACACACGCAGCATCGGCGAACAGCTTCGACACCTGGAATATAATATAATATGATATTAATGAACCAAGGTCGACTTCTCTCAGATCGGACGGAACGCACCTCCCCGATGCGTCTGATGTTCTCGACCCGCGACTTCTCGTCGAAGCCAAGATCCTTGTTGAGCCCGAACCGGACGTTGTCCCCGTCGAGGCGGTACGTGAACTTGTGACGGTGGAGGAGGTGCTGCTCGAGCGCGCACGCAATCGTCGACTAAGTTACAGCAAGCATCGGTCATGAGCAGTTATCTCCCCATCAACAATATTTGTTTCTATTCTCACCTTTCCGCTCGCGCTCAGCCCAGTCAGCCAGATGGTGACGCCCCGTTGCTTGAGAAGATCAACACGCTCCTGCACATCGACCGAACCTAGACCAGTCCCTCTATAAGTCTGCGCTCACTCAGCATGTGGTATGGGCCTCACCGGCGTGGAAGGTGATGTTAGTGGCCATGGCGAAAACGTACTGGAAGAGGGGATAAGTTTCCGACGTTGTCAATCAGCCTATTAGTACTCCGAGTGTTCGGCCGGCAGCAACATCAGTAGTAATACACTCCTAGCAGTTTCTGGTTGCACGACTGTGTGCCATCGTGAGCAATCTCTGCATCTTGACGACCCGATCGCGAAATCCTTGCAAATATTAATGATGTTCACTTCACGTGTCAAATATGTCAAATACCGAATTCGAACCACACTTTCCCAAGAAAACTACAAAATATAAGTGTAAGCTACGAAGTAATATGAAGTATGTATGTATTGCCTACTTCTTGATAGCGAACGACGAGTAGAGTGTAGGCGGTCTAAATGGTGGAGTGCACATAGCTAGAACACACACTCATCGTTCAGAACGCGTCAATGTAGGGCATTAACGTTGTCAAAACCGCATCCTATCCTCTCCTATGCAAGACACCCTTGAGATACACGATGATGAAGGTGGGTATACTAGAAGATACATCCTTTGATCAGGTCCTCTTTCGATCAGGCCTCAGGCCCACATAACCACACGATCGATTTCTTAACCGCCTCCGCCACGTACTCCGACGTGAGGGGCATACCCACCGGCGGGCAGTGCATGAATAACACTTTCGTCTGCTTGTCGGTCTGGTGTTTTGCGTTGCGTTTTGCTTCAGCCAGCGAGCAGTAATAAATAAAGTCGCAGAGATAATGTCCTGCATCCATCGATCCGTATATTTGCTGCCGGCCAAGAGAGGGTCAATCGAGTGCCACTCGTCGTCCGATACGTATATGATAACCATACCTCTATGCCTACTTTCTTAAGGTGTGCGACAAGCTTCTCAACGTCTACGACGGTATAAATTTCTTCCTGAAACGTCTCGTAGCCCTTTCCAAAGCCGCGCTTGGGAGGTTCTGAGGGATCTGTAGGAGGTTCGATGTGGAAGTCACCGAGTCTGGCTCGTTCCATCATTTCGGCCTCGGAGGGAGGCGCCTTGGCTATGACGACTCCAGCTGGCGCGGTGGCATCGCCGACGGTGGCGATGTTAGCCTCCTCGTGAGTTATGCGGACAATGGGGGCAAGGTTCCCGTTGGCGTCCTTCATGTTATAGCCAAATTTATGACCCAACCTTTCCATGCGAAGAGGGCCACGACCTGCGACACCAACGTGGACAATTAGATCGTAGCCTTCGGGAGGTGGCAACTCCGTGCCAGGTTCAGTGTTTTCGGGGAGAGTCGGCGAGCGAGTATGCAGACCCGGAACGATAGCGAGAACATCCTCGTATACTGCAGGAACCTCGAGAGCGGTGATATGGACCCGACGTGGTTGATCTGGAATGATGATATCTGGGTCAGCTTCTGTAGGAGCCGGAAGGGGGTCGAGATCGAGGATGGCGTTGTGAAGGGGCTTGACCGCGAGCCAGGACGGGTTTACTTTATACCGGGCAAACGGCTGGTATGGATTTATGAGAGTCATGTGTTAAAAAGCTGGAAACTTACGCCGAATCCTGTTACCAAGACTCGATAGGTATACGGGTTGTCGTGAGCGCTTCCGTTCATTGCTTGAGGGAGAGAAAGAGAGATGGGTTCAAATTGGCAGAGAGGGCAGGTGCACGTCTACCAATTGTTGATGTCAGTCCGACTTTGAGCATGCTGCCGTGGCCGTGCCGTCCCTTCCGGTCGAGATGCCCCTTTTTCTTCCCAGATATAATACTTGTGTTACTTATTTTAGCTGTCAATATTATCCAATTTCTTCCCGCTTCGGGTTCGTCCGGACAGAGCTCAGCGTTGACTGCAAGTTGTTGCTAGACTTTAGTGACATATTCCTCAGTAATTTCTCCTCCGTCGTCCACAATGTCCGCGATGCTGCAGTCCGCGATGCGCTCTTCCATTCTCGCCGCCGGCGTCGGTCGTCGTGCAGCATCCACCATCGCCCTCAAGTACTCCAAAGCCGTCTACTCCGCCGCCCTCGCAAAGTCTCCCCAGACCCTCAACAAAGTCCAGTCCGAGCTCACCGCCGTCTCAAAGGCCATCAAGGACGTTCCCGAGGTCAACGCCTTTGTCAACAACCCAACCCTATCCTCAAAGGACCGCTCAGCCGGTCTCGCCCAACTCTACTCTCGAGTAGAAGGTGCAGGCGCGAAAAAAGAGGCCGTCTCCGACGTCACCAAAAACCTCTTCGCTGTTCTCTCCGACAACGGCCGTCTCGCCGAGACACAGGGCGTCATTGAAGGGTTCAACGAGCTCGTTGCCCAGTACAAGGGCGAGCTCGAGGTTGTTGTCACTTCGGCTTCCCCCCTCCCCAAGGACGTGTCCACCCGCCTCGAGTCCGTTCTCAAGCAATCCCAAGCTGCTCAGCAAGCCAAGTCTCTCAAGATTACCAACAAGGTAAACTCTTTGTTATCTACACTTTGTTCTATTAATTCACTTAACCCAACCGTTTACACCAGGTTAACCCCTCCATCCTTGGTGGCATTGTCGTTGACTTCGGTGACCGCTCCATTGACATGAGTGTGTCCTCGCGCGTCAACAAGCTCAACAACGTTCTCCAGGGTATGTTCAGCAGTACTGGATACCGCTTCCGCCCACAGTGCTAATGGCTTTCTAGAATCCGTCTAAATTCCGCATCATCCATGTAGACTCGCTTCGAGGCGCGCGACTCATAGACTCACTATTAACCTATACCACGCTCATGTGGCCACGCATTCTCTCCGTACGCGTTCGATCTGCATAATACATGTTGGACGTCAAACAATTACGCCTCTGTGTGAAACAATGAGTAGGCCTAAGATTTGCGTTGGGGTGAGGGATTGCTTCGCCTAATACCGGTTCACTGCCTTTCATTACCTCCGGAACGATTGTTTGTCTGATTCTCCTCAAATTGGTCGGGGTTTACTTGGAATCGCGTAGAAAAAAGAAGCACCAGCTATAGATGCGAATATGACTGAGGCAGCTAAGACGAGGAACATTTGTGTTTGGGTGCAACGTCGGACCTGAAAGCCACCGACCTTATGTAACTTGTCTAATTCTGCGCGTATCAGAGTTTGTGCGATCTCCGCATTTGTTGCGAGTTGCTAGTTGAACGTCGAGGCGCTGAACGTTGACGCGCTTGACAGCTTGAGTCCATCCACTGTAATGAGTGAGCATACTTCTGCGTCCAGTTTGATTGACACGCCAAATACTGATCGCGCCTTCTCGGTCCTTGTACGGCATAGAGAGCAGTCCTGGGCTCGGCGAAGTCACTTGGTAAGTTCATTGCCCGCAGTTCCGCTCCTCTTTTTCCAAGTTACTTTTCTCTAACCTATCTATACTTGCGCCAGCCCGATATGCTCGAACCAAGTTCTAGACGAAAACATCAACAAGCACCTTGATAGTAGTTGCTCCGAGTATTCGTTGACTGCCGACAACACCGCAGACGTATCTGCGTCTACATCCACGTCTACTTCGACTTCTGCGCGTCGTCGTGAAACCCCATCCAATATTAAACTCGCCCCGATCTTTAGCTCCGGACGCCCATCCCAAACTCATGATAGCAAGCAGCCCAGCACCCCTCATGGCCCGTCTCAATCCAAGCTGACGGAGCCGCACACGACACCACAAAGAAGTGGTGGCAAGCGCAAAGCTGACCTAGCTCAGCCCGGCCAGCCCTCCACCAAGCGACTCAAAGGCGCCGCGGCCAAGGCGCAAGCTAACGCGCCTCTATCTGAAAAGCTTCGCCCACGGAACCTGTCAGACTTTGTCGGGCAAAGGCATCTCACCGGGTCTGACTCCCTCTTGATGAATCTTGCAGAAAACGGATCGCTAGGGAGCCTCATTTTCTGGGGGCCGCCGGGGTACTCTCCATTCTCCTAGTGGCGCGGGACTTCATTACTGACGGATGTATGCGCATTAAAGGTGCGGCAAGACCACGCTGTCCCGGCTGCTCGCCCGTCAGGGCGATGCGGTCTTCAAGGAGCTGAGCGCCACTTCGTCGGGTATCAACGATGTTCGGGTTGTCTTTGAGGAAGCGAGATCGTTGCTGACTCTGACAGGCAGGCGAGTACACTTATGGCATTGCTAGTGTTGCGTTATTTTAAGGTAACCATCTTATGACAGACGGACGATCCTGTTCCTCGATGAGATCCACAGGTTCAACAAGGCGCAGCAGGTACATACCTCTTTCTTCATTTATTCACCTTGCGCCCGCTTAAAAAAGGTTGTGCTAGGATATATTCTTGCCTTACATTGAACAGGGCCAGATCCAAGTGAGTTGTGTACCTGATATTAATATACCGGCCTCACATAGGCGGAAGGTGATAGGTGCAACCACGGAGAATCCGTCCTTCAAGCTTACGGGAGCTTTGCTCAGTCGGTGTCGGTAAGATAAGCTTGCTACTCAGATGTGAGCGCATGAATCTCACATGCAAACATTTGCAAGCGTTTTTGTCCTTGAACGCCTAACAGACGACGATGTACGAGGCATTATCAGTGGCGCGATGTCTCGTGTTTGCAGCAACGACGATGAGTCCTCCCACGCGCCCTCCAGCCCCATTGGCGATCCTTCTAGCTCTCAACTACCCTCGTCTCAGCTATCCTCGTCTCAGTTATTACCATCTCAGGATCCCGATGCTGCGGTACCTTATCCGTCTTACCCACAATTAACCAGTCGAGTTGTAGCTTCGATAGTGTCCCTAGCGTTCGGTGACGCACGGACCGCTCTTTCGCTGTTAGAACTCGTACTTTCCTCCCGCAAAGACACGAAGGAAGATGCCATTCTTAACTCACTGCGGCAATCTGTGTCTACCTCGTATGACCGCACAGGCGACAGTCACTACGACATGATTTCTGCGTTGCATAAAAGCGTGCGGGGCAGTGACGCCAATGGCGCTGTGTATTGGCTCGCGCGTATGCTGACAGCGGGGGAAGACCCAGTGTATATCGCCCGGCGTATGGTTGTTTGTGCCAGCGAGGACATCGGGTTGGCAGATAACCACGCTTTGCCCCTGGTGCGTCTATCACAGTTACGTCGTAGTGTGCCTCGAAACATTTCTTATCAACCTTACCTTGAATAGGCGATGGCGGCTCTCCAGGCCTGTCAAAACATCGGCATGCCCGAATGCAGGATAAATTTAGCACATGTGGTGGTTTATCTCGCTGAAGCTCCCAAATCGACTCGTTCATACCAGGCATACAACCGGGCCGAAGCGGCAGCGAAACACGATCCCACTGCGCCCGTCCCCCTCCAGGTTCGCAATGCGCCAACGAGGCTGATGGAGGAACTCGGCTACTCTGAAGGATATATGTACAATCCTGACTATCTGTCCGCGTGCTTCTACTTTGTGGAGTGCAAACCTTGTGTTAACTCACATGTGCTGATTTGCAGACACCCGGTCCATAACGATTATCTACCTGCTTCGCTCAGGGATGAACATTTCGTGCGACCGGCCCAAGACACCACCGACAAGGTATGGGACGAGGCTGCACTAGTCCGGTGGGAACAGGAGCGCAACGGGAGACGTCCGTGGTCAGGCCGCGATCGAGCTGATGAAAGCACCAGTAATGATTCCGGGCCATCGCGGAACTCGGCATCCCCGCAAAAACCGCCTGAACCATAACTCATAATGACCACAAGGTGCATGGATGCTAATGCTGTGGCACGGGAAAGCAAATGGAAGTTCGAGTTAGGATGCTTCTTAGAAAGTCGAATTACGATATACCAAACAATTTGTGGGTAACGACGGTGCGCTTTTCACACTCGGCGTGTTCAAATAAACTTGATAGATGCAGCATAGTTGTAAACGTATCGGGAGCCGGCAGTCAGATGCTCACCACGGCGGTTGCTTACATGTGGGCTCACTCTAGTGTATGGCCTTGTGTGGCTCCCGCAGATTGAGGCAGAAGGTACGATCAGGTTGATATCAGTCATGGCGTGGACTGATGAGCTCCTGTGTGCCATGAACGTTATTTGGGCTCCAGGTGGTGGAGGCCCATGTGCTTTCCGGTGGCTTACTGCCGTTCTCATCATACTTAGAATCCTGTCCCGCAAGGAACCTGCGCGTCAGTGCACGTCAGACAAGATAAGAATAGCTGTCTTATCTCTCAGCTAACTTTACTCGCTTGCTCTTAAAAATGGCTCCCCATCTGTCCGGGCACTTCCTTGCACGGGACAATTTCTGTACTCATGGCCCACCCAGGTCCAGTCGGCGACGCCATCGAGCGCAGCGGCTCCTTCCTCGGCGAGAAGGCCGCGTCTGAGAGCGACGAGAAGGTATCCTACGGTAAAGGCGACGTTGAGGCTGTCGCTGAAGTGGACCCCGAGGCCGACGATGATACGGTCCTTAATGACGAGCGCGACATTGTCACACACGTTATCACAATTGACGACGACCCTTCTCTCAACCCATGGACATTCCGCTCCATGTTCATCGGTCTCGGTCTTTCTTGCTTTGGTGGTGTATTAGGTATGTTATCCCCTGACACTCATTTCGATCTCCTGGCAAATGTATTTTTTGTTTACAGCTCAGATCTACTACTTTAAGCCTGTACGTGATGTCCCATAGCCCGCAGGTGTCCTCGCTGATGGTACTTTTACTTGATCAGCAAACCATTCTAGTGTCCCTGATGTTCTTAGGGGTCATTTCTTATGTCATCGGTTTGTTCATGGAGACCTTTATTCCTCGTCAGGGAATGTTCCGCTTCCTCAACCCTGTTGGTATTGTCGTGTTTGCACGGCTAATCCGTCAACTGATATTTTTGGATATTTTATCAGGGGCCCTTCAATAAGAAGGAGAACGCATTTGCCGTCATCATGGCTAGCGCTGCTGCCAATTCTGCACTGGCCACTGAAGTCCTTGCGGTTCAGCGCCTTTACTACAACATCACGCCCAACGCCGGTGCTTCCATCTTCTTGCTTTTTTCTAGTCAACTCCTTGGATATGGCCTCGGAGGCTTGATGAGACGTGAGTAACTGCCGTCTGAACTTCGCAAGATTATAAGTTGCTGAATAATGCCGCAGCAATTCTTCTGTACCCGTCCAAGATGTTGTACCCTGGTGTCTTGCCCCTACTCTCCATGTTCGACGCCCTCTTTGAGGGTGGTAAGGCGGCTCGCAAGAAGCTCAAGGTGTTTTACGTGGTTTTCGCATTGTATGTCCTTATTATCTAGCGTTACAATGATTTGACGTAGAATCCTACTAGCATTTTTATTTGGGAGCTATTCCCAGAATGGATGTTCCCTCTTATAACTGGGTTCTCGATTATCTGTCTTGCGGCCCCGAACAGCGCTGCTGTATCCCGCCTTTTCGGTGGCACGAACGGCAATGAAGGTCTCGGGATTCTGTCGCTCTGCCTCGATTGGCAATATGTTTCTGGGGGCACAAACCCAATGACTATTCCCCTAAAGGCCCAATTCTCCAACTTCATTGGCTACATTTTATGCGTCGCGGTTTTCACCGGCGTATTCTATATGAACATTTGGAAGGCGCAGAATTTCCCTTTCGTATGTTGCCGTCAGTTCTTCAGATGTTCACGATACTTAATCGTAGACCACAGCTTTCTCAATTGCTATTTTACGAAAACGGCACGCAGTACAACCAAACACTCATCTTGAACTCGAACTATGAGGTTGACCCGACTCTTCTCGCCGAACAGGGGCTGCCTTGGTACTCCACCACCTGGGTGGTTAATCTACTGACCACCAACCTCGGCCTTGCTGCTACCTTCACCCACCTGCTACTTTGGAATTTCGATGACCTCCGGTCTGCCTGGAGCTGGGCTACACCCTCGGCCATCAAGCATTGGTGGGCTCATGTCAATTGGAAGTTCTGGCAAAATGATGGCAAGCGAGAGTTCACGACTGAAGAGATCGCCAATCTCGACCCTCACTACCGGGAGATGCTCAAGTATCCGGATGCTCCCAATAGCTGGTACTTTGTCACCCTGATCTGTTCCGTCGTCATCTCGCTCGTTGTCATTTACGAGACCAATTCGACTCTTCCCTGGTAAGTAACTTTTCGAGTCCCAACGTTCCTCGCTAATATGTCTAACAAAGGTGGTCATATGTCGTTTCCGTGCTGCTTGCTACCATCTCTATCCTGTTCTTCGGTGCACTATACGCTATCACTGGCCTTCAGTTCATCATCCAGCCGTTTGTCCAGATGATCGGTGGATTCTTGAATCCCGGTAAACCCATGGCCAACATGTACTTCGTGCTCTACAGCTACAGTAAGTATAAATCATCGTGCTTCCACAGAGCTCATCTCATGTGTTTTCACTAGATTCCGTGTCCCAGGCCCAACTGCTGCTTAGGGACCTGAAGATTGCTCAATGTCTGTTTTACTATGGTTATGACCAGAGCCGCGCATTGACGCAATGCCCATAGATGCTAAGCTCCCCCCTCGGGCCGCATTCACTGCTCAAATCATTGGCACCTTGCTCGGTGCTGTTCTCAACTTCAGTAAGTTCTGGTTGCCTCCACGCCCTGTAAAACTCAGTTAACCGACCGTTTCACCAGTTTTGATGAACTCAATCATCAAAAACCAGTTCGAGATTCTGCTATCTGTGCAAGGAACAAACATCTGGTCAGGTCAGCAGCCTCAACAGTACAACTCCCAGGCAATTGCCTGGGGTGGCCTGAGCCATCAACTCTTCGCCGTTGGTCAGCGTTACCAATGGGTTCCATGGGCATACGTGGTGGGCTTGGTTGTTCCGGTGCCGTTCTGGTTGGTCCACCGCTACTTCCCAAAGCTGAGAGCGGACTACTTGTATACGCCAGTCATCTGGTGAGCTGAATTTCTGAGCATTTGAACAAGTACGCTGACATCGTCGCCAGCTACTACATTAGTTGGCTATGTGTGGGAATCAACTCGTCCATCTTGTCGTACTTCCTAGTTGCATTTGTCTCACAATGGTGGCTTCGTACGCGGTACCCCCGGTGGTTCGCCAAGTACAATTACATCGTCGGTGCTGGTACGCACTCATTTCTTTTTTGTATGTCGCCACACTGAAATATTCTTGCAGCCCTCGATGGTGGTACGCAAGTCATGGTTTTCATATTGTCATTCGCGGTGCAAGGCGCTGCGGGCACGTCCCACCTGTTCCCACAATGGTGGGGTGCTAACCAGAACGGAAACTACGATCATTGCATGCTGCTCAACACTGGTGACTGAGATGTTGGCTTCTTCTACAGTTATATCTGAGGGCTGTACTATACACCAATCGACCGACTCCTGTTCGTAATAAAAGACCTATTAACATTCACTCTATATCTCAACCTCCTATATATTTTGTTGTGATGCGCTGTTCATGTTATCAAACAAAGCTATCGTGACATTTTGCCAATTGCCTCCTTGGAGGTGCCTATTGGTGCGTCCGCCGCGATGTCGAGACGCGCCTCCTATCCATGGACCTGTCGCGACCAGCGTCCTCTCCCGGCCCTCCCTCTCCAGAGCACGTTCCCGAGCGCGATATTGGTGGTATTCCAGCAAGCTTCAGCCTTCTCTCCGCACGTCGGCCTTCATGGGCACCACCACTACCTTCAGATGACCCCATAGCGACTGGTTTGGCTTCCTACCGCGATGTATCCAACCTCTCTGCGCAAGCCGCAGCTGCAGCTGCACCGTCCTCGCTCTCCCCCGATGATGGGCGGAACTTTAGGAGGAATCTACAGATTGACATGAAGGATCTTGTTGGGGATGCCGTTGGCAATGTCAGTCCCTTCTTCATTTCTTTGCTCACATACGGAACATGTCACTCTCAGCCCCGTATTATGACTCAGAAATAATTCTGTTGACTGATACGGCTATGTCGTAGATGAGCATAAGCCCAACGAGCCGAGACGTCGTACTCGCAGCGTAGGTGTCATCCCTCTTTGCATTCTTGGCCGAGGCTACAAAGCAGGCAACAGGCGCCGAGGGTTGTTCATCATTGATCTTGAGGCACCTCTCGAAGTACCTCACTTTCTGCCTCAAGGTGGCACATGGGACGTGGCAGATGTCCAGTGGAACCCCCATAAGTCATTCGCAAAATATATAGTCTCCACATCCAGCGAAAAGTTGTGAGTACACATACCGCGAGTACAACACTTGGGTCGATCTGACATGCAATGCACAGACTGATATGGAACCTTATGCTCGGCGGGAAGACAGCCATTGAACACATCCTTCGCGCTCATTACCGTGCAATCACAGACCTAAATTGGCACACATCAGAACCAGAAACTGTATGTAGCGTTGGCATTGATTCTTGGCTCTGGACCTGGGATTTGAGATCGCCGCGTAAGCCAGCAATGGGTAAGTAATCCTGCCAATAGTCCGCATTATCATCTCAGTGCATCCTGTTATATAGGCTTGTGTGCTTTCAATGGTGGGTGCCTCGAGATACGCACTGCGAAGCAACTCAACATCTGATACAGCTGGTGGCACGCAGGTGAAGTGGAATCGCCATGACTCTAATATCCTTGCATCGTCCCACAACAATGAAGTCCTCATATGGGATAGGCGGGTGAGTGAACGTGACCCTGCCTGGTTCGCCCTTTATGCTGAATTGTCATCATAGAAAGGCTCTGTTCCGATGGCAAGAGTCAAAGCACACAGTTCCAAAATATATGGTATAGACTGGTCACATTCACGAGGAGGAGAAATTATTACGTGCTCTCTGGACAAGACTATCAAAGTATGGGACCTAAACTACCCTGTACGCGAGGAAGGTCAGTACGAACCCAGGACGACTATCACTACCGGGTATCCTGTGTGGCGTGCCCGAGATCTTCCATTCGGGCGAGGAATCTTGTCTTTGCCTCAGCGTGGTGATACAACATTGGAGATGTATGCTGCTGGAAATCCGAACATGCCTATCGAAGTGTTTGAAGGGCACACGGACGTGGTAAAAGAGTTCGTGTGGAGGAAAGGTGGTCTGGGTACGTTCGACGATCCGGACTTTCGATCCGTTCTGATTCCCAGCTAGATGGTGGTGAATACCAGCTCATTACTTGGTCCAAGGATCGTACACTCCGGTTCTGGCCTGTGGACGCAGACATTATGGAGGTGAGCCCGTCGAAGATACGACAGGATCCTCTTGTAGCTAAATAACACGGGCTGCAGAGAGCAGGTCACATTCCTTCAGGAGCAAGCGAATCACGTTTCTTCACCGATTTTGATGCCACACCCTCCACTCGTTTTGTTCCTCATCCTACCACCTTTGAACACCAGCCACAACTGTCTGCACCCATAGGTTCTCGAGCCATCCTTGCCGGAGTCCGCGCAGGGTATCCACACGTCCACCGCAAGACTTCCAATGCTGGGTCGAATTACAACCCAGTCTTGCAACCACATCGTGGCTCAGCCCTACGCGAACGTGGAAACACACTAACAGCGGGGCATATCGCAGGCGCCGTGACGGGCTCCACGCTCACGTTCCAGAATCACCCCCGGGCAACTCCAACGAACCGCAACGGAGGCACGATGTCGCGTGGTGGGGGCATCAACGCGCGAGTGGACAAGTTCGCATGGCTGTCGAGTGTCAAGGTTGGCGAGAAGCGGGAAGACAGTTCGGGTCCGGATAGCGGTGGACCGTCAAGATTGAGCTCGCGGTCGCGGCCCTCTTCAGGGCGAGAGCAGAGCGTAGACAGGCAGGTGCAAGATGACTCGGGGCGCGGACGGAGTATGGGCCATAATAAGAGGAGGCGGAGTGAAAGTAAAGATCGCAGGGAGGGTGAAGGAACCCAGTCGCTGCAGGATGAGTAAGTGCAGTCATGTTAGTTCACTGGGAGCAAACTTAGCTTATTTTCGCAGGATTACCTCTGTGTTGACGAAGTTGACTACACAGAAAGTGAAGCTTGAGAAGGTTACATCATGCTCACTTCATGTCTCCCCTTTGACTAACCATTACCATAGCACGACCTTGCGAAGCGACGAACCTGCACTTTAGGCTTACATGGACCATGGGGAGACAACTCGTCTGTATTCATCCGAGTAACACTCAAGTTTCCCAAGGCGTATCCTGCATCGTCCCACCCAGACGCGACGCCTGAGCTTGAAATGGAGCGAAACCCCCTGATATCGATGCAGACTCGAGCATTCATGCTTCGCCGATTGCGCGGAATTCGCGAGCGTCGAAGACCCTGTCTAGAGGCTTGCCTACGATTCTTGCTCTTTGGAGACGAAGATGAGCATGCAGCGGGGCCGATGCCAATCGAGTCAGAATCTTCTGACGAAGACGGGGAGTTCGAGAAGCCCAAAGATCTAGGGATGATGCGGGTCACGAAGAACATCATGGAACCACGCACCTCACAGGGAGTGTTTGGCCCGAATGGTACGTCACCCCACTGGTTCCTTCAAAGTGATATTAAAGCTACTAGGCGAACTTGTTTGCTTTTTCCGTGCTGCCCCTCGAATGGTGAAAACCTACGGTGGCTCGGGAGGCTCGGGCAATGATCTCCCTGCATCAAACTCTACTGCTGCTGCATCTCGCTCGTCAACCACTGTCCCCCGCATATTCCAATCGCCTGCCCTCCTCTCCGATGCAGTCCGGCGCCTTGGAGTGGCCGCCTCTGACTCTAAGCAGCTCGACCCCTACGACACCAAGCGCAGCGACAAGCGCGACGACCTCGTCCGTCTAATGACGAACCTTCTCACCTTCGCGACGAACGCACGGGGCAAGCCCGGGGAATCCACCGCCGAAGAAGATAGCATATCCAACTACTCCTATATTCCGACGCGCCGTAGCATCCTCGTTCTCAAACGGCCTCCACCGCACGTGTTCAAGATCGACCGGGAAGCTGCTGCAAGGTACGTGTACGAAGCAGAGAGCCTCGCAAAACTTTGCGAGGCAAACGCCAAGGTCGCGAGCGAGTTCGGTCTGTTCCATCATGAGCGTGTGTTTAGCACGATCCGGTCGCTGTTCCCGGCTTCCAAGAAGAAGATCAAGTCGCGGAGGACTAAGTCGTCAACATTCACAAACTGGGGAGTGGCTCAGCAGACCGTTCAGCTTCTGTGAGTAGACCCTTGCAAGCGTGAGGAGAGCCATTGACTTTAGGAATGTACAGGTATCAAGAATTCTCTGTGATGAAGGATGTGCAAATGCTCGCAATGATATCCGTGATCTTGCTTAAAGCCGCACATGTTTCAATTAGTTGTAAGAGTCTGATGTATCTCTGTTCCGTTTTGTGCACCAACAAGCTTTTCACTTTTCAGCTCAGTCGAATAACGACCCAATGTCAGCCATTCCAAAGGTGGAAAACGACTACTTCAGCCTGGCCCGACAGACGGACAACCGAGCTGGGGCCCTCTCACCTGCCTGGCCACGACTGCCATTGATGTCCCCGACCGCAAACATCTTGCCGGCGGCCCCTCCAATCTCGACGTCGAACTCGTCCAAAGGGTCATGGTCGAGCCTGTTCAACACCGGCAGCATGCGGAACTTCATGGCCAACGTGCAAGAGTCCATCGGGACACCCATGGAGCGAGACGCGGCGAGCGCTACGCTGCGTCTGCCGATCCCTGTGCCGCAGCAGAAAGAGCAGAAGGTAGCTGGGTCAGACTCTCCTCGCCGACGGAAGGTGTCCAAGGAGACGACGGCGTCTGTGAACTCGCCGGTGTCAAAGTCGTGGTCCGAAGCGGTTGGGGTGCCGAAACCAGCGTCGTCGGGCATTGGGGGCAACCAAGGGTACCGACCTACTTTTTCGCGGGTTATCAGCCCCAAAAGGACTATACCGGAGAAGAAGTTGGTGATCACTGAAGAAGCTGAGCCTAGCTCGACTCGGTAAAGTCAATGTTTTACTAGTCTGGCGCTGCAGTTAATCGAAAGATATTTCAGCCGTCCGCTAGATGCTCGGATGCTGAAACAGCTCTCATTGCATATCCATGCCTACGCAGAGATTCTGTTCCGGTGGCAGCTGCTGAACAAGCGGACCGAATTGCTGAATGCCGTTCCATCTGGAAAGAAGACATCAAGTGATCTGGTACTGGGTGCGTGCTTACACACGTCGAAAAGTTATCAGTCACAGGATAGAGGCTGACAAGAACGTCAGGTTTCTCTGCGACATGCAATCGCTGCGGGGCTGTGTGCAAGGCGGACATTGACTGCACGGTATGCGGAATGCACCCTGGCAAGCCCCTGTGTACGATCTGCCGGCTGCCAGTGAAGGGTATTTCGCGGAGCTGCACGCGGTGTCTGCACATCAGCCATTTGCGATGCTGGCACAAGGTGAACGCGCAGGCGTGCCCGACGGGGTGTGGGTGCCGGTGCGGTGCGCTACCTGCCATCCAGCTTCGGGCAGCGTGATGGTGCCTGGTGCATACCGGGGTAATGCATGTATATTAATACTGTTTTACCATGTGTCTGTAGATCAGAATAGAATGTAGTTTTGTGGGTTTAGTGTGAGAAGGATGAGTGAGCGCTGCTGACGGTTAGGCCGTCGGTGCCGACTCGGTGTGCGAGCGCGGCGCACACGGCGGCGCTAAGCTTGATCCTAGGATTGATTTGGTGTATCTGCTAGTCATGCTGAAGAAAGCGTGAGGAAGGATCTCGAATCTGTACTTTTCGACGTGGATGAGCGAGTGCTTTGTCTCAAGGCGCAGTTCTGCGTTATCGCACGAGAGCTGGCAGAAGCGGGAGCAGACAACGGAGGCAAATTCGACGATCAGAATCCGGTCGTACGATGAAACAAGATAAAACGAATTGCTCGGCCCTACAATGCCGCCCTGCGCCACCAGATCACTACGTTTACCAACGACTGTACGAGACGGCGTCGGCGGTGGGGAAATGCTCGAGAAACGTGCTGCAAACGAGGGTGGCTCGATGAGATCCCCTGGGTGGTGCAGTGGTGTGCAAGCGAGCGGGGATCACCGACGGGGGGTTCGATGACTGCAGCATGGAGTCGCTGTAAATGTGGACAGCACCGCCATCGCCATAATTAGAAGCTGTACTAATCTTGGCCCACGCGTATCTGAGCGGCTTCGGCTTGGCCGAGGAGTGGTGGATCTTCTGTGGCGCGAATTTGCGGGAGGGACGAAGGGCGCAGCAGCTATCCATAATATCCACATTCCTTTCTTTCTCTGTCTCCTCAACGGACAGCGCACTCTTCTTGTGTGCTGGCAAGAACAAGGCGGACATCCTCGCAACCAAACCAAAGGACGGACAACTGGCAACAATAGTCCGAGGTGAGATTGCCAGAATACAATGCCAATATTGCGATGAATAACATGCTGACAACACGCTCTCCGTTTATTGTCCATCCCTTCTTTAGTCTCGCCCTCATCCAGTCTCCCTTCCTGCTCTCCTCCTCCCCTCCCCCTTCCCCCTTAGACGACCCAGCATGCTCTTGTCCGCCGCCCGGTTGCGGCGCTCCACTCCTCTTCTCCTTGCTCTGGCCTCCGCAGCAGCTGCACGCGACGATGTCCTTTGTACGCCTCCTCTGTCCTCCATCATTCACTGCACTAATCTCTCTCAACAGACACCTCTTCCGTCAGTTATTGTGCTCCACCACAGGAGCTCCTCGTCAGCACCTTCAACATCGTTTACTTTGCAAAAAATCAGTCCGTCTTCTTTGACATCGCAGCTGCCAGCGTCGTACGTCTCCGTTACCTCTTGCCATCTCCTAATCTCTCAATCACCGTGAACAGCAACCAAATGTGAGCGTATCAGCAAACCTGCTGCTCAACGACTATGGCTCCCATCCCTTCAACTACACCCTTCAACTCTGCTCCTACTTCGGTGGCGCCCTCTGTCCCCTCCCCATGTACAATTTCAATGGCACCGACATTATTCCCCTCCCCGCATCACTTGACGTATCCAGCAGAATACCATCCATTGCCTACAGCGTACCTGACCTCGAGGCCTACGCTCAGCTCATGCTCGTCGAGGAAGGCACCGGCAACGTTGTCGCGTGCCTCCAGGCCACCCTCTCCAACGGCTGGTCAATGCACCAGGTCGCCGTAGAGTGGGCAACTGCTGCTCTCGGTCTCCTTGCTCTTCTCTCCGCACTCTTTTACTCTTTCTCGACAGAGTCCCTCGCTCCTTACCGTCTCTTTGATCTCTTCTACCTTTACCAATGGGCTGCCTCTACCGGCTTCCTCGACCTCAACTATTCCCTCGTCTACACTGCTTTCACCAGCAACTTCTCCTGGGCTATGGGCCTCATCCCCGCGTCTGCCACGTCCTCCTTGCAGAATTCCATAAATAACATGCGCCACCTCACAGGCGGCCATATGGCCGACGCTAGCACTGGTTCCTCCTTGGCCTTCACCAATCGGGAAATGAGCCCATATAACGCAATTGTTCAGGAGACACCCGTTGGCGGACAGTCCGGTGCCACCAGTCTCCTCGTTCAGAACAGTCTGGTCAACTATGCGAAATCCACCATGGCCAGCTTTGTTTCTGCTCTCGATAACGTCGGCTCAGGCGCAGGCGAGGTTCAGGGCAACGTTCAAACTGTCACGCCCTCGTCATCCAATGTTTTGGACGCTGGCATTCCCACCTACACCAGCACAGTCGGCGTTGCCGCCGCGAATGCGTTCATGACTGTCTTCCTTGTCGCTCTCATCGTCTTTGTTATCGCTCTGGCTGTCTTGGGCTTGGGATATGCGGTCATATTCCTCCTGAGTCGTAGGAGCAACAGCGAACGGCTTAATGAGTGGAAGTACCGTTACCCTGGATTCGTCCGTGCCTGGTTATTGCGAATTGTAAGTGCTCTGTCTTCAGCCTCGTGATAACGAAACTAATCAAGTGTTTCAGGCTTTGATCGCGTTCACCCCTGTCACTATCTTTGCATTTTACCAATGGACTCTGAAGGACTCTTGGCTATCCGTGTTGCTCTCCGTCATCCTTCTCCTTGTTGTTTTGGGCTACATTTTGTACCCTGCATTCTCTGTTGTGCGCTTGGCGTCGCGATCGACTCCTTACGCGCTCTATTCGCAGTCAAACTGCCTCAACGCGCATGGACCTCTTTATTCGCAATACCGCCCTGATCGGTATTTCTTTACTATCCTCTTACTTATCGCCATGCTCGTGAAGTCGCTGTTCATTGCCTTCGCACATGCCAACGGAGAGGTCCAAGTTATCGTCATCCTGGTGGTTGAGATCATTGTCTTTGCCTGCATCGTCTTCTTCCGTCCCAACAAGACAAGACGCGCCGACGTTCTTTCAAGCTACCTCGCCCTCACTCGCGTCGTCTGTACCGGCTTGCTTATCGCCTTTGTGCAAAAGATCGGGCTGGCTGCGATCCCCCGGGTGGCTGTCGGTCTCGTTATTGCCGTCATCATCTCCATCGCCGTCATTGTCATGTTCTTCAACACGCTCGTCAACCTCGGCCTCCTCCGTCCCTTCCGCCGCGGCCGCAAGCTGACCGCGTCCGACTCCGACCTGGAGAAGCGAGGCGGCGAGTCCGTGGAAGGCTCGCAGTCGCCGCTCACGCGTCCGAACAACCCGGTGCCGCAGCACGACGTGCCTATGGACCAAAGCGAGATGATGGAGAAGTCGCTGCCTAATTCGCCGCAGTACTCGGAGCCCGCGAGCGACTACTCGGCGGCGTCGGGCTCGACCACGCTCGGGTCCGTGCTCCCGCGGCGGTGGTCGTGGCAGCAGTCGCACTCGCAGGGGACGTCGCCGTCCTCGAACCAATTCGTCTCGTCGCCCTCGTCGCCGAACTCCAACCTGGGGCACTCGACGCGGCCACCGACAATTGAGGAGCACATGGCTACGTGACATAGTTTATACTCGCACTGAACAATGCCTGTCCATTTACATACACATAGAGTAGCTTTCACATGCATATTCCCCTTCTCATCTTGCACATACATACTGACTTTCTTGTCGCATCCATCCTGGCTTCGCACTCGCATCACACCGCACCTAGATTCGTCTCTCGGACTACTCGGTAGTAGAAGACCGCCCCACCCTCTGGAAGTGTTCTCGATTTAGCATCGTAGTCTATATACCGTTTCTCAGTAATGTGTGATATCATGGGATCTTTATTCGTATCGAGGAAATATATATGAACTGGACCAAGTATAGCAGAGAATGGTTGACATCACTTCGCGAAGCAGCAATCTCCCAGAAGAAACAATCACGAGTAGCCACGTCAAAAATTCTACCGGCTCCGCAGCACGGGTCCTGTGCGTTCGTGTACAAGGATCGCACCCCGCCATATTCTTAGAGCAAGTCGACGGCCCCCTGCCGCGCGGAGACGACAGCGACGACCCTGCTCGACATGTCGAACATGTCGCCGCCGCGCGTCGCGACCAGGTCGCGCTGTGCCGACGCGACGCTGCCCGTGAGCAGCTCCTCCACGTTCGTCGACGCCAGCGCCATCGCTTCCTGGCGCGACATGCTCCCCGCGGCCTCGTACCACGCCTGCAAACGCAACAACAAGAGACGGCGCATCAGAACGGCAGACAAAAAAGTCATCACGGCGGACGCGTCGCACGCACCCATGCAAGATCGAACCGCGCGTTGCGGGCGTCCCACGCTTCGAGCACGCCGACGCCCACGGTGACATTGTGCTCGATGAGCGTCGAGATCGCGGATCGCTCCGTCAGTGGCGGGCCAGGCAGTCTGCGAAGCAAGCCGTTAGCGTCTACTATACCCATTTTGGCACGCTTCCACTCCACAATCCAATAATACACCGAGCAAAAAGGAAACAGAGAAAGTAAGACGACGCACATCCTCCGGTCCTCCCAGGCGTACGGGAACGCGCGCGCGGGGTTCATAATCACGCCGACGCCGTTCGCGCTGAGCTCGGGCGCGAGCAAATGCGCTTCCGAGGCGCCCGTGACAGTCAGCTTGATGGTCGTGCCTAGTTTCTGCTCGACCTCGCGCTTGAGCTCGATGAGCGTCGCTATGATATCCGCGCTGTGCGCCTCCACCACGAGCGGGACGCGGCCCTAGTACACGTCGCGTCAGCAAAGCTATCGGGCCGTCATACATATTCTAAAAAAATCCTCAAGCACCTTCCGGACCTCCTCGAACCAGAACCCTGCCTCGCCCGCCTTGGAGGACAAAAGAAGCCTGCGCAACGTCCCAATCTGCGTGCTTATACTCGGCGTACCGAAGTGCGAGATCGACATATGCACGCCGGCTTGAGGACGAATCACAGCGCCATCCTGGAGCCTATGCGCGGCGCCAAGCGAGAAGTGCGCGCTCAGCCCGCCCCAGAAGCCTCTGTGGATCGGAGCAGTGATCGCGCTCGTGACGCCAGCACGGTATGCGAGCCTACGCAAAACAGTCAGCACTCACACAAAGAGACATCGGGAGTGTCTCACAGGGCATCCCGTCCACCAAACTGCAACCCGTCAGACGCATGCACCAGCGCATCGTCCCCGCCCGCGATCCTCGGCACAGACGCAGTCAGCGGATCAGTAACGACGCCGTCCTTTGTCGACGGCTCCGAGTCGATCTCCGCGAGCCCCAGAGGAGCGCCAAAGGACACGAGACCGGGTGCGAGAGCGCCGCCTTCCAGGTCAATGGTGTCCGCAGCATCCACACCGCTAACGAACTCGGCACAGGTGGACTCTGGCTTATAACACACCTTCCCCTCGTGCACGAGGACGACGCCTAGCGTGCCATCGTCTCTCATCAGCGAGACCTCTCTAGCCACACTGCCGTCCTCTTCATGAACATAAAGCGACTTGACATTTCTGAACAACACGAAGCCGCTCGTCCGCTTCTTGGGCTCGAGCGGCGGGAGACCTTCGTACTCCACAGCAGCCTGCGCATCCGCGTCAAAGTCGGGAACCTTGGGTAGCTCCTGGAAGACCGCGGGTTTCTCCTGGACATGCGCATCCTTGAGCTGGGAGATGCCGTCGATGAAGACGTGCGTTGGGGTTGCGCCGAGCGCAAGAGGGTGGCTGTCCCACATCACAATGTCTGGAATGGTTCATCAGGCTTCCCCATTCCTATGCACGAGCGGAGCACATACCGGCGTCGTAACCTACAAACGAAACAATAGGCCGTGAGCTAATTTCGGCGTACTTCATATCACTACCACCCACCTTCTTGGATGAACCCAACGCGATGGTCAAGTCCCAGGACTTGCGCCGGAGTGCTCATGACCGAGGCCATCGCCAGATTGTAAGGCATACCGTAATAATACGCCTGTTGGGCTTCATATAGCAGGAAGCGCGAGTTCTGCACGGGATGGTCGCTCTGAATTCGCTAATCAATCTTATGTTCCAAGTAGATGAGAGGAATTTACTCACCTTCATCGCTACTTGAATGCCGTGCTGGGCCAGGACCCTTGGTGCAAACTCGGAGGACCGATATGCCTCTCGCTTGTACCTGAAAATAATTGAATTACTGTATGCGCACATTGTCCTCCGCCCAGACCTACCTAGCATCAGTAGCAAAGAGGGCGACCGCGGGAGGATGTCCTGCACAGCAATGTAAAACACGTTTGCGAGAGAAAAAGATGTACCCTACCATATCCAGTCTTCAATAGGTCAGGCACAAGATAAGCCTCGCTCGCGTGATGAACCGCAGCAATGGGGAACTCGAACTCGTTGGAGAGCTACTAAAGGGTAAGAGTGGCCTGATGCCGCACAAGTAACCTTGACGCACCCGCATCAAGTCATCCAAATCAACAGGCTCGTAGCAGTGGGTGTGGACCTAGAAATGGTATTTCCTCATTAGCAATAGCATATAAGCACGCTAGCTACATGTTATCCAACCTTGACTTTGCCTCTCAGGACATCAACGAGAGACTCCCACTGAAGGCTTTCAGGAAAGTCGCCGATGTTCCTTTCGCCTTGCAGCAGCTTTGAACAGAAGGCATCCTGTGATTCCTTTACTTTGCGAGCTTCGTTGTATCTATTGGTCGCGTTCATATTGGTCTTTAGAGTTTTGCAGAACAGACCTACGCTTGACGGAATGCCCAGACGTTGTCCATACGGGTGTTTGAGTATACACCACCTATGACTCATTAGCCACCGGAAGACAGCCGAGAACCTATACTCACTTGGGTTCTCTCCTACGTCCAGCGTTTTTGTTAAACAGGTGCGTAAGCTAAGAGGTGTTAGAACTTACCACATGCTTGCCTAGAACGACAGTTAGCGCATGCAACGTAGTAATAGGAATAGCTCACTTGAGGTGACGCCAGCGGGGGCGGGCGCCGGTATCAGGGAAGGAAGTGTTGATATTAAAGGGAGGCTCGAGAAGCATGGACGTGGGGGAACGCTCCTTGGTGGTGCGTAGTTTGATGGCGAATGCTTGGCCGCCTGTAAAGGTAGCGTAAGCATACATGATAGTGTGAGGCTGACAACCGTACCGATAACATTAGCAGAACCCGGGAGAACTAGTGAAGTTGTGACACCACCAGCAATGGTTGTGCGGTAGCTGTCGTCGTGAGTGTTCAATCCGTCGAGACTACGAAGCCATGAGACTATGGGACCTTTGATAGAGTTGTCATCCTGAGCGCCATCCAAGGCAGGAGAGGCAGCGTCGCCTAAGTGAGTGTGCATGTCGATGATACCGGGGGTAACCCAAGCGCCGTCTGCGTCAATGACGTGAAGTTGCTTGTAGGACCTGATGAGTTCGCGGTCTACTTTGCCCATGGCCAAGATAAGGCCGCGGTCGAGCAGAAGTTCTCCGCCATTGATAACTTGAGTGCCATTGTGCTGGCCCGTCCAGATGGTGGCGTTGAGAACGAGAGTAGGACGGGTGCCCGGGACAAAGCGGTCCGAGTGAGAGCGGGAGTAGAAGTCGTGTTCTGGACCAGCTGGCCTTGCGAGATAATGGCAGCGTGCAATGTCCTTGAGCAAACGGGGAGATGCGACTTCCTCTTTGTATGTTTCAATTTGGTACAGGGTGACAAAGGTCAGGACAGCAGCCGCGAGGAAGCCGAGGCGGAAGACGGAAGATCGTCTGCGAGGCTGGAGATGGCCTGCGTCATCTTTCTCAAACATGGCTGCCTGGAAAGAAAAACGCGACAGTGACTGACCAGGGACACTCGCACTCTGTCACACACAACTCGGTTCCTGCGCGTGAATGTGGAGGACAAAGTGACAGCAGCAAGGACCCCGGAACAGACGCGTCGGGGTTCCTGGGGTCGTGGATCTGTTTATTACCGGTGTCTAAGCTCAAGCGCGTCGCGTCGCCATTCTATATTCCATCCCCACCCACTCAGTGACAAACGTAAAATGTCACAAAAGTCCAGTGCAAAAGCGCCCAAAGGCAACCGTAAAGTGACTGACTTCTTCACCCGCGTCCCGTCGTCGTCACAACCCCCCTCGTCTCCTCCCCCCACCGGATCGTCGCAAGGGATGGGTCGCACAGATTGTCCAAAAACACTATTCAACTCCCCACAGCCCAACATGAAATCAAAGTCAAATTCATTATCCACATGCACCTCCCTTTCCTCTACTCCCCCGGCTCCCATGTCCCCTCCCCCCTCCAAACAGAAATCTCGCATCGCCCCTAACGACAACAATTCTGCTCACCAAGCCAGGCGCCAAACGCGCGAGTCTGCGGACAGCAAGGTTTCTCTCAAGCGCCCACACTCACCTGACTCCTCTGTGCATCTATCCCAGCCTCCCTCCAAGGCTCCCACCAAACGCAAGAAGCAAGACCACGCCTCACCTCAAGTAAATGGAACTGCCTCCAACTCTCCTGAATCCGAGGCAATAAATATCCCTTCAAACTCTTCCTCAACCCTAACAAGTGGCAGTCTACTTCCTCGCTCCTCCACCTTGTCTCGCCTGAGCCCCTTATCCTCGCTCACTCGGTCCAGTCCTGTCACGAACCCTTCTGTAGTCTTGAGCAGCCAATCAGACGAGCACGATATGACCATGACTCCAAGGCAACCCAAGATGAAATCCATATCCGAAGTCACCAACTCCGTCACCAAATGGCGCGACGATGCTGTAGAAGACGACGACAAAGTCCTCACCTCAAGCACTTCCCGTGACACAGAGATGGTCGAGGCTGACCTTCAGGGCACTCCTTCTACCGACCCTCCCAACGTTCCTCTAACACCCCTCACCGACCCCGTCTCCCTTCCATCTGAACCCGACATGGGCTCAGACCTCCCGAGACTCTCGACCAGCCCAGAACCCGACGTCCGTGCCCAAGCATCTGCTGCTCCCGCATCCTCCTTGCCTTCTCCACCGGAGACTCGGGCCGCTGACTCGAGTTCTGACGCGGGCAATGATGCCGCCGACATCATTGCCCAGATTAAAGCCAGGGTGTACGCCGCTGGTAACTCGAGCGACGATGAGAAACAAAAAACCCTTGAGCTTAGAGATCTATCTGACAGCGATGAGGATTCTGACCTCGATCTGCCTGCCTTTAGAAAGAATAATGGCAAAGGCAAGAGGTAAGACACAATTTTTAACAGTATGTCCTATACGAAGCTGATCTATGACTTGCAGCGTGGCTTTTCGGAATACCAGGTCCGGCGCTTCTTCTCCTTCAGCATCCTCATCCCGTCTTCGCCGGTCTAGTAAGAAAGCGGAATCGACCTCATCTGGCTCTCGCTCGCCTTCTCCATCCGCTGGACGCCGCGTCTCGGGCCGCGTCCGCAAAGTGGCAGGAAAAGCTCCACAGCCTCTGACCCAAGCCGCGATCGAGGCCACCGAGAAGGCCCGCAAGAAGGCTCACAATCCCCTAGAAGCGCTTCTACGGGAGAAGCGGTCCGGTCAGCGGCGCGGCATCGACGCCGACGCCGTCCGCATGGCAGACGAGGCCGTCATGAACAAGGACAAGTACCTAGACTTTGACGAGGACGCAGACTTCGGCTCGCCCGCGAAGAAGAAGCTCAGGGCGCCTTTCCCGCTGCTCTCCCAGGCTGATGGTGGCGCGAGTGACGACGAGCAGGTTGTTGTCGGCAATCGCGAGACCAAGTTACTCGGATCCAGAGCTGGCGATGCCATCAATCAGATTCTGTTCAAGGATAAGGCGAGCAAAGGCAAAGAGCGTGCGCGAGAGCTTGCAGAGCTCAAGGCCCATGGTGTCGCATTCTGGGGGCGCCCTCACAACAATGCAGATATGGAGGTTGACACAACGCGCGTGCAAGACCTCTTTGCAGATGGTCGCGACTCCTGTCATATTATCGCGCGGCTTCATGAATTGTATGTTCGTGGAGGTAAGTCCTAAACATGAATAACATTCGCACGCTTTGCTCATTCTACCAGACGTGCAGAGGCTATCAATCTTCCTTGGTGCTGGAGCACTCAACATGCTGAGTCCGGCGGAGCTGAACTTGGTCATTCCTTCCATATTCAAATTAGGTACGTGATTTATTAGCGACTTGCGTATTCCCTGGTTAAACGCCACACGGTAGCCATATCATCTGCGGATGAAGCTTCCGAGGCCGCCTTTACCGCCCTTTGCAACTTGTATTCTAAGCGGTTGACCTGCATGGTCTCGTTTGCTTACGTAGTGGATTGTCTATCGGCTCTTGGTGCGCGTAAAGACGTTTTGCAAGTACAGGGATGGTCAAGATCTACTGTGCAAAGAGCAGATGCCGACACGCGGGATCAAACTCTTGGCAAGCTTCTGACTTTGATCACGGCTGCTGCTAGGTACTAGCCATCTACTTGCGTGCTCTCCAAAACGCTGACATAGATATCAGGACGGATTCCGTACCATCATCTGATCTACCCGACATGATATTGGCGCTGATTCTGGTGGGACTCGACACGTCGACCTCACACGACACAAGGATCCAGCTCATCTCTGCGTTGGATGCGCTTTGTCGATCGATCACACTGGCCGTGGTATGTTTTACCGCTCCGAGGAAACCATGATCTCATTTTATCCGCTAGGAATCCACTGTCTACAACAAGCTCCAAACGTACATCAGGCAGCTGAACCCAACAAACAAGGCCTATGCTGTCTCGTTGCTTGCCAGCGGTAACGGACGAGCGCGGTACTTTGCTCAATGGCTAGCCTACAGCGCCCTGGTCAAAGCGCCTGCGTCTTATTCCGTGCGTATACCACTTCCACGCAGCACGCCACAAACACTCACCTAGCCACGTAATCCAGGACGACGATCTGCCGCCTCTCAACGACCTCGTCTCGCTCCTGACAGTCGACGCCATGTTTGACGTTGGAAGCGACGACATCGACTACGACGTTCTCCAGCAATACGTCCATCTGCTGGACATGTGGCTCGTCGACATCCAGGCCTACGTCGCGGAGGAAAAGAAGATGCAGCCCGCAACGCCGTCGGCGTCCATGGCCGCCATCGAGGACTCGCCGTCCAAGCTGCGGAGGAAGGAGCCGCCGCTCACGTTCGTGCGCAGTGCGCTTGACGTCATCCACGGCAGGATTGGTATGTCGTATATACATGGAATAAGGTGGCTGACGCTGATGGTCATTCGTGCAGTCGACACCCGCGCCGCGCATCTCGAGCGGTCGCGCACGAAGGCGGCGCTGCAGCGCCTCTCCATGCGCATCTACTACCAGCGGAGCGCCATGTCCAAGTCTGGCCGACCCGACCTCAAGGTTTATTTCTCTCCGCGTAAAGAATAAGCGTGCCTTGCCTCGGCCCATCCTCGGACTTCTACTCGTTGGCTTTTTGAACACTTCTAGATGCTGCCTACCGCTTTGTCGTGCTACCCACCACTCTACTCCCGTTCCTATTCGTTCTCCAATTACGCGTCTGTTATGTCTGTTATGTTCTTGCTAATTGCATGGATACCTACTGCTAAATTTGTTAGTTTGTAACCTATTCGTCATTATACGCGCCCGCCATGGTATTGATATCGATATTGTAACGTATACATAGCTATAGTGAATATTGCTATCGCGCAGCCTCACGTACTGTACAGGATAATCCAGCTCTTGTTATTGTACCTTCTAGATCCGTTAGAGTAAAGACGATCCGACAATAGTAGCTAAGGCCTGTTTATTAGATTTTTGGGCGCGCCAAAGCTAGATGTCGTTGGTCTCTCTGGGTCTTTGGGCGAGTCGATTTCTTCGGCGTCGTCGGGCGGGTTCAGGTCGAGCTCGATGTCCCATGCCGGCGACGGAGCACGGGCAGATTTTGGCCTAGGTTGGGGCTTTGACGACGCTCCGGCGTCGCCGCCGCCTGTGTCCCTTGCTGGCGGCGGAGAGTCCAGGTCGAGCTCGATGTCCCAGACAGGACTGGGTGAGCGGGGCGGTCGCGGTCGCGGAGCGCTAGACGCCGTCGATGGACCTGCCTTTGAACTCGATGAGGACGCCGCCGCTGCAGACACAGGCGGCTGCTCTGTCCCTCCCTTGCGAGTCGGCTCAGACGCGCCGCCCTCCTCGCCGCTGACGCGCTCGGTGACGGCGAGGCTCTGCGAGGTGGTCGTGAACGTGGCGCTCGTCGCCTTGTTCTTGAACGGCCGCTCCAACGCGTCCTTGATCCGGCGCACTTTGACCTGGCCGAAGCCGGGCAGAGCGAGCAGCTGGTCGGACGGGGTGCGCGCAATGTCTGCGAAGCTCTGTGTTCCGTTCGGACAGAGCGTCGTGAGCTGGAGCCAAGGCTCCCGCAAAGAGATTAGAGGGAAGAAGAAGGGGACGTACACCGACGGAGGTGCGGAGCGTCTCGACGTCCGTCTTGTTGACCTTGTTGATGCTCGTGAGCGCGGCGCGGAGGACGGAGTCGTAGTCCTTCTCTGCGCGCTCTTTGATGAGGTCTGGAGGCTTGTGCTCGAACTGCTTGAAGGTGGAGAGGTAGTGGCCGGCTTCGTCGAGACTGAAAGGTGAAGCGTCCATGAGTCACGGGAGTGAATAGGAGGAGGGCAGAGTGACGGACCTCCACGCTACGATGATGGTGATGTTGTTGATGAGACATGTCTAGAGTATTATTTGGCTGGTCAGGGTGTATGTCAGTGCGGGCGAATATACATACCTTGGTCAACTCCCGTATTGGATCTTGATGCTCCGACTGCAAATAACAAGTCAAACTGGCGCCAACACAAGAGAATACTTGCTACTTACGACATCGCACATGATAAGTAGTATACGCAAGTTGAAGGCATGGCCGAGTTTCTCAATCCTCGCGTGTATGTATTCGGGGTGCAGTCGGTGGTATTTCAAGCTGGAAGGAAGGGGTGAGGGATGAACACGGTGAGGGCTAGTGGATAGTAGAGGTTACCTGAGGTATAACACGCAAGTAGTCCTGCCGACTTGGAAGTCTGGGACGATTTCGCCAAATTGTTTGCCAACATTGCGAATGCACTCTAACAGGGGGTTCAATCGCTACGCTATCCGTTGAGCAATGAGCAGAGACAGGGAAAATAAATAAAGACCTGGTTGGGGTTAATGATGATGTTGTTTCCAGAGCCTGGGACGACGACTGGAGGTTTGTCGCGGGTGGCCTGAGCTGTGGACATGGCACACGTGGGGAAGACGCGTCTTTCAATTAGCCCCGCGTGACGCGCTCTTTGCCTTTGTTCCCACGCCTGTCTCCGCCAAATGATTGGCAGTTATGTCGCCATTGCTCGACATCCTTATACTTACTGAACTTATCTATTGGCATTGCAGACACACCCATTGGGTGCACTGGCGGGCTAGAAACATGCATGGTCAGATGCTGCATTTATAGACGAGATAGGTGCACCACATGGTCAGGGGACAAGATAAGTCGTGAACGATCACACGTCCGACGATGCCGACATGATCAACCAAGCCTGTCAACATAATACCCCGCACCCTGTCTTCATTTCAGAGTCCCCTCCTGCCCCTCCCCCAACCAGGATGGGCTACCTCCCAGAGCACTCCCGCTCCTCGGCCCGCCCAAAGCCACGCACCACCCTCTCCTCCCTCCTCGCTCTGTGCACCGTCGTCACCTCCCTCACCTTTCTCTCTGCACTCAAACTAACCTATTGGGATGCTCCTCCTGTCGCGCGCCCTCTGCACGCTGACGAGACCATCCTCAAGTGCCAGGCCCTCACCCTCAAGCCCGGCCCACCTGCCGACTTCCACCAGAGGACCGTGTCGGACCGCTTCGTATCCGGCACAAAGTCGGTCCTTATCAGGAACGCGTCCATCTGGACCGGCGAGGACTCTGGCAGAGAATCCATCCACGGCGATATCTTCATCCACAACGGCATCATTCAGAGCATAGGACGCGTCGATCTCGACTCTCACTTCCTCGACAGCTACGACGCCGTCTCTATCATCGATGCCGCTGGCAGCTGGGTAACACCAGGGTGCGTCTTTCACTTTACTTGCGAGACCATTCATTTACCGTCTTTTTCAGCATCATTGATTTGCACTCTCACCTTGGAGTCGATAGTGTTCCCGAACTGAGAGGTTCAAGCGACACCAACTCTCGCAAGGGTAAGCTATCAGAACGCGTGACATGCGCTCCCTGCTCACTTTCTCGCTGATTGGCCCAGGTATCGCTCAGCCGTGGCTTCGCAGCTTGGACGGGCTCAACACTCGCGACGACGCGTACCGTCTGTCCATTTCTGGAGGCGTAACCACTGCCGTAGTCCTTCCCGGTTCAGCAAACGACATAGGTATGGACTATATGTACTCATCTCCCGTGAACTATGCTCAAAATGCAAAAGGCGGCCAAGCTTTCCCCATCAAGTTGCGGCCCACTGCAGAGAGGACTCCTACTTCCATGCTTCTAGAGGCACCTTATTCCATCAATGATACTCGCGTAGACCCCACTGCACCTCCCCGTTGGAGACACATGAAGTATGTCCGAGTGCGCACCTAATATCCGCCCCCACTGACCTTGTGCAGGTATGCTTGCGGAGAGAACCCAAGTATGTCTATTGGTCTCATTCGTACCATACACGATCGTGACACTAACGTTCTTAGTGCGCGTCTATGGAAACACGCGAATGGACAACATCTGGGCTTTCAGAGAAGCCCACAACACCGCGCGTCAGCTCAAGGAGAAGCAAGATGCCTACTGCTCCAAAGCGCTTGCGGGACAATGGCAGGGCCTTGGAGAGTTTCCGGACGACCTACAATGGGAGGCTTTGGTCGATGTCCTAAGAGGACGTGTCAAAGTAAGCACACACTACGACTCATAGATTGGAATGCCTGATTGTGAACTTCTAAAGGTCCACAACCACTGTTACGAAACGGTCGATCTTGATGACCTTGTTAGAGTCAGTTTCCAACCTCTCAGTTTCTATGTTTGTAAGCTGAGGATGCCGTGGTCAGCTGACAAACGAGTTCCAATTCCCCATCGCCGCTTTTCATCACGCGCACGAGGCTTATCTTGTTCCTAGCACCCTCAAGAAAGCCTACGGCAAGTGACCATAATCGTTGAAACCCATTCCCACTGACCTGCGTCACCCCAGGCAACACACCGGCAGCGGCTATTTTTGCCACTAACGCTAGGTACAAACGCGAAGCGTACCGAGGTTCCGAGTTTGCCGCGAGGATTCTTGCGGATAATGGCATTGACGTTGTGATGAAGGTAGATGCTGCTTGAATGTACACATGGCCAAGTGCTCATTGCTGTCACTAGAGCGACCACCCTGTCTTGAACTCGAGATATCTGCTCTATGAAGCGCAGCAAGCCCACTACTATGGCCTTCCCGCTAATCTCGCTCTGGCTTCTGTCATATCGACGCCTGCCAAGGTCATGGGAACAGATCACCGCATTGGCTTCGTCCGCGAAGGCAAGCATTCGTCATCGTTGAATGAGCATATCTAACGTCGCATTTTTACAGGTTACGACGCAGGTTTGTACCCATCCTCAACTGTCTAAGCCCTGCCGAGTTGTTGACTCCTTCCCAGACCTTGTCCTCTGGGATAGCCACCCTCTGAACCTCGGGGCCACCCCTCAGCAAGTGTGGATCGACGGCATCGCCCAGCTCGACGACCCCCACGTCTCTCTCAAAACTAGTCAACTCCAGCACGCGCCGCAAACGCCCAACTTTGACAAGCAAGCGGCGGAAGCAGTCAAGTTCGAAGGCTTGCAGCCACTTTCACCGGCGCGCACCACCGCGGAGACCGTTGTCTTCACCAATGTTGGGAGTGTATTCGTGAGAAACGGGGGGCGTATAGAAGAAATGATAGGGTTGACGGATGCTGAGCCTGGCGTTGTAGTAGTACGGAAGGGGTCTATTGTGTGTCAAGGTAGCCATATAACGTGTGCATCGAGCACGGCAGCTGTTGCTGCAGCAGAATGGCTTGACCTCAAGGGTGGCTCTATCTCGTACGTCCTCAACCTCAATGTTTTCGTACATTCCTCTAATGTGAACACTACGCTAGACCCGGCCTTACATCGTTCGGCTCCCCTCTTGGCCTGCAAGAAATCCAAGGCGAAGCCTCGACCTACGACGGCTGGGTCATGGATCCGCTCCTCGACAAGATCCCCACCATCCTCGCTGGCGCCGGACCTATCCACGCGGTCGACGGCCTCCAATACGGCACACGCGACGCGCTCATTGCCTACCGCGCCGGCGTCACCACCGGCGTCACCGCGCCCAAGTCGCGCGGTTTCCTCGTCGGGTACAGCACCGCGTTCGCCACCGGCGCCGCGCACAAGCTCGAGGAGGGCGCCGTGCTGCAGTACACGACGGCGCTGCATCTGTCTATTGGCCACTACTCGTCTGGGCCGAGTGTGAGCACGCAGATTGCTGCGCTGAGACTGTTCCTGTTCGGGGCTGCCGAGTCGCGGGCGTTTGCTGATATTATCAAGGTGAACGCGCATCCTTTCATGACCTTCCGCGCTTTATTGAAAGTTTTTAGGGCAAAGTGCCGCTTGTGATAGAGGCTGAGAACGCCGACATCATCGCTACCCTGATCCAGCTCAAACAAGAGGCCGAAGGACGGACTCTCATCCCGATTCGCCTGACTATCGTGGGTGCCTCAGAGGCGCACATGCTCGCAAAGGAGCTCGCGGATGAAGACATTGGCGTCATCGTCAGGCCATCGCGGCCTTTCCCTCAGACTTGGGAGTCCAAACGAATGTGAGGTGCTCAGGGCATGTCAGCGACGCTCTAGCCTAATGTTTCTTTGTCAGTCTGCCTGGTCCCCCACTAACTCAGGAGAGCAACATCGTCACTCTTCTCAACGCCGGCGTCAAGGTTGGCATCGGCATTGAAGAGCAGTGGAGCGCGCGCAACACCCGCTTCGACATCTCATGGGTAGATTTCCCTCTCTTCCTTATCTCTTCCATTTCCGCTTACGTACATTTGTTCCTTCCAGGCTGCTTTAGAAAGCGATGGACAAATTACCAAGGCAGAGGCGCTCGAGCTTGCTTCGACCAATCTCGAGCAGCTTCTAGGCGTAGCCGAGGACACGACGGGCGGCGATATGGTCGTCACCCGCGGAGGAACGATTCTCGACTTTGAAGGAGAAATCGTTGGTGCTTTTTCCTCCCGCCGCGGCGTCGTCGATTTCTTTTAGGCATGTTCAGCGACAGGAAATGTCGGTTCGTTATCATCTGTCTTAAAGATACGACACCAACAGAAATCGTTTGTGTTATCATCTATCTTAAAGATAAGACACCATCTGAAATTGTTTGTGACGTGAGCCTCCGACAAAAAAGGAGGGCGCAAGACTGCAATTCGGAAGCCATTGATTTCGATTAGCCCTGTGACACGTCTTCTACATAAGGCTAGCCTTCCGTGCCGCCCGGAGAAATGGGCGGTCGAAAATGACCGAGACCATCTTGAATCATGCAGGTCTCGCCCTGTCCACTCTTCTCAACTTCTTGTGATGAAACTCGGCGTTCTGTTACCACTCCTGTGGGTTCAAGAGGATAAATCGAAAGGTTACCTGGATCGTCAGTACTGTAGGTCCAGGTAGGTCCGGACCTTGTAAATGAAACGAGGACCAGTGCAAAGGAGTCTTTCAAGGTTTGGTCGGCTGCGGAACGCCGGAACAAAGATCCGACGTAGCCCACTTAGCGGTGGCAATTCAGTAAGGTTTGAATGGAGGCAGCCACATAAACGGTGAGTGTATAGCCCGTAAACAACTTGAGATGGCGCTGTATGCATGTGCTGCTCAAGAAAACTCTATGTTCGCTGACAATGCTTGTCAGCTGATGATCTCTTCATCCTACTTCCAGGTTGCATGCCTCCCTTACGAGTATAACTTCACGCTTGAAAGACAACGATACTCCAAGCTGGCTTTCACATCGGTCCGACGCTCGCATCCACGAGCACTTTTATTTTCTGTGCGTACGCTTATTGGAGCACACGACTCCCAAACCTTGTCATCCATCAATTATGCTCGTTCTGGTTGGCCAGCGCACTATAGCCTCGTCGCATCTTGTAATGAACAACTTTAGGCAAATATGTACGGCAATCTGAACGTTGCTGGCAGTAGCCCCCACCAAAATGAAGACCATTGCCAGGTATTTAGTATCGGCTTCATACTGCCCTTTCTACACCCCTCGTGTCTCCTTCTTTCAACGCGCCCATCTTTCAGGAATTTTGCTAGGTTTTTCCAACTGTTTTTCCCCGCCAGAACACCGTCATGAAGGGACCTACGGACCTTTACCCGACGCGTTCCACACTTTCGGCTCGCCGAAGACGAGTTACCACTGTTCTGGTTCTCCTTTGCATTTGCGGTTCTATCACCGCGACTTTAACTTTATCAGTGTTCACCTGGACCGTTCCACGAGTCCATGCTGTTCCTCGACCTGCCGACGCCGAAGAAATCATTCAACGGTGCCGTGCTCTTCATTCCCTGCCTCAACCGCCCCAGAGCTTCCATAACCGGACACACTCCGATCGTTTTGTTGAGGGCACGAAGCCAGTTCTCTTGAGGAACGCTTCTCTATGGACAGGCAATACTGGGTCACACGACCAGGTAATATACGGTGACTTGCTCATGGACCAGGGGCTCATTCGACATGTTGGGCACGTTGGAGACGAGCTGATACAAGGGCTCAAGGACATCATTGTTTATGATGTGGCTGGGAAATGGGTGACACCGGGGTAAATTCGCCTTCTTCGAGTTCATGCGTAAAACATCTTTCAGGCTTTCTAAAGTCTCGTTTTGCCTTAGAATCATTGACATGCATTCGCATATCGGCGTCCTCAGTCTTCCTATTCTCGAGGGATCAGACGATACTAACTCCATGAACGGTCAGTTCTACTTGATAACTAATAGTAATATTGCTACGAGTCTAACGCCCCTGAAGGACTAATCCAGCCCTGGCTTCGTAGCCTTGACGGGTTAAACACGCACGACGACTCATATCGCCTTTCAATTGCAGGAGGGTTGACTACTTCCCTTGTTCTTCCAGGATCTTCGAATGCAATTGGTGCGCATCCATTTCCCCGAGTCATATTTATTGCCAGTGCCTTGACGCCTTTGTAGGCGGCCAAGCTTTCGTCATAAAGTTGCGGTCGACTCACGAGCGCACCCCATCGTCTATGGCTTTGGAACTGCCATTCGCGGAAAACGGCACAGTACTCGACGCTAACTCCCCTCCAAGATGGAGGTATATGAAGTGAGTTCCGACACCCCATCCAGTGCATATGGTTTGATTCTCATGATGAAGGCATGCATTCGGTAGATCTGCCGAATTTTCACGTTGAAACACTGCTCATTGATATTACAACTTCATGCAGGAGAGAATCCGAGTACGTTGCCGTAAATTCATCACGGATGCTGTCGTAACTCACAGGAAAGTTCCCCAGAAACTGCATACGGCAATACTCGCATGGATAATATATGGGCACTACGTGAAGCCTATGAAACTGCCAGGAAAGTTAAAGAGCAGCAGGATGACTTTTGTTCAAGAGTCCTAGATGATAGTTGGCGAGGTATCGGCCAATTCCCTGAAGATTTCCGCTGGGAGGCTCTGGTCGATGTTTTGCGTGGAAGAGTCAAGGTGCCTAGAAAGACAGTCATGATTGGTTCAAAATTGACCATCCCATTTGATATCCATACAGGTACATGCGCATTGCTACGAAGCACTCGACCTAGAGGCATTGGTCAGAGTACGTTTTGCGAAAGTCTCAGCTCTACAGGTTTAAAGATATTCACACCAAACGTAGCTTACAAACGAGTTCAAGTTCCCGCTAGCTGCGTTTCATCACGCTCATGAAGCATATCTTGTTCCCGATTTGCTCAAACAAACTTATGGTTAGTATCGAATTTTGCAGCCTGCTGGTTGACCTTCGCTAATCATGGTATGAATAGGTGGCGCTCCCGCGATCGCCTTGTTTGCTATCAATGCAAGGTACAAACGAGAGGCGTACAGAGGGTCACAATACGCTCCTCGAGTTCTAGTTGACAATGGTCTGGACGTAGTTATGAAGGTGACATATTGAATATTGGTGCTGGCGCCACAAATGAGACTGATATGTTGACACTGCAAATTAGAGCGATCATCCGGTTATGAACTCGCGGTACCTTGTTCACGAGGCACAGCAGGCTCATTTCTACGGTTTAGATGATGATTTAGCACTGGCCTCTGTTACATCAACTCCTGCCAAAGTTCTTGGTCTCGATCACAGAATCGGATATCTTCGGCCAGGTAAATTCATCGTGCCATCAACTCAAAACTCCGAGACATTAATTAGACGTATGTACTGTTGCAGGGTATGATGCTGGTATGATGCTTACGCCGAAAGCAACCTTGGGATATCGTCGCTGACCCTGCTACAGATCTTGTCCTGTGGGATGGCCACCCCCTCGCCCTTGGTGCTACTCCTCTGCAAGTCTGGATTGATGGCCTTCCCCAACTTAATTCCAACGACACGTACCTCCAAGGACCATCTAAGGCAGAAGCGCCCATAACACCCAATTTCGACAACGAAGTGATGCTAGCGGCTGTCAACGATGGGCTTCCACCATTAAATCCCAGAAAGCCGCACACAGATTCAGTAGTGTTTTCAAACATCAGCACTATACTCGTAAGGCGTCAGCAAACGATTGAAGAACTGTATTCTGCCACAATCGCCAGCGGCCCCGGATATCTTGTAGTCGACAAGAACGGGGCTATAGTCTGTCAGGGCTCGTGGATAATATGCTCTGACGATCTTGTGTCCACGACAGACACCGAGTGGATCGATTTGCAAGGCGGATCTATAGTGTAAGTAAGCAGGTTGAAACTTCGCAGTGATCTAATCGTGCGCGATAGACCTGGTCTCACGACATTCGGGTCAGCCCTTGGCCTCCAAGACATCCTAGACGAACCTACGACGAATGATGGTTCTGTTGCCGATGTGTTCGATGTGGTCCCTTCAATCCTCGGCAAAATTGGTGCAGCCAGAGCAGTTGATGGGCTTCAATTCGGCACGCGGGATGCTTTGCTTGCGTACCGTGCGGGAGTCACTGCCGCTGTTGTGGCCCCTCGTGGCGAAGGACTTCTCTCTGGTCATGCGGCTGCTTTTGCGACGGGGGCTTCTCATAGGCTCGAGACCGGTGCTGTCTTATATACATCGGCAGGGGTGCATGTTAGCGTTCGGCACTACGACTCTGGACCAAGTGTGAGCACGCAAGTCGGTGTGCTTCGCTCGCTGCTGCTCCAGACACACGCCGAATCAGAAACCTTCGTTGATGTCTTGAAGGTACGCCATTCATTTTGCCGGTGAGTTGGCACCGTTAAGTTCATCTTTTGGCAGGGGAAGACACCCCTGGTAGTGAAAGTGGACAATGCAGATATCATTGCCACACTCATTGAGCTCAAACGAGAGGTTGAAGAGGAGACGCGGGTTTCTCTCCAAGTGACCATAGTTGGTGCAGCGGAAGCACATATTCTAGCTGATGAACTTGCCGCCGCAAACATTGGGGTCATTGTCACCTCTCCACGTCCCTTCCCGCTTGACTGGGAGTCCAAAAGAACGTACGTACCCTGACCGCCTTGATGCCTGGGACAATATGCTGAACTCCCCCGAGCTTGTCGGGCCCTCCCTTGACAAGAAATAGCTTAGTAACACGATTGAATAGAGCTGGCGTGATGGTGGGCATTGGAGTCAAGCATCAGGCCTTCGCTGGAAACACGCGTTTCGACTTGGGTTGGGTGGGTGTTCCGCACATATGCATATCATGAGGAAATTGACGAGCACCTATAGTCCTGGCTGGAAGATCAAGAGTATATTTCCCATCTCGACGCTCTGGCCATGGCAACTGTGAACATCGAGCGCCTCTTGGGCGTTGAGAGTGACTCAGCTCAGGACGACGTACTCGCGGTGCGAGGCGGGTCCCTGCTCGACTTCTCTGGGAAAGTCGTTGGCATCTTCTCATCACGCCGTGGTGCAGTAGACCTCCTGTAACAAAAACCAAGTACGACAACAAACAAACAGAGACAGCGTATTAATGCTCAGTGCGAAAATCTATTTACCAGCGGCAGTAAAAGCCTTCTTCAAGTGTTCCTCAATTATAGGCAGCGACTTCTTCATGATGCGTATTGGTTTCAGCTCATCTTCGTTCTTGTAGTCAGGCACGAGTTGCTCATATTAACGAATGACGAACCAATTCTCATAACCCGACCGTGCCTCTTCAGCATCGTAGAGGTGGGCTCAAAAATGGGATGTTGTGGGTTTACAAAGACCAGGGATTTCTGGAGTACAAAGAGTTCGTGTGAGGGTGCATAGAAGTAAAAGGAGTGGATCGTACCTTTTGATACCAGTCTCGAAGCTCTGCGTTTTCTCGCGGCGTCAGCGGGATCTTGAGCATGCCCACTACTTGGATGACCGCATCAACATAACGCCGCATGTTCGCAGCTGTGGTGGCAGCGCCCTTAGCTTTGATCACCCAAAACAATGTAGCTGAGGTATAACGCACTTCTTTCCTCAAGGAGCTCCATGACAGCTTCGCACCCAGGACCATGTCCTATAATCGCGATACGTTGGGCTTGCGACAATCTGCGTGGCGGTTATTCAATCTCCTTTACCAGTGCCTGAGATTGCTCACTGAATGTAGTTATCCCAAACATATGTGATAAGATTTCGTGAAAATGCCTCAGGTTGCTTCCGTCTCTGCCAAGGGGCTTAGTTTCGCATATACATGGCACAAGTCCGAACCCACTCACAGCAGGAGCGGGAGCAAACGGCTTGGGATACATGTTGACATCAACAAGGGCATATTTCTCTTTCCGAACCCAATTGATGAGATCATTCGAGAAGTCAATCTACAGCTAGTGAGCGACACGCTGGAGACCAGACAAAAATGCAAACCGTACTAGATATGAGTTCTCTTCGCGCACATTACATTCTGGTCGGCCTTCCAATTCAACGCGCAGGTTTCCGCTATTAGTTGCATATATGTGAGATAAATTTCTGAACCTTGGAAGCCGAAACTAACTGCTCGTGTACGAAAAGGATGATCGTCTTGTTTTCGAGCATATCGGGTCTAATTTTCGTTAGTAAAGCAAAAAGCTTGAAATTCAATCTTGCGCGGTCTTACGTGCACATAACCTGGCTGCCATAGCGATTCTCGTACTCTGCTGTGAGAAGCGGGATTTGAAGCATATTGTGTTGTGTGTATAGGTGATGTTGGCGGTGGGCTTTGAGAATCTCTGCAGTCGTCTGTTAGCCCTGAAACTCGAGATAGTCGGGCATACTTTACCTGGTATGGAGAACGACAAGGGGTCTTCCTCTGTTGGGACAGAATTAACTTTTCACGTATCAGGCATTGCAGTGGAAGAACGTACCTTCTCGAGGTTCACACGCTTTGGGGTTGACATTTTTCCAGTACTTGCTTTGTTGGCCTGCAACCATCCAGACAGTCTCCGTTCCGTACTCGCTTGCAACCAAGGGCGGTAGTTCGGGTGGCGCTTCCCCCGTAAGAACACGAGCGACGGCTAGCGCTGATTTTGATATAGAATCCAGATTATAGCCTCCCTCCAATGCGACGACGACTTTTCCTCCCGCCAGTCCGGACAACATATGGGTCATATGCGCGTACCCTGCTGGAGTGACGTGACATTCGCCAAGGTCGTCCCCATCGGCAGCATCAAAGCCCGCCGAGACTGTTGATTGTGAATATATGGGCATTAGGGGAGTAGGAACTTTGCTTCTTACTGATGACCAGTTCTGGGGCAAACTCCACACAAATTGGCATGACAATTTGCTGGAATGCGTGGATGTAGTCCGCGTCCACCATTCCCTTTCGAGGCCAAGGGATGTTGACTGAGCTATAGATGAATTAATACTTGCGTTGAGAATGCATGTTTCCACGTACTATCCCAGACCATCCCCTTCGCCGCATGACTCCATGCTTCCGAAAGGTCCACAGGGATAGAACGTACCCTTCTCGTATCGATGTAATGATATATATAGGACAGAAGGGTCGTCGTTGAAGGCACGTTGAGTACCGTTGCCTAGATTGATTCAATAACACGTCTCCTTTCTTAAGCGTGCATCACACAACTGACCATGGTGTACGTCCCTGGCGCTCTATCAGGTTATGACTTGACAACATGATTATTGACCTACCAGTCAAGGATGAGAATCCTCCTGATGGGTGTTAACTGTTGCACGACGCGTGCAGCGACTGCAACATTGTTGAAAAAGCAGAAGCCCATATGCTCGTCAGGCTCGGCGTGATGCCCGGGTGGACGAACGATTGCGAATGATTTCTTGAGTTCGCCTCGTGCTACGGCGAGACTGGCTTCAATGACGCCACCACAGCTTAGAAGGGCTGCACGTGTCGTTTGTTCCATAACATACAAAGAGAGCGAATCATAGTAGGATTCACTGTCACTAATCTCTTGCCGTGTCATGTCTGTTTTGCGCGTGCAGACGCGTCAGCGAACTCCATGTGATGTGATTCTACGATTCAAGCGAAAGTGGATACGCGTCACTCACTCTCAAACGCGCGGACTTTGGCCCAAAGGCCTGCGCTGTGTACGAGGAGGACCTCATGTTCCTTGGCGGCGCGGATAGGAATGTACTTCATGGACTCGAAGAGGCCTGCCCTCTGGATAGCTGCGTAAACGCTCTGAATGCGTTCTGGTGCTTCGGGGTGTCCATAAGCTTCGGGGTTTCCATGAAACGATCGATGGAGCATCATCTCATGCGAGAAGACATATCCTACGGAAAACGAGGCATTCGGAGTTAATGGGACAGAGGTCGCGCGTCGGCCATCATTGGGCGGGCGTTTCTGGACGACTTTCGCATACGAAGGGGCGTTTGACTGGTCCTCGACTGTATCGATGTCCATCGGCGCAACATGAGATGGACCTGCGCGCGGCTCGCCGTCGTCCATGTTCACGTTCATCTCTCCTGGGTTGGGTACTTGCTAAGGCACTAAGTAGTAATAGCAATATTACCGCTAGAATCCAAACAGGATACAACCATATTCAAACTCCGGTCTATCCATGTGGTTTGGCGCTTGAGCTGGGACCTCCCAAGTACTGTACTCCTTCTAACTCTCGTAAGTTAGAATCAAGTTAGAACAGGTCGTTAATTAACGCCATATGAAACCAAAACAGGAACTGAAACTAGCTTACACATTGGTACGGTGTTCGGGAACTTCTACTCAACTCTCACCGGCTTTCTCTTTGCTTTCTCAAGGTCACCCTCCTAGCCCATGGGCGCTCGGGCACTCGGGCACGAGTTTGGGGGTGGCGGTGCTGACAAAGAACCAGCTGAGTGAAGAGTCGGCCAGGACTAGTCCATCACCTCACTAAGTTGTTCAAAGGCGGAACAGAAGGCTCCGACATATAAGCCATCCTCACGGTCTCAACGGGATGTTCAAAGCACTTCTACCTACTTTCTTCCAGCTGCAATCCCCTAGTTTTCTATCAGTTCAGCATTATCACCCATGGCAGCAGTTGCTGGTTGGCACCGCGGCGAACTTGCCATTCAGAAGAAGCTCGGCTTCGATGGCCCCTCTATCTATGGCTGGAAGATGATCAGAGCAGAGATGTCTGAACAACACCGCACCTTCCATACCACACGCCTCCCGTTTATTCCTGTCACATCCCTCGATGAACGAGGCCGTCCCTGGGGATCCATTCTTGCTGGTCCAGAGGGCAACCTTGGCTTCACAAGCAGCGCGTCCTTCACATCTCTGGATTTCCACGCAAGATTCTGGGACGGAGACCCATTCCTTGAAAACATGCGGTCTCATCAACATGACGGCAGGATGTTAATCGCAGGCATTGGCATTGAATTCTCGACGCGGCGGAGAAACAAGTTTGCTGGCTACGTTTACTCAGTCGAACGAGCAGGCGACGTTCATGAAGTTCGTTCTGTAGTCAATCAAGCCCTGGGGTATGTACTTTTCCCTTGGCATACGTAAATGACATTTTCCACTGACACTCACACAAGTAACTGCCCTAAGTACATCAACGTCAGGACGTTAGATCCTTATTTACAGGCTCGCCCTCGGGTCGTATACCACATGCCTGATGTTTCAGCTCGTCTCCCTGACCACCTTATCGACTTCGTTCATGCCTCCGATACTGTCTTCATTGGATCATCGTACGAGGCCAATGAGCAAGAACGCCAGAAATACCCTTCTCACGTCGGCATGAACCATCGGGGTGGTCGCCCCGGTTTCGTGCGAGCGGACCGGACTGATGGACGTACACTGGTGTTGCCCGATTATTCTGGTAGGCCCGCATTCCCATCTTTACTAAAGAGATTTCTAATGCCCTCTCCCAGGCAATCGTCTACTTTCATCGCTCGGTAACATTGAGGTCACATCGCTCGCCTCACTCACCTTCGTCGATTTTGCCAATGGTGCTATCCTATACCTCACAGGCAATGCGAAAAACTACGTTGGCCCTGACGCTCAGAAGATTATGCCACTCCAGAACGCACTCACGACCGTTGAGGTTACAGGTTACATTTACGTCGAGGATGCGTTGCCTGTTCGAGAACGGCCCGGCACAAAGGTGCAACGCAGCCCGTATAGCCCTCCCATTCGGCTTCTGTCTACAGAGAAAAAGAGTTCGATGTTCAGCACCGACGATGGAGCTCCGGAAGCCACACTTCGAAGCATTGAAATACACTCCCCAAATCTAGCCACTTTCACCTTCGATAGCAGCTTCCAGCTCGACATCGTTCCGGGTCAAACCGCCATCATGGACTTTAAGTCGCTGGTAGGCTCTTTGCCGTACCAACACATGGCAGAAGAGTCTCCCGAAGCAGTAAACGACGATCGTATACGCACGTGGACTATTTCTCGCGCTTCATCCTGGACGCGTCCACCATCTTCGGACGAGTATGGGGCCAACACCGGAGACGCCAATACCTTCGCTCTGACGATGCGACACAAACTTGGTGGCGCAATAACAGGCGCGTTATTCAACATCGCACACAAAATTGCAGAAATGAAGCCCGAGCTATTGTCTGACTCGCGCCCTCTCGGCCTGCGTGTCCCGCTGGTTGGCATTGCGGGCGAGTTCACGCTCGAGCCGTCGGAGGCGCACTTACCGGTGTATACCAAGCCAGGCACCCGCGAAGGCACCCGCAAGCTCCTATGGCTGGCTGGTGGAATTGGCATCACACCGTTCTTGGCCATGCTCAAGGCTATCGCCAACGGATCTGCAACATCAAAATACGACATTGTTCTTGCAGCTTCGACTCGGGAACCAGAGGTTATTCTTAAGCTCATCTCAGAGGCTATGGTTGACTCCACAAACAAGTCAAACGCAGCATCTGACTGTCCCAGATCAATGCTCTCCCTTCATATATTCTCCAGTTCGCCTCTGCCGTCGCTATCGCCTCCATCCTTTTCGTCCCACCAGCAGACCGCGTTCAAAGTTAGCATTGAACAGCACTCTGGACGTTTATCGGGTACGGAAGATGAAGCGATGCTAATTGATTCAGCTGAGCGCGAGGTGTATATGTGTGGACCGCCTGAGTTCGAAGATGGTACGTTGGGGGTCCTGAAGAGTGCTGGTGTGGAGTCAACTCGAGTACGCCGGGAAGGTTTCGCCTATTGATGGCATGATGAACTGTTGCATGAAAAGTCCATACCCTGTATCCTATCTAGATTGTTAACATAAGTAATAAGCACTGTACTTCATGATCACGAATCTGTGTGTGGTAAGCCTGCATTAATGATGCAGATCCCGGAGTCGTTCCTCGTCCAAACGTTCATGCTTGAGAGGGCGCCGTTTCAAACTTGGAAGGGTAACTGACTTGAGATCTTCTTTGCAACGGAATGTCGGGAAACCCAATGATTAGACGCTACATTAGCAGCAGCTCATTGCCTGTCGATCGTGATGTAATATATTGAAGGCCGACAGGTTCAGGGGCGGAGGCGATCATACAGTGTCATTGACGTTGACGAGGAAAGATTTACGTCCGGGATATTATGTGCCTTCCGTTTCGCCATGTTCGTTGACGCTGACCGAGACCAGCAATGCCCGAGCGCAATTTGCACAAGCACAGCACTAGCACTGCAAGCGCCGAAAATGATGATATTGCCATAGAGATGCTGGGCGCGACTATGTTTACTGACTGGCTCTGCCTCACCTGGGATGTCACTCGTGTTGTTGACTTGAGCTATTAGCCCCACTGGGCCGCAGCCGGTCCCTTCTCGTCTGCCGCCCTCCTCTCAGAGTCTCACCCTTCCTCCGAAGCTCCTCGTTCTCTCCGCACCAAATAGCCGGGCTTCGACTCGCACCAGCCCCTGTCGTCTGCAACCGTCGATGGAGGTCAAAGTGAACCCTGTCTATACACGGTCCCGTCTCGCCCGCTGGAGAGATGCGCTCGTCTTCCCCACATCCGTCTGCTGCTGTATCCCGGTCCGGATAGGCTTCCTAATCATGACATTCCTTACCATCCTTTTTGCATTCGGCCTCTCTATCGTCATATGGTTCGAGGTTTTTAGTGCGTCGTCATCTCATCTACTATCCGACATGCCTAACCTTCGATACACTCCACGAATCCTTCAGAGAGCTCTAATCCTCTTGATGGGCCGACAGAGCGCAAGGCTTTCATCTGTGCTGGCATATTGGAATCATCTCTTGCTCTTGCAGCCGTTGCAGGGTAGGCTCCTTCAGCCCAATCTCTGTTCACTCCCCTTAATGCTGGGTTTGCAGGTTCGTCGGCGCTGTCACTCGGCAATACAAATCCGTCTTGATATACACGTACTTCATCTACGTTCACTTCTTTCTCAACATCATCATCGGCATATGGTTTCTCGTTGCCATTCGCCAAAGCAACCGTGACATGTTTACTCAGGAATGCGATCACTTCGTCGACGAGAACAATGACGAAACCTGTTCCAAACTAGCCGCCATGTCAGAAGGGGTGTTTGTCGCTGTAACAGCATGTGTTTTGCTTCTTGAACTCTGTGAGTATTCATATCGTTTGTCTCGTGAGCTCTTCAGAGTTATCAAACGCCTTCGTTAGACGGCGTTCTGATAGCATCGGGTTATCGACGGCACCTACACGAGCAGAAAGAGAACCTCCGGCAGCAACGCCTGGGGTATTACCACGCGATGGGAACACCCGCACCTCTCCCCAAGCATTCGCGCAGTGGCAGCACCCAGTCCGAAAACGCGCTACTCCACCCGACTATGTCGCGTGATAGCTCATATGTTTACGAGGATCCCTATGAAGAGAATAACATCATGGATATTCGGCCATTGTCTACAACAGACTATCAACCCGTATCAACCCAAATTGATCCTGAAGATTTAAACGGGCGTAGTATAGGCTACGGTCACACACCCGAGACGTCTTCTTCATCGAGCGTCTCGACACGACGCATGCGCTCACTTCCGCCGCTCCCTAGCTTAAACTCGAATCCCAGATCAAATCCGAGCTCGGACCCGCTCCAGTCGGTGCGGCAGACGGAGTGGGCCAACGAGAAGGCACGACAACTCGACGGCCGTCCACGTCCACTTCCTCGCCGGGGCGAGTCAAGCTATACCCGTCCGCCTGCGAATCCCCCTCCACCGCTTGACGTCGACGTCGACTATTCACGAGATGAGATAAGCACGGCGGTGTCGACGCATGTGCATTCTGCGCTTCTGGACCATGCTGCAGTGATGCAAGGAGCTTTCCGGCCTGTTTTTGTTCCCTCTCCTCGCGACCGAGCTCGGGGACGGACACTTGCAGGAGATGAGCCACCACCGTACCGACAGATGTCACGGCGGGCTCCATAGTCTTCTTGCTTCCCTTGCTCAATTTACCCGATCTTATCTGTACTCAAGTACTCACTCCTGTATCCTCTTCATATTTGGACGTTTTACTAAGGTTTACGATACGCTATCGCAGCAGTCAAGTGCATGTACAGTGTTTTGCTTACAAGCAATATTATGGGACAATTTGATACGCGCTTCATCGTCACAAACAGGGGAAATAGAACCAAACACGGTAGTAGAAAGTGTGCACCTAACGGCGCTGGGCGACAAGCCGCAGACTTGCGACGGGGGGGAACAATTGCAACTTCTCAACCCACTGGAGTCGTTTCCAGCCCTCGAGCGCTCGACAGCATTCTAAATGACATGCGCAGGCAGTATGACAGCCATAGACAACACATCATTGACTCGGTATGTTTTCTGCCCCTCCATGCTAACCACCCATGTCCTGACCAGGGTGGCCGTCATCATTTCCTGTCCTACAGCTTGCAGACTTGCTTTCCCAACTCCATGCCATTTCATTCTTCCTCTCCCCGTCGCTCCTTCCGCTCATATGCAGAGCCGTGTTCAAGAAGAGTGCTCAAGAACCCCGCAGCACTTTCCCACCCATGCTCAGACTCAGCACGCTCTACCTCTTATGCCTCCTGTCCAACCTCCCTGCATTGTGGACGCACGCATGGGAAGGATCGACCGAGGGCCGTGCCCTCATTCTCGATTTCGTCGGCATGGGTAAGTCCATTTAAATCGCTGTCCGATCGTCATAGCCAATTATCCCCAGGTTTCCGACCTTCCCGTCCCCACCTCTTTATCCTGGACATCCTCATCCTCTTTCTCCACCTTCTCCTCCTCACCATCTCGTATGAAAATGCACTCGGAGCGCTTCACCAGACGTCCTCGGAACCCTCGCTCCCAATATCTCCGTTCCCCGGCGATGTCACCACACCGCTCGCCGCCATGAATACAGATGAATCCAAGGTACGAATCAACAAACGCGATTACGTTTTAGACCTGCGCTGGGAAGATGTTTGGAACCGCCTTTGTCGTCCAGCACCCGTCAGTGCAACAGGCCGAAGTTCTATATCCGATGTGCTACCTCTCCCTATCACGGCACAGCTCGGCCTCCCAGCGAACCCATTTCTCAGTTTACCTATTATCCGACGCGAGCGAGAGCGGGACACCGGATCAGGGCCTCCGCCAAGGCGTGACGAAAGCCAGCGAAGACGCGTACCAGGGGCGACTGGCAATGAGGGTGCGGGGGGTGAACACGGGAGGACTTAATTCCGTCATCTGGAGAGCACAGCAAGTGAAGGGATTCAAAGCTCGCATCCTTGGGACATTTATTCTATTACTGTATTGGCAGGATACCATGGCCACCCTTGCTTTCAACTAATTATGCATTGCTGTTGTGTGATCTAAACCGATATTTGTTCCAAGGTTCACCACTTGCGCTTCATCTAGGTATGATGCATGAGAGATCCATGGTGCTACAGTCGTTTGTGAAAGTACGAAACATACTGCTTCGCGCATACAGCGGCCGAACTGTTCAAATTCCGCCTTGCACATGTCCTTTCTGACGTCGGCGTATGTGGCGACAATACACTTGCCGTACGCGGTGGCCTGAGCAGCGCAGGTGGTAGTCGAGTGTTGAGCAAGTCGACGGAGAGGAGTCAGCGTGGTCTGCGCCGGTGTCTGTGGCATCACCGTCAATTTCACTCAGCGTGCAGCCGAGGATGAGAACGTCGAGAACGTCGTGGTCGAGGTGGAAAGAGGGAGGGCGATTCGGTAGCAATAAGCCGGCATTTGGGCATGTCTGCGAAGTTCGCTGTTGTCTGCTTCGCGTCATGAGCTCGGCGACTTGCAAGCGCGCCTTCATGTCTGTTTCGTGTTAACTATTTACTGGTACGTCGGAAGGCTGTCTTGAAAACGCTGAGGACCAAGGGCTGCGGAACAATCCTCGGCAACACAGCTGTAACAAGGAGTCTAACCCAACCTATGGAGGCTTCCGTTCTCCCCGTCGTTTGCTTCTGTGTTCTTGTTGCCTCTATCTTCTACATTTTCTACATCAACCGAGTTGCTGCATGGATCATCACTGTTATCCTCCGCGTTCGCTACTGGAACCAGGGCGGCTCCAGCATATGGGTTCACATTGGTGTGTACAGTTGCTCCTTATATGCGCGTTACGTGCTCACAACATAGTGCAGGGTCTATCAACTTCTCTGTTCTCGCTGGGAGAATATTGCTTAGGGATGTGAGGTACCACTCAAGTAACCAAACCATCAAGATCGTGAAGGTGCAGCTTTCATGGCGGTGGTGGCTTCGCGTACCTGCGACTGAGGACGATCTCAACCGCGCGCACCTCGCGGGAGATGGGGACGACTGTCAGTATACGCTATAACTATAACCTTGTCGATGCTCACGGCTACTAGTTCATCACTCCCTTCCGTTTCCCCCATGTCGTGTTAAGGTGACCCTTCAAGGTTTCCAATGGTTCCTGTACAACCGCACACCTGCATACGATAACATTGTTTCTCAAATGCAAGAGAAGTGCCCTACTATGCAACACAGTGCATCGGCATCACAATCGGAGCCTCGTCGCATCTTTTCCCGCAATTCAGGTTTTGAGGGTACCGCACTGTATCCTGCATCTGCGCTGGCGAATTTGAAAGCGCCCCAGATGATCCACTCTGGGCTTGACTGGATTAAGCGCCAGCTGCCCTACCTTGATCCCATGGATCTACTTCCAATCTCCATCGAAGGTGTCAAAGGATCCATTGTGTGCGGCAATGCATCGACCCCAAGCCTTATGGTTGCCGAGTTTGGTCATGCCTATGGAAGGTTTGGCATTGTTCAGGTACGCTGTTCACGGTCGCAGAACATGCAGGCATATTGACCTCGGCTGACAGGCTCGCTCAAGATGCGACCTGTACAAGCAACTCCTGAAGCTCAAGTTTGACGATGTTCTCGTCCAGTTTGTTGAGAATGAGCAGTATCGAGGCAGTCCGATTGCAATTGGGCGCTCCATCCATGAGCGCGTCGAATCCTCGAGGTGTGCCCACTCAAGCTTTTCCCTTTGAGCGAGGCTTAACGAATATGAAGATACGCAGAAATTTCTTCTGTCTCTTATCTGCCTTTCAAAACTTTTGCGCGCATCTGGAAGCGTCTGTCTGTTTACGGACAAGTACTCAATCCTCGCCACCCGCCAGTGGGTTCTACGTCACGAACACTTAATCTTCCTCGGTTTCTCCCTGGCCGTCGCACCAACAAGAGCGTAGATGAGGATCACATTGGCGTGGACTTCAACACGCTCGAATACGCAATAGAACGTAAGATCATCGAGTGTCCTGTTCTTGACCTGTCGTACTACGCGGACATTGTCGGAGACGTACCGCATGAGCGAACAAGAGTGAAAGGGAAAGGGCTTGAGTCATTCGATGTAGGTAACGGAGATTTACCCCCTGAGTGGGGTGTAGACCTTGTCATTCGAAATGGGACGCTTCGCTATGGCCCATGGGCAGATCGTCAACGGTATGTGTTAGATACAAATGTGAATGTCACTATTTACCATGAAACCTCAGGGTTCAACTCCAGAGGGTTTTATTTCCGTCAACTTTTCACGACTTGGAGCCTTCGCCATACTTGCGACCAGGCGACAAGCGAACATGGACGGCAATGAAGGTGTTCGTTGAGCTGCGCGAGGAAACTTCTTTGCATATCCCCTTCAGAGAGCCATCGAAGGTGAGTGCCGCGCTTTTGAAAAATTAGCCATCTTTTGGATTGCAATTATAGAATTGGATGTGGGACGGAGCTGCCAGCTACTCGAGACCTCGCACCAGAGAGCAGGCGTCAATTCATATATTAGCGGGAGACAATTCTTCTATCAGCTACCTCTTGCCAATGGTTGTCGGCCCCGACGGCTATGAGCCGCGTCTTGAGGTCCACCTTGACACAATATCCATTACTTCAAGTTTGAACGATATCAAACTAGTTGGTGCCGAGTCATGCAGGGTATGTCGGGGCATTGAAACAAATTCCCTTGACTAGACTTATAAATCATTTTAGATACACGCTGGCATGCCATCACCTTTGAAGTGGAACGCAGAGCGAGACTGGTCGTTCTCGATCTCATTCCGTCAGCCCACCATCTATCTTCTTCGTGACCACATCAACATGTTCACGGACCTTTCTCGAGACTGGGTGTCAGGACCGCCGGGAGACCCCAACCATTTTGTACCAACTAACTATCTGCTGAATGTTGACCTGCATCACTTCAACCTCAATCTCTACGCGAACGATCAGAACATTATCGACAAGCCACTCATCAAAGAGTCTAACGTACTCGTAACAGCCCGAGCTTCTCTCCTCCACACGGCTGTGAGCATTCCGTCTAACGCTTACCGCCCCGAAGCATCCACTATTCCATTTTGTGTGGATATTCCGGATGTCACGTTCAGTATAGCTCTGCCGAGGTGGAATACCCAATACCTGTACTCTCCTGACAAAGAACATCATGTGCTGCGCGCCGGGACATTCAACATCGAGGCATCGTATCATTATTTCGCTGAGGTTCACCCCGAGAATGTTGAGCAGCTCAAACTTCAGTTCAAGGTATTCTTGCTCGATTTCTCCCATTTCTGTCGTTCATTCAGACCGATTTCAGACAGCCGACGTGTCGTTCCGAATGCTGGGATGGGCTGTACGATACATAATGGTACTGCGAGACAACTACTTCGGTTCGTTCACCCACTTTTCTACGCTATACGAATACCTGGATAAGCGAGAACGGCTCAAACTGGTCGGTGATCCTGTGGAAATGAAGTACCGTCCTGGCAAAGTAAGGATTCTTACTTCAGCTCGATGTCGATGACTATGCTGACTTCTCCAGTCAAATATAATGCAAGTAGAGCTGTCGCTCACTCTCGATAACGGGTCTATCCTTATGCCCGCAGGTATTCCTGGGTATGAGGATGCTGACGATCATGGAAACTGTGGAGCTGCATTGGCGCTTAATTTGCCGGAGCTACAGGTGGACTTGAGACTGCACGATTATTTCATGGGTAAGTTGCCTGCCAGCTGATTGTGTGCAGGCGCTTATAAACCCTAGAAATGTCTTTGAACGTTGACACGATTACCGGCAGTGTCCTAGATGCATGTGATGACGAAGAGTTCTTGAAGCACGGCTTGTCCGAGTCCAAGGACATGGTGATTATTGATGGAATCGACATCACTGGAAACAGACTCTTTGGCCCACAACCCCGTACTCGTACTTATATTTGCATCTGGGAACTTCAGATCGGCAAGGTCAAATCAGCGCTGTCCGCCTACGACGGACGGGTGATGGAGGCTGCGTTCAGCACATTTGGGATGAACTACTCGGATATCGTGAATGCTCCGGCTGCGGAATTTGCTATTTCGGTTGATCCAGATGGTGAGTCGCAACGCTGTTTCCGGCGAGGTTGTTAAGGCTCCATTATTTCAGTCACTTTTGTGAAGTTAAGTGTGGAGGGGCTTGTTATTCTGTGGCATGCCGGACCCGCTGCTGTGGAAATCTCCTTACCGCAAGGCCTTGAACTCCAAACGAACGATTTGGAAAGCTACATGTGCAGCAAGATACTGAGTCTCAGAGTTCCCTTGGCTATGATCAAGGTCTTGCTTTCTTCACCATCATCTCGTCGCTCTTGGTCCGAGGCGGCTAGCGTAACCTTTGATCTGAACCTCGACAACTATGCTGCTCCCAAAGTCTTGCCCGACGTTCAGGCCGACTACGTCAGAGCCCAAGATGAACCGACACTTCGAGCATATCACCTCTTCCAACAAATTGACAGCCATTTTAATGGAGGGCAGCCTTTGAGTGCGTCTGTATTTAAATCTAAAGAATATGACAGAAGGATCTCATAATCTCACAGAGCAATTTCTGCATGCCAATGGCGTCTACCTACCTCAACTAAAGGTTAACCCTTTTGTATCAACTATGTCCGAAGTCGAGGCTACCGCAGCACCCAATCCGAGATGGTCTCAACACCCAACTCAGCAATCAGATTCTGAAGGAGAAGAGCACATCTCTGAAGCAGTCAGAGACGCACGGCTAGCGTGAGCTTGTCCCCAACAAGTTTGCAATTCATTGCTCACAGGCGAGCAGGCGGAGTCGTCTTGCAATTCCCATTACTCCTGATGATCGAGACAATAGCATGTCGGATGGTGATGAGTCCGATGATGCAGATCTAACAGATAGCGACTTCTCCGATAGTGACTGGTCGATGGCTGATGGTGTGTTTAGGAGCCGTGCTCATAATCTCAGCTAATTCAGTCACTTACAGCTGCCAAAGATTCCAAAGCTCTTTTTGCGCAGTATCAGCAGTTCGTACGGCAGTATCGAGAGATAGCTCTAACCTCTCCACTGTTATGGGAAGAGTCGCCTTTTTTGCTAACAAAGGTAGGTGCATTGTTTCTTACTATCATTCCCGTCAATTCTTGAATTAAGTTACCCTTAGAATGTATCTGGTATGACGCCTGGCGACGAAACCAAGCATCGCTGCAATGACTTCTGTCCAAGCAGTCGAACCGTTCCGAAAGGATTTATGACTGGATTCCCTCAAGGCTTGCGAGCCGAAGTCATCAAGGGCGTGCGCATACAGGTTACTCCTCTCATCATTCTTGCAGCCGAGCATCTCGAAATCGAGTTAAGTGCAAAGGTGATCACGCTTAGTCAAGTCAGCTTCATAACAATCTGACCACATTACAATAGCGTCTAAGCACCCAGCTTTATCTGGACGACTTGATGTCCAGACACATCAAAGCTCTGACTGGGGATTCGACAATTGGACCACCTTCTTGTACGGATATCCGGATTTCTAGCGTCTGTTCAAGGATTGTAAAGCATGCAAGTGCCACTCAGAGCCAAGACTCTGCTGCAGATTCGTCTTTTTTTGCTTTGATTACTCTTCGCCTTAGCCAAATTCATGCTCGGATTGATAAAACAGCTTCGGATAGGAAACCTCTTCTTGTTGCGCACGCGGCCGCACAAGAGGCTTGTCTTACCTTCAATGTCAGTGACTCCGTACACCAACGACGTAGTTCTGGTAATACAAGCGGGGCCAAAATCGTTCTGGAGGATATAGCAGCACAATATGAGCCTAGAAGTCTCAGTTTAGGCGCAAACTCTATATCACTATCTCTTGGGGCAAACGAATTAGAAAGGATGATGGATGCCTGCCAAGAGCTATTGCAGGAGGCCGACAAACTATCCCAAGTTGTGAAGAGATCTCAGCGTGATGCTTCACTATTCGCCCAAAGGATGATGTACTTTATCCTTCTTCGAGAGAAGCACAAGCCCGCCGTCGATCCTCTGTCGACAATCCAGCCATCACTTCTCGTACAACGTGACCAACCTCAGAAGATACGCACGGATGCGGCTTTCAAGTTTCTGTTCCATGCCCGCAGCGCTTTACCTGGAAAGGCTGACCCGTCCATTCTACCCCCACGAGATCCTCCCGAGGATGCACTCAAGGAACTTACCGAAGAACTGATGGCAACATGCCTGAACAGTTTGTCGGATGTTGATACCACTAGCGACGCTCTACCAATCCTACTGGCAATGGTTCACCCTTCAAGTCACAAGGATGCTGTCTCCAAGCTTTCTGGTCAGGACCCCCAAGCGGGTACTATCAACATTGGTTCTTTGGACCTAGCGCTCTTCAATGACACTGGACAGAAATCAAGTTACCTACATATTGACGGAATGAAGATCAGGGCTAGTACGGGTCGCACGGCGCAAGCGCTCTCACTGAACCCTTCCTTCTCCCAGTCATCAGTACGCAGCTATGATGGACCAAGGACTGAATACATCGCTGGAGCCTTCTTCGTAGAAGCCATAGATGCTCAAATAAATCCCTATCTCATGAAGTTTGCCCAATCCGTCCTTCGAGTCGGGAGACGTTTACGAATGGAGACGCCTCTGTTGAAGCCGACCATGACACCAAAGCCCAGGGCCGCCACCCCTCGTCGGATCATCGTTGTTCTTACCAGTAGACGCGCTGATTTTCGCGCTGTTGCAGAAAATCTTGTCTTTCAGCTTACCGGCACAGATTTGAACTCTACTTCGTCAATTTTGCTTAAGTTGCCTAGTGATGACAAGTCGACTCTTCCTTACATGGACCACTCGTTCCAATGCGGTAGCTTCGCCTTTCACTTCGGATCAACTCCAAAGACTCAGGCACCCACAAATCGAGACATATTGGCGTCACTAGAGTTCATTGGCAGCAAACTCAGCGCGACTATTCGACCAGAGTCTTCCAGCCCCAACGTCAAGGTTATAGTCTCGACAAGCGAAATTATCCTAAGCGTCCCTCGTAGCGCCCTGCGGCTTTACAGATTTATTGAAAGTTGGAGACAAGACTTCCTCCCCGGCATTGAGGCAACGATGGCTGCGTTCATATCGGAACTAAAGACAACAACGCCAAACCGGCCCGGAACATCCAAGTCGCCTCGTTCTCCATCTCTCCCTCCCTTTCATATCGATTTGAATGCAGAACTCAAGTCACTTCGCGTCTCACTGCAGGTTATGCGGGGCACTTGGTTAACTTACGAGATCCACAGAAGTTTACTCTTCCTGACGAGCCTACCGGACTCAAAGAAACAAGCGAACAATTTTGGTTTGCAAGTTGGAGGGCAAGTTTTCATTGTGTCAAACGTTGCTGTCAGCGACAACGACAACGTCCGTCATCCTCGTGTCAAGTTCTCTCTGCCGAAGCTATCGATTTCAGGCCAGCATCGCAAAGAATGCACTGATGTCCTCGCGTTACTCGACCATATGGATGTCCTGGTCAAGACTTCTCATTGGGACACTCTGCTTGTTGTCCAACAGAAGTTCGGCCAAGACTTCTCTGATCTTTTGAACTTGGTCAACGAGACTCGACAGAAGAGGACTACGTCATCGGCGCCTGAAAACCCCATTGCTGCTGCGGGTTTGCATACATACAATGCCATTTTTAAGCTCAAAGGGTTCCGAGCAGGTCTACAGGGCATATCCTCGACTTTCTATCTGGATTGCGAAGATGTCGGAGGGTTTGTAACCAACAAGGCTGGTTTGTCGTGGCAATTGCGGATGCAAGACCTTGCTCTCTCACTGGCTCTTCAAGCACGCGATTTGGCTCCCCATCTCGGTTTCAATAGACAGCATCGTTCGGTCTTCGTTGTAGTTGATGTCAAAGCTGGAGCCAGTTCGGATACATTACAAGTGGCGGTCCCCAAGATTGAGGCGGTCATGCAACCAAGTTCCATTGGGGAGCTCGGAGATTTTATTGACCATCTTCAGGTGAAATGTCAACTTTTTTCCGTGCAAAAAGAATAGCACTAACTCGCCAAATCAGGCGGATATGCTCATACGGGAGGACCAGCGGGCTGCCGAGCTTGCAGCATTCAAAGAAAAGGCACAGACTGTATTGAAGACATTCGAAGTGAAGGTGAACGATGTGAACCCAGAGCCTCAGCCATCATGGCTAAGCAAGCACACCATCGATGTTATGGTCGAGAACATCGGTGTCGCATTTCCTCTCACGTTAGACCAAGACCTCGATCTGCCGAAGTCAGGAGGTGTCTCTTCACCCTCTATTCGAGCATTCCTCTTTGCAGTACGCCGCATTAAATTCAGCTCCCAGAAAGGAGAAGTAGGGCAAATGTCAACGAAAGACCTCTCCTTCCAGTTTGTTCCAAGGTAAACTTAGTCTGCCTTAGGATGTGAGGTAAATGAATTCGCTTACAATTTTCTCATAGCTTCAGGCAAACTGCGTCCGAAGATTTCATAGCTTCAAGACACCAGACACGTAACCGTCTCTTGTATCCAATGATGTCTGCTCAACTCCGCGCTACCCGAAATTATGCTTCTCAAAGCATCTCTGTATCGGCTGACGTTAGCGGATTTGTACTGGAACTGGATTCAAAGATCCCGGATTATGTTTTCTCCTTAATCGACGTGTATCGCCAAGGGAAAGAGCGAATGGATCAGCTAGCTGTGGGCAAGCCAAAGATACAAGAACCACCAGACAACAACGAACTACCCCAACATTTCATATCTCCGGGTGACGACAGAGGTCCGGTACAAGGTGCTCTTTCAAACGTCTGTGCCAACCTCATATTCCGGAGCGGCGAGGTTCACGTCCATTGCGATACCCGGTCATTTGATTCCGTGTTCCCAATGCGCCCAGAAACTGAGTTCTTCGACCTTCCAAACGTGTCTGTCTGGCTGGAGTATCGCGCATCTTCCCGCCTTGATTCCGAAAAGATGGCACCTTCTATGTTACTCTTCAATAGTACCATTCACTCCAGCCAGAACACACTTAGGCCAACATTGCTCCCCTTCGTGACTGACATCGTCGACTATGTTCAGACGAGGTTACGACATACAAGCCGACAGCCCACCGTGGTTTCTCCATCTATGCCAGAGGTTAACGTGGATTTAGCAACTTCTGCTGCGTCGCGGACAATCAACAACTTCCAGGAGAATTCTAGTCTCCAGATCATTTTCAGCCTTCGTATTGATAAGTCAACACTCGAACTTACTTGCCGCCCCGACGTCAACGTAGTCGCCGGGCTCCGGTGGCAGAGCGGAGGGTTCATCGTTAACATTCTCCCCGGAGCCCATCGAATGACCTTTTCTGGAAGCGTGGATGGACTGACAGCGGGACTCAAGCATGGCTTCTTGAGCGAAGACTGTGTCAGACTTGATGCTCGTAACCTTGCCTTTTCGTTAACTTTTGCAAAACAAGAATATCAGGATGGAAGTATCAATAGTGCCATCTCGCTTACTCTGGCCACGGATATTTCTGGCGTTGTTCGTTTCTCCCGTCTCCAGGACGTGCTGTGTTTTAAAGCTGTCTGGTTGGACCGCATTCCTGTGTTTGCAGCGCAACGGTCTGCTGCCTCATTACCAGCCGCTGTCTCTACCGTTCCGAGTGAAGCTGTCGGGCAGGAATTAACGACCGTGATCCTCATTCGCTTACGGCGCATTAACGTAGAAGTTGACCTTGGTCAATCGATCACAAATGTGACCCTTAATCTTGAGAACGCTACAGCTCGGACTAGGTTTTCTGAGGCGTCCTCCGAAGTGTCCTTCTTTGTTTCACAAGTGGAGATTCTCGCCAAAGGCAACATCGCTGGTGTTGTCACCGTCCCTAACTGCGTTTTCCAGACTGTCCGCCGAAATGAAGATATTTTCCTCGAAGATGGGAGCATAGGGAAGATGCTCGAGCTCAACATGACAAGCGGATCGCTAGTGGCAATGATTGAATCAGACCAACAGCCACTGTTACATTATCGGTATGTCGATTTTCTGTTGCATGTCACGCTTATGCTCACTCCTAAGCAAGTGCCGAGCCTGTTCATATCTCAATCGGCGATGATTGGTCGTTTGTTGCAGTTGCGACTACCAAAGAGTTTGACTCGTCAACCAACCCTCTCATGCTGTCCTTCTCCGTCTTCGGCACCGAGATCGTGGCAATGGCGACCATTGCTACGATACCCAAGATATTGTCCTATGTCAAGAAGTTCAAGGCAAACATTGATGCTCAGCGTGAAGGCGCAAGCTTGGAATCGGCAGCCTTCCGATTCACTCAGTCTCCAAAGCCTGACAATCCGTTGTCAGAAGTTGCATCCGCAATGCTTAGCTCTGCTAGAAGTCGCTTTAAGGAGGCTGAATCTGACCTTCGCTATCTCATCTGCCAACAGATGAGCTTCGAGCTTAGCCTGCTACGTCTGGTTGTATTCCCTCGTACGATGGTGGATATGGAATTTGCCCAGTTCACCGGGCGGGATGTGCATGCTAGTCTAGAACGCGTAGTGCAGGATGGCTCGCCTTCTAAACGTGTTATCAATCTCGCATTCACTACTCTCGGCATCTCGAAGCTGAGCCGCAATCACCATCTCCATGTTCCACCAAGTATTTCGGCCCCGAAAGACAAGGAGTGGATAGAGTCGCTGCTTCGTCATACAGCGGAGGCTACCATCGTTGGTCTACCGTCAATGACGATACGGATGTCTTCGGAGGAAGAACTCAAAGACTTTTCAATCACCCTGATATATGACTTCGTATCAGAGTTCTCTCGGCAGGAAGAAGGCAAGAAACATGAGGATATTTTCATCACGCTGAACGTCTCCTTGTACTCATGGCTGACTGGGCTGCGCAAGACGTTGTCAAGAGAGATGGACCAACTGCAGGGGACAACCCAAGATTGGCGAAGCGTGCCGGGTTCGGCATCACCGCCTTCTGCCTCGGAGATCATGTCTACCCGCAATGGAGGCGGCCAATCCCCTACACTACCGTCCGCTAGGTCTCCGGTCCTAGACCCCCGCAAAGTTACACCTCTAACATCCTCAAGGGGTTTAGCATCGAGTATGGATACTGATGCATCCCCAGCTCTCGAGCAAGACGTTGTCGTGGAAGATGATCTTATACCTGCTTCGGATGTACCTGCCTCCGTGGAGAAACAATCGAATGGGATCGTTTACAAAGCACGAACCAGGCACATCGAGAGGCTTACAATGCGCCAGCTTGGGGAGGCGACCCCAGATGTTATGCATCCGTTCTTCATGAAGAAGGCTGGGTTCAGTCTCGAAGATTCGTTCCCTCAATACGTTCACGAGTATGCTACCGTGCCGCTGGAAGGAATCATGGAGGCTTTGCTCAAATTATACAGCAAGCAACTACGTACGGACAAGAAGCACATCAATTAACATTCCTTTTTTTCATTCTCGACGCCTTTATAATACCCCTACTGTATATATATCTACCATTCATTTTTGTTGATAGACGTGCCCACAAATATTCACTTGACCCCGTTTACAGTCCGAAAAACATCGATATCGGTTCATGCCATTGCGATTAAATGGGTAGTACGGATAAATAGTGGCTAGTGCTTCTGTGTCTACTTGGAACTAATTCCCGCGCCAACATTAAAGACGCTAAGCAGGGCAAAGCAGCCGTACAACAAGCCGACGGGGTATGCGACCAGTAGTCGTTGATCTGACATGCGCAAAACCGCAACAAAAATGCCAGACGCGGAGAAAGTGCACCATATTATTGATAGCACAGAGAGCAGATAACCCAGCATCCCGCTGGGAAGGTTTTGTGAGTTTACCATGTCTGTTCAGTCCCAAGGTAATAACTCACTCCAATGTAACGACCACGCTAATTGCCCCGACGCCTACCATTGGTAGCAAGCAGTATCCCAATACTGACACTGTTCTGTAGGCATCAATCCCCTTCTCTGACATTAAGTTTAGGAGCGTATAAATTGAGGCCGAGCCCAACAACCCGAAACCATAAATGTATCCAAACTGAGGTTTTCCGGACTGCACGGTTTGTCAACACTAGCAAAGACGATGTTATACAAAGTGCTCACAAGAAGGAGAAGTGTTCCGAAGCAAAAGAAAAACAAAAGTGGACCAGCCAAGTCTGCGTCATCCATGATACGCTCATCGACGCGACTGAGAGGGTTCAACACGGTCATAGATTTTGCACGGATGTGCGAGAAGTTGATCCCAAGTTCTGCTCACAGGATAAGGAGAGGTATAAACACGCTTATAAAGAGTAACATGCCTTCCAATAGTGGTGGCTCGCCCTCGAATCCACCGGTACCAAACGCGGATAGCCAGCCTCCCGGTTGCTGGATGTTACCGCCAAAGCCAGTGCCTTGCGTGTTCATAGAGCCTTGGACGCCCATACTTCCTTCTAGACTTGGTCTTGAGCCCGGATAGAAGCCACCTTGGTCGGTACTGGGAGCGTAGAACTGGAGGGGAGCATTCTGAGGAGGCGCCTGACTGTAGTAGGGACTTTGGGAAGAAGACGCGCCATACGGAGCGCTGTTGTCTTGCCACATCTAGATCGTAGTCACGTCGTAAGAAAGAGAAAGAAAAGAGAGATAGACCGAGTCTCAAGACAGGAGGGAGCAAGGGCAGCGTAAAGCCAAAAGGTATTCGTAGTTGTTCTATGTGAACGTGTTCTTCCTAAACTAAGATTAGGCCCTCATTCGGAACTTTCCGAGGGCCCTCGTCTGCAACCGCCATGGTGAGATCTCCTGTTTTAATGCACTCGCAGTCTCGCTAACTCATGGTATTTTATAGCCGCAGGTACGTATCTAAAGTGTTTAGAACCGCAATCAAAATTTAAATCGATAAATCAGAACGAGTACATCGAGGAACACATCAAGCGACATGGTCGGCGGTTAGATTACTATGAGCGCAAGTGAGTGATCGAGTTCTCCAACATGGTACTTGTTCCCTAACAAGTTGCAATAGGCGGAAGAAGGAAGCTCGTGCTGTCCACAAGGCATCCTCCACCGCCCAAAAAATGTTTGGATTGAAAGCCAAGCTCTTGCATGCTAAACGACATGCCGAGAAAGTCCAACTTAAGAAAACCCTCAAGGCTCATGACGAGAGGAACGTCAAACAAACAGACTCGTCAGCAGTACCAGATGGTGCCCTTCCCACCTACCTCCTTGACCGCGAGGGTCAGAAAGATGCCAAAGCCCTGTCGTCTGCCATCAAGCAAAAACGCAAGGACAAGGCTGCCAAATACGCTGTGCCTCTTCCTCAAGTCCGCGGTATCGCAGAAGATGAGATGTTCAAGGTCATGCGGACCGGCAAGCGGAAGCAAAAATCATGGAAACGCATGGTCACGAAGGCGACGTTCGTTGGCGAGGGTTTCACAAGGAAGCCCGTTAAGATGGAGCGGTTTGTGCGACCCATGGCCCTTCGATACAAGAAGGCAAATGTGACACACCGTACGTCCTATATACGGCTTATATATGCCTAAGCTAATGGTCATTTGCCTTCTTGAAAGCCGATTTGAAGGCAACTTTCCAGCTTCAGATCCTCGGAGTGAAGAAAAACCCACAATCACCTATGTACACTCAACTTGGTGTTCTTACCAAAGGCACTGTCATTGAAGTGAATGTATCTGAGCTGGGTATGGTTACGACGGGCGGCAAGGTGGTATTCGGTAAGTACGCACAGATCACAAACAATCCAGAGAATGATGGGTGCATCAACGCCGTCCTCCGTGAGTTTTGATCATTTACCAGGAACTATTATGGCTGACTTCTCAATTTAGTGGTGTAAATTGCCATGTGGTTGTCGGTCCTTATGAGATCGTCAGCTGGTGCACTCGTCAAAAGTAGAACAGACACTGGGATATCCACGTGTGTAATTGCACATATGTATTGAAGCATACTATTATGTGCATCTTATATGCATTTGTTCAACCTACATTGATCGAGCAGATCTAGGCGAGGTTCGAAAGCTGTTTAGCTCCCAGTTACAGTTAGCCCTATAGTAAAATACTGCAGTAGTGTGAAAGTGATGTTGATTAGTATTTGCTCACCCCTGTCTTCCTTGTTCCTTTACCCCATCACTTACCATTGACTCGTACCATTAATTTGCCGTACTTCCAATGTCTGGATCTGGGATACCGTCAGACAGTAAACCACAGTCTCCTGCACCCGGACAGCCCAATCGCCATGTCCTCACTGCCGTAGAGAAACAGCGCTCGCAGCTGGATAGACTACTCAAGGATCCAAGCAAGCCCGCATACGTTCCATCGGGGCCAAAGGAGAAGACCATACGACCTGCGCGAGAAATGATGAAGAATGTTCAAGGGTCAAGTGCTGGCGCTGGTAGTGGCGAGTTCCACGTATACAAGGCAAGCCGGAGGAGAGAGTATGAGAGGTTGAAGATGATGGAGGATGATGCTCGAAAGGTCCGCATCCCACACTACTGATACTATTAATTCGATTCAACAGTTATCTAGGAAAAAGAGACAGCGGAATTTGAACGTAAACGAAAGGAGGCGGAAGATTTGGCAGAAGCCAAAACCGCGAAAAACCGCGCAAAGCGTCAAAAGAAGAAGGACCGAATGAAAGGCAAGGCCACCGAGAGAAGTGGAGACGGAGCCGACGACACAAGTGCAGACGTGCCTCTCAAAAAGAGGCGGCTGGTCAATGGGAAGGAGCTTGTGTTTAGAAGACCTGGTGAGGATAGCGAGGAAGAAGACGAACATGGCCCATCAGTGTCACTTTCTGCGGACGCCGAAAACGTGGAGGATATATTACAGCTCGCGAACGTTCCAGTTGCTGTAGAAGAACGCCGAATCACCATACACGAAGATGAATAAGCTCTCAGATCTCAGTGCCCAAACTCTTTGTGATTATTGCACTTATCAACTGCCTTTGTATGCGCACTGTCACCGTCCCCAGAGAAATGGGAAACCAAACAGCGGAGGCAGCCTACTATTTTTGCAGTTTTGTGAGCGCCCTATAGTCGCCATTTATTGACATATCGTATGCATCTTGTTATTGTAATTGACACAGATCCTCCAATTAATCCGTTTCCTTCGTCAGTTGACCGTCGTGCATAATCTTAAAGCCGAGCACACATTACAATGGTCCAGCATAGTTCGGCATTCACCCTCTTCCTATCAATAGCTTCCACATTCGAGCGAGATAATGCCCCGACATTGATCCTGCCAAGGTTTTGTTGGCAGAGCGATGCATGTCACGCAATACCAATGACAGGGCGTTCCGAGTCTGTGCCGGTGAGGCCTGGTGAAGCTTTGCTATCTCAGATAACTTAGTGAAAGGCGCAAAATTGCCTCGGAGTTTGACCCCTCGTGACGTCTCCGATCGTACCGACGGCACCAGATGGCAACCACATGGATGTTTTGCGGAAGGAGTTTCCTAGCGAACCCAGTTCCGAAGATTTATCCTTTGTATGCTACCCAAACCGAGATTTAACCTCAGGTTGATACTTGACGTAAGTACAACAGGCTTTAGCAGACATGGCCAGCTAGTTCGACACAAGTATAAATGCGGGTTCTTGGAAGCTGAACCCAGCAGTTTTCAAACCCACCAGCCAACGTTTTCTAAGATGCTCTTCACTGCCTCTTTCGCCGCTCTTGCCGCCGCTTTGGCTCAGGTATCTCTGGTGAGGATCGCAATGTAGATTCGTGTCGTGGTCAGATATATTGACCTTCGTTCAATAGGTGTCTGCTCACGGTGGTGTACTGAGCTACAACATTGGCGGCACTGACTACAACGGGTACGTATTTTCCCGAAGCTGCATGCATAATCGTTTAGACTTCCATAGTTTCGTGCCATACAACACCCCCGTCGGCCAGTCATCCATCCAACGCGAATGGGACTCTTACAACCCCATCACCGACCCCACGGACGCCCACTTGTCTTGCAACGCCAACGGTGCCTCCCTCGGCTCTGGCCAGAAGTCCGCGACTGTTGCCGGTGAGTTTCAGCATTGTCTTCCTATTTATCATTACAGACTTAGCTAACTCGAACGTCTTGTTTCCGTAGCTGGATCCAAGGTCATTGCTTACTGGAAGTATGTCTCAAACGTTTGTCAATCATGGCGTGACACTAATCGTCATCTAGCAACCCCTGGCCTCACACCGTCGGTCCTGTTATGGTGTACATGGCGAACTGCGGTGGTGACTGCAGCAGTGCTGACACGTCCTCTCTGGACTGGGTAAGTCCCCAGGATCAATTCAGCCCAAATCCTCCTGACTTATGCCATAAAACTATAGTTCAAGATCGATCAGGCCGGTCTCATCTCTGGCCCCGTATCCGCTGGCCAATGGGGCATGGGCCAGCTTGTGAACCAGAACAGCTCTTGGACGTCGACAATCCCCGCCGCACTGCCCGCTGGCAACTACTTCATCCGCCACGAACTTCTCGCTATCCACACCTCGAACCAGCCGCAGTTCTACCCCGAGTGCGCACAGCTCGTCCTCACTGGTGGAGGCTCGTCTACCCCGTCCTCGGACCTCCTCGTTAAGTTCCCTGGTGCATACGCTATGTGAGTTCCCATTTTCCTCAGGCATCTATGCCTACCCGCCAACCATACTGACGAATCTTCAGGAGCGACCCTGGTGTTGGCATCGACATCTACTCGAGCACGGCAACCAACTACACTATTCCCGGCCCCGCCGTCTGGACCGGCAACTAGATCGAGAACAGAAATTAATTTATCTACGGCTATAGCTTGCCCGGTGTGCCATGGTTAACGAAGGGCATCATATGCACTGGTGCACGATGACATAGGGCTGGACTTGTGTAGGATATGTAGGGCTGGTGCATCATTTGGTTTATGGAATGAGGAAACCTGATAAAACCGTTTTTCTGAACTCGGTCTGACTGTCATTGGAATTTGCGGACCATTTTTAACAGCCTGAAAAAGCGGCCAGAAAATTATCAGTCTCAGCCAAATAACCCCATCGCAAAACGGATATTTAGTTGTGTGCCAGTGTCGATCTTCGAAGAATATCAGTGCACATTAACTTTAATGCTCGGCAATCATTATAGCCGTTTGCAGAAAGGTTGCGCCGCGCGTCAAAACACACGCTTTTTTCGACCTCAGCCCCTCCACAGTCGTTCGGTCATATCTCATGAACCACTGGACCGTTTCACTTAAAATTACCCGCGTTCGAATCGCCTCATCAATCTCCAGGTGCGTGTATAATTTTTATTTCGTCTGACAGAGTTCTCAAAATTCGTGCCTCAGGGGCTATTGTTGGATGTTGTCTGACGTTGTTCGCTCATATCTCGTCAACGCATGGGCTGTTGGACTCAAAAGTGGGACCAATGGATTCGTACTGATGGGGCCGAGGTGCGGATACACTTTTCACGTTGACTGAATCACACCTGAATGTCTGTCGTTAGGGATAGCGCTATCTACACAAAGGTCTACAAATGTTCGGTCATAACTCATCAACAAACCACTCCCTTAACTCAATCACGACGTCAATCATTTGTCCTTGTAAACTCATAGGTGCGTATATGGTTTCCGTATGGATTGTGTAACATCTGGTCTTGGTATCACACGGAGGTGTGTCGAGGTTATATGGGTGGCTGTTGCACTATAGATCCTCGTTGGATGGCTTTCCCAACTCAAAGATGGTCTCATTCGATCTGAACTCCACCCCAGAAAGTAAGTACATGGTAATTGTTGTGGTTGACTATGACTTCTTCCGTGTTTGTTGACCATGAGGGTTGGAAAACCTGTTATCGTTATGTTATACACCACATATCGCCTTCACTTTCACTCTCGTTAGCAGTTCTTTATCCTAAATGTAATTGATGTTCCACATGAAGGCTATATACATTTTGAGCTTGTACGGGTGATTCTAGTGACCTCAAGTTCATGAATCTTGAAAAGAGGACCTTGTGCGATATAACAATCCCCAGTGATGGACGTTCAGGTGTGATTCAGTCAACGTGAAAAGTGTATCCGCACCTCGGCCCCATCAGTACGAATCCATTGGTCCCACTTTTGAGTCCAACAGCCCATGCGTTGACGAGATATGAGCGAACAACGTCAGACAACATCCAACAATAGCCCCTGAGGCACGAATTTTGAGAACTCTGTCAAACGAAATAAAAATTATACACGCACCTGGAGATTGATGAGGCGATTCGAACGCGGGTAATTTTAAGTGAAACGGTCCAGTGGTTCATGAGATATGACCGAACGACTGTGGAGGGGCTGAGGTCGAAAAAAGCGTGTGTTTTGACGCGCGGCGCAACCTTTCTGCAAACGGCAATAATCGAAATCAATCTCGAGACTGAATATTGAGGCAAAGTTTGTAATTGCAAAAGTCAAGCTGTGGCGAGACTCGGCGATCCCGGCAGAGCTGGCCTTCGTTCAATCTTCCTTGTGTCAAATCATCTTTAAGACATTATATTGTCAACGGCGGCATGGTAGACGTCGAGTTCTTGGATGATGACTATTCAGGCGAAATCGATATCGACGTCGATACCCTAACGGCCCTGGGTTTCGGTCTGATCAATGCTATCCTTGAGCACGAACCGACCGACACTATCAAGATCTGGATCGACCAAGGCGCGCCGCTATGGTTCCAAGACGAGGATGGGACGTCACCTTTGCACGCCGCAGCATACGTACAGAACAGCCAGCTAGTCAAACTTCTCATTGACGAGGGTGCAGTATGGAATGCAGGTGATTAGCAAAACGAGTTTGGCTTCGTCACCAGCTACTCAGCCTATGTCAACGTCTCCCAGTTGACAACCTCGAGAATACCGCAGGCGACATTGCTCTGTCTTGGAATGATGGTGCTTCGTATAATCTCATTCGTGATGCGGGAATACGCTCAGGTGTGCAATGAAGGACCATCATGGAGTTTCAGTCACTGATTTCATGTATTCGTAGAAATGTTATTATCCCTGCTTTCCTCGAAATCTTCCCTGAAAGATACCCCGTCCTCTCTCATCCTTCGCCAGACAGATGGTTCGGCAGCTGGCTCTAGCGATGCATTTCTATCTTCGGAGCTACGGTTCACCACTGATGAACGCGGCCAGGATATTTGCATCGTAAAAGCAGATGAGGATGAAGTTGGCGTGATGATGGGATGGGAGCGAGATATCAGTGAGCCTTGTTCCTTCAGACTTTTGACATCCCACTCAGCTGGCTAGCATGAAGTGCGCGAAACGGTGCAAAGAATGTCTACGCAGGAGAACCTCGAAAAGGGTCTGAAGGTGATGAATGTAGGCTTTGGGCTTGGAATCGTGTGTTACACTCGCATAGGATGTGTTTCGTCTTCTAACCATCTCCCAGATTGATTCCATGTTTCAGTCCATGCCAACCCCGCCATCGATTCACGTCATCATCGAGCCACACCCAGATGTCTTGAAGTTCATGAAGGCCAAAGGGTGGCACGAAAAGAAAGGCGTCATCATCGTAGAGGGTAAGTGGCAAGATGCCATCGGAGACCCTCGAATTCTAGGGATAGGAGGATTCGACGCTGTTTACACCGACACGTTTTCAGAGAGCTACGAGGGTAAGTGACGCCAGCATCTACTTATGATTGGTCGCAAGCCCAACACAAACGCGGCTGTTCTAGACCTCCATACGTTTTTCAAACATGTCCCCGGTCTGCTCTCAGGCCCCACATCTATATTTAGCTTCTTCAACGGTCTCGGAGCAACGAGTACGATCCCTCCTGATTTCGGTGTGGTCGTGCTAATATCTCCCACAGATGCCCTGTTCTACGATGTATACACGCGCTTGTCCGACATGCATCTGTCTGAGGTTGGCCTCGAGGTGGAATGGGACGATGTCGATGTCAACATGTACAACAAGGATGGTGACGGTGCGGAAAGATGGGGTCAGACCAGACAGTACTTTACTCTCCCCACGTATCGCCTCCCGTGTGCCAGAATGAAGCACCTTTGATGGTGCGGAGTCATGGTCCATTCCGATAAAAGAAATTCAGGCCCCAACACCATTATCCATTGTTCGATAGAAGGCAGATGCTATACGACCGGGATGCTTGTTATCTCGTCGCCAATGGTGACGGTGGTACGTTGCCACTGCCCTTGACGACTTTGGACAATTTGGAAGCTTCTGCTGCGGTCCATGCACAAGGGTGTACAATAGCCTCACGCCTCCCTTCCGTGTGTTTTCTTACCACTCTCTCCGCGACCACCACTTCCCTTCAGAGCTGGTCTCTCCCTGACTCACGTCCTTGTCGCATTTCTCTCTTCTTTCTCTATCCTAGCACCGTCGGGCAGGCCCTCGTGCTCACGAGCTGACTGGTTCAGCGTTCATTTTCTTGTCTAGCTTACACAACACCACGTCACAGCTAACGTTCAAAAAAAAAACTCAACCATGGGCTATCTCGCCGACGTTATGGCCAGAGCTCAGAAGGAGCCTCAATCCATTGATCTGGTACCCTTGAAGCCCCTGTGTCCCCGATAACAAGCTTAAGCTAACATGCGACGCTGGTTTACAGATTTTGTCTCCGTCACAGCCACCGCCGCTCCTTCCGTACGAGCTGAGCACAGTGGTGAGTATCAGGGCCTACACACGGCCGGTTATGTTAAGACTGACCTTTGTGTAGATTAGCCCCGACGTATGGGAGTCGCGGGTTCGGGCCATCATCCGGTTGGCCACCCGGTACTCAAAGCCCGTGTTCGAGCGTGTTTGGATTGTTATTGGGATGCTGTCAGTTGAATGCACCACTCATCGGCCACCAATGAAACTCACGTTTATTCCTCAGCGCTACCATTATCGTACCCTTCTTTGCCTACGCTCTGTCTTTGCGTGAGCTTAACCAAAAGAACGGCATCATTGAAGCCAATATCTGGGATGCTCGCGGGATTAGCTTTGCCACAACCATCGCTGTTTGGCTTGTCTTCTTTGTCCCCGTATTCGCTTGGAAGTACTTCGTGCGTTGAGCCACTGCGTTCATATCCTCCACCTTATTTACGATTTGACCTCTTAGGGCTACCTCCGCGTCAGAGCGTTGCTTCAGAGGTGGAACAGAGATGACATAGCCAACAACTCATCTGGAGCGGCCTTGCCTACTTGGAGAGCGACGACTCCTGGTGTCTTCAGAGATGGCATTGTAAGTCTTTTAACATATGGACTCTGCATCAGGAATGCCATGTAGCTAATGCCTTCACTGACCAGGCGCTGTCCATTACTCTGCCCATTGCTCCTAAACCGGTCACATTCCATCCGGACGCCTATCTTCCCCCGGTAAGTAGCGCAGTATCAAATTATTGAGCCACATCAACTAATGTCTCAAATTACCCAGTATATTGTGCCACCTGCGGGTATACCTCCGACCTACGACATGAAGCAAGGCTTCCCTACTGACTGGGAGTCGGACAGAAAATCGCTGAGTGATTTCAAGTTCTCGGACGAAAAGACCGCTCTTGCTTAAGTCCCGAGAACCTTCCAATTTATGGTTTGTGTTGCGCCTCTATATGTTCTTACTATGTCTCCAGAACGGACATTGTGTATTATACTACCATACAGCTGGCTGTGTTTGCTAGATTAGTAATGACAGAGCTACAAGGCTGCTTTGTACCAAAATTGTTGTTGTTGGTGTTTTCACGTTCACGCTTGGTGTAGCGCAGAAGTGGAGGTACTTGCTGCAGCCGTCAGAGTAAAGGTGTGGCTGATAATAGCATAAGTCCGAGTGTCCGAGATCTACGGAAATTGGATGTAGTAAGGCCCGCAGCCTGAATGTGAACGGTTCATCCACTCGTTACTTTTTACTCCAACTGTGGTATTGCCAGTTACCAGCATTCCTTAATTGCAGCACAGGCGAGCTTGCAGGTCATCTCAGTCTTAAGCGTTGTTGCTCAGGGTAATACACAATATGCAGGTCCTGACACAGTCTGAGCAAAGCGTGGACTCGGCAGGCCTCCTGCAAGTCCTTAGGACATTAACGACTGGTTATGACGATATACAGCTTGTACATCTATGATCGGTGCGCCAACCTTCTCTTCACAAAGAGCCCAGAATTCATCATGCTTTAGACACTGCGCGTGTGTATACTATCACGACTGGCATCGCGCAAAGCGACCAAAACCAGCCAACGAAGGCGGAGGCCTATACAATGCCGTAAATCGTGGTGTGGCTCCCCAGTCGTCGGAATCTTCAGTCCAAACCACACCTACGTTCAACAGCCCTAGGAACACGCTCTCGCTCAATACTGGTCATGTCGTGGCGGTTGGCGAACCCACAACGCCTCTGCCTCAGCAAACGGAGCACGAGGTCTCGAAGAGCAATGCCCTTCCGTTCGACGAGGAGGCGAAACTTGTCTATGGCGTCGTGATCTCGCTGCGAAACATGGTCAAGAAACTCTCGGGAAGGTAACGTCCTGTGAGTAACTTCGTGTCCCAAGAAGCTTAGCATCGTTTGCCAGAGACGAGCTTTTTACCAGCTACCGCACATCAGCATACAGACTTCACCTCTTAGAGACAGTATCGGGCTATAAATTCGTCATGCTTAGCGACCCCAACACCGACAACCTCCGCTTCGTTATGCGCCAACTGTACAATGGCCCTTTCATTGACTACGCCGTCCGCAATCCTCTCGTTCCGATGGATTCGAGAGAGCAGGGCATTGATAATGACTACTTCCGCGCTGCTACAGACCGCTTTATACGTGGACTTTCAGTGTTTGGTCCATAAGCCCATATCAAGAAAACAGATATTACCCAAGTGTATATGTATGTCAGCATAGCAGGTGTCTATATCGTAATTGATGCGAAAAGTCCGGCTGCACTGAAAAGAGCCTCCCCAGTAGAATCATTCGGGAATATAGCCAACGCCTCTGTGAGTTAGCTGTCATCCATCTCAACCTCAGGCATGTCCGAGGAGGCAGGGGTCGAAGAGTCAGTTCCTTGCTGCTCGGCAAACTGCTTCCTCAGCACGTTCATCAGCGACATCTTCATTGCCTGTTCCTGCGTACTTTCTTGCTTGTCATCCACGTCGTCCGCGTCACCTGCGACGGCCTCGTCGAGGGCCAACTTCGTCTCCCCTAGCCGTAGAATATCCTCCTCGATCGTCCCACGTGTGATGAGTTTAACTACTTCAACATCTCGCTTTTGACCAATACGATAAGCACGATCGTGCGCCTGGCGGTCATTGTGAGGATTCCAGTCTTGATCGAACCTGACCAGTATTCTCATGAGATCACCTTCAATGCATAGGCAGCAATACTTACATGATGACAACACTCGCTGCAGTCAAGTTAATTCCCATGCCACCTGCCTTTGTCGACAACAAGAAAATGGGAATGGTGTCATCTTCTGTGAATTCATCTACCAGGGTCTGTCGCAGATCCACAGCTGTGGCACCAGTGAGAAGCAAATAGCGAGTTTTCTGCTGCTTCAGGACGGCTTGTAGGATATCCAGAATTTGGGTGAACTACATCGCCATCACGATTCAATCGATCCCCACACATCCATATAATGGAAGCGGACGGCTTACCTGCGAGAAAATCAGAATCTTTCTACCAGAAGCCTGATATCTCTTCAGGAGCTTCAGCAGCACAGTGACCTTGCCCGCTTCCAGATAGCACTTCTCGTTCTGGAGAAACTTCTGCGTCGACTGTGCGATGTTAATGAATGGGGATATGAGGAATTGCGACAAAGAACAATGTCGCAGAACATATCAGAGGAAAAACAACAAAGAACACCATCATAAGAACAACGTTCATGCACAAAAGAAGTATTCATGAGTAGATGCTAGGATCTTCGGAGCCGAAACGACGAACCTTGTAACCTTGGCAAAAGAACTGAAGCTCGGCGTCGGTCATAACCTCCATGTCTTCCTTGACATAATCAAAAATGGCTCCCCGCTTTTTGAAATCGGGTTCCTTAAGCAGCTGGCGAGTGACCGAGTCAAGAATCTGATCGGTGAAGCGCTTTCTGAACAGCATTGGGTGAGAGGTAGCCTTGCGCAGGTCCATCAGAACATTCGCGCTATTCTCGAGATAGCGCTCGTCCTTCCCCCGCGGGATTGATTTGGACTTCTTCTTGGCTTTGCCACGGCCGTTCGTCTGGGCGGATTCATCGGCGCCATCAGGGGTGGGAGCCTCCTCGCGGATGATTTTTCGTGAACGTGCGAGTGCATCATTGTAAATCGATTTCTGCATAGGGGTCATCTCGCACCACTCGATGCGCTCGGTCTTGTTTGGCAGGTCCTTGAGAACCTGCGACATCCCTGGTAAGCCATACTGGTTATGACAAAGGAAGTACTCGCCTGGTCTTTTCGCCGCCGAAGGACGAATGGAGTCATCATTTTCTTCGCTCGAGAGATACGTTCCTGCGAAAGCAGAGACACCTTGGAGTTGCCTTTCGTTTTGAAAATAGCGCGTAACGAATCCATTGTTTCCCCAAAGTGCGACGGCAATATGAAGTTCATTAGAGACTGTTCAAGGCAACGTGTGAGTCGTCTGCAGCAGCTCGCAAGCAATGTTTAGCGAGGATATGCTTACAACCAATTCTTGCAAGTTATTTTGCAAAGGAGTGCCCGTAAGTAGCAGTCGCCAATTAGATTCATACTTGAGGAGTGCTTTGTAACGTTGCGACTCAAAGTTTTTCAAAACATGTCCTTCGTCAAAAATGCAGCACTGCAAACATCAGTAATTGCTTATTCGTATTGTCGGGAAACGGACGAACATCCCATTCCATCCGTCTAAAGAATTTTCTGTCCCTCTCGTCGCCCTGCGCGAGGTTGTAGGTAGTTATGAGAACTTCCCAACCTTTTCCTTTCGAGTTCCGGTGCCATTGGGAGTCGTAGAGCGTCTGCCGAAGCTCAGAACGTTCATTCTTGTCGGCATAATATGTCTGAACCGCAATAGACGGTGCAAAGCGGGCAAATTCTCGACACCAGTTTTCCAAGGTTGAGGATCTTCATCGAATGCGCATTAGGATTGAAATAAGTGAAATGCAATGTAACCTACGGGACAACGACGAGATGCGGTCCGTGGCGACCATGCTCCTGCAAGTGCGCCAAAAAGCTGATAACCTGTATTGTCTTTCCGAGACCTATGAAAATTGTTAGTTGAATGTTATAGACGGGGGGAAAGTATCGGGATCTCACCCATCTCATCTGCGAGGATACAACTGAGCTCCTTTCGGTAAAGTAGGTACAGCCAATTTACACCTAGGAGCTGATAATCCTTCAGTTTGACGTTCTCTGGCAAAGCCTTGGGCTGCTGCGTGAGGTAGTCGGCAGAGGCCTTGACATGCCTCAAGGTACGCAAGCTAAGAGAGCCGTCATCAGCTTCGTACATCTTTGTGAGTACGTCTTGCGTCGCATCCTCTTCCTTCTGTTTGCCTTTGCCACTCTCCACTGACCCTTGAAGTGTCCAAGAGGCAATCGCAGCACGCAAGTTATCTCCGATACGCTCGACACTTTCCAGAACGCTATCGACGTGGCCATAGCCTTTGAACATGGCCACGCAATCGTCGAACATTCGCGGACTGATGCCACCAGGGCCGGCCTTTCTTCCACCCTGAGCGAGTTTGACTCTAAGATCATCCTCATCGTCAAATGGCCGATGTTCGCTGATTTTCTTGGCTTGATCGGCAGTGCAACCTGTTACTATGAGCAGAAGCTCGTGCAAGATATTTATTGCAAGTGCTCACCTGTGAGCTCCTGCAACCCCTCCTCCGTGGAATCGTTGAAGTACGCCAAAGCTCGATCCTCCGGAGTCTTTGCTTTGGCTTTATTGGGCACTCTTGAAAGTCTCGATGGCTTCTTTATTTCTTCATCGCCGCTTTCTTCGTCCGAATCAACGATCACCTTCTTGGTACGTTTCCGCCGCGGCATCACGAGAGCCGGGGTTGCCGGGGATGTTGGGGACGTTGGAATCGCAGACTGCACCTTCGACGAAGATGGCGTTGTTAATGGATCATCTGTATCAAGTGTGACTCGATTGGCGTATATGGAGCTCTTCTTCGCCTTCTCCCTCATGGCAGCACGTTCTGCCTTGTGTGCCTCATCGAGCTCCTCAACTCTGCCTGTAATTTCTGGTGGCTGCGGTGGCGAGGCTGTTACCACGGCAGGGGATGCCTGGGTCCCAGTGATAGAAATGGGAGGGGTGGTACGTGGCGGCCGCCAACTATGGTCGTTGAGAAATGAATCAGCTCGCTTCTCGTCACCGCCCGCCTGTTTCCAGGCAGCGCGCAGGTCCTTTTGGGGCCGTTCAGGGTGGATGAAGATGAACTTCTTCAAGTCAGGAGAGTCGCCTTCTGGCACCGCAACCGCGCCATGCTGGCCCCGGACGATCCGGGACGATGCCGCCGGTGTGCTCGACTCTTCCGAAGACACTGACATGCCACTCATGCTCATATTCTCCTCCCTTTTCGCAATCCCGCTTGCATGCGATAACGAGCTCGATCCTACATTAGATGGATCAGTGGCGCCAGCGCTGTGCCACATCGCTGTCGTAGCGTCTTCCTCGGACCCGCGATGGAGCTTCTTGCGCGGTGGTCCGTCGTCTGTGTTCGTCATTTCCGACGATAGCCGCGTCTCGCCTGCATAATGACGCGTGAACGACGCGTGAGAGTGCTGAGTGTGATTGTAGAAACCGCTAGAGGCAGAGAGGGGATCAAAGCGGTCATAATTAGGCAGGTGCGTACGCTGTGCCCAACCGTTCGGTTGACCGAAGTTAGGCTGCGGGGGCGGGGTGTATGCATGCTGAGAAGGATGTGTGTAGTAAGGCGTCTGGGACCCATCGGGACGGAGAGGACTCGAGTTGGGAGCGAGAATGTTCCCGGTCGGTAGAGAATTGGATATTGGAGGGAAGTAGCGGGAGGCCACAACCGTGTTCGGCCTCGTTGCGTCCCGCGACTGTGCGGGCATCGGCGCATAGTTTACTGGTGCAGCATTGACGGATGCCGAGGAAGTCGTGTGCGAGTGAGAATTGTTAGCGGTGCTCTTGCGAGACTTATTGAAGCGTAGCTGGTCCAAAGCTGCTTTCTGTTGAGTTCACAACGGGCGCTTATGAGTAAAATGCATTCAACGGCGTCGACGACACTCACTTTCACGTCCGCTGGATGGCTCTCAACCGACATGGCCAACAGCCGCTGAGATATATATTGGTAGGGGGTAGAATACTCGTCACAGACGATAACTTAGGTGTATTAACCTGGGGCTAAGTGACACAGTTATGGTGGGAGAAAAGACAAGGCTCAAAGGCGACTGCTTAGCCGCATTGCACGTCGGAGCGTAAAAAGTATTGTGGCTAACGCAACTCTATTCCGTTATCTACTGGCAATAATGGGAATACATATACATGAATGATGTACAGTCATCCTGTACTACGACGGCACAACAGAGGTCCAACAACACTGCGTAGCGACACGAAGATACAAGGTTCAAAGCGTTCGGCGCGCAGTAGAGGCCAACTCCAGACGCAGTTACTTGTGGTGGGGACGACCAGCGATGTGACAAGAAGCAAGTGTATCACAAGACGTTCGCCAAAGTGCACGGAGAAGTGATCGATAGCAGGAGAGGACTACAAGAGTTAAATCCAGAGGTTAGACACGCAGGCCGTTGAAGCTAACAGCTCGCTTGGCTGAGACATCTTGGTTTATCGGCATTCATTGATACCAGTTGGGAGGCCGTGACCAATATGGACAATAGATGTAGGCGATGCGTGACGTAGCAAAGAATAAGTGCGAAGACGTGACGGATGGTGGGGGCTTCCCTCAACGAAGGTGGGGAAGAAGACGGCATGAGTTTAAAATTGTTGTCGACCACTTCCGAGGTCCACGAGCATAGGAAGGTGTGAGAATTTGTGTCGATGTAGAAACGAGGATGAAGTAGGCAAGAAAATATTCGCACAAAAGCGCAGAGGAAGCGGTACAGACGGGGCAACAGAAGCGGTAGCATGCAGCTACGGTGAACATCAACGGAGGTGCTCACCTTGTTAAGTAAGGCTACAACTTCGCAGCTTGGCCTGCAGTTGACATGTATATCACCAAGCGTAAAGAAATCGCGAAACCAGCAAAAAAAACATCCGGGGCGCATATCGCGCATAGTCACATTAGTTTCAAACGAATCACATACTTGAACCTGCAATTATCCAGTGCCAGCTGAAAAGGCCAAAGAAAAGCCTTCACAAGAACAGCAGAGAGTTTGATGATGAAATAGATCATTATTTCCTGTATGAAAATATGACGGACCGTTGCACGCTGCATCTGCTGAACAAGAGAAAAAATTGCGATTAGCAAAGCGCTGGAGTAGTAGCCGCTGAGTCATAGGAGCAGGTACGATGAATACCTCCTAAGCGGAGTCGACCGAAACAAGCCGAGAAAAAGTGAGAAAAAGTATACCAATAACCCCGCCCTCCAACCAGCCCACATATGCAAAGCTGGAAGAAATTATGGGCAACAATCCACAAGACTCAAGGCATTCCTGTCCAAAGGACAAGGTAAAAACAGAAGACAGCCCGAGATGCATCTCAACGCTGCGAAATGAAAAGCAAAAATGACCGAAACAGAGACTCAAGAAAGCCCACCCACCCACAGCAAGGGAAGGTGGGGGTCAGAAGACAAGAGAGATTCGGTGCTTGCCGCTTGATGATAATGTCTCGGCAAATGCCGAGCGTGCGCAGTCGGAGTCTGGCATTTGCCGGCTGCAGACGACTGCGTCACCTTCTGGGGTCAGTTCAGGTTGTTGGGCTAGCCACCAAGTACAGCAAGTACTACTTCCACACACGTCCTTCTCGCTCGCCACCATGCTGGGCTTTCTGGACACCATCGTTCTCCTTCTCTCCCTTGGCTTCTCTCTCGCAGTGCTTGTGCCCCTCAGTGGTGCCCTCGTCCGTTTCAGGGCCCACTACAATCCCAAGGGCCTCCAGCTAGATCCAGAGGGTGATGTACAGCCCCATACTGGGCCTGTCATCTCCACCTATTTCGGCATGCTCAAACGCGTCTACAAGATTGAGGTGTGCTTCAATGCATCTATCTCGCCTTCATAAAAAGGGTCGGCCTAATCACAACCGTTATAGGGTGTTCCAGGTCTTTACAAAGGCCTCAGTACGTCAGCTGTCTATGCATGTCTTCTGTACATTCTGACCGCCTAAAACTCCTCAGTGCCCAGTCTCGTGTCGAGCGCGCTCATCATCCTCTTCATGATCGCATTCTTAAGCGAGAGCAATCTCCGCCACGGAACATACACCGCTCCAGATGCTGGTGTTCTTGGTACCCTCTTCTACAGTATCTTCGCTATGCTAGTTTCCCTCCCTCAGGTCATTATTACCAACCGGTAAGTACGCAGTCTGCACAAACACACACATGCTCATCCCGCGCAACACAGCGCAATTACGACTCCCGCCAAATTGCCGTACTTCAATGCCTTGTACTCTCTTCGCATCCTGTTGACGCCCACTGAGCGCCGGCGCCCCTGGATCCTGTATCTCACACCTGGTCTTCTCGCCGTGCAGGTCGTCCACATCGCATACATCGTCCTCTTCCTACGCACGCTCCGGATGTGGATCCTACCCGAGTTCTCTCCCAACAGCTTCCCGCGCCAAGAAGACTTCTCCGCCGTCCGCCTCGTCATTTACTTCATCATCTCGCTTTCCAGCACGGCGGTCCTGACGCCTTTGGAAGTGATAGCCATCCGATTATCCATCCAGCGCAACCACGCGGCGCCTGAATACAACTCGGTGACACAAGAAGAGGAAGGCGACGCTGAATATTCGGCCGAGTATGCCGGTGTTGAGGAGGACGTCATTGGGTGAGTGGTCATTGTGTATGACTACGGCGACTGGTGTAACTGATATCTGCGTCAGATTGAGGACAGAGAGGGAACCTTACATTGGGCTGGTTGATTGTGCGAAGCACATCATCGATGAGGAAGGCTGGTCTGCACTGTACCGCGGATGGTGGATAACGATGTTGGGGAGCCTTGGCGGAGCGTTTTCATAGTCGAAAGCAGAGGATTGAAATTTATCTGACGCCATGGCTCTTGAACGTTTGAACGTGCATTAGCCTTTTGACGCCTTGCCACCTTGGAATATGTACGCCCATTGTTACTTTGTATGTAAATAATAATATCTGCCTCTCCTATACGCTCGTGATACTCGGTTTTGATCTCAATGAGAAGATGACAAGTTTACGACCTGTTCGCGATGTCCTTGTCGGATTGGCTCTGATTGTCTGGGCAGGATTGACAGCTGCGTGTTATACCAGCTCAGTTAGCACATGCGGTATTCATTATCGGTTTCACTTCGTTCCCATCCGTGACCCGCTCCCTGGTCGCGAAGCAATCTCTGGAGATCTCCAGTATATCCACGGACTTTGAGCTGACTGCCCTGAGAATAATGATTGCTGCTGGCATTTGGCTTCCATTCATTTACCTTTCGAGATGTTGAAAGGTGGTCCACTCTGATCGTAGAGTACGGGCCCCGGTCACATTCAGTGTAGGGACGATATCAATTGTCAGTCCTGTGAAGCGTTGTGAAGCTGTTTACCAGGTTAACGGAGTTGATGGATCGGGAGGTGGATAATGATTTCTACGAGAAAGAGCTCAGATGAGTTGCGATATGATGCTGAGCGCTGAATATGAATGCTGAGTTCTAACCCGGCCAGCCTGGGTACGGGACGGATGGTCGTGCCTCAGAGGGTCCGAGATGCTTGTGCTAGGCCTTGCTCGAGCCAAAGGCAGTTTTGCATCGTTAAACTTACCATCTGTCAGGGAGCCATTGAGGCGAGGTACATAATGGACGTCCGGACCGATGGTCGGTCTCCCAAACATATGAGATCATTTGGGCTAAAGAGCTATCATCTAGAACAAGGCGTCAACGGCCATGTGAATACTTGTACTTGGGCTTGGTCAAACCACTTAGACTTGTGTTAGCTCATGGAGTATTGCCACGCGAGCAACTCGGGAGCTTTACCCCGCACTCGGCCAACTCGGTCGAGTAGTCATTGACCGCCTCTAACGCTGTTATTGTAGAAACACTCTAGTCAAGGTGTATGCATTAAATGACTGCACTCTTGCGTGCTTATGATTATGTCTGCCGTTGACTTTCAAGCAAGGAGCGGAACACCGTTCCGTACCTGCGGCTTGCTTGCGGCCTTGCTGGGGAACGGAGCTTGGCTGCGCGAGATGAGAACCCCGCATTCGGCTAGCAGCGCGCTCCGACCACATGCCGCAGAGCTGATGCACGTCGCAGCCAGAAGTGATAGGCAACAGCAAGTAGACTAGTGACTGCGGACCTTGGCCAAGACCCTCGCCTTTTCCCGATCTTCCACCATCCCGTCCATCTCGTCACCGTCCATAACGTTTCAGCTCTAGAGATGGCCGCGCGATACCCCATTGACAACATCGCAGACGGAAGTCAGAAATCCCCACTGGCCACTGCCCTAGGCACGCTCCTGTCTTTGATCCTTCTCCTCATCGCTGTGCCGCTTGCGGGTGCCCTGACCCGGTACAGGGCCCAGTACTCACCTCGTCGGGTCGCTCTTGGCACCAACGGCGAGCACTCAGCGCCAGCCTCTTCCGCGAAGGGCGGCTCATCGTACTTCGAGATCATCGCGAGGACGTATAGGAAAGAGGTGGGTATTGCCTCCCATCCACCGTACTATCGTATTCGACTGACGAGACCGTAAATGCACCAAGGGCCTTTCCGGCCTCTATCGCGGGCTAGGTGCGAATGCTGCCCGATCTTTTTCTGCACGTCTTACATATTGCCTTTCAGTCCCCACCGTCCTCCAGCTTGTCTTCTTGACTGTCTTTTCAGTAGTCGTGGTCGTTTCCCGTCAGCACAATGCCGCATACCCGATCCCCACGGAAACAATCCCTTCCGACTTCCTCTACTCCCTCATTTTGACCCTTGCCGTCATCCCCCTGACTATCCTCACGTACCGGTTCGTTTAATCCATCTAGTCATCTCGTTCAGTCTGTAATACCTCTGACATTGAAACAGCTCGATGGCGACTCCTGTCCCACTCTCCATCTTATCTCCTCGCCGGAGTGCATGCACCATCTTCTCATCGTGCGAACGGTCGCGGCCGTGGACGCTCTATGCTATCCCTGGCCTCGTGGCTGCGCAGGTTCTTTACGTTATTTTCTGCCCACTTGTCATGCGCCTCTTCCGTCAGATCTTCGTACCTGACCTGGTCATTGCACCGGATGCTGGCACTAGCCTTGCTGGAGATGACGCGACAGGTGCATGGTGGGGCCCAGCAGTCTACATTGCCTTTGTTGTGTTCGTCAGCGTTGTTCTCACACCGCTCGAGATTATCTCGGTCCGTTTGGCTGTTCAGGAGGACACGTTAAAGAATGATACCACTTTAGAGGTCACGGAGTGTTCACCATTAGTTGGGAATACCTCCGAACCTGTGGTCGAGTAAGTTATATCCAAACTGTCCGCACGTCCTTGTTGAACACTTTTATATGTCAGGTTAAGATCAAACGTGCAGCCTTATACCGGTCTTGTAGACTGTGCGCGCAAGATACTTGATGAGGAAGGACGAGGCACATTGTATCGCGCCTGGTGGATTACTTTCCTTGTCACTCTTGGTATCGCCTTCGCGTAAGTCGGGCACTTCCGCCGCGGTCAGACTCTTCGAGTCTGACCGAACCACAGACTAATATTCGCACACGAAAATATGACGCACGACCCTGATGTTTACCAAACCTGTATAGCCATTGTACATACCCCCACAAATTTGACGACCATATTGACCACAATCAATTCTCTACTTTCAAGTACAGAAAGGACCATATGCTAGTTAGTTCCCTGCGGGTGCGATTGGCCCCCAAAGCCATTTTGATAATAGTTGCCTACTCCGGTTGACGGACCCGGGGGTGATGCCGAGATAGGTGTGGATGGTTGCGATGACCGGACAGGCGTCGGTGTCACCGCCGCCCCTGCTGTATTCGCAGGAGCTGTCTGCGCTTGGCTGGATCTCGACATGATCGAATTGAGGAGAATCGCCAGACCGCTCATCTGCGCGCTCTGCAACAAAGAGATGTTGATCTCCAGACTAAGCATTGTGCCATTCTGAGTTGTCTCCTTGAGTACTGCTGGTGGCTGTGGCTGATCGGGCGGAGGTAAGTTCGCTGCAGGCACGGGGACGATGCCAAGTGCGTGTAGGGCGCTGAGTGAATTCGCCGGGAGTTGCACAGGAATAGCCGTGCGGGTCACATGCGTTTGCGCGTAGCTCACCGGGGTCGGAGGCGCCGTATGCAAAGGTGTCCCAAGAGTAGACGTGGTCGCAGAAGTGGGTGATGACGCAGTGGGTGTGGGTGGAACGGCCGACATGGTTGTGTAAAGTGGCGCAGCTGCTGCGTACGGTTGTGTATAGGCATAGGGGTACGAGCGATAGTACTGTGCCTGAGACGGTTGAGGATAGAAGGACGGACGAAACGTTTGTTGTTGCGCGAGCCGTTTTTCACGCTGCTTCATATCCAATTCGGTGCGCGCATTTCGGAGCTCGGAGCTGAGCGCAGCGTTGTCTGCTCGTTCCGTCTCCAGGACCGCTTGAGCCAGAAAGTATGCCTGGTCCCCAGATGATGTATACTGAAATGATTCAGTTTGGTGCCCTTGTGCATTAACTGCCACGTATGACTTACATTGCCCGACGTGACTTTGGCATGTTCAAAACGCTCCTGCAACTTCCGAAGTCGGCGGTGGCAACCGAGTGCAAACTTTGTCTCTGGTTGCTCAAGGTGAGAAGCGCTTTGAAACGATCCCCAAAATAATCCACGTACCAGCGATTTCTGTCGTGTCCGAGCTAGTTGCCCTCTCTTTTCCCTTTCCTTTGCCAATTAATACCTGCAGATCGTCCTCTGGCTGCTGAAAGACATGATATGGCAACAGCCGCTCTACTACATCAAATGCGTCTTCAAACGGAGAGTCAATATCGGGATACAGCGCCATGTTCTGATCAGTCAAGATCCGTAGCGCGAACCTGAATGAATGCCCTAATGAGTGTTACAGAATAGACGGACATCCAGAAGTCCTGGACGCACCCTGATGTAGTCTCCTCAATGATTTTTTGCTCAGCATCTGGTCGTTTTGGTCGTTCCTTCTCCTTCTTCTCTTCTGGTTTAGGACCCGGAGGTGAAGCATCATCCTGAGACAAAGTGGATGGACCTGTCTCTGTAACTAGCTGTTTCGACGGCCCTGCGGTAGATTGTTGAGGTACGGATGCAAAACCTTGAGGATGATGTCCGTTTGCCGGCCAAATAACGTGGCTCTGTGCATACTGGATTGGCTGGAGCTGAAAGTTATGAACAGAAAACGCAGGCTGAGGATTGTACATCTGCTCCCCCCGTGTACGCTGTTTGGTTCGCTTTGCCTGCGGGTGCGACGCGTGACCGGACCGTCCGATAAGGTTTAGGGCAAGCTCAAACAACCGCTTTTGCGTTTCCAACGTTCCTTGCTACGATTAGAGTCTAATATTGGCCTACCAAGTATGAACATCAACAGCCAGCCACCGTACTCTTACGACGGCCCAGATGCAAATCTATCGCCTTTGGGAAGGAGTTCAATCAAGACGCGTCTTCATGTCCATCCTGCAATTGACCCAGGATCTGCTCCAGCCTTTTCAACATCTCCGACGCTCTAGATACTTCCTCCGCATTACTCTGAGCGACTTTTTCCAAATATTCCTTCGCCAGCAGCACGTCTCCACCTTCAATACCCATGTGGTAATGTGCGACGAAGACGGCAGACTTTGCGTAATCCGGCACCGGTCGCGCTGCCGAACATTATGCTTTTAGCACTCTCAGGTACACCTTGTATGACAAACTTACCGTCTTCCTGGCACACCTGGACAATCCGCTGGTGATAGTTGGCCGCGTCGGTCAATTCGTCAAGTTCTTCATGCAATTTTGCCAGTTTTAGCGTAATGATTGTCTCGTGGGGATCGGCCCCGAGTAGCGCGCGTTTCAGACATTCAATCGCCTCCCTGAACCTAGTTTTGCAGCGCTGAGGCCTTCCAGTGTTGATCAGCTATGAATAACAGCACGTACTTCCCAAGCTCTTCGTAGCATGACCCCTGAGCTTGCCATAGGCGCACATCATATGGCCTGGCGTAGGTAGTGAGGCCCTCGAATTCGGGCATTCGTGTGAAAAGAAGTGCTTGCCTTAACGAAGTAGCATGCTGGTAGTAGTAGAGCGCATACTGATGCATGCTCAGAAGCTCGTAAGCCTGGCCTAGACCGTACCATGCTCGATAATCTTTTCTGCTAATGTCTAATGAAAATGATTGGCCGGGTGATTGGCGCATAGCTCTAAGTTTAACATACCGACCGCCCGCCGATAAGCCTCTATCGCTGCATGGGAGTTCTTCATCTCGACGAATTCATGGCCCATAAGTGTCCAAGCCGAAAGATAGGACCGGTCCAACTCTGTGGCGCGTTTGAAGTATTTCACTGCTTTCTCATGATCGGCCCGGAGAGAGTAATAGTTTCCTAATGCGAGCCATAAGTCATTGAGGAGCAGCGCTTAACGGAACACACATACCAACCAAACAACAAACTTCCGGTCTGTCCTTGTCTAACTCGAGGTAATCTTGGGCTAGCCTAGCCAACTTGAGCCGATTCTCAGTCACATAGAGAATATTTGAGAACACATCGATGTCATCAATACGGTAGGGGTCTACCGCAATGATCTTTTCGTACTGGGTTTCCGCTTGTGAAAAGTCTGACACGGGTTTCAAAACTGTGAGCAATGTCCACGACTGCGCAAGGGGCAATTCACCATGCAAATGATAAAGGACGCAAGCACGAAGGCTCATCACCCAAGCGCTAGTTGGGAAAAAATTATCGCTCAATAATCGATCGCATAGCATAAGTTCATTTTGTGACGGGTTCTGAATGTCGTTCATGGTCTTGATCTGGAACATCTGAAGAATGGGATGACTTGGATCAACAGGAATAAGCCGGACAATGGAGGCCAACTAATGCGTAAAGTCAGCGAAACGCCACCAAGCATAGCAATGACCTGACCTCTTCGACGTCATTAATACAATGCCCCAGCAAAGTCCAAGCCGACCAATTCCAGGCATACTCAGCGAGAGACAAGACAACACTCTCTATAGCTTCGGCTCTTCGAGAAAGACGATACAAGAACAACCCTTTCCTGCAAAGCATGGTGACTGAGACGAAAGTGACACGAGCGATGAGCCGGTATGCGTACAGAAATAATAGCCACGGATCTGTGAAGTTTTGGACTACACCAAGAAGGTCCAACAAATAGCGGTTGACGGGGGCCGGTGGCTGATTGCGGGTACCTGAAGTTACTACTCAGTTCTCATCTTGGCGCAGTCATCAGATGGTTCCACCAACCGGCCAGTCTGTACCATTCTCGCATACTGGTTTTCTCGTACGCCTAGTAAGAACCCTGATTAGCGGCGAGACATTAGGGAGCCCTTCCACTGACCAGGTACCGGCCATAAACATCCAAGAACTTGGCTTTGAGACATTTACACTCTTTGAGGGCATATACAGCACGGTGGAACTCCTTGGCTGCCATATACGAACGCGCCGCTAACATTGCTGTCTCCTCTTGGCGTTCTAGGTCGGAGTCTTGAAGTTGAATGTCCTGAGCAGGAGCGTGTCCATGATCAAGACATTCAATGGTAACATGTGACGGTGTGGGAGCAGGGGGAAACGCGATCGAAAGACGCGGGGAACGCGGACGGGCAGGCGTTGAGGTCGAGAAAACCAAGGCAGATTTTGGCGAGGCTAGCAGAGAAGTTCTTCTTGTCGGGGGCAAAGAGAGGAGAAGCTCTGAAGACCTGGGTGTTTAGATTGGGGCAAAGTAATTTGACAAGTCAGAGGAAGGCGAGTTACCATTTCGATGCGGTTGTGAGAGCGCGATCAGCACAGTCATGAACAGACTGCTGAAGCTGGCTGATGAGCTCTGATGTCATGCTCTCGATAGCAACGCCCGCAGCCATGGCTTTGTCGAGCTGCAAGTGTGGTTCTCCGCTATCTGGGGTAGGTTCAGGTACTTGAGGTACACGGAGCGTTTGGTAACCTATAAGGCGCGAGCAATTATATATTATAGTTGATGATGAACCCGAGAATACGGGTGGGTGGGCTTTGAAGCTTGCGAAGGTGGTGAGATGTGAACGCTGTGAACGAGACGTTGGTTTGGAGTCGACACTTCGCTAGTTTAGTCTGGTATGGTCGGTTGATGGAAGCGCGTCCGGCTCATTGACGCGTCCCGTTTCCCACGCGTGCGAAACTCTGTGGCCACGCAATTGAATATAGCTCCTGTGTACACGGTCCCAGGACACGACGACCACTCCAGTCTGGATCTAACTTCGCTTTGCTGGCGGTCGCGGTCTATGACTTGGGCTGGCATATGCGCACCAACTAACTGTTGAGCACGCGTAGTAGGCTCTCAAATTCGCATCGTCATCAAACTATAATTCGTTCAACAATCAAGGTCAAGTACAGCCCATTCAGCTAGACCGTCAATCATCGTAAAAACAGGGCACTGATATTATTTCCAGATGTACACTTTTGCATATGTTCTTTGCATCTGTTTGCTTGCTGCTGCGAGGCTCTACTCCGTAGTACCTGGGTTTCGCTCTCGGCGACATGGGCCCTTGAAACGGACTGTGGACCAGTCCACCTGCAGCCTTGCAGTCTTCCTTGGTTCCGGTACCTTTATCTTTCTCCATGCTTCGCATTATCGTCATACGTACCTCTCCAGGTGGTCATACTAGCGAGGCGCTCCAATTGGTTTCCTCCCTCGATTTTGCCCGCTATTCCCCACGAACTTACGTGGTCAGCCAAGGTGATACCCTCAGTGCCGAAAAAGCCGCTTCACTTGAAACTCTCAAAGCCGCCGAGCGACCTGAAGAATATGTCGGGCTCTTCATCTTATTCGGTCTACCACGTTCCTCTGACGCAATTGTTCTATCCCGCGTCTACATTGTAGGATATCGCCGAAAGTGCATACCGAACCTTGATTATACCTCGCGCCCGACAAGTGCACCAATCACTTCTGACCACCCCTCCGACCGCCCTTTACTCCTTTTTGAGCTGCATCTATCTTATCTGTGTATCTCCATTCTTACGGAAAAGGGCTTCCCGGCGACCCTTTGCTGATGTCCTCATCCTGAACGGTCCTGGAACGTGTGTTCCAGTCTGCGCTGCTGTTATTCTGAACAGAGTACGTATCACTTCCCATACCTCAGCGCTACTTGTCTTATCGATCTTAGTTTTTTGGCTTACCGAGCCCAAGGGTCATATATGTCGAATCCTTCGCGCGCGTCCGCTCGTTGTCGCTTTCCGGGTATCTCCTTTACAATCTAGTAGACTGGTGCGGTTGTTTGATTTTCACGCAGATGTGCTTCGTTGCGCTTATCAGCTAGGCAGCTTCGTTGTACAATGGCCAGACTTGGCGCGGGATTATGGCCGCGCGAGATATCGTGGCTGGCTTGTTTAGAGCTTCTTGATTGAGACCACTGAAATCATGCGCAGATGGCAACTTGGTACTGTGTATAGGTGCCATTGCGTCCCTGCCAACACGAAGGCCCCCTCAAAGGGAGAACATTACCGTTCACTGAAGATCGTGGCAAAAGGGCAGAAACTGGCAGAATGTTTTGATGTGAACCTTGCAATCCAATTGATGGACACAAAAAGATGCTGGTGACTAGTGGGGGTAATGTGCAATATTGATCCATTCTACCTTACGTCGAGCTTTCTGATATTCGTAGATAAATATAAAAGCTTCATAACGGCACTGAATCGGGACAAGAAGCTACATTCAATCTATACGGCGCCAGGTCATGGCAGTGCGCAAAAGCAGATTTATGTCCTAGTCTTCCTTGAAGCTTGATAGGAGGAAAGTATACCTCCGTTTTGAACTGCAAGGCTGTCGAAGCCTTCGATAGCCGTGATGCCAAGCCAGCTCCCTACTTCCGTGTCCATCGGTCCTCGCCGCTATTGCCACCCCGTCGATGAGGGCTTGCGCTTCGGCCCCGACCGCCCTCTCTTCTGCTTGGCGGTTCCCAGCCACCGCCTCCGCCAGCAGTCTTTGGAGGATTGATCTTTCTCTGGAGACGTTGGCCATGCTTAAGGGAGCGCACCAGATCCGCGGAAGCCAAACGAAGATGCATAAAGTTACAGAAACCTCCGCGGTTACACTCGCCGTTCTCGTTTTGTCGGCAGCACGCCTCTCTGAAGTCTGTCACAGGCGAGAGCTCTGCATAAAGTGGTCGCCCTGACGCAAGACCACATACATGTTAGTTTGGTCGGTAATGACGCAACTGACCAACGGAAACGTACCTGCATACCATCGGTCGTTCAAATTATCCACTGCGGCTTGTGCCTCCGTCTCCCATTCAAATCGAGCATATACATTACCAATTAAATGGTCACCGACGTTGTCGCAGACCTGTTTCAGAAACATCAGCATCTGGCCAAGGGGAAGCAGCACCCAGTCACGCACATGTAATTCGAGAAGATGACCAAATTTTGCTAGCTCACAGTACAAATCCTCATAGACTGCGTCAAACCCTTCCTGCAGCTCCTTTTCTGTCAATTTGCAAACGGGGTCGTGGGCGGGGTTGTGATACACATTAGGGAGTAGTATGGTCTGGGAGAAGGGGGGTCGGATGTGTTTTCTAGAACACCTGTCTCCGTGCCTGCAAGCACCAATCTAGCCGAAACTGAGGACTAAGTATGGGTCTCGGAGGAAGAGTGCTTACCTTGTAGTAGAATGAACAATTGACACGGTCTTGTTCAGTGCCAAAGATATTCGCCTAACGAGAAATATGAGCCTCCCATAATGATCAGAATCGCAGAATGAGAGATATGTACTCACGAGATGAGAAGCCATAGCGGGTTTAGATGCAGAAGTTGAGCCGTCAAACTTGCGCTGGGGTTGCGCTGGGGTTACGTTCAACAACGAGCACCGCGGATGCTGCCGTCGGAGAAAGAAACTTGTGGAGTCGGAGTCTAAATCACCCCCTGTCAACTTTCTATTCGTACTTTGTCGTAGTCCGCCACCGCGGCGTAAGGCTATCGGTGACTTGTACCATTAAACAGCTCTCCGTTAAACTCGAGTCAGTATCTTCTAGAACAAAGTGCTTCTCTACCTTATTTATCCCCGAATGGTGCTTTCTAGAAAGTGCAACGCCGCTTGACCAAATTAACGGATCCCGAGCTCATGAATCTTGGCTATTCGGGTAAGACAAACTTCCGTTTCATTGAACAGAGCGCCTTCATGACTCGAAGAAATAGTACATGCGGTAAGATCTTGAGTCGACATCATGGAGACTTCTGATTCTGAATGTCCGACTTGAGCACGTTTGCGGCAAAGCACCTTCCTTCATTTCCCCCCCTTCTTCCGCCTTGCTTGAAGCCGAAAAGAATTGATCCACAGCCTCTAACATCGAAGTCAACTCGGCATCACAGCGCTCATCTTTGCCAAGCAGACAGTGGACATGGCAATAACCTTGCTATCTTGCCTATGCGCCTTGTCCGATTCCTCTAAATTTCCCGCAACCAGTGTGCTCATACGTAAGGATCTCTACGATGTGTACGTGAATGCTAGGTATCAAAATGAGTTCATATAGCAATATCCAGAGTACGAAACGCGCTCAGCTTTCTTCGAGTCAGGTCAACCGACAGATGTCATGATATCTTGCTGATGGAAAGCGTTCTTGGTCTAGCATGACCTATGTAGTACAAGAACACCCCCGGTGGACATTAGTCTCGACTACCGGATGCTAGATTCTCTCAGAACGGCCGTGTGCTTCCCGGTGCCGTCTCGAGAGGCTCTGACAACATCCCTGGGTTCACGCCTCGGAACTAGTCAAGGAACTAAACACTATGGACAGGCCGTAAACTCCTTTCCTTTGAAACCTGGTGAGGAAATCAATAAATCACTTGGCCTCTTCCGTGGAAGAGTCTTGGCGTTGGCTCCACGACGGCAGCCTGACCCTGTGCTTCAGTGCGCTTCTGATCTTGGCTTGCTCCCCTGCGGACTCAGAAGTGGGTGAATCCTGGGCGTCTGTCATCCGATATTCTCGTGGGCAGGACTTTGACTGATCTTGTGTGACAACTTCAAGACTTTCTAGAACACGTTGGTACCACAGCTGACTACAGGATGATGGGGACCTTCCGCCTAACTCTCTTACTCAATACTCGCCTCACAATATAGAAAAATATGGGAAAGTCGTAGCCGAATAGAATACCCATGTACGACGTCATTTGCTCGCCCGAGACATCGGCACAAGGTATGAAGACAAGGATACGATAGACTGACAGATTTTGTTCTTTGGGGTAAACTCAAAACAGAAGGTACTACTACTGATATGCTTTCATATGAAGCTGTGCTAGTATTGAGGCTTTATGGTGCATTTTCATGGCAGCGATCGCCAAGCGATCGCGGTGTCTCCGGAATCGAGGATTGCTAGTGGCATGCTAGAAGACACGAATATTTCTGCCAAATCTTAGAATGCAATCTATCGACCTACTTGAAGTTATGTATCCTGTGTCATTTCATCGCACTGTAACGTGGCTAATTCATATGGCTCAGCTTTGAATGAGAACTAGTGACATATCAACTTCGGTGACTAGTGTACACCGAAGTGAAAGCCTAACCCCGACGGGTCTAAGCCTTTGAGCTCATGCTACGGCCCTTGTGAGGTTTTCAGCTTGACTTATTGTCCGCCCATGCAGGGGCGGATAGCAGCTAGCCTATGGCTTGTAGCCTTGTAGTCAATGGATCAGGAATCAGCCTGCGAGGACCTGATTCAGGGCTCGGCTGTCATGGGTATGATCCACGAGCTGTTACGGAACTTGCCGAATGATGGTAGTAGAAGCAAGGTGGAAGTGGCAAGTGGCGCCGACACTTTGCGAATGTGCAGGATTTCACTCGAGGATTTTTCTCGCAAACTCTCCTCACAAGTGTCAATCTTTTCACATATAGGATGACAGCATAATACTCGCTCGGGCATACGGCTGTACAGTGCGCTGTCTAAATGACTGGGGTATCAACTTAATTGTACATATTATCTATAACGCCTAACTATCCCGGCGAGGAAAAATGACGAGCCCGGCTCATACCATACAGTCATACATATTTAGCCTCGTCTAGACGGCTCCCATGACATAAATGAATCATCGCACGTATTGGAGTCCGGTATGGACGATTGCATTAGTTCCCATGATCGAAAGCCTTGCAAGGAGTTCGGGGAAACTGTTGGAGCAACGTGGCCCGTGGAATGTGCTGCTGAGCTCGGTAAAGTAGCGGCACGGGATCTCGTATGGACAGCCTGGAATTCATTTGGAGGGCTGTTGATATTCCCTAGAGTTGTCCTGTGTCGATAGTTAAAAATTGCGACAGACATCTAAATTAATGGGTACGTACGATGCTAACGCATCTAACTCGGCGATGCGCTGATTGAGTATGCAGCCAGAACCTAGCCGGTGATTTGTTGAACGGTTCATAATGTATGCGGCCTTGCGTAGTCGCAATGAAAGCTCAAGAATGGCGTTATAGCTCTGCGATTCTCCGAGGCAGCCACAATGACCGTCGTGAAAGCGAGTCGTGAGGTGCTTCGAGGATAGCGACGAATCTTCCATCGGTTCTACCAGACACTCCCCGCCGAAGGAACGATCTGTGTGGCTGAGAGTGTCCTCGCATCCCATGAGGCCAGGATATGACATGAATATTGATGCTAAGTCGAGCTGTGGCTCGCTGCCTGCAATCATGGCCTGAGAGCGAGAGTATTCGTCGTTGGGAGTGAGCATAGCAGGCGATGGTGTACTTTGGGGCGAGGAACTCATTCCATAGTATGGCGAGCAAGGTGGGAGGTTTGGCAAAGCAGCATCAGGAGAGGGTGATGTAAAGGAAGAGGGTGCGAGGAAGGAGTTTGGCGGTGAAGCTCGTAGAGACGAGCTGGCCTCTGCGATAATGTCGGCGGTGCAAGCATTGGCAAGCCTCGGAGAAGGCGCAGCCGAGTTCTTGGCATTGTCATCGCCATCGGAAGACGCTGAGCGTGACTGCGCACGGGCATGCCATTTTTCCAGTCCTTCACTTGGAGTAATGCCTGACTGCACCCATCGAGGATGGGGCTTATTCTTAAGCTGGGAGACCTGTTAGCGATCAGACAACGATGGACGAATAAGTGAAACAACATACCTCTCGGATGACTCCTTCAAGCTCAGCTACGCGCTTGCGTAGCCTAGAGCTCTCGTCCTGAAGATCGTTCCTTTGGTTGGGGTCATCGACCTCGTATACACAAAGGCCGGTCTACATGCTACGGTGAATCCAATGGTCCCACTCGTGAGCGGTACGACTTACAAGTCCAAGTTGGGTGCAGCGGCCACAGGGCCGTTTCCTGTCACACTGGAAGCAACAAAAAATGTCAGAAGAGGTTTGGGAGTGCCGAGTGCCGAGCCTACCATGCGCTTGGATGTATGGCAGTTAAGGCACGACTGAGTAGTGCGATTGCGGCGACGCTTGCGGTGGTCACCCTCAGGCGCAGGCGTCGGTGCGGCGGTACCATCGGAAGCGGCAGCGCGCTTCTTGCGGATGGTCTTAAGCTCTGATGTTCCCGTGGTTGCCGACATCGAAGGTTAATAGAGAACTTGATGGGGTCTCTTAGTGGGCTATGAAAGTCACAGAGGGGCGCATATTTGTAGGCTCACGGACAGATCTATTGGCTTGGCATCCGAGGGCGAGGAAGTGAGGTAACGCAAATCGTCACAGTAATCGGGAGAGCATATTTGGGCAAGTGGGCCCAATCAAACGCAACAAGCCTTAGTCAGGGGAAGGGAGGGGAAATAGACGAGGGTCGATCGAATCTTCCCATATGGTTGATAGAACGATCAGAACGAGAACCACGGAGGACGTGAGAGCTCCAAGCCCACAGCAGGAAGGCAATCATACGTTCTCTTGTCGCGAACGAACGATCATAATCGGCTGTACAGGAGCCAAACAGATAGCGAAGACCGAGGCTATCCCAAGTTATGGTGTACAGTGGCGCCCAAGTCCGTGTCAAATATTAATAGATTGTGTCCCGCGCAGTCATTATTCGTCGTTCCCAAAGGACGGGAACAACAAGCTGCAAGTAGACTTTCAGCACACACGCTACTCACCGTGAATGATGCAAGTCAATTTGGTCTCACCACCAAGGGTATGGTCTCCAAGCGCATTTGACGCGGAAGCTTGTGGCTTGTTTGTTCGCAGGACAAGAACAACCATCGTGGCGCCCGCTTGGCAAACGTGGAAAGCCCGCCCCCTGTAAAAGTAGCGCAAGCATCTTCTCCCGGCGTCCTCGACCAGCATGGCTATTTTGCCAACCATGTTGATTTCCTAAAGCGTTTGTCTTGGAACTCTGGGATCTTGGTCCTGACCTGGTCCCGATACCTCCGTGCCGCACTAGCCGCAAGAACTGGCTACCGAATAGGACGCCTCATCGCCTTGGTGTCCCGCTTTCAGACTGGCCCTGAGACTTTCTCAAGCAAGTCAACTTGCCAACCCCTGCTGTTCAACCAAGCACTCTGGGTTGCCTGCATGGTGATACACGATGCAAGTGCGACCCTGGCCAGACCTTGGCGCTATCCACCTCTAGCTTTGCTGCTGCCATTGTAAGTTGTTCTCGCACCCAATATTTTTACCAGGCTTGCCATGGTTCGGTTTCAGGTTTTAAGGTGTTTTGAAGTAAATTCAATGCGTGCTGGGAGCTCGCCATATTGCTCACTTGCTTTTGAGTTGTTTCCGGTACCGGGTCTGCTCCCCCGAATTTACAGACGGTCGGTTGCTGTTGTTACCCATGATTCGGGTCCCGAATCCATGGACGATGAACGGTAAATTAGAGTGGTTCCTCAGCTTTCCCCAGCTCTCCCAACGCCAAGTCTCTCAGGTAAAATCTGGATCCATCATGATCTACCTTGCAGTAGATAACTGGCCCTATCGAAACGCGAACTATTCGTCAATCTGACTTTGGGTAGGCCCTGAAAACTACGATCATGAGCGTAGTTACTCATGCATGCCACGATCGAACAGAAGACCACCGTTCCCGGACGTAAGACGACATCGACGTAAAGCGTTCAGTGTCAGATTCCTTATTTGTCGCTCTGACAATTATGCATTCGTGGAGAAAGTTGCTTCTTGAGTGCTCTTTCGCTTATCAACAACTCGTTCGCGGGAGACCATCTCGGTCTCTTCTCCGGCCCCTTCCGACGCTGACGAGGTCTCCATACCAGACATGATCTACGATCCCAGCGGTTGAAACCTCAGCCCGACCATGATGCTCCGCATACGTGCCAGTGATACAGCAGGTACGGAGGGAACAACGGTCGGGTACAAATGCACGAGTCCGTGGAGAACCCCATTTACTCTTCGCCATGCGCGCATATGCTCTCCATGTGCAATGACAGACGTAGCCCGCGGGCTTCCGAAAGCTCCGGATTGAAAGTGAAGACAAGGTGCTTGCTATCGCAATATCCCCGTACCTGCGATCCGCTAGCTGTGAGATAATTCCACCAAATCATTCCCTGTCTCGCGCAAGTTGGGCTTATCACGACCATGGTCCGTTCATGACAAGGATTGCCCACGTTTTTACCGAACCTATAACAGACCTTCATTGGATAAGACAACACGTCTAGAACGTGCTTCGAGCGCCAAAGGATGCGGAATAATTGGAAGGTAAAAGTCTTGGCATTTAATTTTGACTATTGAGCATCAGGCGGTGAGTCTCGGTTTCGCTTCACTCTATCAACTCGACCATCGCAAGATCTGGAAGTCTCGAATGCCGTACACTAGTTGTTGAGGTGAGATTATCTCCGCTGCGATATTCACACCCGGCAAGCATGCTTGTTCCCAGCCTATCCCGCCCAGACGTCATGAAATGGCGTGCTGATAGGAGGATCCTTACGGCTGCACTCATGCATACCTCAACAGTCATTCTTGTATTCAACTTACTGGTAGGCGGTGATGGTGTTCTGGACTTTCAGTCGCCTTCGCGGTTGATGCTGGCGAAACGCTACCGGGCTCGTGTGACTGCGTGCTCCGCGGAGACACATCGAAGCCCTCGCAGATGTTACTTCAAGTATATGCGGTAAGCGTTTCGTCAACGACCGCCGATGCGATCATCTTCGTGTACGGTCGTAAAAATCCGATAGTACGAGATGTTCTCAAGCAACTATAATGCGAGAGCACTACAATCTGCACTGATCCAAAAGACGAGGAAGCGGACGGTAAGTTTTGAAGCTCTTGGAGGTGGTCGACGAACGAAAATTGTCAGTGTACTAAATCTCCAGCGGAGGCTTGCCAAGTTACGACAATCTCTAACCCCACAGTCCGGACCGACTATGCTTGAATCCATGCCAAGAGATTCTGGCCTAACATGAAGGTGTTTCTATTGGTTGATTAAGGTCAGCATCTTGGAGTGCTATTTCCGCAGCTTACCCCGAACACTCGGCGTGAAGGCCGGCGGTGCAGGTTGGCTGGAGGTACCTTCCAAGATATGCACCTGGCTTATTGATCTCCCAGCCATGGTCCCCTCTCCAAAAATATATAGTCATTCTCTATGATCACTGCTCGAAGCTACGCAAAGATATAAATAAACAACAAGTGCAAGAGACCCTTACACCAGCACACCGACCTGTTCCAAGGACCTGGTCTTAGCGGGGAGATGTGCGGGAGCTTCATCTCCGCGTGTAAACGCGCTTTCATCTCAACTTCGGTTGGCTTCGGTCTGCCAAGCCTTTCAGTTTATACAACGGATGCTTATATCGTCGTAGTACCGCGACACTTGGCTTTGTGATGTGCCTGATGCCATCCACAGTTCTATATGCACGTAGAGATCCAGGTTGTATTCACAGTATACGTCTACTATGTTCTCAAGGATCAGCTGTTCCCGGTGGCGACACCCTTAAAACGATGCCGCCTCGGATTAATTGACAGACTCACGCTGGCTTGCACTACTTGATTTTCGGGAAGCAGCCAGCGTAATGTATACGTCAATGATAGCATAGCCCTTGGGTTACGAGGACATCCATCAGATTTCTAACGTGTTCCTTCTTCGTACCTTTCGTCTTGACACTTACATTATGAGGAAGCATCTTGAGTTTGTCTCTCGCTATCCTTCTCATGTTGGACTGATTGCCAAACGTGGTGAGGAGTTTAGAACGTTCCATGGCGGATAGATCGTGTGTTTTATTTAGGCATCTGAAGAATTCTTGCGAAAGCTGAATTGTCTTGTCATTGTGACAATAGGTAAGGCCAAGTAAAAGTAAACCGTAGCGGTGGGCGTATGTTCTTGCATATTTTATGGCACCATGCCAAAGTACTCACTGCTTCATTCAAGCAGTTATAAACGGGATAAAATGAATATCGCTGTCAGCAGAAAATATAACCATACCCGATTTTTGCTACGCCTAAGTGGATAAGCCATGCACGACCGTATTGCACACTATTTTGTCCCCCGCAGAAAGGGAGACTTCGTAGTACGGGCCGTTGGCGGGCCGAAGACGGCAGCGCACTCGGGGCGCGCATAGATGTTCCCAAGGAAGTGCAAGGGGTATTCCAACAGAAAAGCGACGCCTTCGTGGCTGCAGACGTGGACCTTTGACCTTTCATCTCCTCGTTCACCTTGATTTCCCCAGGATGTTTGGGCTGCCGGGCCGCCAGCTAGTGGCGTCAATGTTATAGTGACCCCTCCAAGTGATTGTCCACCCTGATCCAGATAACTTGTTCGGCTGACAGCTGTAGCGTATATATGGTCCTTGCCGGTTTCCGAGTGGGTCCATTCGGGGACCTCATGTCCGTCAGTCTTCTTGACATCACGGAAAACAGCGAAGGCCAATCTTAAGACCAATAAGCTCAATAAACTCGATGGATTTGTGATGGAAGACTAGCCGATAAGCTTCGACGTCGGACGATGTTTATTTGGAACGCCGCGTTGACAGACCGCCGGATACAGTACCATGTGAACTTGAAGTAGCAAGGAGAAATTGAGTACCTACATATGTCTGAAAGGGCGCCCGATCAGTTTGATCTGTCCACGCAACGTCCTGAAGGGAAATCCAAGGGAATCCTCGCGGGAGACGTTCCATCTCGAATTCCATAATGTTCTAATTGCCTTGGCGCTTTGTTAGAGGGAAACCTTCCCATTAACTAGTTGGACTGAGAAGGCCGATATTTTTCCATACAGGGACTAGTGAACGCGTTTGATATCGGTTCGCGTCATGCGATCATTGAATCATGTTTGTAATATGACAAACATAGGTTCGATGACAAACGCGCAAATCCAGCAAGGTTCTCGCTCATGTACGTCATGCCTTGGCGAAATAAGCTCGACGAACCGGACTTCAATTCCATCGCATCGGGGCACTCAGAGAAGGTGTAGATGGAATGTGTAGTGTACATCCAGGATTCGGTAGGCCATTATTAGGCAAAGGAAAGCAGCACGCCGACGTCAATGAACCACCTCCTCGAGCCAAGTGGATCATATGTTCCATCCGGTCTGCGAATGCGTCGCACGCGGGCTGCTCCATCCACCCTGGCCACCCCATGCGCCGCCACTAGTGCCATCCCCAGGATTGGTCTGACCTCCCCATGCGTTTGACCCTGCCGTCGTAGAGCTGGATCCCCAGCCACCGGCCCCAGCGACGCCATTATGTGATGGACTGGTATTTCCAGCATTTCCCCATGCTCCCTGCCCAGTGCCCCAGCTTCCGCCGGATCCACTCGCCGATCCCCATTGACCACCGGCACCCGAAGGGCTGGCACCCCCACCAGAACCGACCTGACCTCCCCAGGGTCCCTGTCCCCAGCCTTGCTGTTCTGATGGACCCGCTCCGTTCAGATTTACTGCACCATCGCCTGCGGCAAACATATCAGAATCAGGCGGGGCTTTGAGACCCAGGATTAAGTTCGCCAGCTTTGTTTGCAGCTCAGTAAGGCCCTAGCAACAAAGTTGAAGTTCAGTACGAGACTCCAAACATGGTAAAGGGAAAATTTGAGACCTTCATCATGACTTCTTGTGGCCCAAGACTCCCGTCCGTCTCAACTTCGAGATAGAACTTTCGGGGCTTTGCGTTATAGTCAAACACTTCGTCCTCCCTGGGCGCGTCCTCCTCTTTGGCGTTCTCGCTGACAGGCCATTCCGCCCGCTCGTCGGCCTCGAACCAATAGGTGGTGTGCCGTAATTTATTATAGGGGTCGTACTCAAACGCGACGGCAGAACATGGAGACCACTTGGCGTGTTCTTTAGCTATACCCTACGTTCGTTGTGAGTATGGAACGGTGTGCCAAAGTACTATCCACATGCCTTCTTTGCAATGCATTTTATTCTGAGCTCTTGTCCTTTGCGCATCTTGCAAATCAGCACTGGTTGCGCAGAAGGGTCATCTATGGACATTTTTGTTGGTGGTGGATTCGAGACTAGAGCTGACTACACCTACTTTTCCCTACGGGATGTCCAAAGTCTTCACTGCGCTTGGAAAGCTCGTCACCAGAGAGAGATTCGGCGGTATCCTGAAAGGGAAATGGAACTACTTCAAGATGATTGCTTGTGACCTCCAACGTGCGATTATCATGACAAGAGATGTCGAGTCTTAGTTCAATCGAGCAAAACTGACATCCTTCTTCGCATGTGCAGTCCTGTCGTCGTTAGGGTGGAGAGCACTTCAACGACAATGGCTTACTCGTAGTAGTCGCATAGCCTCATCACAGTTTGTGCTGACTAGTGGTACCATTCCCAAGCGATGGGCAATAAACTCGTCAGGAAGGACGGTCGTGTTGGCCTGCACTTCGACCATGTCGATAGCTGAATGCGAGTCAGTGTTTTCGCAATGAAAAGAGAGAATATGACTCACCTACAGTCGGAATGTCTGCCATTACGACGCGTCGAATGGAATTGGCGAGTCTGTATGGTAGGTCAGTTCGGCAACATCATCTTCCTGGCCCATAACTTACGCAAGGTCTACATTCTCCAATGTGAAGTTGACGCTGTCCTTCTTAACCTCGCGTATCTTCAGAATTGGCTCGCTTTCTTCGTTGCCTTGCATACTTTCTAGGGGGAGTGTGGGAAATGAGACGACCGTGCACCGTAAGGAGAGTGCAACAAGACTGCCAAGGGTGCACCTAGTAGGCTAGTAGGCGGAACGGACTAACCCAGGACGCGGCCCATCACTACTTACCCCTATCTACCTTAGTGCTCCATCCCACGGACAATTGCAGGGGATATAGCTTGCTGTTGCATTGCTAGCGAAAAGTTCTTCTCTTATACAATAGAGAGAATGTTAGCAACAGCAATTTTCGACAAGTGATGGAGTGCTTTCCATTCAGTAGGGACTCTACTTGGTGTACAATGCGCAATGCTAGCATTCTCTTACTTTGTGTGTATTGCAAAAGAATGAGTATTGTAGTGTTACATCGGTTATTCTCTCGTAGGAGAAAAAGGCTGCTGAAACCATGCCCCAGCCGACTCAAAGCTTAGCCGCAATCCTCTTGTTCTCATCCTTGACGTGAACAATCACTTTCCCCCATGTTTTGCGTTGTTCTAAAGCAATAAGACCCTGACCCATTTCTTCCAAAGGGTATATCTTGGAGTACATTACGGGTTTTACTTTGTTCGACGCAAGGAGCCTGCCAGAATGTCAAGTCATGATGATCACTCTTGAAGGGAAGTCAACATACGCTAAGAGCTCTTTCCATACGGTGACGACGCGAGTAGGTTCCAACTCTGGGACGAAGTCGACTTGCAGAAGGGGGTCTATGTGCGAAGGTGCTTACTGCTGTAATTACCCCAGAGCAACCCAATGAGTGACACATTCTTCAAGAGAACCAAATTCAGCTTAAGCTAAGAGATCATTGCGGTTGAGCATGCTGAAAACCGTGTGGGCTCAAAAAGTTCACCTCTGGAATAGAACCTCCCGCAAATCCGATGATGAGGAACCTGCCCTTGAATGCGATGCATTTCAACGAATCTGAGCCGATCCATCAGTGTGGAGCAGCCATGTACAGTGTGATAGCTCACCTCTCACATGCCCAACAGGGTCATATACAACATCCACCCCTTTTCCGCCAGTGAGCTTCATGACTTCCTTTGGCCAATCCTTGTTGTTGTAGTTGATAGCGTGGTCCGCGCCCCCATACCTTCTGCAAACATCGAGTTTCTCTGAGGATCCAGCTGCAGCAATAACCTTGGCCCCAACAGCTGCGAAGCAATGAACAATGAATTGCAATCACGCCCGAACACAACGCACCTTTTGCCAGCTGGACGGCTGCAATACCAACTCCTCCGGCGGCTGCGTGCACTAATATCCATTCACCTTGGAAATGGTTCGGCATCAAAGCGTTAGCCCTGAGACAGTCGAGGAATAACTCACCAGCTTTCAAATTTGCTCTCCCAACAAGCGCCTCGTAGCTAGTAGCCCAAGTGATGTACAAGCCAGCGCCCTGGTCAAAACTTACATTGTCGGGCAAAGGAAGCAATGAATTTGCCTTCGCTGCAACTTTGTCGGCATAGCAGCCTTGCGCGCTGCCAAAGACACGATCGCCCCGTTTGAAAGGGCAGCCCTTCGGTATAGGAGAGTCCTCGGCGATCTTCCCAGCAAACTCTGCGCCGAGAACCCAGGGAAATGGCGGTTGGGTTTGATATTTGCCCTGAGCCTGAAGAATCTGAAAGAAATCGATATCAATACAGTCATAAGAAACACCAACTAGAAACATTTTACGTCGAAGTAGTTTAAGCCAGCAGAATATACATCGACAATGACTTCATCGACTTTGGGAGCTGGCGTAGGTGTGTCCAAGCTAAGAGGCAGCTTAGATGGGTGCGCATACTCATTAACGACGTAGGCACGCATGTTGAGGTGTTGCACTGAAGGATGTTGCAAGTGCTGGGAGCGTCGGGGATAAGTCTCGACATTATAATGGTGATGCAGTATAAATCACAAGCTGTCACACATTGGTCGACGGCCTCTCTTATAACCGACAAGCAGAGACTAATAAAGCATTTGCAGTAACCTTTGCCTTTCACTTTCGACGAATGCTTTTTGTTGACCATGGCTCCATGACCATTTGATATGCAGTTAACCAACTACAAACCTTCGAATCAGTAATGCTGTCCATAAAAATGCTTATACAAATGATATGCTCTACATGCTGTTTCTACTAGTATACTTGTGTTTGAGTCGCGATCATGCAAATCCAAACCCTTCGCCCCCCTCGCTGATAGCCAACATCAACTGCTGTCGAAGCATCTCATAAGAAGAGTACTGGGGTAGATCAATTTGATTGAAGCCTGAAGCAACATCAGCTATTTCTCCCTAACAATACAAATGAACTCACATGTGTGGGCCTGCGGAAGGCGGTCGGGATCGCCATATGCCCGATGGATTGAGAACCTTTGAACACCTTGTACGCCTTGAAGATCGACGAAACCTCCAAGCGGGACTCGAGAAGTACCAGTCGCGAAGCTCAGAACCTTCGCACGCTCTTCGCGGTTGAATGACTTCAGCGCTCGCCACCACCAAACAATCACAGGATCGGAGCTTGTGTATCCGTTGTACTCCGTAGCAGCTCTCCATTCATCGACGTCGATGTCCGGGGTTCCAGAGATCAGAAGTTCCAGTTCCTTTTCGTTAAACTACGCAGAATTAAGATGGCGCGGAAGTATATCTCATGAATAAGACGTACGATGTTCACTAGGTCCTTCGGAATGATATCATGGAATCCTGAGACAAGGTGCTCAATCTGCTCCTTGATCGACGAATAAAGCCGAAAGCTGGCCGAGAGCTGGACAAACTCCCGCTTGTTCTCATTTGTTACGGAGATCTGCTCACCACCTTCTTTGAGGGGGAAAATGCGATTGCGTCCAAACTAAACTCAGTGTGAGCCGCTTTCCCAGAGTGAGTGTGGGAAATTGCTTGCCTCGTCGGCCTCAACACTGAAAGTCAGCTCCAAAGGAGTAGGATCATTCTCCAAAATCCAGCAGAGTGAGTTGTAGTACTCGGGATCCACCCATTCAACATCTCTGTAATCCACTGGCTTGCCAAGGAGTTGCCTGTAGATGCTCTTGGCGAAATATGCATCTAGTAGCCTTCCATCGTAAATGGCCTTGCCAATGACCCGACCGACGAATTTGAAAAACGAGAGATGCTCAGGGTTCACCCATGAGTTCTTGTTTGGCTGGTACGTGAGCCTGTCTGCTGCACAAGGCTGGAACAGCGCGTTATTGGGGTCGAACATCTGACGCGCGAGTATCTGAAACCACTCTCGTGTGACACCACCAGCATCGACACCTTCCTCGTCGTAGAAACGAACGTTGAGCTTGGCATGCTTGATCCGTTCGCCATCTTTGCTGTGGAACTGCTGGAAACTATCCTCAAAGACGCGTGCCCGTCGGACATTTAATTGTAGAGTTGAGTGATGCTCCCGAGATCGTGGCCGTCGGTGAACTTGCTGGGTGAAGTAGTTCCGCTTGTTATCGAAGTCCAGTATTCGAGGATTTTGAACCAGCAAAGAGAATGATCCACTCATAAGGGAAGGAGTTGTGCGAACCATTGAGTTGAGGATTTTTCGATGAGCGTCTGTGAAAGATACGAAGAGATCCTCCATGGTTTCCTTTGGGGTTGTCGGTGACATGGGAGTGGCGGGGGGCCGAATAGTGCGAGCGTTCGAGCCCGATATTGGCTTGGAACCGACATGCTTGCAAACTACCATGAGGGATTCGATGAGGGGCAAAAGGACTGTAGCTATGTGTTCGATCTCGGGACGCTCCTCAATTGCCGCTAGGCAGTCTCCTAACCGTCGCCAAAGAGTCGTGAAATTGAATGACTCGTAAATGCTTTGGGCCTTTTCCGCATCTTCACTGGACCGGACATCATCTTGAGATAGGACACGCGGAGTGTACATGTAATCGATGGTCTTTAGGACTCTCAGCAGTTTAGCTTGATCTGAGGACGGAGACGAAAACTTGGAGGTTATTGATGAAGCCAGCACATCCTCGGGAGTCTTCAAGCTGGCCATGAGTTCGTTGAGATCCAAGAAGATATTGTGACCACATTCCTGCGCCTTGACTTTGAGTTCCTGAGCGATGACATCCCTTCCATCCGGGATGTAGGATAAATTGGAAATCAGGGTAAGACTCTGCTGGAAGGTGCGTGAAGAGCATTCCCCAATGGTGAGAATATTAACTATGAGACGCAGCACCGAATGAGGGATTTGCGGTGGATTTTGTAGAACGACCTTGTCATCAGTTGTGCTCGCAGCATTTCCACCAACGGTGTCCGTGCGGGCTGGCAAATGTTTAATGTCCATGGGTAGAGGAAATTGTTCATTACTGACCTGATTGCTCTTGACTTGGCATAGAGGATTCCATGGGAGTAGCCGTGGTAGCTGGGGTGTTCTCTAGGTTTGATGCCGGTACCGGTACCGATGCAGGCGGTTCTATGTCTTTCTTCACATCTTTAAGCCCAACAAGTGGCTTGGTAACTGTTGAGAGGAGTGTCACTACAGAATCCATCGTCGTTGTCGTCTTGAGGAGAGACTGTCGATCGAGGAGACCAAGTAGAAGAACGATGGGGTAGTGCGTTTGAGGAAGTTGTTTCTCTTTGCCCTTGCCTTTCTTTGTGGTCTTGCGAAGAGCGTAGGGCAATTCATGCTCCGTTAAGAAGAATAAAGAAGACAGCTCGTTGGCATTGACAATGTATGTGAGTGCTTCCACAGAACGTTGAGCGACAAGGTCAGGAACGTCCTCACTCCGTGATCCCGCCCCCATGGTGGCAAGGAATTCGGGAGCCTTTTGTTTGCCTGCGGCTTTGGGAGTTTGGAGAGGAGATTTGGCTGTACGTGTGGTCATCTGCGCAAAACTCCTGTCCACCGCTGCCAGATCGCCGGGGCCACTCTGCAAGACACTGAGCAGAAGGTTGAACAACTCGGCCCTTGTTTTGGAGTTCTCGCAGATATTGACCAGGACCTTAAACAAGATATTCTTCTTCGTCACTTGAGGGAAGAAGAGGAGCCGTACGAGAGTCGCGACCCCCGATTTGTCCAGTAGCTGTATGGCGTCCCGCGGCGGCGGCGGCTTCTTAGAACTTGAAGCCCGAGGCGCATCCCCACGACCCGGAGCCGTTCGAACAGTGTATTGCCTTCGTGGACCATTTGCTTCCTCCCGGTAGGCACCTGCCTCGGCTATCATGTACGATGGAAGCGTCTGAATGAATCCGTCGTCAGAGTCGAGCAGGACAACCTGGCGGAGGGGAGGCTCCAGGCTTGCAATGAAGCTCGCTGGGTCCATTTCTTCGCCTGTGTCAGGCGGATTCCCTGTGTCTGCTTCAGCAGGTGCACGGCGAGCTTGCTCCATTCTCTCTTGTTGTATAAGCTCGGCACGAATATCTGGCGGCAACGCATCCAAGAACTCGGGGCTAATTTGAGACTCGGAAGGACGTTCAACAGCTGCCGCACGTTGGTCTCGAACATGCTGATTGATAACCTCCTCCCTAATGTCATCTGGCAAAGCCTCCAAGAAGGTAGGATCAATCCCCATGTCAGTTATGTCGACAGAACTACCATGGACCATGACGGTGACGCGTTCCACAGCTTCCGACTGTGACGGGCCGCTTTCCGCCTCTTGGAGTTGGTCGCTCGAACGGTCCGCCTCCGATGGAGCTTGCTCAGCGCTTGACGCCGGAACTGGACTGGCGGCATTTTGTGTTTGCACGTCAGCCATTTCAACGTCGGTGCTGGAAATTGGGTCCGCTGGCTGTGACTCAGAAGGGACATCCAGCTGCAATGGTGTTTGCGGACTGCTCGAATCAGGCGGTGCATCAGTGGAGGCTTCGTGCGTTTGTTCAGGAGCGACTTCTTGTTCTTCTTCGACTCGCCTGCTTTCTGGCTTCTGGGCGTCAGCCTCCTCTACCTTTCGGTCCTCCTCCTCCTCCGCCTTTCGTTGAGCCTGCTGCCGCTCTTCCCGCTCTTTTTGGGCTTGTAAAGCGGCAGGAAGGAGTGCTATGATGATGTGGTTTGCAAGTTTTCCTGCCCGCTCTGCGACGTGATTTCCATGTATGATCTTCGACTCCTCCGCCCATCTTTGGACAGTCAAAAGAGGATCGAACCCACCGCTTTCCGATTTTGAGTCTCCTTGACGCTGTGGTCGTTCGGCTCGCACAGCGTTAGAGAAAAGGCCTCCGCCGCGCCGCTGAAGCACGCTACGCTCCAGATTAGCCATGTTTCCGGCACCAACATCTACGCGGAGAACTTCGGGATTGACTCCAGCGCGACTGATAAGGTGCTGGAACAGGTGCCCGGCTCCATCACCCATGATCTCTTCTATTGTCTGGATCAACTCATCGTGAGCGCCGGCAGCACGCGGTCGACGTCCACCCCGGGAGAGGTTAGCTGAGGACCGCAGGGGAGCTGACGATGCATCCATCAACAATGGATGAACCGTGTTCTCAGAAGCTGGGGGTCCGCCGGGTCTTGGGCGACCGAATATTTGGACATCATCTGGGGCTGCTAACAAAAAAAGGAAATTTAAACTGTGAGCTAACATGTTCTGGAAGGTTTCTATCACACGCACCAGGACGGAAACGGCGGGAGAAGAATGGTTGATCTCGCAGATGGCCTTGTACGCTATCACCAGGGAACTGTTCGACGAACGTGAACATATTTTCAGCATCAGGAACTCCTGTGTCCCGAACGTCAATGACACCCATTTCGGCATCATAGCTACATCGTTGTATAGGGTCAGAATGCAAGATTTCCGAATCTTAGGTAAAGGCTTACTCTTCTTCGTCTGATAGGATATCTTGTTCTTCTTCCCGATCTGCGTGGACCACCGCGATGGGTTCTTCAATATCGGTAAGAGTGAGCAACCATGAATACAGATTAGCTCACCAATACCATCTTCTTCGCCTTCTGGCTCGTCTCCGTCGCCACCGTCGTCTTCATCCTAAAAATTATAAATAAGCGTAAGCGTTGCTACTAATGAAGACCTGCGTACCTGCCACATCATCTCTCCGTCGGGGTCGACTTCCCCTTCAGCTACGTCTTCCACAACTTCTTCTTCATTATTCTCAATCAAATCATCCGCTTCATCCTCATCGAACTCGTCTTCGTCATGCCAATCTTCCGATCCATGGGCTTCATCCTCCATTGTTTCAGGATCCCCTTCATCCTCGATATCTTCTGACTCCGAGGTTGCATCACTGCCCGTTTCGTCTTCGAAATCCATCTCAACGTCTTCTTCATCCACGTCCTCGTCTTCATCCATCTCATCATCAGGAGAGTACGCCCCGTCATCCATTTCCTGCGTGTTATTATAAGTAGATATTATTCCACCATGGATTTCACTTACACCTCCGTACCTAAAAAAGATATATTCAGTGGGTCAAGGCAGGTATCGGACAAGGATACTCACATCCCAAGAGCAGAGTTTCGATAGAGATCAGGCATTTCCTCTCGATCAGAATCTTCGATGTCGTCTTCATCCTCTTCCTCTTCCGTGATGGAGCCTTCACTTTCATTCTTCTCTGCATGGAGCTCCTTGCTTTTCTCCGATGCCCTGCTCATCTTGATCGCAATCCTCGTTCTGTATTTATTGGTTAGTGTTTCTATGGGAGCAAGGAGATACGAACAGATTTTCCAGTGGCTTGAGAATGGCGGCCACGAGGCTTCGTACGTGAGGATAGTTGAGGTCCACCTCAGCCAAGGCATTGGTTAGAGTGGCTACGAAATTCTTCTCGAGCATGATCTTGGCTACGTGTGTTGAGTTTTCGTCCATAGGTTTGCGATCGTGAGCAGAGAAGCGGACAGTCAGTAGCCGACTACAAAGATCAGATAACGCTAAAAGACGGCCATAGCGTGCATCCAAGGACTCGGAAGAAGGTAACTCCTTGATGGCGCGGTTGATGGAGTCCAAGACAAATTTGCGGATGGACACCAGCTCATTAGACAATTCTTTGGAATCGGCCCCTAAGGATGTATCAATGCACAGGGCGACGATAACAGACATGGCCCAGCCGCAGAGAGTCGCTTTGCCCTTGTTGGATGATTCAGCTGATGGATCCACAGCGCCAAAGGTAATAAGTTCGGAAAGCAAGAACTGGAGAGCAGCTGTTCTGGGTTTCCCACTCTCTTTTGCCGATGTTTGTTGCCGTTTCTTTGGGGAGAACGAAAGGAAGGCTGCCTTGCAGGCATCGTAAGAGAACAGGAGCTCAGTGAGGCATTGCATCAAAAAGCAGGAGTAAGCATCTTGTTCAGAAGAGATGTTTGAAGTGGCGTCAGGGGATGGGTGAGTCTCTCGGGTAGAGGTGGGGACTGGAGTAGTAGAATTAGCCTGGGCTTTAGGAGGTTCTGTGCCGGCAAGTATGGACTCAGGTGCAGACTTTAAGCTTTTTATCAGCTCGTTGATGACGAAGTGAACTAGACTTTCCAGCATTTCAGTGGATGGCTGGGTTGAAAGAGCGATGGTGGCCGGTGGATCCAATGCCATACCATCGGACGCCTTTGCAGATACTGATGCTGAAGCCTTTTCATTCTCTTTGGCTACCTCCGGTTTGAGCATGATGTGATGAGTGCTGGAGTGTGGCTGTTGCAGCTGGCAAAGAGAGCGCGTTGCCTGGACGAAAATGGTGGGGTCACGGAGAGCCAAACTACTGCAATGCCTCAGGAATCCATGAACGTCGATTACATGAGTACGCGGCTGAGAGAAGAACCGCTTGATCTCCTGGGTCATGATGCTCCGGACCGTCCCTGGGTCCTCCGCGATGTGTCGAAGGATGATGGCAACGTAAGACTGGCTTCCAGTGGTACAAGATCCTCGTAAACGAGAGAAAAGTGAGGATATGACGTCCTGTTCGACCAGTTGAGAGGCGGTGTCGTGGTCTTGTGTGACAACGACAAGAATACGAAGAGTCGAGAGCAATTCATCACGGGGCAGATCAGGTACTGCAAGGAGCCGCAGACAATAGCTAAATATTGTTGGTCGAGCTTCGGGGTACAATGGACCAGCCAGTATTTCGGATGCATTGATGGGTTCACCTTCGCTAGGCACTGCGACGTTTGAGGGTTGCTGACCAACACTAAGAAGCATTTCGGTGACGAGGAGGTGGGCGGCCAGCCACTTGGGAACATTTGGTTGCTCTGCATCAACTGGGTACGATTCCAACAGTAAAATCAGCTTCGTCATTAAATCTTCTGCTAACGGGTCTGCAAGGGAAGGGGACTCGGAAAGAACAAGGGCCAACACACGGCAGCGGACAGCCAGAGCCTCTTCCTTGCCATCATGGGAAGTAGTGTGGAATCCAATGTCTTCGGCCAGCTCCTTCATAGCTTTCGTCTGACGTTCTCCGGTTGCCTGGAGGAAGGTGTGGTATACATCAAATATCAGCGAAGGGAAATTGTCCACCAACTGCAGCGAGCGCTGACAGAGGCCGTCTAAGATAGGAGCCCGGGCTGCTTGCAGTTCATTGCGCCATACCTCAAGCGACTTCCCTTGCGGAGATGGTTCGGACGGTCGATCAGCCCCCTCACTGTCCATAGGGTCCTCATTTGATGTGCTTGCAGCCGCAGGACCCGTGTCAATCGTCTCAGCGGGAGTTTCAGGAGAGGCATCCGAAGCTTGTTGGGCTGTCTCCTCAGCTGGAGTGTCGGTTTGTTCGGTTTCAGGATCCGGAGGGATAGGAAATGGATGAGCCAGGAGAAGTTCAGTCGCAGCATTGACATTATTGTGAGTACGAACAAGAGCACGTTCGGCAGCTGAGCGAGGAAAACCCATGTCTGTGAGTTGTCGAATGCGGTTCTCATCAGGACCAGCAGGCGGTCTGATGGGAAGTCCACCGGCGTTCATGAGGGTTCCAGTGGCCCCACTGCTAGCTACGTCCCCTTTGACCTCTTCATTCTCTGCACTAGTGAGCTCGAGGATCGCTTGAACAGTTGTCTTCACGAGGGGCAGAGGACATGATAATATCCACGGAGCCTCCCAGACACGTTGCAAAAAGGGTGCACAAGCAAGGCGGAGCTGAACGAGGAAATGATGCGATTCAAAGTAGTCTGCATCCGTTTCTTTCTTTTCCCGTGTCATGACAAGAAGTGTCTGCCCCGATTCGAAGAGCGGTTGGGCAGAAATGAGAGGGTGTATGAGATGTAAGGCAACTTTGAGGCCGCCTTGAGCACGTGTGAGTTCTTGCTGCGCTACCTCGCCGTGTTCCTGTGCGTCCGTGCGTGTTACTTGATCGATGACGTCCGTAAACTTCCCTGCGACATCAAGAGTCATGTCGACACCGCCAATTTTGTGGAACGAGAAAAGGAGGGCGGTGTGAAGTGTACTCTGGACGGTTCGTTCTTTTATTATTCGTCAGCGGTCAGCACATCGTTGCACTATGTATGTACACGCACCATCTACCAAGAGAATAGTTACCAACCCTAGCATCACACTATAGTAGTCATAGCGCTGAATGTTGTTGCCTATCTGGGATGAGTGGGGGGTAAAGGACCGGCAGGACAAGTCCTTACCTGGGACTTCCTGCCTCAGATGTTCGACCATGATGTTGGCGACGACGGATGACGCGTTGAGGATTTGCTTTTTCTGGACTGGGTCAGGATTTCGTCTCGCATAGAACATCTTTGCAATGGCTAAAGTTCGCACTGCGTCAGTCAATGTCGCAAACCACGAAATGACTAGGTCCCTTACACTGAAAGAAAGGCGACAGGATGCTAGGAAGGCCATGTGTCAGATGCTTCAACGCTTTGGCGTTTTTCTCTCGGGGAGTACTCCTCTTTGAAGATGATCCAGAATCTTCAGGAGAGTCATTGGAGTCCGAGCGGATGCCATTGGTAGCTGGAGCAGTGTGTTCCGCGTCCGGCAAGCCCAAAATATCCTGAGTTGGTGAGCCACCGAGCGAATGGCTATTTGATCCTGTGCTTATTCCCTGGGACGATAAAGTATCTTTGAGCAGAATGTTTTCCCAAACGCAAGCGCGGTGCAATGCCCCAAGGTCAGTAACGAGTTTCGGGGGATCACTCATGAGAGTTTGAAGCAATCCCATCGCGCCTCGTCCATGTGTATACCCAGGAGCAAGAAAGATGTCAGCAACGAGGGTTGTGCGAATGTGCAGGATAACAAGACTTCGGAACTGATAGTTTCCTTCGCTAATATGATCCTCTTGACGACGAAGGTCAGAAAAACGTTATAACAGGAAGAAGGACGTCATACCAGATACTTCCAGCCATCGTGCAAGCTTCGAGTCAGGTCCTAGCGAACCCCAGAACGGCTGGGTCTCAGCCAATGAAGTCGCGAGGAGCTTGGAAAAATAGAACAGCGCTTCATTAGGACCGACTTCCACCATGAGCCGCAAGACTTGTATCAGCGAGTCTGATGCAATGCTATTGGCAAAATCGTAAGGTAAACATGGCAGGGCTGTCATCCTGCCGATGCGCTCAAGACCATCCGCTTGCCGGATGAAATCTTTGCAGTGCGATGAATGTTGAAAGAAACCTTCCAAGAACTGGCGGAGAACTCAGTACGAGTCGTACAGGGTAGGGGAAACTGACTCACACGACAAAAGACATCGAAGAATGAGATGATGATGTTGTCGTGATCCTTGGACGGGGCAGACTCCTCCGCCGAGACCTCATCTCCGGTGGTGGGCCCACCTGTTGCAGGAGCTATGCCAACGTCTCCAGTGGTCACAACATCTTCCATAGGCGCTGCCTTCTCAGTGTGGCATAGCCCATACCACTCCTTCATGTTTTCTGGTACTTCATAGGCCTCCCCTAGTGTCTCAATCTTCGTCATGGTTGCTTTGATGGACTCAAAAACTGCAGTCTTTAGAGATGGATGATGACGAATTAATTCGTCAATCGCAGTTCCGACCATGGCAGCGTTCTCCTTATCCTTCAGCATCTTGAGGTGACGTTCAGAAGTATATATGGACAAAATGCCCGGGATGATGCTGGGCCTGGCTGCTAGTTGATCTTGCCCTGCCTGATTGAGGCACAACGCCCCAATGGCGTTGGGGATAGACTGAACTACCTGCAAGCAAATCCATGTCAGATACACGGCCGCCAAAGTCGATGTCGATGCCTACTTCAATGACGGGCTCTATACCATCCTCAATCGCCTTGTAAAATACCAGCGGGAGTCCTGCTTCCTGAATTGTAGGCAAGCACGTCGGTTCATTGTGAACGAATGTCGCCATGATGTTGATCGCTGTAGGTAGCTTAGACAACTGACACGGCAGTCTTTGTTAAAGTTCATCTCACCTATTGGCAGAACGCTGGGCCCGAAGAGTCCGCGATACTGTACGACCTTCTTTACTGACGCCAGGACGGAGGAGTCGATGAGCCCTCGCAGGCCTTCCGAAGTGCCGGAGGATTGCATCATACGATGGAGCGACCTCAAAGTATGTTTGAGAACCGCTGCTCGGGCCACGGGAAGCTCGCCTGTTGCGGGATTCAGTTTGAAGGCATTCGGTCAGACTTGGTTTGCATACCGTAAGAACCAAACACCTCGCGTGATTTGATCTCATTCCCATACATGTTGATGTCGAAGTCGACTTCATGCTGACAGGATGTGAGAGGTTGCATTCGAAACACGGATCTATCCACAAACCTGAATCCTCCCGACTAACACATCGACGCCGCGTGCGTTTGCGAATAGCTGAAAAGCGTTTGCAAAGCCATAAAGAACGTTGTCGACTAGTTGCATGGCTTTGGACACCATCGGAAGTCTTTGGACTAGTCTATTCTCAATGACCTGGACGAGAAGGGGAATGAGGCCCGCCCCAACGACCATGTTGCCTCCGGCACCATGGGACGCCAGAAACGTGACGAAAGATAGTAAAGCGTCCACAAAGGAATGAGGAAGCTTTGACTCTGGGTTGCTCGTCTCCACGATTGTATTTCTCAGTAGAGCCATCAGAGTTCCATGAGCCACCCCCGCATTCACTGCAGTCAACACCTCTTGCACCTTGCCTCTGTACCGGGCTAGCGCGTCCACGGCTGCCACCGCGGAGGTCTGAATTGGAACCGAGATGTTTTGGTCAAGCTGCAGAAGCTCGGCCACATGCATGGGAAGATCAGGTTCATACAGGAACAGTGCAGAGGATGCTTGAGATTCGTTGTGCGTGTGCCCATAGATCGCAATTGCAAGAAGTCGTACAATGATGAGTTTCTCTCTCATGAGATTATTCTCTGGGAAAAGAGCTTGAGCACATCGCGTGCGACAGATAAGCTCGAACTTGTCGTCACTGGACAAGGTGTGAGCTTCCAAGACATCTGCAACGATCTCTGTCACTTCTTTCTCTCTTATAATTCGCTCATCAACATGGATTGTGACAGCGCCGGTGCTCGAGCCGGAGGGTACGGATGACGGTTTGCGGGGAGTGGTAGGGGGTGCGTCGAATACATCAGTAGATTCCGCTTTAGCCTCGTTGGCATCTTTAGAGGGAGCGCCTGTCTTGTAGTAGACGAAGTTTACTTCTCGGGCGTCTGCCGGAAGTACGTCAAGCTGAGCGGTGTTATTTGGGCGAGCCAGATCGAAGAGAGTTACACCGTATTCCCGAAGACCCGACCAGCGCTTTGCCAGGGATTGAAGCCTTGGTGTCGATATGTTGAGTGCATGCGAAACGGCCGGTTGGGCCGAGTACTGCTGAGATGGACGGAGAAGAAGGTTGAGTGCTAGTATGAGGACGTCCAAGTCAGAGGTAAAGAGGAGATCGTTCAACCTCTGTTATCGTAAGTTACATGTATGAGTATATGCACGCCCATATAGCTGTTGAGACACGCACGTCATAGGAGTTGAACGTCTTGCGGTTTGTCGAGTTCTCCAGGAGAAGCCTCTCAAATTTGAGGATTTCACAGATGAGACTCTTCGTTAAGGGAGTGAAAACGTTCACTTGCAGCTTCTGGAGATCCCAGTCCCTGATCACCTCTTCGAGAATCTCGTCAAATTTGTCCAGGACCTTGGTCCACGCGTTCAGATCAGATCGTGGCCATTTCCATACGTCAATTTCTGCAAGGGCATCGGCAAGATCATCGTTAGGTGTGTTGAGGAGTTTCGAGATGAGTTCGGCGACCTGCGGATGCTACGTAGATCGTCAGATGCCAGCCGCCACGGAGATGAAGGAGAATTAGGCACCGGAGCTGTCGGTTTCTTGGATTTCTGAGATATCTTCATGGTTCCACGACCACGACTCGATGGGGTTGTTTCGACTCAGTCAGCTCGCTGATTCGTTGGATTTGTGCGCAGGTGGGGATTGTTTGAGAGGCTCACGCAAAGCGGCCTTTGGATCTCACAAAGTGACAGGAGACACTTAGTTGGCCTTACAGAAGGCTGACGGAAGTGCTTGCCGATATATCAGGTTATTATTTCCCAGGCTCAACATTCAGGTGACGCTCGGATTGACGTTATGTCATAGGTCATGTGATCGTGCTTCCAATATATCCGAAGCGCGTGCACGCGTCGGTCGCGCGATAAGTCGAGCACTGAACGCGAACGAGTACTCTCTTCAACTTGCAATCTCGCTTCACCTCCCTGGTTGCCGTGGCGTACCTTTAAACAATGGCGAAAAGAAGGTCTGATAGCGACGACGCGCCTGAGGCTGAGTCCACAGAAGAAACTCCAAAGGTCTGGCGCTAGAATACGGCCTGGCCCCACTGCACCCCCACACTAAACTACGATTGCCAGAGGACCGTCAAAAAGCCCAAGTTCAAGTCATATGATGAGCCTGCAAAGGCAAAAAAGCCTAAATATGTCTTGAGGGAGGGTAATGTAAGGGCATGACCCCTACTGCTGTTAACCTCTATACTAACGATGAGATGGTACGGGCTACACCTGCATCCTCCTAGGCCAATCCAGACCAAGATGAGGGTAGTGGCGTCGAAAATCGTGTACGCATGTTTAGCTGCCCCTCAATCCAACCTACTGAACATTTCCTCAGGCCACCGGATCTACCACGTCGGGAGCACAGATGAACGATGATGGCGAAGAATATATTGAATTGGGAAAGAAGAAGCGAGCCACTGTGAGATCGTTCAAAAGTGAGGTCCAAACAACCAATACTTCATCTACTAACGGACTGTCAGGCAACGTGTTCCTGGACATTCGTGAGTATTTCGGCTCAGACGGCGAAGAAAAGCCTGGCAGAAAGGGAATTACCCTGTCAAAAGAACAGGTGAGTAGAGTTGTATCATATGCCCGACCTTCAGTTTAAGCTCAATCACGGCAAAGTGGCACATTCTGAAAAACCACGCAACAACTATCGACACCCTATTCGCTAGGAAGTGAACGGCAATAATGATCCATATCCACACTCCATCTGTTAAACACCGAAAGTCCATTCAGTCAAAGTATCTATGATACTACTCAAATAGTAATCTAAGGATGGCGAGAAAGATGGAATATAAACCCATGTCATACTAGCCCCGATGCTGCTTTGTGTGCACCATCTAATGCCCTTGTCCGGAAGAGACCCCCAGCCCATGCTGCCGTTTTTACACCGTACGCTTGTGCATCCATGAAAGTCTCCACTAGTACCACGCCAGTATAACCTTTGACGTAGGTCCTAAAGCGCTTGCTCTTAATAACGATTAATATACAGCCATGGCACTTACCACCAAGAGTTAACCAGGGAACATAATGACAAGAATCCTCTTTGTTCTTGTCGTATGCGAATGCGGTCATCTTGCCACACTGCGTACATGCAATATTTAGCTGTGATCAGAAATATTCGGACCTATCCAAGGGTAAGTTCTCAGAGTGGCCACGGGATGCGGACAGACGTGCCGACGAGTGTGTGGTTGCCAAAGCATGGTCGAGACTCCTAATTATATCAATCAGGGTCAAGGGTTTGAAGGAGACAGTAGCCTAAAGAGTGTGGCATACCGGGTAAGATCATTCAGCTTCAGAACCATCAGCACCCTTCGAGGCACGCGCCTAAGAACGTTGAAAACTGACAGTAGTATACCTTCTTGGTTAAGCACCGCGTCGCGAATGGCCTCCATTTCCTCGAACGATTGAGGCGTCATGCTAATCATGCTGTCGGCTCTTGTGAACGATTCATCATCCTCATGTTCGCCCCAGGTCCCTTTCATTGCCGCCCGACCTACAGCTGTTTAGGCAACGTCTACGCTGGCAATAATTGAGCACACCTGTGATTGCAGCCTCAAAGACAGGATACTACAGCTAACTTCAGGAATTGAAGATGGCCAGGAATACATGACTCACGAGGTCAGGTGAGATGTTCCCTACGAGTTCCGCATATTTCTTGCGATCAGCCCGCACGGAAGGTGACGCCGGAGCGATGAGCGACAGCCAGAGCTTGCTGTAATTCAACCGCAGGTCTGCGTCCAGGTCAAAGTACAATCCATGGTCTAAGAGGACTATCTCGAAGTTATACGGTGACTTAGATGTTTTCGGTGTCGGCCGTATCAGCAGATTTCCTGCAAATGGGTTCCTAAGTACACGTAAGGAATGAAGTTCATCAACATACCTGGGTGGGGATCCTGCCAAAGCAGAACTGTAAGTTACTTTGCAGCGTTGGGTCACACAATATTCACTCACAGCGTGAAACCAGCCATTAACGAATACCATCTGGTTGAATATCCGAGCAAGCTCCAGCGAGACTTTGTTACGATCAATGTTGTGGTCGGAAAGGTAGGCAAGGTCATCGACTCGTGCTCCGCGAATGTATTCCATGATTAGGACGCGCTTTGTGGCCGCGATCACTCCCGGAATGTAAAGTGATGTTGTCATGTTGCGAAAGTCTGCCGTTGCACGTTCAGCGTTACGAGCCTCGTGGACAAAGTCCATTTCTTTGGGAAGATTCTCTCTCATTTCCTCCCCTAACCAAGTCAACTCGAACTCCGGGAACCAGTACTTGATCCAACCTGGCGCCGAGTCAGTTACTGAGTTCAATTACGAGAAATTTGGATACTTGCCAAGAGTCACCTCGACCATCGCCATGTCAATGTCACAGAACTCAGCCAGGTGGGGGTGTTGCAGCTTGGAGCGCAGAGTCAGAAGCTGTCATCATAAAGACGAAAGTGCTTACTTTTACGGCAACCTCTTTCCCTGTTTCTCGGTGGCGCCCGACGTGTACTTGTGCCAAACTTGCAACACCGAGAGGCACTGGGTCAAACTCCTCAAATATGTCGTCAATTGATTGTCCCATGTCCGACAAGAATAATCCTTTTAATTCCTCGTAAGGGGTTGGATCACACTTGTCTTGGAGAGGTCGCATAGTGCTGGACCATTCAGTTGGCAGCACTATTCTAACAGAAGATTAGTTTGAGAGCTATATGCAAAAGGGCGGATAGACTCACAGAGAAGCCATATGCTGCCCCAGTTTGATGAAAACGCCTTCTCGGGTTTGAGTTGCATTTCATACTTTGCGAGCGGTATCCTCACCTCCGTTAGCCAACAGAGCTTCCAGTACTCGCTGTGCACTTCTCGTATGGCACTCCGAGTATGCTTGATCTCGTTTCTCTTCTGACGCATATGTCCGCGCAAAAGTTTGTTTGTAGTCAACGGCACCAACAATAGCGGCCTCTATGAAAGGGTTAGAGTAAACACACGAAGGCTAAATAGCCGAAACACTGACGAGCCACCCTTGAACATCTGGCAGCTGCAAGTACTGTATGTCGAAATGGTTGATAGTTTTGGTAGGCCACGTACACTCCCCCAGAGAGCAGCAGGGCGGTTACGGCGCATCGTGTCCACGGTGGTTTGCTACTAGGATGGGAATGAGACGAAGTTGACATATGTCGAGGGAAAGGGTGGGTGCTGTAAGCACCTGCATGACGTCTAAGAGGGAACCATGGTGAATGCCAACATGATGGAGGACGACCTCTCGTCAAGGACGTGAACATCGCCTGGGGTTAGCAATAGAGCGATCGCGTTCAAGGTCTCGTATATTAGCCGGGTTCCCGGATCGGAAGTCCTTTCCACACCCCTGCCAACTCTGGCGCGAGACAAGTCGCCTCAAGCTTAAACGTTCTTAAACGTTTAAACCCTCAGCCTTTCACCACAATGCGAGATAATCTTTGGTGGACCCCTGTTTGCGCGTATAAGTTGCTCTCTTCAGCTCAGCGCTCACCTTTTACGAACTACTACCAAACGAATACATGATTCAAAGCTACGTCACTTTCAGTTTAATTCAACCATGTTCGTGCACAGCGCGCGGCTGGACTTAACTTAACTAATATGGTACATACGGAAGGGCACTAAGATAAGGTATTTGCAGGTACTTGTTAGCATGACATCCTCGTTCTTGGTTACACTTTACGTTACGAGTTTCTACAGTAGTACTGTCCGTCTTAGGGTGTATCGCCCTCCTGGACATTAAAATGACGAATCAAATCAAATCAAGGTATTTGCAAGGTGCTTTAAATCGCTGTACCTCGTTTGACAATGGTAACGGTTTTTACTTTCAACCGTCGTGCCTGTACCTAGATGTCATCAGAATAACTGCAAGTAGGATCACTGACATCTTCATAGGCATCAATGCATCCAACACAGGACGCTTGTCGATTATTTATCTGCAGACCGGTTCCTGCGACGTCAATCTGTGATTGGCTACTAGTCAGCGATGAAGGCGGACCATATCATTGCTTGCTCGCTCTCGTGATGTCTATTTACGTTCAAGAACGTCAACTTTTGTTCATGTTATAAGCATATCTATTCGATGCCACAATCATAGGCCAGGGCCTGCGCTCGCCATGTACGAGCAACACGTTTAATATTATCGTTGTCGCATGTAAGTTAGTTATGTTTAGGCACTCCTATTTTAGCCTCACGATGATTGGTTCAGAGCAACAGAGCCTCGCCAGGTCGTGTTTTTTGCTCCAGTATATATAAGTAGCTGGGCGTTGCTGCGGGACAGACAGCTTTAAGTTGCTTCACCTGTCCAGCAGTATAGACCATGTCTCCCTCATCTCGAGTAATCTGCTCGTCCTTCGCCATCTTGGTCATCACATCAGCCCTTCGGCCAGTCTTTGCCACCGAGTACTATCAAGCCAAGGAATATTATGGCTCCACCTTCTTTGACGATTGGACGTTCTATAACTACTGTGCATGAGTATCATTACTCCCGTTTATGGATTGGCTGACAATGGCGAATGTAGACGATAACCTTACTAATGGCGACGTGACGTCAGCTTCTATTGTGTCTCTAAGTACTTATTGAACAATGCGTTCTGACTTGAATTTTTAGTTATGTCTCTGCTCAAGAAGCTGCACAAGACATGCTCGCTTATGTTGACAACTCGACCAGTCACGCTATCATCAAAGTGGACAATACTACTACAGTGCCATGGAATGACAAGCGCAACAGCGTTCGAATCACTACTAACGACAGTTTCCCAATAGGAACCCTTTGGGTAGCTGATATGTATCATGTTCCATATGGGGTACGCAAGGTTGATCCACCACCACCATGCCTATCTAACACTGTTGCTCCAGTGCTCCGTGTGGCCAGCTTGGTGGAGGTATATCTTGCTCATACCACGCTTTTGCTCTTTCCTCTAATGAGACCTTGTTAGCCAAGCGCCTGTATGGCCTGAGGGTGGTGAAATTGACATTTTTGAGGGTGTCAATCTTCAGACACAGAACCAAATGTCCCTGCACACGGAAACGGTTCGGTGGCTGAGTTTTAGTATGACGACGTTCTCTCATCGTAATATATCCGTCTAGGGCTGTAATCAACAAAACCCGACGCAAACATCCACCCTCATCACTAGTACCAATTGTTCCGCTGCAAACGATGAAGATCAAGGCTGCATTGTAACGGATCCCTCAACGTCATCTTACGGCTCTGCCTTCGCTAGCGCAGGCGGAGGTGCATTTGTAACGGAGTTCGCATCCAGCGGTATCAGGTACACATGGGCTACTTGTTGTCTCCCGATTATCGCTTACATTATGGCTGCTCTAGTATTTGGTTCTTCAATGTAAGTCTTGCGTTTTCCTATGGCGTAAATTTGACACCCTGGTAGCGTTCCAGCATTCCAAGCACCCTGTCTTCAAATGACAGTAACGTGGATACCCAAAACTTTGGTGAACCGGTGGCAAATTGGCCAAATACTGGCTGCAACATCGAAGAATATTTTCAAGCTCAGCAACTCATCTTTGACATAACTCTATGTGGTGGTAAGCCTTTCCTAACGGGCTCCAAACTAGTGCTCGCTCTGACCTTGCCACTTCCTTTTCATCAGACTGGGGTAAGCACCTCTAATGACGTACCTTCCGCGACAATGTTGATTTATCGAAATATGATTTAGCTGGTGCTGGTGCTGTCTTCAATGCGACATGTTCAGGTGTTTGTTACAATGACTGGGTCATTGGCCCGCCGTCCAACTACAACACTGCGTACTTCGAAATCGGCTATGTACGCATCTTCAGCAACAGCACGAGCGGCCTCAGCTCGCCATCTGGGTCTGGCTCCGACACTTCGGGGGTAGGCACGAACGTTCCTAGCGGATTGACGTCGGGATTTGCACTCGCGGTTATGATGTTGACATCCATGGCTTTGTTAGTTAGTGCCCCGATCTAAGGCACCTCGTCTGTAGTCGCTGTACATACGTCTAGATTTGTATTTGGACTTGTAGATTAAGGTGTAACATTTGTATTGTCCCCTTTACGGACTTCGGACCCATACTAATGTCCAATTCAACCGCAACATTACTTATGATGTTAGAATAGTACCGATATAGGCCCGACAACATGAACTCCAATTAGTGTCTTAGCTATTCAGCTGCCTCTGATCGATGAGCCTTCGCGTCCCTTAGGTCCCTCGCATTCTGACTTGGCGGGCAACAATTTATCGTAGCTTGCTCAAGTTCGTCCATCACAATCAATGTTCACAAGAGGTTAGAGGCCAAGAGAGCAGAATCAGTCCTCAAATAGGGGCTGGAATCCCTGTCAAAGTAGTCAGTCTCCTGAACAGGGATTAGGCAGCTGACCGAACACTACCTTCTTCCAGTTTGTGCCATCACTGCCTTGTGTTGGCCCTATTTCAACGTCCTCTATGATCTCCAAGCTTTCCCGATCCCTATCGTGACTGGGACTGTTCTGAACGGCTCCGTTGCTGACCCCCTCAAGTTCTTTCGTGTCCGCCATTTGAGATCCCCTGATATCAATTCCCACTTCCTCACCGTCTCCCTCGAGCATGTCATTGAACTCGTTGAAGTCCATGTTTTCGACGCCCAGGCCCGAAGCCCGTACCTGCTCGGCCTCGGTAGCTGACATCTGAGAAAGCGGGTAAAAGAGAGGAGACTGCTCGCGCTCATAACTTGTATCTTCAAGGCCGGATCCCTCCAAGTAGGCTGCTCTAGCAGCTCGTCCATAATCCACAGGCGAAACGTGCGGAGGGACGAAAGACGGTGGAGGCATTGATCGAGCATCGCTCTGCGCCCAAGGCGCCGAGCTACAAGGCGTTGAGGTTCTCTGAGCGGCTCGCATTGGCCTCCGTGCACGAGATGTTTCGCTGCGCTGGTCAGAATGATCGTATTCACCATTGCTGTTATGAGGTCTTTTGCGTCCATTCATCGTCTGGAGAGGGGCCGGTGCCGGTATACCATGTATCTGAGAGGTGGAAATCACACACAATGTATCCACCTCATCCCCCTGGACATCGATGAATAGCGGAGCACTTGGGTCTGTAAATCTAAGGTCCATAGTGAGAGCCATGGATTCAGCAAACGCGACCGTTCCCTAGGAGGCATAAGTCCAAAGTCCAAAGAACGAGAAATAAACAGACATTGAACTCCTTCAAATGGAATGCTATTGTGATTGGTGTCGCGTAAACATCATAGATGTCGAATTCTTCCGTAGAGACGGCAAGCTCAGTTGCAAGTTGGGCTTTTCCTATCTGCGGCATTAAAGCCTTTACGTAGGAGATAGGTGCCATCATACCTTTGGAGTCGACGGAAGTTTCAACGCTCTTAATCTCAACTTCTACCTCTGCAAACGTCCAGATTAACTGGGGGTCAGACTTAGCCCCTCGGCTACTTGGAAAGCGCTCGATGATGTCCTTGACACCCCTGGGACCGATCGTCAAACGAGATTCGTTGTGCGAGTCTGGAATGCCAGGAGAGAGCAATGAGTCTGGCTGTTGAAGGGATAAGCGATGGGTCTTCACTATTCCTGTTTGTCACTATTCCTCAGTAAAAAGGGGTTTCCTGGCTGTTTCGGGGGTCTGAGCCTACCAAGTTTACAGTGAAGTCGAATGATAAGCCTGCTTTCCAAAGTATCGTGGTCCTCGTCAGGGTCATCTGGGACGATTCCTTCCACGATGGTCAGTTCGCATCTTTCGACCACTTTTTCTACGGTTCTATGTTTGAACAGCGTCAACAGGTTCTAGCAGTACAGTTATTGCTAGAACTGGTAGAAGTCGCCATTTAGACACTGACCTTCACCAGCAGCTGTCCTTTCACATCGCCATCCAGCCCGTGTTCATTCCCCACCTTGTATTTTGAGAAGAAGCGTTTTCCGAATTTGAAGCGACAATAAGCAGACAAGGAGGAATTCGTAGTTGACAAGGTCAAATGAGAAGTATCGGCGTGAATGACCAGATCGTCTCCATACTTAGCGAGACATGTCAGGGCCCTGGTGAATGCTACTCTGGTGAGCCATCGACAGCAAGAATTCTGACCGACAAACGTTTGATTGCCGCTGTGCTGAGGGATGCCTGCATGTGGGGCTACAGCTTAGTTAAAGTTAGGTCACCAAGACGTAATCGTAACGCGTCTGAATCCGCGTCAGTACCTGTCAGTACTTGGACATTGACACGTTATAGCGCTGCCGTCCTTAGGCAAGCACGTGTCGAGGTCTGCAAGGGAGACTATTGGACACCGCACGTCACGTCTCGGCATCCTGGACTTAGTGATTGATTAAAATTGATTGTATAATACGTCCGACTATATTTTTCCGACTATGTCCATTGACTACATACACCATCCAAGTAGTTTTGACTGACGTACAGCACGGACAAGCGCAAGCCCAGGCCAGCATCTAGCAAACTTGCCTCAGCTTAGAGGATCTGAGCTGTTAAACCGCTCACCATCATGCCTCCAGTCAAGTTGGCCGTTGTGGGCGGTGGACCATCCGCCTTCTACGTCACATCTCGGCTGCTGTCTCTACTCAAGCCCTCGGAAGCTCCATCATTCCGAGTTCATATGTATGACCGTCTCTGGGCACCTCACGGCCTCGTCAGATACGGTGTTGCGCCAGATCACCCTGAAGTAAAGGTACGCGCCCAGCTCAAGATTATCCCCTACTCCACTGACCCGATGTGCACCTATTGTGCCCAGAATTGCACGAACAAGTTCGATGACACAGCCAACGATCCTCGCTTTCGCTTCTTCGGCAATGTCAATGTCGGAGACACTCCTCTGACTTCAATACCACACACGCACTCGCTACCGTTAAGATCTCTCCTCCAGAACTATACCCACGTCCTATTCGCAACTGGATGCACCCTTTCCACCCTCCATCCTGCCATCCCGCCTTCAGAATACTGCGTACCCGCCCTGTCTATGGTACACTGGTACACGCAACACCCCAGCCATGTGCCACCGCCTGATCTTCGAAAAATATCGCATGTCTCCCTCATTGGAAACGGCAACGTGTCCCTTGACATAGCTAGGATCCTGTTGACTCCACCTCACGTACTCGAGAAATATGATGTCCCTACTTCGGTCTTGGACGTTCTCAGACAGTCGGCAGTGAAGCACGTATCAATCATGGCCAGGCGCGGTCCGCTCGAGGCTGCATTTACCACCAAGGAGCTCCGGGAACTAATGAATCTTCCTGATGCATCCATGGTTCCGCTTAGCTCATCTATACTAACGTCAGCTCCAGAGATGACTATGACGCGACAACAGCGGCGTACGCTAGAATTACTTCAGAAAGGATCGAAGAATGCTTACGGTTCAACACCCAAGACGTGGTCACTAGAATTCTATCGCTCTCCTACAGGACTTACACCCCCCACATCTTCATCCCCACTAGCCCAATTGACCCTAGCACACACCGAGCTGGATCCAAGAACGAGGCGTGCCATATCAACAGGAGAAACTTCTTCACTCCTAACTTCTCTCGTTATCACATCCCTAGGCTTCCACGCGGACCCTCAGACTACATTCTACGACCCTTCCCTAGGTCACCTTCGTGCACTTGCTGGACGCATTATTTCTTCATCTGGCACCGCGATCAAAAACATATACGCCTCTGGCTGGTCTGCCAATGGCGCGAAAGGAGTGCTAGCCTCTACAATGATGGATGCTTACGCGGTTGCGGATATCATTCTCTCCGATATAACACCAGGCGAAAAAGGTGTTCAAACAACGGCCACCTCTTCAAACCCTGATATGATTTTATCATCAGAATTCCAGCTTAACCCTAATCCACATGTTGAAGACCCGCCTCTGGAAATTCTTGAGGGCTTGAAGAACGGGACTGTGACCACCTACGATGATTGGAAGCACATTGACGCCGAAGAGCGGCGTCGGGGAGAGGCCATGGACAAGGAGCGAGAAAGGATGAGCTGGTCCGATGCACGTACTTTCATGTCACAACGTGCCGCTTTGCATTAGAATAATATATTCTAGATGGTACATGGTGATTGTCCGCTAGACAACTAATTTCATTACAGCTCCATCTTACTATTTGACGTAAGTACTCAAGTTCTCGATCGTTATCTTTCGGACAGACGGGAGAAGGGCGCTGGTAATGGTCGTTGTTTCATCGTCCTTGAAGGTGGTATGTTCTGCATACTTTGTACAACAGCGGCTGTCTGCCGGCGCGGAAGAGCTTGCTCCTGTTGCATAACCTTCTAAATGGAAAGGATTTTCGTCTATATATCAGTACAGTGCTGATCGCGACAACGAACCTCAGCATCCGTTTTACGTTTGGAGTAAAACGTGAACAACTCCGCGATCTGCTGCTCAAGGATCTGCTTCTGCCTGTGGAGACGTCCGACCTCTTCGGTCATCGTCATCACTTCGCGGGTAAGTTCGGCCTTGAAGTGCTCAACGTGTGCTACAGGGCTGATGAGGATCGAGAAGTAGGATCGAGAACCAAACTTACCTTGCACATTTATCGCTGTTGCCTCCTTCATTGCTTCTACAAAGCGCAGTCTTTCGCCTCGTATCTCCTCCGTCAACTCTAAAAGGTGGGTAAAAAGAGATTTCAGGGCCAAGATAAAGAACAGATCAAAACCCTCACCGCTGGACAGGGCCCTCAACATTTGTTCCTGTTCTGCCCGTTGTTGGTTCACAAGCCCAACAACGGAATCCGTGACTATGCCATGTAATTATCTTCGCACAAGCTGACTTCAAACAGACTTCCTTACCGAGCGCATTCTGCTGTTCCGCACTGTGCTTGAACTGGGTTTGTACGGATACAACCAGGTCCTCTACATTGGTTTGTAGTTGTTTAGTACTCTCGAGACTAGATGAGTGTGCTTCAAGAAGCTCGCGGACGGTGATCAAGAGTCCTGCTTTTTGTCCCTCGGCCTGACCATCACTGGGTTGTATATTCTCACACCCCAATTCCTCGCTTAACCTCTGCATGGTTGTTGCAATAGATTGGATCTGAGTAGTCCCATTGTTGACGAATGTGTCGAGCCACTACGATCACAGTATTACTCAGTCACCGCCGTCAAGACGCCATGTTTATCAAACCCACCGAGTTTAACTCGTTTAAATAGCGTAAGCTCTCAGATTGTTGTTCTTCCTGGTATTTGGCTCGTTCACCCTCTTCCTTCAAATGATCCAGGATTTCTTGGAGCTATACGCTGATAAAAATGGTCTATACAAAGTCCGTAAGAAACAAAGCCATACCTGTTCTCCGCATGGGCCGGGGAGGTTGTCGCTCGAGATCGCCTCAGGGGCACCACTTGCCTGACCTCGTTCTGTCTCGGACGCAGTGCATTTAGTCTTGACGAGCTCAAGTAGGTTGTCTAACTTGTCCCGAATCCCTGTGAGATCATGTCGAGCATCGTGGTTAGTTCCGGTGATATTGTTTGCGTCAACGCCCGCAGCAGGGGGCTCAGGAAGGTCTTTCATGGTCATCATGCCGTTATCTGCATCCTGGACTGAGGTTCGTGTGGCGAATCCCTGGAGAATGGTTAAGCGCTGGAGTACATCTGCCATTACCGAGTCGATCTTCGCCCTGGTTTCATCCGCTTGCTGGGTCACAGTCACACTTTGGGCCTTCTCGGAATTTGCCAGGGTTTCGATGAGGCGGGATTCGATTGCGTGCAAAGTCTCCACGAGGTGGACAGAAGAATTGCTATCGCCAGCGTCGACCGTACCAATTAACTTCCCTAAAACTTCGGGCAGGCTCTGGACATCTTCCCGCAAGTGGCCGACAAGCTCTACAATACCGCGACTTTGATGGTACCGCTGGTCGGACGCCTGCTCCATTAGCTTCTGCAACAACTCAACTTTCAGTGACATATCAGGGCTAAAGTGACGCGGTGCTGAGATTATCTTCGCTGCACTATCAGATACTGGACCGGCGCTATCCTCCCTTGTGCTGAGTGATGGTGATGAAACTCGTAGCGTCTGAACAGTAGTGAGAGAGGACTGCAACCGGAAGTCAGGAATCACTAAAGGAGGGAGCGCCGGCTTCTTTAGAAGACCATCGGACCTCTCTTTCTCTGAATTATACTTCTCCTCTAGTTCGTCGATCTCCTGGAAGGCGCGCTTAATCCGAGTGGACTTCGGAGTTGTGGATGCGTTGGTCCTAGTCTCTAGCTCCCTCGACGCACTCCGTGCATGTGGAGACGAGCCTTCCATCTGTGCAAGGCGTTGTCTGACCACGGATAGATTGTCAAGCCTTATTATCGATGGACTTTTTGGACATGAGGCTGTCTGTGGATTGATGGACGGGCTGGTGGCTGGTGAGGGCGACTTAGGTAGAGGAGATGGAAGTGCGTGCGTTTGCTTGTCTACAGAGGTGCGAAAAGAGGCTGTGGGGGTGTCGACAAGCGCATTGGTTTCAACGGAGTAAGGTGTAGGCGGAAGGGAATGATCAAACACATCATCCGTAGTCATTCCCTCTGCCGTGGTTGTCGATGGTGGGTAGAGCGATGTACTATAAGCGGACGCTGAGGGCGGACTGTTGACGGACAATGTTTCGTCGACCACCTCGATATTTTCAGGGAAATGCTCGGTATCACGCCGTAAAAGCGGGTCTGTGGGGAGAGGTTTTGATGTAGATTCGTGTAAAGGCATGATTGCGTCGCTGAAACAGGAGTTAGGGATGTGAGCATATTGTAAGTTTGATAATGTCTGGCGTCCTACCACAGCATGTTCACCCATTTCACTCTCTCTGGCACTGAAGTCGCCGCAAACATTTCTCCTGCCGCTCCCTTGAAGCTGATCTCGAAAACCTTGGTTCCATCCTCGTCGGATTTTACGGGAAGCAATGCTTTCTCTTCAGGCTTGAGTTCGTTAAATGCTATCGGTTGGGCATTTGTAGCAGATACTAGAGGTATAGGATGACTAGCCGGGTTTCCCTGAGATGTAAACCAAGTGACGAGCAAGTGAGAAGGAAAGAGCGTGACTTTGCATGTTGTCCAGACCCGTGAAACTGGAGAGTCGGATGCCAGTGCAGGTCTTGCGAAGTAGAGCAAGATGCCAGAATAAACCGGTCTTGCCAGCTCTTCAGACATGTAGTTCGTACATGAGGGGTCGTGGTGATCTGTTGAACCTTTGGAGCAGGAGCTAGTCCGGAGTAATGCAGGGTTGTGCTCCTTCGTTGACTTCCCCCAATCCATGTCTGTACCTTTTCCATGATTCTTTCCTTTTCTGAACGCTGAGAGCAAGTTTCGGAGCGAATCGCTAATAGACCTCCTCCCACGTTTGAGTCGTACAAGTTGGCCGTTTGACGAAGTATCCTGTGCCATTTGACTGCTGGACGGAGGGAAGGAGGAACTACCAGCAGAGCTGCCAGAAATCTGCTCATAGCGACGGATCAATTGAGCTGTAGACGAGTTCTGCCGTTGCATGCTCTGAAAGTGTATTCAACATCTTCATGTCTTTCTGATCTCAGTTATGATGACGTACTTGAGTGTTCGGCATAGTGGAAGCCATCTCCCTTGGGCCTCCGAGACTGACTCGTGCTCCATGCGCTTCATTCATGACTGGCGCACTATGGGGTGCGAGTGGACGGGCCATCTTTGATCGCAAATCCGGCCTAGGAACCTACTAGGACGGCAAGTTTGGCACGTCTGATAAAGTATTGTAGTTCAGACCATCATCCGTGTGCTTGATTCAGACGAGTATTTCTCATGTCCTTTGAGCGCTGAAAGCAGGTACGATTTGCGGCATTAGATAGACGTTAGTATAGTGTTCATACATCCAAAATAATAGACCGCTGTGATCCATCTAAAGTGTCAAGAAAATCGTCAGACGAAGGCGGTGCCAACCTATAATTGAAATAGAGCGGACGAGTTACTTACGCGGTGATGATTGTGAGCCATATATCCTGCACGAGTAGCACCTAAACATTGGTGATTGAGATAGAATCATAATAAAACATACCTACCCCCAAAGGACCCGCAAGATGAACGTTCCCGTTGAACGTCAACAATGCTCATAAGGTGCGGCATTGCGGCATTGCTCACGGGAGCATTTTGTGCCAGAATGATCTTCAGGGCGGTCATCACAGCCACGTGGCACATGTCGTGATCAATTCCCGCCCAAAGTTTACGATGGGCATTAATCTGAATATCTACCTCAAACATCCATTCATCTACCAGCCAGACGCAAGCATATAATACAGGAATACTCACTGTCCGTTTTGACAGTCCTTTTGCATGCAACGCGATAACCGTCGGCTTTTGGGAGTGTAAGCTTCGTGACCGAGGCTGACCAACTGCTGACAGAGATGGGAGCCTTCGGAATCGCGTCACTACGCCCGAGCCTTGCGTACAATCTCACAAGACCTCCTCATTCCCATCGGCCTTACAAATCCTGTCCCAAATTTGCCTCCTACCCTCCCTATCGCAACATGGAAAAGCAGCAAAGATGTAACTATAAAGGAACATGCCTTGATCACAGGTCGCCCCAGCACTCCCCTTTGAATTACACACTCTTCCTACTTTCGCACTAGTACCAGCATCATGGCCATTGAAACCCTTGCTCCCCAGGACGTTCCTACAACGCTCAACTATTACATCGCAACAGACGATTTACCGGCTTATAACTACGTTGACGAGCCTCCTGAAGGTGTACCCAGGACGAATATTGGTGCTGACGCGCAGTCAGTGATCATCCACGATATTCGCGGCCGCGAGGACACTGTGGGCCTTGATAAGACAGGCTTTCAGTTTGTGCACCACGTGAGCCAGGAGAAGGAATTCGTCGATGAGGAAGCTATCAAGGCGACATATTACAAAGAAGTCCAAGACATCTTGAAGAAATATGCTGGAGCCAAGAGAGTCGCGATCTTTGACCACACGATCAGGTACATATAAAGCTTGGTTGGCATTGGTTCTTGAGCTTACCGCTGAGTAGGCGAAACGTTTCCGACGACAGATCTCAGCAGAAACCTGGCGCTAGAGGTCCCGTGGTAAGTGCATCGCTTGATAACATGGACTGTAGCTAATTTTTATCGCCTTACCAGCAACGCGTCCACGTTGATCAAACATATGCAGCTGCTCTAGAGCGGGTTCGCCTCCACCTGGGAGATGATGCCGAACGCCTTCTCAAAGGACGCGTTCGTATCATCAACGTCTGGAGGTGAGCCAATCGTTACTTCTGTCCTTTGTTTGACGTGACCCTTAACTTATTGACTCACAGACCTATCGGAAACCCCGTCGCACATGATCCTCTGACCGTGGCCGACTATCGCTCCATTAATCCTGACGAAGATCTTGTGTCTACTCGCCACATCTACCCGCACAGAGAAGGTTCGACGTTTTCTGTGCGGTACAATCCTGCGCATCGCTGGTATTACTTGGCCAACCAAACCCCTGACGAGGTCACTCTCATCAAGTGCTTTGACTCTGACACGGACAAGGCGCGCCTGACTCCTCACAGTGCCTTTAAGGACTCCACCAGCCCACCTGAGGCCCCTCATAGACAATCCATCGAGGTTAGAGCTTTGGTGTTTGACACCGAGTAGAAGAATTTCTCAAGTCATTAGATTATTGTCGAGGTTTCATGTAAGGTTCTGAAGTAATCGCATCGTGTACTTTGTATCCATTTCGTTATTACTAGATCTACATAGCAATGTTTTGCATGTATGTAAGTTCGTTCAACCATATGAAAATTGTCAGCAGCAACGGTTTTGATGTTATACACACATATGTACTAGACGCGAACAACACGCATGACGCAATAGGTGTGTATCTTCAGCCAGTACAGTATTAGCACTAATCAAGTCGTTAACAAGAACCTAGACAATTCGCGGAGGCACGCGCGATATTGCATATTTTCCATTCCACGAAAATATAAGACAAGTTAGTCAATAAAGCATTGCTGAGATCAGGACGGCTCCCTGAGGTAATAAACGATGATAGAAGTGGAGGCCTATGGAGGCCAACGAGATAAGTAAAATCCGGTATAGATACAGAGCTGAAGAGGGGAGAAAAGAAGAGGTATGTGTGCATGGCACTAGTCTACAGCGCACGCGAAGGCCGCGCAATGCATAAGTGGCTTCCTCGAGAAGCTACTGACCTTTAAGGTCATATATGGGTCTATCAGAGACCAGTTGTACTACATCCTAATGAGATATCCAAGTATACAAAAGAGATAGAGACGTTGAGAGATTTGAAAATGATCAGTAATGATACAAGGGTATGGTGAATGATGATGGCAGCAGCGAGATAGCGAGATGGGAATGGGTAGTATGGGAATGGGTGGTACGAAAAGACGCGCATCTAACGCCGCCGGGACTTGCTGTTCTTCGTGCGTTGTCTGGGACGCGGCTGAGAGTCGGTCATTATCTTGCTCGTGACACCTTCGTTTCCAATAAGTGTTTCCACCATACTGACAAGCTTCTTGCCCGCAAGGCGCGTAACCGATTTCTTTGGGAGCTTGTGTTGTAATTTAGGATCTTCGCCTTCAGCCTCCTCGCTGCTATCTTCAAAAGGTTTTCCTTTGCTATTGCTCTTGTACAAATCCTCATCAGGGCTAGCCGCAGTACTCGAGCCCGAGACGTCACCAAGTATTTCTTCGGCGTCTTCTAACAGTTCGTGTGATATTGAGGTAGATTCACGAGAATGCGCAGGAGTAAGTGTGGATACAGAAGAAAGAGGGGAGGTATTGGCTTTGGCGCGTCGCTCACGCTGACGGAGGCTGGTTCGCGTCTGGGGAGCTTCTTCAGGCTCGCTTTGTTCCTCAGCTTCCTCAGACATGATAATGGCTTTGTCTTCTGAAGACGCCCCCATCCGCTCGCGCTTGGCGGCTCTCGTAAGAAGAGGTTCATTCGAGAACAACAGAAGTTGCGTAGGCTGAGAAGCATCTTCGACGACAGAGGTACCAGCTTCTTCATCTGCTGACGGTTGAGGATTGGCAAGTCGTCGACTGCGGGTAGCAGGCTTGCGAGCCTTGATTCGTTTGCGGAGTGTGCCCAGTGTGCCACCTTCAACCCCTTCGATATCGCTTCCGGCATCATCACCAGAGATGCTAGAAACTCGTAGCTTTCGCTTCCGAAGTTTTCGGGCTGCGGGTGTACCGGGGCCGGGGTATGCCGCAAACCACTCTTGTTCAGAAAGGAGTTTGTGATTGTGCACGATGGATTGGATGCAGCCCAGGATGTTGAGCATGTAATGTTTGTCAATCCACCCAACTGATGACACAATTGGTCGGGGTGTAACGTCTGCGTTACAATGTCAAGCACGAGGCCATGCAAAACATCAACACCGTACCTAGAACGGTTTGCACGAGTTGTGCAGTCTCGTCTTGTTGAAGATCATTCCAGAAAACCCAGTGTGCAGGGTGCATGGGATTGTAGAAGACGGCTAGCGCAGCCAGGGCGGAGACACGAACGTCATCGGGAAGAGAGGGGCTGGCAGGGGCTGCAGTCTCAGCCGCCGCGAGAAACTGACGTACGGGTGGATATTGACCAGTTAAGACTCCATCTGGGAGGACGCCCGGCGTCACTTCAGCAGATTGGGTGTAGATGGGCAGGCGGGGTGCGGGAGCAGTCCGAGAGAGTATGTGAAGCGGATCGTAACGTACAGTTTCCCTGTGTTTTGCGGGACGCACTGAGGGAAGCTGACTGCCCTCAGCATAACTCCCAGGTCGTACTGCTGATATTGGTATCCTAGAATCAGATGGCACTGTACGATCAAGATCGAAGACAAGACTGGTGTGTTCGGCGATAGGTGTGACTGGGTATGCGGGGCTATTGCCTATCAAAACTGGAGGACTAGAGGGTTGGAAGGAGATGGGATGGAAAGGTATCTGGAACATATCGCCGGCGTTCAGTTTCTCAGTTCGATATGAATGGCGAGTAACTCGAAACGGGAAGTTGTGGGCACGTTTCGAGTACTGTTATGAGTGCCAGGCAGGAGGATGTAGGAAGGAGTGATCAGAATTAAGGGGAGTGTTCGGAGAGGTGCTGTGGATATGGGTAAGGGGCTTCAGAGAGGAGAGATTTTAACAAGTAGGGTAGGAGCAAAGATGTGAGCGGCAAGTGTTTCTGTACTGACCAGCAGGTGAGGCAGGGCATGCTCTAACCAGTTCCTGATTCGGATACCTTCGAGACAACGTGTAGCATTGCCGCATGAGCCCGCTTACCAGCCCATAGCAGGTACATCCGCATCATACTAATCCTTTCACTACTTGCCAGCAGCCTCGTTTCCAATGGTACACTAATGTGCATGAACTTGAGTCTTCGCGTTTCCTCTGTGGTCGTCGTGCGTCGCGTCCTGCACAGACTCAAGACACGGCTGGACCGGAGAGAACCAGGAACGCGGAGCGCGGAATCTATTTCGGACCAATTGGCCTCGCTTAACCTCGATCATGAATCTAATCTTATCCGGATCGACTCAATAGATCACGCACCCCTCATCTCCGGTCCGATGAGACATGATTTCCACTGACTTTCTCATTGGAGCAACTCCTAGTTACATTCAAGGTTACATTCAACAAGTCTTCCATAAAACTTTTAATGCCATACATGCGCTCGCATAGATTGCAAGAGATATCGGATATGCAAAGCCATGACCCCACCGGCACCATATCACTCAAGTTGTCCTCCACATACACTGTGATGGGCTAAGGGCGAGCCATACATGTATCATAAATTCGTACACTTATCAGAACACGCTATCGGAACATCTACTTTTTACCCATAGCACACGAGCATGGCATCACACGCACGAGCGATAGTCGAGGCGCAATACGGGCGCCCGCCTCCCATGGACTCCTCGCGGCCGCGCAACTGTCGGTGTTACCGTGCAACGACATCAGCGATAGCGACCAGAGCACGCCCATCACAGAAACGAGCCGATTTCACGTCGGGTGTGGTGTCGGAGGTAGGTCGTACTTTGATGTTATCACAGATCTCACAAGGCCAACATCAAGTCCCTCTGCGACTGTGACACTGAGTGCCCGCAGAACCAAGGCAGTGTCAATATCCGGGAGAGGCAAGAATCCAGGTAGCGCAGGTATAGGGAGCTCAGTCTATTGATGACACTTAGCACTTGAAACACCTACAAGGTAGCGAGAGCTCACGTATGATTGTTCGAGGTAGCCAACAATCCACGCGTACTCCTTCATGCACCGGGACCAGTGCCTCGCGTTCTTTGTCTTTTGGCTCACAGTCTCCATGGCCTCTGCTGTCCTCGGATTTATTGCCAGCTCAGGGGAAAGAAGTGCTTCAGGGTCAATGCAAAGAGATACATCTGTTAAGATAGCATGCGGAGAATCATAGAGCAAGAGCACGGCTGCTTCTTCATCGTAAGATAATATCCTGAGAAATTCTGTCATTGACATGATGTTGCTAAGAGCAAATACGTACCTGCCGGCCACGCGAACCTTGTGTCCAATGCACTCTACATTCAGTGAGTCAATCGTGAGAGTAACAGCGGGATCAGGCTGGGGCATTGATCATGAAACAATTGAGTGACAGTACTATGAAGAAGGAGGATGTCGTTTAAACGTTGTAATCCGCGATCTGTACTAGTACATGAACTTTTGAGCGCATGTTTGCTGTTGTTTAACGAGGGCTTTGGAATTCAATAAAGCCAAATAGATCCCGCGGACCCGAATCTCCTTGGTTACGGCTTCATACGTCATCACTTCCAGTCACTTCCTCCTCGATCTTTCAGATGCATGATGTCATCACCTATTCGTAGTGTTTTACTCGGCATCACAACGACAAAGGGCGGTGAAAGTGTGATCGACGGGCCAGAGGGACTTCATACAGTATAGGCTGCGACTGTGCATTGGTAATACTAAGTGTTACACGTGAAGCAACCCCACCTAGTATAGTTACTCTATTCGTACCACAGTTTGCGCATTTTTGTGGCCACTCGCGAATAAATATTCTAGGTGTGCATGAGAAGCATAGAATATACCCTGACTTACATTCAATCTTTTGTAATGAAGCATCTTGCAACGTTCTGCCCCTCTGCATCCGTTGTCTTTTATCCTTGAATACAACGGGATTTCTATTTTATACGTGCATATTTCCCCGAGATGACATTGCGGATGAAGCAATGAATGCGTCTATCTAGTCTCTCTCACGTGCACGTGGCTATCGAACCACCATTCCAAGTAAAGTCCAATATCTCTCAAAGAAGTATCGTGGTTCCATGGCGTTCAGAAGTGTGTAATAGTACCAATTCTATACGCCGCATCGTGCAGGTGCTCTGTGAAATCCTGTGGGGGATCGGAAGAAACGAAGCCTCGATTGCAGAAAGCTGGCCCCGTCATGCTAATTCGGATAGCCGCGGACGATGCATCAACCTGTAAATGGAAGACAGTTGATGCAGACCTCACCGGCTCACCCGGAGAATGCAAGTGCTTGCCCGGATTGAGTTTCTGGGAAGTTGCGTTTTAGCGGCCTTCATCAGCACAATCACACCGAGTACCGTTGCGGCGGTGCGGGGCTCTTGCGTTACCCCGTCCATTGAGTCGCAAGTGAGTTATATTCTTCAGAAAGCTAGGCTAACTCATGGGAGTCCGGCGGCATGTGGCGAGACTCGCCGTCAAAGTGTCAGCGCATGGTCGAAGTGATTCCATAGTCCCCGGAGGAACAAGGGGTTTTTGGTCACGATTATTCCCGGCCCAGTCGGGGCGGGTACGTTACAAGTCAGAATGAACATGATCAATAGCACCAACGTGATGTATACAGCATACGGCAGCGAGGACTGTGCAGCGAGAAATCGCCGGGTCTCCACTCTCTGAATATTGCTGAGGTGATACAGGATATCCTGAGTCACGTCAAGTTCGGGGGTCGAATATTGAATGACAACGAAAGGTTAGTAGGCGGCCTAGACGGAGATGCACATTTGTAACGTTCGCGATCGGTGGAGCGCATCGCTTTAGTTGGATAGTTCTGGGATACAAATACGAAACTGATCTATTTTGGGTTGCCCCGTTCCTGAAGTTCGTTGGCCATGCAGCCTCGCGCTCGGTTTACCTAAATGAGACCATAATGATAGTGTAGGGTTATCGGGGAGCTCTGCACGGTATAGCCAGCATTTACAAGAGTGTAGCAGCATGACATAGGTGCAGGCAGCACCTGCATATAATGCAGGGGAATGGAGTTTTGGACCATGATGGAATCCAGTAGGCACTTTAGCCTCTAGGTGGAGGCCGGCGCCTTGTATAATGGACCCTTGGCACTGGTGGCGGCCCTAAAAGTCCGAGAACCTTATCTACATAATTCTGCCACCAACCGCAATGCGTAGGGAGCCGTGGATCTGAATCAATCGAACATTGGAAGGGAGGGAATTCGAATATGCCGAGCCGTGGTTAAGTCTGAGTCTCAACGCGGATTTACGGCCATATGGAGGCCGGGGTTGAGGCGAATTATCGAACCAACCCACAGCCAGCTTGCATGGGGTGTTCCTGTATATATACGTATCACGGCACTTGCTGACTACCAAGGTGCAGCTCTCAACTGACGACTACGACGTGTGCTCACAGCGTGGTTGGAGTCAGGCGTGCACGCAAGACTCAACTGCAAGAGGAGCTGACCATGGAGGTAAAGCTACTGAAACTATCTACAGTAGATGATGTTCGACTGCGAATATCACTGTAAGCGAGGGGACGGAGGATGGAATCGCATGCTAGTAGTGTGTGGTACTAGGGTGGCTGTGGACATGCCAACTTGTGAGGGGACGACAAGGACGGGCAAGGGCTTGGGGAGGTGAACAAGAACTGCCCGGCAAAGGATTTGAAACAGATCTCGGGCGTCGGGCTATGTCAGACGCAACCGGAGGGGATAGAAACACAATAAAGGTAATAATAATAAATTATAATATGGAGATTTGTTGGTCGTTTGGCAAGGCACTTCCCGTTTGACCATTTCTGCTTCCGCCCAGTCGTCCCCTCGCAATTGAGCCAGGCCATTGTTGCGCTGGCCACTGCTTTCCCTCCTCCCACCACCACCTCTCTCGTCCACTAGACGCGGGGGACACATGGCCTCGACTTCCCTCAACTCCTCCTCCTCGTCTTCTGCATCTACCTCGTCCGCTAGACGGTATGTGCCCGGCTTCTCTAAGCGCCCCACCTAACTTACCTCTCGTCATCATAGCAGATGGACGCGTGAGCAGCTGCTAAAAAGCCTCGAGGTATATCCCTTCGACTATGTCTGTAATGTCAATGGGCATTGACATGTTATCTGCTTTAGATTCTCGGGCCCCTCTCCGCTCCCCTCCCTCCGCAGCTCCCACCATCTCCCCCGGCGTCTTGTCGGAGTTCCCCAGCTCCTCACTCGGCCAAACGCAAGCTAGATACTGCACCAGAGTCTACTTCTATAAAGCGCGTACGGCTCGCCAGTCCTCCCGAGAGGTCCCAGCGTCATCACCATCAGCACAACAACGCCCAACAGCCGTCGCCGTCGGCACGTAGGCCCGCAAATGCCGCGCAATCACTCAACTCCCGGTTGGAGCCATCGGAGGATGGCGAAGTACGCGAAGATGTTGACTCTTTCCCACTGAATGCCCAGGTCTCGCTTGAGCCCAACGCTGTTCCGGTTCGTCGGCCCCGCCGCGGTCGGCCTACTGTTCGAACATTCGACGAGCTTCACGACAAGTACCACCAGTATGGCCGGAAGCTGAAGTACTCCGGAGATGCTCGCCTTTGGTCAGCATATCCCCCGACCCACAAAGAGTATCGCCCCTTGGCCAACCCACCTCCCCCTGGTTCCTCATATTATCAGAATAGTGGCCTCATCGCGCGCCTTGAGCTGCTCGATGCCCTTCTTTGCTTCACATACGCGATGTGGATGAAAGATTTTATTCGACAATCCTGCTTTCACGAGACGTGGTCTACTATTGACGCATTCCTGGGGTGGTGCATGGCGAAGTGGGAAACTGCAGATGTCCATGGCGAGCAAGAGAAAGCGTTACTTGGACTGATGTAAGCTATTTTCTATCCTGAGGAGGGCTGTTAACGCATATCCACCGGCTTTAGCTTCATGATCCAAGCATTTATCCATTCACGGAAGCTCGTATATGCAAACCGCCGATCCGTCGACCCCGAAATGCGTCGGCTATGGGATCAGCTGAAGGCTGACATGGTTGACCTCGGTCAGGCTGCTGTGAGGGATGAATCCAAGGTGAACTCTGGTCAGCACGGCCTCGGACTCCAATCCACGCCACCTATGCTCCCATCTCCTGCTAGTCTGCCGCCGAACAGCGCAAACTCTACACCCATCAATAATAGCACAGGTGGTACCCCCAACACATTCTCAAATAATATCAGCACTTCCGCAACAGCAGCTACTGCCAACTCAACGCCACCAATACAATATGATGCTCTTTCCCAGCTCATCGTGGATGAAATCAAGAAGCCACTCGGATTTGAGCCCAAGCAACATATTCCACCTGTCATGGTCAACGCTGCAGCAAAGGCTTCTACCCCCATCGGCCCGTCATTCGCGTTTTCCCTTGTGCAACAATCCGAAGGGATACGGCAGGCTTCAAATTGCATGATCCATTCTCAAAAATACCTCACCCTGTCTGTGTTGGCTGAGCACTATCCCACCACTCTCGCGCGGATGCTCAAGTCTAGCTTGTCTGCCCACGAAGAGTATGAACCTGACTTGGAAGACGAAGAAGGAGAACTGTTCTGGCCTGGTCAATGCATAACTGGCGAAGGGCTAGGATGGGTTTGCCTCATGGGCAAGGCAATGGTCCAAGAAATTGGACGTGGCATAGGATACAAGGGCGTCGAGGGAGTCGTTCCGAAACCGAACCCACCCGTTGGTGAGGCAGGCTCTGCTCAACGGTAGCCTATCACTTTGGACTTCACTCAGAGGTCGTATAACTCTGCGTTATTCGCGGTCGCTTGCTTCGCAGCAGCACCTTGGGGAATGCAGATGGTAGGGCCATGGACATGATTCCCGACTGCCTCTACGCAAGCAGATAATTTCTTGCTTTCTGAAGGGTCTAGCATTTTCATTACTCGGGTCTTGCGTTGCTTTGGGCTCTCGAGGATCATGCTATCCCTTGCTATTCCCTTCGACACCGTCAGTAACAAGCATTAACAACCGTCCACTCGTTCCTTGCCGTCGCTAAGGAGATCCTGTTCGATCCCTACCGCTGAGGACACTGGCTCAATCGTACTTACGTAACCTAGCATCAAACCATCACCGACTAGGCTCATCCTGTCCGTGTCGACTCATCCCGCAACCCCCCACAACCCACTTTGGAGGCAATACCCGGCTTACCAGTGCTTCGCGCTCTAATCTCACCCCATCAGGATTTTGGTTAATTTTATCATCTTAATCTTGACCCGACACTATTTAACATACATTTATCCACCCTCTGGACATTGCCATCATGCGTATCTGCCAACCCTTGACCAACTCAACTCATGTTGGGTCGTCTTTAGCGCAGTCCCCATCCCGCCAGCATAGATATTGGAAGCCAAGCTGCTACTATAACCTGTCGATTCCTTCAGCCGGGACTCACTCTTCTGCCAAACCCCATGAACGGGATATTCCAACAATCTGTGACATGTACTTCTAGATCCTCGTCCCCCGTCCCTCTGTCCTGTTTCGTCTATCTGTTGCTCATTTGTACCGTTTATTCGCCTCGACTAGTAGCCCACTCTCAAGCGGCATTGGTAGGATTGCATGGAATTTACATTTTTTTCTTTCATTCTTCATTCGCTGTTTATACTTCACTCGTTGTTTATAGTTTAATCTGGAACATACTTCATTGACTGCTTGTCGTAACCACTGTCACTCCGTTCGTTGAATCACTGCGGCACGGCTAGAAGTTGGTGCCCAGTGTCGCTTTGCGCCAACTTGTGGCTCTGCGTCACTGTTTATTGAAGTCGTCCACTGTACAGTATTATAGAGGATACAACAAGTAAATAGATATCTGTCTCTGTCTGCAGCCTACGAATCGATTTTTGGTGTAAGCTTTCGATCGCTCAATGAGTGACTAATTTATACGTATGTTCCGTTGGGAGTCAGGCAACGTGTGCGTGAATATCGTTGCCTTGTGCGGTTGCTCATTTGGTCATTACACAACGGCGGGTAGCGGAAGGTAGCGGAAGTCAGGCTCATAAATGGACAGATCCTGACGGCGGGCAAGTGCAACAGCCAAGCTTAAGCCTTCTGCTGCCGTTTTGAACGACAGTGCACAAAGTTATACACCACTAGACTATCGCAGACTCGGAGTCGGCAGATGGCTGGGACCACGATGCGACACCCGTTCAGCATGACTCGCCACGATGACCGTTAACAGATAAGTCTAAGCCGTGTCCTCCACGTGGCTCAACCTTCCTCGCTGCCTCTTGCTGGGCTCGGTTGGGTGAGTTTACGCTTCTTTTCATCCCCTGAGTGACTGAACATCCGCCCTCTCGTCCTCCTTGCAAAAACACGTTGTAGCCTCCCTGAAATGGCTGTACTCGCTTCTTACGCATGGAGAACAGGTGTTGCACCCACTCTTAACCCCACTCAATTTCTTGTCGCGAGAGTTCCCCTTCTCATACCAATCAAGTTTCCTGTAGATTCACGATGACAAGAGAAGCCGTTTATTGTTTGGTCAGCATGCCCTTCTGGAACGCCGCTCTTTTTGACCGCTACTACTGTAGATATCAGGCTGTATACCAGGCGCTGGCATAGCACTCCTTGACGTTTTTGGCTACGACTACGACCCAGATCCTCTAGTCATAGAAGCTATCGCGGACATCGTGACGGACGACGAAATAGCGGGGATGGACGATGTCACGGTCGTCGGTGAGGCACTCACTTTTGACCACAGATTGCCATTGAGCTTTACTTCACAGGTGCTATCGACGAAGACGGCAAACCTACCCACCGCGGTCAGGTCACCAAAGAGGATGCTTTGGGTGTCGATGACTTCGATCTTCGAGCTATCCCAGGCTGCAGACCAGGAGCCGGATTCTACTCTGGGTCGGTTGATGGCCCGGCAGACAACCGTATAGCATATCCTGTGGCTCATGGGACGAACATAATGGTTCAAAGCTGTTCTCTTCTCATCTTACGGTTGGCTACTCAGAACAGGGTAACCGTCAAGCGTCTCTGGAGGCTCGCGATGTTCCAAGGCAGGTCCATGCGTCATGGCCAAGTGGGACTTGACAAAGTGGATTATGGAGAAATCCAAGGGTCACAGAAGCTTTGGCCTCTTCCTCTCCCGGGAATGTCTCACGAAGCTTTCTTGTCTCTGGCATATCTGAGGAACAAGCGTCTTATACGAGATACGATTATCCACCGAGGTCGATATTGGATATGGATGCGACCGGACAGGTGAGCCCGCCGCCTTCCAACGGTATAATCTAATTTACATGTAACGTAACGAAGATTTCCGTTTGAACATGACTCCAAGTTTTCCACCCCTCCTTCCGTCCTTTCAGCGCCGCTTACTTCTATCTCAAAGACAAAGCTCGAGTGCCTTCCATTTGAGCTTATCTCTATGATTGCGTCATATACCCCGTTTCCTACTCTGTTGGTACTGGCTGCTTCAAGTCGAAGTTTGAGATTCAAGCTTCTTGCATTTGAAGTCGACCGCAATACGCTGGCACATACGTGGATGCGGAGAAGTGCCCCATGGTTTTGCCCTGTATCACAACACGAGCCTTATAAGCCCTCGCCCATACCTGATAGCTGGCAGTACCTCGCAAGGTGTTTCCACAGTGGGTCCATGCGGAATAGGAAGCGCATATGGAAGATTGCTGAGCAGATCGAGGACTTGGCTGATGGATGTGGCGTTTGAGTAGTTTAAAGCCTCATAGTATTGGTAGTTTGCCTGCGAGCTTAGTGTACTAGCGGATATATACTTCTTTGTCATTCCCCGTCGACCTTTCTGGAACTTCCCGAGAAGATGGTACATAATTCAGGGGCCGGGTCATCGAGGCAAAGTAGGAAGGTGGATCATCGGAGAGCATTAACTGCGCGGCTGCAAGCAATGTTGATGGCGATAACGCATTGCTACGCGAGTGCAATTCGCATCATGTAGTGGAGTACTTGACTACGCAGAGCAGGGACGCGTGCATGGATTGGGTACGATGGTACATGAAAACATGGGGGTCATAGGAAGGATAAGAGAATAAAGAAAACAGCAGACTGATGGCCCACACGCAAGTAGCACGAATCCCAATCCCGAAACGTGGAAGTCCGTTCCAAAGCGTATTTCACCGGTTAGACTTAGCGACACGCTCCAGCTCATCCTTTTTCTGTGTGAAGAGTCAGCACGGATTACTGCTGCGTTCAGCGAGAGTATCTACCTTGATGGCATATGAGTTGGAGGACCCCTTAGCAGCGTTGATAAGCTCGTCGGCGAGACACTCCGCGATCGATTTCACGTTCCGGAAAGCACTCTCGCGAGTCTACATAGAAAATTGGAGAGTTAATTGACAACATCCCATGACCCAAACAAGACCGCTTACGCCAATGGTAAGGAGGGCGATCGACTGATTCACCCGGCGGAGTGGCGAGACATCAACAGCCTGACGGCGAACGGTACCCTGAGAGCCGATGCGGGTGGAATCTTCGCGAGGACCGGTGTTAACGATAGCATCAACAAGAACTTGGATCGGGTTCTGGTCCGTGAGCAGATGAATGATCTCGAAAGCATGCGCAACAATGCGGACGGCCATGAGTTTCTTGCCGTTGTTGCGACCCTTCATCATCAAGCTAAACACGCCCATAAGATATGTATGTGGGAGGAAGGAATGATGATGCACACCTGTCTACGAGACGTTCAACAATAGGCATCTGGGCCTTTTTGAACTGCTTCTTGGCATACCGACCGGCAGTGTGTGGCAGATAGACGGCGTGGCGAACTTGAATGTAGTCGGTGAGGGAGATGTCCTTAACCTCGACACTACGACAACCAACATCAGCGTACTTCGTCGATTCAGGAACATATGCTACATACTCTTGCGTGTCCCACTTTCCGAAGAGCTTGATTTCCTGGCCGAGCTTAGAGACGTCTTTTGGGAGCGTGGTAGTAGCCATCGTTGGGTAGGCGGGTCTTGACAGTCTTGAAGTCGAGGGGAGCGTCCTAATATTGACCTGTGTTCTGCGTCTGCCGGTGTCGCTGATGTTTGGCGCTGTTTCCTGCCGGAAGATTAGAGTTTGGAAGAGTACGGATTAATCCGAAAACTATGCAGACGCCTCGGCATCTCTTATCGTCGTATGCCGGAGCGACCATCTCATAAGCTGCAGTTATCCTACCGCAATTAGTGCTAGGAGGAATTCTGCTTGATGATATAGTCCAGAAAAACTGCTAAATTTATCGTGGAAGGCGTAATATGAACTACATAATGTATCTCAGGTATGAGTGTCCCGTGCCTCCGGAAGCCGCAAAACAGTGAAGTAAAAGCGGCACACAAAAACAAAATGATTAGAGTGAGATTCGAACTCACGCCCCCGAAGAGACCAGATCCTTAGTCTGGCGCCTTAGACCGCTCGGCCATCTAACCGACGAATTAAGCGCCCATAAATTGGATATATATACAGCAAGCTCTACCTTCACATTAACATCCTCCGGTGACGCAAAATGGCGTGCCATCCACATATGCTTGCTCCGTCCGATACCCGAGTTGTTACCCCAGAGGCGAGAAGGGTGGGCGAGCAAGCGCTTATAATCTACTCTAAAATCTTTGACGCGTTCTCTACAGCTCTCTTACTGTCTTCCACGGTCATAGACTTCTTGGGAGGTCCGCGGTTCACAGCACCATGGCTTCCTCTGGACGAAGTACACCAGTACTTTATGGATCTACTGATGTGCATTCCTCATTGCCGAAGAGTCCGGACCATACTGAAGACATTGAAGATGATACCCAACTGAGAGAAGAATCTCATAAACTACACCGTGGGCTATCTGCTAGACAGGTGCAGATGATAGCGATAGCAGGCACTATTGGAACTGGTCTCTTCCTCGGCACCGGTCGCTCTCTTGCACAAGGCGGGCCAGCCGCCATGCTGATCTGCTATGCTGTTGTCGCCTGCGTGGTATACATTACACTTTTATTGCTGGGAGAAATGGCTACGCAATACCCTGTTGCTGGTAAGTCACTTCGCCCGAATTCGATGCATAGGCAATTGTGATCGCTGAAGCACAAATGGCTGTTTTATTTGTTGAACTACGTTAGGATCATTCAATGCATACGCGACACGCTTCTTCTCTCCTTCATACGGATTTGCGCTCTCTTGGAATTATTGGTTCAATGATGCCGTGTCTCTTGCTTCAGACCTCACCGCTGCCCAGCTTGTCTTACAATTCTGGACAACATGGAATCCCTGGGTTGTTTCTCTCCTATTCTGGGTTTTTCTCGTGTCAGTCAACGCGATCCATGTTCGGGCCTATGGCGAACTCGGTGTGTTTGACAAAAGCAACGTATCCATTATCCTCTAAGCCTTACCTCTTCAGAGTATTGGTTGTCCTTCCTTAAGGTCGCCACCATAATTGTCTTCATCATCGTCGGTATTCTCGTGAATGTTGGCGTCAACACTTCTCATCAGTACATTGGCTCTCAATACTGGCGCATCCCTGGGGCTCCCTTCGTTGGCGGTTTTGGAGGATTCGCCAATGTTTTCGTCACCGCTAGCTTTGCTTGTATGTAGTCCTACAGGTTCATCATGAGTTTGGGTGTGCTCAACGAAGGCTGTAGATGGCGGCACAGAGAGTCTAGGTATTACAGCTGGAGAAACCAAGAATCCGTCACGAAATATGCCCCGCGTGGTCAAATTTGTTTTTTGGCGGTGAGTTATACAGTCAGTCCATATACCTTTACTGGTTTTCATTGTTTTCTTAGTATCCTGCTTTTCTATATCATTTCTATCTTGCTCATTGGGCTCAATGGTCAGTGACATTTCCAAGACAATGGGCATTCTCATGTGAAGTATGCAATCCATACTAACGCCTTTGTAAACTTTTAGTACCCTTTGATTATCCCGGGCTGTCTAATAAATCCACGACAACTTCGCCTTTTACAATAGTTTTCTCCCAAGCTGGATCGAGTGCGTGTACCATTTATTGACTTCGTGTTGTCCAATTGTTCAACACGTGTACTTCCTGATAGCGGTTGCCGCCTCCTTTATGAACACCGTCATCCTTACCTCTGTCCTTTCCGGTGGCAACCACGCCCTTTTCGCCGGGACTCGTGTCCTCCATTCGCTCGCATCCGTTCGGCCTCAGGGACAGGCACCGCGGCTCTTCTCGCGCACCACGAAGAGTGGTATTCCGGTTTATGCACTCCTTGCTACAAGTAGTATCGGTGTCCTCTGCTTTGGAAGTAGCTTTATAGGTGGAGGTGAGCTGTGGGGATGGTTGCAGAACCTTGTTGGCGTTTCAAATCAAGTGAGATAAAGTGGCCAAAGTTGTTCATGCATTTATCAACGCCTCACCATTCATTGTAGATCGCCTGGCTGTCAATTGGTATAGCAAGCTTACGTTGGCGCAAGGCTTGGGTACAACAGGAGCGCCCCCTTGACGAAATCAAGTTCAGAGCGACTTGGACATGGCCCTGGGGTCCCTATTTTGTGGTGAGTCAGATCTAAGCTGTAGCATTGTGCTTTCTTCTCACACATTGGTTTTCTTGCAGATCGTTACGGTCATTGCTCTCATCTTAAGCAAGTGTTCACAGAACTTAAACAACGACGAACCATTGACCACTACCCTGTCTTTGTACAGTCCAAGGATGGTCATCTATCCACCCCTTCAACGCCGTCACATTCGTGTCATTTTACATTGAGATTCCCATCATGATTGTCATGTACTCGGGATGGATACTTATTGCTCGACCTGGCTCGCAGTCAACCCAGACTCCAGGTCATACCCTAAATTCTTCTTCATCCGGAGCCGACCATCCGACAGCGCCTTCAAATATCCCCATACCCTCAAAGCAATGGTTCTCCACCGACTTGGTAAACATAAACACCGTAAATTTGTACGCTGATGAGTATCGTGAGGAACCTGACGATGAGGAGGAGAATGCCTTGATGCAGAAGCGAACGGAAGGTAAAATGGGCTGGGCTTGGAAAATGTTCTACCTGGTTGCATAATAGCTACAACTATCTATAATCTAAAGCCTATAACATCGTGGATTATAATGTCACAGATCTGCAGAGCTATTTTTGCATAGTTTTGTATGAGTGAGGTCGATGGTCCAATGTATGTGGCTGCGCATGTGTGCTCATTCTCCCCTGCTTGCTCGAGGTGAACTTCGATATACTTACTTTGGACACCACTTGAAGATCAAGTGCATTTGTGGAGCTTTACTTTGACCCCTCTTGTTCGCCAAGAATCCATGGCCTCATTTGCAAAGTCGAAGCTCAAGGCTGCCAGAGATGCGATCGCGAAGAAGGATTTCGGTCTAGCGCACGATGCAGCGACCCAAGTGCTCGATTATGAACCGGAAAATTACAATGCGTGTGTGCTCTGCACCCTGTAGATGAAGGGTTCATCATGTTTCACGCCCTTCGTATTGCAGGCATGTATTCCTTGGGTTAGCGTGCTTGGAGCTTGGAGAACATAAGAAGAGTGAACAGGTCCGTCGTTGAACCATGAATGCAACAATGAGGACCAATCACCCGTGTCATAGATGTACAGGAAAGCGATCGCTCTCAAGGATGACCAGCTTCTTGCATGGCAGGTATCGTTGCTATCTCCTATACGTCTTCCGAGACTTCAACTCAGGGTGACTCTAGGGCCTGTCCAAGCTGTATGAGCGTACGGAACAATGGAGTAGCTACGTGCAAACGCTCCAGCAGTTGATGCACATGTTCAGCAAAGGGCTGAACGCAGACACCATCAAGTGCGGAGAAACCTACTCAAAAGTAATCATTGCCCTGAAAGAACATGGGTCTCGTCCTGAAGTAATTGGAGCATTGTCACTCCTCCTTCCTTCATCCCCGTTTTACTCTACACTATCAGCGATACCTCCCCCTGACCCCAGCAATCCAGCAGCGTCACCTTCGTACGCGTTTCCATGGCCAGACTCACTTGAATTGTATGATTCGTTGATTGAACTCCTTGAGAAGGAGGAGGAATCGACGTTCAAGTCAGAATTCGATAAACGTCGTACCCGACTTGGCGCGTCGCCCCCAGAGGAGCTCAAGAAAGAAATCGGACAAGAGATTTGGTCTTCTTCACAAGCGAGTCTTCCACTTATGTTGAGATTAGGCTACTGAGAATTTGCAGTTACCGTCATTGTACAATGAAGTTTTAAATCACCCTCAAACGTCGGATGGCCATCGACGAGAGACAGAGTCGAAGTTGATACGGTTCCTTGAGCGATTGGTCATAGCTCTTCCATCATCCACTGAGGAGAAGGCCCGTTTGCGCTCGGAGCTCGATGGGCTTGTCCAGGGGGTAGTCAGCATCGGCATACCTGATGAATACGCTTGGGAATTATATATGGAAGGAAATGATTATCTGCAGATAGGTCGGTCGTTTTATTTTCAGCGACTTGAATTCGTCATACCACTGACTATCGCACCCCCTCTAGAGGATATAGGATTACCTCAGCTGCGTCAATTCATCTCCCTCTTCCATAGCTCTAGCTTGGCGCGAGTGATACGAGCATATCTGGTATACGTTGGTCTATCCCCCGACGAAGAAAACTCGGAAGGGTATGAAGAAGAGGACGACCCTTATGACGTGGTCCTTGTACGTCTTGCCTCCTCTCTTTATTCATCAGATGTGAAACGTCTGATTTTAGGAAGTGCTTCCTATTCTTCCAAAATCTCTCCTTGTCGCTCGCACCGCGATCTACATTCACTTGACCGAGGCCCGCCGGTCTTCTCTTGATTATGTCACTGCTTCTGCAGAATACACAAACACTGTCAAAATTGCTGAAACAGCCCTTGCCTTGCTCTCAAAGCGAGAAAAAGAAGCGGGTGTGGCCATGTCACAGTCAGTCCTCTAACCTCCCGAGGTTTCCAGCTGCTGAGTCCAGTTTCAAGATGTCGTCAATCGTTGGAAGAGTGTCTATCTTGGGCACTCGTGCACCTTCATCCTCCTCGTCACCATCCCCGAGCAATACATCTTGTTGAGGCTGCACTGGCTCAGAATGCTCAAAGGAGCCGCAGCTTAATTACTAAGGGCTACATCATGCAGAACGCTTCTCGTTGGCAAGAAGCAGCAGGTTTCTTTGAAAGTTCTATCGAGTCATTGAAAACCGAACAGAAAGGCGTCGACAACGCAGGTGGGATTCCAGAAGATCTGGCAAGCCGCAAAGCCAGAGTCATCCAGGACAACACGCTGTTAGCAGAAGAAGAATACTCTTGGTGTGTCAGCCGTCTTGAAGGTAGAATTGTCGAAGGCCTCGCTGGTTTGCAAAGTGTCAAGGCGACACTTGAGGGGTTGCATGAAAAAGATTCGTCTCATGCCGAAGACATAGCACGCTGCGTATGGAGGATTGGCGAATGCAATTGGGCCAACGGCGGTATGTTCGCAGCTGTTTTTTGATACTTTATATAAGATAGTTCTTACCATGATCGACATCCCTTGTGTAGATGCTGAAGCTGCCTACGCTTCGTTCATCGCCTGCCTCAAATCTGCAACGAACTATGCACCTGCATATACTTCCCTCGGAATATATTACTCTACACCAAAATCAGATGGGGCTATGGATGCCACGCGTGCTAATAAGTGCTTCCAAAAAGCTTTCGAACTCGACCCACGAGAGGTGGATGCCGCGCGACGTCTTGCAGAAGGATTTGCAAATGAACAAGAATGGGACCTAGTTGAAGTGATAGCGCGACGCACAATTGAAGGCGAAGGAGGGACAACGGACGCAGGAGGGACAACTGCAGGAGCCATAGGCCGGTATGTGCCAATGAATACCTGGGCATGGAAGGCGTTAGGGATTGTAGAGCTCGTGAGCAGAATTTTGTTCGCCTAGTATGATCTTGACTTGGTCCTTTCAGACTCGCAGAAGATACTCGCAGGCTGTCCAGGCTTTGCAGGTAGCCCTTCGTGTAGATGCGAATGACCAGCTTTCCTGGGTGCGCCTGGGTGAAGCCTACAGTCGAGCCGGCAAACATGTTGCTGCTCTCAAAGCCCTGTCTCGTGCTCAAGAACTTGACCCTGCCGACTGGGTCTGTACGTTTTTTATTGGCGAGGTTCAGAGAGAAATGGGACTTTTCCCTGAAGCATTGGCATCGCTTCAGAAGATTCTGGATACGCGTCCCGCTGAGTTAGGTGCTTTGATAGCGTTGGCTCAAACACAGCTGGACCAATCGAGGCAGGAGCTTGTGAGGGGTTTTTCCCACAGAGCCGAGGATACTCTCGTCGCTTGCATACGGACCAGTTTATCTGCCGTACAGGCAGGGGCTAGCGCTGGCCACCGGGCGGTTTCATGGAAAATCGTTGCCGACGCGCTCTTCCTATTGGCGCAGTCGTCGCCGGTGTCGTTCATCGAGGTGACTCAAGTCAGAGATATACTGAGCAAGGTTACAACCATAGTGGGCCCAAATACACATACAAGCCCTCGGCTCTCCGCCATTTTCTCATTATCAACCCTCCCAGATGGCGCAGAACTAGCCGGCAGGCATGCTCTAGAAGTCGCTATTGCATCCTATGATTATAGGGTCATGCTGGGCTCAGCAGATGAAGCAGCGATAGGCAGCTCCTTATACGATCTGGCAATCGCTCTGTATACATGGACATACTCACTCCCTACGGATAATCGGGACAATGTATCAGGGATGGCTGCTTCCATCCTTGTGCAGGCACTGCGGAGGAACCCCATCGATGCTACTTACTGGATTGCCTTTGGTAACATCAACTTCGTCACAAAGCCCAAGAGCTCGCAACATGCCTATGTCAAAGCAATTGAGGTTGAGGGAAAGGTACGTTACTTTGTTCTCTGAAACCGTCATATTAAAGTCAATGAATGGCCAGAATGTCGTGGCATGGACAAATCTCGGCCTTTTATACCTCTACCACCACGACTTCGAGCTTGCAACCGAGGCATTGTACCGAGCTCAGGTTTTAGACCCTGACCATGCCTTAGCATGGGTTGGACAAGCCTTGTTAGCTACAGCAAAGGGGCACGAGGAAGATGCCCAGAACCTCTTGGAATACGCCACGAGCCTCACGGCTAACGAGGTGAGGAATTTTCGATATTGTCTCTGTCTGATATTAACATACCAAAGCCATCTGCAGATTTGGAGTTCGCATACCGCACCTTCCACTTATTTCCCTTACAGCCATTATCTCCCTCGCAGGATACAATATTCCCAGTCTATTTTGTCCTGGATCGTTATATCAAGCGGAGGCCCTCGGACCCATCGGCATTGCATCTACTCGGCCTCATATGCGAACGCATGGGCGATTTAGAACGAGCAGCTACAGTACTCAAGGAGTCCATCTCCCTTCTGGAAGCAGCATATGAGGAATCTGAGGACACATCAATCGAACGACAATTCACTATTGCGCATACGAATTATGCACGAGTCCGCTTGGCCCTGCAAGATGTTCAAGGAGCTCTTGAGTCTTCCCAAAACGCCTTGGGTTTGGTCCCAGAAGTTGACGAGAAAAATACTCGAGTGCTGCGAATTTCTGCGCGGATTGGATGTGGGCTGGCGTATTTTAGGTTGGGCCAACTTCAAGAAGCATTAGATGCTTTCCAGAGCGCCCTTCAAGATATAGGAGAAGATGTTGAATTGAAAGGACATGTGACTGTACTGCTCGCGCGTACGATGTGGGCAATTGAACCCAGCGCAGACTTTAGAGAGGGCGCAAAATCGTTGCTGCTCGAGTGGTAGGTGCTCGCCGTATTTCCGGGGGCGTATCTGACTAATTCTATTAGCATTGCAAACGACCCTGAAAACTTACTAGCAATTAGCACCCTTGCGGGCATGGGCATCTTAACCGATGACGACGGTCTGGTTGATGCAGCCCTTTCGGAAATGCTGTCACTTCCTATCGAGAAGAGACACGAACTAGACCCGGAGCGCAACGTCACCTATTTGCTCATTCAGCATGAAGTAGCACAGGTATGGAACATCACACTACGGTGACCGACATATCCGCTGAACTGATGGCAAGGGCAACGGGGAGAGAGCTTTGCAAGTCGCCCAAAAGGCACTGCATGACGAACCATCGAACGTGAGGGTCAGAGGCGAACTGGCCTTGCTTTTTATGCAGCACGATGCTCGACAATCGGCACTTTCACTGATACCTTCGGGAAGCTCTCTGGAGGAAGATCAGAAGATTCTGTGGCTTGCCGCAGTGGCTGAAGAGGGGGAAACAACTCTAAGAATAGCTCAAAAAGCAGTCATGCTTGGGCCTGGAGGGGTTGAAAATTGGCGTTCTCTGGCGTACGTGCGTGCATGTGTATAAGAGGTCGTATGAGTTGCTTGTACATGACTGGCTTGGAAAGATTGTAATATTCTGTGATGTAGCATGGGTTACAGCGGACAGAGCATTCAGTGGGGGTTGACCCGAAAAAAAACATAGCCATCATTATTGGACTCTTCACCGTTTGGCTTGATTGACGGCCTCTGCAACGGGTGATACATGAAGTCTGTTACATCATTGCGATTAATGCATCTTACCTCTTCGTGTCGCGTCTTCCAATAACTGCGTATCCACATGTTCAGCTGGTAGCTGGACATATCTTACAACTGATCCGCGGATAAAGCAGTTCTTGACAGCCATCTGGTATGAGTCCATAAGTCAATACAACCTACCCTGAATACGCCAAAGCTCCCACCATGTGAGGATGCCTTGCTTCATCGAGAACTGTGATGGAGTCTAGCCTAATGTTCAAAAACCTGTATTACTTGCTAGTCCCTTGAATACGCTCCAACTAGACCAACAATTGGAGACTGACTGGTCAACCGACTTCAAGACGCCTGTTATCGAAAGGTCATTTTTGAGTTCCACGGTGACCTGTTGATCCGTGAGGGTCTTGAAGACTGAAAAAATAAGCTGCCATAGAGTCAATGACTTCTCTTTAGGATATGGATCGTTGTAACTCACCATGGTAGTTCCAGAAGGAAAGAAAGCTGACGCCGCGTCTAGAATTAGGCAATGCGTCAACGCGTCAGTTGCCGATAGCGCATGAGCGAATTATTTGCACCCACACTGCAAACAATTCTTAATAATAGTGGCAACATTACTTGAAATTTATTTTAAAGATTAAGGTGAATGGGTTTCAATATATACTTAGTTCCTCATTACTTAATAGTTTTATGGAAGACAGGGCTGTTCAGCTGTCAGTAACAGGTACATTTCTTTCCTGTCTTTGATAACAATTTAAATAGTAAGGAACTAATTATTGAAATGTGTTCACCTTAATCTTTAAAATAAATTTCACGTATTAATGCCACTATTATTGAGAAATGTTTGCAGTGCCAGAGCTTGTTAACTGTTAACTGATTTCAATCTTAGATTCATCCGCCGATTACTTGATAGTGAGTTATAATATACATGAACGTTGGGCCTAGCAACTACTATCTCAGGGTTTCAACAAGATGTAACGAAACACGTAAATGGCGCGTAATTAATGCCCTTTTGTCTGTCTACAAATCTTCATTGAAGTCCGCGAGATCAAAACCACTGTAGAAATGCTATAGAGAACTAATGAGAAAATGGCTGAAAGTGTGCATGTCTGTATTTACCTTGTACAGACTCATTACCTTGACTACCCAAGCCTCTAGGTGGAAGATCTTCTTATTGCCTATTCGCATTCGTTGCTCCTGCAGGATGGATCGTTAGGTGTGGGCAAGCTGCGACTTGACACTCACTCACATAAAAAGCTGTCCAGTGCATTATGTCTCGCCTCAACCCGTTGTCCTCCACAGAGTCGACAATGGCATCTGCAACTGTCTGACTGGGTTTGTGAGCACAAGAGTTACCCACAGTTATATAACAATGACCTTCAAAATGATTGTTGGCGGGATACAATGACTCAAAAGCTCATACAATTTGCTTCGTACTTCCATGACCTGTGAAGGTGACTGGTCCTTGAGAATCAGCTGGGCGACCTTGCGACAATATGTTTCCCAGTCAGGTTTCGCAATCGATAGGGGACCCGATAGATCAGGTCTTCGTGGTTTCGAGTGAGGATGCAAGGAAGAGAAATTGACGTGCGAAGGACTCACGACTGCATCTTGAGAGCTTCAAACACCAGTAGTGCCTTTCGCATGTTGCCTCCAGATTCTTCAGCAATCTGCGACGAAGCTTCAGGTGGCATGTCAAATTTGAGCTTCTTGGCGACGTGCTCCAGAACGACTTGCATCTGTTTGTTCACGAGTGATGACTAGGTGCGACATCATTACAATGAGATATCCTACCTCCTCCGTTGTTGGCGCAGCAACACGCATGAGTAAACAACGGCTTTTTATAGGGGCAATAAGTCTGCTGGTACTGTTCGCGCATAATATGATCCGCATGTTTGACATGTACTTTTCCATAGTTCGTCTGAGAGCAGCCTGTGCATCCCGAGAAAGGGAGTCTGCTTCGTTGATGACAACAGCTAAATGACTAGGAGGTCAATGAGTGGTGAAAGTGCTGGCAGAAGGTTACTGACCTTTGAATCTTTGCCTCGCATTCAGATCGACTTGTTGCGTTTGTGCTATTTCCTTCAAGAGTTCCTGAATAACCAGTCGATCGTAGTTGCCGGCCTCGCTGGTGATAGTCAGCAAAAATTCGTGAATATCATATCACGGGCTTACCTAGGAGTGATTTCAATGTGGAAGTTGCTTTGAACGATATTGATTTCTAACTTCCGTTTGGATGGCGAGAGAAATACACGTTGGTCTATCTTGAGCTGAAATGCACAGGTATTCAATGGAGAGATCAGTTCCAAAGGCAAGGAAAGGCACCTTCTCTACGCCAGGACCAAACAGCTGCCTGAGAGTACAAGTTACTCTGGTCTTCTTGCCAGCCCCAGAGGGACCGTAAAACAGCATATGGGGAAAGTCTCCAGATGCAGCCTACAATATTCACGTCACAATGGGAATCGAGAAAATCATCTTGCAGACGTCCTGACCAGAGATTTGAGACGTGCTGACAAACTATGGTGGTAATGCAGATCATCTAAAGTCTTGGGCCGGAACTGCCAGTGTAAACAATGAAAACCAGGTAGCCGTCATCTCGTAAACTAACACACCTTATCTACCCACAAAGACATTCTCTTGATGCTGTGGCAGGCGATGAAAGTACGAGTGAGGTGATACACTTAGGACGTGACAAGGCACGAAGAACGTGGAGGCCCTCTGGTGATTCGCGCGCGCCAGGTCACGAAGTACGCTAGTGGCAACGGGACGCACGCGTTTCGTGATGATTCGTCGCGTTACGTCACGCGTTCTAGACGTCACGACAATTGACAGTTTTATCTAGTGACAAAGTACAAATCACCAGCTTGCTTCACGCCCAATCCACGCCCAACTTTCCACCGCATTGGGTCTTGCTATCAAGCCACATGATGTACACGCAGTGAATGAAATATATGATAAAATGGACCTCCGGCAAGGCTAGATCACATGCCGCTGACTTTACTAGTGGGGACCCCGCCACCACGCCGTACCTGCTGTACCTGCCGGACTGCGTCGCGGCTCGCGCATCACCAGACTTCCAGAATCAACGCTTTTCTGGCAAGTCCTTTCTTATAAGTGTTCCTCTCTTATAGCTTGGCGTTGTTGAATTTGTCCATGTCGAGACCAATTTCTTCTGCGATCAAAACAGCGGCCTTCTCCCCAATCAACAAGGCACTCGAGTAGGTATTCTGCAATTTTTTCATCAGTAAGAAAACCTCACTTATAGGTCAAGCATTGGTCAGGTGTGGACGTACGGCGGCCACGTTTGAGGGAGCAATGGATAGGTCTGCGCAGGCCGTAATTGCGATTAGGTTGTCAAACCTTCCCACTGGCATGCGGACGTACCTGCGACTTTAAGATTACTGATTTCATAAACGTTTAGGCGGGAGTCAACCACACCGCCTAGATCCCTGGGTTTCATCGCGCATGTCCCCAGCTATACGTTGAGTGAATCAGTTGCTTTTCTTATAATGCGTGCAGAGCGCCCACCGCATGCCTTGCACTGGTCACTGAAAGGGAATGCCAAATATCAACTCAGTCACAACAGTACGAACAACAACCACGACGATTTGTTTACCATGACCGCGGTGAAAAGCTTCAATTGCTTTGTTGTCTTCCTCACTATACACGATATCTGGAGCGTCGATGACCACTGGACCGCCAGTCTCCTTGCAGGCGGCTTGGCTGTTAGGCGGAAACACGGGCTGGCGTTGCTGAACTTCTCCACGGTACGCTGGCATACGACGGATCCACTCCCTCATCCGTTTGTAGGCGAGGCGCATCACTGCGACATCCAATGAGCTTCGTCGTATAGTACATCAGCAAATTATTTGCGCAGATACTATTGAACGACGAACTTGTCCAAGAATCCATCTATGAACCCGGGTGCTTGTGAAGGTTCTGTGCCCGAAGCGATGTGGACGCTCCCAGTAGCAAGAGGATAGCACTATGTGAATGTTGCGTGTTCCCACCAATGCGGCCACTGGTGTGGAGGCTTACTGAAAAGTAGCATGTACCGATGTACCTTCGTTTCGGAACACCATCGTAACCTCCCACAATCCTAAACCATCACATTCAGCGCGCTATCACCCAGGATTCCAGGCAATGAATCTTCACCCAGAACATGGCATTAAAAGGGCCATACACTTGTCTGGGTTTTGAGAAAATAGCTCTCGGTACCGCCGTTTGTAATCTGGGCCCAACTCTTCAAGATCCTGAGCGGTAGGTCGCATCTTCAATGCAACGTCCTGAGCGCTGTTGAAATACACTCATTAGCAACTATATTCAACTGATACCTATGGAAATTGCACTTGTGGGCGCATATGCCTGTTCCTTTTTTTCGCCATTGGTCAAGAAGTTCTAATGCTCCCTGAATGAATGTTTGATAGTCGCGAACTTAGAACGCACCATCTATTTCGACTGCACTACCTTGATAGAGCGGGTCTATAGTCTGGGAATTCTCGGCAGCATAATACGCGGGAAAGGCAATGGGATGATCTACGATGTCTGATGAGTAGCATGTATCATATGTGACAATCCTCACAAATGAACCCATGCCTTGCAGGTTCTCCCCGACACCAGGCAGATCTACGAACACCATTGCTCTCAAGTATGGCCGTTTGCCCTATTCCGGATCTCTCCAGGATAGCGGGCGATCCAAATGATCCTGCCGATACAACAACCAGTCGTTTTGCACGTGAGATGGAAAGCGTTCCAATGGGTTGTGCTTCGGCTTCTCCACACTCTACGCCTACTGCGCGCCCATTCCTACTGAAACATCACTAGTCATAAGGGTGCATGTAGCACGAAACGTACTCTATGATCACCCTTACCACCATCTTGCCTGTCATGACGCAAAGGTTCTTGTTGGTTTCTTGGCGATAGATGAAGGCATGCGCGGAATCTGAGCGCTTCCCTGTCTTGTCATCAATCCATCTAGGCCGTGGCAGAATCAGGAAATGTAGCCATATCTGATTGTGCAGTACGGCACGCACTTCGCCCAGCGCTTCAAGGGAAGGGGTCAAGCCAGTCGCTTCATCGTACACACATTGAGTGACGCACACTGTAAGCATTAGTGGTGTGCAAATCATTTGCATCGGGGACGACAGGGCGATCCGCATCGTAACTTTGGGCCACATCGATTGCTTGACGGCCTATGTCAGCATAAATACCACCAAAGGAAACTTTGAGCGGTCCAGAGGAGCCATGCGTGTTTCCATATCCGATTTGATAAGTTTCTGTCTGATTTTATTCTAGGTATGTGCAGCAGCTAAGAGAGCGGGCTGACCTTGCAAAGCAAAGGAATCAGATCGTTAGCGCCCCATCCTGGGTTTTTGTACTTCGTTTTCCAGTCATCGTAGTCTGAGGCACAGGCTCTTGTGTACATCATGACTGCAAAGGTATCCGATGGGATTGCCAGATAGAAAAGGAAACCTCTTACAGTTGACACTAGACCCACCACCAACGCATTTACCACTTTGAGAGACAAGAGCGCGACCGCCAAGATGGGGGCTTTTCTCAGAGGTATGGTTCCAGATAGTTTGGCTTTCAGGGCCAATGTTCCTATTGAACCAGGCTGGGATGGTATGGTCTTCGAGATCTTTTGTATGCGGACCCGCTTCCAATATCAATATTCTGAGTAGGGGATCAGCGGCCGCCAAGCGCCCAGCTGTGACACATGAAGTCGCGCCACCTGGTTTGTCGTGACGAACACCTCGAATGAGTGAGAGTGAAGGCTCAAGGTGCACACTTACATACCTCCCGCAAAGATGATGTCAAACTCCATGTCAAGGAAGACTAGCAGAGTTATAAACAAGATATAGTGGGAAACGCCTGGTTGGACTCGTTATCGTCAAGGGATTCAAATAAAGGTTGGTTTGCCACGGTGAAGCCTTGCGATTGGGCCAGTACTCGATATGGTGACGCACCTGACCATCGCGGACCACTCATCAAGAAATGTAGACATTGATAAACTAGACGCTTCTGGTCCACGGTCTGATAATCAAACGGAAGCTATTTGAGCCACCATACGACGAGAAGGACCGGTGCCTGTCATCATGATCTGAAAGCATTCACGGGAAGCTATGAGAAGGGTCATCAATCTATTTTGCCCAAATGCGAGCTGCTAAAGGAGGCAGAGCACGTTTGGCTTAGCCCTGATCAATTCTTGCTTTTCCATGATGACGTCAGGGTCAGACTGCAAGGCTAGCTTGAGTCCGATTGGGATGGCGTTTGGTGAATTACCATAGACATGGCGAGTGCATGCCGTGCATGGCCTTGTTGTAGTTGTCGTAAAGGCTCGAGGGCAAGTGTGTCAGAGATGCCAATTATTGAGTAGCATGCACGAAGCCTATCAGAGTGGAAAGCTGATGTGGACACCTGGCGGTCCCGGCCATGATTAATCGATTGCCCATTTCATGACGTGGGCACTGGCACTGAGACGTGGTTGAGACTAAAGCAAACTCCATGTGAGGGCTGATTTTGAAGTTATTAAGGTGACACTCTTCTAGTGTGAGAATCGCCCAGCAGAAAGCTTCATGAAAGCCAAGGGACAAAGCTAGAAGTGAACGGTGTTGTAGACTTCAATGTGAAGCCGCATGAGCAACTTCAAGGACAAGCCTAGAATCTTTTGCCGAAAAGGGAGCGCGTCGGGGGATGCGATATCGGAAGCCGGAAGATGAGGACATATTCACTGCATACAGGGTCCGGGATATACAGTACAAGCACTTGAGAGTTGTTCATGCATTCCCTCTTCGGCGCCTGCCAGCGTGGTTCGACAACATTCACCCTCTCTTGCACACATCGGTGACCCTGTCTTACTGTCGAACTTCACACTCACCACGCCTTCTTCTCAGTTGGTGCACTATATTGTCCTGACCACTTTCCTCATCCCCTCGCACTCACTGGTCTTGTGTCACGAATTCTCTCGTGGACAGATCTTTGTAGCGTAGGATCACCAAGTAAGCAAGCGCTGTTTTCACTCAGTACTCAATGCTCATGCTCAAGCCTATGAACACCTGTACCCCAGTCATACCCGTCCTTGAGCTTGGCAGCCAAGATTCCACCTTCCTATCAACTCATCGTTATAACTATGATGAGTGTAGTCTCAGCTCCGTCAGCGGCCCATGGGTCTGTACGGCGCAAGCCTCAGTTTACATACCCATCACCTACTGCCCATGTCACCTCATTACGCATCGAGGTCTCCGCCACCGTGACCTCCACAGGGAAGCTCTCCTCTCGGCAAGTACGTCCGAACGTGGCCAAGGTATCTTCCTCCTCCACCAGCCCAGCATCTGCCGCTTCTACATCTACGCCTCTCAATGACAAACTCGAGAAGCGAAACAAGACGCTTATGGGTCCACCTCTCCCCCTTTATCATCCCCTTGGTCGACTCGCGACTTCTTTGCCGGATTTGGATCCAACCGCGTTCGGGTTGCCTGTTCATCCGAATATGAGCGATGACCCATCGCGTCGCTTCCCTAGTCATTCGCGTCGACCAGCTTCAAGGCTTCGCGACGTAGCTGAGGACGAGGGTTCCTCTCAGGTTGTCGACGCGGTGCCAGTGGAGTCCTTTGAACTGAAAGACAAGCCCAGTCCTCGCAAGAGGCGCGCTGCCGGCGGTGCTGCTGCGAAGCGAAAGCGCAAAGACGTAGACGACGGCGATGCGACGTATCCTGCAAAGCGTTCTCGCAATCCTCGCGCGGCCGCGAGTGCCCATGCCAATCAAACCCCGGTGTCCGAGGCATCTCCGCCTAATTCCGCCAATCGTCCAGCCTCACCCCCTGACGACGACGCGGACGGCGCGGACGGCGCGGACGATAATAAAAAACCGGAACGGAGAACCACCAGATCACGTGCCAACCTCGCGCGCCGAGATTCCGTCGGGAGCGACGCGACCGTCACATCCGCCTCGGTCTCAATTGCTGCCACAACCACTCTACTCGACTATGGGATTGACGGAAGCCAGCCACCTACCTCGAGCCTTGCAGAAGGTGACGCAGGTATCGACGATACTGCGAAATCGATTGCCCAATCTACGGGTGACATCACCACGAAGGAATAGCCTCTTCTGTATCCCCTTCGGCAGCGGCATCACCTCAAATGTATCCTTGTATTATTTCTAGTACCCGCTTCCGGCTCCCTTTTTGTAGTGTTTCGCTCCTGTCTATATCACGATATCCCCCTCACCGTCAGCACTATGTATCCTCTACGACATTGATCAACTGCCGTTCAGTAACTTATAACTATGCAGTTCGTATTTATTCTTGGCTTGGATACGCACTACCTTGGTTGGCTGCAATGAAAGAGAAGTTCAATAGAAGACTGAGTGCTGAGTGCCCAAGGGGCTAAGCAATACGGTTCGTATGCATGAGCTTCTGCACGCCTCAATATTTATTCGCAAGGCCTTTCCAAGTCATAGCATACTACGCCACCCTAATTACTTGAGTACTGAGTTCGCAATGAGTTCGCAATGAAGCACCAGCGACGGAATCAGAAGTCTGAATACTCGTATAATAAGTCTACGAAGGGTTTGACTGGCCAAAATCAGGTTTACGGGAATAGACGGGCTCACGCCAACTTGAAGGAAGTGTGGCAAGTCACTTGACTTCCGCCGGATCCATCCAGAAGGCCGGCGGACAGTCTGTTAGGAGTTGCAGACAAAGAACCAACCGTTGGCGGTAAAGATGCGTTCTTGAATATTCTTGATCTCATAGAGTATGCGATGTAATGTCGCCGCAGGTACAGTTGGAAATCTTTGTCAGAGTGATCACCAAGTAGTTTCCAGAACACGGTGTGAGCAGAATTCCAATGATATCTGGGAGATGCTTCTATGAATGTATTCGCGCGTTCTGAGCGCTTTGTTTCAGTTGGCACAATGACTCTGAGCATAGCTGATAGACACGTTCATATCTACTTACGCCACCATCATGCGCATTTGGTCGCCGTTACCGGTGAAGCACACCTGTAGAAGAAGAGCGGAACAAGTCCATGTGTTGTTTGCGATCCACTGCCAGGAGCTCTTGAAGCTAGATCTGTTGGTACTTGACGTTTCCATAAATACCCTGTCGTGGCATTCGCTCACGTTCCTAGTAACTTCACGAAAGAGCCACTTTCACACCAGCAACGGGTTACGATCTTTATGAACGGGAGCATGGGGGAAATAAAGAACGAAAGGATGCAGAACATTGGATTTCCTGGAGTCACATGGATCAAGTTGTTGTGATTGCCCCGAAATAAGTTACGTACGCCATCGGACCACAGACAACCCAGTACAGTAAAGAGTCGCATGAAGGAATAGAAGAAAGCTTGTTCGTGGAGTCGATTCATTCCTATCGGAAGAGAAGCTGGGGGGAAATCACTAGATTGCCGCCCCCGAATGGAAGAGTATACAGAACTTTATGCCATGTGATAATTCTGGATGTTGCAAATGCGATATATAGGGTCGACCAGAGCGGGATTCTCTCGCGCCAGCCGAGGGTATACAGACTGGTAGCCGGGAGCAAGTATATGTGGTCTTGGAGCAGAGGCCTAGAAAGTGACGAGCGACATATATGGATGGTGGGCATTACACCCGCGGGCTTTAAGGCAGATGTCACCGAGAGGCACAGGCAAGAGTCCGGAACACAAGACCTGCAAGCAAATTTTCGTGCATTGCATGATGCGTGATCCTCGAAATGAGCATGGTTTGGAGGTCGAGGTAGCCTAGGCCTAAGTGAGGACGGAGGTACTGTCAGGGACCTGTCGGGGACGACGACACAACGTCACATAAGTAGTTTTCGGGAAGCATGTGACTATAGTATGAACACATCCGCGACCGGATATCGGCAAGTGCAACCTTCGCTATAATCACAGGCCAAACAGAGACCCAGTGACTGTGGGGATGGTGGCTCTGAGCCACCTGAGCCCCGTACACATCGTTCTTCACAAAACTCGCATATGCGTTCACAAGTCGGTCATTCAGAGTCACACCTGACAAAGTCCTGACAAGCGTGGGTTCATGGAACGGGCTCCTAGTAGAGAACGGTTGAGAACAAACGTTCACTGCCAATCTGGCGACGAGCTTGAAGCTAAGTCTAGCTAAGTGGATCGATCACGTATCGCGATTCGAATAATCCAGGTTATTTGCGTCGGGGTGGACAAGATGGCCGCACCGAACTAGTAGTAAGGCGGGTCAAGGATGGATCTCTACATGTGGTTGTCAAGGTCAGTCCGTGCTTATGCCCTCTGATGTCTAATAAGTGCATTATAATCATTGATGATGAGAATCTTCTCACCACAGCCCCGACGATCGTAAGCAAGCGTCCACATGCATGGACTGACCTCAGACCATTGGACTGCACAGTCGTCGCTGCAGGATTTACTCCTTGCCCGTGCAAACGTGTAAACGTCTCACGGGCACGGTCCACTTCACGTTTGTATCTCCATTTAGAGCCTCTTCGTTGTGCGTCCCAACAAGTTCCAGCTGCCTAATATTAGGTACTGTACACAAACAGTTAGGGCACGTACATTTGCAGGTGACCATTGACATCTGCATCAGATGCCAACTGAATGATTGTCTCCGACCCGCCAGTCACCAACTTTGATTCAACGCGACACTGCGAAAGGCATCAATAGCGCAAAAACAAGCGAGCCCCGCCGTACATATGAGGTCGTATGACAAATTGAACGGTACTTGTGCCATCTGACGCACAATCGGCTGGAAATGGCACTGAAGTCATATGGTAGCATATGGCACTTCTTCGGACCCATTCACCAGTAAGTATGCTCTGGGGTTCCAGATTCGTCGAGATGCCCATTCGGTGACATCTCAGATCACCTTCATAGTCTTCCCCGCGCAAACTTCTTGTTCCCGTTCCTTTGCCCTCACTCTTACGCGTCTCTGTCCTTAAGAGCGTGTCCTCTCCTTTCTCCTGCTTCGGCAACCTTCCCACCATGGAGGAGCGGCGAGACAACGGGATTTACAACGAGGACTTCTCTGGCAGCAACCAGAATCTCCGAGGTATATTCGTCCTTTTCCTCACTATGCGCTACCACAGTCTCGCTCATCTTTATGTCATCAAATCTTCGATCTACAGGTGCTGCAGTCAATCCTGCCGGTCATGGGATATACGAGGAACATCAGGACCCGTTTGCTGACCCGAATCCCATTCAGCGAACCACCTCAGCAGGTGTACCCGTAGGCGACGCCGTTAGTGGTGGAGCTATCGCTACCGGAGCAGAAGGGGAGAGTAACGCAGAAAGAACTGCGGCCCAGACGGCGTCTCCTACGAAACCGCCTATCTATAAGCGACGGTGGTTCATCATCACCAACATCATTGGAGCTGCTATTGGGATTGCCCTCATTTTCATTCTGTTATGGCCGGTCGTTCGTGCTATCGCCCAATATGTCGTCAACAAGTCTACGCTCAGTGTGCAGAAGGCCTCGATCATCAACCCAACGAATTCTTCGTAGGCCTCTCTTATTGCCTTGCCACAGACTTGTCTAATGCTCTCCCCAGGTTCCAGCTTGGCTTACTTTCAACTGTAAGTACCCGCAGACGGCAGGATCCTCAGCGCACTAATTGTGCTTCAGGTATCTCACACCGGTATTATTCCGGCAGTGATTAGCTTCACTCAACCTGTCAATGTCAGTTGGGTGAAAGGAGACGACCATGTTCCAATTGGTTACATGTCTTTGTCTGACATCCACGCTTCTCACTCTTCGGCTACAATTAACGAGACGACGACATTCTACATCTCCGACCAACAAGCTTTTGGTGATTTTACGGCTTACATGATCACCTCCGAGAACTTCACATGGCTCCTTGAGAGTAGCGACCTCCATGTCCAGGCAGCAAAGTTTCCTAAAGATCATGGCATCAAATTCAGTAAATACGTCACTATCCCTGGTAACGCCTCCTGAATTACGGACTTGACCTTTATATCTCATGCACCGTTAAAATCGCAGGCATCAACAACTTTGATAGCAACGTCAAGTTGCAAGAGTTACTGCTCCCCAGTGACAACCCCGCTGGCGGTATTAACTTCCAAGCGATTACGGGTCTGAACAATCCAAGGTTTGTCTCCATGGCCGTATCTATTAGTGCAAATCTAGAGCTTGGCCGTGCAGTCCTTTCGAGATGAACCTCGGTACTGTGGTCTTCAAGCTTGGGTACAATAATGTCTATCTTGGTACTGGTATTGGTAACAACACTTCCCTCGTATGTTGTTTTTTCCTTTCCATCGTGGCGATAATTCCTGACATTTCTGACAGTCGCCTGGCATGAACAACATCACGCTTGCGGGTACTCTCGTACCACAGACGGACCCTAGCTCTCTTGCGCAGGTGTCGCAATTGTTCACCAACTATCTCAACTGGAAGTCTTCTCCGGTTATTGCAATGGGCGCGTCAACGCAACAGAACGACGGCACTGAGATTTCTTGGCTTACACAGGGCCTTCAGGCTCTCCAGCTCACTGTGCCTTTCCAGTCGCCTCAACCAATCAATCCCATCAGGACCATCACGATTGGCGAATTGGCACTTGCGTTTACTCCCGATAGCGCGTGGGCCCCCCAGACGAACAGCGACAGCGTTCATGCGACGATGGGTGATTGACTACTTTTCATTTTGTGGTTCTTACACTGACAAAGAATCTAGAGCTACCTTTCGGTTTTGGTGTATCCATAAATGAGATCCAGAACAACTTCAATATCTTCACGAATAATACCAATGTTGCAGGTTTGACGACGGCAAGTACCCAATGCTTCTGTGTGCAGGAGTTTTATTCATATTACCTTCAGCCCCTCGGTGCAGCTACCTCGCAAGTTCAGGTTCTCGGTCCCACGGACACCAAAGGCACAATTAATATCACCATCCACGACGGCACTTTGAACGCGACAGACTCGGAACATGACCCGTTCTCTATGTTCAGTAGGTATTGTCCCCCGTCAAGCACAAGATATACTCACCTGCTTCAGATGCCTATCTCACCGACACGAACACCGCTGAATTCTATCTCGTCGGTGGTTCCAAGGCTGTTGCCAATACGAGCATTGGACAGATCACCCTTGATCCTATTGAGGTCAACGTCTCCACGTCACTTCTAGGTTTGCAGGGACTTCAGGGCCGCACGACGATTGGCGGTGTCGACGTGCTTGGTGGCACGACGCAGGCTTTGCAGCTTGGGATCAATGGTAGGTTTAGTTCTTCATACTTACCTAATCGCGTCTAACTATATGTCGCGTAGTCACGATTGACAACCCTTCGAGCCTTGAGTTGAGTACCGGTGACTTGAGTATGTAGCTAGAGCAGAGATAGATTGCATCTCCTCACGCTTTTTGTTGTAGCGCTGCAGTTAGGCCGTCAAGGTGCCATTCTCGGAACAGCGCTTTTGCCAAACCTAACATTGGCTATTGGGTCAAATTCCTTGTACTCGACTTCTGATTTTAAGGTAAACTCAATGTCAACATGAACCCGTACCGGCGTTGATTTTCTTCAGCCCAACGACAGTCCTCAAGGTATGGACACTCTCAACGAATTTGTTGGTGGCAAGAGTATGTTCCTGCGTAGCCTTTTACATATATCCCGTTCTTATTTTGCGCATAGATGTCGAGCTGGGTATCGCGGGTTTCGAGGGCAGCACTCAGGTTACTTCCTTGTTGCGAGCATTCGAGAGCTTGAACATCTCTACGAACCTTCCTGGGCTTCAAACCAGCTTGCTGGAGGGCGGTTCATTAGAGAGTGAGTCCTTGTTGGAGCAGCAAACAGATGGTCACTAATTGGCTTGGACAGTCCTCTCGACAACCGGAGTGGAGAACAACATCAGCCACGTTGCAGTATCTCTCGCCAACCCCTTCACTGCTGGCTTCCAAATCACTAGGATTTCGTCGAGTGTTTCCTCCCATGGTCTTACCTTGGGTTCAATCGAGACTACGACGAACTTCAGTGCTGGCGGCAAAGCAACCACGAAGTCTCCCGACCTGGACCTCAACATGAACTTTGATCCACCCACGCTGTTTACGTTGACACGTGTGTTGGCTGTGCTGGCTGGCGAAGATCCTACTCCCTTGGATGGGATCGTCCAACTCGGAGGTTACTCCTACGTCACCGCCACCGACGCTGATTCCCACCCTGCAAACTCACGCCGCGACAACATCTATACGAACTTCAATTTGCCCAATTTCGTTGATAATGCCTTCAAGCAGCTGCGGTCGGATGTGTCTCTCAGCACTGACATCATCATCGGACAATACTCGACAACGCTCAATTACACGCAAGCTTCGGTACCCATTGCGACAGATAGCAGTCTGAACCTCATCTTGCCGATTCTCGCTCGTCCCATCGTGCAGAAGATTGTCGATGGCACTGTCCTTGGCGTCGACACCGTTCTAATCAGCAACCCGCAGCAGGAGTCGTTTGGCACCTTGTTGAAAGGCAGCATTACCAGTGCCGGTCCTTTTGACGCGACTATCAGCTTTCCGAATGGGCTCACGATCTCGTGGAATGGTTCTCCTCTGGGAACATTAATGATGGAGGACGTGAACGTCGTTGGGGATGTCGGTGCTTCGTTGAACACTGAGAGCAATTTCCAAGTCTCCGACGTCGGCCACTTGACCGACTTCACTAAAGTGCTTCTTACTGAAGACAAATTCGACTGGGATATCACTGCTGATAACCTGACTGTGAGCGCGCTTGGTATCAATGTCACCGGTATCTCGCTGCCGAAGAAGACTGTTTCTTTAGCCGGCTTCAATGGCCTTAAGAACGGTGTCATCATCGATTCCTTCGATCTACCTGCTAATGATCCAGCGGGTGGTATCCACCTTACTATCAACAGCACTGTTGCCAATCCTTCTCAAGTCGGCATTTCGCTCAGTTCTCTTGCCTTCAATACGTTCTACGGCAACATCGCGATTGCTCCGGTGGCAGCGACCGGCAATGTCACTCTGGCACCTCAATCTAACTCTTCCCTTGCTCTCGTTGGACGTCTGATTCCCCAAACTTCTTCGGAAGGCTTGGAAGCAGTTTCGACGATCTTCAACAATTTCATTCATGGTGAAGATAGCCAAGTCAGCGTGCAGGGTGACAGCGCAGGTCCTTCTGACGTTACGTGGCTCAATGAGGGTATTAAGGCGCTCTCGGTGCAAACCAACCTTCCAAACCAAGGGAAGCTCAACATCATCACATCCATCGACTTGGAGCAGCTTCAACTGTTGTTCACCGAAGATACGGCCTACAACCCCTCGACCAGCAGTAATGCTACGACTGCTGCTTTCACACTTCCTTTCAACTTCCCTGTTGACATCACCCAGCTGTCCCAAAACATTACGACTGGGTACAACGGCGAGTCCTTCGCTGAGCTTGTCATTCCTACCATCCCCAGTACCACCGATGTCAATACGCGCATCATTTCCCTCCAGTTCGCCAACATTCCCTTCGCTGTCTTCGGAGACCAACACACCACCTTCGATACTTTCGTTGCAGCGACTACCACGGGCTCGAATGAGACTTTACAGCTGTCAGGATCGGCCAATGCCCAGGCATCGACTGCCGTCGGCGCATTAAGCCTTGCCGGCATTGATTTCTCCGTCTCTTCGTCGATTGCTGGCCTTCAAGGTCTTAAAGCCAAGCCCGCGCTGGTTTCTGACTTGGATGTGAACCACGGGTACTCCGATTACTTGCTGATCACCGTTAACACCGCTTTGTACAACCCCAGTAACCTCACCATCGGTACCGGTGATGTGTCTTTCTCGCTGGAGTTCAATGGCCAAACCATCGGTTCTGCTGACCTTAGCGATCTCATCATCAAGCCCGGCAATGTAACTTACGGCACAGATGTTCACTATTCACCCCAGGGAGGTGCTCAGACCGCCGCCGGACAGTTGTTGCTGGAGAACTATCTCCAGGGCGTTGACTCGGATACCACCATCGCCGGAAACACTGACTCCTCTCCGATTGATTCGCTGAGGACAGCGCTCTCTGAGATCAGCCTCACCCCTGTGACCATCCCCGCATTGCACCAGAACTTGATTGACAGCGCTTCCCTCGAGTTCCCTACCGACATCGTCCAGACTGGTATCGCTCAGTCGACCTTCACACTCGCGAATCCATTCACCGCCAGCCTTAACCTGATCACGGTTGGAGCCACGGCTGTCTTCCAAAATATAACTGTTGGCAAGATCAACAATGTCGACCGTTCGTCGGACCCCATTCACGCCGACGGACACTCTAACATCACGTCTCCGTCTCTGCCGTTCGAGTTCAACATGAACCCGATCGATATTATCGACCTGATTCAGTCCGCTGCTCAGGCGCACAATGTTGATATTGGTCCACTGACCGAATTGTTCCAGCTGGTTCTGTCAAACCCCGATTACCATCCTCCAGTGAACACGTCTATTGACACAAACAGCCCTCAGTGTGTCAGCGGCAAGCAATTCGACGTTGATGATGCGATCTTGAATGCCCTTAAGGGATTGGAAGTCACCCTTGACGTTGACTCTTCAATTAAGATTGACGATTATCCTACGGAGCTAGCCTTCAAGCAGTACAATGTCACCGCAATCACCGACAAGACGGCACTATACCTCATCGGTGCTGTTGCTGGCCCTGTTGCACAGGATCTTGTGAACCAGGCCCAACTCTCCTTCCAGACAGCGAACATCACCAATCTATCGAACGAGGGCTTTGATCTCGCCCTTAAGGGCTCTCTGACTAACACTGGTCCGCTCGATGCTCAAATCATCTTCACGGAGCCTGTAGCGGTTAACTGGCAAGGACACGACATCGCTACCATATCACTTCCGCCAGTGTGTGCCGCCGCCGACTCGGGTGTGCCGGATTACGAGACCTCTGGAACCTTGCGGATCACGGACCTGGACCAATTCACGGCCTTCACCACGTACCTGCTGCACAATGAAGACTTTGAATGGATCATCTCGACCGATAAGCTCCGGCTGATTGCCCTCGGCACCATCTTCGATAATATCTCCTTGTCGAAGAACATCACGCTCAAGGCTTTCAATAACCTTCCCGGTGTGACCATCAGCAACTTTGAGCTTCCTGGTGACGATCCTTCCGGTGGTATCACCATCTCTACGGACTCTATGATTCCTTCTCCCGCTCGTAAGTAAAACTGTCGCGAAATTTTTGCTCAAGCTTACGCATTGTTCAGAATTGGGAATTGATATGGGAACGGTAACATTTGACGCGTACTTCCAGAACACACTCGTCGGACGTAAGTATCTAAACTTCTTTTTTGAAAGACTGATGTGCTGACGCAACATTATAGCGCTCCAGGCGACCAACTTGGACCTGCCACCCATGTCCACTGTCACTTCTCACTTGAGCGGACGCATAGTTCCTCAGAGTGGTAATGACCTCAACGTTATTGGGGAGCTCTTTTCGGAATACCTTCAGGCTGACAACATCACCCTCCAAGTCAAAGGAGTGTCGGTGCAGCCACCAGGCGCCTCTGGTGATGTGTCATGGCTCAGCACTGCATTCAAGACTTTGACTCTGAATGTCATTCTCCCCGGGAAGAAATACACCGTACGTGACATCGTATCTCTAGCAGGCGACGCATGCCTAAGAAATCACAGGTCATTCAATCTATTACCCTTTCGGACCTGAGTGTCACTATGCTGAACCAGGACGAGGCATTCGCTCCCCTGGCGGGTTCAAACAACACTGTCGCAGACTATAAAAATCCGTTCGGTTTCTCTCTACAGGTCATCCACTCGAACGTCGATATGACTCTCGGGGCGAATGACGTTGCAGCAGCCCGAGTAAGTCCCTCGCATATCTCCTTTTTGGTCAAGACTTCAATCCTTCTATAGCTGGTACTTGAATCTGACAGTGTTGGGGGTGTCTCAACCGGAAACGATGCATCATTGCCCATCAAATTCTCCAACACACCGTTGCAGTCTCTCAACAATGGCGCCTTCCAAGCTGTCTTTACTGAGGTCACGGATACTAGCTCCGCTTCATTCGACCTGAGCGGCTCCGCCAACGTCACTGCAAAGACTTCTATTGGTGATGTGCCAATTTCTGGCATACCTTTCGACGTCAAGTCAAGCCTCACTGGTTAGTCATACCCAACCTTTCATTTACCGTAGATCATAATACCCTTGCAGGCATCAACAGCTTTGGACGTACCGCAACCGTGACGAATGTTTCTATAACTGGAAGCGGTGGAAGCGGAGGCAATCAATACGTGAAGGCACCACTGACGACAACGCTCAACAACCCGTCGAACGTGTCGTTGCAAACTGTTGATATCTCCCTACCCGTCTTCTACAAGGACATCCAACTTGGGCAGGCTGCATTCAGTGTATGTTATCCTCCTATTAAACGAAAAAAAGAGAAATTTGACTGCCCTCCCTAGCCTTTCAACTTGGTGCCGGGTGAAAACTCTATTCCAGGTGATTTCCTGTACTTCCCTGCGAATGCCAACGACACCACTGCCGAGGTATGTCAAATACAATGCTTTCCCTGACTCTTTTAACCCTCGAGCAGTCCTTCCTGACCGACTTCCTGCAAACCGGAGACGACCTTCCATTGACTATCAAGGGGGATTCTGGAAGCTCGCCTTTCGCCTCTCTACAGCCAGCACTTGAAGGTGTCAGCATCTCCACCAGCGTCAAAGGTCAGCCTTTGTGTTTATCCTAATGATTACCCCGTTCTTACCTTGCCTAGGTCTGAACGTGCCGCCAATTATTACTCACCTATACCCGAAGATTACCCTTGACACTCTGTTGACGAACAACATCGAGGCCAGTTTCGATGTGAGTTAATCTAACATCAAGCATGGCACCCTCTCACTTGGGCTTCGACAGATCACAAACCCTCTCGATACGGACTTGATTATTGATTTCGTTCAAGCTGATGGCCTGATTGATGGAGAGATATATGCCCACTTCGACCAATCATTCAGCAACTTTGTGATTCCCGCAGGCAAGACTGCTAATAGTGGAATGTTTGGAAATGTGAAGCTTGTCAAGGGTGCTCTTGCTTCCTTGCCTATCATTCCCTTGGGATACCTTGATATCCAGGCTGTGGCTACCACTATGTACGTCTCTTATGTTCTCTACTACGCAAAAACGTCTACTCATCGCATGATCTCTCAATCAACAGTGTGGGCCAGGGCGGATACACCATTCCTTGGCTACATGTGAACCAGCAGCACGTCACTGCGACATATGATTTGGACCTGCTGTCCCTCGGTCAACTTTCTGCTGCTGCCGTTTCAATGACTCAATCTCACACAAGCACTGCGTCATCCGTGAGCGGCAGCGTTACCGGCTCGACTGCGTCCAAGTCCTCCGGCTCCGCTGGATCCGCTTCCGGTCCAGCAGGTACTACCTCGGTTAAGCCATCGACGGTAAGCTCTCTTACTTATTGACTTTGTTCCTCAGCTGACGGTACACCTATGCAGACTGCTCCTGCCTCATCTACTTCCGCTCCCTCATCTAGCAAACCCGCATCCCCATCTAGCTCGGGTGGTTCGGGCGGAGTGCTTCCCCTTCATTAAGTCCAGAACGTCACACTGTAACGTCTCAGCGGACATATAAGATACATGAACGAGAATTATTACATACTTCCGGACATTTCGTTTTACCATTTCTTTTATATCGACGCCATACCTTACAGATCATTCTTGATGTATACCTTGATACCTTGATCGTGGGTCCCCCCTTTTACCCTTTTTATTCCTTTTTATTTTGGGTATCCTCGGTGCACCACTTTGGTGGCTGTTTGCTTATACTTGTTGGTTGTTACTCGCGATAAGAAATCCGTGTATTCGCTGACAAAACATACATTTGTTGTTTTTATGCTGTGTTAACATTGGCGGGCAACGAGAAATCTTAGTTCCATGTGTGATATTAGCGTGATCAACATTCTATTCGGAACTAAGGTATAGAATTGAGTGGTTATATCAGGGAAAAGGGTAGGTCTGCATGATATACAGTGGCTAGCTGGCTATCACAGGGCTCCTTGCACGGTTAGGTAACTGGGCTCGTACATTCTATCAATCTGGACGCGAGCTTGCAAGTGTGTATTCAATTGAGAGCAGTCCTCAAGCGTAACCTGCAAATCGCGCAAGTCCGGATGCCTTTCCTCAGGATCGTGTATGGCGGCTGCTAGCCTCAGCACGAAATCATTCAGCCCTTGCGTATCGTGAGCAAACGACGTGCGCCGCGACGCAACCATACCGCCTATTTCACGCAGAGGCATACCCTTGTCCAAACCACCGATGAGCTCTAAGCGCTCAAGGTATGGGAGCCACACACTCGCCTCGCCACGCCCATCGGCGGACTGGGGCAGCGCGGTCAGCCTGTCGATGAGCTGCCGCGGTGTGGTCCAGCCTCTGACGACCTCGAACACCAACTCCTTCAAGTGCGGGCACCATTGAAGCATTTTGAGGAGCTCCTCCTCGGTGACGTGCGCGCGGACAACGCTCAGGCGCTCCAGGTCGCACTGCGACCGCTCGAGCATGCCTGCGATCCTGGAAAGATACCACGGGTCGGCAGGGCAGTGGAAGATCGCGATGCCGTCGAGCTCGAGGTTCCGCAGCGCGGGCACGACAAGGCGCTCAAAGAAGGAGTTCACCATGGCCAACGGGGCGGGGCGGCGTATCCTGAGGGTGTTCAGCCGCGGGAGGACGACGTTTTCGACGGCTTCGTGGTCGATGTCGTACCACAACTCAATCGTAAGGCCGACATTGAGGGTGACGAGGTTCTGCACCTGCGAGAGGATGCGCAGCATGTGACTGTAGCGGAAGATGTGGTTCTCTGTGGGATCCCAGAGCAGGGAGAGCTCGGTGAGGTGTGACCAGTCTACGAGCAATGTCTCGTCGACATAGTTGGTTGCCCATGATAGAGACGTGAGACGGGGGTAGTTTGGCAGGGGTCGCCATATTTCGCGTCGGGATCGATGTGATTCGATGCTTTCGTGCATAGTGAGCTTCTCCAAAGCCGAGAGATTGTTGCTGTAGAGGAGGCGGTTGAGAGGCGCGAAACACCGCGATGACACGTAGAGGTCGATGGACGACCATCTATGCGCGTGCGAACATAGCGCGTGCGCAATCCGAGGTAGATGGATTGGAGGAAATCCGCCGTAATCGACGAGTGAGAGAGCGAGAGGTCGATTATTAGAACACGTTGTCCATTTTTCAATGGCGGCGAGGATATGAGCGGTGGTCTTGTACCAGTCAGAAGACGAGTTGGGAAGATGAATGTCCAGACGAGCCCAAAGGACTGGGCAGGTGTTCGCCAAGTTCCTCCAGGCACCGCACACACGTCCAAGCGATAAAGGTGTTTCTGTTGGATGTCTCCGCCCCGCATTATTGGGTGGCATGCATTGCTCAAAGATCATACAAACAATCTCCGGGGGGAGTCTCATTGCAGGAGCTAAAAGGGCTCGGAGCTTCTCAAGAAGCTTCAAGTCAGATTGGCGGGAGACGGTGTCCTCGTCCTCTTGCATTCCTCGGGAGTTGATGCGGGTCTGCATCACCTGTATGAGATGCTCTACTGTTTTGACATCTGCCTCCAGCGGTCTAGAGTTTCTGCCCAACAGACGGGATACGGAAGACTGAGGACGAACAGGTCAGCGGCCATACAGACACGAGCGCCATGAACAAACTGACCGGAATCAGGACGTTTTGCATGATGGAGGTAATGTGAAAGCGGTGGAGAGAAAGTTGGGGGTATTTAAACGGACCTGTGCCATGGCAAACGTAAAGCAGCGTGTTCGTCGTAGATAAAGCGACTACTCGAGTTTGAGCGACTTAGAGACCGGATTGACCCCATGCGGATCCAAACGCATCAAGGCGAGCTATTCCCTAAACGTGCACCATGATATCGGTTACGGGCAGTCATCTTTCCTATGATAGGCCAAGAGGTTGATCAGGTAAGTTGCATTACAATCAGGATACATATGGTGTCTGAACGTGAACTTTGGCAATGCTTCTAAGTACTCACCTCATATAAAGCTGGGGCTGATTTGCGAGAAGTGGGCGCGTCAGTTATTATGTAGTCACAGCGGCGTCGTCAGTAAACCGATGCCAGCATGACGCCTCCTCCTTCAAACAAGTTGAAACAACCACTACTGCACATCCCAGTTTGGATCGTTGACTTGATGAACCGCAGTTTTTTTTTCCTACTTTTGATTCGAAACTTGGAATTCCGACGTTCATGGAACCTTGTGGGTTCCCATCGTCAAGCTGCTGGACCACGGCCGCATGGTGTTCGGTGAAGGGCAGAACATGATTGAGAGCGGAAGGTGAGAAATTGATCCACGCTGGAAAACACAAGCATACACAAGTCAAAGCCGATCTTCAAGAATGCGATTTCAACCCCATATGGGATCTGCACGGAGCCAATTTGTTTCATTATAGACGCCTGACTTCCGAGATCGCCAACGATGACGATGGCATCTCCGCTTGGGAGTTCTGGGACTTTTTGCTTCCTCGCCTTCGTATATCCTGTCAAGTCGACTCGTGATGTCATACTTGATATTAACATCGGCACCAACTTACGCTCTCCCTCATCTTCTTCTGAGTCCTCATATCACCCACCATGGCCTTCAATCACTACCAAAACAATGTTCCAAATTGGGGAACAGATAATGTATGTTGCACGCCGCCTCATACCTTAGTCCACTATATTGAATAGGTTGGATCCATGCGCATGAATACAGTTACAACTCACGGCTCCCCCAGAGCCGAATTTTGAACCACAAGAAGGATGTATGTCTGCTGGTATCAGGGAGTCTTTTCTTGAGACTTACTCACATTCCTGACAAGGGGGCGCAATGGACTTCTTCAGAGCTCACTCTTCAACTACTCCAGAGCCGTAAGTCAAGTATCATCATGTCACTTGCCGGGTGTGCTGCTGCTGACCTGGTCACCACTGCAAAAGTCATCTTCTATCGAACTCGATGAACAGAATGCAAGGTAGCGATCCTTCTTCCCTCGGTGTAGGAGCGAACGAAGCGCGCACATGGCATAGGCGAGCATTCGGCGGCCTGGTACACAATCACCATACATGTCAGCCCCTTGCTCACCTATGCCGAATATTCAAGGGGAAACTGCACCATATGTCTCCAAACGAAATTGGCCATGCCGCTGCATACGAGGCTTATCGCTTCTGGATTCATCACAAGTCCATCCAAAAACCACTGGGCGGCAAGTCTTCGAAACACAAGGAAGCACTTATCGGACTAGCCGTTGCCGAAGGTACAGTCTGCTGCATCCCAGATTGATGTGCAATCACGTATTGAAGATGCATATAGCGGCTCGTTTATATGCCATGTCGACCCACAACCACGACCAACGTGGGCGCGGTTCGGCCTGCGAAGCTGCTGTTGCAACTGCAGTGCAACTTTTTTCAGAACTCGTAAGCAACTTCTGTTCATATACCAATCCATGCTATGACACCATCCTTGTAGCACATGGGCGACCATGAGTTCTCAAACATATTGGGCTTAGGTCAAGGCAACGAAGGCGCCGCGGCACCAGATCAAGGACTCGGAGGCGGCAGAGCCATCAACCCGTACGAACTGGACGACGGAGCTCCATTCTTTCGCAATAAACAGAACGGCCATCATCACCGTGGCCTCGTACATCAAGCAGCAGACACCGCCCTCAACATGGCTACTGGCCATAATCCGGGACCAGGTGCAGAACGCCACGGCGGTCTCGGCCAAGTCGCGGGCAACGCTCTTAACATGGCCACAGGACACGATCAAACCTCTGGCATGGGTCAGGCTCCCGGCGCACCTGGCTCGGGGCACCACGGCCTCGTCGGACAAGCCGTAGGCGACGCTCTCAATGCGGCTACGGGATATGGTGGCCAAAATGCTGGCATGGGCCAAATGGCGGGTGCACCCAGGTCCGGACATCACGGCCTAGTCGGACAAGCTGTAGGTGGTGCTCTCAATGCAGCTTCGGGGCATGGTGGTCAGAATGCTGGCATGGGCCAAATAGCAGGTGCACCTGGTATGGGACAGCACGGCCTCGTCGGGCAAGCTGTAGGCGACACTATCAGCGCAGCTACCGGTCACGGCGGTCAGAATGCCGGGATGGGCTTGACCGCAGGTATGCCTAGCTCGGGACATCATGGCCTCGTCGGACAAGCCGTAGGCGATGCTCTCAGTGCAGCTACGGGGCAAGGCGGCCAACATGCTGGCATGGGCCAGATGGCGGGCAGGCACGGTATGGGACAACATGGTCTCGTCGGGCAGGCGGTGGGCGACACTCTCAGTGCGGTTACGAGACACGGCGGTCAGAATGCTGGCATGGGTCAAATGACAGGCGCTCCAGACATGGGATACCAGGGTGCTGGTCAGGGGCAGGGCTACAATCCTACCATGAATCAGACAGCTGGTGCACCAGGAGTGGGACAGCACGGTCTTGGACATGCTGGACACACTATGGGCCATCTGGGCGGAATGGCTCCAGGACAGATGGGAGGCTCAGGACAGATGGGAGGCCCAGGTCAGATGGGCAATACCGCACCCATGGATGCGCCAGGTATGGGCGCTGGAGCTGGCAACCCGTCTATGCCGATGCACGGCGGGATGGGCAACCCAGCGGGCGGCCTACATGGTATGGTGGGTCAGAGCACCATGTCACAAGGCATGATGGGCGGGCCCACGGCCCAGCCTGGCATGGGTATGGGTATGCAGCCCGCTCAGGGTGGAATGGCTCAGCCAGGCATGAGTCAATATGGCATGGCCTCGGGTGGTGGGATGATGCCCGGGATGGAGATGCAGCAATCAGGTCTAGGTGGGATGGGCACAGGGACGGGTCCATCTGCACCGGATACAGGTCACGGTGGCGGCATGTACCCTGGCGGCGCTCCCATGCATCTGGGAGCTCACTAGCGCTCAAGCTACAAGGTCAGCACGGAGGTGCAGTGTAAGATGAGGAAGCCTACTGTATACCCAGTCTATACCCAACGTTATGAGAGGATCTTTAATGTACTTGTAAATTTGGTATAAGACATACATGACTTACTTGTAACAGCAGCTGGTACTCTGCAATGGACAAATTATTCCCTATGACAATACCGGGAGGGAATTCAATCATGGGACAAATACAACAAGGAAGCGTCAGGACAGTATTTTCTGTGTCGCAATTTTGAATGTCGCGAAACTGGGTCCCGTTCTGATCAGACTCCTCGACATAAGAGATAACATGCGCAAATTCCACATATGAATGATAAACAAGATTATGCTACCGATCTTCTACTTTACTACAAATACAAGATCACCCAGTTCGGAAGAGCATGCAAGTCCGTACGCCCGCCCACACTGGCCTATCGCCTCTCTAACACCCCCTTACATTACAGCGCTCTCAGTCAAGTTTGGGCCCCGCTGCCCTCACGTTCTCGCTCACGTCCGGCTCGTAGAGCTTGAACGCCTTCTGGAACATGCCTCCCAGCTTACGCACCTCGCGCTCAAACGACTCCTTGTCCGACCACGCAAGGCGCGGGTTCAGCAGCTCGCGGGGAACGCCCTCAAGCGACGTCGGGATCTGAAGCCCGAAAACGCCAAACTCCTCATACTCGGCTTGAAGCAATTCGCCCGAGTGTACCGCGTCGACGATGCGGCGGGTGTAGGGGAGCGGACAACGCTTTCCATAGCCGTACTTGCCGCCCGTCCAACCGGTGTTGATGAGCCAGCAAGAGACGTTGTGTTTCGCCATGCGCTCAGCAAGCATCTCAGCGTAACGACCAGGCTAAAAAGTTCGTCAGTATACAACGGGCTTGTCGTCTTTGAAAAGACCACTGACGTGAAGGACAATAAAGGGTGCACTGTAGCAGGTAGAGAAAGTGGGTATAGGCTCAAGGACACCATCCTCCGTTCCTGGTGTTTTTCTGCGCAAGTACTCATGAGATGGTGGAAGAATCACAGCGAGCAAACAACTCACGAGGTATATCCGGCTAGGAAGTGGTAGCTGGCTTGATCAGGCGACAGCTTGCTGACGGGGGGAAGTACACCAAACGCGTCGCAGGTGAGCATGATGATGTTGCTCGGTTGGGTGTCGACTACGCATGGAATCTGCGCGTTTGGGATGTATTCGATCGGGTAGGCACACCGAGTGTTCTCCGTGATGCTGATGTCATCGTAATCAGGACTCCGGGTGGCGGGGTTGTAGACGACGTTCTCGAGGATGGATCCGAACCGGATGGCGTTAAAGATTTCAGGCTCCTTCTCGCGCGAAAGGTTGATACACTTGGCGTAGCATCCACCCTCAATGTTGAAGACACCAGAATCGGACCAAACGTGCTCATCATCACCGATCAAGAGACGACGAGGGTCTGCGGACAGCGTGGTCTTGCCCGTCCCAGAGAGACCGAAGAACAAAGTGACGTCGCCCTTCTCCATACCGACATTGGCGGACGAGTGCAACGAAAGCTGCCCGAACTTGATTGGCTGAAGATAGTGCATGACGGAGAAGATACCCTTCTTCATTTCGCCTGCGTACTCCGTACCGAGGATAACCATCTCCATGCGCTTGAAGTTGATCTCCACGGAGGTCGTGGACGACATGCCCTTGGTGAAACGGTTGGCGGGGAACTGACCGGCGTTGTAGATGATGAAATCAGGCTCGCCGAAGTTTTCCAACTCCTCCTCAGTCGGACGAATCAGCATGTTGTTCTGATACTCAGATCAGCCCCTATGTCAATACCCGAAAGATCACGATGACTGACCATGAAGAGCGCATGGTAGGCGCGAGCGCAGATGACCCGGACCTTGATACGGTACTTAGGGTCCCACTGGACGAAGACCCGTCAGAAGCACATCAAGCGGCATTCGAGGGAAAACGCACTCCAGCAAAGCCGTCGAATACGTAAACATTGTCGCGTGTGTTAAGGTAATCGATGGCACGCTCTCGGTTGATCTCAAAAGTGTCTATAGATCAAGTCTCAGATTGGCGCCTATTGATCGTGCAATGGCACTCACGTTCATCCATCTTGATGTTGACAGATCCCCACCATATATCATCCTTGCTTGTCTCTTCATAAACGATACGCTTGTCCTTGGGACTACGACCAGTCTTCTTGCCGGAAAAGTTGATCAAAGCCCCTGACGAAGAGATGATTGCACCTTCGTAGCGGATCGCGTCCTCGTAGAGCTGAGCGACAGGCGCGTTGCGCTTCAGTTGGATGCTGTCCATGTCAAAGCCGGCTTGCGAGAAGTACTCGAGGTCACGCCCAATGACTAGCACAAGACATGAGCAGCCATAGAGTGAGATCTAAGACCCTGACTTACGGTGACCTGCGACATCCTGGTCAGCCGCCTGAGCATAGTTGCGGTGGAGGATGTGAGGGGTAACGTAGGGGGTCTTCATGGTGTTTGAGTTACTGAAAGAGGAGAGGGTATGGATCTAAAACGCGGAGAGTCAGGAGCTATTTAAACAGGAGGACGAGTGTAAGATCCGCGAGCGACCCCAGATCGGCTAGAGCCGCGACCCATGGCATTATAGCACCGAGCATGTCACGCTGGACACTGCCGCTCGTAGGGCGGGGTGCAAGGCCGAGAGGGCGGGGGCAGAGATCACGGATGAGCCTACTCACACAGCGACCACTCTGGAGGAGAGGTAGGCGGAGGGAAAGATTGTTATGGAATAGAGAGATGCGATTTGACCTAGGCTTTATAGCAATGGCCCCCCAGTGCCTAAGCATCCCATAATCTTCCGACGACAGACCAGTTTACTTTTCCTAGAGCGGCCCGCGTCTGGTAAACTGCCAATGATATCAACTGTACAGACGTCATTACCAACTTTGGTGTACAGAAACTGACACTTGATAATGCAAACTGGAGGTGGTTCGCCTGACACTCCACCGATTTCTCCTTCCGGTTTGCTCCGGCGAACCTGAAAGAAGCGCTGAAACTGTGCACGGGAGACCGAGCGGATTCAGCGGAACGGGCAACGTAACGGTTGCGGGGGGCGGAAAAGTCGCAGGAGCCGCCCGTTAGTCTCTGCGCGACCCACCGCGCTGACCAGTGGAAAGAGGTAGGAATCAATGGTAAGGAACACACGCGAGCAGACTCTTTCCTCCTGGGGCTTGCCAAACTGACGTGGCCTCCTCTGTAGACTATTCATTGCCTGAGATTTAATCCTAGCAAGCGGCGTGCCGCTGCTGCAGTCATTGCACTCTGCAAGGAAACGGCGCGATGTTGAACCAACAGGGTGGGAATCACATGCTCCACAGTTGCCCCAGATTACCGCCCCGCGTGTGTACTCGAATGGGTACGAATGTATCAGGTGTCTTGGTTCCGTTCCAGGACAGTCAAACGGGTCCGCCATTTGCAGACCGTCCGGGCCTGTCTCTTCGATCTTCCCTAGTCCAAATCCTGGACCCTCATGGTCATCTACCAGCCCACTTGGTGCAGTCATCATGGAACCTGCGCTTCTTCCGCCTCTCCGAGCTTCAATCCGGCGGTACATGACCAAAACCAGGTTGGCTCTCTCAACTAGCCAAGTTTGTCCTTGACACAGCTCCAGTTACCCCTGTTGGTCTCATGCAATTTGTATATGACTTGATGCATTGATGGCAGCTTTTAGGATGGAGTAACTTGGATTGGACTGGTCATTAACCAGGTTGCACGGCGAGTCGGAGACGCTCAGAGACGCTCCTCGTTATCGCACGCACCTCTGCCGTTGCAGATAAACTTGGAAAGCGGAGCGTCGCTTATACCCCGAAAACGAGAGCGGCCCGAAGGGTACTTTGCACTTTGATTTAGGCAGTTTTATGCGCCTCGCGATTGCCCTTGTCTTTCCAGCAAAAACCCCTCTTCTCAAACATCATCATGGGGCTCCTTCAATCCCATGTAAAAATGAGCGACTCCCTCATCCAAACACGCTGTTCCGATCACTTGCCCGCCAAGGTCTGAGTATTTGATTTGACTAGAAAGCATGCTTAGCTTTGGCCCTTATCAATGACGACTATCTTCTGATATAGGGTCTGCCTAGGGGTAACTAGTCCTTTGCAGGTTTAAGCTTAAGACTGGGACATCCTTGATAAAGGAGTGTGCGTGGGCGCTACGACACGCCCAGCACCGTATCATCCATCTCCTCATATCGATATGGTAGACAATTATGGCGCATCTTGCTCTCAGGACGATATAGACCTTGAAACAGAATTGCTGATGGCGAATCTAGCGTTGGAAGATATTAAAGACATTGAAGGCAACAGCAAGGGCAAGGCTCGCTTCGATGCACCCGCTACCGACGAGGAGCTCGCGCGACGAGCGCAGGCTGACAGCTTCCAAAGCCTGATTGGGCTTTTGGCTGACCGTCAACTTGCGCTTAGTATCGATAAGGCCCTCGAGACCGACTGGGACAGCATACACGCTCTGTGCGTGCTCGACCAGGCGGAGCACGATGACCAGGAGGCTGCTCGCACCTTGGAAAGTGGAAATAGGCTACCCCCTACAACCGCGGCTCAACAGGCGATACAGGAGTCAAAGGTTAATACTCCTGAGCAAAGGTAAATTACACATAGTGTAATCTGAGTTATCGTACTGAAGACAGTGTAGGAAAGTGAATCAACAGTCTGATGGCATGTCCACTGCCAACAATGCCCCAAGTGGTGGAGTGAAGCCTCACTCATACTATAGAACAAACACCATTTCGGGCGCTTCAAGCTCTGGCTCCCGAGACGTCCCAAAGACCACGTATGTGCATGGTGATTGATTGACTATATACCGGCCTGACATAGGCCGAATAGCAAAGCTGTGGAGTGTCTGATATGTGCTGATTCTCTCAAACCAGTCAAAGCCTACCAAGCGCCCTGTTCCCATCACTACTGCTTTCCATGTCTTACCGACCTCGTAGAGACAGCATCTCGTGACGAGACTCTGTTCCCCTTACGCTGCTGCAGAGAAAGGCTCCCCGTCGAATCTGTCCTTTCGCGAATTTCTTTGGAACTCCAGACGCGCTTTCGAAGGAAGGTTGTTGAGTTTTCGATACCGTCAGGCTTCCGTGTATACTGTTCCAACCCTCGATGCTCGGTCTTCCTAGGCGAATCCGGGAAAACCAAGCCAGACTTTGAATGCCAAAATGACGGATGCCGCACAGCGACCTGTGCGGCGTGCAAGAGCGCTGCACATCCTGGAGAAGACTGCGCCGAGAGCGTCGCGACGCGCGAGGTGATGGCCCTTGCTGCCGCGCGAGGCTGGAAGACGTGCCCGGGATGCAGTGCAATCGTCGAGCTCAGCCAGGGGTGCTACCACATGACGTGTCGGTGCGGTGCGCAGTTCTGCTATTTGTGCACTGCGCGCTGGAAGACATGTCGATGCGAGCATTGGGATGAAAATCACATCGTAGCCGATGCCGAGCGTCGTGTACAAAACGAGCATGGTGCTCGGGCCGCTGTGGCCAATCCCGTACGCCATCAGGAGCGGGTACGACGCCGGGTCGAAGAGATCCGTCAAAACCACGATTGCCTGTTCCATGAGTGGACTTACCGCCACGGCCAAGGGCGTTGCGAAGAATGTGGGCATACTTTGCCCATCTTTCTTATGGTAACGCTACTCTTGGGTTTCTTTTGCGAAGGACCCTTTGCTCATGGTACGTTTAGCGTTGCACAGGTTGTCAGATGTTGGTCTGCAAGCGATGCTCGTACAATAGGCTGTGATACGAAACGAGCGTATAAAAGTGACGAATATCGCTGGCAGCATCACGCTCAGAGGATGTTTTCCTTATCCCAACAGTTGAAACAGCCCGTCGTTGCACGGTCAAACTGGCATAACCAGTATTGAGTCCGACGCTCTTCGAGTCTCAAAGTACTTATATGCATCATTTGTTGTTTTTAAGCCTCTAATCCATCTTGCCAAAATACATAATCATCAACTGGGTTCCACATGCTTTTCATAGAGAAGCAAAAGTTGACGAACCACACATTTATTCGGAACCTTGTTCGGAGCCCCAGAAAAGTGCGGCAACTTCCAAGTTGTGACGTCATCTTTGAAATTTGAGGTCCGGGCCGAGAAAGCGGGGTAATTTATCATAGCACTCCGATCAATCCTCGGAAACGAATTGCTCGATGTCAACTCTTTGTTGCGGGCGTCTGCTATGCCGACACATACCATCCTATGTAACACATGAGGACACAGCATCGGACTTGACTTTCAAGGCGTGCAAGGGCAACCAGCTATCTTTTTTGAGTATTACTCATACTGCCCTTCCTGTTTGCTTCATGTTGTCCTCGTCCTTTGACCTGTCAATCCTTAGCCGATCAACGCAGACGTGATCTGTCACAGCGATATGGGACGGCCATTACAAGCCACTGCAGGTTCCACGTGAAAATACTAAAGTGCCTGCCCCAATGGGTAGCAACACGCAGCAGCCGCTAGATAAGGCTCTGGCGAGAGTGGCATCATGGTTTGTTTGCTTCTAGTACGCGTTCTTGAGGACTAGCATGTTCACTGCATTGGTATGTTTTCTGGATTATCTCGATCCTTAGGGAATCAATAATAATGGCCTGGGCATCGTGTAGGCGAAGAAGGCGGCTACATTTGCGTCAGGAGTCGGTACCAGCATCGCCCAAGAATTGGTCAATGGGGTGAAGCTAATTCTCGACCAAGGGCATATCAGGTGTGTATTCTGTTTTCCCTCCCGGGTAACCAGCCTTTCAACCCTTATAACCTCCGGCCAGTAATGTCAAGAACGGCGGATTTACTCTTGCTCTCAAGGGATCACTCCTCGACACCGGCTACTCAAACTCGACCATCGAGTTCTTGGAGCCCGTCAAGTAAGTCGCCAGGATACCGATCGAGGCTAGTATTGAGCCCATGTTAGCATATCATGGGAAGGCCACCGCTTAGCATTCATGACTCTACCTACTAGTCAGTCATTCGAGTTCGTATGACGAACGGGCCGTAACCGCTGTGGTATAGTAAACACTATCGGAGGTCGCGGTGTTCCTGATTGGCAAATATCGACCCAAGTAACGATAGTAGACGCTGAGCGGTGAGTACCAGCACTCAAACTCAGAGGACTCGTTCCACTTAGATCTCACATCAATATGCAGGTTCGCTGAGTTCACAAAACACATCGTGCATCATCCCGACTTTACCTGGGTTATCACAGCCTCGCGTCTCAGAGTGTTAGCATTCTGCGCAACCTTTGATGACGTGACCTTGGAAAAGGCCATTGTACTGAAAGCATTCAACAAGCTCTCAGAAGCGACATTGCTCGACGTTAAGTTGACGGAAGCTGCTGAAGGCTCAGTTGTTGAGGGAAGACTCCAGTTGAGGTCTCCTGCTCGTGAGCAATACCATCTCTTCTTGCTTGTTCAAGATGGCTAACGTTGCCCAAAGAGTTAGCTGTCACTCTTGATTGGGTTGCATTTGCACTCTCTTACGAAGACAATGTCATAGGCAGTAAGGACAACAGTTGTGTGTCCTTTTGTCACTCACCGAGACTGATGATACAATCAGCTCTTATTTGCCAAAATCTTTTGCTTCCAGTGGAGACCGAACTTATTGCCAGAATTTCCGGAGTTTTGGAAACATCAACGGCATCTAGCGAGGCCCGTAGGACTTTCATTGCCAAGTGCGACGCGAATGAAGATATACCACTGATGCTTAGGTGTCGCTCAATACGACCTGATGCTAACAGTGCTCCCGTCAGTTGGATCACTTTTGGGTTTGAGACTCTGGACATTGTTGCCTACTCAAGGTGCAATACCTGATCTTCCTGGCATAGGAGGAAATCCTAGCCCTCCGACACCGTTACATACGTCAATCTCGTCAATAAGTCCTGTTCCCACAATCTTTAATATACGCATCTAATCGGAGTGGGAGCATCTTGATCTTATGTGGAATATAACGTCTTGGAAGTATGTGTGCATTGGGAGGGTGATAAAAGTAGAACTGGAAATGTTTTCATCTTGTAAAGCGAATAAAGGCCAATGCAAATATGTAATCGGATACTGCTGTAACATGCTTGTGGAATAATGGTAGGGGCAGGCGTCTAGGGTAACATAATCTTCAATGATGGATGGGTCTGTGAGCGTCCTCATTCTTGCTTAGGTTCTACATCTTCCATCTGTGACTTCGTTGTCTTCTCGAACAAGAAAGATATGGTTCCTCCGGGAACATCTCGAACTGGGATCTGTAGATTGTCCATTGCCCCTAAATTGTCAAGTTGCACCGCTGATAGAAGAGAGTCCAGTCTCGAGTTGGGCTGCGCAGCAGGAACAGACTGGTCATTGCTCTCCTTCACTTGATACAACAAGCCATGAAGGACATCATCTAGGATGTCTTCTTTCATACGGGGACGTAGACAGTTGATATGTGTCCACTCGCCCAGGGCGGCGAGCTCGGCTTTCTTCTTGTTTAGATACTAAAGGAGAGAAGATGGGATTGGTTAGAAAGTGAGCAATGCACGTAGTCACGTACAGCCTGATCGAGTTTATCTGCCTGATGCGGTTTGACTTGAGACGCAGAGATGAACCCAGTCAATGATTCGTCGCTATCACTGCTGGAATCAAGGTCTTCCTTCAATGACGTGTTGATAGTGCTTTGAATGTCACCAAGGATGCTTGGCTCAGATTCTTCACAGGGGCAGCCGAGTAGATCGTGCGTGTTACATCCAGTATCTGGATGGACCCGAAAAATGTCTCGGAGCTTCACACATGATATCATGAGATTTTGACATAGTCGAAAGATCACGGGACTCACGTCTTTCTTTGTGAACGAGTCGGACTTGCTGGTGCCAGTACCCTTGTCAAATGTTCAGCATACAATGATGAACATGAAACCCTGAGCGTATTACGTACAGAACCCATGAGGGCTAGAAGCTCACTATTAGTCCTACTGGAAAAGTTGGAATGTAAATGCTCACAGTTGCTCAATCCGATCTTTGTAACTTGACGCTGATATATTTTCTCTTTAAACCCAGCTCAGCACTGTTACAGAGGCTGCAGAAAGCAAACATACCATCGATAGCTCCAGCAGTTAAAAAGCGATAAATGAATACTGGTCGCTTTTGCCCATCTCTGATGCAATTGTGTCAAATTACCATATCATACAGTCAGCAGGACGTACCGGTGAATTCGAGCCATCGATTGCAAATCGTGACTATGAAGGGTTCAGTTTCATTTTCTCGGCCCACATGCTCGTTCACTGACCTTGGATTCCAGTCCGAGTCGATGAGGCATAGGCGCGAAGCGCCGATCAAGTTCAGGCCAACACCACCCGCCTTTGAACTCAGCAGGAAGAGGACTGAATTAGTTAGTAGGTATAGCAGTGTTAGCAAAAGGATTGCTCACAATGACTCTGTTGTGACGACTTATTGAATATATTCACGTATTCTTGGCGCTTCTGTGCGGGCGTCTGCCTGCATACACGATGAGTCCCTGTAATAGTCACAAATGTGGCAGATGACTTACCCATCCAGACGAAAGTATGTGTATGACTTTGCTTTACAGTAAGCCTCAATAATATTGAGGGTCGAAGTGTAATGAGAAACGATAATACACTTCTCCTCAGTTTCCTGTAACAGAAAAAAACAGTAAGCGTGCATTTCTCGCTGCTGCAATTGAAGAATACCTTGCGGATAATCTTGAGTAGTTTTGCCAGCGCAGTAAGTTTACCTAGAACGATTATGGTCAGCTTAGGTAAGTCAAGTCAAGCAAACTATCGTACCACTTAAGGAAAAGTCCTCAATTTCTGCACGGTCTGGTAAAAGAGCGAGCGCTTCCTCCATCCCTCTACGGTGAATGACGGCGGCATTTGATGCCTTCGCCTTGTCGGCCTGAGCTTTCAACAAGATCGGGCTGTTGCTAATCTTCGTGAGCATATTGATGAGCGCCAAGGATTCAGCAGTAGAACTCTGCATCAGATCGTCGAGGTTACGGGGGTTTAATATAGCAGCAAAAATAGAGAGCTGCAACTTTGTCGGCGTGATGAAAACAACGTATTCGTCTGTATTCTCGAGCTTAATGAGATACAAACATGGAAAGGAATGTGGAAACTCACGTTTTGGCGGCAGGAACTTCTTGAGTAGAGTTGCCTCTCTTCTCAAGACAAAGCTTTTGGCGACGTCCGCTAGCTGCGCTAAGGGTCAAAGATTGCACAATGTGAAGCTAACTGGTAAAAGGATGAACCTGAGTAGAGCGTGCGTTGCCTATCTGTGTCTCTTTCACCGTTGCATCAGGCGCTCTACTCTTCAATATAGGTGTTTCGTATATGCGACGAAACGTTGGGTAATCGTCTGAACCTTGTTTCAGCAGACATCGTAAATTGAGTCACATTACATGCCTAACAGTCCAGGATTGCAGAAGTCGGCCTTTAAATATTTTTCTTCAGTCATCGGTCAAGGAGAAGCGACAATGATTCACGCACCATGGCATGGAATTCGCTCAGGTCGTTCTGAATGGGCGTCCCCGAAAGGATTATGCGACGAGGAGTACGTAAAGATTTAAACATCGTTGATGTCTTATTACTGGAAGATTTGAGTCTGTGGCCTATGGAATGTGTGAGCCAAACATTGCCAGGTGGACATATTACATTACCTTCGTCGCAAACAATCAAGCCTATGGGCGGACTATCAAGAGTTAGCTCGAAAGAATAGCGTTGCCATCTAATCCCTTACCTGCAGTACGCCAAATCATCACTGAGAAAACAGGGTCAGCGTGTCATTAAAAATGCATAAACGGCTTCTCACATTACTGTCCTCAGTTTCTCGTACCCAATTATAAGAACATGATGTATCTTCCTGATGAACTTCGTCAGAATATCGTCATCTCGGTTCTGCAAACGCGTCATATCTCGCTTACGAGTTAACGAAGTGCTTAATCTTTGCTTTATCCTTGTCTCCTGTGAATATACCCACGCGATCTCTACCTAGCCTTGGAGAATATCAGTAGATTTCTAACGAACATCACCCCACTACGAACCATTTGTGGAACTCAGCACGCCAATTCTAAAGGAACATCAGCAAACATACTGGCGGATGGCAGAAGCAGGTTACTGACATTGACGAGGGACACAGGACAGACGATGAGAACTTTGCTAAGAGTCGGACCACCTCCATACGGATTCTGCTCTAGAGTCGGTTAATGTAGCTGCGTCAGAAGATGTTGAACGGTCTCACTCAGTAATGTCCAAACAAGTGCTATCGTCTGTCCAGAGTAAGGTTAGAAGCCATGCGTTGAAGTGGTAAAATCACCTGTAGCGTCTTTCCAAGACCCCTAACATATAATTGTTAGGCCCTTTGCTTGGAATATAAACAAGCCAAATACTTGCATTTCATCTGCGAGTATGCAGCCTTGGCCTTCATGCCTCCTGAGGCCCATTACACATTCGTAAAGAAATCTTACGCCTAATCGTTTGAGTGAAGGGTCTTCCTATCCAGATACAAATCTTACCTTCAATTTGATGTTCACGTAGATGTCTTGCGATGATGGGATCCAATACCACAGGTATTACGGTAGCGCTCCTGTCGAACTGATCAGTGATAGACCACGGAGTGCGAGAATCTTAATCAACTTCTTATTGTACTTCTGTGATTGTTGTTCCGAAGGGACTCTCATGACAATAGCACCTTCGGCCTTGGGATCATGCCTTATGATAGATTAGAAAAGCGACGAAAATGTATATGACATAGAGTACAATGCTCACAAGGGCGTGTTCGGCTTCACAGTCGCAGGTCGAGGTCCATAGAAAGACGTAGGGGTAACAAACGGCTTGGACGCGCCCGCAGAAGGTGGGCTTGAAGAAACCTCCCTCAGAGACTGTTTAACTTGTAGCAGGTAGGGTGGACAAGCGGGAGCTGAAACGTCATCTTCTTCGGCTTCCTCATTCACACCACTGATATTGGGCAGTTGCGATGATGATACCTGAGCATCGAGCTCAACCTCTTTGCCAGATGCTCGAAACATGAATCCTGAGTACAGGGGGACTCCATTCCATTCCTTTCGCCCTAGTCTGAAGAAGAGGCCATCAACTGTATGTTAGCTTGGATCACAATATGACCCTCGGTACATACACTTTGCCCTTTTCAGATATCACCATAAGGGTATCGCCTGTATGTTTAACGAATGCATCACCATCCCAGGTCTTGTGCTTTTTGGCCTGAGGCTTGCGCCTTGCAAACACCATCAGAGATATTTCCATTTTTGACCGGTGACGAACTTACCAATTAGCAGTCCAACACGACCCACTGCCAACATCCGCTTTAGACGCTTTACCGGAGGAGCCTGGTTTGGACAACAGATCGACGGGCTGAAGATCTACCGCTGGTGCTTTCCTCTCCGTAGGAACCATAGGTTTTGCTGACAGAATGTTCTTTGTAAGACGTGGTGTAACGAACTGTTTGATCGGTTTACTCGAGCTAGATGCTCGTGAAGGTGTCGAGGAAGACATTCCGCGCCCGAAGCATTTGCCAGAGAAATAATCGCCACGCGATATCGAGTGGTCAATGCCGATCTCTTTGTCACTAAACTTATATTCGCCTCCTTCTTCAACATATGTGGCGTGGACTGATCCAGAGCCCATTCTATAAACTGGAGTTAGGATGTGTGATAAAGTGTCAGAGTGAGCGCATACATCTTGCCCTCCAGGTCATACAAAGTCCCGCTTGAGCCGCGGAGGACCAAAACTGCATCTCCATCCCATGTTTTGTGTTTCTTGTATTGTGGTAGTCTCCTAAAAGCGCCGTGTATGCGTCCTATACTCATGGTGATTCGCGCGAGCATGAGTGAGCGACGTACCATTGAATCATCCAGTACTGCTCATTGCCTTGCCTGCTAGTCCCCACTCCTGAGTCCAGTGCCTGCCTCTTGTTGCTGCTGGGTTCATACTGTTGCTTCCTTTTCTCGCCAACGATAGGTCTTTGGTTCATGTTAGACGTATGGGAAGCAGGAGACGCTTGAGAGACGCGGTCACGGCTAATGAGACGTACGCGCGCGTCGCATCGCGCGTCTGTCACATGCAGCATTCGCGGAGGACCCCGAAGCAATCCCCGAAGTGCGCACTCTTGATTCGGCCCGAAAGCTCCGTTTCCTCTGTTAGTCACAGTTCCTCCAGAGATCATGTCGATCATCTTTGGATGCTCTCGCAGCTGGTGGCAAGATTCAAATAAATTGACGAGAACATCGCACTTGTTCGTGCACTGACATATATGTAGTATACCGTAGACACATTTCTGGTGGGAAAGAGAAAACTTAAAATATATTGGATACATGTGCACATGGACGTCGTGTACTGTACAAATGATACACGGTTGCCACGATGGCAAAAAGCCCTCGCCATATCACAAAGTACCGTAAACAGGCCTACCATCGACAACTGTTGCCTGGACTTTAGTTGCGAGTATTTCATCGTAGGGTATCTCCATGATATTACGAGAAAGAACAACGTAGTCTGCAAGTTTTCCAGGGACAATGGATCCCAGTCTGTCTTCCGTAAAAGAAGCATACGCCGAGTCTATGGTCATTCCTACAGCAAGAGTTAGCTTCTGCTAACCACATTCACAAGGTTTTCTCACCTCTCAGAGCCTCTTCTCGCGTCAAGCGCTGTTCTGGGAACCTTTGGGATAGTAAGCATTCAGATATGCGGGAAGAACACAAGAAGGCTACTCACCATCCACTTGTGCCATGAGGGGACTTTCCATCTGGAGAAAGTCTGGTAACAGCGGCATAGAAACCAGACAACGGGTTCATGTCTTCAACAGGAAAATCAGACCCAAGGGCAAGTCTTGCTCCGTTGTCCAGAATCGAACGGAAAGCATATAGTCCTTTCACACGCTCGGGACCCTGTGCGGTAAGGTTAGACACCAGATCGTTTCAAGGAAAGAAGGACATACGAGCCGTTCTTCGCCAAACCACATATCACTGATGCTGGGAGAGGATGGCATGAGCATGGATCATATATCATTGTCATCAACATACGCATGAGTCGGTTGCACGCTAGCAATCACTGTGCAGAGCTAGTGAGATTGCGAACCAAGGAAAGCAGATCAGCTGTACCTCCAAGCCTTCCGATCCGTTGCATATCCTCTTGTGTCAAAATCTGGGCATGTTCTAGTCGTGGCCTCATGGCGCTGACATCAACCCCAACAAGCGCTTTTTCAAACGCATCAAGAACAATGCCGTTGGCATAATCACCAATCGCATGGACGTTCTGGATTGGAGAAGTTGACGAGAATTTATCAAGAATGCTTGATGACAATGCTCACTACTTGCCAACCGTCCGCGAGATAACGAGGGATAATATCGTTCAGAAGCTCCGGGTCAATGCGCATGAACCCCTTGGTGTGAACGTTGTCGTGATATGTGTCATGCAGCTGCGACAGAAGTGTCACTCTTCTGGAAGGAGCGCTTAATAGATCGAACTTACTGCCGCCCCACCCGATCTAAGGGCTCCTAATGAAAAGACCGTATGGTAAGCGTTGATCAGGTTCACTTTATACGTCTCTCACCGTCCGCAAAGATTTTAACACTGCGAGCGGTGAAGTGCCCACTGGCAGCATTAAGGATAGGCTTTGTTGTATTGCCCCAATAACCACGGTGTTCTTCAAAGCGCGTCATTCCGTAGATCCGAATCTGTAATGGACTTGAAAATGACTGAAATTAATCATGTCGCACACACGCACGGGGAGTTTCTTTTGTAATGCTTGTCTGCAAGATGATATATGTGAGTGCGTGTTCCAGAGAAGTCTACTCATACTACACTTGCCGATGCATAAAGTCTAGAGAAATGGGGTTGAAACCCGCATCGTGGACGCACGTAAGTCCTCGTGCAACAGCATCTTTGATGGTGGCTTCAAGCCGGCGCGATAGATCTTGTTCACTAAGCGTAGGCTTCGGAGCCAATTCGTGGGCATTGTCAAGCAAAGTTCCTGTGTTCAGTTTGAGGTCAATTAGCGATGAGGAAAATGAAATGTACCAACCTGTCGGCCTCCCGTCTCCGTCACGAACAATGATTCCACCTTCTACCTCATCTGGATAGGGAAGACCTGCGGCCATCGCGGCGTTCGAAATCCACATAGCGTGACCATCTTTGCTGTGAAGGAGGACTGGGCGTCCGTGAATAATTGGGTCAGCGTCAAGCGCATCCTGTGAGTCAACGAGTTGGTTGATCCGCCCGAGAATGGAGAAGAAAGAACGAGCTAACTTACAGCTGTTGGCCATTCTTGAACGGGCCACTGCGTGTGATCCCAGCCCCACCCTTCAATTATCTTCGTTTTGTCACCGATAATATCAGGATGTGCAAGAATGTAGTTCCTGACAATAGCCACCGTGTCTGCATAATTCCGTGGTCAGTCCTGCTTTCGGAAATACACGTTCACCCTTCACACCTTCGACTGTCTTTGCACCCTCAAGGGGCAATTGAGCGTTGGCGCCGTATTCAAGTATATGCGCATGGGAATCTGTTCATCAAAACGTGTTATCAGATAACGGCAAGTAGTCGCACACTCTGGAGCGTCCGTACCCATTAGTCCAGGTACGATAACCGAGCCTTCCTCGAGATATCGGACGTGGAGCGGTTCGGCGTGTCGCTGTTTCCAACGAGCTTTGACATCGTCTGAGAAAGAGGGAGTCAACCTGAGACTGATTCAGTTTAAACATCATCCATACTCAAATAGCCCGTGTCCGCTATTACTGAGTCTTGTACCACGAGGCACTGGGCTACAGAGTTGTTGCGATCTACAGTATAGATGTGGGAACCAGAGCGCGAGCAGACCGCATAGGACTCTGGCAAGTCGCGCGGGTTTACAGTGAGCCACCAAGCAGCTGAGAGCGCGCAGGAGACGAGCAAGAGGAGTGTCGAAAAGCTGGTTGCCGCTTTTACATTCTGCGCTGATCCATTGCTTTTCGGCTCTGGCGATGTAACCTTTGTCTGGACTGGCGTCCGGGACCGAGTTTGCCTCTTTCTGAGTTCTGACATTGTCGGGACGCAGGAGGATAAGAGGGGGGTGAAACGATGAGGTCAAAAGTGCACGAAGAGAGACGGTTGGTAGTCCATGGTCACCAGCACTTTATATTAATTTCACCTGAAATCAGTAGGGCCGCACCGTGCGCGCGCCTCTAGATAACTGTATGATAAGTCTCCCTCGTACAGGGACTGGAAGCACGGCAAACACGTTCCGAGCAATATGAAGTTTTGAAGAAGCTAGTCTGCAGTTGATTTGCCGCAATTACATCGATATATCTGATGGCATACATGCGCGCCCGCCGGTTCGTGTAAGGTCCGCGGTCCATGGCAGATCCGCTCGGAGTCGATCTGAAGAGATCTGAAGTGGCAGGCATTGGAATTTGGAAAAATGCAAAGTTCGTGACGGAAACGGTCTGGAAACGGTGGCTGTGTCCATGAATGTATATTTGCCCATCACGTGTATCGGCATTTCTTTGGAAGCCGAACGGCCGGGAACATTACACGTACGCGCAGGCATGACTGTCATTCTCCTTCAAGTTGGTCCCAAGAGCTAGATGCTCTACGACAACTTGCTCCTCCCTGTACTTCTACGTCTTTAGGTTATCAAGGTTCTCACGCGCGTAGCATCTCGCCATGCCTACCCTCCGAGACATGATTCGGGGCCGCGTTGGCTCGCCACTGACGTACCACAGAATGCTTCTCTATGGCGTATTGTCTACTGCGGCTGTTTCAGTGACCATCGCAAACGCCCTCCAGAGTCATAGCAACTTCTACTCTTTGGCAATATACCTGTCTAAAAGTAATAGAAGCGTTCTGGTTTGTCTTCCGATTCTCGCAGCGTGCACTGTGCCTTGACTGCTTTGTAGATTCTTGCCAACTTTGGAGTGCTTGTCGCTTTGCTATGTGGGCAGGTCTTTCAGCGGATATTCTTTGGGGAACTGAGAGCTCAAGAGGTTGAGGTACGTATCAAGCTTTGCGACCACTGACCTGGGTTCACGTGTGCTATAGCGCCTGTATGATCGACTCTGGATCTTTGTCACCGAGTCCCTGCTCGCATTCACGATATTCAGAGATGACTTCGACATCCCCTTCGCTATGATGTTCGGTTTCCTGCTATTCGTCAAGTCATTCCATTGGCTCGCTTCTGACCGCATTGAATGGGTGGGTGTACTCGCCTTTGTTCATTCAGTTCATCAGCACTGACCAGCTTGAAGATGGACCAGCGCCCATATCCTGGACCGCCCGCTCTCTTTCATCTACGAATGGTGTCTCTTCTTGGTATCCTTTCTTTGACAGATGTTGTCATGTTTGCGTTTGCTGCGGAGAGTACGACCAGAAATGGGGTCGGAGGAATGATGATGTTTGGGAGCGAGGTACGGAGTAATAATGTATTCAGTCATCGCAAAAACTCACTATTTTATCAGTATGCTATTCTTATGGCAAGCGCCATGAACACGACTGCGAAATATCTTGTTTGTGTCAATGATCTCCGGCGTGCACGGCAACGAGGCGGAGAGAATGCTCCTCCTTGGCAGAATAAGAGCATGTGGCTATTCTACATTGAGCTTGCAACAGGTGCGTTCTCTTCGAACCTTTAACGTGGAGTTTGTTGCATATGAAACTGGCATGTGATAGACTTCTTCAAACTGACCACGTACCTGATCTTCTTCATGGTCATCGTCGCATTCTACGGGCTTCCCCTCAACATCATCCGAGATGTGTATCTAACTGGTCGCTCCTTCATCACACGACTACGAGCGCTTTTCCGGTATCGGGCCGCGACTCGTAACATGGATCAGCGCTACCCTAACGCTACCCAAGAGGAGATGTCTGCCATGTCGGATCGAACGTGCATCATTTGCCGTGAGGAAATGAACGTTCAGCCCGACAATGCCGACAGCGGAAATGCAAACCAAGGTCAGGATGGACCTAACATGACCCCCAAGCGCCTCCCGTGTGGTCATGTCTTCCATTTCTATTGCCTACGTTCTTGGTTGGAACGTCAACAAAGCTGTCCAACATGGTGAGTGGCGCCTTGTGCGATTTTGTATGCATACCTAATCCGTCTTCAGTCGCCGAAGCGTTCTGGAGACGCCCGGCCAGCCCCAACCTCAGCCGAATGGCAGAGCACCCCCACCTCAGCCTGGCGCTGCCCCTCGTGCACCCAACTTAGTTGGCGGGCAGGGCGGCGCGGGTGGTGCTCCACTCAATAATCCCTTTGGTGGTTTGCTCGGCCATCTTGTTGGTAATGGCGCCCAACCGCCCATTGTTCCTGGCCAGTTCGCCAATGCGCCACTTCCGCCTAACCTACTCAACAACCTTCCCAACCAAGCGCAGAATGCAGGTCAGCAAGCATGGCCAGGACAGACGCCCGGCGTATTGGTCCAGTACAACATTTACCGGCAAGGAGACGAAGGCGTGCCTCGACCCTCCGCCCAACGGGCGGATCCTACCACTCCGGCCCCCCGTTTCATGGGCTTCTTTGGTCCCGGAGGAAACTGGCATCAGTGGAACATGGATCAACGCTGGTTTGAAGGACGTCAGAACGGTGCTGCGCCTCAACCAACTTCCACTAACACGTCTGCATCATCAATCCCGGAATCGGAATCGTCAACAAGTACAACGGCACCTCCGGCCGAGTCTCCGCTTATACAAGAGAGTCGGATTGCGGATGAAACGGAGTCGTCAACTCCGCCCTCACGGCCCGAAACTCCTCGTGAAGCAGCTGCCCAGGCAGCATTGAGACGTTTTGGTGGAGGCTCTGGCACCCAGCGGCCTGCGCAACCTACGCATATATCGTTCTCAGATACGAGCGCCGGTAACATACCTCGGCCCACCCCAACCGTCAAAAACGGGAGCACACCGTCAGTACCAGCCTCCGAACGTTGGGACATCCCCTCGTTGATTCCTCTGGACGATATCTCGGCCGACCAAGGCTCATTCGGAGCAAGTACCTCACCACCGCAAGGTCATGCCGCGACATTCCCATCACCGTCAAGCTCGCAAGTACCTCTCACTCAACTTCCCTCCGTCATATCAGACGCCCAGCTCGCTACGATGGACCGGGTGACACGTGAGGCAGTCGATGAGCGTTTGCGCGTTTTGGAGAACATCTCTATCACTGTCAACCGCTGCATGGATGACCTCATGCGACTGAGGAGTGCAATGCCGCCACCTCTGAGTCCTGACCTGGGACAAAATGCACAACCGTCTGTTCCGCCAGCACCTCAGCCTTACAGGGCGGAAGGGGAGAGTAGTTCAAATTCAACTTCAAGGACGTCTTCCAGGGAAGAAGTACCGTCCTCGGAATCGTACTAGATTGTAGATTGTTCATTAAATAGCCATAGCCAACCATACGGTTCTCCTGGTCAACATGATGTCTTATTTGGAATAACTCATTGTTATTGTGTCATTAATCATTACATTGATTGAGTGGTGAGGGTAATTAAGGCGATTATACAGTACGTCTAACTCGGTGGTGTGGTATACACCAGAATCAGCTCTGATTTGTGGCGAGGGCTTGTGCTCTTTCTTTCACCAGATTAGGGTCGACCTGGAATCTCTCGATTTGGGAGTAGAAAATTTTATACACCTGCCCGAGATGCTTCCTTGGGTCCCCACTTCCCAGAGGGTGTTCCTTGAAGATGTTGTTCAGCACTTCGTCGACCTGCGCCTCAGTCAGGAGAGGAGGCAAGAAGTCAGAGATGAGAGCAGCCTCTTTACGTTCCTTCTCTGCTAGGTCTGGTCGAGACGCTTTCTCAAACTCTATAGCAGCATCCGTCTACGGCGCGTATGGTCAGCGGGCCTGGGTCACTTCTTTGTTCTAAAGCATGAACGTACCCGACGTGTAGTGGCTTTGCGCATGATCTCAAGTATAACAGAGGGTGCCGCCTTGCCGTCGGTGCCTTTGTCACGAGCATATACTTCCGAAAGAATTGACTGAAAGGTCCGTTAGATGTGTCTCATTTTTCACGGAAACCATAGCACTCACGCGTAATGTGGTGGATGTTGCAGTGTCTTTGCTCTGTAGACGGAGTTTATCAGCGGACCGATACGTATACTGAAGGTTATCATAACTGGACCTTCATGGCGGTCTTGACGGCGCTTTGCAGCCTTTCGCGCATGTCTGCCATGGTGCCACTGTTAAGAAGTCCTTTCCGAGTGTTCAATAGTGAAAACAGTACCTTCATGAGAGCTAATTGTCGTTGAGTACCACCGTTGACGGTGGAGAGCAAGACCCCTTCGCGAGATAGCCCTGATGAATTGTGACATACTGAGTGGTATGTAGGTGAAAGCGAAAGTTAGTATACTAAGGGCGCGTCAGGAAAGCTCAGGAAAGCTCGCGTTTCTCGCGTACCTGGATTTATTTAGCTTGTATTGCTGCCGCTGTCATTCATACGATTGATCGTTTGGCACAATATCCGGCATGGCAGTTGCATACCCATTTGTAAGAGCTAGAGACTGTTAGGTGTCCTTGATTCCATTGCAAAATTGCGTGGCCTGACTCAAGCTGACTCGATACTCAAAACTATTCGTCACATCCAAGGCCATGTGAGCTAAGTATGCGCCTCAAACTGATCGCCCATCTGAATCTCTCCGAGAGCTGTACAAGCACGCATACAGCGCCAGTAATTCTTCGATCTTCGAGTACAACCGACGGTATACAAGACGATGAGCTCCCAAGAACCGCCTTATCCTCCGTCCGGAAATTATGTGAGCGCAGTCAAAGAGTCGAGTGCATCATTGTGCCAGAAAGCTGGGGTCAAGGTGAGCATCTGCAACATGGCTTTATGCCCTAATATCGGTCGGTCTCCACATCATGGATCATGCATATGTGTGTATCATGCGCACATCTAAACCTCTGGATACCGTCTCAGCCATTCACTTTCCGAACGACATGTACATCCTGGTTCACCACCGCTTTTATAGGTACCTCCTGAGTCCATCGATCGCCTTTTGCGCTCTCCGGCGTTCAAGAGCTCCTTCAAACGTGTTTCGGCAGTCCATGGCCTTGCCTTTCCCCTCAAGTTCCCTTCGATAGTCTCAGAGCTCAACTTCCTATCCCTTTTGTCTCTCTTAAACTTTGCGTCTGGCTACCGCGCCGTCCTGCACGAGCAAACTGGCAGAGGAGCATGGGATAACATCAGAGCTTTTGCTTTCTCTCTTTACATCTCTTCCTCCACAGGCCAAGGGGACTATCTATCCGCTGCAGGCATGCGCAGCATTGGCGAAGCCAAAGTAGCTGAGCTCATGGGCGTAAATATCCAAGTTGAGCGCCCGCATGAAGGACTCCCGGGAGTGACTATCGGAAAGCTGGGTGGCCCAGCATACGAGTTAGTGAAGCTCATAGACATGACCTTGAAGGAGACTGGCAAGGTCTTGCAAGAGAATAGGTATCCTGACCTCGGGTCATTCGTCCTTGAGGCCTTGAAAAGTGGTGCCAATTCTGCAAACGGGCACCTGGATTCTGTTCTCGAGAAAGTGAGTATTATTATGTGACAGCCGGAGTACAAGATGCTCATCAAATCAGCTCGTTCGAGCAATCCCGGGGTTCCGAGATATGGCGATTGTTGAGGGTCAACGTAAGTGTTTAGGAATGATGGACTGTGCTGTCAACACACTCAGTGTTCACTCCCATTCCAGCCGTCTATTGCTTCAAGAAAGCTCTTTTCTTGATCCATGCTGTGAAGATACGATTTGGAGAATTATCGACATCCCCTTTCCCCATCCCCGATACCATCCAAAGTCCGGTATTCACCGACAACGTTTTGCCCTCTCTTCTTGTGCACCTTGGCGTCATCGACCTGTCAGAGGCAACACAAGGTCTCTCGGCTCTTTTCCCGGGTGCTGGCTCGGTCGAAAGGCTGGAAACGCTCCTCGCAGCGGCGCCAGAGGCAGAAGACAAGGCAAAGGTACAGAAACAGTCCCCAAAAGAAGGTCCGATTCTTTCCACAGAACAAGCCTACATTCTGCGAGCCGCGGCAATTTATGCTTGTGAACGTATCACTGAATACGCTCGCACCATCGACGAGAACTCGCTCGGAGAAGACGAACAGTGGATCAGGGGCATCACTTTACCGGAACTGGACATGTGGATATGGGCTGTGGCCAAAGATAGGCCTGATTATCGAGAACTCAAGAGATTTGCGTTAAGAAACACGGTGTACTTCTAGATGAGGTCGTTTGCTTCATCATATGAATCAGGTTGTACGTTATGGCAAGGCATTTATAATCTATGTAGCAGCCGGAATACGTTGAGGAAACAATAATCCCACAATTCATGTTTGAGAGCGGCGCAGCGCTCTGCAAGGATCTCTTCGTCAGTAGGCCTGTCTCACATTTTGAATACCGGGGCGCGACGGTCTAAGATATGGCTGGTAACTAGTGGGTCATTTCCATGCTACACTTCTTTGCAACGTCCTCAACCCTAAAAATTTCATGAAACCACGACGTCTTACGAGTTATTGGTGCACTGACATGGGTTAGCCTCCCGTAGGCAGACCTTTGTAGATTGCGGAAGATAGTCGTTCCTTATAATGGCATGGGTTCACTATGATATCGATGTGGCATGCATGTCCTGCTTGGACGTCGCTATGTAACGCAATCGTCTGACAACACATTGGTAGGGTAACTTGAGTTGACTCTATATTTTGAATAAAGGATCGAATGTCCGTTCACGATCCCTTCTAGCATCATAGCCGTGAAAGTAACTTTGTAGACATCCAAAACAGACCTAAATCAGATGTCCAAGAGGAAATCTGACGGAATAAAAAATAAGGACGTACAGGACTTCATCATGATAATGTAATACAGACGAGTTACTTTGTGCCCATCGTTCGCCGTATCGGGCTGCGCTGACTCAATATATCAAATCTCGTCAAGCCAGATGCTCCCCTCCGCCCAATGCTTACTGCCACATTACATGGTGCCTGGGCTAATCGTGGATATTAGAATGCCCTCAGTAAGCGGGCCACACTACAAACGGCTGCTCGGTCCAAAGACAATGCGGTGTTCTATGATAGAAAAGCCGCAAGACATCTACTTTGGGACCTTCTATGGCCGTTTGAGTTCGGGAGAGTTACAAGGGAGCAGAATACTGTCAGCCAGCTGTCAACCGTTTCTGTACCCATTGATCCTCCGTGGGTACATGACCGCTCGTGTTCGCGTGCGTTCTGTGATCATAATTTGTGAAAACTAACGACGATGAGGTTTCATGCTTGATGACACACATACACCGTTATTTAAACTGTGAAACCACGAGGACCTTGTGTCCAGCCGCATCCAGTTTGGTCTCCCCTAGGTAAACTATTTCGGAAGGATGGCAGTCGCTCCTTCTGGACGGAGTCCAAATCCCCTCGTAGCAAGGACACCGGGGGGCTGGAATACAGCACTTGAGCACCGATTAGGTTCTTGGATCCCCGACAGGTGTTGCACGTACCACACGGCTCGGGGTGAATTCGGGCTGCATCAGCAAGTTGGGGAGAGCTGAGCAATCTATCTGAGGTATAGGTATTCTCCGATATGTACTTCGGCACAGACATAGCGAACAAAATGTTGTTACCTAGTGTCCCGCTCCTAGGGGTACTTGTTTATGTCGAGGAAAGAATCTCTAGCATGGATGACGCCAGTTTGAGGTTACTTACTAAGTGGTGCCGCTCCCTGACCTTACCTTTGAGTGATTTCAGTTTCTGAACGCCATAGCATATTAAGACGACCCGTCAGATGGCAAAGAAACAGGAACTAAGCCATTCGTCAAAGCATGTCCGCATCAAGTACATTAATGTCAGCAGCAGAGTGCACATGAATCCCTTTTGAAACCTCCTTGCACTGCATCGTCAACAGCAGCCTCAAGTTGAAAGGGACCTTTGAGTTCATCAATCAGTGGTGCCGCTGAACACTGATGTGCATTCGACGAGAGGGACTGATTCACTGCCTGCGGTTGTCAATAGCGGACGAGGGCATGAGCAGTCCGGGGGTCGGGCCTCTAGAGAGCTTCAAAGTTCAAGGGATTGGTGAGATAGGTTGCGAGAAGGTTCCGAGCAGTTAAGGTTACACGCCGTTGCCATTGTATCGCGAGACTCAACCAATGGAATGCGTTGCGCCCTGGATGTCCTGGCAGCAAGAAGATACAGTATCTGTTCTGAGGATAAAGTGAGAGTCGCGCAGAGACGGTCGGTATCGAAGAGTAGCGAAGGATCTGGATGGTTTCAAGCAGTGGATGCAATCCCATCGCCATTGATGGTTCCGAGGTCCGGGCTTAAGGTTATGGTGAAAACGTTCATCAGCCAATGGCTGTGAGAATCTGTACATCCGACACGGCCAACGCGATGGTGAGAAGAAGAGGCACAAGCTGGCGAATGAGGTGAATAGACGAAAGCCGCGTCACCAATGCCGTGCAGATGCTTGATCACGAGAAAGTGTTGACAAGGGACCGTCGTGGTTGCTGAGTCCGCTGAGTTGCTCCCGAAACCAGAATCGTTAATAATCTGTGTCGCCTGGGGGACTGCCATGCCGGGGCGCAGGCGGGGAAGAACTCAGCGAGTCGTCAAAGTATAAAGCACATATCCTCCCAAACCCGTGTCCTTCTCGGAATTCCGCCTATCCACCCTTCCCGGTTAACCTGTTCCTGCGCTTGAACCTCCTACATTTAACGCGCCAATGGAGGTTGACAAGGAGGAGGTCTTTTCCACACCACCCACTACCCCCAGCGAGATGTCCCATTCAGAGCAACCCGTAGAGGAGCTGAGACCTTCATTCTCTCGCAGGCATAGCAGGCTATCTTCATCCTCATCGCTCGCGTCGTTGAAGACAGACATCGACTGGAACTCAGATATTGTGGTGGAAGGGCCCGAAGAGCCGTCGCCGAGTGCTGACCTCATACATCCGGCGGAGCCAAACACATTACATCAGGCTCAAGGCTCCATACGCATCACTCCGCGTACCAACGCTTCCGCCTCCGCCTCCTCCGCCTCCTCCTCAAGTTCAGCATCAAGTCCTGATTCTGGTTCATCTCTCTTCATGAATAACGATTCCTTACCTACCCGCTCACCGTGTTTCGTCCACTCGCACCTTGATAAAGGGGCCTCGCTTCAAGATTGGCTACACACCAAAGAACACAACGTTTTGGGCACGGATGTCGGTGTTGCACGATCCCTTCAACCACACCAAAGACCACAGCCTGCGTCCGATGCGCCCCCCGTAGAGATCCCAACATCGGATGGTCACTCAGACATCCTGAATGGCAACGAGGGAGAGGAATTGTACGGCGGCAGCCTCACTAAGCAACTTGCGGAAACGGCCGTAGGTGTACGAGAGATGAGCAAACAGCTAGGTACGTCGTTGAGGGCTGCCAACATGATGCAGATAATGACGCAAACATCAGGACGCGCTCGTATACGAACGCAGATCAACAGTGTTTTGATTGTTACAAAAGCGCGCGATAACAGGCTCATTAAACTGACGCGAGAACTTGCGCTCTATCTCATGCTCAAGCCACGGCAGGGTCAACGCGGGACCATAGTGTAGGTTCACTGCCTCGCACGCCTTTTCGATCTCACCTCGTTATAGTTATGTCGATCACCAGCTACGTAACTCTAGGCGGTTCAATGCCGCGGGCATCGAGCGCGATCATCCCGAGCTATTCGCTCCAATACCTCGTCGGCCTTCATCCAGCAGTAACTCGCTTTCGTCAATGTCGTCATCGTCCACACTATCATTCGATGAATACGTTACAAAGGAAGAAGGCCAGTTGCGGTACTGGACGAGCGACATGTGCAGCAAAAGTCCAAATCTATTTGACTTCGTGGTGACAGTAAGTCTATCTTCCGCTTACATCCGCATCTACTCAATTGATTATCAGCTTGGTGGAGACGGGACAGTATTGTTTACGTCATGGTTATTCCAGCGAATTGTCCCGCCCGTCCTTCCGTTTGCACTCGGCTCGCTGGGATTCCTCACGAACTTCGATTTTGCCGATTACACAGCCGTGGTGGACTCTGCTATAGATTCAGGTATCCGCGTGAACCTACGCATGCGATTCACTTGCACTGTCTACCGCGCTGTTTTTGAGAAGGACAAGTGCCGTAAGGCCGTCAAGAAAGCCGAAACTGGTGAGATCATGATGAAGAACATGGAGAAAAGCGGTTGGGAAGCACTGGAAGGAGGCTGGTCGGGCGGCATCTCATTGCCTGATGGGAAGTGCGCAAAGGATAAGGAGATTATGTGCTTTACAACGCGCCCGGTTGAAACGTTCGAAGTCCTCAATGACCTGGTAGTGGACAGGGGTCCTAGCCCCTATGTCAGCTTGCTTGAGCTGTTTGGTAGGTCAAGCACATCAGCAATTACTGGCATCGCTCATCCTTTTGATAGGTGACGAACACCATATGACAACTGTACAGGCAGACGGTCTTTGTGTGTCTACTCCCACAGGCTCAACCGCATATTCGGTGTGTCCTGCCTCTGATTTAACGCGTCACACATTTCTCAAGCCAACTCTGCTAGCTATCTGCCGGTGGTTCACTCGTGCATCCTGAGATCCCAGCGATCCTTATCTCGCCTATATGTCCTCACACACTCTCCTTCCGGCCCATGCTTCTTCCGGATAGCATGGAACTCCGTATTTGCGTACCGTACAACTCCCGCAGTACGGCATGGGTATCTTTCGACGGCAGGGGTCGCGTTGAGCTGAAACGTGCGTATACTCAGAATTTTGACTCCTTTCATCTGTTCACATCCTTCTAGAGGGTGATCATATCAAGATAACAGCCTCGAAGTACCCATTCCCGACTGTATGCGCTGACAAACAATCGACGGATTGGTTCCATGCCATCTCGCGGACCTTGAAATGGAATGAACGCGAACGCCAGAAATCATTTGTTGTTGTCGAGGAAGGCCCTCTCCAACGTAAAAAATCTGGAAAGAAACTCAAAGACGGAGCCAAACCGCCCATGAACGGCGAGAACGTAAATGAAGAGGATCTAGATGATGAGCTGGGCGAGTTGGACGAAGAGGACGAAGACGATGAAGACGAAGACGAAAAGTTTGACATCGATGATTCCTCGCCCCCAGATGCGAACGCAGAACTACGTGTACCAAACGAGCAGACTGCTCATGATATCACGGTCGGCGTGGAAAAGGCGCAGGAACAGGACATGCAACCAAGGGGCGACACCCTCACTTCGCGTGAAATGGCTGCGTTAGCCATCGGGCAATCGCTGAACGCGAAGGGCAAACGACGTTCTAAATCGCGCTCTCGCTCGCGAAAACGATCTGGGTTGACTTCTGGCGTTGACACTCCCGGCCGGTTCGCGGGTCCGGCGCATCATCCTCCTGCAATTGACCCTCGTCGTGTCACGTTTGCAGCGCAATCGTCCCCTACCCTTTCGTGTTCTTCGGACGACAGCCTATGTGACATGGGCCGCAATCAGCTCGGTACTCGCGACGACCTGCATTCGCGAGACCAATACTTTAGCCGTCGCAATCGCATCCCACAAGATCGCGATCTGTTCAGCGAGAGCGTCGCCACCCCAAGGGCCGCCGATAGCAGTGGACGGCGTAGCCATCACCGAGTAAGCTCGAAGGACTATGATCAGCAGCAACACAGAGCGTTCGCTGTTTGGGGAAATGACGAGAGCGACAGTGCTGCGAGCGACACCGACCCATAGTCGCTAGGCTATAGTGTCAGGCTACGAAGGTAGTTATATATGCATGACCTTGCTTGCGTTGCTCAGCAGGTCACACCTTTGATTTTCACTTTTCCCCTTTGCTTTCGTTGGTTCATTGCATTGTTTATATATCAACCGGGAATATCATGATGGAACAGAAGAGCTTGTAGGATAAGGTTTGTACATAGCACATACAATAACATCTTAATGGATATTTCCTATTTGTCCAACTTTCTCACGGGTCGTGCGTTTCTGCTTTTGAAGTCGAAGCTCTGAGAACAAACCCATCTGTGATGTATCCCTAACGATCGACTCCCAGTACGGTTTTCTCCAAATGTTTTCTCCGTCTTCAACTTATCTTCTGGTTGCAAACAATGCAGAGAATTCGAAGTATACTCCATTGCGACAAGTCCTGGCACTCTATGCCATAAAATCTTGGCAGCAGGGTTACGACAGGAAACCATCATATTTTCTAACGACGAAACCAAGATTGCCTGGGTCCATGAGAGCGAATATTCAATTCATTGCAATCAGCTTGTTGCGGTCCTCCGCCTGGACTCAGGCGCAAAGGTCTCTATTTCATCACAAGTTCTGCAGCTTCATAAAGCCAAATTTCAGGTCCCAAATCAACTTCTCACAATATTTGCGATGTCCTACTCAGACTCAACTCTTTCTGGGTTTCGTACCCGAACAACAACTATATCAGGAGAGCATTGTAATATATTGCTGTAAGTGTAATTTAATCAAAGAAAGGCCATTTATGTCCCATAAGGGCTTGGCCGCGTCTGTAGCTGAGGTCCCGCAAATGCACATTCGTACGTCGTAAACATCACCAGCACATGCAGCACTGCTGCATAACAGATAAACGCCGTCCTTGTCCGGCGATTTGCCAAAATCGCCCGCGTAAGCATAAGGACACCCCGTTCGATGGGATTCAGCGCTTCGTAGGCACGCGTTGCTTCCTGTTTGCACATTAATGAGCCTCTCCTTCAAGAGCAAAAATCATAATGAGTCGTACCCGGCCTCTGAACGCCTCGAACGGGTTCATGCTCTCCTCGTACCGCGCCCGCCACTTGCCCATGTCGTCGCCGTTGCGGCTACTACTCGCTCGGCCGCCTGTTGATGATGAGGAGCCTCCCAGCGGATCGAGCTGCGTTGTCGAGTCGTCCCGGTAGCTCTGCATGTACCGCACTTTCTCGTACAGCTTCAAGTTATCGCCCTGCAACGACTTGATGTCCGTGCGCAGCTCGGAAATAATGCTGAACTGCTTGCGGAGCTCCTGAATGTTTTGCAGAATGTTGAGGCCACCAACGTTGTAAGTATAGGCAAAACACGCACCTCCTCGAGCTCGGCATTTCGCTGTCGGAAACGATCACGTTGGCTTGTGACAATTGGTAAGATAGATGTATCTGCTGCAGAGGCGAACGGTATCGTCGTTCCGCGTGCCCCCGAATCCTGCATAGGCACAGAAGGTTAATCCTTGTAGATAGTAGGCGGAGAAGATTATTTATCCACATCATCCGTGACCAACTCACCGTACTCTTCTTGCCTAGATCTAAATCCCCAAGCACATCGTCCGCCGATCCAGAAGCCCGCCCCGGAGTCGGACGAACACTCGCATCGCCGTTGTTTGTGGTCTTGCTCGCACCCGCATCCATCTTCAGTAGGTCATCCTCGAGCTTGTCGTTTAGCGTACGCTGCTTCTCAAGTTCTCCCTGAGCGATTGTGAGCTCCTCCCGAGCACCACGAAGGGATTCTTCCAGTTCCGCATGTATAATCTACAGGGGACGTGTATCGATTTCATCATTCGCAGCGAGAAATTCCCAATCGTGACTTACCCGGAACCGCGTAAGCTCCTCTAGCATCCGCTTGTTCTTTGTGGCCAGTAAGACTTCCAGAGACCTGCCACGCTGCGCGTTCGCCTTGTCCGCATTCGGATTCGGCAGCGCGAGTTTGCCATCCAGGCCGTTTGGCGTGCCCGCCATGGAGTCGCCCCATGCATCTCCATCCCCATCCTCTGAATCTTCGGGGTCGTCATTCAAGCCCGCGAATTCGACGTACTGCAACCGAAGCATAATCAGGAATTGAGGTGACGTCTCTTGTAGACATTATACGCACCTTCATGATTTCGAGCTCTCGCTTCACCTCGTCGTAGTCTGCGCATGTCTTGAGCTTACTTTTGAGGCTTTCAATCTCTCGATCCTACAGAAAGTCAGATATCGGTGTTTCCGGTGATGTCAAGTCACCGACCCGCTCAGTGAGCTCCTTGGTGAATGCGTCGACGCGTCTGCGGGTATCTTGCTCGACCTCAGTTGCGGAGGCTCGTTGTGTATCTAGCGATGCCTGTAAGCGGTCGTATGATTCTGTAACCGATTCGAGCTGTGCTGTGAGAGACCGAACGCTGTACATGCGCATCCACAGGTAATGAGGAATATTCCCGAACACTGATGTGAACGAATGTGCTCACTGCTCGCTGGTCTCGCTCCCACTGCGCATCGCTTCAATCTCCGCACGAAGAGCCTCCTGTTCATTACGATTATGAGCGAGGAGATAGCGCCAAGAAATGAAAGCGTACGTTACGCTGCTCGACCAAAGCGACTCTGCTGTTGGCACGTTCGAGGTCCGCCATGATCATGTCGGCCTCCGCGAGCCGTGATACGACCTCCTGGTCTGTATGATAGGGCCCGTGAAGGCATTGTCCAGGATCAGAAAGGAAATGGGCGCGACAATTCAACATGAGAACAGATATATGAATGGACATGCTTCGATGTACGCACCCATACGCTGGCTTTGATCGAACAACTTAGCTTGGTTGCTCTCATTTGACGTGCGCAGGTCGCGCAATTGGTTCTTGAACAGCGTGACATGCTTCTGCAGGTCCTGCTCCCTACGAACGCGGTATCAGCACTGCTTTGCTATGATACCATGTCAATACTCACCTTTCCTCGTAGTTGCGCATCCGCTCGTCGTATGCAGCATTGAGTTCATTCTCTTTCTGCACTACTTTGTCGTGGATCATCTCCTCCATCTAAGGGAGAAACAGCAAGTAAGCGCCTACGACACCTAGCAACGCAAAACGCAAAACAAACCTTGGTCTCCAGCGTGCTGACACGCGCCTCAGCACGTTTGCGCGCCGCTTCTGCTGGCCCAGAGTCGGCTGCCTTCTTCTTGAGCTCGGCATTCTCAGATTTGAGGCGGGCGACCTCAGCCTCGAGCTGAGGTAAAGCAGAGAGGTGTGCGGTTTGGTCCTGATGGAAGCCACAGAATAAGATTAATCACGACAGAAATGATGAGCACATCCAAGGCTTGCTCAAGCAACGTACAACAGCAGCCTCCAGCAAGGGATATGGATCAGGTGCTTCCGCTAACACTTTGTAGACGTGGAGAAACGCGTTCTCTGCTGTCTTCGAGCGCTTCGTGAGGGCGTCGATTTCCGATTGGTATGCTAATAAGTGAGGACGTGCCAGAGATAGAACCGCGTCGGTGGAGCAAAGAGTCAGGATGGTAACTGAATCGAGAACATGCATGCAATAACCAAAGACACACATTTGAGGAGGCCCTTGAATGCATTGAGTTTCTCTTCATCCGAGATCTTCTTGAATTCTGTGTGCGCGTTGAATGGCTAGCAGGTTATGCAGTATGACGAGGGATACACACCCTTGGTGCGGTCAGCGAGTGCTTTGCGTCCCACAACACTCTCCTTCTGGTTGTCTACGATTTCAATTCCTTGTGCGTCGAGAGTCTTCTGAAGATCCGCTAGGTTGACAGCTATAGGCGTATATGCAGATAAGTCCAGGAATGAATACAGGTTACGGCCACGCACATTTCCAGGTGGCTAAGGCGCCGGAGAAGTTGGACGAGCCATCAAGACTGGTGCTCATGTTTGGGCCTAAGACAAAGATTTCTCATAAGCATCGCATTTTTTAGACATGCCGATCCCGACAATTAGAAATGAGAAACATACCTCAGGTGATGTACAAGTTGGCAGCCCGCTGCGAGGGATGAGGTAGTGGGACCCCGTAGTCGCGCTGCGCGTACCGACTGCCCCGAATTGGCAGTCTTTACCGAAGCTTCTTCTAGGACCTCTGGCACCCACTGTCACTTTGCCTCCGACTTGCTTTTTTCCTGTCCGCCGCTGCAGCTGCAAGTAACGCGTCTGTGCTGGTACAATGCGGGGCCTACAACTCCTTGCCCGTCCCGCAATACGCGGTTACGCGTCCACTGCCCGCCCCTACGTTCCCCCCGCCCAGCTCGCCAACGTCGCCCCGGCCTCGGCGCCTCAAAAACCTCGCCCCGAGTCTCCCTCGTTCTTCACGGTCCGGCCAGCATACTACGACCAACTCTATGAGCTCAACCAGGCCCTTTCCCTCTCCAGGCGCGCCCTCAGGTCCCAATGCCTCCTCCCCCTCCCTCCCTTTGCCCGAGATGCTCTTCGCCCGATGCCGTCCATGTGGCGAACGCGGGGCGACCTCTCGGACGTTATGAGCACCCCTCTCTCCAACACCCGCTACAAGAGCATCACCAGCGTCCTCGACCAGCTGCATGAATGTCGCCGAATTGCCTGGACAGCCGGCTCTCTTGAGCTCGCCGTGGGCATCTCGGACGTCCTCACCTCCTTCGAGCATCGTAACCTCGACGCGGTGACCAACCGCAAGCGCAAGGAGCGCCCTCTTGACGAGCACGGCCGCAGTTACACCGTCGGGCGTAGAAAGACAAGCTCAGCCCGTGTGTGGATGATTCCCGTTCAACACGATGCCTCCGCCTCCACGTCAGCACCAGCGTCTGAAACTGTTGCTCCTCCTCCTACACCAGCCCAGGCATCTGTGAATAACGACATCGACGCCCTCTTCGGCTCCTCCGCCGACCGCACCTCCGAACCCGCCTCTACAGCCCTCGCTGCCGCACCCATCTTGTCCTCCCCAGCACAGAGCGCACCCCCAGTCAAGCTCGCCGAGGTCCTCGTGAATAATATCCCCATCCACGAGTACTTCCAGAACCCTACCGACCGTGCCCGCATCGTCCGGCCCCTCACGCTCACCGGCAGTCTCCCCGCATACAACATCTTCGCCATCGTTCGTGGAGGCGGTCTGTCTGGCCAGAGCGGTGCCATTGCGCACGCCATCTCCAAGGGCATTGTAGTGCACGACGCGCGGCAGGAAATCAAGGATATCCTCAAGAAAGGTGTGTGCCAGTATTGTATATTACCTTATTTTGCGACTGACGCGACTTTCCCAGCTAAACTGCTTAGACGTGATCCTCGTATGGTTGAGAGGAAGAAGACTGGCCTTGAGAAGGCTCGCAAGCGCGTACGTTTCGTGTCTGATTTTACTTGTCGAAACCTCATACTGATATATTGTTCAGCGTGCTTGGGTCAGACGTTAACGTCCTTCAGCTGCCTACTTTCCAATGGGTTTACTCTTGCATATCTACGTTTACGCTATCATCATGGCCGTCATACTTGCTTTTTCAGCATATACTTAATAGCCACCCAGAATACTAGACCATTCCATCTCAGGTGGACAGACAGACAGACAAGCAGATGGAAGGTGTGTGCAGTGAATGTATGAGAGGGGTGAGGTCAAATAAAAAGAATAAGATACTAAGACTAAGCTATTAAAAGACACGCGGTGGTCATAGAGCAAACGAGAGTCAACCGCAAACGACTGACGGCAGCATGTATGCGAGCATAACCAACATAAAACGCGCATATACAGTATCCTCCAACCATCCGCCCATAGTCCAAGAGATGCCTTATTGCCAATATACCGTCTCAACATCGCTCTGTGCAAATCCAAGGTTACAATGAGGACATCGTCTCTGACGTGTTGAAATCCGTGCGTCGACACACTCTTTGCAGAAAGCTTTTGGACGTCAATAAACACCCAAATATGCGATGTTAAGGACACGTACTGTGCATGCACTTTGTGAGTGCGACTTCTCTTGGTCGGAGTTTGCAGTTTGAGCAGTTGATGATTTTCTGTCAAGTTCATCAGCAAAGATGTTCTCCGACGCATTAATGACGAACACATACCATGGCCTTCTCAACGTCGCTCATCCCCCGTTCCTTCTCGCGCCCCTTCCCTCTACTCCCTTCCCTCTCTCGTTCGTTCTCCCGTTCACGCGCCGCCTCTAGCTCTTTGCGGGTGCTGACAAGGTCTGCCTCGACTTTCTTTGCATGTGCAGACTTCTGGCGCTCGTTGTTGAGTTCAGCCATCATCGCCGCTTGCATCTGCTGCCCGCTCAGTACTCCATGCCATTACGTTGGTTAAAATTTGAGTTACTCACCGAACGCATGCGCTCGTGGTCAGTAGTCTGGCGTCCCTGCGCCGCCTTGCACTCCATATCGAGCCTCTGCAAGATCTCCTTCTGATTGTCTAGCGTTCGCTTCAGCGTAGTGTTCTCCTTCTCGCATTCGGCCTGTGGGACGGGGAGCAGCTCGTAAGAAGCATAACCAGCAGGAGTAAATTGGGGCGCACGATTTGCATGATTAGGCTACGCTCCGATTCCTGCATTTTCTCAATTGCCTTCGTCTGCTTCTCGCCGTGCCGTGCACTGGTCTTTCGTTCTGCCTCTCCCGCCTCTTTCTCTTTGAGGATAGCGAAGTATTTCGTCTCCATCCTTCCTTTCTATGTACCCAAGATATTGTCAGAGATGCGCCTAAGAAATGACGCTGTATACTTACATCATTGACCGCCTTCGCCAGCCTCTCTTCCCATCCCTTCAGCTGCTGTGTCTGGGTCTTGACCCGAGCATCGAGACCCTCCCACTGTGTTGAGAGCTGATCCAGTTCAGCATAAAGCGTCTTCTCCGCCTGCTCGCGCTCCTCCATACTCAACCTGAGCCTATTTAGCTCTTCATCCTTCTCTTCGAGCAAGCTAGGCGAGACACTAGAGGCAGCTGCTCCGATCATCGAACGGTAGCGATCCAGCTCGGCCCGGGCATCAGCCAACTGCTGTCGCGCAGCAGCCTCAGACACGGCGTGTGCCGCGACATCGGGATTGGACACGTTGAATGATGCGAGCGTCTCCTCGTGCGCAGCGAGCTTCGATTGAGCGTCCCTGAATTTCAAACATAGATGAGCACGTGGCCCGATCAGCGATGACGTATATACGGCGATCACAGAGAGGAACTCACTTGAGCTTTCGCTCAAGCTCAGAGACATAGTCCACGTCTTCGACCTTGCCTTCGAAGAAGAACCGCATCAGGTCTGCATGGCCTTCTTGTCCAGCAATGCGAGCCTTGCATCGTGCCACCTCCGACTGAAGCACCTTGATACGCTCCTGATAATGTGCTGTTAATAAACCACATTATAGTCAATCTCTCAGACGCACGCACCGAACGTGCATCAACAAGCGCCTTCAGGTCGTCCACGGACCTCATCTTCACGCTTTCTTTGTGCTTGTATGACTGCACTGTTGACGTTAGGCTGTCCCGAGCTGCTCGGAGCCGTTGTATGTCATCCTGAGCTTTGTCAAAGCTGGCTTTCGCCTCTTGCACTTCCTTCCGCACTTCCGTCTATTGCAAGTGACTTGATAAAAGAAAACACGCCTAAATCTTGAGAACTTACCCGCAATGTCTCCTCAAAATCAACCCGAGACGCTTTCAGCTTATCCAGTTCGTCACGCTGTTTCTGCAGTTCGCCATGACTTTGCGCATGCACCGCCTCAGCGCGTGCTACACGCTCCTGAAGGTATTTGACGGCAGGACATTGTAGTATCGCCTCTTCCGATGGCGATTGGGCCTGATTTTGCATTGTGTAGGCATCAGATCACAGATTGCTCAAGACTGGTCATACACACACCTCGACTTTTAGGCGGATATTCTCATCAGCAAGTGTTGACCTCTCACTCCGCAACTTCAGTATTTCTTGATCGCGTTGCTCAATGTCGCTACGGAGAGATCGCTCGAGTTCTGGGTCACGATCATAACCATTCTCCTTCTGTGAGAAGTGTGTAAGGTGAATGATCAGAAAGGAAGCAACGTACAAGACCTACCGGTGGCGAGTGTGCTTGACGCGGGGGCGACTTCCCCTTTTCGTCTTTAGGCTCTTCTTTCCCCTCCTTAGGCTTCCCAACCAACGTTTCTGCGACAACTGAGCTCTGTAGTCTGTCTATCCTCATCTCAGCAGCAGTAAGCTCTTCCTGATACTTCTGGTTCTGGTCTTCGAGGCCTTCTAGCTTCGTCTGTACCAAAGCTAGTTGAGAGCGGAGAGCAGAACACTGATAAGCGTTAAGCACGAGGGATGAGGAGGGAATAAGCTTGTGGCTCACCTCGCGCTGTGATTTCTGGATGAGTGTGGCGTGATGTGAGGCTGCGGGCGGTTGGTGACCCATCTTCATGAAGCTCGTGACAAGCTTCTGCGTGGCGAGCATGTTTTTCTCCAATGCTACTTTGAGACTTGAGTCAGAAGAGACATGCTTGGATAGTTCAAAGAGGTCTATAATGAAAATTGAGATGCGATACTTGGCAAAGAGACAGATGACGCACCGTCCGTCTGCATATCTTCTACCGACAACTGCTCTTGAGGTGTGAGCGCATGGATGGTGTTCACCAACTACGCAAGAATTAAGTCAGTGTTCTGCGACTCGCTTAAGGTTGGTACTATTCTTTACCTGTTCCCAGCAGGCCGCCATAGCCATGAGCCCTGCTTCGCACGTAGACTTGCGTTGCTCAAGCTGGGCAATGCGCATCTGACTCTTCTCATTCTCCCGCGAATAGTGTCTCATACGTCGAAAGATGGCATCCTTACGAAACAGCTGTTCAAGAGCCCTTCGTCACGACACACACATACACACTCTACAGTCTCTGGAAGTTTACCTCTATCTTGTCAGCTTCAGGCGCAGCCTGGTCTGCACCTTTGGGTTCCGGGAGACCGTTCACACCAGAGACTGCCCGCTTCTTGGACTGCGATAGCTCTCCATCACCAGCAAAGTGCCTCTTCTTCGTTTCCATGTTGAGGTGTGTGGCAGACGTGAGCCGAGAGTGAACAAGAGAAGAAGAGAGGAAGTGGCTCAGAGCCCCTGCCAGAGACCAGTTTGTCGGCAAGGGAAACCCCAAATTTAAACTCCGCTAACATATAAATTCGGGAAGCTCAGACAACATTTCTACAGCGGACCCACACAGCACAACACCCTCATTGACCAGTGAAAATATTGTGTTGAATATAGCTAGCTTAACGGAAGAGATAGGATTCATGGGTACGTCGTGATGGATATTCCATATTGTTCTTGATAAATAGGTTCGTACAAGTGATGAACTCAGTAAGTCGGCAGCTTCAGCTTCACTGCCTGATCCTCCTTCAGCTCAACAATCTCGCAATCCGACGGATCTCCGTTTCCAATTTGTGTCTCAACGCAGGTAAAGTCCATGTACTGTTTTACGACTCATGTAAGACGAAGAAATGAATCAACTAGTTGACCGAAGTGCTTACCTTTCCCAAGACAGTCATAGGTTGATCTGCGTCGAACAGTCCTAGTCAGCCACAGTATTATCCACAAAGCCAAAACGTCACTTACGCCATTGGCCCTCCTTATACATGATTCCCTGTCCCCCGCTAGCCATAAATGCACGCAAGGTGCTCGCGTCTGGCTTATCATCGGCTCCGTTCTTCGCCACGACCACCAGGTACGTGTTTCCAGGGTCCTTCAAAACTTCATCGCCCTCTTGGCCACCGCCCCCCATCGGTACAAACGCCTGGGTCGTGTACGGGTGTCTTTCTAATACTGTCACGTCAAGAAATCCTCCCACAGTAGCCTCCACTGGCTGGCATCTATATACTGACAAACCCAGGGTTGCGTCTTTGTTTGGATATGACGACTCCATCAAGGCTAGCTTGTGGAATTTATTCGCCGTGCCTTGATTTGCGGGAGTGATCCTTGTTCCGCGCGGCGCAGCAGTCAAGTCGGTGTATGCTTGGATAACTTCTCCATACGACACAAACGCCTCTGGTGTCAGCGGAAGGACCGGGACGATTCTCGCATCGTGGTTCTGTGTTTGCTTCTCTGGCTTGACAATATCGGCTGTACCTTCAATGCTTGTCGCTGTGTCTTTCCGGCCTCCTTTTGAGACATCAGCACGCACACCTATAAGACGCACCCTCTTGATGCCTCCGTCCGGATATATCGTTGCCTTTACATGGGTGTAGACTTTGCCCGCGACGTTCTCCAGCTCGAAGAAATGCCGCCGATGCGGACCGAGTTTTGCTTTCGGCAGAATAGTCACCCACGCCTGATCGTCGTTGGGAACATCCTCTTGGCTTTCTAATGCTTGGAGTTCGCAGCTTTCCGGGAAATTGCCTTTGAAATGTGCGGTATCGATTTCCGTTGTACTGAGGATCCCCGGAGCACCTCTAGCTAGAATTAGCGAGCTGGTTCGGACACGGACTGTTGCGCTTACAGCTTGATGATAACCCAGTCCTTGTGCCCTTTCTGGCGACTTCGTTTTGTCTCCCACCCGTCCCCCATGTCCTTGCCCCGTCCCGGCAATAGCAAATTGCTACCCACCCCAAAATGTTGGTCAGATGTCAACACTACACGCCCTCCTGCAAATACATGTGCCAAGTCAAATGATTCATCGGGGTCATCGGGATAGACTGATGCGACGTGGCCATACACTCTAAAGCGCGCCTAGGTTAGGCGCCTTAATCATCTCCCGCGAATTGTAAAGGGATGGGTGTGCGTACAATCCCCCCATCTGGGTACATATTAAGTTTGACGTAGTTGTATCGCGTGGTTTCCGGGATTTTAAAAAGGTGTCTTGATGAAGGACCGAGTGGAACCCTCGGGAGGATCTCCGACCACTTGCAGCGAATGAGAGATGATTTCATAGAAAGTGATGGCGCTTACTTCGGAACTATCGTGCCCTGGTTTCTCGCCAGAAGTGCTGAGGAGTGCATCAACGGACACCTCTGGTGCCTCGTTGCCTAAGCATTCCGAGATAAGATCTAAGACGATATGATGCCCCCTGGGTGGTTACTTGCCATTGAAGTGAGTCGTATCTACATCAAACCCGACGATGGTGCCAGAAGTTCCAAGCTTGAGAATGCACCTGCCATGCACATGAGCGTTGATTCAAAGTCATGGCTCTCGACGCACCAGTCAAAGGTAGGATTGTGCCGTCTGCTCTCCCAGCCACTGTACAAAGCGCCATTGGGTCCGAACTGTCCTTTCAGGCTGGGCGCTGGCTGAGAAAGATGTCATGAGTAGTACTTTAAATAGACGCCAGAACTATGGCTTTGTTTACTTCAACCACGATTAAATGATGCGCTGCGGCAAAGAAATCGTCAGAGACGTTCACAATGGATCCGCCAAGGGCCACGCTCGAGAGCTCTGTGATAGCGCACACGACTCAGCACTTGTCTAATCATAGGTCAGAGATCGCACTTGCCAGTAGTGCCTCCAAATTCATGATGAAAGTCGCTCAGATCAACAGGAGTAGAGGCCATCGTCATGTCGCGGAGTAGCACGGAAGGTGAAGTTGCTGAAGGAGTTAAATGAAGTCGAGCAAGCAACGAGCGAAACAACTGTGTCTCCTAGTAAGATAAGGTCCAACTTAGTTGGCTTGGTCTTGTGTTGACTTGGTGAGCGTCCAGATAATCAAGTCCGGTTCTTCGGTCCGACAGCCCCTGGTGTTGGCATTTTCTGCTCACACGAACAGCTTATCTAGATTTGTTGCGCTGGCCTGCGCAAGTTATCATGAGACCTTGCAAGAGGACAACGTTGATGCAGATGATCCGGTTCTTTATTTATGCTATGTATCCGCCGGCAATTGAAAACCTTAATCGTGTTGAAGGGCTTGCATCCTTTTCCCGCTGCACTCGTATGTCATAAAGTTAACGTTGATGTGTACATAGATCTATATTCACCGATTGTATTATACAATTGTATTATACACATCGCAATCGCAAGGTAACAAGAACATTAGAAGAACAAATATGGTCCATGACGTTTCGCCAAGCAAGGAAGTCAAGAGTGTCTTCACTGTCCAGGCATTCCCTCAGGAAAATGCTCCTTGAAGAGCTCGGGATAGAAACGCGCGGCTATATCGGGGCGGCTCCTAGTGCGATGATGTATATCGTGAGCCACGCCGCTTCTCTTATGTATAGTTTGACTTACTTGATGCGTCCAATCAGGCACACTTTGCCGAATGGCTCTCTGTCGTACTCGGCGAAGTTGATGGCTGCATGAGGAATAAGTCCAAAATAAAGAAGATCTTAATTATCCACATACACTCAGTTTCGCCCAGGTCTCCGCGGATCTCTTTCAACTTGAGTATCTCCGGCGGGACTTGAGGGAAAGGCTGCAATTAGCGAGCATGATTCAATAGAAACTCACGAGAACGTACAATCCAATATTTCATCAGTCAGCCTGGCATGGAGACTGATGTTCTGGAAGAACGGAACTGAATAACGAGGCGTAGATCCCACAGGTGGCGAGAGAACGCGGTGGGACGTAGCCCGTGCGAGCCCCCTGGTGACAAACTCAAGCCCTATTTGACGCCACGATTAGAGTCAGCGTCTGAGCCACGAAAGCAAACTACCTTTGCCAATATTGATAACGAAGGTGTCAGGGATCGGCGCTGCATCGATCCATTCGCCTGAGAGATTCTGAACCTGCAAACCTGGGTGCGGGGTGGCTTGTAGCAACTATTGGAAGAGGAAAAAAAAATCAGCGTCGACCGTGATCCGGACTCAACAATAATGCTCACGAAAGTCAAAAAGCCAGCATCGTAGTGGGGACCGACCCCAGGGTCGCCATTGGATCCGTCCGCCGCGGGAGCCGGATACTTCGCTAACTAAAACGTTGCAAAGAGTAAGTTTGGAATCTCAGATAAAGAAATTTTCAGACTACCTTCAAATGATGCAGCATCAGCTCGTCTCTATCGAAGAACTTGTTTAGTGCATCAGGATGCAATCCGAGCGCTTCAGCCAGCAGGCTGGTAAACTCATAGCTTAAATCCCGGACAGCGTCGAGATACCGCTCCATTACAGCCCTGAAGCCGGGCAAAGAACTCTCATCAGGCCACTGAAAGTAACAATGTAAGATAAGAAAGCACGGCCCGAGTAAGACGTGTCAACAAATACCTGGCTTTGTCCCCACCAACGCAAGTAATCAGGGTCGCCTGACTTCCACTGAGTCTCGTGGTCTGAACCAAAATCAATATGCTCCCTGTAGTCAATCCTGCTCTTGGTGATTTCTGCTCCAAGATCGCTATACCCAAGGAAATGAGGCGAATTCTTCGAGCTAATCTTCTCCTTGATCTCCAGAGGTAGGTCAAAGAAACGAGGGGTAAAGTCAACTACCGCATCTACATATTCCTTCGGCACCGTATGGTTCTTGAGGTAGAGGAACCCGACATTAACGAGCGCATGTTGAAGCTGCTTAATAAACAGCGGCCTCGTGTGCGGGTCAGAGACAAGTGAGTAGTCGAGGATAGGGACGCTAGAGAAGTTTGCAGCCATGGTTGAGAGTACACAGTGCAAATTTGCGAGTGTTAACGAGGAGGTCGATGCGCTCGACTTTATATACTCGGGAGAACCAGCTCGTTTAGGGGGTGGCAGGGATGGTCACAAGAGTCAGCTCCTGGCACCCTTTCCCAGGTATCCTGGCTCCGGTGATAACTCTAACCTTGAAATCAGAAGTCCCTGAAACGTAAACGATGATAAGAATGATCCGTTGGTTGCGTAGCATCTTGTTTGCTATGGAACTAAGGAGATGTTCATTCCTAAACTCAAGAAGACGGATCTAGGCAGGCTTACTAACGACGAAATGGACGGAGATTCAACGTTAAGGTAAAACGTTAGATTAGTGGAGACTTGGAGCCTTGTTTGCCGGCAAGACGCAATGCTACAAGCATTAGTTTTCGCTGATCCAAAAGATACGATAAACAAACAACGAACTTCGGCAACGTGAAGGTTCACACGGCTTTTGAGCGCCTGTACGAATTCTGCTCAAGTTCGCCTTTGATAAGAAAACAATAGTGGCCCTGTGAAACGCCAAAACATAAATTGACAAATGAACAAAACATGCTGATTGCACTGACTTGTTTTCAGCAGCTCCGTCCGCGCATTACACAGTCCGCACCGTCCATGATGGGCGCCGTCATCTTCAACGCAAGTGTGGTGTAGCCGGGCTTCAACTGCGCCACTGGCAGATCATCCTTATCGTCTTGACGAGCTTCCCATGCCCAATAGAGCGGAGGCTCGATTCTCAGACGCAGCCAGCAACTTCTCGAGCTGGTCTTATGTGAAGGCCGTCGTTATGATCTCATGTGTTCCATCATCTTCGCTTAGAATATCAAGGTTAGAAGTGATAATGCCCAAGTCGACGGCCTCGTTCTGATTAGATTTCGAAGGCGTAAAACGCCGTGTGGTTCCAAGCTTTCTCAACCTCCGGCATATCTGGATTAGTGGCGATGTACTGCGGTTATGTAGATCACATTACTTACCATGTTCTGCGACATGACCACAGGGCCCTGTCAGTACCCGCACATCAGTCGGAGGCAGTCAATTTCCGTCGGCAGCGTCCCGGAAAGCCGATCAAGTACGAGACGCCATACAGCACCTGGACTATAGTATTGGTGTAGTGGTATGTAGATCCGGGTCTATAGAGCTGGCCGCAATGAGGCGCACCGCAGAGAAGAGAACTTGGCAGATACTCAGATACTGCAATGTGACAACGGACATGTAGCTCCGATGCTCACACGCTCACGTTCCAGGCCTGGCACGCATCTATCGAATGCGCGTCTATCGCACCATGATTTTCAAGTTTGAACAAGTAGTACCTTCCCACACACAAGTGTTTAGACCTAACCTACCTGGTAGGTCTTCGATTTGACTCAGAGGCCAGTGGCTTTGGGATAGCCATTCACATTGTAGGATATTTCGGTTGTTGAGCCAACAGGTGGGACAATCGACGACCTGTATCGTACTGTCGCCGAGTCATGTTGACATTGTGTAGATGTGTATGAGCAAACCGCGAACCGTTTACATCAACTCACCAGGGTGCCTTGTAACATCGTTTCAGACTGTTACCCGCGGAAATTGGGCGCAATGCTTAAAACCTTTCATCAGAGGCCACATGTTCCGACGCAGGACCGTCTCCGCGGATGATCCTTCGCAAGTAAAGTCACCTTGATGAATTGGAACTCACAGCAGTGCGAATTTGCGTTGGCCCTTTGTATACAGTTGCGTAAATTTTATGCCGATATATCGAAACCGGAAAATCTCTCGGGACATCTCTTTACAATTTTACAGTGGAATGGTTCCGGGTGACTGACAAATACGCGTGAGATACGTCCATAAGCTCATGGGTTCAGAAGCTCACATCGTGACACCAGATGTAAACTTCGGGTTTACTTCTATCTCTCGCCCAGCATAATCCCTCGTTTTCTCAAAACGAAGCATCGCAAGCATTGTGGCCATTGCAATCCAAATTGCTTCGTCTGCAAAAAAGCGACCAGGACAGACCTACAGTTGCAGAAAGTGAACATCTGCGATGAAAGCACGGATTTTCGTTCCTACCCTGCGTCCGAACCCAAAAGTCGGACTCGAGATAAACGTATTCTCCGGGTCAATTTCTCCGTTCGATAAGAAATGGCGCATCGGATCGAAGGTCGATGAGTCAGCAACGTTCTTGTTCATCGCCCTGTAAAGACGCTGGCCTGAGCATCAGTGAACGTAACCCGGGACCTTTGAACGTACCATGCATTTGCAATAACTAGGGCGCCTATGTCGTAATCAGCTTATGGCGATTTTGTTCAGGGACAGACGCTATCTAGCCAAACCTTTTGGTATGCGATAGCCTTCGAATGTGTCGTTTTCAGTGGTAATATGCGGTAGTCCTGGAAACTCAGTCAATATTGAGCTATAATAGTGGTGCTGGTGCCCTTCCTATTACCTAGAGGTACTGCGGTATGCCACCTGAGGGTCTCGCGCATGACGGCTTCCAAGTACGGCAGATCTTTCCTATGAGACGATGTGGGGAGTTTGTCTCGACCGACAATTTGATCGATTTCTTCTTGTGCCCTCTTTTGGACGTCAGGATAGAGTATCATGGCAAGGATGAATATCGATAGTGTTGCAGACATCTGGGAAGATATACCACCATTTAATGTGTGTTTGCAGGTCATCGAATAGACACACCGAGTCAGCACCACCTATTATTGCGTAAGTAAGATGTCAGTAGCAAGGTAATGAACAAAACTCGCTGATATAGACCGTAACTGCAGCGTCCCGCATGGCCTCATCCAGCGCTTGCTCGTCACGACTGACGTGATCGGGAGATTGGCCCGAGAGAAAGTCGGAGACTACAAAATGCTCTCTAGAACCTGATGACTATGCTCTCATTAGCGTACTTCGGTTAGAAAGCCGAATGCCATCGTACAAGTTCACGTTCGGCAGAACCAAAGAGGACATCCCTGGCACCGAGGATCATTTCGCGGCAAATCAGAGCGCTTCGCTTGAAGCCTCCGCCGGGAAGCCACATAGGAATACGCCCGGCTGGAGATGGTTGAACTCATCAAACGAAGAAAACGATGGATGTAAACATAGCTACCGAAGGGGAACGCGGCTAGGAGAGCCGCCCGCTCAGGTGACAAGACATTCGTCAGCGTCATAGAAAGACGTTGTAGGCGAGCAACGAATGGGTCGTCAACTGGAAGTGCCTTATATCCATAAGTGACCGCCAATATAACTGAAGCAGTAAAGCTATCACGGTTGCCGTTAGACCAGAACTCTGCGACAGTAACTATCGACATACTTTTTCAGATGATCTGACAGCTGGGTATCCGCATTGTCCTTGGTCATATGAGCGACCAGCTCACAAACTTTGTTCGAGCACAGTGCGGAGTAGTTAGACACCATTTCTGCGCGGAGCGTCTGGTGGAAAAGCTTGCGGTGAAGGCGCCAAGTCGGACCGTACGGCAACATGGCTGTATTGACGTTCATTGCAAACCTGTGGTGAGCCAATCGTAAGTTACGATACTACTCTGACTGGTTGAATAAGAGACATACAAATCATACGCTTCCAGGACTGGCCTGTCCGAGTAATTCGCTGAATTTTGTTCAAGTAGACCTCTAGCAGCCCGGGCAGAGTTGATAATGACATAGTGTTGACCGAGGACCTGAGCATGCACTATCTCGCCATATTCCTCTGCCCAATTCGTATACGTGATCCACGGCTGTTTGTTGTCAATATCGAATAGATTTCCAACGAAAGGCAGAGGCGAAGGGCCTGGTGGATAAGGGAGCTGCCTTGTGTGCTTTTTAAATATTGTGATGCGTCGAAGGCCGACAGCAAGAAGAAGACCGACAGACATAGCAAAAACTACGCCATTCAACATAACTGCGCTGTAAATAAAAGTGCGACAAAGTAGGAAAGATGAATCGACACGAAGTGTGGAAGAGTGGAGGAATGAAGACTTGCATCGCGGCTTTTAATTTATCTCGGTGGATTCAGCCCTTATCAATTCGGCCCGTCGGGATGTTTGTTCACAAATGCAAACGAACAGAGGGCGAGGCGGTCGTCGAAGATCCTAGGTACATCTGAATAGCAAGATATGTCACATTTACCTGCAAAGAAGCGGGCGAACATCCCCATCAACTTCAGTGGCACAAAACCGAGGAGATAACGCCGAGTTCAAGTTAAATCGCTGCTCGTTCCTCGTCTGCCGACCAAGCGAAGTGAGATCAGATACAGTTGAGCGTCACGCGTTCGCGTCAAGCCCGACGTCGCCGAAGAACCTCATATACTGTCTTGAGTTAACATCGAGCTTAACCAAGATTGGAATCACCACATTGACAAGGCTTGAGGCGGGGCGCACCTCTCAGATGTGGCCCATCAAAGATTTGTAGAACGTGCGATTGTTGATATATTCACAGCCTATTCAGACTTGCAAGCTTGAATTGAAAGTAGTTTCATTTCTTGGAGGGCAGCGAAAGAGCGGCGTCCAACCAAGACCATGGCATCACCGATCGCGAGCCCTGAGTTTACACCAAGAGATCGGCTCTCCCCTATGTAGAGTGTGAGTCCCAGGATCATGCGGCTGTCTCAATGTTTCCTGAGCGTCAAACCAGAGCGCTCCGAGTCGGGGAGGGTGCTTTAGCCTTGATTTCGGCCAAGCTGCAGGTCAAGGGCAGTGCTTTAGGGGGTTACGTCACCGTAGCCTTCGGATAGACTCGGCGGTGGTTGCGCCGTATGACCACAGTAGTGCGTAGGACCCGGAGACGTCAGGATGCGCAGTGGTGCCAAAAACGAGCTTAAGCCATTTGAAGTTGTACTGAAGTCGTCGTTCAAGGAAAGAATGATCAAGAAACCTTCCCAGCGCAGACGCGTGATGTGTATGCGGGTAAATTGCAAAGTGCGACGTGATCATATTTATCCATAACCTCAATCGCGTCCACCGACACCACCGCCGCAGCGCCCCATTCTTAGCGGTACTCTGCGGTAGCTCCTCATTCTCTTATAATTCACGTAGTTTAAATTTACGTTCCCTCGTGCATCACCCGGTGTTTGTTGTGTCTCTTATTCAAGTTGTATTATGCTAATACACTAAACTCAGTAAGAATCCTCCATAAAATGCGCAATCCGATGAAAGGGTATTTACATCATAGAGTACACAGTGTACATGATGTGTAGTTTTGTATTACTCCTCCGGATCCTGTGCGTACATTACGTATACATGTTGCAGTTATCTGACTTGGGGGGCTGGGAGAGAGGATTGTATCGGGAGTGGTCTCCAGCAACGACCATATCTGGGGGTAGGCACGCATGAAGGGAGAACCCGCCTGGTGCCAGACGCAGGTGGTAAAGTAGTCTAATAAAATATTGGTAAGATAAATTCGAGAAGAAAAGAGTGCATGGGACATGGCCGAGCGCACGGGGCGGCAGGTGTGGTCACTGACACCGAGCAAGACGTATACCAGAGCTCGTATGAAGTGTGCAACAGTGTATAAACAGCATGAGTGAGCAATATTGGCGATTGTCGTCTTGTATCATCGCCCAGGTCCGAAGGTCGCCAAATTCCTGTAACATGCCTGATCCGCAGCGCACCTATGACGTGCCCGTGTGAAGCACGATTAAACTTCATTTCCCCGACTGTCGCAAGATGAGTGGGGAGACCAAATGCCGTCAAATGGCAGGAACAAGGATTTGATCTGGTTTTGAACCTTTCTTGTCCCTGCCCAACAGGAGTGGGTGACGGAAAGTTCACTCGCCACCCCAGGAAGAACCACGGTGATGCGTGTCGCGCCAGGCCATGGCCCGCTTGACCCAGCTGGCCGTATCGACTTCCCGGTCGGCATCCGCCTTCAGCCAAGGGTGGTCCTGCGATCATGAGTAACCAAGAAGAAATTACGACAACATAATAACGAGGACTTACAAGGAGCTCTGCATAAGATGCCCGCTCACTTGCATTCTTGATAAGACATTTGTTCACCCAGTCACGGGCTTCTGGTGACCACTTCCGTGTAACTTCGGAGCCCCACGCCGGTGCCTCGTTCTGCTTTGGAGTTTCTGCAGTTTCTCCGCTCTCTGAAGTAACTTCTTCCTCGGCATCTTTGAAGTCATCTTCGTCATCGTTATCTTCATCATCGCTTTTCGCAGCACCGTTTACCACAGGCATGTCCTCCTCATCGTCAGGCAGCCCTGGCGCCTCCCCATCCACGATTGCGCTCAGCTGAGCGAACACGTTTTCATACGTTTCTGGAGGATAAGGATATCTACATTACCGTAAGCGAAAAAAAAAACGCCAACAATGCAAATATGGTACACACCGTCCACGAGCTACTTCCACGATGCTAAGACCAAGACTCCATATGTCCGCGCTGACAGAGTACGACATGAACGCGTCATCGTTAGGCGTGGGTGATGACCCCTTTATTCGCTCGGGCTAGGGATATTATGTCGTTGGTTCTCCAATCCGGGTCAAAGCAAGCCAATGTATTACGCACCGCCATGTAGCTTTGACACCCAACATTCGTACGCGCGATACTCTTTTCAAGCTGTCCACTAACACCAAAGTCACATAGCTTGATGAAACCTTTGGTCGAGACCAGTACGTTGGTGGGCTTCACGTCGCGATGCATGACACCCAACTCGTCCTTCAAAAACTTGAGTCCGCGTGCCATGGATGCAGCGAAACGTGCAAGCAAAGGCTCCGTCACTCGAGGTTTAGCCATCTCCTCTAGCTGTTCTTCAGAGCCTTCACGTTCGCCTGGGGGAGGTGCAAAGCGACCTGAGCCAACGAGCACATTCGCGCCAGGAGGGTCGCAGCACAAAGAAGCGAGGGAGCCACCGTCCATGTACTCCATGCAGTAATATACGCAGCTCTCCACAAAGAAAGCACCGTAGAACTCGACTATGTGTGGCGAAATGGCACGATGGAGAATGTCAAGTTCCATGAGGATCCCGTTGAGTTTCGCGCTGTCGAGTTCAAGTCGTATTTCCTGATACAAACGGATTTAATTTTGCAGCATGAATATCTGAAAACTGTTTACCTTCATAGCCATCTCTACATTGGTAGGCTTATGGAGAACCTTCTTAACGGTACCGTAGTTGCCACGACCAAGCTCCTGCTCAAGTTTGAGTTGTTCCATGTTTATTGCAAACGATGACCCGTTCGAAAAGTCGACGCCAGAAGCGTGTATGACGGCTTTCCCGGAAAAGTTGAGCCGGCCGGAGGGGTCTCTGGAGATTGACACCACAACAACAACAATACATGATCGATCAGTCGGGCTTGTCAGCATAAAGAATGAGAGTTGGATTATGGTGCACATACACAATCTTGTTGAAGTTGGCAAAAGGCGTGTCCCCAACGTGTCGATTCGCTTCAGCCAATGATGGTCTACCTGCACCCAGGCCCGCACCCATGGCACCTCCACCTGCTGCGATGTCCGATAGCTTGAAACCGGGTTTATTTTTCTTGGCTGGTGGCGGAGCCCCTGGTCGGCCACCTCGAGCAGGGAATTGAGAATTAGAAGGGACAGGGGGGAAAGAGCGAGACTGATGTGGCAGAGATTCATTGAGTGACGCTCTGCCCAGAGCCTGAGCAGCAGAATCGGCGGAGGGTGATGCAGACGAGTTGGGCACCCCGCGGTTGAGCATCTGGAGCGAATTGCATCACATAATCAGCCGCTAGATGTCAAGGCATCTCGGAGAAAACATACTGCAGCCATCTTTGCTTGGAGTGACGGAGGAATGGGTGGGTTTCCTGGACGCGATGTGAGGAGGCCGCTTAGGGTGTTGCGGCCTTGGCCCGAGGCCGAGTTCTGCGCTCCGGGAGAGGTTGGCGACGCATTGACGGCGCGACGTGACGAGATAGGAACGGGAGGCGGACGGGTTGCAGGAGACGGGGTGCTGTCAGAGGTATCTCCCTGCATGTTCTGGTGTGATCAGGGAGAGAAGGGAGAGAGCAGGAGAGGAAGGGAGAAGGAATGGCGAAGGGTGGTGGGTCTGTGACGGGATGAGCGGATGATAGAAGCTTTAGATTTGAGACGAATTACCCAATATATCGGAGTTGGGACGCGGGGGTTGCTCCAAGTCACGGTCACAGTACACAATTAACTGTTTAACGCTGTTACAAGGTGTTGCAATTAGCCAATGACGACGACTGGCAGCCAAGGTGAGCCTGTTTTTGTAGCAAGGGCAATGGGTTTATCGATCGAACTTGCAATGACGTCGTGTCAATGAACTTTCAGTCGTCATTTGCCTCGTGTTCGCATTCGGTCTCATGCTCGCTGCGTTCAAACGCTGGACACGCTCCGACTCAAAGGACAATATGCACATCCGCGTAAAGTGGGGGCACGACACCCTGCACATCCCCCTCCCCTCACAAGACACGCCCCTTCGCCAGCTTCGCAATGATCTCGCCGAATATACCCATCTTCCGCCCGACTCTTTCAAGCTTGTCCACGCAGGCGCGGTCATGAAAGACGACAGCGCACCGAGTGCGTTTCTCGTTCACCCCTCGCTCTCTTGTCGCCCAGTCACCTAACTTCGTTAAACTTGAATAGTTTCAGCATACAAAATTCACGAAAATTCCCTCATTGCTCTCATTGGAGGCAATACTACTCCTTCAGGTCCTCAGCGATCCTCCGCCACTCCCGCTGCCGAACAAAACCCGTCCACCGTAATCAAAGCTGAGCTCGATCGCGTGCGTGCCTCTCTAGGGCCATCCGTACATGAGTTTGTACGCACCATCTCCCCTGATGTCCAACCTGCCGCCTCCGCTGCCCAGCTGCCGACGGTTACCTCTTCCGCACCCGCACCTATCCCGGCGTCTGCCGCCCAGCCGACCACGTCATCACCTCCATTAGAAAGGACCCCCGCCCTCACTCAAGAACACACTCGTCTCTCAGAGCTCCTCCTACAGTCCCTTCTTAGGCTCGACGCAATACGCGTCACTGACGACCCCGAGATGCGCGCTGAGCGCAAGAGTGCAGTCCGTGAGGTGCAGAAAATCCTCGATACCCTCGACAGCGCTTGGGCTTCCGTGTCACGATAACCTCGTACTCACACGCATCCGAGATAGCCACCGCCCCAGCAACTTTATTCGTCACTCGGCGTTACTCTGCGTTACTGCATGCTTTCAACCGTAGCACCACGGACGTCAATACGAATGAATGCGTCGCTCGTTTCTCCTCACACGCGTCCATTCAGTGCAAGGGCTCAAATCAGCCCCATCCGCAGCAGCTGCAGGATTGCGTACATGCATAATTGACATTGCACGTATCTTATCTCCCGGTCATTCAATAGTAATACATACCCGACAAATTTTACAGGCGCATCAGTTTAATGAGGACTCGCGGTGATACATCGATGATCTTGCTCGACATCGATTGCGGAGTTCCGCGCAATTCGCCAATTCCCCGCCCTTCACTCACTGTCTCGCAGCTTTTTTCTTCAAATGGCACACCATCGATAACCTCGATCCTGGCCAGCGAAGAACCAGTGCCTCAATAGCAAATGAAACGCGATGCAGCGGTCTGAAATTTATGGCTTCCATGTTCCGTTGGATTACTCATGGTGTCGTGTCTGGCCAATAATATGCGGCCGGCGTCGACATGTCAGCATACTGCCAAGTTCCATTAAGGACACTTTCGTCCGACTACCGGGGTGGTCTTAACAGTAAGCACGCGTATGTAAAGTCTCAACCATTCGTGTGTCCTTCAAGAGCCGCATTCTAAGTGTCGTAGAATTACACCGGGTGACGGACGACATAGGCGGTATCCGATCTCAACGCCCGTGAGGAGGTCAAATATTTCCCCAGATATCGTCGATGAACTTCAGCCTGTCGTCCCCGTTTGTGATATGTATAGGCGTGCCCTCGGACGTGTCATGCTTTTCTTGGCAGATCTTCGCAACGCTTTTGGCCCTAAGGATGATCTGTGTGGAAATCTGATGCACTTCCAGTGTGCTGACTGCTGTGGCTGCCATTGGTAATTTTGGAGACCAGAAAGGTGAGCAATGGCATCAGGATTTGAAATTTTGACATATGGCGATCATACGTGGTTTTGTGTCCCTTGAATTATCGCAGAGAAAAACAGTCAGAGCTCTTATATGTCGACGAACGGACGACTCATTGCCTGAACGATCTGAGATACATTTGCTACCTGGGAACATTCAACAAGGTTTAAGTCTATGACAGCGAGTTCATCAGGGCAAGCATCAGAGTTGCAGGGCGTTATGATGTCTCGCGCAACGAAGCATTCAACTGTCATACCGGGAATTTTGAAATCCGTAAACACGGTCAATGATGTTAGCCCAGGTAGAGCGACCATAGAATATTGTTACGATGTTGCCCCGGAAAATGACTGCTCAGCGCAGCGCTCAGCTGTTACACCACTCGTTGAAGTCGGATTTGCCGCACTAGTATGTAATTCCAAGCTCTGCCGTGTCGTCGCTATTCGGGTCTCCGCGTGTACCCCGTTGCTCCTTGTACGGGGCCCTTCGTTATGGCGACTCGGACCCTTCTACTCCACGACGAAGCCGTGGACCATGCTCATCGGCTCCGCGCCGACATCTACCGACATGAACTAACATTGATCTCACTCACGACCTCTTCTTTGCTGCGGGATTGACTACCTTGCGCCGGGTGCTCCCACTGTGTAAAATTGGCAGTACTTGACATATTCGATGTCACTCTGGTGCCTACCGGCAAAAGTTGCAACTCTCCTATCATCTACGCCGCGAAGGTTTAGAATCTATCCATGCTGATTCACGCTCGACCCGGCCAAGACTGCCGATGACCTCGCTGCGTGGGCCATCCAGTACGATCCGGACGGTATCGATGTCGACTACGAGAACTATACGGCTCTGAAGCTCATGGACGGAAGCGCGGAGAAGTGGCTCACTAATTCTACCGCTCCGCGCCAAGCTGCCTGCCTCAGATTATATTCTCACTCATGCTCGTGAGTTGAAACCTCAGAGAGATGAAACATGTCGCTGGCTTGTCTGGCACATGGAGTAGCTATTGCTCCCTGGTTCTCGTCCAAGTTTACCAGTGGTGCATATGTGGCTGTCGACAAGGCCGTCGGGGACCAGATCGATTGGGTAAGTGAAATTCGTCTCTTGATACATATGCGAAGCTCACTGGGTCCGTGCAGTATAACGTTCAGGTCCTTCATCAATGTGCCTAAACGGTGTATCCCTTATTTACTAATGATTGATTCTCTCAATCAACAAAAAAAGTTCTACAACCGTAAGTTGTTCAATGTTGTCCTGTGGAATTTTGATTGCTTAAATCACACCACAGAGGGCACAGATTAGTACACCACCTGTAACGACATCCTCAATAACCCCACGAGCGCCTGGCCCAACTCTACCCTCTTTCCAGATCGTTGCTTCCAGCGTGCCCGCTGACAAGTTCGTTATCGGCAAACCCACCATCGCCGGCGACGAGACCAGCGGTGGCTTCATGTCTACGTCGGACCTCGCTTCTTGCCTCTAGACCGCCAAGAAAAAGAGACGGGGTAAGCACTTCATCGTACTTACAGCACATATACTGACGGGTTGCCTTTGATAGACGCTGGTCTTATGGTCTGGGAGTACCCTGATGCCGCTGCTGACTGGATCAAGGCTGTTCGCGTTCAAGCTTTCCCTGAGGAAACGACTTCCATGATATACAACGACGAATCGTATCCCCATATACCCCGCGATCGATGTAGAGCTGGACTCGCTGCATTTTGATATTTATGTTATGAGGAATGCACATGCTTGCTCGACGTACGACAGTCACAATAGTTCTATGCACTCACTTTCCAGCGCACGGATTTTACCAAAAGCAAGACCATGCCAAAAAAGTCATAAGAACTGGATTTTAGAGCCGTGTATGAGTCATTCCGCTAGTATACATTCACAAGAGCAAGCATGTCAATGAACAGCTTACCCTAGAGTCAGCAAGGGTAAGAGCGGTAATCTGATTAGATGCCGCGATCATAGATCGGAAATGGCAATCCAACAAGTGGGTGTTTATCTTTTTGCGAATATACTCGCGACTTGCCCTCCACCGCGATATCCGTCCTTGTGACTGTCTATCGCACGCCCCTAGTACTGACGCGAGGCCACCAGTAAGCCGCTGAGCAACCCATCAGTCCGCGATCAGCGGCGTTCAATTGTCAGCTAGTACGGATTGTGAGCGCTTTAGTCGAGTCATATCCAGCTTGAGTCACTAACCTAGGCATCGATCTCGCACACGGGGTCATAATCAGCTCTCAGGAATCCCGAAGCACTCAGCACCACTTAAAACTGTACGGATTACGAGACGAAGATGCCGTTCCAGCCTCATGATGGTGAGTGAAAAGACACTAGGGAGCACTTGCGTTGTTCAATCAAGCACTTTTAGTCACTGCGCAATTCAGCTTTCCCAAGGAGGAGGAGAAGGTCATTGAGTTTTGGCGCGAAATAGACGCGTTCCAGACGAGTCTTAAGCTCTCTGAGGGCAAGCCAGAGTATGTCTTCTTTGATGGCCCACCCTTCGCTACGGGGCTTCCCCACTATGGCCATCTGCTGGCCGGAACCATCAAAGTACGTCCTCAAACATCTACGCTTGCTCGATCCTCGTGTTTAAGTTGTCTGCTTTCCCCTCGGATTTACGTAGGATATCGTCACCCGCCATGCTCATGCGTCGGGATTCCATGTCACGCGTCGGTTCGGCTGGGATACGCATGGACTGCCGGTCGAGCATGAGATTGACAAAAAATTAGGCATCACCGGAAAAGAGGACGTCATGAAGATGGGTATTGACAAGTATAACGAGGAGTGCCGCGCCATCGTCATGCGATACGCCACTGAATGGCGGCAGACAGTCGAGCGAATGGGTCGCTGGATCGACTTCGACAATGATTACAAGACACTCAACACGTCCTTCATGGAGAGCGTTTGGTGGGCGTTCTCAGAACTCTGGAGAAAGGGTATGGTCTACCGTGGTTTGCGTGTAATGCCTTATTCGACGGGCTGCACAACGCCGGTTTCGAACATGGAGGCCTCACTTGATTATCGCGAGGTCAACGATCCAGCAGTTACCGTATCATTCCCTCTAGTCGACGATCCAGCAACCGCGTTCCTTGCATGGACGACAACGCCATGGACACTGCCGTCCAACCTCGCTCTTTGCGTACACCCTGACCTTATCTACATCAAAATCCATGACGAAGAGCGGGACACGAATTTCATCATTTGCGAGCAGCTCCTGACTACGCTGTACAAAGATCCAAAGAAAGCCAAATTCAAGAAGCTAGGGTCGTTCAAGGGCGCGGACATGAAAGGATGGAAATACGTCCCATTGTTCGAGTACTTCACAGAGCAGGTACAGTCGCCCATTCTATGCTTAAGTGCATCGCTGATGTCGAGGTCAAGTTTGAAGATCGCGCGTTCCGCGTAGTCGTTGACACTTATGTGACGGCGACTGACGGCACAGGCATAGTTCACCAAGCTCCGGCCTTTGGTGAAGATGATCATCGCGTCGCGATCGCCAACGGCGTTATTTCTCCGGAAGATCTGCCTCCCTGCCCCATAGATGAATCGGGTAAATTCACAAAACCTGTCACGGATTTCGAGGGCGTGTATATTAAGGTGGGGTAACCCACTCACATTGGCAAGGGCTACCTTGACAGGATGTTGGTTGGTTGATGTAGACCGCGGATAAAGATATCCAGAAGATGCTCAAAGCAAAGGGCAGACTGATTGTGCAATCTACACTCAACCATCAGTACCCCTTCTGCTGGAGGTCAGTGCAAACAACATCATCTCGGACGTTTAAGGCTGATTTTGGCTCGGAAACATCCCAGATCAAAAACTCCACTAATCTATCGCGCTGTCCCTTCGTGGTTTGTCCGAGTATCTCCTATAGTGGACCAACTGGTTGCCAACAATGCAGAGACGCTGTGGTAAGCGCATATTACTTCATGTCCCTCTTGTTACTCACGCATCCATCAGGGTACCGCAACACGTCGGAGAGGGTCGGTTCGGCAATTGGATAGCAAATGCAAGGGACTGGAATGTCTCAAGAAATCGGTACTGGGGTACACCCCTGCCGGTATGGGTCAGTGACGACTACGAGGAAGTGAGTTATTTTCTGTGATCCATTGCTGTCCGACATGCTCATACACGCCTCGTGCCAAGACAGTTTGCGTTGGCTCGGTAGCAGAGCTGGAGCAGCTTACGGGAGCGAAAGGCATCACAGACTTGCACCGTGACAAGATTGACCATCTCACTATACCCTCGAAGACTGGCAAAGGAGTCCTTCGTAGGGTACCAGAAATCTTTGACTGTTGGTTCGAGTCTGGAAGGTATGCTAACATCCAATTGAGAGGTACAACATCTCTGCTAACTAATTTGACAGCATGCCATATGCTCAGGCGCATTATCCCTTTGAGAACAAGCAGCACTTTGAGGCCAATTTCCCTGGAGACTTCATCTCCGAGGGCATTGACCAGACACGAGGGTGGTTCTATACCCTTCTCGTTCTTTCGACCCATCTGTTTGGAAAAGCACCATGGAAAAACCTTATTGTCACAGGTCTCGTCCTAGCTGCAGATGGAAAGAAGATGAGTAAGAGTTTGAAGAACTACCCGGACCCAAGTTTGATCCTGGAGCGGTATGGAGCTGATGCGACGAGGTGAGAGAAATCCAAGGCTGCCCGCAGACCACATTTACTTATTGCCACAGAATGTACCTCGTCAACTCGCCCATTGTTCGGGGAGACAACCTTCGTTTCCGTGAGGAAGGCGTACGCGAAGTTGTGTCCCGAGTATTACTCCCTTGGCTGAATGCATTCCGTTTCTTCCTTGGCCAAGTCACTCTCCTCAAGAAGGCGACTGGCGTTGACTTCAAATACAACCCTCACGCGCCTCTATCGAACAATGTCATGGACCGATGGATACTGGCACGTTGTCAGTCTCTCATCAGTCTCGTCCGCGAAGAGATGGCTGCATACCGCCTATATACCATCCTGCCTCGCCTCCTGGATCTAGTCGACGAGCTGACGAACTGGTACATCCGCTTCAACCGACGGAGATTGAAGGGCGAGGATGGCAAGGAAGATACCGTGACTGCCTTGAACACCCTCCTCGAAACGCTCTTCACACTTTGTAGGACAATGGTATGTTCCATCTCCTATGATTGGCGCTTTCGAAAGCTCATACGATTTTAGTCGTCATACACACCTTTCATTACCGAGAATCTGTACCAGACTCTGCGCCAATACATCCCCAACGATCCCTCGGTGCCAGACCCACGATCGGTGCACTTCCTCGGTTTCCCTGAGATCAAGGAAGAATATTTCGACATTGTGATCGAGCGGCAGGTCAAGCGCATGCAGTCTGTCATTGAACTGACTCGCAATATCCGTGAAAAGCACAACCTCTCGCTGAAGGTCTGTGCAGAGCATTTAAATTATGATGGTGGCTGACAGCAGAATATTGCAGACGCCTCTGAAGGAGCTCCTCGTCTTCCACCCGAGCGAAGAGTACCTTGATGACGTCAAGTCCCTCCAGCGCTACATCCAGTCTGAGCTCAATGTTCGCGATATCGTCTTCACTTCCGACGAAACGCTTTCCGGGGTCCGTTATCGCGCAATCGCCGATTGGCCGGTGCTTGGTCGCAAGCTGCGCAAGGACCTTGGACGCGTCAAGAGTGGTCTGCCCAAAGTGACGAGCGACCAGGTCAAGGGCTACATCGACACTGGCAACTTGACTGTCGATGACATCAAGCTTGTTGCGGGTGACCTCACGGTGCAGCGCTATATTGAGCTGCCCACGACCGGAGACGAGCTGTACGCGACACACACGGATAACGATGTCGTCGTCCGCCTCGACATCAAGGTTCATCCTGAGCTGATGGGTGAGTGGCTCGCGCGAGAGCTCATCAACCGCGTCCAGAAGCTGCGCAAGAAGGCGGGTCTGCAAGCCACCGATGACGTCGACGTGTTCTATAAGTTCGAAGAAGGCGCAGGGGCAGATCTCAAACAGGCGATCGAGGAGCAGAAGGGCATCATTGAGAAGACAGTGCGCAGCGTGCCGCGGGATGTGAAGGAGAAGAAGGGAGGGAACGTCCTGATCGAGGAGGAGCAGGAGGTGGCGGACGTCAAGTTCGACCTGTTGCTGGTTAAACAGTAAAGATGCGACATAGGATATGCAGAAGTGTTACAATAGTTGCTGTACAATTCATAGATGCAAAGGCAGGAAGGGTTGGTCGTGATTCCACGTTTGACTGTGAGGGGGCGCTACTTCTTGCTCGAGCCAAAGCCAGCAAAGCCCATCATCTGGGCCATTTCGTCACTCTCCTCGGTGTGGGATTCGCGAACAAGCGCGAGTCGAGCTTCGTCCTTTTGGGCTTGTTTCTGCGCTTTCTTTTCCGCCCGCTTGGCTGCTTCTTGATCCTTGACTTCTGCTAATCGTTTCTCAAAGTCGAACGACTTGGCGTTCGACGCGTCTTTTGTCTTCTCGCGCAAGTACGCTATCCGGGCGCGAACCTGCTCGAGTGTAGAGCGCTCCACGCGTGTCGTTTGACCAAGATGCCTCAAATCTATAGAGATAAAAATTGAGGATGTAAACGAGAAGGTGTAGGGAGAAAAGATACGTACGTGATCGACTGTTAATGTGGTCGAGGTATGCAGCGCTGTCCCTGTAGTTCTTGTTACACGTCTCGCAGAAGAAACCCGGCTGTCCGGGTCCACGCCCGCCAGGATTCTGCACAACCATGGTCTTGCCAAGGTTCTTGTCCAGCTCGAGAGAACCCTCTCGACGCTTCATAAGTTCGGTGGCCTTGGGGAGGTCCTCTGTCTTCCCTCCCTTGCGTGGTTTCTTGCCTGGTCATCAGAGGCTTTGTTAGTCATAGAACGCGAGAGATTAGACTAGACAGACATGCCTTGTTTCATACGTTCCTCATTCTCCTGCATGCGTTCGCGCTCCTCGTCGTCCTTCTTGCGAGCGCGCTCGGCATATTCTTCCTTGTCCCATTTCTTGCGGAAGTCGGTATCGCCTGCCTTGGTGCCGTAGGCGCCGCCTTTGTCAGCCATTTCTAGATGATAATCGATTCAGTAGAGTAGTAGTGGAAATGATAGTACTGTGATGGCCGTCTTGGTGGATGTGTCAAGGTTGTGCAACCCGCTTCAAGGTGAAATGCATTACCCCCGAGGCAGGAATTAGCACAGCCACCGAGACACGATACGGTGCCTTTCAGTTTCGATGATAGGCGCGACTTACGACTGCGCAGCGACAGTTACGAAATCCTCATCGTCTCTTGCAGAGCCCTTTCCATTGGGCTCATGCTTGCCCCTCCCTGCTGCTGAACCTGCTCGATTATGAACTCCCAAGATGCTCTCCCCCTGGCTGTAACCTTTCCGCTTCCATTCCGCGTCCTCTTCCTTGTTGGTCTCGGTATCCTCGGCTGGGCAACCAACCTACACGGCCTCCAACGCCAGCGCATTGACGCACCCAACGTGCTAGAGCTCTCAGGAAGCCCGTATATTCCCCTACGCACATCTGCACCGCACTCCCCCACCCTCAACTCCACGTTCTACTCGCCCATATACCGTCTGTTCGTTAAGTACTCGGCATGGTGCTTCTTCACATGGGTCATGTACAGGCTTGCGACGCGTTCTAACGTGTATCTGGTCGATGTGTTCTCGTATATCCCTGCTATATGCGCTCTGGTTGTGCTCACAGTGCTCATATGTCCTTACGATGTGCTCCAAAAGCGCGAACGCGATGCCTTCCTGTCGTGCGTGTCTTGATAATCCCAAAATACTCTCTTTTTGCTCACCTTCCTTAGAGCGATCAGACGGTGCATACTCCCAGACGCAGACAAAGGGATATACTTCGCGGATGTCGTGTTCGCGGATGTGCTCACATCATACGCCAAAGTTCTGGGTGACGTCTGGCTGTCAATATGCATGCTATTTCCGGGAGAAAGCATGCTACTTGTCCCATCGCAAGAGGGGTGGAAGCATTGGATGCTTCCGTGTCTTATGAGGTACGTCCCAACTCCCTTGCATCGTATTCTGTCGTAGTGACCAAATGCAGCCTACCATATTTTATCCGGCTGCGCCAATGTCTAATTGAATATCTTGCTTCCAATAAAACGAATAAACGTCCTCTCTGGAACGCCTTGAAATACGCATCTTCGTTTCCAGTTATCTTTCTGTCTGCAGCCCAACGGATTGTTGCTGCAGACATCGCGGCTCAAGGAGATGAGCTTGCAGAAGAGGCATGGCATGGTCAACACCCTCTATTCAGACTCTGGTATTGTCTATACATGATACAGCTTCCCAATCTTACTTACCCTTTCATCATATAGGCTCTTGGCTGCTGCTGTAAATTCCTTGTACTCCTTCTGGTGGGACGTGACGAACGATTGGGGCCTCGACCTCTTGAAGATGCAAGTCACCAATCCACGAAGCCGTGCGCCTCGACCATTGGTCTTGCCAACTTTACACTCGAAATCATCCTCGATCAGCCGGGGAGGGCCCCTGTCGCCTACCTTGGACGATGCGCCCGGCAGCCCAGAGTCGACTCAGTCCTTCCAATCTTTACAGGAATTCCAGAATGGATCGTCCCGCCCTTATCCATACGGCCTACGATCTGTGTTGTTGTACTCCTTACCCGTTTACCCCCTCATGATCTTCTTTGATCTCGTCCTACGGCTTACGTGGTCTGTCAAGCTTTCAAGCCACCTGCACTCAGAATCCGAAGGAAGTGGGGTCATCTTTTTGGTTGAAGTAGCGGAGATTGTGCGTCGATGGATGTGGGTATTCCTGCGCGTCGAATGGGAGGTCGTGAAGAAGACAGCGTGAATTCTTTGATCCGCTCGCGAAGCGCGAGGCACAGAATATCGCCGCGAGTGTTACTTCTTCAACACTAGAGATTCTGGCCGGCCGGAAGCGACGAAAACACTACGATAGCTGCCTACTTACAATTAGTGTTTGTCATGGACAATCATATAGTGAGTCACACTTTGAGCTTGTGTTCATCATTCCGGTATTGACAGAGACATTGTTGGCTTGTCATTCCATCCTGCTTTCCAGGATAGAGAGCATTGGCAATTTAATATCTTTTTTATAGCCTTTTTGTCCTCGGAAGAAATGCACTTTGGCGATTATCGGGAAGTCGGGTCACTTTGTGATGTTGTTCCGGTTGCGCCCATCTCGAGGCGTCCGAAGGTGGCCTCCGCGCCTGTCCGAACAGTCATTTTACTCTCAGTACCGAGGTGCAGTATTAGAACGTGGACTTGAGGTTTGTCATTGCGGGAGGGAAGACTGCGCTGAATGCAAATTTAGGTACTCCCGCGCACACCGTCGCGGGGCTGATTCCTTCTGCCCCTCTCCGGAGTAGGAGACGCAGGCTACGGCCTCCCTCGGGGCGGCCCCCGCCGGACCTTCTCGCTTCGCTTATTCCCATTCGCACGCACCGATGAGACCTCGTCCCGCTCATCGCATCCGGCTCCCCCCGCCCCGCGAAACGATATGATTGGCCGCGCCTTGCCTCGCGTGTTTCCCCGACGTAACGCGACTCGGATGAACTGATTTGGCGTGTTCACACTACTGGTCGGAGCTCACGTGAGTGCCACGGGAAGATAATCTCAGATGACCGCTCGGATTCGGATCCACTACGAGGTTCCTGTGGCACTATTGGTAGCTGTTGGTTCACCAAAGGCCAAAGTCGGAAAGGATATGCGTTCACATACAACGCCTCTGTGACGCCATCAGCTGACCGACATTTGGGCTAATCAGGAAGCCGTGAACACCCTATGATCAGGGAATGGACTTTAGGTATATAATGTAGCTCTCTTGGGCCCCTGGTTTCACTATCCTCCAACTCCTTTACACCTTAGACACCCACCTCTCTCAATACTTCTACAACATCATGAAGGTTATTCGCTCTTGACGAAATCGCATCTTCATGTTTGCTAACCCGCGACTATTAGGTTCTTGCTATCCTCTACCGCGGCGGTGAGGCTGCTCAGCAGGAGCCCCGTCTCTTGGGTACCGTTGAGAACCAGGTTAGCGCCGCGACCCACAAGCGCTCAATTGGTATCTAACTCAAAATCCACTGCAGCTTGGTATCCGCGAATGGCTCGAGTCGCAAGGCCACGAGTACATTGTACGAGCACCTCCCTCCATCGTGCGAGTAGCACGACATTGACCGCTCTATGCAGGTTTCAGACTCAAAGGAGGGCCCCGACAGCGACTTCCAGAAGCATATCGTGGATGTGCGTCTATTCATGTCCTTTGACTTTTCCCCGCGTCTAATAATGTCTCTAGGCTGAAGTCTTGATCACCACTCCCTTCCACCCTGGGTACCTCACTGCAGACCTCTTTGAGAAGGCAAGTCTATAATTATCACTCAAGTTGTCTCAAGGGAATTTACAAAGGATACCTTGTAGGCGAAGAACCTCAAGATCTGTATCACCGCCGGTGTTGGCTCGGACCACATCGACCTTAACGCGGCCGTGAAGAAGAACGTCCAGGTCCTTGAGGTCTCGGGCTCCAACGTCGTCTCTGTCGCGGAGCACGTCGTCATGTCCATCCTCCTCCTCGTCCGCAACTTTGTCCCCGCCCACGAGATGATCGAGCGCGGCGACTGGCAGGTCTCAGACATTGCGCGCAATGCGTTCGATCTCGAGGGCAAGGTTGTGGGCACGATCGGTGCCGGTCGTATTGGCTACCGTGTCTTGCAGCGTCTTGTGCCCTTCGACACCAAGGAGCTCCTCTATTACGACTACGCAGCCCTGCCCGAAGGTATGCATCAGTTTGATCCCCAAGCAGCGGAATGGCTGATGACCTCATGTTGTAGCTGCCGCCAAGGCCGTCAACGCCCGCCGCGTCGAGGACCTCAAGGAGTTCGTCTCGCAGTGCGACGTTGTCACCGTCAACTGCCCCTTGCACGAGGGTACCAAGGGTCTGGTCAACGCTGAGCTGCTCAAGCACTTCAAGAAGGGTGCCTGGCTCGTCAACACCGCTCGTGGTGCCATTTGCGACAAGGACGCTGTCGCCGCCGCTCTCAAGAGCGGCCAAATCAACGGTCAGTCTCATTTGCTCCACGGGTGTATAAATGTCCGAATGCTGATATTCCCCTCTGTTCACAGGCTACGCCGGTGATGTGTGGAACGTCCAGCCCGCGCCCAAGGACCACGTCTGGCGGACGGCTAAGAACCCCCTTGGCGCCGGAAACGGCATGGTGCCGCATTACTCGGGCACGACGCTCGATGCTCAGGCGCGCTACGCCGCGGGCACAAAGAACATCCTCGACCACTACCTGAATGGCACCAACCAGGAGCCCCAAAATGTCATTGTCGGTGTCGGCAAGTACGAATCCAAGGCCTACGGTCAACGCTAGAGGATGTGTACCTGCGCTGGAGTCGTGGTCTCGCTCGTATAAGGTTTTTTATGGATGAATGACTGTATATATAATCACGCATTTCTTATGTATCAATGCTCTCCAACAAAATCTCACACAGTGGATATTTTTTCGTGACGTGTGAAGCGCAGTGCGCAGCTACTCTTTTCCATATTGACTCTACTCGAGAGCGTTACTATAAATTACGCGCATAAACCGGTAGGATAAACAAAAGCATCGCGGATGAATACACAGCAGTGCTACAAATCTCTCTTCGCATATTCTGCCAAATGCTCCTTCATAAACTTCTCTAGCTTGGTCGCGTTCTTGGCGTATATCGAACCCTCGGGGTTATAAAGCCGACAATTATCAAACACCAGCTGTGCATCTTCGACGAACGCCTTGAGGTTCGGGTATTGGCCTGTCTCCAGCTTGTGCTCCATCGTATTAAAGTCTATTTTATTAAGAAAAGTCAGCGTAAGCTAAAGGTGAGGTGGGTAACAGTAGGTCTCACCCATGGGCTTCTTGATGACTTCGTAGTAGTCAACGACCTCGTCCCCGTTGACGGGGTGGAGGAAGGCCCAAGCTTGCGGATGGCCCTGTAGATCGGTGAGCAGTCGCTGCATGAAGTTGTGCTCTGCACTCCGTGCAGTCGTCCGGTTCCTAGAGTTTTTTTCTTCAGCTGACTTCAACTTTCGCGTAACAGAGGTAAATACACACATAGCGTCCATGGCAGGTGTCCATCCACTCTCCTCTGAGAAACCGACGAATCGACGTAAGACGATGGTGCTGGAGAAATACCGGAGACACTTACTGAGCCCCGGAACGCCCTGTGGGTCCACACCGACGTTCTCCGGCTGACCCTCCTGAAATTGGGGCAAACCTTCATATACCACATGGCTCTTGCTTTTCTCGCGAATCCGGGCAAGAATCGCCTCTCGTTGCAGGGCGACGATGCTGACCTTGTTGAGGTAGTCGAACTTGCGGACCATCGTGCACTGCATGATCGTCCCGCCCTCGTAGTCCTTGATGTACCCGGCCCAGACGGACCGGTCCAGCGTGATGTCCTTGGAAAAGCCCTGTTTTTTGAAGTAGCCGACGGCGTAGTTGTCGGCGTATGTCAGGAAGTGCATCATGTCCGGGTAGGTTTTCTGAATGTGGGCTTTGAAGTGGTCCATGAGCATACCGCCATATCCCTGTAGAAGTATAAGCGAAGGATCATTTTGAGAGAACATACGCGCCAAACCTTGACTTGGTCGACGGAAGCAGTCGCAAAGAACACAATCTCGGCAAACCCTCTGTGCGGAAATGGTCTGTAGCATATTCCGCCAACCACCTTGTACCCCCTCTTGATGATCGCCATGGCTTTTGAGTTACTATCGTACACCAGACGGGCAATATACTCCCGAGGCATCTTTGGCAGTTGCTTCTGGAACAGTGATTTGAGACCGGTGAGAATGACCATTGACCGGGGCTCCCGGTCGTTTTCCACCGCTGTTATCTGTATAATCCCCTTTCGAAGCTCGACCACGGCCGCCTTCTCGGTCTTGGCTTGAGGCTAAACCAACTTGAGGATAGCGCTGAGACACATTGTCACATATTTACTCACCACGGTAGCCGAGGCTGGAGCAGCAGAGTCCACCGTCACACCGGTTACAAGCCGTGTTAGCTGACCCTCGTCCATCTTTTCCTCCACCTTGACCTTGCTCTCATGTGCAGCCGCGCCATTCACCGCATTATTCTGAGCCTGGACTTGAGAGTCGGTGGTAGGTGCGCTCTGCGTCTTTGATTTCATGCCGGAAACCTTTTTGCCTGCCCTTGGAGGGCCAGCGACTGCACGGCTACTGGCGTCGGGGCGCTCGGCCATTTGCGCTGCGAGGGGTTTATCCTCTTCGTCGTCGTCGTCATCGTCTTCCTGAGATTTTGGTGGTTCTGCTTCGGCTTCACTGAGAGATGAAGATGATAAACGCCTTCGCTTAGTCGGCCGCTCGTCATCTTCGGCTGTTGAAGGAGATACGGGGAGGTCAAATGTCGAGCCTAAAAGACGATATTACGATAGAGTCGAGGAGATATTCACGAGGAATAAACGTACCGGCGGAGGGTGAGGTGGTGGTAATCGTGGACACGGGCAGCTTCATCTGCTGCCTTAGGGAAAGGATATCATCGTCTTCGTAGGCAAAGTCGAGAAGCTTGTCTGCATCCTACGAGCGCAGAGTTTAAGTAGCATAAAGCCAGGCGGACAGAGACAGCATTACCTATGCACCGCGCAAACATGTAAGATCAAACACACAGGAGGTAATTCGCCGAACCTGTAAGAGTTCATCTATCCGAAAGGCTGCTCTCCCTCTCCGTTCAAATTCTGCACGATCGCTAGACGTCTCGCTCACGCCGTGCATGTCGACGCCGTGACCGCAAGCGCATATCTGCAATAGTGGAGAAATGTCTTCGTCGTCTGAGCCGTACTGATCGAGCCCGCCTAGAGAAGGGGGCACGCCGTCACCGACGACGATTTCGACGCCTGGAGGTGGGTGCAGGCCTGAGCAGGTTATGCAGACAGTGCATGGAGAATGGCGGGCAATCTTGAGAGACAAGATGGCGTCTGAAGGCCATTCTGAGGGATTCGAGGCCGGATATGAGAGTTTCATTGACAAGTTACTAGTGACAAAGTATAAACAAGCTTATGTTGCAGTGACGGCTAGACCTTAGCACCGCCACAAGGTTCAGCGCGTCTCGTTCTATTCTTGGATCAGCCCTGGGACGGACCACTATTGCCTCCCGGTAGCATCATGATGGACTCCATGGATTCGCACCCTTTGTGTTTTCCCTCCTTTAAACCACATAGGACGTCGTCTACGTCGTGCTCAAGGATATGGGTAGCTGTTAAATGGCACAACAAGCTTTTTCACCAATGCTTGTGTATATCTGGTCCCTTGTGCTCCTCTGCTCCTCTGCGCGCGCCTCGACATGGATCCAATACCCTTCCGATGGCTACGCGACCATGACACACTATACCCTGCCCCTTAATTTTATCCCCGCATGTGGCTGCGTGACAAACAGCACGCTATACCCCACAGCTGCAATGAGCCAGATGGCTTATGGCTCCAGCCAAGCTTATGGCCCTGCGTGCGGCAGCTGCTTCAACCTCACTCTCGTTGATGCGTTCCTGGTCTCGCCCAAGTACTACCCCAACGTCACTCGGTCTGTCGTTGTCAAGATAACCGACCTTTGTCCTCTCTCTAAAGCTGGCTGGTGCGACCCAACGACTTCGAAACCGAACGAGTGTGTAAAATGTGTACACTCTCATGCAATTATCTTCTAACAACGTTCCAGCGGAGGGGCGTACATCAATTTCGATCTTTCGTGGCCTTCGACCTCTATCTCCAGTGACTTCTTTCCTTCAAATGCAACCGAGTATGGTAAGCTCTTCACATGCATCCTCAGCTTCTAGAGAAAACTAACGGTTCACGCAGGATATACGGTATGGTTCACAGCTTATTTCATTGATCCAGATGACTCAAAATTTCAAAGGACTTTGGAGTATGGAATGTCAGGTAAGGTCGTTTCTTCTCTACTTACATAAGCAGCCCTTGCTTACCTCGCTTCAGCTACCAAGTTGTCTCCTGTCAATCTTGGCTAGGTTGGAATCACACACAAGCACTAGGCAGCGTAGCTAGTGAAGGATTGGGATATGACTCCTGTTGCCCGGACGATCCCTCGGTATGCAGACCATCTTCCATCAGTCATCAGCCCAATGACTTCTTCTAATTCTCTTTGTAATCAGGTCAACCCAAACAGCACCTGCCCATCCTACTCTGACGAGCACAATTTATCGTGAGTAGCCGTTAAGTATCACATCTTCGGCTTCTATCCCTGACCTTTCAAACTTGAACAGACCATATCAGATGCCCTCAAGCTCGGCAGTCCACAGTGTACAGACATCGTTACTTCTTATTCCCTCGGCAGCTCTGGCGCTACTTGTAGCAGCCTCTCACATTATCTAAGTGTATTTGATGCTTTACTTTCTATACCATCAAGGAATAACTTAACAGATATTGTAACCACATATACATTGTGCCGCCTCTCCTTTTGCTTTACTAGACGTAGTGTCGAGCTCATTCACGGCTTCGCGTACATACCTGACGTATACTCTTCACCTGATACCGTTGTTGTATTCGGAAACTTGCTATTCCAGCTATCATAGACAACGCAAGACGATTGGTTCAAGATTGGAACTGTCTATGAGCCCCTTGTGGCTCCTTGAGAGACCCATACAGCGATGCTGAGGAATATTTACCATCTTGGATGGAAACATCAGCGGATGATTCCGCCATGGCCCGAGACCATTCTCATCATCCCAGGCCTCAGGCACAAATGGCCGTTCCACGAAAAGACGATACACCACTATCCATCCTCAATTGTGATCTTTTCATTACCGCAGAACACGATATGTTCGGGCCTGGCAAAGTGTGGCAGCGGCCGTGGACTGGCTTTCGGTTTCCTTCGGTTCTTCGGTTGCTGTCGTTGTGGGCTCGCTGTCGCTGGATCTATCGGGTCGCTAGAGGCTGCTTGTTCGAGACTCGCGGACGGAGCGCCCGCGTGTACTTGGCTGGCTTCTTTGAGCTCGTCTGGACGGGCAATAGGGGGCGCAGGAATCCGGCGAACGGTTTTACATGCGTTACAAGTGTAGGAAACGACATTGCCGTGAACGGGTGAGCCTGATGTGCAACCATACTTCAGTCTCGGTAAAACACATGAACGAAGGGCGAACGCGTCACCTTTAACGCGTACCCGAGCAGTGACGCCCGGCACGAGCACGGTGTTGCAGCCCTTGCACAGCGTGCGCTTAACGCTCGGATCCCTACTATCGGTCCAGCAGACGAAGGAACACAACAAGCAGCAGTGCGCACATTTTAACGATTGTCTTCTGCCCGATGACCTTCATCGCGTCCACATAGCTGCGCGACAGCTCCGACGTGCTCATCACCTTCCGTTTGCTGTCTTTCCTCTGACGGCGCCTAGCTGGCCTGGGTTTTGGGGAAGAAGATGGCACGTCCTGATCCTGCACGGGAGGCACATGTCCCTCTGCTCCGTCATGAGTAGTGTCCGTTTCGTCAGGGGCTTGAGGCGACGAGGGTCCTGCCGCAGAGATGTTGTTCAGGAAGACACTGGCCTGGTATAGGAAATTGAGCCGCTGGAGAATGTCGCGATTCTGAACGCCTTTGAGGCTTGAAGCGTCGTCCTGGTTCTTTTTGCCCATGCTATGGATGAGGTGGCCTAAGTCAGAGTGATCGGGTTGGCGTCTATGTGTAGATAGCCGACGGCGGGGGTAATGGTGCGATTATATTTTGTAAGAACCACTTACGTGTATCAACCGATCTTAGCTCAGTTGGAAGAGCGCGAGACTGTAATGGTTAACTGATCATCTTGAGGTCGCCTGTTCGAGCCAGGCAGATCGGATTTGTTTTGCTTGTATTAGCCTCCAGACCTAGGAAACATCATCGTCGACTCATGCTTTTTGCCTGCATTCTACTTTGTTTCAGTAAATCCACTACGTTGAATAGATCTCATGATACTGCGACGTGTAAAGGGACTTTTCAAACACCTATAGGCAGACTTTTACTCCCATCCCTGGGCCTGAAGTACTGGGAGGATCGGAGAAGGTAGAATGATGACAAGATAATATGGCTGTGCCAACCAACGTTGGCTACATACAGAATTCAGGCTCGCGCGATGGTGTTAAACACGATCTTTGTTGTGAGGTGGGATGTATTACATATTGTTTTGATACAATTAATTGTTTCCAAAGTCTATGTCCGTCGTCGTGCGATAGACGCTTGACCGCCTGTCTAAGGCTTCTCGTCCAGCCAGTCGAGGAATTGAGGAGTGAAATATGTGAGAATGATGGTTGCGCCTGGATATGGTCTCTCTTTTAGTATTGTTTAGCACCCGGAAGCCTCGAGAAAAACTGACCAGCCCGAACCATGCTCTCGCACGTCTCAAATGCCATCGTACGCAAGTCGTAAACGCCCTGGGTGGCGCCAGCGCACACCATGGCATACTCACCGCTGACCTGGTAGCAGGCCAGCGGCAGATCGCGCGCGAGCTCGGCAGCGTCGGAGATGACATCCAGGTAAGGGAGCGCAGGCTTGACCATGATGATATCCGCGCCCTCGTTGACGTCGCGTTTCTGCAATCAACGTCAGATGCATTCTCAATATTGAGTATTAAGCATACAATGGCGCGACGAGCGAGTCCCTTTGCATTTGGTGGAAGTTGGTAACACTTGCGGTTACCGAACGAGGGTGAACTTCCAGCAGCATCCCTGGATGAGTGCAATTAAATCGACGAGCTTGGAGGAAGCACGCAAAGAAAGCATACCTGAAAGGACCGTAAAGTGCGCTAGCAAACTTTGCAGAGTACGACATCAACGTGCATCGGTTGCCGTACCCCTCGTCGATGAGGCGGCGCTTGATAGCCTGGATGCGGCCATCCATCATGTCGCTGGGGGCGACACAGTGCGCGCCGGCCTTGGCGTATGCGAGGGCGACCTCGGCAATGCGCGCGATGGACAACTCGGTGTCGATCGTCTGGTCCTCGCGCAGGTAGCCGCAGTGCCCGTGTGACGTGTACTCGCACAGGCAGACGTCCGTTGCGATGTACAGGTCGGGGAAGAGCTGGCGGATCTTCTTGATCGCTTGGATGACCGGGCCGTTGGGGTCGTCTGCGGGGCCGCCGTGGGGGTCCTAAGCGAACGGGAAGACAGGGAGACAGATAGGAGAGCCACGAGGTTGTGTTCGATCAGAAAGATATGCGGGGCGTGCGGGGACGGACGTACCTTTTGGCATTTCATAGGCACGCCAAAGAGGATGACACTGGCGAGACCCTTCTTGACGAGGGGCCCGAGGAAGCCTTCCAGCCGGTTGACGCCCCACCGGCATTGGCCTGGAAGAGTTGGAACCTCGACACGGGCGTCATCGTCGTCGGTGATGAAAATGGGGTACATGAGCATGGACTTGTTCAGCTGGCGGCCCTGCCATGTTCGCGACAGAGGGTGCTGGTAGCCGCCCTGAAGAATTGACCTAGAGAATATGATTCAGTCTCGCGGGTGAGGAATACAGACGATCGCGTACGAAATTTCCATGTCGTTTGAGAGCCGAGGGACGACGTGGGTTAGGCAGAGAATCGATGGAGGTGCGAATGTATGCACAGGCGAAAACTTGCCCAGCTCATCGGGGGTAATGTTCCGGGACCCGGCGGAGGAGGAAATGTGAGAGCATCCAACGGCCAATAGGGGCGCAATTTAAACGCGCAGAGCACGTGAGAGCGCGCTGCAGCGCTGTCCAGTTCGCTGGTTCTGCGTTCACTCCTTCATCTCGGACCATACACTCCATGAAGTTTAAGAGTTTCTTCAACCACTCCTGAGCTTCTCTCCGAACGCGCTGTCTTTATTGCCGCCGCGTAGACATGTCTGGAACTGTGTACATCGAAAATCTCCCATTGACTCAAACCTGAGGTCAGAAGAACTTCAAGTTGCACCTAGGAACGTCTGGCTCTCGTACCAGCGCCCCCGCAACATGCTTTATATCTCCAAAGCGACATCGCGACGAACGACCTGCGGCACCGACGTGCGACTTTCCCCGCCTACTCATAATTGCCGTCGACCCTTCGCGGCGTTCGAAGCGAGTTAATGAACTGGATGGCGGCATTGGGCGCGGAGGACGCCTAGCAACAACAACCTTCTTTCAACGGCGCCGTCTATTGATGCTTTCAACATGGTCGGATCTCATGAGCTCATTTCAATGATCCACTTCCTACCTCGACCTATTGAAGAATTCCAGTATGGTGTCACCCCAAAATGCAAGGTTACGGCCAACCTTCCGCTTCGCGCTTCGCAAGATCGGTCTCAGATTGGATTTCTTAGCATCCCCTTACTAGCATATCGTTCCTGATTCACCTGCAACTTAGTTCTTGAAGTGAGCATGCTGCAATCGCGATATGTGCTCACTGGGTAACTGCACGTTTTCGAGCTGCATGCTTCACGCGTGTCTTCCACGTTATTTTGGCTACATGCATGGGATTGCAAACCTGCCCTTTGCCTCGCACACCTGCAGACAAGTATTAAGCACTTGACTGGCCATTGCAACGACTCTGCAACTCGACTGTTAGCCGGACCCCGTTGACCAAGGTGAGCCAGGGTTTGGCAACGGTGGAGACGTTAAGCTGACTTGTCCAGGAGATGGGCTCACAGCTACCTTCAAAGCGTCAGAAAACGAGCAGGCGTGTGTACAACGTGGTGCTCTGTGGGGAAACAGGGGTGGGCAAGAGCGCACTCGTCAACCTGGTGGTTGGAAAACCTGTCGCTGAGACCTCCTGCGATGCTGACGGCTGCACCCAAGACGCTCAGCACTATGATATATCCCTCGATGGTCGTCGGATTCGGTTGCACGACACCGCCGGCCTGAATGAGCCGACCCTCGAGCTCGCGGGCTACCTTGACGCCGTCGGCAAGGCGCAGCGCTTGCTCATCAACCTCGAGCGCTCAGGAGGTATATCCCTCCTCGTGTTTTGCATGCGCGCGGGTCGCATCACGGCTTCTGGACAGAAGGTCTACCGGCTGTTCGAGAGCGTCATGTGCGAGCGGCGCGTGCCGGTTGCCATCGCGGTCACGCACCTCGAGTCGGAGGGGCGCCTCGAGGACTGGTGGGCGCGGAACGAGAAGTGCCTCGAGGCGGCGGGCGTCCACGCTATTGAACATGCGTGCGTGACCTGCATTCCAACGCCAGGGTCGAAGCACCTGGAGTCGTCGCGAAGGGGGATCCGCCAGATGCTGTGGAGGGCTGTGAGCCCGGAGGGGCAAGAATGGAGGGTTGAGAAGGAGAGTTGGTTGCTGCGCGTCGTGGAAGGCATATGGCGCTTTATGGTCCCAAAGAAGGCGAGACCAAGCTCGAGACAGATGGCGAAGAAGCTAGTGAAGCACTGCGGCTTTTCGAAAGCGGACGCAGAGCAAATTGCGAAGAAGTTGAAGTCTGTTGCTGACGAAACCAATTATTTGACGAACGCATGACACGACACCTGGGCGCTCTGGAAGTGGCCAGCCTACTATGACGGCTTTTGCTGATACCCACATGTACTTACTATACAACAAGCTTCCTCGCTTTGATAGACTCATTATCGTACATCGTCACGCTCCTTGATTTTATTTTAGGATTTGATGTGTGGTCGACTCGCAAATCTCAAACATAGGCAGGAATGTACCAGCATATGCCAGTGTTTACATCGAGATACGAGGTAGTGATCCGGAGATATAGGAAGGGCTGCATAGATCTTGATGCGTGCAAGGCTGTTGAAACCAATGCTTCGATGGTTTCATCAGGGGCGAGCGCCAACATTTTCATTGTCCACACACAGCATTCCGATTAACGAAACAACTAACTGGGAGAACCCTCGATATCAATCTACCTTGCATCAAAGGCTTTTGGAAGGTGAATGGATGGGTCCCAAATTTGGGGGTCAATGATAGTCGCAATTTGGTATTTTTGACTACAATCGCAGACGTTCTGGTATTTTCTCGTATTCCTCATGGAACAAAAGACCGTTTCCGAAGGGGGAGGACAAAGAGGAGCGGTTCCTTTGGACACGCATTGGACCAGTGGTCCCGGTCAATGCGCACGAGTCATTGTGATACATCCGGGATGACCAACATATCGGACAGTGACGGCGTATGACAAAAAACATCCACGGAGCCAAATTTAAGGTTGCTTACGGTGTATCGAAGGTTCATAGCTAGGCTAGGAGGACAATAATTTGGGGTAAAGAGATGGCATATGAAGAATTCCATAGTGGTCGTGACCACCCGAAGCGTATTCCAGATGAAAGGGAGTGATGAACGAGGTTCGGGTAGATGCAAAACCCGGCGGAGGTTGTTCCCCGCCCGGGAGGCCGAGCGCCGAACAGAGTTTTGTAAGAAATTGATTCCGTGTCGCGGGGCATTGTCCGAGGCGGGGGATCGGGGATTGCCATGACGAGGCGAGTCAAACGACGCGACGGCATCTGTCGTCCGGAGCCTCGTGTTAAGAAAGCTGTTGCGACCAACGGGGATCTTGCGGAAGGAACCAATCATAAGGAACTCGGGGGACGGAAAATAGAAACAAATAATTAAACAATCCGCTCACGTGACGTTGTTTACTGCATCCCACGGTGCGCGGGTAAACGAAGCACGTTCCCTATAAACGCGCCACCTCGGGCTAGTCCCCCCTGGAATGCTCTAATTTATCGCCCCTCTCCAAAACACGACATCCACGACGAATCTGCGCGCCTCTCCTTTGGTACAGACAAGGACGTCACGCGATACTTGGACCCCCCACCTTCTCTTGCTCACCACCTCTGCCTGTTCTGCTCCTTACCTGCGTCACATCGATTCTCGATCCTCGAGCGCACATGGCACCAACACGCGACTGCAGCATGTCCCCTTCAGTCTGCCACACTGGCACCAGCGTCTTCAACACGCCACCACGGCTATCAACAGCCAATACGGACTCTGCTGCGCCTTTCGACACTCCCATGTTCACCCCCTCCCCTTTGCGGACGCGACATATCTTCCAGTCAGCCGCACAACAGAGCGATCTGGACGACTTTTTCCGCTCGCCGTTAAAATCCCCAACACCAATCCATAGTCATTTCTCGCATCGTAATCCAGAGCCTGATCCTATACTCATGGAGGATGAAGACGGTGAAATGTTCTTCTCTTCCCCCTCTCCAGGCGTCTCCCCTGTGGTCACCGCCTCGTCCTCGCCGCCTCTATGCACTCCATTGAAGGAGGAGCATAGAATAGGCTCACGCTTCATTCTCGGTCAGAAGCACCTGAATGCGACCGCGTCTACCCCCGCTGTTCCCTCCTCGCGCAGTGGCCTGGGCATAAAGCGGAAATCGTTCAATCAATCTGCCGGCTGTTCAACACCCGTGCTCAAGCCGACTCCGACTCCTTTGTCTATCTCAGCAGCGCATGCCGACCCTGCTTCGGGAGTGGCATTCCATCGTCTCGCCCCATTGCCAGCACCCCGTTTCGTCGCGCATACACCCCAGTCAAGAGCCGAGACAGAAGCATACATGAAGACTCAAGCCGAGACAATGACAAACCTGCGGATACGAGACGCTCGTAATTCAGACGAGGAGTGGGGTTTCATTGATGATGACTCAGGATGCGAGGTTGAAGACGAGACACGCGTCAAGGGGCGCAAACTGTTCCTCAACAAGCTCCCTTCCCTCAACTCCATCAGAAAGTCAAAGTCCAGACACTTCAGCCCCAGGAAACCGCTCGTCGTTGACACCATTCCTCAGAAGGGCAACTTCCAAGATGAGGTAACTGAGGCGGTTTCCCCAGAAGGCCATATCCTCAAACGTCGCGCCCGGTCTCGCCCCGTTTCATCGGAGTTGCTGGAGAGCGCCTCGACGCCTTCTCCGCCAAGGGCACAGGTAAGCTAGGCTTCCTTTCTTCGTGCATACATGAACATTTTTAACCTCTTGCCTTAGGCGACTGCGGTTCCTCGACGTGGAGCGGTTGGCTTTCCACGTGCCTCAGAGGGGCGCCCTACTTCCATTGTTCTGTCCTCCCCTGAGCCAGACTCTCCAAGTGTTTTTAAGGAGCGTAGGCCAGGGAATGGGCTCAGCCCATTCATTCCACCGACTCAGCCAGCGCAACAACGGCGTGCACCTCTCGATCGTCTTGCGAGCTCCAGCTCTGCTACCCTTTTCTTCGGTCCTGCGATACCATCTCCTCACAAGCCACGTTCCAGGACAACTACAATGTCATCAAATGCCTCTAGCTCGCAAACCCTTCAACCTGGCTCGTCGCGACCTAGCATATCAAATCGGCACAGCTACTCAGGCCTACAGGGCTTTGTTTCACCTGATTCCTGGAAACTTCGAAACCCTCAGCCTGTCTCCCCCACTTCATCGTCCAGCTCTAACCCTCCGGAGGATAGCATGATTGAAGATGACGACGACGAAATGTTCTTCAATGGTCCTCAGAATGCCACTTGGACGTTCGGGATGACCGCAGAAACGCCTTCTCCTCGGTCGAAGTCTGGGCAGCATTTGCTTGCGACAAAATTCAAGCCTAGAGACTCAGGTGTCGTGCTTTCTGATGACGAGGGCCGTAATGATCCCAGTCGTTTCTTTACGATCAGCAGCACCAGTACCCTCCAGTCAGATGTAGATGATCTGGTAACACCTGGTGCCGGTCCTTCTATGTCCTCTGGTTGGCCAGGCTTTATCCATATCGCTGGCCTGGACGGTGGGCTCCAGCTTGCTGGTGATAGCCAAGTCGATACAGACGTCCTCATCCTGCACGCCCTTACTTCAAGTGGTGACATGCCCGAGGATAGCTCAAAGAGGCCTCCAGGCACTCCAGTCAAGAAGACCAAAGCCGCAATTGGGCGTAACAAGCCGTGGCAAAGCGCCGTTGCTTCCAAGGTTGGCCTCAAATTTGAATTCGGCAACGCGGGCAGCAAGATCAAGAGCAAGCCTCGGAAGAGTTTGCCTGCGGCGTTCCCCATCCTAGGTCCCAGGAAAGACCGGAAGATTAACCTGGCCGAATCTGACACCGATGAAGACGATGAAAACCAGAGTCCGAGCTCGCGAAAGGATACTCGTTACGACGGTCTTGGGATGGGGTTGCCCCCGGTCTCTGGAGGTCGGAGTCGGTTTTTGATGAGGAGGAGTAGCAGCAGTGCTTTCTCCAGCGGCAGTGACATATCTGTTCAGACGCCTACGCGTCGTTCTGGTAAGCCTATTCGTATTAGTCGATGTGAATATTACTGACAGGTCTGCAGAAGGACATTCCTTGTTGGCTAATACCAAGTCGTCGCTTTGGCCTCACAGTAGGACTGCCTCGAGGTCCTCGTCCATCAGCTCGATTACTACTCTTGACTCCCCGACTATGGGTCGCCACCAGCTTATGTCTATCTCACCTGTCCGGCGACCGCAAATATCTCCTTTGGTCCCCACCTCCCGTACATCTGGCAGCGATAAACCCGGTCGTTTTGAGCGCGACTTCGTCGAGATCGAAGAAGTCGGTAGCGGGGAGTTTGGTAAGGTGATGAAGGTCCGGGGAAAGACCGGTCTTGCCGCCAATCAGGTTTGGGCGGTGAAGAAATCGAAAGTTTTCGAGGGGGCCCGGCATCGGTTAGTGGTTTAAGCGGTTCACACTTAATGTTTTGTGTTGACATATCCTCGTCTAGGCTGCGCTTGCGTGAAGAGGTCGACGTCCTCCAACACTTGTCAGAAGCCGCTGCAACCGCTGGCTACCGTATGGAGCGGCATCCCAACGTCCTCGGGTACCTAGACAGCTGGGAACAAGAAGACACGCTGTTCATCCGTACGGAGCTTTGCGAGCTAGGCAACTTTGCACACTTCCTCTTGAAATTCGGACGGTCTTCCCCTAAGCTCGATGAAGCTCGCGTCTGGCGGATTCTCGCGGACTTGAGCGATGTGAGTACTCTGTGACATTTGTCTCCTCTGTACACTAATCCATGATACCCAGGGACTTCGCTTCATCCACAATGCTAGCGTCATCCACCTTGACCTCAAGCCTGCGAATATCTTCATTACTCGGGAAGGGCGCTTTAAGATCGGCGACTTCGGCATGGCTACCATCTGGCCAGGGACGAGCCGTCAGCCTGACCGCGAGGGCGACAAATTGTATATGGCCCGCGAGCTTATGCACGGTGGATGTAGCCCTGCTGCGGATATCTTCAGTCTGGGCATGACGATGCTGGAAGCCGCCACCAACATCATCGTTCCTGGCCAAGGGGAAGGCTGGCAGCGTCTCCGCTCCGACGACTTCTCCCAAATCAACCTGTCCGACAGTCCCGAGCTCTTGGACCTCCTGCAAAGCATGATGCGCGAGGATCATGCTTCACGCCTCGACGCAAACCAAGTTTACAGCCATCCGGTCGTGCAACGCACTAGAGTTGCCATGAAACGGATGGAAGACGACGCGCGCCGGAGCTCGCAGCCTCTCTTCAATGCCTCTCCTCTCGGCAAAGTGTCACCCGGCTTTCTTGAAGAAATCCTCGGGCGGCCTGCGGAGGATGATGGCCTAGACATGGACGTGGATTTCTCATAGCTGCTCGGCGTCGGCAGCATCTTGCTCTTCTTGGGTTATCAGTGGATACCTTTGCTTGACTTATCACTCTTTCTCTTGGGACACCCGACTTCGTTCTCCGTGCTTACTACGTTCTCATGCTTTTCCGTTTTCTGTTCTCTATGTTGTTTGACTATCACACTTCACAATTGCACCTTGCATCTGCGGCTCCTAAACATACATATCATACAGCCCACTCCATCCGCTCGAGTTCTCTACGCATATAACATATAATGATACCAGCCCCATCGCCCCCGTATACGTACAGCTACGCTTGCCCTGCCATGACCTGCATTTTCTTCTTTTTGACGCTTTCCTCCGCTGAAATATACGTCCCCCCTAGGCTCACACACCCACATGTCTCCTTGGAATTCTCTGTTGTTCATCAGTGTTATCGCGCTACCCATGTAGATAATATTTAGTTACCCGCGGGGCCTCTGGCTTGCCCCGGTTCTATGTCACGCATGCATGTTCACGAAAGAACGCCACTAATACGTACATTCATGATCTCACTAGAAACTCTTCAGTGCGAGTTGCATACGAGATGTGCGATGAGCTAAGTGTGAGGCGACGAAGTGCTCAAGTCTTAGATCACAGACTCGGAGCTGGACATGGTTTTACACTCCAGTAATTCACGAGGATTTAGTAACGCTTCACGAAAATTTCGCCACGATGAAAAGCACATTCTATTTCCTAGCAATTCTAACAGCTTAGAAAATGCTATCCTACTAAAGCTCAGCGTGAAGAGGGACTTCCTTGCCCTCGTCGTCGAAGACCTTGTCGATGGGAAGCTAGAAGGAAAAAAAAGCGCAATCACAGAGGGAGCTAAGGGTCAGCATGAGCGGGCTGGCTATAGCAATGCGGAAGGTACACACCTCGCCCGAGTCGGCGATGATGACGTCCACGGCGGGCTTGTCGCGGCCGCCCTTGGGGACGTTCTCTGGAGACGGTGTTAGATGGGGTTTTCGAGTGTTAGAAGGAGAGTTGGTGGTTCTTACCGATGTTGTGGATGATGTCCATTCCCTCGAGGACGGTGCCGAAGACGACCTGGGTGGCGAGGTTAGTATGTGAGGTGGTAGGTGGTATGGTGCGGTGGGGGGACGTACGTGTTTGCCATCGAGCCAGCTGGTGACGACCGTGCAGATGAACTGGGGCAGAAGTCAGGACTTGTGTCATGTTGGTCTGTGGATGCAGTAACTCACGAATTGAGAGCCTAAGGGCAAGGCGAGTCAGTATGAGCGGACAGAGACAGAAGTGAAGGGCTGACCGTTGGTGTCCTTGCCTGCGTTAGCCATGGAGAGCGTTCCGGGGCCGGTGTGCTTGAGCTTGCTGTAAAGAAGTCAGTGGAGTACTGGTTCGAGAGAGCGCCACTGATGCTTACAAGTTCTCGTCCGGGAAGCGGTCGCCGTAGATAGACTTGCCACCAGTACCGTCACCCTTGGCTACGAGAAGTTAGCATCAAGCTGCGACTGGAGTTATGTGGCACGTACTGAAGTCACCACCCTGGATCATGAAGTCCTTGATGACACGATGGAACTTGGAGCCCTTGTAGCCGTAGCCGAGTTCGTTGCCGTCCTTGTCCTTGCCAGTGGTAAGAGCGCGGAAGTTCTCCACGGTCTTGGGGACGGACTGTACGACACATTGAGCTGCTGCACGGCACTGAGGCTTTGTACGGAACTTACACCGCCGTAGAGACCCATGACAACTGTAAAAACGCGTCAGCGACCGAGGCCCGTACGTGTGAAGGATTAAGAAAACGCACCACGACCCATGTCTTCGTCGCCATGCTTGATGTCGAAGTAGACCTTGTGTGTGATCTTGGGGCCCTTTGCGGCCTCTGCGGACTGGGCGCAAAAGAAGGCGCAGACGGTGACGAGGAGGAATGCGAGGGATATGCGACCGAACATTTTTGAACGCGGACACAAGAGACGACGTGTCCAAGTCCAAGGACAGCGGGGCAGGCCTTTGCAGAGAGCGTGGGAATGTAGTACTCGTTATGGGAGGAGTTAATGCGTCCGGGGGAGGCTGCTCGGAGATGCGGGCGAGGGTGTTTGATCGAAAATTCGACTTTTGAGCTCTGACGTTTTTGCGATGGACGACGGACTCGTGCTCAACTTTGCTGAAGCACCGGCGGGACCTTCGAGGCGGGCTGTCGGAAACAAGGGAGGACGATGGACTGATAGGTCAGATGGTTTGTTATTCTGCATCTTTGTTCCGCTGAATTCAAGCTAGATCTCATTCCGTACAGGGTCAAGGCTAAGCGCACTCTGAAGCGCAAGACTAGGCAAGAAGATAGAGGGAGTGTACACCCACCGCCTGCTTATGCGGAAGACGACGGCGAAGACTATTCTGCTCGACCTGTAAAAAAGCCACGACGTCAGGAACATGCACCTCAAGCTGCATTGCCCGACTCAGCCAAGACTTTCGCTCGCTCTGCTCCTACCTCGACGGCGCCCAAGCTTCCACCAGGGCAAATTATATCTTCTCTCTTCTCCTACAACCCAAAAATTGAGGCACCATTGTCAAACGCAGCTCGTTCCGCTGTATCAAAGCCAAGCAACGCCCCTCTCGCTACGGGGTCCGGGTTCGCCGACCTCGGCCTGCATCCCCTTCTCACCGCCCACCTCACCACCAAGCTCAACATCGCCAAACCCACCTCCATCCAACGCGCGTCCCTCCCCATCTTCACGCGTCCGACAGCAGATCACGCAGACCGAGATGTGTTCATCCAGTCCCAAACCGGCTCCGGAAAAACGCTCTCCTTCCTCCTGCCTATCATCCAAGACCTCCTCCCACTCAGCACTCACTCATGGATCGACCGCTCGATAGGCACGCTCGCCATCATCATCGCGCCCACGCGCGAACTCGCTAAACAGATCTCCGACGTGCTCGAATCCGTCCTGCGCATGAAACTCCGCGCGGAGGACGACAACGACGACGAAGACAACGCCGCCGACTCCGACGCCCAAGCCCCGCCCTCGCACTACACGCGCTGGCTCGTGTCCGGCCTGCTCAGCGGTGGCGCGACGCGCACGCACGAAAAGTCGCGCCTGCGCAAGGGCATCCCGATCCTCGTCTCGACACCCGGCCGGCTGCTCGACCACCTGCAGAACACGTCCTCGTTCGACGTCGGAAAGTGCCGCTGGCTCGTCCTGGACGAGGCCGACCGGCTCATGGAGCTCGGCTTCGAGGACACGATCCGCGGCATCATCCAGGGCCTCGACGGGCGGCGCAAGCTCGCGGTGCACGCCGTCAACGAGGGCAAGAGCATGGACGTCGGCGGTTGGGACTGGGAGCGGCGCAGGCGGACGATATTGTGCTCTGCGACGATCCGGGAGGACGTGCAGAAGCTCGCTGGGACGGCTCTGCAGCGTCCACTGATGATCAAGGCTGTGGAGAATGACGAGGATGCATCTGGACAACAGCAGGCGTCGCAGGATGCGGCCGGCGCTAACGCGACCTCGTCGAAGTTTACGCCTCCGTCGCAGCTCTCGCAGAAGTATGTGGTGGTGCCACTTAAAATGCGCTTGGTTGCCCTTGTCGCTATCCTTCGACAACTTCTCTCGCAGGCTCAAAACAAACGAGGAACCAAAATCATCGTGTTCCTCAGCTGTACGGACTCTGTCGACTTTCACTGGCGATTACTTGGGGGCTCCTTCATGGGTCCCGGTCAATCGCAGGCGTCGGATCGGCCAAAGTCGGGCGATGGAGGCGGTGAGGAGGATAACGAAAACTCGGAAGATGAAGAAGGAAAATCGGACGACGAGGAAGAACCTTCACCCGGCGACGGCATCGCTGTGTTTTCGCCCCTCCTCCCCGACACCGCCATCTACCGCCTACACGGCTCGCTCGAGACGCCCACCCGTCTCGCGTCCCTGCGCGGCTTCTCTACCTCGGCATCCTCGTCGACGTCATCCCAAAAATCGAAGCCGAAAGCAAAGCCGAAATTGCCGACGAAGGAGGAAGCAGCGTCGTCGGCCGTGTTGCTGTGCACGTCCGTCGCCTCGCGTGGTCTCGATCTCCCGCTCGTGCGCGCCGTCGTGCAGTACGATCTGCCCACTGAGGGTGGGGCGACCGAGTATGTGCACCGCGTGGGGCGGACGGCGCGTGCAGGGCGAGGCGGCGAGGCGTGGAGCATTATAGCCCCGAGCGAGGCCGAGTGGGTGAAGTGGGTCGAGGATCGGATGCGTGGGGGTGCGGTTGTGGGTGCCGATGCTGCGGCGGGGGGCGAGATTCGGCTGGAAGGCGCGAGCGTCGAGCAGGTGCTTGCGAAGGGCTTTGGGGGGAAGGGCGTGGAGTACGAGCAGCGCGCGACGGAGGTGCAGCTGTCGTTTGAGCGGTGGGTGTTGCGGAACAAAGAGGTGCGTTGCAGTTTGGCTTTGCGGCTGACTCTGGTTGATGGTTCGTTGTAGAACGCTGGGCTCGCGAGACGCGCTTTCCTCGCGCACATGCGTGCGTACGCAACGCATCCGTCTGACGAAAAGCACATGTTTCATGTGCGGCATTTGCATATTGGGCATCTCGCGAAAGCCTTTGCGCTGCGCGAGGCGCCGACCGCGATCACGAACGGCGGCGGGAAGAAGGGCAGCAAAGGCGGATCGAAGTCAAAGGGAAGCACGTCCGCCAACGCACGGGCTAAGCCGTCTTTGGGCGGTAAGCTCAAGCCCAAGGCAAAGGTCCAAAGCGGCAAGCCGGGCCAGGGTGCCGAGCGGGACTGGACGGAGCGCACGGGCGAGGCAGAGGCGCGGATGGAGAAGGCGGTGCGCGAGCAGGGCCGGCTGTCGAAGAAGGCCGGGAAGCTGGTCAGCAGCGGTACTGGGGAGTTCCAGATCGCGTCTGGGTACAACCTCGAGAGGCTGGTGGGGAAAAGCTAGCGCGGTACCCTCGTACGAGGACACGGGCTATGGCTCGCGTACGCGCCATGAGGTTCGTGTACGACGGTGTTACGCGATGTACAATGTGACCTTGGCCTCTTTGCCGGCAGGTACATTTCTTTGTACTTCTCTTGCGTTGTGCTGCTGTTCCGCGGAGGGCGAGTATGCATTGTTTCAGCGTGAGGCGTATGCATGAACGGTGATGCTGGAACGAGGCGAAGTACTGAGGATAAAAGCCTCGTTTCCTTGCCAAGGTTTCGCTTTGAGCTGATCATGGCCGTCTCACGACAATATTGAGGCTTGACACCGGACTGGCAGGGTGACCGGGACATGGTTGAGCTTGCTCAATGCTAACATTGTCATTTCTTTTATCAGTGTTCCTACTATAAACAGGAACTCGGAGTTAATGATTTTCTAGGAGGCTCTGGTGAACTGCTGTGGCGCGTCAAAGGTCGGGGGCATTACTTCTCGGACAGGGAGAGCCGACCGCGCAGGCAATTCCCAATTTCAAGCTTGCTGTCATGTTTCTTCACCATCCCTTGTCCGCACATCTCCCAGCCCGATCTGCAAACTCCGAGTATCAAACCACCCATCGCCGTGGCCCAAGCGCGGCCTGTTTTTTTAATCACAAAAATCCGAGGACATCGAGGTAGGTTTCGTTGAGTTTGACCAAGCGCTCAGGGCGCTGACGAGCAGTGCGTGCCACTCCCGTTCACGGTGATTAATTGGGAAATTCGGACCGCATACATATAGCCCCTTCCTGTCCCATCTCTCGAGTTCTCTGCGCGCAGGGGATGAGACCTGAGCTCTGCGGAAATATTCGTGTCCACGTCGGTGAGTTCCCCCGAGTCCAGACTGTTTCTCTGCTTGTGACCGACAGATGCAGCAGTTTCCAGGCGCAATGCTCGACGAAGAACGTCGAAATCAGAAAGAACATCACAGTGACGGTACCATGGCCACATTGCGCCCAGTGGCGTTGCTCCCTTTCGAGCTCCTGATCTCCATCCTCGACCTCGCGTGTGCCCCTCCCGCGTTGCTCGACCCCAACCTATGGCGCGGCCCGAACTCGGCCTGGTCCCAGAACCTGCGCTTCCAGAAAAGCCTGACGCTCGTCTGCAAGACCTGGAATCCTGCCGCGAACGAGCTTCTCTACCACCATGCCGTTATTCGGCGCGTCGCCCAGCTGCCTCTGCTCGTAAAGACCCTCCGCAGCGACTCGACGTCCGAGCGGCCCCCGATGGTGAAGAAGCTCAGCGTGCTCTGCTACGCGTCCAAGACGCACCGGTCTGTGCTCGACCTGTCGCTCAAGGCTGTCCTGTCGATCTGCACGAGCATCCGACACGTCGTGTTCAACCCGGTCCTGGACACGAGCGTGTCGTCGTTATTCAACGCCCACCCGGACTGGACGTTCCCCGCGTTCGCCTGCGTCCCCGAGGCCTGCAGCTCCCGGATCACGCACATCGAGCTGGGCACGTCCGTCCCGATCGCGTACGCCGTCCCCGAGCTCGCCCGCTTCTCGAACCTCGCCCACCTCGCCTGCGAAATCTCCGCATTTGCCCTCGCACCCGACGGCGGCGAGCCCTACACGTTCCCGCGCCTCGTCTCGCTCGACCTCATATGGCTCACCCGCGAGCGGCGCGACATCGTCGGCACCTTCCGTTCCATCGCCGTGGGCCTGCGCCTGCCCGCGCTGCGGCGCCTCGCGCTCAGCGCACCGTACTGGGGGCGCGGGAGCGCGGGCGCGTGCTTCGCGGCGTTCCTCGAGACGCACGGCGCGCGCCTGCGCTACCTCGCGGTCGTCGTCGCGACGTACCTGCACGAGTTCGCGTTCAGCGACGTGCAGGCGCTGACGAACGCGTGCCCCGAGCTCGAGCACCTCGTGGTGCCGCATGTGGAGGAGCTGGAGGGCCTCGTGCACCCCAGGGTGGTGTGGCTCGATGTGTGGTCGGCCGTGCGCGGGTTCGAGCCGGCGGACGCGGACGGGCTGCTTGCGGAGAAGTACGCGGGCATGCCGAGGCTGCGCGGGGTGCGTGTGCTCGATTTTGCGCTGTGTTCGCTGTATGGGCTGGGTCTGCCGCTGCTCATCGAGCCCGAGTTGTGCGCAGGGTTCGGGGACGAGGACGAGGCGGAGGTGTCTTGGGAGTACCCTGGTATGTTAATCTGTGCGAGGAAGTACTTTGTCTTTCAGCCCGACATGGACGAGGGGCTCCCGGCGTACGGAAGGATGATGCTCGACGACCCGGAGCTCTGGGAGGATTGGGACGAGGAGCGGCTCGCGGAGATCTTGGAAGACGACAACGTGTCGGTGTATACGGACGACAGCGACTTTGAGGACACGGACGACGAGGGCTACTTATACGATACGGGGTCGGAGTCGAGCGAGGCGTCGGAGTACGTGCCATCTGAAAGCGAAGACTCCGATGTCCATGAGGACGCGATGGAGTTGGAAAGCCTGGTGGATGCTATGCAGATCTGAGCCTCCTCTGTGTCCTTACACTGTCCTTCTTCACTACTCAGTCCTTGATTTGCCTTCACACGCTGGATACTTTTAAGAGATTTAAGTCGGAGACAATGACGCTAGATAGGGGTTTGCAGACATGGCGGAGGCAATAGTTGATCAAATCACAACTTGTCTTGTTTCCCCAACTTCGACATATCCCAGCACGCAGGTCATGAACTATGTCGACACACCGAATAGCAACCTGGTAAGCAAAAAGAACGAGTATCTCGGTTTCTTGCTCACCTCCTCGCCACCAGATGTGTTGCATATGCCAGTGAGATCATGTCTCAGCGCATTATGTGGAGACGACCCTGCTCAACCGCACGCTCTCATCCAGTGCACCATTCATCGACCCGACAACGACGAAAGCATGCATGCACACATTCTGCCGCGACTGTATCGTAGAAGCGGTCAAACACGCACCACAGTGTCCTATCGACCGCTTTCCTCTCTCTCCGGACGACCTCGTACCGGCTAACCCCATCGTGAAACATGTGAGTGCTACCGGGCATCCGTCGGCTCCTGTCCCCCCTCATGCCCACCTGTACTTTGCTGTCAGCTGGTCGACGAGTTGATTGTCGAGTGCTCGCAACGCGAGCTGGGCTGTGAGCATACATGCCAGCGGCAGCTGCTCGCGTCGCACCTCAAGGACGGGTGTCAATACGTCACGGTGACGTGCTCGAAGGAGGGATGCGAGGAGATCATCCTGCGCAAGGACATCGATAAGCACGCCGAGGATTGTGGAAGGCGTATGACCCAGTGCGACGGCTGCGGCGTTACCGTCCGCGTCGGCGAGCTTGACGTGCGTATACACACTTCCTCCTGCATCATCGCTAACACCGGCACCGTCACGCAGAAGCACAACGACGAATGCCCATGCAAAACATTCACATGCCCAAACTGCCTCTCCGAGCTCCCCCGCTCAGAATCCCGCACGCACGAGTCGACATCGTGCCCAGACGCGCTCGTCTCATGCGAGCACGCGAGCTTCGGGTGCGCGTGGACCGGCACGCGGCGCACGCTCGCGGACGTGCACAGGCCGTCGTGCGCGTACGAGTCGATCAAGGGCTTCCTCATGCATTCCGCGGAGCGGCAGGGCGCGCTCGCTGCGGAGAATGCGCTTCTCCGGGAGCGCGTGAGCGCGCTGGACGGGCTCACGCAGGCGATGCGGCGCGAGCTGCATGCGCTCAAGGCGTCGCTCGGGCCGTGGTATAGGCCTGGTGGTGGAGATTTACTGCAGAATGAAGCGTCGACGTCCTCGACGAACTCTACCTGGTCCCGTCCTACTGTGACTCCGTCTTCGCCTCCTGCATCTACATCATCTGGTGCTGCTTTCTCGGACCCTCGTCTGTCTTTAGCTGCCCCCGAGCCCTTTGACGCAGTATACTCTACATCCACAGTACCATACGAGCACGAAGACCCCCTCGCGTCCTACTTCCCGCCGTCCGAGGACTCCGCACCGCTAACGCCCGCCTCCGCACCCGCCTACGCCACGACACATACCCGCTCGTACTCGCACTCGCACTCGCACTCTCAAAGCTCAACAACCCCAGCCCACCACGCACACGCCCACCAATCCCACCCTCACCCCCACGCCCACCAATCCCACCCTCACCCCCACGCCCACCAATCCCACCCTCACCCCCACGCACACGCACACACCCTCCCGCCCGCCGCAACCCCCGTCGCGCCCCTAAACCTGAGCACCTCGCTCGAGGGCACCCTCGCGGGCCTGCGCGAGTCCGTCGCCGCCGTCGGCGCGACCGTCGACTCGCTCGCGCGCCGCACGGACATCGCGCTCACGCACGAGGCGATGCGCGTCGGCGAGGACGTCGCCTCGCTGCGCTACGCCGTGCAGGGCATCCGCGTGCAGCTGCACCGCATGATGATGGATCGCAACGCCCAGGTCACGGGCAGGATGGGCGAGCCGGGGACGGGGATGGGGCTGGGTGTAGGGGCAGGGGTTATCCACCCGCCTATGCTGTCGCCGCAGTTCCCGGGGCCATCGCCGGGCACGAAGCTCTGACCTCTGTAGTTCTTCGACCTTCGACCTCGATAGTCCTTCACGCACTTGTAGTCTTATGGCCCACGATAGTATAAAACAAATAATGCATTTCAGCAGCGACACATTCTCACAAACAGGCAGGGGAGATTAAGCAGCCAGGTAACCTAAGGTACACGGTCGATCACAGAGAAAAATCAGAGATGGAGAAAGATAAGATGATAAATCGGCAGAAATAGAGGAATAAAAATGAAGAGGAAGACGACAACGCGAAACCATAGATCAAAACATGTAGATAAAACACCGGTTGATGAGGGGCGCAGAGGCCCGAGGATGACGGTAGGGGTTTGATGGCGGAAGACGGGGGGCGCCATAAAGCAGCGTAGAGTCGGCCAGGAGAGCGAAAGGCTAAAGCTGGCCCGCTGAAATCGCAGATCTAAACCGGACATAACGCGAACGTGGGAGGTGGAATGTGGCAAAAGGCCAAAAACCAACGGAGGCGGCGAGAGGGTGGTGGAGCACGGGGTTGAGAGGGAACAGGGAGAAACGTGTGAGTGAGGGTGATAATATGTATATGGACAACGAACGAATGAACCATGGACAGAAGCAACGCGAGAGGCATAGGCCAGTGGCCAGAGGGATGACACGAGACTGTAAAGGCAAGCACAAATGGGAGGCACCGCGCCGTGCCCGCGAGACCCAGCCAGCAGGCCAGCAGGCACAGACGAAGGCACGACAGCACAAAGAGCAAAAGGGAGGAAATGCACAGGGAGGAAATCAAGAGTCCGTGAACACGCGCGCGCGCAAGTGAACATGTAAAGTGTAGATCAGCCAGGAAGGGGGGGAGATGTCAAAGGAGGATAAAGATATGTTAACACGATAAATTTACGGTTGGCGCGGGCATAGGATGCGAAAGCCGAAAGGAGAGCAAGAAGAAACGAGACGAAAAAGATCTGCGGGCGGGACCGGGGTGAGATAAACACGGACACGGAACATCGTGGTTGATAGGATGGAGATGGAGGCGCAGACGGGCGAACGGCCATCAGGTCAGACCATCCCAAAAAGACCGTTGCGTTACGTTGAGGAGGATAGACCATATCGGAACACCGCAAGCATAATCATTCAAAAAACAGTAGCCCACGGAATTGCCCGAGACACGGCGAAGAACAAGCGGTCGAGGAGGAGCACACGGAGAGATGCGCGCAGTGGCAGTGGCAGGCTGGATACTTGTCGACATGATGAATTCCAACGCTGGTCGGTGTCCCTCGCCCCGGTGTCGGTCCCGGCGTCTGCGTTTCTCCACACCACAAAAACGAACGTCTCTTTCGAAAACGGCCTTGGGCCTACTTTGGATGGGGTGGTGGTGGATAAGTTGAGGGAGGGGGGGTGGCGAAGGCGGCACGCCGTTCCGCAGATCACGGTTCAGCGGTTCAAGGAGACGGGGAGGGCGGATACTACTGGTTCTGTCTTGAGTTCTGTGATGATTCAGGTCCAAGGCAAAGGCAAAGGCGGCGCATTAACGTCATCTTCAACCACCGTCGACGATGTCACAACACCACAACACCGTCACGACAAGGAAGAAAACCCATGCGCATGCGCATGATGCAGATGCGAGTCGCCGTGGCCACCAAGGCCAGCCTCGGAAGGATAACCCAGCTCAGCCTCATGATGACCACCATGATGCCCATGCCCATGCCCATGCCCATGATGATGCCCAACAGCCGGCCCCGAGAACGACCCGCGGCCTTCCATCCCCGCTCCCGCACCGGCAGACGGACCGACAGCGGCGTCCGGGGCAAAGCTTCCGTCGTACGGATGCGGGCCCGAAACAGCGGACGGGAAGTGGTAGCTGACGTTACCATGGCCATTAACGCCCATGTCCGAGGCTGCGGTACACGACTCGTCGAGCGGGGAGATGCCGCCGGAGGGGTGGAACGAGTGCGGGGCCATGAACATGCTGTTGGTCAGGCAGGCGGCGCTATCTTGCGATGACGGGTTGGACTGGAGAAGTAAACAGATAGCATTCACCGATTAGTTGACTAGATCAACAGCTGCAGTGATGAGCGACAAACTGACCTCGCTGAGCATGTACCCCTTCGCGTCGTTCGGCGACGACGGCCCATGGGGCGAGATCGTCGACGGCGACACCGATGAGCCAGACGAGTGAAGCTGGTCAAGCCCGAACCTATCGCACCTCTCCTGATGGAACGACAACGAGGGGTCATTAACGCAGTCCGAGCTCGAGAACGTGTGCTGCTGCTGCTGTTGAGAGCCGTTCATGCCAAACCCATCGTGGCCATAGGCTGCCGTCGACGGCGCAAAGCTGCGGTCACGGCGTACAGCAGCGCACGCAGCGGCGGCGGCAGCACTGTGCCCGTCGTACGGCATCTTCCCGCCAGGACCGGGTATCGACGCGCGCATGTTGAGCGACGCCATGTGGATCTGCATATCCGAGATGCTGTCAAAACGCCACCCATCACATCACACAAAGCGAGCGAGCAATCCCGGGGTCAGCAAAATGATACACAACTTCAGCCAGAGACAAAATCAACTCACCACGAGCTCCTGCGCCGCATATCCACATGCACACCAGCACCAGAGGGCGCGGGCTCGAAGCCACCACCACCACCGCAGTCCGACGCAAACCCACCCCCGCTCGTGCCGCTCGACACACTCGCAATCGACCCAAAGCGCGAGAGCGGCACAATGCTTGCCGCGTCATCCGTATCGTCTCCCGGCCCCGCACCCACCGACGACAGCGACAACGACAGCTCCGACTCGCGGCGCATCGGCCCGTGCGGCACGCTCGGGAAATTCCACCGCTGCAACGCATCGAGGTCCACTGGCGGGAGCGCTGCCGTCGAGGAAAAGAACCGGCTGGTGCTGTCGGGCGTGGACGTCCCGTGGCTCGCGTCGCCGGGCGCGACGCCCTCCGAGGACGCGTACGACCCGTCGGGGCTCGCGGGCGTCCCGAACGAGAAGCCTTCTTGTGGTAAGGGCCCAGCGGGGAGCGACATTGTGCGCTCGCTGAGCGCCATGCCCAGCGCAAAGTGGTGTTGCTGCTGGTGCTGGTGCTGGTGCTGGTGCTGGTGCAGATGCTGCTCCGAACCGCGGCGCTGGCCGACGAGGACGGCATGCGGCGACAGCGGTGAGTGCGACTGCATGCTCGGCCGGCGCGACGCAGACGAGTACGCGTGCACGTGCGGCATCGACGCGCGGTGCGCGAGCGAGCGGTGTTGTCCGGGGCTGAAGGTCGACGAGGCGCTCGGCGGGCAGAGGTTGCTGCGTGCCCCGCGAAGGGGGTGCTGCTGCCTGCCGCTGACGCCGCCCAGGGAGGGCCGTGGGTAGAGTGTACTGTTGCGGTTGCGGGTGGCTATGGCGTACGGGTGCGTGCCGAGTTTGCCCATGCTGTCGATGCTCTGTCTGCGGCTGAGGACTGCGTCTGGACCTATGGAGAATTCCGAGTGCGGGAGCATGTTGACGGGAAGTGAGCCACGGCGGAGACTTAGGAGGTCGGCCGGGGGTTCCATGCTCGCGTTGAGGTCCATGACGATCTGGCGCGGTGATGTCCGAGGGACGGGTGGCGACGAGGAAGGGGTGTTCTCGACTTTTTCCGTCTCTGTGGAAGACGTGCGGGAGTCGTCTGGTGACTGGTCTGGCGGAGAAGACGAGTCGTTGTCGTCAGAGTATGTGGCGTGGGGCGAGTTTGTGAGCTTTCTGGATATGTTTTTCTGCTTTGCGCGCCTGTGGGGTAAATATCGCGTCACGTTAGTCTAATGTGACTATACAGACATGACGAGAGTGCACGAGCCTGTTTTGGAACCAGACCTAATGGAAGGAAAAAGGACATGAGAGCCGAGTAGGAGGGAGATTAGGAAAGGGTGTACCTGGACTCCACGCATGTTCATGCCGAGCTCGTCTGCGAGTTCCTTGCGCTTTGCGAGACATGGCTTTGTTTCTGTGCTGAAGACGGCTTCAAGGACCTCGAGCTGAGCTGTGGTAGTGCGCTTGCGGTGCTTGACCTCGTTGGGGGTGTAGGCGAAGAAGGAACGTGCCTCGACCTGGGGGAGGTCTGGGACGTATCTTGAAGGATGCATGGGGGGGGGGAAGGAGCGGAGGAAGAAATAAGAGATAAGAAAGTGGGTACTAGGCCATATATTGAGTTCGTTTAGACTGGGAGGAGGAGGAGAAGGGGACGGGGAGATGACGAAGAGAGAAGTTGAAGAGAAATAGAATAGTTTCTGTGCCTGTGCAGACGCGAATTCGTTGCTATGTCCACAAACGATCAGTCTCTTCGCCAGTTCCCGTTCCCCGTTCCGTCACTCAGGTCACCTGTTGCCCCTTCAGTGAGCTCGACGTCGACCCTGGCAAACAGCGAGGAGCGAATCCCCTTGGTGGCACTGGGAAAGTTGAAACAAAAATCGAGGGGGGAGTGGAGCATACATACATACACTCTCCCAGCCATTTCCAATTTCCAATCACCATCCTCCTCTCCCTTCCCTGAGATCTCGCCAAGCTCTCCCTCTCCATCTTTCCAATTCTAACCCAAATGTTCCGTGCTATGCAGAATCAGAACTTGATGTCACTCTCGAAATCATTGTCATTTGATTGATATTGCCACAGACAAGTATAGAATGTCATATTGCAAAACTTGTTTTCCCTTACTGCATCCGCTCTAGCTCGTCATGTCACTCACACATTCCCACCCGCCTCGGAGGTTCTCCTTCCACAGCGTCACCTTCCCGTCCCCGCAGCTCACCGCCAAGATGTTCCCCGCAAGGCTCCACGACACCCGCCACACAACGTCGGGGAACTTCCCCGTTCCACCCCCCGCCGCTGCACTCACCGCAGCCGTCGACGGATCAAGCACGTTCTTCACCCACGGTGCTGCCGGCATATCCTTCGTCCAGATAATCACACTCTTGTCCTATTGGCTCCAGGTCAGCCCACCCATTCAAAAATAAACTCCAAATCTCGTAAACGGAACAGAAAAACAGAGCCAAAATGCACAGGCCGCGACAGGGACAGGGACTCCACAGGCCATGGCTCCATGGCTCTGCGTCTAGAACATCCGAAAAAAAGAAAACACTCGCCTGCGAAGCCGTCGCAATGTAGCTCCTCGGCAGCCCAATATTAGGCGCCCATGCCACGTCCCGCACCCAGTCCGTGTGGCCCTCGAGCGTCTCCTCCTCGACCCACGACTGCGTCTCGTCGCGGTATCCCCAGATCTTCACCAGGTTATCGCACCCCGCGCTCGCGAACCGCTTCACCCCCGCCGGCGCCTGCTGCTGTCCCTGTTGCGGGTGGATGAGCGACCCGGGCGGCGTCGCCGGCGCCCACGAGACCGCGTTGCATCCGATCGCGTGCCCGTTGAAGATGTCCGCGCCCCACGAGCCGTCGTCTGCATGCACGTTGTATCGTTGTGTCCTGGATTTAGCCATATTGCTCCTCATACCCGACGGAAATAAACACACGGACCCTTGAATGTTAGCACGGAAAGCTTGCCGTCCGAGGACGCACAGGCGAGCATCGCGCCGAGCTCATACGGCGCCCACGAGATCGAGTTGACTGGCCAACCAAACCCCCATCCCATCCCACCGATCCACAGCCACGAGCACCACGTGCGATTATCACAACAGCCGAACACGTATCATGCAGAGCCCATCGCACATACACACCCGAGAGATGAATAGTGCATATGAAAAAAGAAAAAGAAAAAATAAATCACGTCAGCCCCGCACCACTCACGTAAAAAGACCCAGCGAGACGAAACGCACCAGACGCGGTATGAAGCGTGTGCTCGCCGACCTTGGTCCACCCACCCGCGGCGGGACCCTGGCCCTGCTCGCGCCAGATGAGCACCTTGCCGTCATACGAGCACGAGGCAAGGATCTGGCCGAACTTGGGGTGCGCCCAGGCTACCTGCCAGACGGGGCCGGTGTGGCTGCATGCCGGCGATTTACCAAGGAAACAAGGGGGCAAGGAGGGAAGTGCGAGGTGGGGGAACGAGCCGAGCGCGATGGTGTGCATGAATTGACGGAATTAACCAAAGTGCCCGTGTGGTATTTCAAACATGCAACGCAAACGTTAGTTTACGAAACACCGTGAGCCTAGCTAAGAGAGAGCGCAAGAGCGTAACAACGCACCCTTTGAGCGTCTGCCCCACAGGCGATTTCTGAGCCTGGCCATCGACGACGTCGAAAACCTTGACGGTGCGATCGGACGAGCACGTCGCCATGCGCTTGCCGTAGTAGTCCAGCTGGGCATCGTGCTACGCGCGCGGCAAACCCTACGCATTCAGCACACACATCTACGCCAAAGCAAACTAGACGCGCGCTGGGCCCACCGGGGCTAGCGCTAGCACTCACAATCATATCCTCGTGGGCGGTTTCGATTGGGACCGCGTCCGTGGTGGTTGCGGCTGGCTATTTTGGCAATGAAGTCAGTACATGCAGAGATCCATCTAGAGCGCGTATGGGCGACGCACCATGATTGTAAGAGAGTTTGCAGACAGAGAACGTAAAGTGGTTGTGGACAGCGAACGCTCTGCACGTCCTATGCAACAACTGCCTCAGCCACGTCCACCGACCGACGCGCAGACCGGACCATGGGAAAACCTTACCAAGCACAGACTATACCTGATCTGGGCAAAAGCCCCTATTCTCTTCTGCGTTCGAAGCTCGACCTCGCACTTGCCTCGCACCTCCGAAGATCTTCACGCACACATCGTCCATTTGTGCCCTGGAGGGCCAAATTCGCGCTGAGCCGTCCAGATCAAATAATGTACCCACTATTCTTGCGAGGTTTACACCCGCGCCCTTACTGTCGACATCTTTCACTAGCTAGTACCCCAGTTTCAAACCGCATCATATCACATTCACCCTCGAACGTTAACGCGTTCAAATGATTAACGTTCAGTCGCGGTGCCATACCCACTTAATTTCGGGGCGGCGGGCTTAGGGTCACACCGTCACCGTTGATCATTGAGTCGACTCAGATCATTCGCTAACTGACTATTATGAAACTTCGAGTAGTCCGAGTTGGTGACCGTCGGCTTTCGATTGACCCCGTCTTTAAAATGCGCATCACTATGCATCGGTTACAGTTAATAAATGTCACATACTAGTACGGTATGTGGCGTTCTACATCACTCACGCGACGTCAGGAAACAGCGAAGGAGCGAGAAAGGAAAATTAACAGCTTATATGTTATTCGATGGTTCGTCATCACTGCCATGGCCCACTGCACTCCAAAATACTTTGACCATGAACGCCGGAAGAAAATAAGGAAAAATGAACGAACCTTCTATTGACCAATAATTATATAACATCGCCGCTATCAAACCCGTGCGCCGTTTCTGACATGGCTTAGGACTTATGAGTATGTACTTTGACAGCTCCCCAAGAACATGATCACCATCTACACCAAATTTGTTCCTCCGCGGACGAAACCCCAGCTCTACTAGTCGAACTAGTCGCGTCAGTGGTCAGGTGCACCTACTACGACCTAGATTTCCAGAGAAATCAGAAGCCTAGGAATCACTCACGAGCCCGAGACATCTTTATTTTTCTTTCATTTTACAGCGGCGCCATTTCCTGTCTTTCCGCATAGAAAATTCATCAAACCCGCCGCTAAAACCACAAGTCCGGGGGACACTGGGGTCACCGGAGTACCCGTGTGTTATTACACGTCGAACGTCCATTCAGTCCCGCTCCATCGTATAGCAAATAGCCCACGTCCTCGGGCCCGCTGCAGACCGTGTCGCGCGAACTTACAGTACGCTTATGGGGGGTCGTGGTGGCGCTATGTTTGCGACCTGAATGCAGCAACGTGACCAGCAGCACAGCATGTCTGTGGCGCCTGGGCCAGATAAACGAGTCGGCGTCCGAGGCGATAAATAAATGTTTCGCGGAGTGGGTAGGCCTACGATAGAAGCTCCCGTCCAGCGCCGATAATATCATATGATTGACGGATACCGAATGTCGAGTATCGTCAGCTGCACCGCGACGCAGACGCGGAAGACCCGCGAATTTGTCTCCGCCCTCCCACTGGCAGCAGCCTATTATTGGCGTCCACTGGTAAAATCCGAACTGAAATTGTCCTACGGTAGCACGGCACTACTGCCGTACTACGATTTCGCTCGCGGCGTCCGCGTCGACCGCCGAACTTCGAATTCATTGTGCTCAATTTCAAGAATCCGCAATATTGACATCGCGGCACCCCCGCGCTCAGCGGCTTCAATCAGTGGGTGGGTAGATCATCGGGCCCTTCCCTGAGGGACAAATGAGACCGACCGCTCCGAATTTGTCTCCGTCATGCTATATTTGCCGCCCGTTGAGCGTACGCTCTTCGAGGCCCGCGCAATGCACATGTTGGTGGGCGCATTATCGTGGAATCTATACCTGCCGGGGTATGGGGCTGATCGGTGGGCATCCGTGGGCATCGAAGGCGTGCTCGAGCCAAGTTACAGCATTTGAAGGCGGGAGTGGATATTGACAACCGGCAGGCCCCTGTCTGAGTCCAGCCTTCCATTGCGATGAATGAATGAATGAATGATGTAGACCAATTATCGGGTAGTCGAGGCGCCGAACGATGCTTCAAACAAGGCACCCGGTGCCGCATAGCGAATACCAATGACCGATCCAACCCGTGGTGAAATGCATATAGCAGCCCCTAAACCGGTTGCACCAACGCTTGGTGGTGCGGGAGTGCTTCATGCAACGCAGAGCTTTTCATGCCGCGGGTGATTTTTCACGAGCTTTCGCGGGCACAGACAAATCCTTGAGCAAGCGAGGCCTACTGACAGTCCCCATACCACGAATTTTTATTCGTTAATTCTATCAACAACAAAAAACCAATGAGCAGACACCAGCGACACGAAACCGCCGCCTCCGATGCACCAAACCTCCCGCATCTCAATACACCGGCACACCGCTTCTACTCCTGCACGACCTCGTACTTCGGCTCAACATCCCCGATCGCGGTGCGCAAGCCCGCCCACACGGCATCCAGGAGCCCCGCGCCGTTCGCCAGACCCAGAACAAGTGTGCTCGCGTAGTAAAAGTTCGCGTTCCCGGTGCCCTCCGATAGCCAAAGATGGTGGAATAGCGGGAGGAGCGGCGCCGCGTGCAGGTGCAGGAGCGCGGTCACGATTGGGTGGCGGAGGTCTGGATAAACGACGCGGGAGTGGGTTGAGGAACGTCTAATGCTTATAGAAGGGCGGCTCACATGGGTGGACCTCAGGGAAGATGGCAAACATGCTGAGGAAGAGGCCGGGGTCTGCAAGGCTTAGGTATGCTTTGAATGTCCCCAGAACGCCGAGGAGGATGAAGGCTGCGTAGAGAGGATCGTGCCTACGAAGGTTCAGCACCAACGGACTGAAGCCAAACGGGCAGACCGGAATGCACTTACTGGAATTTGATGCATACAGGCATTATGTATATCACGAGGTGTATCTGCACAAGCACTCAAAAACCTGTCGCAGAATCAGCCACGAAGGCAAACGTACCGAAAACACCATCAGGAAGAACGACCTGAAGTGATCGAACATCTCCGTGAAGAAGTACCACCACAGTCCCGGGTTCGGCGTGAGGTCGGGCAGCATAATACTAGCGCCCCACGTCTCGGGTATCCAGCGCCAGCTCCCGACGAGGGTGGTGCACGCGAGCATGAGTGCGACAGAGTACGCCAGGTATTCGGTGGCGAGGGGGATCGCCCGAGAGAGTTTGACGGGGAATATGCGCGGCACAGCGAGGTGGGATACTGGGTCCGTCAAGAGTAGCAGCATTACAGGCAAGACGATGAGGGCGGATGGGATTGAAAGCTGGGTGGCAGTGGCGGTTACGAGGAGCGCGAGCGAAGTCCGGCCTTTTGGTACAATAAATGCTCTGCTTTGTTGCTTTGATGAGAGAGAGCGCACCTTCGCTAGCAAACATGAGCGCGAGCAACACCGAGAGATTGTCAAAAGTTGCTGTGGAGAGCGCGAGAGATGGAAGAGCAAGGTAAGGGTTCAACAGGTATCTATGGCAGAGTGCGTCAGAGGTCGCGTTTGCGTTCATTAGGACGTTGGGCTCACAGACTAGCGATCAAGCTATCGCGAGAGCTGGATGACACGCGTTGCCGCGCTCGCCATATTCGCACCAGTGAATATGCAGCTGCAAAGTCGCAAAGCGTCCATAGCACCGAGCATGGTAGACGCGACGTTGGCAGGAGGGTGGTGAACAAGGACAAGAAGAGGGGAGACTGTCCAAGTTGCGTAAGCATGTAAGCAGAGAGAAACTTGGTAGAAGACCAACGTGTCTGAGAGTCCCTCCTGCATATGGATCTATGTCATGCTTGTACAAGAAGATGCCCTCCTGGACTAGGACGTGAGGTTTGGGCGCGTCTATATGACAAGACGCGATGCTTCACTTACGTCGAAGGTGAGATGTCAGAGGTGTCGATAGCTGTTGGTCGTACTTGAGATATTCAGGCAGAGAGGTGAAGCAGAGAAATATTCTAGCTGCCACTGCGGCAGGGAACACGTACTGGGAGGCCATCCCGTCCCTTCTCGCGTCTTCCAGCGAGGATGTGGACGTCGCAAGCGTGGGAATAAATCATCATGAAAGCATCGTCATTTGCCCCTCGCCTCTCTTCCATCCACCTAAACTTTTTGGCGACCGGGAGTCATGGACCCCAGACTGGTAGCCTTTGTGCTCCTCACCGCGACACTCGTCGTCGGCACCGTCTACTCGATCTCCAGCAACACCTACCTCGACACCTCCGACCCGTTCCTCACCGACCTCCCGCACCACCTCAGCCAGACAGACTACTTCGCCTCCAAGTCCAACATCCTAAACGTCTACTTCATCAAGTGCGCGTGGGCCTGGACCTCTGCTGCCTTCGTCGCGCTCTGGGCAACCACCCCGCGCAGGCAGCGCACCGTCGTGCCGCGCCTGCTGCAGTACGCCCTCGCCACCGCCGTCTGGCTCGGCTTCACCAGCTGGTTCTTCGGCCCGGCTCTCATCGAGCGCTTCGTGGCCGCCTCGGGAGGCGAGTGCGTCGTGTCCCTCCCGACGGGCGCGATCGTGTCGGTGCCGAACGAATACTGCTTCACCAAGTCCACCATCTCGCCCACTACGCACCCGGGCTTGTTCGGCGCCGTGCTCGTCCTCCCCGAGATAGACTGGCACGGACGTCCGCGCTTGCGCAGGGGACACGACGTCTCGGGCCACGTCTTCCTCCTCACGCTATCCACCCTCTTCCTCGCCGACCAGCTGAGGTCGTCGCTCCGCGCGCCCTCTTGGCCGCAAGCACACAAGGTGGCGCTCGGTTTGAATGTGGCTCTTATTGGAGTGTGGATGTTTGCAAACTATACTACAAGTGTGTACTTCCACGCCCCATTTGAGAAGGTCACCGGATATCGTGCGTGTTGTCCTTCAATTCTTTAATATATCTCGCTCTGACAGTATTCCAGTCCTAGGTCTCGCCGGGTTTGCTCTTACCCAGGTTCCTCTCCTACTTGCCGCACCGAAGCCTGTCAAGACTCGGTAGAAGAAGCGATACGTCCGTTGCAGTACCAGCCTTTTTCATCCGTCATGGGACAATAAGAAGAATATCAAGGACATCATCTCACTATCATCTGAGGCACATGTAGCTTAGATCTTCCCTATTTAGCTCAAGTGTGGAATTAATGTAAGATGCATATTAGATCGTATCAGTCGCCTTTTCCCTTCGTGCGCAGGACGTTGCTGCAAATCAACTATTCCTTGAACTATCTTTAAGTAGTCCGTTTGTGATGCCAAGTATGAGTGTCTGTACAATGTGAAGGATAGGTATGTACACGAACAGTGCTTAGCACTAATAGTTTGAGATATATCTAAGAATCACTTGGGGCCACACAACACAAGCATCTACTGCTATGTCCAATGAGTTCGCAAGTTATAATGTAAAATCAAACGTCCGTTCCTCCTGAGATCCTCCTAATGTCCTCGCATCGTTCTCTTCAGAAGAACAACCAGCCCACGACGCTCCAAGCAGCGACCGCAGGCCACGCAACGCTCAACACATCCCCAGCCAGCCTCCGCAACAAGCCCCTCCTCTTCCGCCCCAGCGCGCCGCTCTCCCCGACCATCAGCTGCCGATGCAGCGGCCACACGACGCGCAGCACGACCGCCGGCACCTTGATCGTCATCCGCCGCCTCCGCCCACCCAGCACAAAGCTCCAGCTCCAGCTCCACCCCTTCTGCGCACCGCGCCCACTGCCAAACAGCGAATCCGACCTCGCGCGGCGCGGCGGCGCCTCTTCCTCCTCAAAGTACCCTCCCATCCTCGCCCCGTGCCCGTGTCCATTCAACAACCCATTCCCATTCCCATGTCCATGCCCAGACCCATGCCCAGACCCATTGCCAGCGCCAGCAGCAGGTCGCGCATACGGATACGGCGCCAAATAATGCGCAGGCGTCAACGCATCCTCCCTGTCGTCCTCGTCCGAGAAAATCGCAATCGGACTCAACAGCGGCGAGTCGCGCGGCGTCGGCCCGCCGGGCGTGCTGCTCGATGCGTGGAACGTCCCCGGCGCGCCGCCCTTCCCGCTCGGCACGCGCAGCGACGGCGGGAGCGGGCTCGTCGGGCTGACCGGGCCCATGCCGGGCGAGGGCCGCGCCGGCGAGAACGTCGACCAGATCGCGGACTCGGGCCGCTGCTGCTGTTGCTGGTGCTGCTGGTGGCGGGGAGGCGGGCTGCCCTGTGGGGAGAGCGAGATGGGCGCGAGCGAGGAGACGCGCCGGTGGTGCCGCGAGCGGGTCGTGTTCACGTAGACGAGGAGGAGCGCGGTGAGCACGCCGCAGGGGATGTAGATTGTGTGCCAGATCCGCTGGGTGTCGGGGAGGAGGCATTGGTCATATGCGAAGCTACGGGCATCAGCGTCTGACGAAGATAAAGATGAAGAGGGTGTTGGGGGTATGAGCGACAGCAGCTCGAAGCCCGGACGGCGGATGAATTTGGAAGGGGAGAAGGATTTGACGGTAATTTCGGGGATGATGGTTTCTGGCGTAAGACCACCGTCTTTTCTTCGCAGCATGTGGGTGACTTCACAGTAATCGTGATCATCACCGCTGTAGGCTTTTTGAGAGACATCTTCAGTTAATAGCATCATGGAACATACCTGAAGACTGCAAGCGGACGCAGCGAACCAAGCAAGAACTCTGTTGTCTGCTTCCCCAGTAGCTTTTGGTATCCTCGACCGGCACCAGCGAGAATCCGGCCCTTTTCTCGCAGCTGCCCACAAGACTTACTCGATGGTCTCGAAAGGGGGATATGACTGAGGAGTATGATAGGTTCCGATGTTGACTCTTTAGCCAGAAATATGCTTCAACAATGAATATTTACCGCAAAACAACGGAGAACACACCTTCAGCGACCGACTTGACAAACGAAACAGTCCCATCAGGGGACGACATCCACTCATCATAAGTCTTTTCTATCGTGTGTCGACGGTAGTCCTCGTCGACGAGCCCGGACGCGTCAAGCATGACGAACTTATGTCCGGCGATGGTGACGACCTGGTTTAGTGGTCCAAAGTACTTCTTGAAGTAGTCATGTGCGTGCACTGAGAATAGTGGTGAATCTCCGAGTCTAAGGAGGCGATGAGCGCAGATGATGTTAGGGGTGATGAACGAACGCACCCAATATCGCTGTTCCCGGGGAGATAGTAGACAGGCACAGAGGGATCGACAGAAAAAGTATCGTTGAATCGTTTGTAGTAGTCTTCATAGCTGTGTAAACCGCCGACTCACAGTAAGAAAGGAGCCCACGCGAGGAGGTGCAGACAGGAGACAAACGACTCACTCGTTCTTGTCCTTGATATACCTCCCAGAATGCAGCATGTCGCCAAGAAATATGACGGCATGGGGGCGCAGACGGGTCGCAGCGTGCCACGCCTTCCTCACGTACGAAGTCGCCGGATCCGGGGCGAGCCACGACGCCAGAAGCCCGCCCCCGCGCTTGAACCGCAGCTGGGGGTCCGACACGAGCAACACCCTCGTCGGCTTCACATTCACATTCGCGTTCGCGTTCGCGTTGGCGCTCGAGCCGTGCGCCGCGTCGCTTGATCCGAGCTGTCAAGCGCGACAAATGGAAAGTCTCAGTTTCAGACCTCCCAGGACACAAAGCCATCGGGACAACGGTTGTCAGCTCACCTGCGTCAGAGACCGGTCGGGCCACCTGCACCCGGACAGGCTGTAGAAGAACACGCCGAACTCGCACCAGACGATGGCGACGATCCAGAAGAAGCGCAGGAAGAGGATGACGAGCCCGCGCGAGCACAGGCGCGAGCTTCGCGCGCGGCGCTCGTATATCGAGCTCATTGCGATGGCGTACTAGGTGGGATGATGGGCCAGCGCGGAAGGGGCACCTGCCCTTGGAGAATTAGAGAAAGCGGATAGAAGATGAGTGTAACGTGTTTGCGAGAGTTGGCGGTGCGGTGCAATTACGTTAGTTGATCAGGTAAAACACCCGGTACCGCCGGTGCAAGCATCCACAAGTGTCCACAATCTCTGAACTTTTGACAGGGGAAACTTGATGATAATCAAAGCAATGACATACGCATATCGTCATACAGAATAAAATTACACTACATCCCATCGTGTTCAGCAGGGTATCATGTCCGCACTCATTCCCAGTCGCTATCCTCCTCGTCCTCATCATCATCGTCATCATCATCGTCCTCTTCGTCCTCGTCATCCTCGTCATCGTCCTCTTCCTCATCATCGTCCTCTTCCTCATCGTCGTCTTTCGTCTTTGCATCCTTCTTCTCGTCTTTCTTCTCTTCCTTCACTTCAGCCTTTGGTGGCTCGACATTCTTCCCTGCATCCTGCACATCTCCAGCGTTGCTAACCTGCTCGGATACGACGTCGTAGCTCTCATCGCTGCTTCCGCGGGTGCTGTTGGTAGCAGGAGTCGGGGATGTGTGTTCAACCGCGGCCTTGACCTTGAGAGTTCCTTCAGATGAGTTTAATGATTTGACGGCATCGGGCGCTTTGGCAGCACCCTCTTCGTCGTCGTCGTCTTCCCAGCTAAAATCTTCGTCGTTCTGAGTAGTTGTTTCTACGGGAAAATGATATCAGTACTTAGATTTAGATACGAAATAACAGGCGTACGTTGCAGAATCGCCCTGCGCTTCGTCTCTTCTTCCTCAATCTGACGGGCGCGGAAGAAGTATCTCTGCCAGAATATATCCTCACTAAGCTGAGAGGGAACTTGATACAGATGTCAGAGTGGAAATTTTGAGGACTAACGAATGATGCTTTACCCAGGGAGTCAAAGGTACTCTTCAGCGAAGGGCCATCATGAGGCGATGCGAGGGCAGTCTCAATGCGCTCCTTCCACGTCTGCGTGCCAGCGTTCTCGCCCTTAGACTCGATATCCTGCAGCCAGGCCTCATACAGCTGCCTCGTCGACGCCTCCTTCTCCGGGTCCATACTGATAATCTCAGGATCACTCCTCAGCTTCCTCAAGAGCGCCTCCGCCCTCGTAGCGACAGCACGCTGCGCATCTTCCGACGGACGCGACGACGATATCCCTTCGTCCGTCTCCTTGCCCTTGCCCTTGATATCATACGCGGGCATCGGCAGCATCCACAGATCAGTGCCGTCCCAGATCATGCCCGCCGAGGGGTCCGCCTCCTCGGGCGGGACGACCTTGACGGCCTCGTTCAGGAACTCGCGCGTCTCCTTCATCGCCTCGCGCAGCAACGCCTCGCTGCGGTGCACGTACTCCTCCGCCTGCGCGCGCGTGACGCCCTGCACGCGCTGGAACTCGCTCTGGAGGTGCGACCAGTCGATCGACTGCGCGTTGGTGCGGATGCGCTCTGGGATACCCGTCTGGATCGTGTCGACGATGCCCGGTGGGAGCGAGGACTGCAGTCGGGCGAAGAAAGAGGTGGTTGTGGGCGACGTCGGTGGCTCGGTGGTCGTCGTCGCTGTCGTGTCCACATCGCTACTTTCCTGTTCCGATTCTGCCGCTGCTGACGATTCTCCTGTGCGTGATTCCGTAGGCGTTGTTTCTCCATCCACAGACGCTGGCACAGTATCAGGAGCGGTAGCCAGGCGTCCGAGCTCCTTCTGTGCTTGAGTGTAGACACCACCGAGATCTTTGCGCGCCGTAGCAATCGCAGCTTCACTCTTTTTATAGAGTCAGCCCATAAGCACAATAATGCCCAAAGGAATGAGGAAGGTACGAACCTGCTTCCTGAAACCGCCCCAGAAGCGCCCAAGCTGGCCTATCACCTGGTTGACCTCCTCGTTGAGGCTTTGCTCAGGCTGCTGGTGTTCATTGGTAGGTGTGACCGTTCCTGTCCCAGAAATTCCGTACGTGTCAAGGTAGTTCATGGCGATGTGCGTGCCCAAAGCATAGGACTGAGAGTGCAAGATCGGTGTAACGGTAGCAGACGAGATTCGAGTTTGTGAGATCGCCAGCTCCGCAGCGCCTATTATGATTACCCCCTGAAGATAGGGGCTAAAAACTCACATTGGCAGTGCCCTCACTAGCTACGTACATACATCTTGTCACTTGCCACCATATCTGCATGGTTCCTAAAGGACCCAGGAATGGCACATTTTACTTCAAATATAGTCCAGGCTACTGAACGGGAAACACTCCACAACTTGTCATAATTTGCCGTTGCTGGCAGCTGAAACGCGTGGCCGCGCTGACGGCTGTGTCCGTCTTCTCTGCAGCACAACTCGAGGCTAAAGTTATATATCATGACTCAACTTAGACGCTGGAATAAAACCTCTCGGCCTGGTTACCGCGCGCAACACACCTGGCAGTAAACTCAACTTTGATTCACATAAGCTTTTACAAGTCAAAACCAAGGCAAGTGCTATTTTTGCTTGACCTCGTGGTGTTCATGCCGTATAACACGGCTCTTCACTGACATGCAGAAACATCCGCCACACTGAACCAACATGCCCGGAACGTTGACGGCGTTAGGATTTGACGAGGCGCTGCATTCTTGCTGATATACTGAGGGCAATTTACCCTGATTGCAGCGTTTCTTACCTCCCAACACATACATACTCTGCATCTTTCACAGTCTTCTTGAGTATCTACTTCATTGACGCTCAAATGTTCACCTCGGATAGCTGCGCATCTGAGAACACCCAGGCGATCGAGCAATCGAGTTTGTGGCGCTCAGGCACACTTCATTGGGACGCGCATCGTATAGGATGGGTGATTTCTGGAGGGTGTAGCGTTCTAGTGAGTACTTTCCTCTCATGATTATGGGTCTGGAACGCCACCCAACCTCGGTTTGTAGACAGTCTTGATCTCCATCTTTTCCGTGATGCGCCACTGTCGGTGCGTTGTTGATTAATATTAATGATGCGAAGCATAGGAACAATCTGCAACCTAGGAATTATACTAAACCATACGAACAACGACAAATGTAGGCTAAGCTTATCTGGAGGTGCACACACTCATTCCATGACATCTTTTGCGGGATAAGATTGCGGATATTGTATATGCCACCAGTCTACGCCATCTTATCGTTCTTGTCATACCGTTTTTTCCGGTATTACGAATATTTCTCCCTCGCCGAAGCAGGTGGGTCCCGTTTTCTACTGTTGTGCTGTGACAATACATTGATGATGTCTATTTTATGCTTGACTAGTTTACGAGGTGACGCCTATTTCACGATTTACGCACCTACTTACCGACAGACTTTGTTTATCAGGCCATCACGGCGAGCGCTTTCTTGTTAGCTCATGTTCTTCGTTAAAGCAAACATGGTGCTAACGAATGACTCGTATGCTAGCTTACTACTCATTCAGCTCGCAGCAAAAACAACCGCTGGTCACTCAGCAGAAAAGGCTTTGATGAGAAAAGACAAGACTCCGCTGCCGTTTCCGGTGCGCGTTTTCTTCTTCTCGGGAAGCTTGGTGAATGAATACTTTGTCGATCTGTGTCGATTTTAGCTTTGCTTTTGGCGATTTAGGCCTACCAAAGTAAGATGCGAAGTAATGTCACACATACAAATGCATCACCTTCTGATTGTAGGCTTCCTTCATGTATACCCTCAAGGTTCGTTCCAGCTGCTGGTTCATGCAGATGCCTCTCAAAGTTAAGTTCGTCAGTGGTCTGTTCTTCAATATGTTGTTGTTCAACCAGGTATTTAACCAGGTACGCCATCCTATTAGTAGTAGTCGATCACACGCGTACCATCCGCCGTTAAATCATCTCGATAGTTATGTCGGTTGTTGGCGTTATCACTAATGCCAAGGGAATACTACTCTGCCCGGGAGGGCCATATAGCTTTCACTTTTTTCAGATTTATCTAGAGATCATCGACTTCCTCAGCAACAGGTAATCTCCTAAGCAATCAACAACGCGGTGTCGTCGCACTTGCTGAGATAACGTGTTGGTAGCATCGCATTTTATGGCCTCACAATATTTCGCGATCATCTCATCGCCGAGGAGCTTGCCGGGCAACGGCCCCTTGCAAAGTTCCTGTCTATCAAGCTCATTCTCATGTTAACCTTTTTTCAAACATTTATTGTCAGTCTTCCGCGCCGTGCTGATTTGCTTTGTACATCTCAACTCTTAAATTCCCTCATGTCTAGCTCGGCCTCCTTGAAGGACGGGTTATCAAGCGTCAGTTTCTCCGGGACTAAGCGCACTAACAAAACTGACTGTGTAACAGCTACGGAATATTGGACGGCCGCGAACATTGCAAATGGTATCTCAAGTCTGATGATATGTGTCGAGGTGGGTGGATGATTGGCAAAGTTTATTTTTCCGCTGTACACCGATGGACCCTTTTCTCGAAGATGGTGTTCTTCTCTGCATTCATGTGCTGGACATTCACCGTCGATGAATACAAGACTGGAGAGAAGACGAGCATCGTAAAGCCGCTTTGGGATAGCATCAACTACAGTGCGCCAATTTTAGCCATTTCTCGATGCCCTATTTCCTAAACGTGACTCATTTCCTACCCTTCCTACTCCAGGCGACTTCTTCCTCGAGATCTGGGGCTCGTTCCTCTTCTTCTTTGCATACGCGCTCCGCAGGCCTGGCGCACGTACGCCTGGGAGGGATAACCGGCCCGACTTTGGTGAGGCGTTCGGAGTGGAAGGGGCGTTCAGGAGGCCCACAGCTGCGGCGGGCAGGGGTGTCGGTGGTGAGTTCCCGATCGCGATGCGTCCGCGGGCAAACTACGACGAGAGTATGCGGCTAGCGCCCTAGCGCTCGTACATATAATGACTTCACCTCTGAAATTGTGGTTTGAACGTTAGTCGGACTTAGAGTTAGAACTTGAAGATGGTTTTCAACTCATTCCATCCTTTATCCCTTTCGGCGTTCCCTTCAATGTAATTGATTTACTTGCTTTCGCTCTTGTTGAGTCTGTCCACACGGAAGATAATTTAGATCTGAGTCTTCTCTATTGATTTCGGTTGAAGGTGGTGCTTGGGTCCTGCATTCGTTTGGCTGCCATGACAGTGATCGACACAAGATCGACACGCTCAAAATGCGAACCTTTCGGCCAACTCCGAAGTTGGTCTGGGTGGCAGTGCTTCGACTACTCGCGCTTCAACCGTTCGCAGCCGTTCGCACACCTTCTTAAGCTGTCGTTCTTCAGATCTTCAGAACTTGGCATGTTACTAGTCTCCCTTGCAGACCTTGACACGTGCTTGCTTAAGGACGGCGGCGCTATAACGTGTCAGGGCATGTTACATGTTACCCACCTACCTCTGGTACATTGGCCGTCACTTTCAAGGCTACTGACTCGGAGCTATCCCATGCACTGATACTGATACCCTCCTGGTGCTAACTGCGGCTCACTCAGGGCTATCTTGACGGCTCTCGACGGACGCGGGAGGGCTCTTCCTAACGCTGTCAACATGACTCGACAATGCCACGACAGGCCACGACTTCATACCGGCGTCCGCGCAAACGTTACAAGCGCCCAATGAGCCGTGGGATCATCCAACAAAGACATGGGAAATCCATCAGAATTGTTCTGGTCCTCAGCAGGTCCAGACCAGATACCGGGGATGTCGTTCTGATACAGCTTCTCTGAGCCTCAGATTTTCCTTGCAATTCTGGCGCTGGGGCATTATCGCTGTGCTTGAGATATGGAAACGTCTCGCTCTGGTTTCATCTTGGCATGCACCGATGAGCTACGCATGGAACAACAACTTTAGCTTCAACTTTCTCGGAGAGTGGCTTATAGACTCTGTCTGACTCGTTTCTATGCGCCTAGAAGAGGTTCGCGGTTCGGACCCTTTGTTTCTTTCTGCTTGCTGTGTATCCTCTGGAACCCCTTCTTCTCTTCACACACGTGTTGCCCCTATGATCCTAGTACGACCTTTGGGGGCGTTCATATCAGACGCTCATATCAGACGCCCGTACCTCAGGAACAGTTATAAGATGCCCGACTGCGCTCGAACGCTCTCAGTTTGACCCACTATTCATCCCCTGGACATGTCTTGGTTCCCACCTCCCAACCGTCAGCGTAACTATTCTCCCGCTCCCCCAGCTCCTATGCCGCCGCCTCCAGCAGCAGCGTGGATGCCGCCACCCTCGCCTCCGCCTTTGCCTCCTTCCCCACCACCGATGCCGGGTTCCTTCAAGAAGAAGAACAAGGGGCCGGTCGACATCGAGAAAACCCAGGTTCAGGAGGAGCGTTTCCTGAGGCGTTATCAGACTTGGTAACTGTCCATCTTTAACACAGCCAACCTTTGTCTGAACATGAGATACAGGGATGGTTTCATGCAGAATTGGGTTCCTTACGACCCAACGGAGGAAGAGGTCGTTGTTCCTCGCTCCGATCATCACAATTACTTCTATCTGAACATCCGCTACCCGTCGGATGGCGGTAAGTCCCAGCTTTGATAAGTTGTCTCCTTCGTAGTTGACATCGTCCACAGGTAAACAAGAATTTGTTCTGAGCGAGTTCAGCGATATACTAAGGGATTACCTACGGTGAGATCCACCTCATAGTGCGTGGGATAAGCTGATCTGACCGATCATGTCTTCTAAAGCGTGGTCATGGGTGGTAATTTCTTGATGTACAACGTTGACCCTCAGACGAGTCTGGCCAAGTTTGTCTTTCACGTCGAGGACTTCAAGACGTCCATTAAAGATGCAAGGGATGCTCTGTCTAAGCCAAACATGGCCTATGAAGCATTGCAAGGGATCGCGTACGATGTAGGTTTCTGCGAAGAATCAGAGGGTGCGTTGTGCCCATCATGGATCGGTGCTCCAAACTTAATCGTCGAGCAGAGACAGCGCCTGCGGAAACGTATCGCGACCACTTGTCGAAAGTCGTTGAGCAGCTGGATGTGCTGTTACGAGTCGTGCAAAAGGAGTACGAAAACATGTAAGAACAGGAAGCTACTAACGGAACGGTGTTCTAACTTAGATGACAGAGACGAAGAGCTTACTCTACAAACTTCTCATGGACAAATTGCCTATCACCTTCTCGAGTACTATTTCAAAAAAGGGTTGGAATACGTCGCTGAAGGAAGCAAAGGCCACATGGTAAGAAACGACATACTTGACTGCACGCTATATGTCTTCTAACCAGTCCTTAAAAGATTGCATTTACGCTGACAAATGCATTTCATACTGTTAGAAGCAATGCCAATGGATGGTACTTACATGCCGTCGCCTCTCGTCCAATATTATCTGACCCCAATCTGTAGGGATAACACCACGACCGATCAACAGCAATTCATGATTCAAGGGACAAGTTACGAATGGAACGGTTACAGCTACGGGTCTTCGACCGTCTGCTATTTGATTGACAAATACTGGGTATGTGGCGGTGGCTTCAACTGCAGTCATTAAGTTAAAGCGTAACATAGGAAACGAGACCACTCTCTGTCTTGCAATGCCAAATTTTGACAGACGATATGCGAAGCACCCTCAAAGGTAGCACATGTTCACAAGTTCGTCTCAGAATAGCTCGTGCTCATGTACGACATAGAACGGGGCCGCAAATATGTCGCTTTATCTGGGTTCCAGTACATGATGTGTATGTAAACCTATGCATAATTTACCATCCTTACTGACATCGACAATAGATGACAATGTTCGTCTCCCGTCGCTGCTTAGTACCACATCAAGCTGATCATGGAAAAACAGTGCCGTGTTGTCGTCGATAGGCGTGCCTGGGACCAGCAAAGTGGCAGCCCTAGATTCGTGTACGTGGTTTGGAGCGATTATTCGGACGCTACTCAAGGTAGTTTAGGTCCACTTGTGACGCTATTGAAGAATTATCCGAGGACAAACTCCACTTGCTGCCGTCCACAGTCTTTGGTTTCAACCTCAGAAATAAGGTAACTGACATTATTCTTTTTCTAACACCGTCCCCTCAATATTAACCGGAACCTTTCAAGGCATGGGACGAGTTTGACATTTTCCAACTGAAGCCCATCCAATTTGATGACATGGCCTGGGATCACCTAGTCCTGGATCCTGACACGAAGGTACGTGACAACTAGTACTCGCCCCTCGTAGGCTCACTCGTGGCCCCACAGCTACTCATCAAGAGTCTTGTATCCGCCACTGTCAACAAGAACATAAACACCAAGATCATGTCAGATGTCATCACAGGCAAGGGCGGGGGCTTGGTGCGTAAATGGTCTCAGGCCCTTCGAAAGTGAATATCTAACGCCGCTTGAATAGATCGCTGTGCTCCATGGTACACCCGGTACCGGCAAGACGCTCACGGCTGAGGCAATCGCAGAGCATCTTAGGCGACCATTGTATGTTGTCAACTCGATGGAGCTCTCAACCGAGCCTTTCGAGCTTGAAGAGAGACTCAAGAAGGTTCTCGAAGTAGATTTTGCATATTGATCACTACCAACCATAGTTATTGACTGGCGCGCGTTATAGCTCTCTCACATGTGGAACGCGATCCTCCTTATTGATGAGGCAGATGTAAGCGGCATAACTCAATTTGTTGACGAAGTAGTAGCTAAAACCGTACTTTTAGGTGTTCTTGGAGCAAAGGAGCTTGAACGAGGTGAGCTCAGTATGAAGCCCGCCGAGTAACACTTAGACTCAACAATGCGTGTAAGCTCGGACGCAACTCACTCGTCTCGGTGGCCCTCCGTCTCTTTGAGTACCACAAGGGCGTTCTCTTCCTGACTACCAACAGGATCCAAACCTTCGACGATGCGTTCTTGTCGCGATTCTCTATTGGTAAATATACATGCAGCGCGACGATACCGCCTTCTGATACCTCTCACTTAGCCATCAAGTATCCTGACCTCGACCACCCCAGCCGCTTCGCCATCTGGCAGAAGTTCTTTGAGCTCGCAGAGGATGCGGCGCACGATCCCGTCAGCGATGATGAGAAGCAGGACTTCCAGGTTGAAGGCATTCGAGGTCGGCCTCTAGTACCACTCCAGGAGATCGACGAGCTCGCCAAGTACCCCTTCAACGGTAAGTTTGGTGATAAAATACTATTGATGTGTAGCCTGATCTCGCTGTTAGGCCGCACTATCAAGAACATCGTGCGCACCTCCCAGGCGTTGGCCCTCTCTGCGTAAGCACTACTTGTGATGAGTGTACGACAAACCCTGACACACATGGACTAGGAACGAGCCATTGACTCCCAAGCACGTGAAGATCGTCGTTCGTGCTCAAGAAAAGTTCATGAACGATTTTGCGGCCGTGAGAGGCGCTTGATAGCCAACGCCTGGCTTGTATCACCACATGTACCTTTAGTGTTGTATAATAGTATGCATAGTCCTTGCAATGAACATCCTTCGTTTGCACATTGTGCATATAAAGAACAAGCCACCAAATTAACCCTGATAGACTTAAATACATGATTGAGACCCTATGGTGAAACCCAATAAAATCCTCTACAACATCATGGTGAGCGTTTGTCGCATTTAAGCGCAGAAAGTGTGCGTGAAGGTCGTGCCGAGGGGCGAGTTGCGGTCCGCGGCGTAGTCGGTAGAGGAGGTGTACGCCTGGTCGTCCGGGCAGTTTCCGTTGGCGCAGTAGACGGTCTGGCCGTCGCTCGTCGACAGCCTGGTGTTGAGGTTGATCGACGAGTCGACGATGCTCAGGTCCCAGGAGATGCGGTCGCCGCCGTACTGGCCGAAGTTGGCGTAGCCGTACTCGGAGAGGATTACGCCGGACGTGATGCCGGCGTCAGTGCAGACGAGGCCTGAAGATAGCACAAATTTAGTGTCAGCAAGAGGTTAAGTTAGGGTGAAAATTTGGGAGTGAATACTGACCTCCGTTGCAGGCGCCGGTAGCGCAGTTTGCGCCGTTGGAGTCGCATCCGGTGCGTCCCCAAGCGCGGATGCCCTGAATGAATGTACGAGTGAATGGTCAGCATGACAGGAATACCTTGAAAGCGGGGAAGGCTGCTTACGATCTCAGAGTCGGCAACGTTGAAGCTGGCTGAACCGCCGGGGCCGAGGGTGGTACCGAAGGCCACAGACGGGTCAGGGGAGCCGTAGGGAGCCTTGCCAACAGCGGGCCAGACAGCTATCCAACGAGTAAAAATATATTAGTGAGAATACGAGGACTATGATGAGACGGCGGACTGACTGTAGCCGCAGTTGTTCTGAAAGTCGATGGTGAAAGCAGCAGCAGGCGCGGCGAGGGCAGCAGCGAGGACAAGACCAAAGACGCTCTTCATTTCTGCTTGCTGGACGGTGTTTGGAGAGGGAAGATGAATGAGTATGAGGCGAAAGACGGATATCGTTCGTCCAATTCCATCAACCACATTTTATATTGCAGGACTCGGCAGATGCTGACAGTATCATCTAGGACACTGACCTTGTCGTCGCGCTGACTGTCCGCGGGGAGCGTCGGGCCTGAATCGTGTCATGCACGGATGGGATCCCACGAATGCGATGCTTCGCCGCAGAGTTCCTGGAGATGATGACCAGCCAGCGCCATATGTTTCCAAGCCGTGCCGAAATCATTCGCCCTGGACCTGGATGAAAATGCGGGCGGTGGGCAGAATATCTCCGGCGGTACCTCGACTGATTCAGTCCTGTGGCAACCGCGGACGGTCTTGCTACCAAGTAGACCGACGCAATGTTCATGAGCTCAGAGCCCGTGATCGCCGTGACCTTCAGCATCATAAAAGGAGTGCCCCTGACACGGAAGCACCACCAACTTTCTGAGATATGTCGGTCTTCTCAGGTCTTCTCCTCGAGTGTATAAAGCGCAATCCTGTGCCATCATCAGTCATTACAGCGCCGACCTTTGATGCATACATACGCCAATCAATATTTGCCTCATGGTCCGAGGATGGTATAACCCATGCTAGAATCTTCAGACGCCAGTCGAAAAGCGACTAGTAACAACTAGTGAATGATTCCTCAACAATTCGGATGGCCACCGGTCACCCTTCTATACCAGTCTATGCCCAGAGATCAGACTTCCGGGGATGGATTCTCAAGACGTTTCTCTACAGACAGAGATCTAGTAGCGACCTGAACGGGTTGAGCCATGCATTCACGGTCAGAGGTGAGACGGCCAACATTGACCTCGATGATTTGAGCGCATGGCGGTGTCGACGCAGCGGCGGTGGTCGTCCTATTTTTAGGAGTAAGGCCTGAAGCTGGTCATGATCGCCCTGGTTACACGTCAAAAACATTAGAAAACCGTGCCTTACTACCATGCCGCCATGCGCGGTTCTTTGTATAAGTAGGCAGATCGAAAGACTTCGCACTTTCCGCGCCAGAGCATGGCCTGAACGACGGCTAAGCATTTGCTCGCGAATTTCAATGGGCAGATCAGAACGATGCATCTCATTCGCTCCAGTATACGTTGGTATAAAGCCTATTTCTGACAAGTATTACAGCTTATATTTGAAGAGTATCAACATTTGTTAGAAACAAACGATGGTAAGAGAGTTGATTATGCTGTTGCAGCAATAGTCTGAGGCCCTCCGCCAAGTGCCGCACTCGGAGCCTCAAACACTTGCTGGGAAGCAGACAGTGGTGCAGACCGAGAGACCAGCATTTTGTGCGCACGGCATTCGGTAACAAAGTCCGTGAACATCTGCAGAGATAGCATCAGGAATTTCAGTGCATGATAAGATGAGGCATGTTCATACCTCGATAGTATCCAAGGGGCCGCCGGCACTCTCGGGATGGAACTGCACGCCCCAAACCTTCTTGCCCGAGTCAGGCGTCGACTTAATACCCTCCACAGATGAGTCATTGCAGTTGATGAAGAAGGGCTCCCAGCCCTGAGGGAAGGGGTCTTGCAACTTCAGAGCATATTGATGGTTTTGACTGCAAGCGAGCAAACATATCAGTTTAATGTACCAAGTCAAGGTAGAGCGCCACTAACCTCGTCACGTAAACACGACCAGCCTTAATAGAGCCTGACGACGCGAGGGCAAGCACGGGTTGATTGTGACCACGGTTGCCGAACGTCATGCGGTACGCATCCAGACCTGCAGCCATACCGATGATCTGATGTCCCATGCAAATACCAAACACAGGCTTGTCCCACTGCTCCATCGTCTTGCGCAGGTTCATAGCCGCAGGCATGCAGTGGCCCGGGTCACCGGGACCGTTCGACAGAAACAGACCGTCGTACTGATCGCGAACCTTGTTGAAGTCGTAGTCCCATGGGAGGACGGTCACGGCCGCGCCACGACGGACGAGCGAGCGCAGAATGTTGGCCTTAGCACCGAAGTCAAGGACGGCGATCTTGATGTCTCCCGTGGGATTGAGAACGTAGGGTGTTTTGGTGGAGACCTGATCCACGAGGTTTTCCTCGGAGGGATCCCAGTACTCGGAAGCCTCGGGGGCAGATGCAGACGCGTCTGCGCCGATAGCGAGGCGGCCGAGGGTGGTGCCCTGGTCGCGGAGGAGACTTGTGATGGTGCGCGTGTCCACGCCTGTGATGCCTGGGACGCCGTGTCGGTGGCACCAGGATGAAAGCGACTCGACAGCGGCATGGTGGGAGAACTTTTCAGCCAAGTCGGCCACAACCACGGCAGTACATTGAATACCCTGCGACTCCAGGAGTACTCCAACGTCCTGGGAATCTATGGGAGTCTTGTTGTTGGGCACACCGTAATTGCCAATGAGAGGTGTCGTGAAAACCAGAATCTGACCACGGTAGGATGGATCGGTCATGGATTCAGTGTCTGGATTGAAGTGAGCCAAAGAAATGAAACTATCATGGTGTACGTACATGAGGTGATGGAGGTAGAGAAGACGGTTTCGCCGAAGATGCTTTTGGGCGCGCCAAAGGAGCGTCCAGTGAAAGATTGGCCCGACTTGAGGTGGAGGACGGCTGGCAGGGAGGTGAGCTCAGGGCTTGCATGGGTAGCCAAGCCCCGGGCAAAGAGGGGGAGACGAGAGATGGATCGAATAAACATGTTGAGGAGCGGTGTTTTGGGAATCGGTGTTTAGAAGCTGAGGAGAGAGAACACAAGGTCGCTGAGATAACTGCACCGTTCTTGAGTAAAAAAAAAGAAGAAGGAGAAAGAAAGGCTCACTCGTCGCGTGTGTTTTGAGTGAAAATCATATACGTCCTGGACGTTCCTTTTTTCGCTGAAAGAGGGCTCCTCGAGGTGGACCAGAATGAAGGAAAAATGACTCCTTCCTCCGATTATGTATTCCTTGGCGTTTTCTCACGTTCTTCACCCACGAGCGAGTCCTCATTTCGGCCGAGCTCGCCGCGGAGACAACCTCCTATCCAGCTGACGACCCTCGAGGAGTGAACGAATACATATCTCAGTCATATGGCTATAGGCCTACTTCGCGCGTAAGAATCTAGATTCTTTCGAAGACAACAGATGACCAAATAAATCCCGTAAAAGTACAGTACACAAGCTTCGTACGAAGCAACGCATTGAGTTGAATGTCAGCATACCTGTAGGAAGACATTCAAGAAGAGAAATACAACACTTCTTCACCCCCAAAGGAAATTAGTGGCAAGCCATGCCTTTGCTGGCGCCCCCTTCGATGTCGATATGACTGCCAAAGATGTAGTGACCAATTGCAGCACCGGCGACAGTGGCAAGGATGAGGTAGGCCTGTCAAGATACGGTGTTGAGATCAAGGGGCCATTCACACGTACAAGATTGGCTCACGTTATAGGTCATAAACACCAGCATGAGGAAGAAAGACAGGAACACAGTGGTCCCATATAACAGAGCACGAATCACCCGATACAGAGGTGGGACTTGGGCGCTTTGTGGGTGGTGAGTGGTGGTTGCGATGGAAGACAGCATGGGATAGTTACGTACCCAACCTTGTTGACCCGAACACGACCAGACAATAGACCAGCCTCCTCATATTCGGTAGCCCTAGCTGGCGATGCACGTTCGCTTGCAGGGCTGTGACTACGGCTCTTGCCCTTGGTCAAAGACGCAGCCAGACGGCGGTCAAACGCGGTGGAGAAGGCGCGAAGGTATTCGTAGAAGATACCAAGAGCGACGATAGCGAAGAAGGAGACGACAAACTGGCCATTCGAGCCGATATGCCATGACGGAAACACTATGCAAGTGTCGATAATCTGGGTGTTCCTATCGCCTAGTCAGTTATTGCGTGAAGCCAGAGTGGACGAGATTCGCACCAGAGCATGTTCATAGAGCATTGGGGGCCCATGTCATGGCCACCATGTCCTCCGTGATCTCCATGGTCCATGTTTGCAGGTGAGGTTGAGATGTGAAGCGAACTTGCGGTTCCGCCGCTGCTTAGCGCTTAGTATTGCAACGTGCTTATGACAGCTTGGCACTGCCAAGTTCAGTCCTGTTCGATCGTGGGAATACTATAACTCGTAATATTACGCTCAATCTCCACAATCGCATTCTTCGGGATACGCTATGACGGCCTTTTGTATCTGGTCATCAATCATTATGCTATGCTCTTCGACTTGCTTGGTTGCTGCTTCGAAGTGATGGCTGTTCGCTGTCTCAGTCGTTGCTACTCGAAGTTGTTGGACATCGTGGTCGTTTACAAGTTCGATCAAGAGGCGGTGACATGTACGGCCTTCAAATTCTTGATTTCAATCTATACACCTCGCCTCACATACCCCTGCGGTGCGCTAGAAGGGTATCCTAAAAGCGAGTCCTTCCATTCTTCCCGGCTCGTAAAATGTAGTGGCGTCTGACCTACTCAAGCTCAAGCTGCGAACCACAATAAAGACAACTGATACTTGGAAAAACAGTAGAACATGAGCTATGATGCTCTCTTCGCTCCGGCATATGGGTTAGAGTTGAGTTGACCTGCTGTGCTTCAATTTCGTATTTCGAGGTGAAAGATGGGAGCAGCATTGATACACCAGAATACCCGTCTTCCTGTGTCTCGCCCCATATCACGTCTGGCTTCATTATGCGTCTCTCTCATGCACATCAGTCATGTGTTATGAGGCTGAGCAGCATCCAATCCCCAGGATATGCTCACGAGTCAAGCCCATTACATCCCACTGAATAAATTAGCCCTCCTGGTTTTCCCATCATGCATTGTCATCAAAGAATTTGCCGAAAGCGGCCTCACTTGCCACTGATGTTCCCATTACACTCGACGAGACCTTGAAAAAGCCTTCAGGTAAGTACTTCAAGTGAATTACAAAGACATGGCGCAAGGAACAGTGAAGGCGGGCACTGGCGGATCCCCACACACTCACAAGATGTGAGTGTGTACTGAATGATGTCCTCAAACCTACCTTGGAGGACCGATTGAGATTATTTATTAGAACTGCACAATCGATCGCTCCCAAGTCAACTGCACATGCCGTGCTCGGCAGCAGCCTGCATTTCCCTCGCTAAAGGAACGCAATTTATAGATCGCCTTGTCTGACAGAGGGGGACCGAAGTTTAGCCAAGTATATATAAGCCCTGGGCATGCTTTCATCATCTCGACACCAGTGCGGCGCTACGCTAACATGCCCTCCTACACCCAAGATGAAGTTGGCTTGCAAATTGCAAAGGTTAGCACCGCCGTCACCGACGATACCGTGCTAATCATATTTTTAACCGTGTAGTATGTCAATGGTAATGACTCATATTGTGAAAACCACTACTACTCTTGTCATTGACTTTAAATCTACCACGCAGTCGGCGCGATAGCTTTAATGGTGAGTACTATAAGGACGAAAGTATCGGTCTAGTCCGAGTCCTTTGTTAACAGACTGAAGTAGGTGTACGACTATTTTCTAACGCTCAGATTCGAGGTTATATTGCTTTTCTCTTCCCATGCCTTGGTGTCTCTCATTGGTCTCTCATTATATCGTTTGGCATAGGCGAAGTGGATCATAGGGCGTAATTGGACCTTTACACGCGTCACTTTCACGCTTGCACGTTATCTACCCTGGCCAGCTGCCTTTATGACCGGCTATGGTACGCATGAACATTTTAACTCTTTTCGAGAGATTGAACGGAGTCCGACTTCTTAAAAAATACGTCCGATACTCCACAGCTGCAGTACGAAATAGCACTCTGAATGATGTGGGTATAAAGAACACTGTATCCAATATGGGCCTAAAACAGAGCAAGGAGTTAGACAGATTTTTGTGCCACATGGAGCCTGGCTTCGGGGAGTATGTGTCTTCGCAATTAATCTCCACCAAATGTGCCTATTCACGACTTCAGTAATCCATGTCTTCAGTATTGCATTCGCGGAAGGTTTACTTATCATCCGGGTGTATGCTTTTTGGGGACGCAAATGGGTCCTTCATCTTCTGCTTTTTCTGGCGGTGGTAAGGTCTAATCCAGCTGCCAGATATACACCTTTCACTCAAAGAAGAGCAGATCGAAATTGTTGCAGATGAAGTTGTTTCTCACTTTTTACCCGCACAGACACAAATCAAACCAGGACGTAAGATATACCTGTTACGCCATCAATTATGAGCTCAGCTTCGTTGTGTGTAGCTCCTGCCCTGGAAGCACGCGGGGCATGTGCCTTTGACAGTCCGAAAGTCTCTGCCATTCAGTACGGATTTTTAGTGTCTTTTCAGTTAGGTAAGCAAATCTAATGGAAATTCATCTACTCTAATATTAAGCAAATCGCATTGCATCCAGTTATGCTGGGTCTCATCGTCGTGAAGCGGATGCGCCACTACCGAAATTGTCGAAATACCCTTGTAATCACATTGTATCGGGACGGGCTGATATACGTTGGCTGCATTATTGGTAAGTGGATTATGTTATGAAAGGTCCTTCACTCAGACAGGTCCTTAGCCTTGTCCATGGCTAATGTCATTACAATTGTCGCGTTGCCTGCAAGTCTTTGCTAATCCTGACCATTCAAGTTTATTTACCGTGATGTTAGGATGCGTTTAACAAGACTATGGAACTGTGCGTTGCAACATTGCCTTGTCGACAATATGCACTGAGAAGTATATTTTATACGATTCAGGCTTCAAGTTGTCTTGCATGGAATCATTGCTTGTCGCATTCTGTTTAACCTATCCGTGACGGAGCACTCAACTAGGGTTCGTGCGGAGTTAATGACGTCCCAATTTACCCTCCGGTCCATTGGCGAGGCCATGTTTTGACAACTGAGACGGTAGCGGCTTGAACGCTTCCCATTATGTCAGACCAACGTTGGATTGACTCCATTATCATGCGTGTACCTGTCAATGATATCTTCAAACTTGTCCCCGGACTCATTAATGGAAATATCGCAATATACTTATTCGTACCATAGTTAGACTCCTCGATTATTTTCAGAGAAGAGATGTTAACACTGAGAATACCATTCGCGTGCACTTGCCTGAAATGCACGGCCAGCTGGTAGGGAAATATTATATCGTAGTACGACTACGGGCGTCTCAGCTCACTGCAAGTAACTGAGGCCGCGGAGGCTGTGCCCTTTTCGAATGACCATCTCAGATTCTCGATAACTTGATCGCTCGGAGAAGCCTTCAAAGCTTCAAACCCCCGCCAAGTAGCCTTTCTTCGTGTCCCCACCCACGTAAGACCTATCCGACCTACCGGAGGTGCCGATCTATCATGGCAAGCAAGAAGATCGACTATGTCATCTTTGACATGGATGGTGAGTTTCTTCGTCAGCCATGTATCACGGTGCTTCCCTACACGTATATTATACTAGGTCTACTGATCGACACTGAGAGCGTGTACACCAAGGTTACCGGTATGCAATAGATATGTGGGCATTTTTCGGGTCATAATGCTTACAACTGCGCTTGATTGGACTACTGAATCATAGATGACATCCTTGCACCTTATGGAAAGACATTGACGTGGGATGTCAAAGCTGGATGCATGGGCAGAGGCGCGTCCCACCAGTCAAACAAATAACCTGAACGGCTAGCTAAACAGACGTCACAGTGGAAAGAGAGGCAGCAGCACATATCCTCAGATCCTACCCTGGGGTGCCGCTCACGGTGGACGCGTACATTGAGCAAAGGCGTGTTCAACAGGATATACTCTGGTCGACCGTGCGACTTCTCCCCGGCGTGCGCAAGCTTGTCACCCATCTCCGTAAACACAATGTCCCAATTGCTGTGGCAACCGCCTCCCTCCGTCGAAATTATGAGCGCAAGACAAGACATCTTGCTGACCTGTTCGACTGCTTTGAGGGGAAAGTCATTTGCGGAGACGATGTCAAGGATCAAACGACTGGCAAGCCAGAACCGTACATCTTCCTGCACGCCGCTCAAACCAAGCTCGGGAAGGACGTCGGATACGGAGAAGTTGAAAACGCGTCGCCGAGTGAGAACGAAGTACGTAGCAAGGGTTTAGTGTTTGAGGATGCTGTCCTCGGTGTGCAAGCAGGTAAACGAGCGGGCATGAACGGTGCGTCATTCTGCGCTTTGCCTTTTCCTCTCAATGAAGCGATTCTTGTAGTGGTCTGGGTCCCCGACCCTGGTCTGCTTAACCTGGAATATTCGGGATTCTTGTTCCCGGATCAAACAATTGCATCCATCGAGGAGTTCAAACCCGAAGAATGGGGCCTTCCACCATATGATACCTAAATCCACAGCCTACAACGCCTCTTCATTATGATCAGTACACGATCTAAACGCAGCAGTTCTCACTAGAGTGAGGTATATAAATATGGATTAAATACCAGTTGGTTGATGAGGTGTCGTCAAAAGTAGGAGCCTTCCCCAGCGTAAGATCGCGGGTTAGTCATGTCTGAGGGTGTTTCGAGTGAAGAACTGCCTGAACCATTGAGATCTAGCTGCTCAGCCAGTCGTTCAATAGAGCTCGGCTTGAAGGCTGGAGGAGGCGGAGCAAATGGTTTAGGAGCCACCGCGAGGCGTCCGGCTGGTATACGAGACTGTAGCTCCATTTGTGGTGGGACCGGTTGAAAAGTAAGCTGTGATTACAGTCGGGTGTAAGCAACTAAGCATGTTTCAGGTCCACAGGAACCTACTGTGTCGTTGACTTTCTTGTAGTTCTTCAAGAACACGGTCACGCTCGCGAGTTCATCTGACACCTTTTCTTTTCTGCGATCCTTCTTCTCCTTATCTCTCCCTATGCTGCCCAAACCTTTTGCCCCTTCTTTGAGTTCCTCCAGTTCCTTCTTGGCCCACAGAAGGAACGCGACTGCTTCTCCACCCTTTGAGGGTCCTCCATTTTCACCTGCGTCAACACCCAGCCACTTGTGGCTGAGAGCTGAATGGAAAGCTGCTTCTCCCGATAGATAATGCCTCAGCTCAGCATTAATCTCATCATTTCCACCTTTGCTGGACTTAGTCTTCCCAGGAGTCAACACGAGCGATAGCGCTGAGGAGTAATAGGAGGCACATTCCAGATGAAGTTTCGCGATCAACGAGGGAGACGGATGTGACCTGGGTAGGGGCGGCCCTGGAGTTAGAGTGCTATCATAGGCAGATTTAGACTGAAGCTTGCGAATAGCAAGAGATTGGGCGTCAGCACACGTCACCCTATTCCAGAACGTCAGTGCCAAGATGTGTCATAAGCCAAGAGCAACTTACTTCGCAAGGGCAGAGCAGACTTCACGACGTAGGTCTGCAGGTCGTACATTCCCTGCATCCAATCCAGTCTCCATTGCCCTGTCCCAATCCATGAGGATCCGTTCGCTCAGATGCTCGAATGCTCCGCTTGCCCTACATAGGAGTGTGACAGCGAAACTGAGTTTCTCATCTTTCGCCCTTCTTTCTATGTCCGCAATCGATCGTTCATATTCGTACATCCCAAGCGAGACCACCGTAGACCGTGCCAAGTTGGAGAGTGCGAATGCATATGTGAGGATGGACGAAGCGAGATCAGCGTGTAGCGATGTCATAGAGAGACGCGGCGAAGTGTTGAAAAGATTGGCACTCAGAGTCGTTCGCCAGCTAAACACTTGAAACGATTGATAAGCCTTTAGTCCGTTATACGGCATCAGGTGGGACCATACCTGGTTCGGCTTTCAAACGAATCTCGTCAGCATTGACGCAGGTGACGATTCCATACAATTGGGGAAGGTATTCATCTATGATCTATCAGTGTACTCACTGTGAGGCTACGTGGATAAAAGACAGGATGCCACAAACCTTGATAAGCTTGAGGTAGTCCTTCTCGTCACGGTCGGTGCGCTTGCTCTCTTTAAGCGCACTCCTCAGATTAGCGCGGGCTTGAGTGGCCTCGGCAAGGTGAGAAGTGTGTATTCGGCCATCCGATTCATCGATGCAGAAGTCGCTGAAAGATATGGCGCCGGTCGTGGGTAGCTCATAGAGGTATACGCTCATGATGGTTGCTTGGTAGGATGTACACTGATCATGGTGCAACAAGGATCTCTACTCCGCGTGGGCTTGGCAAGCACTTCAGGTAACTGAACAAAATAGAGGAAAAACATATGACCTAACCCTGGCTCGAACAGGAGACCTTCTGTGTGTTAGACAGATGCGATAACCAACTACGCCATCAGGCCTTATGTGAGAAGCCGGTTAAGGAGTTTCAGAACTGAACAAATTATTGCGGGTGTCAACACTGCTACTTGCACCGCGATACCTATTCTACACCGTCAACCGGCGAATTTTATAACCGACAAACAACTACGGCTCAAATGAGCGACTTGACTCCCTTGGAGCCTAAGATACGCTCCATGCGGAGCCGGTCGTATTGGCAATACAGCATTCGACAACTTACGTCGGACGCATCCACTCCGTCGTCAAGGAACGGGTATGAGAGGAGCTCAGAGAAGAACTGGGCATTGTCGGGAGGTGCATAAAATATGATGTTGCGGATGCCGCGAATCTTGTACCTGTGCATGTCGTTGAGCCGAGGTAAGTGAATACGCGCACGAGATTTTACCTTCGGTAAAAGTGGAAGCGTTCGCTTATCAGGAGGAAAGACTTCTTGCCGCTGAAGAACCCTTGCCTTGCTCTCGATATGTCCTGATTGCTCGAGTATCTGAATTGTGACAATAAGATAGCCAATACCATAATGTCATGAAGGAACTAAAACACTCACTCGGAGAGTACGGCGAAGGATACAGGAGAGTTCTTTCGGAAATAGTTGTGAACCCGGATGAAGTCAAAAGATGAGGGGATGAACAGCACAGTGTTCGTGCTTTGCACTGCTGATTTCAGGATTTTGGGTAAAAGTTGCGTCGTGAAGTAGTTGAAGCGCTTGTCTGGTTCTTCCCTGGGGCTGGAACAGTCAAACGATACAAACAGCTGTGGTGTCTGAGTACATGTTCCAATAGATAACGGAGGAAACTTACCTTGTCTACTGACGCTGGAACCTGGACAGCGGGCCATGTCTTCTCGACTCTAACCTTGCCAGTCACGTTCTTCAGCGACGTATTAAATAACTGCCGCATCTCAGGTGTCTCAAAGGCTGACAACATCACAGTTTGTCTGAGGTATATAGAGCTGAATGTGGGTTTTAGTGTGCGGCTGTAGGAGTTCCTATGCTATGGCGCACTCACTTTTGGTCAAGATACCATGGCTTGATGCGAGAGAAGTCCGCGTCGTGCGAGTCTTTGGGGAGCTTGTTGATGTTAGACATTACAAACTGCAACAGCTTCAGGCGTTACTCAAGCATACATCGATAACAAAAGGTACCTGGACGTGGTCCCAGTTCTGCATAGCTAACGCATTCATTTGGTCAATGACCAAGACCTCGATAGAAGACAAGAAATCGGCACTCCTTGACAAAGCAATTTGATCATTTTCTTTGTAAGGCGGGAGATTAGACTTACTTCTCCTTCTCAATTGACATACGGAGACCGAGTGGACTGGCAAATATAATATCACATCCGTAAAAGTCCGCAAATAGCTTGACGCTCTTTCGAGTTAGCTTGATGCCTAGTCTGAAGTTGTCATCCACATTGCCTTTGAAGGTTTCGACGTGATCTTCAGGGTAAGCGCCAGGTCCCGCGGACTCCAGCTTGTCAACGGCTCCTGGTGGAAGGCCGTATTCTGACATGAAGCGAGATTGATTTTCAACTTGGAAAGAGGGTGACATCGTGTGGCTTTTGAGGGCGTTGAACCAGTTCATGGCGGATGATCGGAAAGGCAGGAGGACAAGTGCTGAAGGACGAGTGAAGCCTTGGTCCTGGACATCTTCAGGAGGTGAAATTGAAGCTGCTTTGGCGTGTGCAATACGTTCATTGTTACGAATGATACGCCGTCGTTTCCTAATCGCTGACTGAACAGGGATTGACTACGTTTAATCGGAAATTGTACCTCGTGACATGATCCAACGCGTGCAACATGATAGCTTCCCTAGCAATAACATTTTCGCTGATAGGAACGCATGGGTAGTGAAGATCATGGTGTGAAGTCAGAATGCTGAGGAGGTCATTCTGTACTTGGGTTTTAGCTACAGTGATATCAGTCTGTATGAAACCTTCAACGTTATATAGTAAAGCAAACCTGAGGTTTGCCTTTCTTGTCTGGTCTCAAAGGTCTTCATGAGCCTGTCAGAGATCTGAATCAGTGTTAGTGAGAGTCAGCAGCTGACTTCGAAGGAGCCCTTACTGTTCCCTTGTGTTCCCGGGTGATAGGTCCGCCTTCCCTAGGTGAACATACGGAAGCATAAAGTGATCCTATACGTTGCCGTACTGTGTGCCATTCACGTTGATCCGCAGCAAGTTTGGAAGCATCTGTCAAAGCTGCTGGATTGGCACCAAAGTAACGCTCATATGGATTTGATGAATCTACACCAAGTAAGGAGCTAACATGGTTATGATCGGCTCGGGAAACTCACCCTGCTGATCTTCGTCCTCAGGAGCTTCGTCAGGTTCAACGGCCATCACTATATCTTCTACAGCATTTTGGGGGGCGATGGTAGTATCCGCAGTGGCCTCCGGAGACGTATCGGTATTCAAGTCACTCTCCGCGTCAGAGAACTTGATACCCCTGCGCTTCTTTCGTCTTTCAGGCGCATCCTCGGGTTCAACGACTCGCTTCTTGCTTTTAAGGGCGGAAACATTGAGTAGTGTCAAAAGACGGGTGGTCTGAGAGTTGCCGTCAGTGTCTTGTAACATCTTTCCGGATGAGCTGCGAAAGTTCGATCGGACCGGAAGTTTTCCCCTATGATCGGTCTTATTCTCGCGGAGCCTATTGGCGCGTAACGCGTGACAGACGCGTCTTAGATTGACTTCACGCAACCTTCTCACCTCTACGTATCCCTTCGCTCCCCCTTTTACCGTTAGCAGGCAATCTGCTGCAAGCAGACTGCGAGGTGCCACGCGTGTTTTTCTGGAATTCAGGCACACAGGCTCCCGACACGAATAGCTCAGATGGAAGTGCTATGTGTGGCGGAGAAGCCGTCCATTGCAAAATCAGTCGCAAACATACTGTCTGGAGGGAGATATCAAACAGTAGGTTCTGCATATATGCGCTGAAAGAGACTCACCCTTCTTCAGCGTCAAACTGGCGAAAAATACATCAGAAACTACATTTTCGACTACCCACAAACCAACTCTCAATTTACCGTGACTTCTGTCTCCGGTCACATCATGGGCCATGATTTCGACGAGGTTTACAAGTCGTGGCGTTCGGTTGACCCTCTCCAGCTATTCACTCTTCCCGTCCGATGCAATGTAGACAAGGAAAAGGTCAAAATCAAGGAGAATTTGCAACAACTTGCCAGAACCGCAAATACGTTGATGATCTGGACAGACTGTGACCGCGAAGGGGAGAACATTGGATACGAGATAATGCAGGTTTGTCGTGAAGTGAAGGCCAATATCACAGTGAATCGTGCTCGTTTTAGTGCTATCATTCAAAAGTGAGTCCCGTCGCACTGTCAAATAATACAAACCAACGCTTCATAGCCAAATACATCGCGCTGCACAGCGTCCGGTGGAACTTGATATGGCTCAAGCATATGCTGTGGAAGCAAGGTCGATCCTAGATTTGCGAATAGGGGCTGCTTTCACGCGTATGCAATCGTTAACCTTGCAAAGTACCGTGGCTGTCGAGGGAGTGGTATCGTATGGTCTGCATATCAAGTCCCGCCAAATACGCGTTATAGTCGCTAACATGGTCATTATCTATAGGCCCTTGTCAATTTCCTACTCTTGGCTTTGTCGTTGCACGGTATTGCGAGGCGCGAGCGTTCACGGAAGAACCTTTCTGGTATATCACGCTGTTGCTCACACGCCAGGTAGGGGGGCATCCCAAGGAGACAGCCTTCAGTTGGAGAAGAAACCATCTGTTCAACTTCGATGATGTATTTGTGATATACGAGCGTATCATGGCCATCGATAATGCACGCGCACGAATCACGAAGGTCACAAAGAAAACTACGAAGAAATAGTAAAGAATAGCTTTGCTGTGTCGATAGTTCACTGACGCGATACCAGCAAGCCTTTGCCTCTAACCACTGTCGAATTACAAAAAGCGGGATCAAGACTTCTCAAGCTTGCTCCAAAGAAAGTGCTTGACGTGAGCAAAATTCCAATTGACCGCGAAATCTTGTCATCATTTCTACTTTCATAGGTCGCGGAGAAACTGTACCAGGACGGGTTTTTGTCATATCCTCGTACAGAAACAGATCAATACGACCCCCAATTTGACTTCATGGCACTGATCGAGAAGCAGACAGCCGATTCAGCGTGGGGAACCTTTGCGCGAGGGTGAATTCATTGATCCAGCTGGCTGTACATACATTAAGCAAGCTGATGATCGTAGGCTGAAAGATGGTGCATTCTCATCACCGAGGAAAGGCAAACACAATGACAAAGCGCACCCTCCCATTCACCCGACTGCGCATGCAGCCAATCTCACTGGAGATCAGAAGAAAGTGTACGAGTACATCACACGACGCTTTCTTGCCAGCTGCTCGAAGGACGCTGAAGGCTTTGAGACGAAAGCCGAGGTGGACTACGGAGGAGAACTTTTCTCCGCAAGTGGTAAGTATTCCGTTGGCACGACATGTCTTAATGTTCACACCAAGCATAATCACCAGGCCTCAGCGTATTAAGAAGGAATTATCTTGAGGTCTATCCATACGACAAGTGGTCAGACAAGGACATGCCAGACTTTGTTGAAGGCGAAACATTTGAACCCACCTCTTGTGAGGTCAAGGAAGGCAAGACGTCTGCTCCATCGTTACTCACCGAGGCCGACCTTGTGACCCTGATGGACAAGAATGGCATTGGTAAGCTCTGGCCTCTGAGCGTGCGTATACGTGGGTGAATTCTTAACAGGCACGGATGCCACTATTGCACAACACATCGATACCATTGTCACACGCAAATACGTGACGGAGATCAAGGAGGGTTCGACCAAGTACCTTGCTCCTTCGCCTTTAGGCTTAGGGCTCATCGGTGGATACAATCAGATAGGATTGGAGCGGAGTCTGAGTAAACCTCAACTGAGAAGAGAGGTATGTCATTGTTCCTCGGCTTTCGTTTGCTTCAAGTGTATCAACTTTGCTCTCTCAGACGGAGAGGCATCTCGTACAGATCTGCGAAGGAACCAAGACAAAAGAGGAGATGCTAGAACAATCTGTGGCCCTATATCAAGAAATGTTCATTTTAGCGAGGCGCGAGTTTAACAAGGTCATAACGGTTAGTCTATTTTGCGACTCGACGGAAACTTCTCACCGTCACAAAAGTCTGTCAGAACTTCACTCGCAGAAGGCGCTCCTATCCCAAGACGAGGTGCGGGAGGTGGAGGCGACGGAGATGGTGGGGGCGGGGGTGGAGGCGGTGGAGGCTACGACGAAGGCGGAGATGGCGATGGCGGCGGACGCGGCGGCCCAGCCAGGCGAGGCCGTGGTAGCGGTACCGGACGAGCTCGGGGTCGAGGAAGAGGGCGAAATAGCACAGGAAATGACGCTCCTGACGACGGTACGAAAAAGAAACGTGGTCGACCAAGGAAAAACCCTCCACCAGATGCCCCTGCTGCACCCGCTGCACCCGCTACACTCAGTCGTGGACAAGTAGCCCCATCGCATGTTTCATCAGAGGATTATGGTTTTGACGGTGCGTTCCTAAATCGCCGGTTGTAATTTGCTGTTCATTTGATAGGCTTGAAGATATCGGTGATGTCGAATTGTGGAATGATATTCCAGATGTCACAGTGCCGGCCTTGAGTCGAAGACCTGGACCTTCGTCACGACCTGGGGCTTCGTCCGGCACAGTCTTGTCTGCAAGTGCATCTGCTACAACGGGCGGGTCCTCAGGACCCTCAACCGCATCTAAGATATGCAATTGTGGAGTTCCAGCCGTGCAGAAAACTTTTTCTCAAGGTGCTCGTGAAGGTGAAACTTACTGGGCGTGTGCTAGTGGGCAGTGCAATTTCTTCGGGTCTTCGTCGTCAATACCCACCAAGAGGGCTTACTCTGACATGTCTGTGAGTGCATGCTACGAGGGTAGTCCTTTCATTCCAACTGAGATCTACGAACAGCACGATCGTCCCTCCGGTACGAACGGCAATGACGCGCCACGGCGGTGTAGAACATGTCAAGGGGAAGCCCGACAGTTAACTGTGACCAAGGATGGACCGAATAAAGATCGGCGGTTCTGGACATGCAAAAATAGACCCGACGATGAGTGCGGCTTTTTTGAGTGGGATGATGAACCACCACGAACATCCGGCGGAAGCGGCAATAATCCCAATGACAGCTGTCTTCAAGTAAGTCATGTTTCCGATCTCAATCAAGGTCTACAGTTGACTATGCATTCTGCCGATAGTGCGGAAAGTCGGGGCATTGGGCACGAGGTAAGCCCTTCTTGGACCAATCCAGCGCGACAGCACTAACTTCAAAACCAAAAGATTGCCCAGACAAGAATAAACCCGAGCGAAGTAAAAGTTTCGGGTCGAAGGCGTCTGGAAACGGCGTCACTTGCTTCAAGTGCGGCGCCCCAGGCCACACCAGCAATGGTGAGCTGCCGCAGTGGAGGTTTATTCACCTCACATTAACTTTGGAACTCGGCAGCATGTCCACAAACAGGTACATCGGGTAGTACTGGTAGCTCAGAGCCATGCTTCAATTGTGGCAAATTAGGGCATTGGGCGTCTCGTGAGTTGCTGGATGCATCTGAGAGAATAACATCTCACCATTTGGCAGAGTGCCCTGACAATGGCCGAGCGCCTAAACGTGCAAGGTCGGCATCGAGCAAGGGACAGCGAGGGACATCAAGAGGGGCTAAACGTGGTAGAGGCGGTCGAAGCTAGTCCACCAATGGCTCGGCCCTTATGGACAATCGTTTAGGCTTGTCCCTGCGTGGCTGACATGAGATTGACATGATCTGCAAAGGATCGACAAGACCGGGGATATTCCAACGCCAAGTGTTGGGTGATGACATATTGTCGCAAATTCAACATTACCCCAGGTTACCCCTCAGGGGTATGTAGGCCTATGTAGGCGCTTATGTACAGGACAGCTTACTTACTTATAGGTTTTCTTTTCTCGGTGTGTGCTCGGCTTAAAGCGTTCGGAGAAGCCCGCTTTTGTCGCTAGTTCATAGCTGTGTGACTACACGCCGTCTGATGGATGCAACAGGAATATTGAGGTGTACTGAAATTCGAACTTGGGATTCGTAAGTATGGTGATGCAATGGTGATGTGTATCACTGGGGGCAATTGCCCATGTTTTTGTAGAAAACATTCAAAATGTTTTGAAGGCTTTCTTCCTAATTGGGCAGGTCACCTTCCAAATTTGGCATTTTGAGCAAAACATTTAAAATGTTTTTGATATATTTTCCCCAGAAACATCGACTAATGCCCCCAGTGTATGTATAAGAAGACATGACTCATACACAGACTTTACGATCATGGAGGTCTACGCATGACGTGAGCCAAATCAATCCACATACGAGTGCATCCTTTCAACGAGTGGCGTTGGACTCCGAGTAATACTCCCTCGTAAATTCCTTGCAACGGTGCGAACGACAATTGCCCCATTCTGCTCGCAACGCCATGTTTCATGCATGAACATTTATGCCTCCGCACCGAAGTTCAGGCACTCCAGGGGGGCAGGTACCGTTACGTTTCCATGATCGGACCAGATCCAGCCTGACCCCGCTGCAGCATTCAGTATTCAGTACTCAGTACGCAGTCCTGACCTGTCCTGACCCTAATCTCAGGTCGCCGTTTCAGATGAGTGAGGCCTAATAAGCTTAAGGTCCAAGGCCTAGTAATGAATTTGGCTGCCAGTGTGTCCTTGGTGTGTCCCGAACTATTTACCACGGCATCATCAGATATCTGTAAGACATGTCAAGAGCTGTCACAAACGTAACCAAGCCCCAACCAAGCCCCTCCAAAAAGTCCGGTGGCATTGATGTTCACTCGCGATTCGTCCGACAGTTCGGAAATACAGAAAGTCAGAGTGGCGCCGCTGTCAGACCGGCCTTATAACTGCTATGAACCCGTCTCGTTTCAGGTTCGACCACGACAGTCCTCCCCCTCATCTGACGGCATCATGTCCTCCCACTCCAGCTTGGGCGAATCAGGGGAGAAAGAACTCGCGGTGGACGTCAGCCCTACCGAGAGGGCTCGCATTCTCCGGAAGATGGATTGGCATTTGTTACCCTTTGTGTCACTCCTCTATCTGCTCTCGTTCCTGTGAGTCTCTGTTTTGTGTATGTGTGTGGAGAATAAGCTAAATCCTACCTAAGCGATCGGAGTAATGTTGGTCAGCTTCGTCGTACCATGGTTTGGATCGCCATGTGAATGCTGAAACGAGATGTGTAGGCAATGCCAAAGTGGCAGGCATGTCCAAAGATTTAGATTTGGTCGGGTTCCGATACAACATTGCCGCTGCTGTCTTCTTTGTGGGTGCTTCTTATGCTTCTTCCCTGGACGCATTATCTCACCCCGCATTGTCCATTTTTAGTTCCTGTACAGCTTCGCCGAAGTCCCATCGTACGTCTCCATATATTAGGAACGTGGTCGTTATTCTGGTACTCACCGCCGCCAAATAGGAACGTATGCTTGAAGCTCTTTAGGCCGTCCAGATGGAGTACGTCGTGGCTCATGTCGGGGTCGAAAGCCCTCAGCTGACCATTTGACAGTCCCTTCGATAATGTTGGCGTGGGGCATCGTCATGACACTCATGTGTCTAGTCACCTCTTACCAAGGGCTCATCGTGTGCGTAAGTTGATGAATATCACAGCTCTTACTTATGTCTTTTATCATCCAGGGCACGCATCTTTCTTGGCTTGACAGAAGCTGGGTTGTTCCCTGGTGTCACATACTACATTTCACTCTGGTATCCTCGTAAAGACCAGGCAAGGAGGGTGGCTATCTTCTTTTCTGCTGCAACTGTGGCGGGGGCATTTGGTGGCCTTCTTGCGTACGTGTTATACATTTATGATCATAGTCCAGTCCAATAAGGTCTCACAGATACGGTATTGAACGTATGGAGGGGTGAGCTACAAATCCTTCGCGATGATCAAGTCAAATAACGTTTCCAGGATTGGCGGCCTGCACGGGTGGCAGTGGATTGTGAGTCAAACCTTTCTGTTCTAGAATGTAATGCTGAGATGTCTACAGTTCTGCCTCGAAGGTCTGGCTACTGTCCTTATAGCTTCCCTTGCATACTTCTTTATGCACGATGTAAGCCTCTCACTATCAACAGCTTGTTAGTCTTTTCATTGAAGGGACTTCTAGTACCCGGAAACCGCGACGTTTATAACAGACTCAGAACGCAAGATCATCCTTGACATGCTGGAAGCGGACAAGTCGGGACTTGACACCCAGTATCACTTTGATTATGTGTTGCAAGGGTTAAAAGACTACAAGTGCTATGTTCAAGTGATCATTTACATAGGGTAAGTCGAATTTGACACCTGCCAGCTGGCATATACTAAAACAATGGCCAGGCTTCTCATCCCAATCTATGCCATCTCTCTTTTCACACCCACTATCATCAACGAACTCGGATACTCAGCTGCTAACGCGCAGCTGTTATCTGTCCCACCGTTCGTAGCTGGATGCTTCTTCACTATTTGGATCGGTATATTGTCCGACAAGATGGCTATCCGTGGCCCCTTCATCATTGGAGGCGCTATATTTTCTCTTGTTGGCTACATTATCCTTTATACCACGGACAGTGCGGGCCCTTCGTATGCAGGCTCTATTATCGCAGCTGTCGGTGTTTTCCCGACTATTGCTGTCAATCTCGCATGGGCTAGCGCCAACGCTGGTGGTGACATGAAGCGCGGCGTTGCCATTGCCATGGTCATTGGCATCGGGAATCTTGGGGGGTAAGGGCCGCATCATAGATGCAGCCTGATCTATGCTAATTATTCCAATCTCAGGATTTGCTCTTCTTTCATCTACAATGATCCCCCGAGATTCCACATCGGTCATGGAACGATAATGGGATTCCTTTGCCTTTCGTGAGTGTTTTCGCATGCATAATCATTTCTTTAGCTTACAGGCTTCCAGTGCTATCATGAGCGCGTTCGCTATGTGGGACTACAATCGACTCAACAAACAAAAGGAAGCGCTCTGTGCGCGCGAGGGCATCACGGAAGATAGAAAAGATGAATTCAAATACATGGGTGACAAGAGCCCTCTATTCAGGTGAGCCGTGTCCATAGCTTAGCAGTCCAAATCTACTCAATGCAGTTGAATCCAGATACACCATATAGTACCCTCATGCAGATTTTCTGCTGAGATCAGAACTTGGGGGCTTACCTGCATTATATTATCATTTTCTCAATTTACCAAATTCATCGCAATCCATCTATTCCCATTCATATGGTGCACGAGAGAAGATCCCCCCGAGAATCTCAGACGTGTGCTGCGACAAAGTGTACATTTCGTTGCTTTCAAGCTCAAATATACGGCGTATTTAGACTCTAGAGATTCTCTAATATAAGCGCCTGGCTTTGAACGTGCAGGTTTAAGGCAAGCAGGAAGATTATCATCTCCCTTGCCTTCGATGCTACAAGCCAGTGAAGGACACGGTGACACCAGCGGATGTAATCTACCAAAGTCCCTCATTCGACCTAGTTGATGGATAGGGGCAGGTGCACGTGGATTGCGTAACTGATGCAAACAGAAGCAAACAAGGAAACAAGGCTGGGATTTTGCGCTGAGTGCGAGACGCGTCGGCGGTCAAGTCGAGGATGCATCTCTACAACCTCACTCTCCAGCCACCGACGGCGGTCGCTCAGGCCATCGTTGGGAATTTCTCGGGCGCAAGGACACAGGAGATAATTGTCTCTCATGGCACTCGACTTGAGCTCCTCCGACCGGACGTGCAGACTGGCAAGCTCTCTACCGTCATAGCCTCGGACGTGTTTGGGTCCATTCGATCTCTCGCAGCCTTTCGTCTGACTGGCAGCACCAAGGGTGAGCCCTCCGTACGTATCCTTTCTCCCTTCGCTATATTCACCGTCCTTGTCCTCAGACTATGCCATAGTAGGCTCTGATTCGGGTCGCATTGTAATCCTCGATTATGACCCGAAAACTAGCAGCTTCGTCAAGCTCCACCAGGAGACGTTTGGCAAGTCCGGCGCGCGTCGTATCGTTCCTGGCCAGTATCTTGCGACGGATCCCAAAGGGCGTAGTGTTATGATCTCAGCCATGGAAAAAGCCAAGCTTGTGTACATTCTCAACCGGGACGCCGCTGCAAACTTGACGATCTCTTCTCCCCTGGAAGCACACAAAAGTTCTGCTATCATCCACCACATTGTGGGTCTGGATGTTGGCTTTGAGAATCCACTGTTTGCAGCTCTTGAGGTGGACTATGCTGAGGCTGACCAGGATCCCACTGGCGAAGCAGCTCAAAATGCTGAAAAGGCACGTGCTCCCCTTTGTTTGACATTACTTCATCTCATGTACTACAGATGCTCACATACTACGAACTTGACTTGGGTCTGAATCACGTTGTGCGAAAATGGAGCGAGCCCACAGATCCACGGGCAAACTTGTTGGTCCAGGTTCCAGGTGGCCAAGTTGCATCCTCTGAACGTTTCGATGGACCCTCAGGTGTTCTTGTGTGCTGCGAAGACCACATCATCTATAGACATATGGACAAGCCTCAACATCGCGTCCCAATACCTCGGCGCAGTCACCCGCTGGAGGATCCAAAACGCGGTGTGATCATTGTAGCCGCTGTTATGCACAAAATGAAGGTTTGTACTGTGCCATCCCACCATAACCATGTGTTGATGCATTGTAGGGTGCTTTCTTCTTCCTCCTTCAAAGTGAGGATGGTGACCTGTTCAAAGTCACCATTGATCACGATGAAGATGAGGTCAAGTCACTTAAAATCAAGTACTTCGATACAGTTCCTGTGGCATCGAGTCTTTGCATTTTGAAGTCTGGCTTCTTGTTCGTTGCGTCCGAGTTTGGCAACCAGTGAGTCGACACATTCGCCCGTCTGAGTTTCGGTTAACACTTGACCCCAGTTATTTGTATCAATTTCAAAAGTTGGGCGACGACGATGACGAACCAGAATTTAGTTCGACTTCGTTCCCTTCATTCGGCATGGCTGAATCCTTCATACCTCTTCCCCATGCACACTTCCGTCCACGGGGGCTGGACAATCTCGCTCTCGCTGATGAAATCGAGTCTCTAGACCCGATTTTAGATGCCAAAGTCATGAACATTCTTCCGAACTCTGATACCCCACAGATCTTTACGGCTTGTGGTCGCGGTTCGCGGAGTACATTCCGCATGCTGCGGCATGGTCTGGAAGTAGAAGAGTCGGTCAGTTCTGAGCTACCTGGTATTCCCAATGCTGTGTGGACGACAAAACGAACTGAAGACGGTGCGTAAATGTAGCCTCCCACGAGTATGTGTGCCTAACCTTTTTTTTTTTTGGCAGACCCGTACGATTCCTACATCATTCTTTCTTTCGTGAACGGTACTCTTGTGCTTTCAATTGGGGAAACTATTGAGGAAGTGCAAGACACAGGCTTCTTGTCGTCCGCACCAACCCTAGCAGTTCAACAAATAGGCTCAGATGCCTTGCTTCAGGTACACCCACAAGGCATTCGCCACGTCCTTTCAGATAGGCGGGTGAACGAGTGGCGGGTGCCTCAGGGCAAAACCATTGTCTGCGCAACTACCAACAAGCGTCAGGTGGTCGTCGCTCTCAGCTCTGCCGAGCTTGTTTACTTCGAGCTGGATCTGGATGGTCAACTCAACGAGTACCAAGATTGGAAGGCAATGGGCTCCACGGTGCTGGCTCTCAGCGTCGGGGAAGTTCCGGAAGGCCGACAACGTACACCCTACTTGGTATGCTCATACTTGCTTTCTTTTCCGGGTTTCTGTTCATGCATATATCAGGCTGTCGGATGCGAAGACCAAACTGTCCGCATCATCTCGCTGGACCCTGAGAGCACATTGGAGACGATCAGTCTTCAGGCTCTGACTGCCCCTCCATCGGCCATCTGTATCGCTGACATGCTGGATGCTAGTATCAACAAGAGCCAACCGACCATGTTCGTGAACATTGGTTTGCAAAATGGTGTTCTGCTGCGAACAGTTCTCGATCCCATCAATGGTCAGCTTACTGACACTCGCACTCGGTAAGTTGCCCTTGGTGTTATGCTTGTAAGCATTACTCATGTCTTTCAGTTTCCTAGGCACGCGACCTATCCGATTGGTTCGTGTCACCGTGCAGAAAAACCCTGGCATTCTCGCTCTGTCGTCACGGTCATGGCTCAACTACACGCACCAAAGTCTCATGCACTTCACTCCTCTCATCTTTGAGAACCTCGATTATGCATGGAGCTTCTCGGCGGAGTTGAGCCCCGAGGGTCTCATTGGCATTACGGGCAGCGTTCTTCGGTGAGTGGTTTGTGTTCTTCAGTTGCGTCGTTGGCAAAGATGAGATCGAGAGACCGTAAAATCCACGAATGGATATGCCGAGTTTTTATTTTCAATTGTTCCTACTGAGCCACTTGGTTTTCGCTTCTGGTTTTATTTCCTAAGACTAACTGAAAGAAATCTAGGATTTTCCAGATTCCGAAGCTCGGTATGAAACTGAAGCAAGACGCTGTCCCACTGTCGTACACGCCTCGCAAGTTCGTCTCCCACCCTGCAAACCAGTATCTCTACCTCATTCAAGGAGACCATCGGGTGATGAGCGAATCTGCGGCCGAGAAAAAGCTCCAGGAGATGGTGCGTCGCCCGGTCATACACATCAGATTCCTCGCTTCATTGATCTTTTAGCGTACGAAAGGCCAGAAAGTTGATGAGGAGATACTCCAACTTCCTGTGGAGGTATTCGGTCGCCCAAAGGCACCCGCTGGAACTTGGGCATCGGCTATTTGTATCATTGATCCTATCGAGGTAGCGCATCCTTCGCTCCGAGACTTTAATGGTGCTAATGGCTACCTGGTTCCCAGGCTAGGACGATCCACACCGTTGAACTCGACAACAATGAGTCTGCCTTCTCAGTCGCTGTAGTACCGTTTGCTGCCCGTGACAATGAGCTCCATCTTGTCGTTGGGACCGCAGCAGATACTCTCCTGACACCGCGGTCGTGTCGAAGTGGTTACCTGCGAACATACCGGTTTACCGACGAGGGCCGAAGTTTAGAGCTTTTACACAAGGTATGGTTGTTAACCATACATTCACTACATGGTGCTAAATTTGTCTTCTCAGACTGAGACTGATGATGTTCCCCTTGCTGTAATGGCGTTTCAAGGACGACTCATCGCAGGAGTAGGCAAGTCGCTTAGGTTGTACGAGATAGGCAAGAAAAAGCTGCTGAGGAAGGCCGAGAACAAGGTGGGTTTTCTTGGCTGTCATTTGGGTTTGCTACTCAAGGTTGTTCTAGTCTTTCGCAAGCGCCATTGTCACACTCAATACCCAGGGCTCTCGCATTATTGTTGGTGATATGCAGGAATCCGTTCACTTTGCTGCCTACAAAGCACCAGAGAACCGGCTGCTAATCTTCGCAGACGACATGCAGCCTCGCTGGGTCACAGCTTTGACTATGGTGGATTACACCACTATCGCTGTTGGCGACCGCTTCGGAAACGTGTTCATAAATCGCCTCGACATGAGAGTCTCCGATCAAGTCGACGATGACCCCACTGGCGCAGGCATTCTTCATGAGAAGGGTCAGCTGTCGGGTGCACCCCACAAGACCAAGCTACTCTGCCATTTCCACGTTGGCGACCTGATCACGTCGATCCACAAGGTGTCTTTGGTCGCCGGGGGTCGTGAAGTACTCCTTTACACAGGAATCCACGGAACCATCGGTATTCTGGTTCCATTTGTGTCGAAGGAAGACGTGGACTTCATCTCAACGCTCGAGCAACACATGCGGAGCGAGCAGAGTAGTCTTGTCGGCCGGGACCAGCTGAGCTGGCGTGGATACTACACGCCTGTCAAAGCAGTAGTGGACGGAGACCTGTGCGAGGCGTTCGCACGGCTGACGGGCTCGAAGCAGAGCGCGATCGCCGGCGAGCTGGATCGGACGGTCGGGGAGGTACTCAAGAAGCTGGAACAGCTCCGGGTGACGAGCAGTGGATTCTAAATAGACTAGTTGATCAACCTACGATGCGTATCTGTTATTGCAAGAGCTTATATATAATGACTGTATTTCTATTCCCCCCAGAACGATATGCAAACTTGGACAAAATTTGAACGTTCACTATTACTTAAGGGTTCAAACGCTCGAACGTCCTGGCCATGGCCATGCTAGTTCGGGGGCGATTCATCGATCATCGAGCATACCAAGTAATTATGATGTTCGGGCCAGGAATCGCCTCGTGATGTCATGCCGACTTCCGAATCGCGTCCCGCTGTTCGTATAACCACAAACAGCTGAAGGATTTTGTTCACATACCGCTTAACGACTCTTTCTCACTGTTCACAAGATGCTCTCCGCTGCCCGAACCACGTTTGCCGCCTCTCGCATTCGCGTTGGCCCAACTATAGCCAGGCGCACCGTTGTCACCCTCAAGGACATCAAGGTAGAATATTTTCACCGCCGCCCGCCATCCCAAATATTCTTCCGACTACTAATGTTGACAAACTTTCCAGTATACTACTACCGCTACCGCCACAGGCCAAGGACGCAATGGGGAAGTCAAGAGCAGCGACGAGAAGCCGTTCAGCCTCCGTCTTACTATGCCTAAGGCCATGGGTGGCAACGGCGACGGCCAGAACCCCGAGCAGCTGTTCGCCATGGGCTACGCATGTAAGCTTGTATTCAACGTTTACTGTCACTACAGTCTCTCATACTAGCTTTTTCTTCTAGCATGCTTCTTGGGAGCACTGCAGATGATGGCGAGCAAAACAGGCAAGGTCGATGCTGCCAAGAATGCCATTATTCATACGAGTGTGCATCTCGGCAAGCCCGCAGAGATGGAGGGCTTCGCCCTTGCGGTTGACATCAAGGTTGAGGGTGTAGAGGATGAGGAGCTTATCAAGGCAGGTCATGAGGTATGTATATTTCTGAATTCCACGAAAAGCGAAGGAGCTAATCCGTATTTTCTAATAGGCATGCCCCTACAGCCGCGCTCTGGAACACGGCATTGTTGTGAACGTGTCCAAAGCATAATTTGTACTTTCTCTTGTTGTACCCCAACAACAAACAATGATAATTGTGTTGTATCGTGTCTACGCAAAGTCCACAACAGAAAGCATACGTCGACCTCGGGGGTATGCCCAACTCCGTCCACTGACTAAGTATGTGTAACATACTCTCCCCATATAGTTGTTCGTGCACTCGAGATTACCCTGGCGGCGCACGAAATCATCTTGGCAGGCTGTGAGACTGGCTCCCGTCGTCAACTCAGCGCTTCCCGTCTCTTCATCATACGTGATCGCGACTGCACAAACCTGGGACTCTCTTGATCCTCGTCGAGTCGAGCAGGTCCCCCGCATATAACCATTCAAGGTCGGCTGCAGCATGAAGCACGCGTAGGTGAAGGATGCAAGTTGCTGTACGTGGATGATGATCTCGTTGGAAGCTCTCGTGGCGGGTATTTTCAGCCGGACGGCGAGGATGATGTCGTTGTCCGGATCGTCCAGGTAGATGCCTATCAGAACGATATGCGTGTCTCCGGTCACGAGGTCCACTACGGAATCCTTAAGGAGGCAGGCGTACATTAAAGGATAGTCGATGTAGCCACAAGCAGCGGGGGCGTAGAGGTCGTTGCGGACGGATGTCAGTGGCGTGGCATCTATTCTCGTTCTAAGCATGGGTTCGGTTGTCTGTTTGTATGGTCGGATGACCAGGAGGTGGGTGCTGGAGAGGCAGTAGATGGACTCAAAGAGGTTATCTGCATCGGGTCCCAAATCCTGATTGAAAGTTTGGATGAGACAGCAAACAGCTCTAGCGGTATTAGTCCCATACCTCTTCTGTCGTGTCGTCAAACACTTCTAGCGGTGAAACAGGTTGTGTGTCGTTTATGTCGATTATCAGGAGTACATTGTTCACATTTTCCCATTTGACAAGAAGAGAAGATGGCCCGATGGCAGCCTCTACAGAAGACGAGGAGCCCAACAGATAAAAATGTCGGCGGTAAATTTCGTCGCATAGTTCGTTGGCTTGAGTGAGCTCCCTTAGTTTGAGTACTATTCTATCCAGAATTCCGGTTGCATGATGAGCAATCAAAATCTGAACGATGTGCTATACTTACAGCCAAGCCTCTTCCAGCCCGCGCTGCTCGATGATTATAATAAACGCATGGGAGTGTCCATTGTGACCGATTATTTCGATGCAGTCAAGCGAAGATAGATTATAGTCATCTGAGCACTCGTGGATGCATACGATGGGACTCGACCTTGGAAAATCGGGGTTGTCCAAGTCCCGGCAGTGTACCTCGTCCGTAGATCGGGAGATCAGCCACCGCCCGGCCAAGAGGCGAAAGTCCTCCTCCGCCCCGATGTCGGTGTCCCGGATAGATAGGGGCTCCGCTTTCGTGACCATGTTTTGGTGAACTTTAGCTGTCCTGACAAGGATCTTCTCCAGGTCAAGGAGGGAGTGAGAGGTGAGGGGTCCTGGAGGACGAGGAAGATGGGACGTCCTGTATTTCTCGGTCCATACTACTCTCTCGGAGGTGAAGTCCCGCAGTCGTTTTGACACCTAACAAATGAACAAATTTGAATGTTGAGCATAAACATCCGAGTGGATCCGTAGAGCACCTGTCTGAGATGGATAAGGTCGAGGACTTCCAGTGAGGTCGCGATGGTCTGAAGCACATCAAACGGCAAGGTGTCCAGGTTGGTATCAACGTGCATAGTATGTTCAGTAGCTTCGAGTTTATGAGATGGGCTATATGAGATTCGGATTCCGCGAGAGGGGCAGTGGACCGGATAAGCTATAAGTCTTGCTCCGCGTCGGTGCTCCTAGCGGACTCATGACGGACGCGGAGTAAGGACTGAGTACGAAGGTGGAGGCGTGGGGAGTAGGAGCCTCCGTTTTGTCTTCCGCGAGGGCGCCGAAAGCAGCCAGCGAAGCCCTGGTGGATTCGATGATCATTAATATCGGTGACCATGGGATAGACTGTGGACGCTAGACCGCCGCCACTGTGAGAATCGGAAGAGGTGGTCTTCACCTCAAGAGTAGGTGATTCGCACCATTCATCTGAATAGCAGGTGAAGGTTAGGTGAAGGTGCTTTTCAGGTGATTGAAAGTGGCGGAGGGGTGGAGAGGGTGGAGCATGCAGCCAAACATGAGTAAATATCTGCTGTGCGCGTAACGCGTAACGGGCTGCTCTCCCTCTCTGCACTTCTACACCCAAGCGGACCAGCTCCCGGATCACTCTCGCAGAATTGTACGCTCCCAGTCGTGTCTAGGTAAATAGCCCATTATTCAGTGCCCCCCATAGCTCGTATGTCATTGCTGACTACGGGCAGCTCACTGACCTTATCTTCTTCCGGCTCCTTAACAGATTCAAGTTCACCAGAGTTCACCGATGATTGATCATACGATGGACTATTTGTAACTCGCCATCGCTCTCGGGTAACACCTTAAGCACCTCTCGTATGTGAAAACGCCAATATGCCACCCATACACCCCACTTCCCTCGCGCTATGCGGGCGACGCCAAGAAAACCCCGTACATCTCCAGTGCCAGCTAGAGTACTCATCACACCCGTCAACGCGAACAAGGAGACTAATGCCGCTCTATGGGTCAAGGAGTCACGCAATGAGTATGTAGTGTTGGATGCATAACCTAGTTTGGCATTGGCATTCTTATGTGGTACGTCCGTCATTAATGCCATGTGTTATTGTTTACTGATTATGTCGCCGCATCTGAATCCCTAAACTTTCTCAACCTCCTGTCCTCCGTCCGCGTGCCCCACAGCTTCCTCCTGAAGCCGCTCTGCGGCACTCTCAGGGCCATAACCCAGGTCTTCCCTCCCGTCTCCACTGTTGGCAACATGCTCTCACCCTCCGCCAATCTTGGCCGTTCGTTCATAACTACCATGCTTGCGCGCCTTCACAAATCGGTCGGGGTCACCCTCGGCATGGAGATAGTACGTATCTCTCCCCTCGTATCCTCGCTCGCCACGCTTATGGGCACCACCAGCATTAACGTCTCATTTCAGTTTGCGGTCCCGCCCACGTATTCTTTTGTGCCCCCATGCCCACAAGCCACGATATAGTGCGGTGAGTAGGCCCGCTCGATTCATTAGTCCTCATCTCAGTGATGTCGGCATACCTCCTGTAGCTCTTCATGCCACCTGCGCCAGTATTATAGATGGCCAGGACAACTTACGGTTCTTATAGTACCTCACTATATCTAATGTATTTGCTGTACCCACTGCTTAAATAGACTATAAGAGCTATCGTTGGCCACTGTACAGTTTAACGAGCGAAGGCATGTAAGCAAGAGAAAGATAATCCATAGGAAAGGTGACATTAACCTGAGGCCAAGGTGGTATCACCTGATTTGCGCCCGTCAGCGACTCAGGTGAAACTGGCAGTTTTTAGGTGATATTCACCTGAGGCGTTCACCTGACACATCACCTGGTTTGGAGGTACATTCACCTGGATTTGCGTTGAATTTCACCTGAGTTTCACCTCGTTTTGAGGTGAAGGCGCCAGGTGATTTTCACCTCACTGTCGACCCCCAGTGCGCGGGTTCGGTTTCTCTCAGGTACGCCTATAAACGCCTACGAAGGGTTGGCCAGGTCGAAGATGGAATAGAGTGGTGATATGGCGTTTGGGGGACCTAGAGTGCCAACACAGATGCCTAGGGGATAACACGATATGTTCATGGCCGCCGTGGTTGGTGCTAACCTTGATCTGTCGAAATCGATTCTCCGAAGTTGCATCCAACGAGTTCGATGTCGATTGTGCCTGAAGTTACATAACTCGGTATGTCCGATAGCGTGATACGGGAAACAGATTCAGAAGTTTAGTTCAGTAGACTAATGGACGTGTGTAGATTGGTGAGTCGGAGATTGGACAACGAGCTAATTCGAAGGATGAACCCACTCCTCCCCAACTCCTCCCCCACTCGCAACTCACTCGTCATCTTGGCAATTATAGGCTCCAGTAAGCTGACGCGCTTCACATAGCCTCCTTGGGCTCGAAAGGGCGCGAATTGTGCGCATGCGAAGTTCACTGCCGAAAGGATTCGCGTCCATGACTTTCAGTGAAACCGGCAGACTCGGACGTCAACTGCAGGTGGACAGTCTCCTTCGTGCAGCCGTTTATACTCTGCGCAAGTAAATTGTTCTGCCTCCGACACACACACATGCGACTAGTACTGTGCTCCGCATGCTCAGATCCAGCTTCACCTCAGCTTTGCTTACTGCGCTTAACGCAGGGTTGCTGTCTTGGCGACCGCAGGTGTGCTTCGGAACAGTGGCGTGGGCTGACTGTGGACTTTGCACGACCAGGACGATGGTCTACTAGTACATAAGGACGAGCGTTCATCAAGATATGCTCGATGGTTTACTGGGGTTCCCTGACTTGATTTCAACATGTTCGCATCTCTGACTGGGTTGTACACAGCGCTATTGCTGTTGAGCACTTCGGCGACTGCAATAATCGCGACTTCGCTCCCGGATTTGTACGAGGCTTCAATAGCAGATCTTCAGGCGAGCCTCAATTCTGGTGACTTTACCGGTATGGATCTTGTCAAGGTGCGTGGATCCTATGAACACTGTTTGTTTGCGTTAATGATGAACTGCATCATTTGCACTAGGCGTATCTGGCACGCATCGATGAAGTCAACCTGCAGGGTCCCGAATTGAGAGCGGTCATTGAAACGAGTCCATCCGCGCTTGAGGCTGCTGCTGCTCTCGACAAGGAGCGTGAAATATCAGGCTCTCGCGGTCCTTTACATGGCATCCCTGTCTCACTCAAGGATAACATCGCTACCATCTCGAGAGAAGGTAACCAATGACGCCTCGTGTTCTTGCGACCGTAGTTTATGAACGAGCTGCGCAGGCTTGGACACCACAGCAGGATCGTACAGCCTGCTAGGATCGATCGTGCCTGGCGATGCGGGCGTCGTAAAGAAGCTACGGGAAGCTGGAGCAATCATCCTTGGTGCGAGATGTTGCTTGTATTTCTGATACCGAAACCTGATATCGACATGCCTCAAGGCAAGGCGAATCTATCAGAATGGGCTCATGCGCGAGGCAGTACTTCCAATGGCTGGTCAGGTCGCGGTGGTCAATCCACGAATGCGTATTACCCGAAGGCAGATCCTTGTGGTTCCTCGTCGGGCTCTGCGATTGCCTCGTCAATCGGACTCGTGACTGTCTCCCTTGGGTAAACACTCGAATGGCAAGTTTCACTTGTTCCATGGTGCTGAACTCAGCTCTTGTTCTTCAGAACGGAGACGGACGGGAGCTTGATTTGTCCGGCGGATCACAACAATGTAGTCGGGTTCAAGCCAACCCTTGGGCTGACCTCGAGAGCTGGTAGTAAATATCTCTTGCATGCATGTATGCGGTCTTCGCCTCACCTCTCCGACAGTAATTCTCCTCTCAGAGCATCAAGACTCTGTTGGTCCACTCGCTCGATCGGTCACTGACGCCGCAATAGTTCTCTCAGCCATCGCTGGCGAAGATCCCAACGACAACTTCACGCTCGCTCAACCGTCGCCTGTTCCCGACTTAACGAAGGCTCTGCGGAACGACTCGCTCGTTGGCAAGCGCCTTGGTGTCCCCCGCGAGGTGTTCATGAACACGAGCATAACGGGCGTTGACCCGTATGTCAACGAGGTATTATTTGAGCAGGCGCTGGACACCCTGAGGAGCCTCGGAGCAACCATTGTCGACCCGGCCAATGTCCCTTCCGCCCAAGAGGCCCTGAACACCAATAAGACTGCTGTATGTCTCACAGATTTCAAGGTCAGTGCTCTGTGAGCGGTAAATAGTGTGCTCCAGAATATTGATTCGGTCCCTCAGATCCAAATAAATGCATGGTTTGCGTCTCTCATCTCCAATCCATCCGGTGTCGAGTCGTTGGAAGACCTTATTGCGTTTAACGATGCCAATCCATCTCTAGAGGAGCCTGCCAATAACACTGATCAGTCCGAGTGAGTTACAAGCAATATGTTTTAGTCTTTTCCTTCAACCGGATCCTCGTTAGCTTCATCATCGCACAATCTACTACCGGATACAACTCTACTTATTACGCCTCGCTGGCGGCCGACCATGAGATAGGAGGTACCCGCGGGATTGACGCGGCGTTGAAGATGTACTCGCTCGACGCTCTTGTCCTCCCCGCCACTGCCATCCCTACAGTGCTGCCCGGTCAGTTCTCTTTCCTGAGTTCACACGGCGAGACCATTAACAAGTCAGACCTCTTTAGCGCTCGCTGGGTATCCAATCGTTTCAGGTCAGCCTCATTGGGTATCTCAGACGACCGTCCTCCCATGCTGACATCGATGGTTTCCCCAGTACCCATGGGGTTCTATCCTGAGAACGTCACGATCCAAAGCGCAGGTTCCGAGACAGTGTATCCGGCGCCCGGAGTTCCTCTCGGCTTGACGTTCTTCAGCACGGCGTGGTCCGACTACGATTTGCTCGGATACGCCTACGCGTACGAGCAAAAGACTCAGACGAGACTGCAGCGAAAAGCCTATCCTGAAGCCTCCAAAGACGTAGCTTGTAGACATCATTGGGGGGCGTTGATAATTTTTAGAGAGCAAGGCGTAGCGAAAGATATGCTTTAGGGTCAGAGGCGCAGGTAGAAGTCATTCAAATCATATGCATTCTGTTGTATTTGGTACATGTGTGCAGAGACTAATTACTGAGAGTTCATTCTGGGCTAATGTACTACTTATACATGTGTCGGCATGCAAGCCTCTGGCATTTAAGCCTCTGGCATTTGATTGATTGAAGCAAAGATGCGAGAACGTGGGGGAGTGGTGCGGACATGAAAGGCGAGATGATGCTTTTACAGCGAACTGCGGTGCCATTTTTCCTCGACGCCGTCGGCCATAGTGAGGTATGGCATCAGGTCGGACGTCAGGAATTCGCTCGGCCACTGCTGCCTGATTTGGCTTTTGAGATACGCAGTCGTAATCTTCAGATGCTCGTCCTTGATGCCAGGCGCAATCTTTTTAATACCGGGAGCCTGCTCCGCGATGATGCGGTCGACGAATTCGACAGTAATGAGTTCGCCCGTGTCGAGGCGTGCGCCATGCTTTACCCACTGCCAAAGCTGCACGCGAGAGATCTCGGCTGTCGCTGCGTCTTCCATGAGGTAGTTGACGGGGATGCAGCCGTTACCGCCAATCCAGGACGTCGAGTACGCGAGCCCGACATCAACGTTCGAGCGCACACCAGCTTCGGTGATCTTTCCCGGTACATCGCTGCTCAGGAGGTCGGCAGCGGCAACCTTGACCTCCTCACGGCGGATGTGGTACTGGTTGGGGCCAAGCATGTGCTCGTCGAAGACCTTGCGGGCAATTTGGTTGATGAGCGGGTGAGCAATCCACGTTCCGTCGTGGCCTGCGGTGACCTCGCGCAGCTTGTCCAAACGGACCTTCTCCATCGCGACCTCGTTGGCCTTGGGGTCGTCCTTGATGGGGATCTGTGCAGACATGCCGCCCATCGCAGCAACTTTGCGCCTGAGAGCCGGAGGCCGGTCAGCAGAATATCTCGTGTAAAGATGGAACGAACGTGCCTGTGGCAAGTTTGGATGAGAAGTCTGACGTAGGCATCCATGAAGGGGACGGTCATCGAAACATCCTTCCTGTCAGGCAAGACGGCGCTCCTGTCCGCGCGACGCTTCTTGATCGCACTGAAGATGTAGTCCCACCTAAAAATAACACATGTATGAGCACTCAGCTGATGAGCGCGCGTGGAGGAGCCAAGAAGTCTCCAGCTCCAGGGCACGGGGGAAAGATTACGAGCTTAAGTCAACACACCTTCCACAGTTGAGTCCAGAAGAATGGTTTCGGAGTTCAAACAAGATCTCCTCCATCTGGAAAGCAGCTGGGAGTGTCTCGATCAACACAGTTCCCCGAATGGTGTTGTGGGGCATGCCAATATAGGATTGAGAGAACAGGAACACGTCATTCCAGAGACGGGCCTCCAGGTAGTGCTCCATCTTGGGGAGGTAGAAGTAGGGACCGGAGCCCCGTTTGACGAGCTCCTTAGCGTTGTGATAGAAATAGAGGGCAAAGTCAAAGAGAGAGCCCGACACAGGCGAGTTATCGACGATGACACGGGTTTCGTCCAGGTGCCAGCCTCTGGGTCTGGTGGTTCACAGTGTGTGAGTGGGGGAAGCAACGGCATCACGGCCAACGCCCGTACCTCACAATGAGAGCAGCCGGGTTCTGAGAAAGCTTGTACGACTTTCCACCCGACTCGAAATCAATTTCGCGGCGGATGGCATCTCGGAGGTTGACTTGACCGTTGATCAAGTTGGCAAAAGTCGGCGCGTTAGAATCTGATGACGTATGCCGCGCGTTAGAATCCATATAGGGGCAATGGGTCAAACCAGAGCACACCTTCAAAGTCAGCCATGAACGTCTTTGCCCCACTGTTGAGGGCATTAATGACCATCTTGCGCTCGGGAGGACCGGTGATCTCGACACGGCGGTCTTCAAGGCCAGGCGCAGGGGGCGCGCAGTGCCATGTAGGGTCTGCGCGGATGGCTGCAGTCTCGGGGGCGAAGTCAAGTGGTACGCCAGAGTCGTATCTTCTCTGGGCGTCGTAGCGAGCGATGAGAAGATTCTGGCGAGTCTTCTCAAACGTCCTGTGAAGGGCGGCAAGGAATGCGAGCGCTCCGTCGGTGAGGATCTCCTCCTGTGCCTTTGGGGCGACTTTGGTGAGGATTTGAACGCCTTGAACCATGATGAGTGACTGGGTGAGAGTGGTGAGGGCTGAGGTAGTAGTGTATAATGTTCTGAAGAGGGTGGGGGTGTGTAAGTCAATTTCGTCCTCAGGTGAGCGTGTTTTGTAGTTTCTGGCGGGGCTCCGAGTGTCCTTCCGAATTCCGAGCCGACGTCATTGGTGACCGGAATCATGTGTTATATTTGGACTTGGAGGCGTTCTTGGGTGTCTCAAACAACGTAATCAGATGACAGAATCCACGAAAGGCGCACAAATGGGAACACCACCCGCGCCTGGACCCGGCGCGCCTGGCATCAACGTGAACGAGCTTGCACCAACGACGGATCTTAGGTCGCGTCGCTATCCCGATTCCGCGAAGCCCGGCGGGTCTCCGTTGCCCATGCCGTACCGTCTCCGTTGCCTCCTTATCTTTCCAAGCGAGAGATGCGCATTTCGAAATGATGCGATGCGGACGAGCGCCCGCCCGTGAAGCAATGCGCGAAATACGCTATTTTGGGAGCGCAGCTGCCGGCGAATAGATTGCCTTTTCGTGAAGCCAAACTCGCGTCCCTTCATAGAAGCGTCAGGGCAGGGAAGTCCTTCCCCACATGCCTCCACGAATACTTGAATGACCATGACAAGGGTAAATCGGGTATACTGCACACCCCGTGACTGACTTGGTTGACACAGTGTTGACACAAGCCATGAGAAGGGCATTAAATTGGAATTGTATGGAGCACCAGGCGAGACACGGCCGGTAATGTTCAGACCCACTGACGTTCAAAGTGTGGGCGGTCATAATTGAGTGGTCGAAGGCAGTTCCCGCTTTCACCAGGTCCGGTGAAGCCCCTGAGCTCGCACGAGATTAGATATGGTGAGTAGTGGTGGCCGGTGCCGCGCCACTTTGAGCGTTCGCGCGTTGCCCTAGTCTTGCCGTGTTGACTGATCATGCGGGGTGCCTCCAGGAAAGATAAAAACGGGTTCGTCAGCGCATATTCATTGCATGAGCCGCTCCGTGAATTAACGCAGTACCGCTCCAACCGCCGGCACTCCATGAACCGTTGGAAAACTACGATGCGTCCTCCGCCGAGACGGATTTCTCTTCGGCTTCATGCAAGGTCGACATCGATATGACAGTTTTGCGTTTGGAATCTCCCCTGTTCTGAGCAAGAGAGTGATATGATGCGCAATGGATCGGCACACGGCCAAGCAGGGGGAAGCCCAAATAATCCTCCAAAAGGGTCGAGCCATCAATTGGCTAACTCTGACCACCTCTACCACGACGTTGTTCTGCACCGCCGCGGTGCGTCACTGTGGTTCGTACCAGAACGACAAAATTGCTGAACTCTAGTTAGACTAAACAGATCGGGTTCACAGCGCGCACTCACCAATATGTTAAGGTAAGCCCCCTCGGAAGGCATTGACAACGAAGCCTCGAAGAAAGTACACTAGCCACTGGCATATGCCCATAAGGTTTATCTTCGCAGGCACATTGAGGGATTATTTTCCGCGCAGCTAGAGCCGTAGTTGCTGTTGTCGTAGATATACTCGTATACGAAGTTTTGTTGGACGAAGCCCCCGTTCATAGTGCCTGTGGTGGGGCTACGATACAACGAAGGTGGAGGTGGTGGTAACGGCGGAAGCGGAGGCCAGCCGGGCGAGGGTGGGGTAGAGGTGCCAAGCGAGGTCAGGGCCGAGGGAGAGGACGAAAGAGCACAGGGAATGACTATTCCGCTAGCTAGATGCATTTCCCCTGCTGCACCCGCCGCACCCGCTGCACTAAGTAGTGAACAAGTAGCCCCCCGCATTTTTTGTCAGATGAGTATGGCTTCTCAGGTTCCTAGCTGTGAGTTGATGTTCATCTGATCGGCCTGCTGATAATGTTGATGTTGAGCTGAGGAGTGATGTTCCGGATGTTAAAGCGCTAACCTTGAGTCAAAAACGTTCATCGCCGTGGCCTCCACCTCCATCCGACAGCGCCTTCTGCGACCAAGTTGACTGATGCCAGGCGTTCAGGGGGTCTAGCTTCAATGGAAAAACATACAAGGTATGTTTCGGCAAAAACCGCGAGACCGCATCATGACGTGACAAGTCCGAGCTTTAGCGCTGACGGATGGCACGGATACAAACTATTTGCTACTTGGGTGACATTTGAGCAATCAGGGCAACAATATCATGTAGATGGGCGCTTCGCTCAGGGAGAGCAATTGGTCCCAAACGTTATTAGGACTCAAGGTGGGCTTTCTGGATAACCTCTTAGTTTATCAACAAGAAACAGGTTGTTGCGTCGAATAGCATGGTGCTCGTTCGTTGAGAGCAACCTGAAGGGAGACGGAGATAAGGAAACTCTAAATTAAATTTACTGTGCCGATGATCTCGTGTTGATCTGTGATCAAATTACGCTGAAGATTGCCTAATGTGGAGCAAAGGATTCTCACGAGGGTGGCCTCGGCCTCGATGGCTCGCTTGGGCTGGGGAAAGGCCAGGAAAGGCGGGCTGCTTCGTCCTTGGCTGGGCTCTTGACAGACACTCACGACGTCCTCAAGGTCAGTCGTCGGCTCGCCTTTCTTACGTGTTTTCCTTTCTTCCAGCCCTGACATTTCCTCTCCACAGACCGCCGTTAGCCTCGTCATTCTCACAGCGCTCGTTCTCATCTCCACCAGGCAATTTCCGACCCTGCTCTCGTCTTCTCCTAGGCGTCGAGAGCTCCTCCTTGTCCTGTTTGTTCCATCAGGGAGATACAGCCGCGCTCCTCACCCTTCACTCTAGCCGTTCTGGCTGGCACTCACACTCTTTGAAACCTCCACTCCTTTGCGTCAACCCTGCCTTGTCGATTTTGGTTGATATATAATTAGGAAGAAAACAGAATAATGTTCACTCCACCTCCGAGTCCCCTCCCCCCTCAGACCAGGCCAGGTTGCGACCGCGCTCCTTCAAGGTCTCTGCTTCCGCTCTCTGAAGCAGACCTCGATCCCCGCGATCGCTCTCCTTCTCCCGCCCCATCATCCGACGACTCAACATCCCGCTCTTCCTCGCCCTACTCCCAGTACTCCTACGTGGACAATGATGCTATCGTTACCTCGGTACCCACGCTATCTAAGCACCTCACTCGAAGGTCCCTATCCGTCAACCTCAAAGCAGCTTCGTCAACTGCTCAGTCCCAGCCCGGGTCTCCGTGTACGCCACGCCTCAAGCCCAAGTCCTCGCGGTCCATCAAGCTGACCATGATCCTCGTCCCTATCACCCTCGTTCTCATTGCCCTGTACACGCGGTTCGCCTCGCATCCCGCGGCATTGGACGCCTTTACCCCGTTCTCTCCGAAGCACGACCTTCAATGGGGCCTGCACGAGCGGCACGGACAGAGCGAGGGAATAGCGCGGCGTGCGCTGCCTTCTTCGTTCGATATGGCAGTCGCACGAAAACGTGCTGAGGCGAGGATCCAGCACCGTGAGGATATATTGGCCCAGGCCTTACCTGCGCCTGTGGATCTCGGAGCTGCGGTCTCGAAGCCCAGGATGATCGTGCGTCAGGACAGTAGCACGAACCCCACGCCGACGGTGCCGTCGAGCCCAGTTTTGCCTACGCCGTTCCCGCAGCCGTTCGACACGACGATGAGCACCAACTTCTCGACGCAGAGCTGCTACAACTTCTTCTTGAACATGACGCAGACGCAGCCCTTCCGTGACTGTCGACCTTTTTCACTGTTGCTACTTCACTCGGACAAGTTCATTACTGTGGGTTACACTTATTTTTTCTCCTTTCTCCCCACGAATGAACTGTTTATCTCTCACCTTTTAGAGCCAGCGAGATATCAACGCGCTGAACGTCGACATCTACGGTACCTGTAACACCGCAACATCTGCCTCCCAGTGCCAATCCAACATGGTCTGGTTCGCTGGTCAGCTCAAAGCCGCCTGCCAAACCGACATCGCCGACAACAATGAAATGGCGTCGTCGACGCTCTACGGGCTGGAGGCGTACACTTTGATGCGCAACTCGGCGTGCGCGACGAACCCGTCGACAAACGCGTACTGCTACATTGAGGCCGTCGCGACGCAGGACCAAAGCTCGTACTACTTCTACGAGCTGCCCGTGGGGATGCCGCTCGCGGTCGACATTACGAATCAGGCGTGCAACGATTGCAACAAGAACCTCATGGATTCGTATGCGAGCGCGCTACAGAGCAGCCCGGACACGATGTTGGGCCTCAATGGGACGTATGAGGACGCGGCGAGCAAGCTCGTGGGGTCGTGCGGCGCTGGGTATGTCGACACAAGCATCAAACCCAGCAGCAACAGTGCCCTTCCGCAGGGCGCCGTCAATGGATTGTTGGTCGCAGCGATCGCGGCGGTTGTGGGGATCGTCTTGACGTGAGATGCTGGATGGGTGGAATTTTTTGAGTTCTTCTCATTTTGGTCTTGCACTCGTGACGACTTCCTCCCCCTGGACACGACTTCTCGACGACCCCTTCTCCCCCTGTATTCTGGCTTCTCCACCTCCGACCTCCCGCGCCCACCTTAGATGCTGATGTTTGTTTGCTTCTACACTGGGCGGTCCATACACGACCGCCGTCCATTCTTTTCGCCGCTCCTCCCTTTCTACATACTCCCCCTCATGTTTGCGGCGCATGTAAAACCTCAAATCCCCTCTACCTTTCGTAAAGGTGGACCGTCGCACACGCTCCTGGATACCTTTTCACTCCTCGTTCGCCCCGTGCTCACGATCCCCAGCGTGCTATCTCTAGCTAGCAGCAATTGGGCTTGCTTACAATATACTGATACTTTATCCTATTTATTGGATGCTGGTGTTTTCTAGACGCCGTTTTCTGAACTTACGCTTATACCATTCAAGTTATCACTAAGCTTATCGACATTTGTCGTTTACGCCCTTTCTACACACGCAGCATCAGCATCGAACATCTCTTGACCTCGCACCCTACCTCGCACCCTGAACTACCTAGTAATTCTCATCCCGCGAGCAGTAGCCGCACCTACCCTCGCCCGCCACCACTTGACCGTTCGAACGTATATACCCTTCCACACATCCTTCAGTTTACCCCGCTTGGTTTGCCAAGCGCGTGTTGTTGATAAAATACTTATAGTAAACTAAGAACCTCTTTGCAAACGCACGCTTGACAGCCTTAGTCCGTTCGTATCGCTGCAGTTGTGGTTCTGTGGTCGTTGGGTTATTAAATTTGGGGTTGTTGCTGGGAATCTTTGGTGCTCGCTCTGATATCACATCTCATCGTTTCTATGCTTTTCTTGCTTCTTAGCCTTGGCACTTCAAGTTGGCTCCTCGTTCTCATTTCACTTCGTTCGCTTATATGGGTTTTAGGATCAGTTCGGTCATGTAAAGGGTAGCTCAATAGCTTGGGCAGTTTGAGATGGACAGACTCGTATTATATACATCTACTTGGGCACACTATATCCTTGCTCGATCCGAAATACTGCTGTGCGTGTGTGCAGAGTGATTTAAGTTATCAATTGGCAAATGCAGAACTCGTTGGGTCGACGCGGAGCGCCTGTGGGCGTCTGGCGGTGTTGATGCTGGGAAGCAAGAGACTGGAAAACGCCGCAGTGGGAGATACATACAACGCGGGCGCAACGACTCTTCAAGCTCCAGGCCTCAGGTACTTCGGGGAACCACTCTTTTCCGAACCCTTTGAAGGTCTGCCTACGGGAGACTAGGCCCTACTGGGCCTCAGACGGGATATCTGAGACTTCTGCAAGCCGAGGCGCAAACGCAGGTAAGGGAACGGAAAGAGCGGGCACACCGGTTCATCAATAAAGAGATGCGTGCGGCGAGCCGTGAACAGGCACTCACTGATCATGTTCTTCACCGTCCGCTCTCCCACCTTGATGACCCGGCGGCACGCCGTCTGCCACACGGCGACGCTGACAGAACCTGTTTCACCAGCCGATTAGTCAGTCAGAGAAGTGCCTAACCCCCACCGCGTTCTCTTACCTTTCGGAGCGAACGGGAACGCCATCCACCACCCGAGCGGTCCCAGCCACCCCGGCGGAAGGAAGAACACGGCAGACCGTCTGTACCACCAGCCGATTACAAACTGAGCACCGGTCGTGAGGATCCAAACGAGGCTGTTGAATTTGAGCGAGAAGGCCGACTTGCTGCCAGAGAGTTCATTGTCTGTAGTGTAGAAGCACTATGTTCAGCATGCGTTTCAAAGAGTCCGGCCGCGGCGAAACGCACTGAGTTTCTCCAGCTCTGCGAGCCCTTTATCCACACTTCTGCGCAACTTCGCCCATTTCGCGAATTGATCTTGAGCGCTCGTCTGCAAGAGCTCTTTCTTGGTGGTCAAGAGCTCTGCTTTGAGCTGCCGCTGTCGAACGTATGCGGCACTAATGAAAATCCTGCGGTAGAGGCTCCATGCCTGCTAACGTGTCAGCAGGAGCCGAACAAAAAGTGGAATTCAGCCATTACCAGCTCCAGCAAAACCGACTTGCCAATCCACGAGACGACCTCGGTGAAGAGGACGAGTGCGAAGATGGTCAAAATAAGCGACATCGGGGGCTGACACGTTAGGTCAGGAGAAGAAAACTCTGGGAAGACAGCGCGCGTCAAGCTGATAGGGGCCTCATGCACGCAAGGCACTGAAAGCAATGCACGTCACCCAGGACACCTTTCAGTTGGGCAAACCAATGAAACACTCAAATGTTTGCTTTTGAATACCACCAAAAACATATCAAACATGGTACATAATAAGTGGGTGAGTATATATGACATTTCCACAGGTTTCATCGTCCAATGGCATAGCACTCCGTATCCCACTGAAACTAACGGATGACTGGCTGCTTCTCAACAGCAAGATATCTTTCGGGCATGTGGAGTGACTCAGGTGGTGGAGAATCGCGGACGGGTTTTGCCAAGAAAGCAGAGATCTTGACATTGGTTGACGCAAATTGAGAATTTCAAGCAAAAGGTTGCCTAGGAAGCGCAGATAGTTGAGAAGGCAGCACTTACCAGCCTTTAATACTTCCTAATCACCATCAAGTCTCAATAGTCCCACAAATTTTAGTCATGGCTGTATGCTGTGATTTGGTGTAGCCATAGTGCCAATGTTGGCGTCATACATGTGGCATAAACTGGTGGTGCCTCGCAAACAAGTGCAACTCTGCTCCCTCGTCTCCTCGCGTTGGTGACAATCCGCACCCAGCAGAAAGCGAAAGAAGGACGTTTAGATGTTGAGCTTCGTGCGCCTCCAGTGACGGCGCTTAGCGTTGTACTGTGCACAAGGCCAGCAATTAGACTTTGTACAGGTGCCATTACTGCCATACGACGCACCTGGATTTTAGTGTCGGTCTTTAGCCGGAACCACTGGGGGATGGGGCTGTAGGTCGAATCAGGATGCTGCATTCATAACTATGACCAGTCATAACACACCGGTTCTGGCGGTGAGCCTTTGCGAGGGTGCGCTTGGTTCTGAAAGTCTTTTGCGAAGGCTGGGACCTATGTCAGCGCTCTGTAATCTCTGAATGGCCAAACGAGCAGCGACGGGCTCACCATTTTGATCTTGGGGACGTCCTCGGTAACGGTGAAACGATAGGGAAGAATAAGGTTATCGGCCAGACGCGCCTGTACAGTTGATGACTAAGCGGCGCTCTCGGCAGACGATGAGCTGCTTATGGCAGCTCGCTCTCACGACCCCAGGATGTTCCCGGTTCCTGGTAGGAACATATAGCATCCGAACCTTCCAGCCGATCACTTCCTACTGTTCCTCGTTAACGTGTCCAGTTATGCAGGTCATCAAGTTCTGGTTCTCCCTGCTCGTCCTTGCCGTCTCCGTTCTTGCGGCTGAGGCACCCACGGAGCTCCAGATTGAGACCACTTACAAGCCTGAGGATTGCTCCGCCAAGGCTGAGCACGGTGACCAAATCAAAGTCCACTACGTGAGCTTTTGCCCACAGGTTGCTCAAACGTTCTTCCTTATTCACGCTGCTACTAGACCGGAAAGCTTTTCTCGAACGGAGAGAAGTTTGACTCGAGGTACGCATGAAACCGCTATAGCTTGCCCTTTAACGCTAAAGCTTTCCATCATTTATGCAGTCTCGATCGGGGCAAGCCTTTTGGCATCAAACGTGAGCGTCCTGATGGATTCCAATTGTCTCTTGCTCATTCACTTTCAGTCGGTGTTGGTCAGGTCATCAAGGGATGGGACGAGGGCCTTAAGGGGATGTGCGTCAACGAGAAGCGCACCCTTACCATTCCTCCTGACATGGCATATGGTACGTAGTCTATCATCTTCCTCATGGTTCGAACGTGACGGTAAACATAAAAACATAGGTTCTCGCGCCATTGGCCCTATTCCTGCTAACTCTGCCTTGGTCTTTGACGTTGAGCTTTTAAGTCTGGAGAGCTCCCGCAAAGACGAGCTTTAGACAATTTATGATATCAATATACAGCCTTTGCCGTTGGCCACTGATTTGCCCGTCTGGACTATCTACTACACACGACTTATACGCTCAAGGTCAAGCTTGTTCCCTGGACCGTCTGGCACGGCATAAAGGCGTCGTTGACTCTCTTCTTCTCTATTCCTTCACTTGTTCTACATGCGTGCAAACCAATGGCGCAAAAATACCACAGGCACTGGTAAACAAGGAGCTGATTTCAAAATTATCCTCAGTCTGCCTTCCTTCGGAACAATCCAAGACTGTGGTGGCCACCGCACGCAACAGCTTTGGCCTGCCATGACCCACCTGTTCTACGTACGACGACCGTAGGTGTCTTGGCATTTACGCCCTTAACCCCCAGCTCCCCGTTGGTTTCCTGACCCCAAGCGTATAGGGCACCATCTCGCGTAACGGCCATACTGTTCTCTATACCCGCAGATATCTGGACGATCGGGTCCTCATCCTGTTCCGGAATCGAGACTTGTAGAGGTTGATCAAGGAACCGTGGGTCCCGACGTTGCGCAAATTCTTCGTTGTCATCAGATAGGCCAAGCTCGCCGCCGTCGCATCGTCCGCAAGCGTACACTTTCCCCTGAGAAGTTAAGAACAGAGTGTGATGGGCACCTCCGGCTATCTGGACGACGACATCGCCATTCAGAGCTTCTGCAGAAAGTTTTGGCACTTTCGTAGGGATATGAATCTCGTCGGACAAAGTTTTGGGACTGGATATGCCGGTGCCGGTCTGGCCGAAGCAGTTCAATCCCCATCCCCAGACGTCGCCGTTCTCATCGACAGCAAACGAGCAGCTCTTGCCTGCGCCAACACATCTAGCTCTATTAGCGCGGCGACCTAAGGCGATCTTGTAGACTTTTGTGCCATGTAATTTGAGGCGGCTTGGGATTTTATGGCCAAGTTCACCGGACTCGCCTGCGCCACACGAGTAGACAGACCCATGTGTGCTCAGGATCAAAAGGTGGTTGTTGCCGGCCGCTATGGCCACGGCTTTCTCTGGATTTGCTTGTGTTCTTGTCGTGGTGGGGCCCAGCTGAATGCGTTGGGGGACCTGCTGATGTCGCGCTTTCTCAGAGAAGCCTAGAGTACCTTCACTTGCCTGTACCGTGCCTTAGAATTCGTAACGTGCTTTGCAGCCACAGCTTTGCCAAGTGTTGCATACCTTGAACGTTCCCCAGATATATAGTTCACCATCCGAACTCACGGCTGCGGAGATGCAATCACCAGCAGCAACTTTCACCGCTCGAAAGTTATTTTCTTGTAATGTTTGTACCGGGTGTGGATACGACTCCAATTCCCCTTCGTCCAAGTACGATCCTTCTTGGGCAGGATTAGGGACACTCTCGGTAGCTCTGCCTAACGCAGCATCATCGTTGACCCCACACGACCTGACCTGAGTCGGTCTCCAAGTGTCAGGCGAAGTAAGTTGTCCGAACTTGAAGTGTATAAAGACTCACGGTGCCCCTTTCATCAATGAGAAGAGTATGCATGCCTCCAGCAGCAATAGCTTCCATACTGCCATTATCCTGGCCAAAGACGCCTTCACTGATCTTGCCTTCTACCCAAGGATTTCTTCTCGGAGTCGAAAACTCGGCCAATGGCACTGGGCCCATAGCGAGCGCGCCAGTTTCACCGCTACCCCATCCAAACAATTGACAAGGGGGACGAATGGGTGGAGGCGCAGTCGGGAGAGCGTTAAAGTATGCCGCCATGTCAATGTATTGGTGGTGCCAGCAGCCAACGGAGGGCTAGAAGAGAAGAAAAAAGCGCTAATGTGGATGGTCGGAGGACCTCGCAGCAACCTTGAGCTTGAGGGCTGCATCGAATCCATGTGGGTGGTTATTGATCCATCATGATGGTTATCCGGGAGCCGCCCTACAGCCCGACGCGCCGAAACGTTCGCGTCATGATCCGTTAATTACACCTTCTCAGTACTACCGACGCGTTTTTAAACCACCATATAGTTTGGCACTCTCCGTGGCGACAATGCTAGGTTCAATTATCAGGACAGGCGTTTTTCTTTTGGCTATAACGGCAGCCATTGCTGCTGAGGACAACATCAAGCTTCCCCCAAACGAGCTCAAGGTTGACACCACATACCTTCCGTCTTCGTGCCCTCAGAAAACGAAATCGGGAGACACGATTCAGGTCCAATATGTAGGTGTTCCGCCACGCTTGCTTGGCCGAAGCAATGTCCGACTACTGCCATGACTTGGTCACGACTACTAGACCGGAAGACTTTACCACAATGACAAGGTTTTCGACTCTAGGTGCGTTAAACTCCACTTCGACTTGGACGCATATGGTTCTGACCATCATACATATCTGTAGCTACGATCGGGGGGAACCCTTTGAAGTAATGCGTAAGTGACCCCCGGACCTCTGCCGGAATCTTTTAACCATAACCATGGGACCTCATGGGACTACCGTCTAATTATCTCTTTTATCTTTACAGTTGGCGCTGGCCGTGTTATTCGTGGTTGGGATCTCGGGCTTCAGGATATGTGCATTCATGAGAAACGAACTCTAACTATACCGTCCTACCTAGCTTACGGTGCGTTCTCTCCTCTTCTCCTGTTGTCAACGACTGCTGACGCCTTTTGCTAGGTCCCCGTGGCTACGGTGCTATCCCTCGCAATGCCGCCTTAATCTTCGATGTCGAACTTGTTGGACTTGACAGCACGCCTCATGACATCTAAAGCAACGCTTGGTAATGATACTATCGTACAACCCTCAGTGAAACATAGAGTGAAACATCTCGATTGTAACGCTCTCCGATGGCTCCCCTTCGTACTTTTAGTAATAAAAACTATATCGCCATATAGCCAGGACTCTTGACTCCATAATATGTCAGATTTAGCCTGGAACAGCATGATGTTGGCCTGCCAGAGCAATGCCGGAATCGTGACTTTGCCTCACTCTAAGTCTGTATTGGCGTCACGAAATGTCACGGAGCGGAGTTAGCGGCATGTCGTTGTGCCACGAAAGCGATGTGCATTCCTGGCTTGCCGGACCATCGGCAGATGAGCGCGTGCAGCTTGACAAGTAGGGCGCGGGAGAGGGCCAAACCTGCTCGAAAACCACAAAACTTAAATAGACTGTGTGAGTCGTTAGCAGAGAAATAGCGGGTGAAGGTGTAAATACTCCAACCTCGTACAAGGGTAAGGAAAACCAAAATAAAGACCGTAAGCTACCGTAAGTAAGAGTTACTATAGGGAAAGCGGAGTTTCAAATACCCTTGTCACGCCGGAAAGTCCTCGCGTTTGCCTCTTCTCACTACACAACATTCGCGCACCCTACACCCTTGAAAATGCGGGTGGTGGGCGCATTATCGTGGAATATTTACCTGCCGGGGTGTGGGGCTGATCGGTGGGGAAGAAAGTACCTGCCCTGACGTTATATTGTGAAAACCGACTCAAGCCCACCCTGCGGAGCAATTTGCTCGTGAGCGACTAATGATTTTATTCTTATATGTTATGTGCGTTGAGAACACATGTAGACAAACCTACCTGTAAATATTTGTGGCTATCATCGGAGGGATGAGTGAGATATGGTCGAATCTGACTTTGTTTCACTGTGATGTGGGTGTTTCACTGAGGGTTGTACGATAGTACAGCCTCTCTCTCGGTTTATCTGCCCCCGCAAGTCGTTCCCGAACAGATACTATGGCGATCCCTGCTTGTTGGCACTCAAGCTGAAGGACTTGGCATAATTCTGTTTTCACTACTCTCAGAGATTATAAGGGACACGGCCATCGGTGCATTTGACAGTCCTCATTGGATAGAAACATGTAGATCACAATATTCCTTGCTTATAGAATTCGTCACAGTAGTAGACTGCTTCATGATCTTGGCGGTCCATATCGCAAGTGACAACCGGTTATGTACTTACGGAACTATATCCGTTTAATTCTCGAATCGGTGTTTTTTTTGCTTCGACAACGCGACTCGGACGCATTTCCTGCTCTTTCGTTCTATTCCCTCCTTAACTTGTGACAAATTCGTTCACTCATTGTCCCTCATGCAGATAATCAAGTTCTCTCTGTCAACCATATTCTTTGCGGTCTGCGCACTCGCTGCTATTGACCCTAACCCCGACGCTCCGAAAGAGCTGGTAGTTAAGACGACATACCTTCCCGGAGACTGCACCTCTAAAGCGAAGTCGGGAGACAGCATTCAGGTTCATTATGTGAGTAATGCACTCAATGAACAATGTATCTCTAGTCTAATACGCGCACCTCAACAGTCCGGAACGCTGTTTGCGAATGGTAACAAGTTCGACTCGAGGTAGGTGCTAGTAGAATCGGGAGTTTGGTAGATGTGTTGACTGAACCTTCTGCAGTTACGACCGCGGCCGGCCTCTTCCCCTTACTCGTAAGTATCAGATTTTGGTAACATGAAGCTCGCCTGCTCATGCTGTCTCTAGTTGGAGTTGGCCAAGTGATCAAGGGCTGGGACGAAGGCCTCCAGGGCATGTGCGTTGGGGAGAAGCGTACGTTGACGATTCCGCCAAGCAAAGCTTACGGTCAGTCATAATCTTACACCACTTGAACACCTCGTTAAACATAGATGTAGGTACACGTGGCGCTGGCAAGAAGATACCCGGTAGTTCTACGCTCGTCTTTGATGTTGAACTGATGGGTTTGGAGAGCCGCAAGGATGAACTTTGAAGACACTATGGCGTATGCATGATCTATCATGGAATAATGGCTGTCAATCTACTCTATAACTTAGGTCTAGTCGTGCCAAATATTGGATTTCCAGCTTTTACCTGGGATCTTCTCGTCTTGAGCCACGCTCCGAGTCTTATTCTATTCCATACATCGAGAAATCCTGGACCAGCTTCGAGGGGTCGCCCAATTCACTTGCGATCTGACGTAGCTTAAGCAGGATTCTCACGACAAAGGAGTGCGCAACGGAGTTACGGTCAAGTTCTCCAAGCCCGGCCGCGAAGGAATCAGGGTGGCAAACGTCACTATGTTGAGCACGGTGAGCCTGGTCAAGGCGTCAATATGGGCACCTATTGGGAGTTAGCTTTGCTTACATTGCAAACGCGGCATAGTATCCCACAGAGTCGCGACATATACGCCAGACAAGCTTCGTCCTTTTTGTTCGCACTATGAAGAAGGTGAAGGGACCCGAATATTGACATGGACGTGACTGACATACGCAGTTTAAAGCATTCCACGACGGTCATGATGAATATCACGAAATCATACCACGCGGCGTTAGCAAGCGTCATGTCACTACCAGCCAAAGCAACGGGAGATATTGAGACTCTTTGAAAGCAAGAGCCGCCAGCAACCTCGGGAGTCTCCAGGACTCCCAACATTCATGAGCCTAAGGCAACTAGAAATATGCCGTGCTAGGGTACTTACCTTGGAATCCAACCGTTATCATGATCCACGCAGCGACTTCACCGACAAGGAACAACTGCGACGCAGCGCCATAAGCAATGGTTGCATTGATAGCGCAAAGCAAGACATACCAAAAGAAATGCCTTTAGAACAATGATGGCCTTATGATTGAAGACGTACAATGCACGCGTTCGAAGCGCAATAACTATGCACCCGGCGATGGCATGGAACTGGTGAGTTGCACGCCTTTTGCATTCGATGGAAAGAAGGAGGACCTGCGATTGGTATAACCGTGATGCCTGACCAGTCGTACAAGATGAAAAACCCATAGCAAAACTGGTTCGTATTGGAAAAGCGTCAATGATGGATGTATCGAAGTCTTGTGGATACCTACCCTCGAAGACATTCCTGTGGGAAACATCACTGTATGCCTCAGTTGAATGCTGTACCTTCTTCCTTCATGCAGTCTTGACTTAAAAGCCAGGTTAATCATAGAGCTACAGATGATTCCATAGCGCGTGCAAAAATACAATATCTTGACAGGAAAGTTCGCCGTTCTGGATTTTAGCTTAGTGAGCGCGCGAACAATGATGCAGGGGTGTTGTCAATGAAATGCAAATCGTACCCATATATACTCAACCTGGATAGCTTTAACAACTGCTCGAAACTCGGAAAGGTACAAACTCACTTCCCTAGATAAGCCAATCAATTGCACATGCATTTCTCGAGCTAAGAGCCCACTCACTGGTCGAGTGAAAGTAGGGTATCGTACACCAGCAGCAACGACAGGGCCACTGACATAACACGAACATTTCAAGTCAAACCAAATGTAGACACATCTTCAAGTTGAGCGAGCAGATCGAGAGGAACTTCGAAGACTGGCGCGCTTACCATACGTCCACTGTCAATTGAAAACGAAGACGTTCTAGTTAGGGGTCTCCAACCAGGGCTAACTTCAACGTTGTCAACACGTACAGAGGACATTTGATTGTCACTTAGGAGTTGTAAAACGTCCACATCCATCCTCAGGTTTGCCCTTCGCTAAATGGAAGCACTGTTATCTACACAGTAGTACGTCCGGCCGGATGAAGTCCTTCAAGCTTGAAAGTGCAGAGTCCGGAAAGGTTCAGTGGCCAGACGAAGCACAGCGATGATACGGCAAGAGGCCAGGCCGTGATGCCACCCAGTGTCAGAAGAATTTTGCTTCCGCACTTCGACCTCGAGTAGCACATGGCAGTGCTCATGGGTGACGGTGGGTGACATTGCTTCCGAACCGGTTTTCAGGGCTCCTTCGTTTTGAAAGTTGTGTGACATGCAACTGATCCGGTCTAAACCTGGTGGTCTCGTGGTGCTCCAGTATCACCGCCGACAGCCGCCAACCCGCACACATTGGCTTTCTTAGTGACAGACGGAAAAATTAGTATTGCAGGTACATTTCTTCCAGCAAGTGTTGAAAGTCAATTCGGAAGTCTACTTGGGTCTTCTATCTTGAGCCGGTTAACTTGAGAGCGCTAAGTTGAGAGGCTTTGGAAGAGTGTTATGTACAAAAGATTGAAGTTCTCCGATAGTCAACCATATCCAGGGTACTTAAATCAACTTTTCAGAGAAGTTCAAAGTCTTTCAAAGAAACTGCCGGGGGTTAACCCAGCATCCGAGTCTTGTTGGTCACATTCATACATAGAAAGATCTTGAACCAACTTCGAGGGATCACCGAGCTCGTTCGCAGTCTGACGTAGCTTGAGCAAGATTTCCAAAGCGAAGATTGGCTGAAGGATGCGCAAAGGAGCGACAGTCAGGTTCGCGAGTTCTGGACGCGAAGGAACGACTTTGGTAAACATAACTAAATTTACCGCAATGAGTCTGAACAAAAGCATCAACGCAGAGCACCTTTTACGAAAAGATCGGCCTACATCGTCAATGCGGCGTAGTAACCTGCGGAATCGCAACAGATTCGCCAAACAAGTTTGGTCTTTTTTATGCGCACTACAGATGAAATGATCAGTAGGTCTGGGCAAGGAGGGCAATAAAGTTGCGGTGGTCTACGAACATAGTTTATAGCATTCTACTGTTGTCATGATGAATATAACAAAATCGCACCATGCGGCATTGACAAATGTCATGTCACCGCCCACCAATCCAACAGGAGAAAGGATCCCTCTTTGGGCACATGTACAACCTGCAAGTTCAGGGGCATCGGAGACTTCTCCTAGATCAGCGACAAGTGCACATGATTCAAGGACAAGAACGAACCTTGATATCCTACCGTGACTAGGATCAATGCAATTATTTCAGTAACAGTGAATAGCTATGGTGTGGCGACTTTGAGCTTCAAATCTTTGGTTTCACGAGGCTGTTAGACCTTACCACAACAAAGCCTTTGAGAGCAATGATAGCTTTATGGTTGTAGTGGTATAGTGCGCGCGTCCGGAGCGCCATTATGACTGATAAGGGATGAAAAAATGAGTTAATGTGCTAAATTCGTTGAACGGCTCGGAGAACACCTGTGATTGGAATGACAGTCACGCCCATCCAATCCTCTAAGACCATAAGGACGAGACAAAGCTGGGCCTCTTGTTTGAGTAATGGATGTTTTGTACCTGCGCTAGCCTGTTACGGATGCTTACCTCTGGCGATATTCCCCTGATAAACAGCACTAAAATGTTTCAGTTGAATACAGCCGAACCCTCTTGAGGCAGCCATAACGTACGCGCCAAATTGAGCAGAGAGCTCAAGATGGTTCCGTAGCGTGTGCAAAAGTACAAAATCTTGACAGACGAAAGGGGAGCATTCTATACTCGCAATCGCCTTGAGCACTAATGCGAAGAGGTTTTATGGCAGACATACCCAAATATACTCAACCTGAATTGTGTTACTCTATCAGTCACCACTTGGAGAAAAAAGTCGACCTTTGAGACTGGAAACATACTTCTCTGGCATGAGTCGTTCAGTCCTCAAACGTGTTTCAAGATGAAGTACTAGAAGGGCTTACTGATCAAGTGAAAGCAGAGTTTCGTACACCATTAACCAGGAAAAGGCCACTAGCGCAGCGTTCGGCTTGACGGGACTCAACGAAGCAAATCGAAACTTACCGTATGAATACTATTTAGGACAAGAGAGTGTTCTCGTCACAAATTTCCACTACTCGCCCTACAAACGACTTACAGAGGACATCTGGCTGTCGCTCAAGTCTCGAAGAGCATCCATAGCCATCCTTGTACTTTGCGATTGGCGGCACCGAACGCCGCTGGATAGTTGAGTATGCTTGTCGTGGAAAGGACAAGCGATTGTTGGGACAAGTCTGAAGTCTGAAGCTGCACTGAAGCGACAGCAAGCAGCTCAACGGACGAGGATGGGGGATAAGAAAGAAATGCGGTCTGGTGTTCGGCGCATTAATATATTCATTTCAGCGGCGCACGCGCGCGCGCGCGTTCAACCCGTTGTTACGCGTTAGCCTTGAGTGGCGTAAGAAGCGTGATTGCGATAGGAACTTTGTTCCCGAGCCGGCCCCGTGAGAGGTACTGAAGCGATGTTCAAAAGAGGAAATGCTATGCGTTATCTAACGTTTGGAGGTAACTTGTCAATCTATGTCTGCAAGATTCTTAGCTATAGTTTTCAAGGAGCACGACAAACTTTCAGATTGAGAGCGTCGTCTTTTCTTGATCCTCACTCCTACTCGTCCTGAAACTCCAATGCATCCATGGAGAAGTCCTGAACCAATATTGACGGGTCGCCTAGCTCGCTTGCAGTCCGGCGAAGCTTCAGCAGAATTCGCAGAGAAAATATCGTCTGAAGGATTCGCAAGGGAGTGACAGTCAAGTTCTCGAGGCCAGGCCGCGAGGGTATGAGTGTGCTGAACGTAACCAAGTTCATCACACTGAGCCTGGTCAGGGTCGTTTGGCGTCAATGGGGATCGTTTGAGCAGTGGCAAGAATGACTAACATCGTCAATACAACGTAGTATCCCGCAGAATCGCAGAATATTCGCCAAACAAGCTTGGTCCTTTTTGTCTGCACTGTGTGGACGAAAGTATCGATAAGTTTAAACAAGTGAAACATAGTGAGGAACGCACAGAACTTCAAACATTCCACCATAGTCATAATAAAAATTACAAAGTCGAACCACGCGCCATTGACGAAACCAAGTATACTGCCTACCACGCCTATGGGAAATACTGAAAGTCGCTGGAAGCATGTGCCGCTGGCAAGCTCGGAGGATTTGAGGACTTACTGTATGTCAGAAACAAGCGAAAGGTGTCATTTGAAAAACCAACCTTGGAACCCTACTGTGACGAACACCCATCCAATTATTGAGATGATAATGCTCAGCTATGAGAAACGATAAGCACTTTGCTGATCATTTCCTCAAGTGATCAGAGCGTACAATTACGCAAGCCCTCAGGACGTTGATGGCTGTCCGGTTGTGGACGTAGAGTGCGCGTGTTCGGATGGCCATGATCACTGCGGAGACCATGAAAGGTCAAGTTCATATACACCAGAGATGGCTCCTGTGGCATGTACGAAGCACGCACGTAAGATAGGAATACTAGTAGCACCACCCCAAACCCATACGAGAAAGAATCCCAGGCAGAACTATAGCAGCGGTGCATTACTTCGGAATATTCTTGCCCAAGCGGTCAATGAGCAGTGCTACACACATTTGATGATCTTCCTGTTGTGAACATGACTGCTGCCCTTCGTTAATCATTACCGATAAACCGCGCTGGTCAAAGTTACAAGCTTACGTGAAAACCCGACCAGGGAGTAAAGTAAAAACCCATAACGAGCGCAGAAATACAAGACTTTGACGGACGAAAGAGCTGCGTTCTGGGCTCGCTTTGAGCGTAGAGTATCCCAGGTAGAATTCGAGACGTACCCAGATGTACTCGACCTGCGTGGGGTCCATCAGCTACTCAAATTTATGAAGGCCGAGTGTCGAAAACCAACCTCTCTAGATGAATGTCCAGTTAGAGTACATGTGTATGCGTCGTAATGTAGCCGACTTACTGGTCAAGCGACAACAACGTGTCATATACCAACAGCATAGTAAGGCCCACTATACGCCCTATTTTCAACTCACTGGAAAAGCAGAAGTGGACTAATACTGACCGGAAGTATACTGTGAAGCGAGCGGCGGTCGTTCGTTCAAGAAGGCTTGAGCCATCACAAGCCAACTAGAGCTCGATACTAGCACGTACGGAGGACATCTGATTGTCGCTCACAACCTGGAGAGCATCCGTAGCCATGTTTGCGTTTGCTCCGCTGTTGTACAATAGTAGTCAGAGAGAAGGTTTACGATGTGCCAAGTCCTTGTCCAGCCTAAGGCGATGATGAAGGCAAGTACTTGGCCGGCCTGGGGTCAAGGATATGGCACGGCCGTCGGCCGGCTGACCAAGGCGCAAATATTGACTGTGATTCCCGACCTGTCTCGATGGCAGGAGGCACTTTATGTGCGCAAGCGTCCCTTGAGAGCGTCCTCAGGATCGCTTCAGCATGAGAGCAATCACTGCTGGCAGTTATTCAGCCTCGCAGCAGAGCTCAACGTTCAACAGGGGCCAGCTCAATTGGGAGTTCGGCCACCTTTGATGCGTGTATGATTACAAAATAAATTGGTCTGGGGGTTTGGCATAACATACTGTGTACATCATGGTTTGCAGAGTATGCGCAACCTCCGTCTGCAGTATTGCAATAAATTTCGGAGCCTGGGCCAAAGAACTTGTCGGAGCCTGTTCATCCGAAAAGTAGCCGAGCCCTGGACCAACTATACACACCCGTTCTACTGAGGGCGCGGGCGCCCCTCAGGCGCCTTCAGTCGCTCGCTCACCAGCTCGCTGAACTCCTCCCTGAGAATTGCTTCCCTGCGCTCGCGCTCCTCCTTCTGCAGCTTGAGGATGCCGCGCTTCTCCTCTGCGCTGATGACTTGGTTCTCTTTGCGCATCCGGACCGCGTTCATGCGCTTGTGCCGGCTGCCGCTCATCACGTACCCGACCGCCTCGTAGTTGGCGATTTGGTCCGACGTCAGACCAATCTCACCACGCCGAGGAATACGTGAGTCGGTGCCGTCCTGCAAGAACGCGGCCATGGCACTTCCTTCGCCTCTGAGGAGGGCGCCTCCGTAGGCGCGTTCGTCGACCTTCTTGTTCGCGATCATTTTCTGAAGGGGCTGAGGGCCCAACTCGTCGTCCTCCTCCTCTGATACGTCTTCCATATGGCCAAGGGCAGCAGACGTTGAGACCGCAGCCGATGTACTGGCTCCAGCAGCAGGGGCGATGAGTGGTCCTGCGGCAGGCGTCTTCTCCACCCATTCATCCTCATCCTCCGCCCGAGTTGGTGATGGACTCCGACTTGGACTAGGCGGTCGGATGCTCTTGCTCCTACTCCGGGTCCTCCGTCTGTGCCTCTCTCGCTCGTCGTCTACGCTTTCTTCATCGTCGCTCCTGGGCCTCTTTTTGTGCCGCTTGCTCGTCCGCTCCGACCTCTCTTTCTCCTTCCTCGCTCGCTTCTTCTCCTTCTCCTTTCTCCTTCTTTTCCTCCGCTCTTCCTCATCTGACGAGTCCGTTGAGGGTGTTTCAGAGCGATCCCGGCGACGACTTTTGCGCGACTTGGAATCACGAGTAAGATTTCTGTAAATCAATTAGAAAAACTGGAAACCTCCGACAGAATTTATCACACATACACATCACGGGCTGGGGCTTTTGGAGAGGGAGGCCAGATGCTGAACGTTGAAGCGTCTCTCTGTGCTTGCCGACTTTATTTACGTTAGCATTTATTATGTATCATGCTGCAATTGCACGTACCTATCCAACCAGTCACCACCGCCACCATTCCCATATCCACCAGGAGGAGGTCTATCTCTCCCTCTGTTTGGATACATACTCTGCTGCGATGGAGCCTGCGGTGGCGGCGGAGGGCGCTTGTATTCACCATAGTCAGGACTGGCCCTGCGTCTGTCGTCACGGTCTCTGCTTGGCGGGCGCCGTTCACCACGAGAATGTCTATCTTCCAAGCGCCGCCCTGAATCTCTATCATAGCGGTTTTCGTCTCGACTGGTGCCTCTGTCTCGAGAGCAGTCCCTGCCATTTTCCCTTCTTTCTTCCATGGGGGTTGGCTTGCGGTCGGGGCTGCGTCTTCGAGGAGAGGGCGACCTCCTCGGCGGGTATCTGTCTCTGGGCTCTTGAGGAACGAGCCCCATGCGAGACGGATGAACGGTGGCCATAGTTGCAGGGGATGGCGGAAGTAGGCAAGCAAGGCAGTGTGTAACGTGTAAGACCTACACCTGTGGTCTTGCCAATGCCAGTGTTCGGCGTGGGGGTCGTGAGAATGTCGCTGCTTTTGTCACTATGCTTGACTTTAAGCAAACTAAAGAGATTCTCGGATAGTAGTCTCTTGATTGGAGTGCCTTCTTGCGAGGGGAAGAAATATTCCACGAAAAAGACCAATGTTTGGTGAGGTACTAAAGGTACAATACAATGCAAGATATGCTGAGCTGGGGATATCACTAGATGTATACTAGTATGCAATTATCACAATTATCGTTTTCTGCTTAAACGCCCCGACTGTTCGCAAAGGAAGAATTCATACGAAAGTAAACCAAAACACACGAAGCAAGAGAAAATCATGCCTGCCCGTTCATCAAATCTTCTCTCATTAGCCGCCTACGGGTATTCCATTTCGCGAGGTACTTTTTCGCCCGCTCCTCGAAGACTTCACAGCCGTCAAACAACGACGCGGGTATCTTGTCCTTGCGCTGATCCCATGGCTTTACGTCCACGGTCTCGCACCGGTCGATTGAGACGAGTATCATGCCGAAGCTGTATGCGTCTGCGAGGATGGGATCCTGGCATTCCCCGCGCAGCACCTCAGGTGCGGCAAATGGACGCGTGCCAGGGTGTATTTGCTCGACCTGCTTTGTAGCCAGGCGCGTCATTGTTCTACTTCCCGGCTTCCGGCCCAGGTGTGCGAACGGGTCAACGGGGTCGCCATCTGGAGAGGTAAACGTCGAGTCCATCGACACCGAGCGTCCAAAGTCTAGGAGTTTGACCGTGTCCGAAGGTGATGTCACCTGGATATTGAGTAGAGAAAGGTCGCCATGGCTGAGGCCATACGAGTGAAGATGTGTCATGCCGTCCAGCAGCTGGTTGTGGAAGTCGATCTTCTTTGCGCGCTCGAGCGTTGGTCGAACCTTGATTACGTCGTAAAGTGTACGTCCGTCAATGTACTCGAGAACCATCCCCACGTTCTCAAGTGAGCCCAAGAACGCACAAATGTTACGATGCCGTGACACCGTGGTGTAGACACGTAGCTCGGCGAGAAATTGTGTGGTGACATCGAAGGCGTTCGTCTGCATCTCGCCGTTTATCTCGAGCTGGACGACTTCAGGTTTCTTGACCACACACTTGAAAAGTTCTGAAGCAGACCCCTGGGCAACGGGTGCGAGGTGAGAAGTGGGGTTTGGTGGAGCAGCGTAGGCGGTTGGAGTTGGGAACGAGAAAATGGACGTCGGGTGGCGAGGAGGGCGGAAAATGGGTATTGAGGGGTTGGGTGAGGTGTCATTGTTTTCTTTGTCGCCAATACGGTGCTTAAAGAGGCTATCATCATGGTTGACGGCAGTTTCCTCGGACGACGAGAAGGATTTGGTCGAAGTTGGGGACTCGATTTTCTCTTCTGGTTCGTCGACTTCAACTGAAATTTAGGTCAGTTTAGGGAGGAGAAGGAAGGAAGACAGGACGTGCCCATCCACCAGTTCTTCTTGGAAGTAAGGGTGAGCCGCTTCACGTGCATCTTAGCAGCCTGTATGAGTGGGGAGGGAGGCAACTTTGGTCGCGGAAGTTCCACTGAAGGCTTTGGGAGATCTGAAGGGTCCACAGTCTGCATCATGGTGGCGGAATGCTGGTTGAAGAGGAAAGGAAGAGGGAGCGGATTTAAGCTGAAAGGAGGCTGTGGCAGGAGAAAGAAGATCAGGGTGAAGCACGTTGGTCAAGTCGGAAAGTCGGACCAGGTGTCAAAGCCACCTTGGTGTGTCCTATCTATTTTTGGACAACCCCTACCCCGCAATCTAATCTTTGCCCTAGGTCTGGCCGTCAATCATCGCTGCTGCCCTCGGCAAACCGCGCTAACTGGGCTATTAGCGGCCTTGAATCAACGTAGATCGCCCGAGGACATGGTTGATCGGTTTAATGAAGGTAAACTACAACTTAAAATCGACCAAGAACCTTCGGTCAGTTTTCGGACCACAGCGTCACAGGCACCGAATGTAGCGTTAAGGTGTTCTAGCACAACATGTTCTCCATTGCAAAGTATTTATATATAGGTACAAAGCGATAATTTACTGCGTGAGGGTTCATCCAAGTTAGATAGAGAATGTCATTGGAAAGATAGTCTGGTTCGTGAAAAAATAGTCTGTTGCGACTGCAGTGCCGCCTAGACCGACATAAGTAAGACCGAGGTGAGAATGACTCTCGCGACAGAACGCGCAAAGTCCGACACAGAGTAGGCGAAGAATCTCGAGACAGCTCCAGACGCGTGGCTGGTGGATCCATGTGACATGGAGATACCTGAGTCGGGCAAGACAGACGAAGGTGAGACTGATTGCTGCTCAATCTGGCCGGAGCCAACCATGACCTGCACGCCAATCGACGGGATACCATTCACCACGACGAACAAAACTACGCAAGCCGGTTCAATATTACGCGTGACTGGAGCAAAAATGCAACGTACGTGCGGGACCAGGAGGGAACGTCGCGGGATTGGGCGGAAGCTGTGCGACATGGAGAACGCCACCTCCGTCATCGGCGCCGGTGAATGTGTTCTGCAGCTGAAGCATCCTCATACCCATATTCTGCAGTTCTCAATGAGCTTCCCGTCTTTTCTGGCATTGAAGATGTTACTCGCCATAGTATGCGTGGAAAACCCAGTCCGCATCACAATCACGTTCGCGTTCTGGATATTGTCGACTTGCGAGAAAAGATCGGCAGATGTGAGCTCGACGTCGAAGAACAGACCACCGTATGTGAGCTGAGTCGGGAGACCTTGGGGCTGAGGGCGGCGTTCGTTATAATATGAAGGGTAGAAACGTTCCATGCGATATTCTGTTGGGTAAGGCGCCGTCAAATTAACGTCACTGTTAGGGTTCGAACCCGCAACAAGCACAGAGCCTGCAAGATCCATGAGCCAACTAAGATGATAGGAAGTAAAGTATATCGTACCATCAGGGAGAAGTGTAGCAGAGGAATGATACATCCGAGGTATGATGCTTTTGAAAATCCCGTTACGTGACCACTGTTGTCCCGGAGACGCGCGAGGATTGTAAATGATAGGTGACGTGAGTGCCTGGTCGGCATACGATTGACCAATGGTAAAGGACGTGTTTCCGTAACCAGCGGTGCCTGTCCTCGCTCCGTTGAGACATAGAATCTGACCGTTAGGGAGGAGTAACAGGTTTCCCATCGTTCTTCCCTCTGGCAAGGGATCGAGCTTGCTGTACGAAGACGATAGGTCTGGGGTAATCTTCACGCAAGACGTCGATGCGTTATAGTGAGGAATATCCCAGTTCTGGTTCCACCTTCAGGCGATTCAAGACATTTAGTTGAGATTATAGCCTGGGTCATTGAGAACCCACCCATTGTTTGTTATATTACTTCCACCACAGAACATGAGAGTCGCTGTGTAGTTGTTAGCGGGAGTCAAAGGCAGCATCACAGACCCAGCACTAGCAGGATACACTCTGACAGCGTCAGGCATGTCACTAAGTTGTGTTTCCCGATTTTGGACATAATCCAATAGAACGGTCTTCCAGCCCGACTGAACGAACAGCTTCCCAGAAGGAAGAAGCCAAATCAGCGGATAGAGGTTGACAGGTAACGTGTTTTGTAATATTGGAGACGTGACCGGGTTGCCTCTAGAAGGGAAGAACTCATACGTCGGATTGTTCTGTCCTGCGCTATTGACGTAGCCACCCCAATTGCAGCCACCCATCTGCGAGCCCGTTGAGTGATGGAGTCAAAGAGCTGACCGTCTGACTCACAATAATAACACGGCCGTCCTCTAGCGTTTCTCTGGGAGACATAAGTGAATGAATGACAAGATGAGCGCGGCCTTACAAGCTAGGGTACCAGCGTCTTGTGGTCATAGGCGGAGCCAGCATCCAGTCGCAGTTACCGTCATCGCAAGGGTTCAGCAACCTATAACGGCCAAGTCTGTCAACAAGGTTTCGCATTTTTCTTAGCCATGGAGTCGTACCGAATTCTATTTGCACAAATCGTCAGTTGAGCTTAAGCCAACAGTGCTACATCGCTTACGATTGGCCTCCGTCTGGGTCGTTGTACGGCAATCCACCCGTCTGACTGTGCGCAGTTGCTCCACCGTACGTGACCGCCTGATTACCGCCGACATTGATCCATGTCCCGTTGCCCAAGACGCTTCCTCCCTTGAAAATGGGTAAGTATTCATTGTACACAGCCATTCAGGCGCGGGTGTATCATACCGCGCAGAAAGAGTTCGTAATAACATCCATTGGCCTAGTTTGCTTCGAGCTCGAAGACCATTCTGCGAAGTTTGTGCAGCTGACCTCGATGAACAGAGAGGGGCAAATGCGTACCTGATGCCCAGACAGGGTGTCCCTTAAACTGACTTGGGTTGTTCTCCGTCTTGTCGATGATGTAAACCTTGTCCGGTGTACCGAGGAACATCTGACAAGCTATAGCTCGAAGACGCGTGAAAAGGTACTCGACGGGCGTACCTGTTGAGCACTACCCAGGCTGTTTCCAACCAGCTCAAACTGCCCGACGCTGCCTCTGTGCGTCGGCTGCGTCGGCATCTGGTTGGTCGAAGCTCCTTTGCCGCCAGCGGCAAGCAGAGAGATGGTGCATGCTAACGCAGTTGGACGAAACGCCATAAAGAGGGGCATGGAGAGCAGAAGTAGAGGCACAACGTTAGGAGGAACTCCTCAGGGATTGCAATCTTATCAGCATAGGGCTTGTTGGGCTGGGTTTGAGTACTTTGGCATCCGGCATGCCGCATTCCAGGGGCTTTAGGCTAGCCATCCCGAGTCGACGTAAGAGAGGATTCGTCAATAGAGATCCAATGAAGATATTTGTGTCAGCTGCCCGCCATAGCTCTGGAGATCTGGAGTAAGAGGGTGGGGAAAGAGAACAGCACGATAAAGCTTCGTCCGAGTTATATGTGTTTAGTGGAGGGGCAACTGACGGCCGCATTCACATGGAGTACCGCAACGTAACGCGACCGTCGCGCACTCTGCCATTTAGACTAATACCACATAAGGAATGTATCAAAGTTTGGTCACTGGTAGTTGGTAAACTCACCCACTCGAAGACCAGCATTGAGTGTATTGGTCATAGATCTGTTTGTTTGTCTGAGCGCGTTCAAGCTCAAGGTGAGCTGCTGCGATAGGGGCGAACTTTGTTCACACGCTCTTCAATATTTCCTCTACTATCACTACATAAGCTATTTTACACTCGCCCCGAACTTTCTCCAACGGATCATTTCGGTTCACATGAGGGGTTGCGTATGTTCGGACCGGGGTGCTTATCTCGGCCAATACATGTTTTTCTCCCGCTAAAAAAGGCGGATAAATTGCGGGCGCTCCGGCGACGTTGACGTCGCCATATCGCATTGTATCTTTCGGCGCTCGTTTGCCTATCCCTTTCCCCGCCGCCTGATCTCAGACTTTGGTAGGTACTAGTCTCAGCTCCTACCGTCCTGCGCTGGTTCTCATCGTAGAGGTACACCCCCCAGCTGCACTCAGGCTCCCGCGCTTACTAGATGCTTCTAGGTGCTCTGACTCGGGTGGCTACATAGGTCTTGATCACTGGGAGATCATCTATAGGGCAACTTTCCTTCAGCGTCATTATATCAGTACGAACTCATAACTCATTTATGAGCAGGGTCTCAGGCCTTTGTGACTAACAAACGTATTCGTTATAAGCAACCTGATTGTATCTGATAGCCCCTAAGCGGACAAACGATATAGTCAGCCTTGTCAGCCGACAGTTGAGGCAAGTTCAAGGGCGATCGAGTTAGCCGTGCTGATGGTCAAGCAGGGTCATAATCTTGCGAAAATGTCGACAGTCTCAGGCAGCTACAGGGGCGAAGCTAACATCACTGAACGCAGAATGAACTACGGCGTTGATGTCGAGCGCGCTGATGACCAGCAACCGGGGCAGACGGCTCCGCGGGCTGTTGAAGACGCGCTCTTTATTGTTGTTATGGTCAGCAGCCTTTCATGACATCCCCACTGCTACTTGCTGACTGTCAATGCTTAGGGAGTGTCTGGGACAGGGAAATCGACGCTCGGGAACTCGCTAGCCGACGCGCTCAACATCGAATTCAAGGACGGCGATGATTTGCACCCAAAGGCAAACATCGACAAAATGTCACGAGGAGAGCCTCTAAACGACGAGGATCGCGCACCCTGGCTCGAGATAATCCGGACGACCGCACATCAGACTATTCAGGCCCAAATAGGTGTGCGGCAGAGCACGATCGAGCCAGAGAGAATGCCACAAACGGAGAAGACTCACGCAGACCACGCGGACGCGGCTGTGAGAGCTGGCTCGAAGATCAGGACGAACAATACTAGGCCCGGTGTCGTGATTGCCTGTTCAGCGCTGAAGAAGCGGTATCGGGACGTGCTTCGTGGCAAGACGGTGTCAGGAATGCTGCCGGACAAGATAGAAGCGCCGCACCAGCATGAGTTGCCGACATACTTCGTATATCTAGAGGTGCTGAAGGAGAGGGGGGACGTCGACAGGATCTGGGCTCGCATGAAAGAGCGCAAGGGTCACTACATGAAGGCCGGGATGCTGGAGAGCCAAGTGCAGGCCATGGAGTCACCAGCGGGCGAGGAGAGGGTTGTGACAGTGTCCATCGATGATGCAACGGAGAAGCAGCTAACAGACGCACTCGATGCATTCAAGCTTGATTACTATCGCGCCGAGTGAGCTCAGCCCAATGGTTTTGAAATACGCATGTCGAGTATGACTTTCCGAAGCAATAAACCATATGTAGACAACCCGCTAGCTTTAATAAATCCCTGTCGGTTTCATCGAGCCCGAGTGAGTGCAGATTTTTTTTGGCGAGGAATCGCAAGAGCCTATGAGCGACGATTTCCAAATAGTTCGCAGCCAAACATATCATGATGCGTGGTTGTCTTCGGCCTTTGCCGAGAGCCATGGACGCGTACGCCTGATCGACGCGTCAGTTACATATCCCTTGTGATCCTGTCCCTCTACCACCTTTACACTTTCCGCCATGGTATGTCCAATGCAGAACATTTGCTAGGTGGCTAAAGCTAATATCCGATTAGGCTAGAAGATATGATAGTACGTCCCATGTTCAAACGCACTATGCATGCTAAACGTAACTTGAAGGTCGAACCACCATATTCTCCCCTGAGGGTAAGTCCCAACGTCCGCAGTGGCATTTATCATGTAGCTTATTCGAAGAATCTCAGGGCGTCTATACCAGAGTAAGATATACTCATAACTCCCTGAGCCGAACCTAAACTTGCATCCTTCCAGTCGAATATGCCATGGAAGCAATCTCGCACGCCGGTACGGTGCTCGGCGTTCTTGCCAAGGACGGCGTCGTCCTGGCAGCTGAGAAGAGGGTCACCGGGAAGCTCCTCGATCTCTCGGGAGCTAAGGATGGCGGGTACGGTGGTAGTGGCGAGAAGATGTTCTTGCTGAACTCGTGCGTTACCCTTCGTGCTTTGCACCTTGCTTGGCTAATCACCTATTTCTCTCTGATCTTAATCCCTTGATCATCGCAGAAACGTCATCGGTGGTGTGGCTGGTATAACATCAGACGCCAACTCGCTCGTCAACTATGCTCGGACGACAGCCCAGCGGCACCTGCTGATGTACAATGATGATATCCCTGTCGAACTTCTTGCTCAAAGACTATGCGATCTGAAGCAGGGGTACACGCAATATGGAGGTGCGAACGTAGTCTCAAAATTGCCACCCATTTTACGGCATTGATCAGGACTGTGTTAACACAGGCCTTCGGCCATTCGGTGTCTCGCTGCTTTACGCTGGCTATGACCCTCATTACAAATTCCAGCTGTATCACTCCGATCCATCAGGAAACTACTCGGGCTGGAAAGCGACTTGCATAGGCGCCAACAACGGCACCGCCCAGAGCCTCTTGAAGCAGGAGTACAAAGATGATATCCTCGTCAAGGATGCTATTGGCCTCGTGCTTCGGATCATGAGCAAGACAATGGACAGCACCACGCTGGGTAGCGAAAAACGTATGTTTGACATCATTGCCCTAGATATATCTCGCATAACCCCACTAACCTCTTGGACTCTTTACAGTTGAATTTGCCGTATTGACCTACGATGAGGAGGCCAAAGCACCCAAGGCCAAGATCTACAAGCCTGGCGAGATCGATGCTCTTTTGCAGGCTGAGGGCCTTGCGAAGAAGGAAGATGACGAGATGAAGTCATAATCTTGTACATGGACTGTGTAATCATAAGCGGCGCTTGCATTTTTCTCATCATGAAACTTAACATTGAACCTGGGCGGTGATCAGCCAGATTTCACTATACCGTCATCACCAAATGTTCGCCGCTTCGTCTCTTGAAGGACGCGTCATCGCACAGCAGATAACGTATAGGGAAAAGGATGATATATTTGCAAGATTCATGAGCGTCGTGAAGAGTCATGCACAAAGTACTGGCAAGCAGCCCGCTCCCTCACCCACTAGCTACCTGCACACATGCGTCGTTCGTGCCCCCTTTTGCCTTTGCTTGTTGTAAAAGCAGTGCCCGGCACGCCCCCGAAAGAGTATGCTCCTACCTCCGATTACTAGCGTCAGCGAGGGAGAGGTTTTACCACTCGGCCAGAAAAAATATCAAACGAGAAGAGACGAACAAGTAAGGACAAGAGAAGACGAAGAGGAGAAAAGAGATTCAATAATTTGATAACCAATAAATGAAAGGTTTAACGAGTGAACTGGGGTCGGACTGATGCATGTACAAGGTATACTAGCGTCAAGCTGGGTGGAGAATGCGACTTGAGAGAGGAGATGAGAAGGAAAAAAGAGAAATACGGTGAGGTGAGTTGCTGGAAGAGATGGCGATTGTGATAACGGGATAGGAGGATGAGTGAATTGGTTATGTGGCGTCTGGGGATGGCAAATGGGAGATGGAGGATGGGATTGGAAGTTGCAGGAGGCTTGTAAATGTGAGACGAGACGCGATGCAAAGTCCGAGTCCACAAAGAGGAGTAAAGGTCTATGAGCAAATAAAGTGCGAAGACTATCGACGATTATCCTGTTGATGAAAACATCAAAAGAACATTATGCGTCAGCTCCTCTGGCTGCACTTTCAATCACAAGAGATCACTCACTACATGGGCGACAAAAAATCATGTCGCCACGAATAATATGCAACGCAGGAGACATCGCGCGGACGAACGGCCACTCGTGTATGTTGGGCCCCCGAAAGCGCTTTGCCTCCGCTGCACGCAACTGAAACCCAAAAAAGGTCCTGCAGCCCAAGTTGGCCCACAGTCAGCCAGACAACTCCACTCCACGACGGGGTATTTTGCAAAGATATGCGACAAGATGCGGATAGAGAGAAAACCGAGAGCGAAATTGATGTGATTTGAAAATGGCGACAAGCGGGAAACGGAGCTGAGCTGAGACCCAACGAAGACGTGGCGTTTGTCTTGACAGGGCAGGCCACGCCAGACAAGGTAGGGAAACGCGGAATGTATGGACGGGATAAGGCAAAGAAGAGGCAGGCAGGCACATTAACGGCGGCAAGTACGGTAGGAGGAAGGTGGGGTGGGAGCAAAGGCCGGCAGGGCAGAGCAGTGCGGGAGATCATAAAAAACCGCTGGTATTCATCGGCACGTAAGACTAGTATGCACACGCGTACGAGGGCGGAGGACGTCGTCCATCACGCTCCCTCGTCCGTCCTGGAAGCCCGCGTTTTCATATCCTACAACTTCTTCCGTCCATGATTGATGGTTGACGACGGCGGCATAAAATTAAAAGTCAGGCCAATGGGTAGTACCGCCGGGTCTGCTGCTTATGCTTAGAGCCCGCCGTCGAGGACGCCCCGCACGTCCGGTACCTCGCCAAGGTCGGCGAGGAAAGGACAAAGGTCCGTAAGCTCTGTGTCATGTGGGTCGTTGAACCATGACGACACGGGCACGGCGTTGTTGGGGTGGAAGATGTATGAAGCGGGTGAATTATCCAGGATGATAGTGTCCGCTATCGGCCGCCCAAGTTGCGATAGGTCCTGAAGGAGAGTAAATGCGTCAGTATACGAACGATAATAACGAAAAATGATCAGTGTTCACCTTAACGTAGTTACCCTTATGGTTGTAGCAGCTCTCTCTGAATAACCGGTGGGTTACAACATGATGGATGTCGAGCTTGTCCAAAACTGGGTCTGCATACTGTGGAAAATAAGTAAGACTAATGCACCAGAGGGGTGGATAAGACTATACAAACCTTGCTCAGACTGGCAGTGAATACGACGACTTCGTAGATTTCACCCATTTTCTTCAAGAAGTTATCAACTCCCGGACGCTTGATAACGTAAACGTTATGCCAGTGATACTCGATCTCAACAGGCACCACGTAATCAGCGTTTTGAAGCGACTAAAGAAAGCGCATGAGAGTTAGACTCGAATTAGTGATACTGTTTGTGGGCAGCGCCAACCTTGAAACTACTATGCACAAGAGTTTCGTCCAAGTCAAGCACCAAACATTTGCGCCCCGCATGCTGTGGTGCGATGGGAGGAAGTAATGGACGGGGTACACCATCCTGAAAGCAAACATGTCAGGGATTTCAGCGACACAAATCACGCAACGCTGCAACTCACAGGTCCAATTGGTATACCAGCTCCCCCGTTCATAATCAGCGTATCCTCGTCATCCTCCTCGAAATGCTCTCCATCGGTGCCTTCCTGCTCATCATGCCCTTCATCATCCGTAATACTCGCCTCCGACTCCGTCGCCGACGCATCCCCTGGCGTAGACGGGCCCGTCTGAGCAGTGGAAGAAAAGATATCCGTTCCGGTTGAGCCTGGCGGCTGGACGGCGCCGCTTGTCGCCCCTCCCGTCTCCGCTACAGGCAAAAGCGACTTCGTCGGCGTGGGCGGGATGAGAAGCTGCGAGTCCCTCTTGCTCTCCTGGGAGTCGGAGGTGCGCGTCGTCTCCAACGGGGGGATGGTCGGCTTCTCCCTCTCCTTCTCAGTCACTTCCTTAGATTCCTCGTTTGCCCCAGTAGCGACGCCACCTGCGCCTGCGCCTGCTGCTGCTGCTGCACTAGCAGCAGCGACGGGACCAGCGGCAGAAGGGACCTGCTTCTCGTTCTCGGCGGGAGCGCGAGGTGGCGAGGCTGGTGCTGTCGTCTTGGTAGCCACCGGTTCCTTGGACAGGGCGGCAGGCTTCTCCGGCGTCTCGGCGAGATCGATGGAGTGCGCCTTATTCGGTCCGGCACACGGGATGAGCTTGCTCATGAGCTTGGACATAAAGCCAGACTTCTTGCCGCCGGCCCGCTGCCCGTTGACCTGCTTGCCCTTGGCCGCCCCAGCTGACGAGGGCTGCGCAGTCTGCGCCTTGCCCGCGCCGGCACCATTGCTCGAGGCGGAAGTGGCGCCATCGGCGGCGGCGGTCGCTTTCGCGAGTTTCTGCTTTTTGGTTGACTTGGAGCGAGACGCGTCGGCGTTGGCTTTGTCATCGGCCTTCGTTGCTGAGGGTTGAGATTCCGAGTGCTTGTCAACGGACTTGTCCTTGTCATCTGGGTTAACGAAAGTTGAGTTGCTCAGGGTGGTGCGACCATCCTTGTCAGCTTCGGTTGACGAGGTGGGGCTCTGCTCGTGCGCCTGCGCACTGTCAATGATACCGGTTGCAATTGCGGGACCGTTTGCAGGCTGGCTGACAGACGTCTCTTTTCCCTTTTCAGCAGGAAGAGAGGGGTTGTTTGGGGGTGACGAGGGAGCCATGTTCAGGTGGGAAGGAGGGACAAAGGGGAGGTGGGAGGCGGAAGACGATTGCTTGGAGGGCTGTGAGAGAATGTAAGGAAGGGCAACGAAAGGACGGAGAAGGGGAAGAAAGGCAGGAAAGCTTAAGAAGAGGAAAGCGCGGGGGTATGGGGCGGTGGACGCGCGGAAGGGAAGGAGGAGGAGAAGAAGGGAGATGGCTACACTGGCGCCAGTGACACACACAACACAACAACACGCGGCTTTAGCAAGACCATACGAGTACGTGATCTCGCTTCACACGCTCATTCCACACTCAATAATACATTAGCATATCCTATTCTCTGTTGACCGGCCATCATCGCTGTATGCACATCTAGCTAGCTCACTGGTTTCGTCCGTGGCTGGCGCACTCGCACGGCGTTGGATGCGGGGGACGACGTCGTGCGTCCTGCAATGTGCAGGGAGGCGGCGATTCGAAGGACAATGTGATCACATATCACGGACATCATTTTTCTGTCGAAGTGTTCGAGAACGTCGGGGTGACGGGGTCGGTCTTCGTCGTACCCGAGCATCAAAGCGGCACCCAGCCCATTGGCTTGTGCTAATCTCCCCGAACATATACTTCATCTCACTTCCTCAGTATAATTGTCTTCAAAGAGACCGAGATGTTCTCGACGATACCCCCTGAGTGGCCGTGGCGGCGCGCCGATGCCAGCATGCGTGGGTCTCGGACGTTGGTCATGCAGATGATCAGGAGGACACCATGACAACCTTCGACGCGCTGAGCATCGAGCACAGAAGACCGTTTCCTGAACAAGTTCTTCATCAACCCATTATCGAACGATACTTGAATTCACAGAAGCGAGTTAACGATGTGAAAGGCTCTGATCGGGCCTGAACGATGCCGTAAAACATTGAAGGCTACAACTTGCAGGCGGGGTAACAATCATCAACGACGCGAACAAGACAGGAAAAAAGGACAGCATACCATTTGGACTACGGATCAGGCATTTGAGAGCGATAAATATTCAGCCTTACACCACCGGTATGTCCTAGGGATCAGGCGGTTGGCATACAGTCATCACAGATCCATCTTGTTCAAAGGGTAATAGAACGCAGAGCTGATCAACTCAAAGCCTTGAGACCGAAGCCCATCCCCATGCCCCGCAAGCACGCTACCAGCCTTTCGTTCGGCCGATTGCATGCACCAAGCTAATATCCGCCGGCGCGATGTGGCGGCGCGCCTCGTGCCCAAGAAGAAGCCCACTGGTGCTACTTGCAAGAAGCCTCGAGTTGCTGGATCAAGCAGCCTTGCACGTACTGCTTATGGTTGATGATGTGAAGTTTGTGAACGGCGCTACCGCCTGGTACAAAGAAACAGCACGGCACGAGCAGCAGCCCCGCACCACGGGTAAAGGAGATATGAGAAAGGGCGCGCACATGCGCTGGGAGATAGCTCCAGGCACAGACTGAGAATCAGATCTAAGAGCGTGCATTTAGGTAGACAAGTTTCCGTTTTGCTTGTACTGCCTTGAATAGGAGAGGCTTGCGTTTGCGAGTGGTCCAGCTGCAGTCCAGATCGAGTAGCACCGATACTACACACAATGGCAATCACGAACAAACTGGTACTGTGGCTCGATTTACGCCGTGACCGCCCTCACACAGAGGCGATACGATGAACCATAACAAACGCGCGTTCTCTTCGAGTCCAATTGATGTGAAGAGGCTGTAGATAAGCACGAGATTAGATATGCCGGGCCAGAGTCGCGTGCCCGGCCCATAGATTAGCAAGACCCGAGGAGGTCGGTGAGCAGAGGCATCCGAGGGCGAAATGAAGGGGTCGCGAGACTGGGGTGGACACGAGGCAGAGAAAAGGAAGGAGGAAGAAAGCTTTCAGCCATTTGACAGAATCATCACCAACAACATTTGGGTGGAGCTAATTGTGACTTCCGGACCGCCGGCGATTGCGGCCCACTTATGACACCAATGATATCAGACACTCGGAATCAAACAAGCAACCCTGAGGCCCGAAGGCCTGAAGGCCTGAACATCAACGCTCCAGCAACAGCACCATTGGCTCGCTCAAAGATCATAACGAATGGAGTCGCATTAGTTCGCTACGAATACAAGAACAGATTGGGGTGAAATGACTTCGTTAACACACTGCATTTTCCGGACTATGGCTCGCATATACACAGTAAGCATATATGCGCATATGAAGGGCAACCGTCTGTAGGGCACGTAGGCTCTACTCGTGCCCCTGGTCATCGTCAAAGCCGCCCTCGAAGAGGTAGTTGGCGGCAAGCTCCTCATTCTTGTCGCAGGCGAAGTAGGCCTCGATGGCGGCCTGCCTTGGGAAACCGAGGCCTTCCAGCTATCATTGTTGCACCACGTTAGCTCCCCATCGATCAAACAAAACGAAACTATGAACTCACCCGCTCAATGGCGGCCCTCTCCTCCGGCGTAACTTGCACAACATGTGCACCGGGCGGGAGATCCCCGCCACCCTCCATACCGGCGAGACCCTCCTCGTCGTCAACCCCGAGAATATTCGCAAGAGCGAACGGGTTTTGCATGAACGCCTGTGCGAGCTCCGGGTTCTGCGCTGCGAGCTGCTGTACCAGCGGCTGGATCAGGCCCGGATTCGACTGCACGAGTTCGCGCAACTGTTGGATCTGCGGGTGGTTCCGCAGAGCCTCGATATCGACCGCGGCGCCCTCCTCACCACCCGCGGCGCCTCCCAAGCCTCCCAAGCCTCCCAATCCAGCCGCACCTCCGAGACCGCTGAGGCCACCAGCGCCAGGGCCACCGCGCAATCCACCGCCGCCGCCTCCGCCTTGTTGCTGTTGTTGGGCGAGCTGTGCATGATAAAGAGTCGGCGATTAGGAGGCTTTTCGTTATCAATTGATAAGATAAATTAGACACACCTGAAAGAGATTCTGGGGAGCGCTAGATTGTGGGGCTGGGGCCGCGGGCTGCTGAGCTGCTGGCTGCGCAGCAGGAGCAGCAGCTTGGCCACCCTGAGCCGCGGGTGGTGATGAGCGAGCAGCAGCGGCCTGGGCTTGCTCGGCTTCGATGTTTGCAGGAATACCCTGCCATCGTGACGTCAGCATGTTCACTCGAGATGCTAACAGACTACGATGCTCACGTTGAACAAGTACTCGACAGCGCGCTCAGGGTTGTTATAACTTGCACGAAGCGCGCGCTGAACTTGCTCGCGCTCGAAGCCCATCTCCATGATATTTTGGACGGTGGCGTTTAAGGCAGCACCCGTGAGGAAACCGTCATTATTGCTCGGTTGTGTGGGCGCATCTCCTCCGGTAGGCGCAGCAGCCGGTGCGGGTGAAGGTGCTGATGGTACAGCAGGTGCATCGGCGGGAGCGGGAGCGGAGGGTGCGGGAGCAGGGGATGGGGCAGAGGGTGCTTCGGGCTGGGCTGCGGGAGCAGGGGCAGCCACTGGCGCTGGGGGAGGAGCAAACGATGGTTTGGGCTGAAACCGTTCAGCATCATCCGATGTTCAAGCCGATATGCGACATACCTTTGCAACCATCAGAACGAGGAAGTCCTTCTCTTTGATCTCGCACTCGGCCACGGACTTGGTATCTGCGAGCACCTTGCCTGTGCGCGGTTTGCATATCAGATCTGAGGTGCACCAATGAAGATCGGGAGAAAGCTACCAGAGTAGATAAGCTTCTGACTCGAGACATCATGACCTTGCTCCTTCGATATCTTCTCCTTCAATTCCTGCACCGAGTTTGAGGGCTCGGCGTCGATCTAGACACGGCGTTGAGAGACAGGAGACTTTGAGCGGTTCCTGACTAGCTGTGACGCACCGTGAAGACCTTCTGCTGGAGAGTCTTTACTGTAATTTTCATGATTCTAATGCTGCCAAATGAAAATTTTGAGTGGTATGTCCGCGTGTGCTCGGGCTGCTGACTGACCGATGGTAGGTGTGGCCTATACAGAACCGAGGCTGAATCTGAAGTGACGCGTCCTGCGCAGGGGTGACGTGAGCGTGACAGTGTGATAGGTTAGTAACGTGACACACCCCAGAGAGTGAGGGGCACCGCCACGAGGAATGAAATGGGGCGATCCGGGGTCCTGGACTGCCTACACCTCCTGGCGTTGGTGCGTGCTCTATCGGTCAGGTCAGTCAAGCCCATGCCATCCCGTCCGATGCATCTCCCTACTCCTCCTCCACCCTTCACCCAGTTTCAAGCTAACTCCTCCTACTTCCTCTTCACAGGATAGCACACAACCCGTCGCAATGTCCAACCCACCAGAGACCGGCGACAACTATGTTCGCCGCCTCACTTCCTTCATTCGCACAAACGAGCGCGGCCTCGCAGAGGCGGGCTTCGTCCGGCGGCGCGCAGAGAAGCGGCACTCGCTCAGCACCACCAATGCTCCCTCGTCCTCAGGCTCTCTGCTCAACCCCATGTCCTGGTTCGCCTTCTCGTCCTCGGCAGCCCAAGGCAACACGGCACCAGCGGCGAAGCCGGTCATATTCACGATTGACACCCAGCGTCTCTTCTACGTCCTCATGCGTATTGAGGACATCGGGATCAACGTGGGCTCTCTTGACGTGCATGTCGACAACTCTGCGAAGCCGATGATGTATGTCGACGTTTTCGGCAACAAGGACAAGTCCGAAACACTCTCCCTCGCGTCCTTCCGCTCTTCACTCTCTGTCGTCTCCGGCCTTTCACTCGGCGGAGGTTGGTGGGGCAAGCAGGAGGAACAGAGTATTGAGAATGAGCTCAAGTACCTGTATAGCAGCTTCACGAAGCTTCCTGCCCTCTCGATCAAGCCACCAGGGCCCAAGACTTTGGCTGAGTTGGAGGGCGAGCCGCCGAACGAGAACGCGCTCCCTTTGGACGCGTTCAAGAATGTCCAGACGCTCGAAGTTTCCGACATTGATCCCAAGTGCTTGCTTGGATGGGACAAACTCTCGGATGGGCTGAAGAGTCTGAAGGTCGTGAGGAGCGGAATCGGGGACATCTCAGAGATCTTCATCAATCCGGTCATCGAGGACCAGGCAAGGCGGGAAAGGAGTATGCACATTGATGATCTGAATCGAGGTCCGAGGAGGCAACCGTCGTTTCATAGTACCAAGTTGCCAGACACTGTACCAGAAGATTCGGAAGAGACGCCAACAGCCGAAAGCACGTCTTTCGACCTTCCCTCCCCCTGTCCTTCCCTCCCCAGCTACAAGTGGTCTGCATTGCGACATTTATCTTTGCACGACAACTCTCTCACGTCCCTTTCCACCGATACCCTGTCTTACCTTACTTCCCTCACGCACCTTGACCTCTCCTCCAACCTCTTTGTCAATGTTCCCGATGGCCTGGGAGCACTTCACAATCTCGTTTGGCTCAATCTTGAAGACAACATGATCGAGTCTGTACTTGGGATATACGCTAATCTCGGGCAAATACTCTACCTTAACCTCTCGTCGAACCGGCTGGAGTCACTATGTGGGCTCGAGCGGCTCATGGGTCTTGAGCGTATCAACCTCAGGGCAAACAATGTCGACGAGAGCGCCGAGGTAGGGCGGCTCGCGACGCTTCCGCATATTACAGATGTATGGATCGAGGGCAACCCGCTCACAGAGATCGAAGACGACTACCGGACAACATGCTTCAACTATTTCGCGAAGGAAGGAAAGGAGATCTTGTTGGATGGTTTGCCACCCAGCTTTTATGAACGGAGGGGGATTGTCGCACCCGTAGAGAGGATGGCGCCACTGCGAGCGCCCGTGTCTGCTCCCTCGCCGCCTACCATCGCGGTAGGCGCGAGGGGAGCGAAGTCGTCATCTCCTCCGAAACAACCGTCTCCAAATATTGTCCCTTCTACCTCTTTATCTTCTCCCGAGGCAGCTGCTGTCTCTAGCAGGACCAAATCGGCGGCTGCGACCCCGGTTCCAAAGCCGCGTAAACGCAAGACGAAGCGCATCGTTGATCTCAACGGCACGTCACCAGAGTCTATCGACTTCTCTTCCACCTCAAGACCACCGTTAATGAGCGACCGCACTGCGGTTCCCGGTACCCGCGCCCAAACCAACGGAGCCCGCTTCTCGCCGCCAGCCATAGCACGCAACGGTGGCTCGCACACGCGCGAGGTCTCCATCGCGTCGATCCTCGAGCCGTCGGGCGAAGGCTCAAATGAGCTCCCGCCAGAGGCACAACGCGATGCAGAACTGTACCGCAAGCGGATTGAGGCTCTGCGGTCGGACATGGGCGACGGTTGGCTGAAGGTGTTTAGCCAAAGCAGCCCGGGAGCCTCGAGGGTTGGCTCGCCCTCGCGATAGTCTAAGACCTTTCTTGGAACCTCACGCTCTACTTGTTCATTCTTCTTTGTTGCCCTCTATGTCTTTTATTTTTCTTGTTGGGCGTTTCGTACTCTTTATGTCGTCTCTTACTAGATTTCGTTGACCGCCCCGGTACCGCACATACATACCCGTCACGTTCTAATATTTGCAAACTTTTATCAGCGCATTGTTGATATGGATATATCTCCCCTCGGTTAACGAACTTGCTATGTAACGCACGTGCACCCGCTCATGTAGTAATACGGTCCGCAGAACACTGGATGTCTCTGTTTTATTTCATTCTGATCTTAACTTCTCCGTCGACGCTGAAAGCGCTCGGAGATTGACAGGCCACCAATGACGCACTGACAGCAATGGGGGTTTAGGTTGATGTGGTGTGTTCGGGGTCCGAGCGTTTGGCGGACGGTTCGGTAGTCGCGGTGACACGATTCGTTGTTTTCTCTCTTCTTCGGCTGTCCCTCCTCTTCCTCCTCCTCCTCCTCTTCCCAACGCAACACCCGTCGCTTCCGAGCGCCCCCTCACCGGCTCCTACGTTCCTTACCTTCACACCACCACACCGAATTTTAACGTACACCCATCACATTCTGATTTAGCAACCATGGGTGCCAATCTGTCGAAAGCGCTTGGTGCGTTGCGTTGCACTTGTGGGCGCAGTAAATGCTGTAGGCTAATAGAATCTCCCCTCTTGGACTGCAACTACCCCTCGGCGCCATCTGGCCTATTCTCTCTTTTACATGCTTGATGTCGTCGTGTGCGGCTCAGGCAAGCTCTTCGGGAGCAAGGAGATGCGGTTGCTCATGCTCGGTCTTGACGCCGCCGGCAAGACGAGTGCGTGCCTTTCCAGACTACCGGAGCGGGTTACGACTGCAGCTACGGCGTAGGTGCTTTTGGTACTGACTAACTCTGATGTTGTACAGCTATCCTCTACAAGCTGAAGCTGAACCAGTCCGTTACCACTATTCCAACGGGTGCGTTACCCTTCCTTCTCCCTGCATTCAACATGCATGCTCTCCCTTGAACGTGGCTCGCTGACAACTTCCACGTTGTGCTGATACAGTCGGGTTCAACGTCGAGACGGTCACGTACAAGAACGTCAAGTTCAACGTCTGGGATGTCGGCGGGCAGGACAAGATCCGGCCTCTCTGGCGGCACTACTACACCGGCACGCAGGGTCTCGTCTTCGTCGTCGACAGTCAAGACCGCGAGCGCGTTGACGAGGCCAAGCAGGAGCTGCACCGCATCCTGAGCGACAGGGAGATGAAGGAGTGCTTGCTGCTTGTGTTCGCGAACAAGCAGGATCTGCCTGGTGGTAGGTTTCATTGGCTTTGCATTCTATTTTTAGATGTATGATTCCTTAACACTATGCTTTGTGCAGCCATGTCGCCTGCTGAAGTGACCGAGAAGCTGGGCCTCCACCGGATGCGCGACCGGTCGTGGTACGTCCACCCGAGGTGAGCATTGGGTTTTTATTTCTTTTCTATAGCCGCTGCCATGGCGTTGCCGGCAACGCGACCGGGTGCATATATGCTCACGTGTGTTTCATTTAGTTGCGCCACCACTGGCGAGGGTCTCTTCGAGGGCTTGCAGTGGCTCGCCCAGAACGTCCGCAAGCGCCAGCCATGAGGAACCAACGGGACACCGTCAATACTATCTCTTCACGTTTTCCCTGCTTTTCTGGCTCAATTCGGACTTTCCTCATCGCCTTGCCTGATAAGACTACGTACTGTCTTCGCTTCCAATACCCCTATGCATACTACCTTCGGCTTCTCATGATTCCAGCCAAGAAGAGACGTATGGTAGACCAGCTCTCCCAACTAGTATCATGATCATCTCAACTTCGACGAGATACACAATCCTCATCCCCGCACCTGATTTTTCGGATCTGACGTCGTTTTCTTTTCATACTTTTTTGTGTTATTTTCACTTTTGTCTTCTGTCTATCACTTTCTTTTGACCTGGCAAATGGAGATGGCCGCGATGAGGATGAGAGCGGTTTAATCTTGAGTACGGTTTACTCAACGTCCGGTTAATACTAGCACGCACACTGTTCCAATATCATTCGTCAGACCCGCCGATCACGGAGAATTCATTGCTGAACATGCATATCTGAGCACGGGATTTGAGTTGATTGAGTGTCGGCTTACAGAGTGGCTTACGAGCGTCGGCAAAGCGGCTATGATCACAGTCGTCGGTGGCACTGGCAATTCGGAATTCGACGTCGTCTGACCAAGCAATTCCCCTTGTCGGTTGTCCTCCACAGCGAGCAACCGCCGGCTTGCGCCATATCTCTAGCTCTGACGCAAGGCCGCCGCATACACGGGCACATGATGGGAGCACTACAAAATCCCGACCTGGCATTCGGCGACTCCATTCCGATCTCCCCCTTCACATTACCTCTTTTCTAACTATCTTGTACGCGATGCTGTCTGCACTACGCCGGAGCGTCGTCGGCCAAACTCGTGCATTCTCGACTGGACATATTTCCGTCAATGGCTTCGTTGGTGCTGTGGGCAACACGCCTCTCGTACGTTGCGCCACCTCGTACACAGTGGCTACATGCGGTTTGGATTGCTGAATGTCACGCGTTCTTCTCGCACTTAGATCTACCTAAAGACGTTGTCTGAGCAGACGGGCGCGGAGATCTACGGCAAGGCCGAGTTCCAGAACCCAGGAGGGAGTATCAAGGACCGTGCCGCTGTTGGTGTTGTCACCGACGCGGAGGAGCGAGGGTTGTGAGTGCTATGCCCAGTCTTTCGATTACTTTGATCAATCAGCTGACTGGTTGTGGCAGGATTAAGCCCGGAGGGACTGTTGTCGAAGGTACGGCGGGCAACACGGGTATCGGCCTCGCGCATGTGTGCCGTAACAAGGGCTATAAATGCGTGATCTTCATGCCTAATTCCCAGGTGCGTTATCCGCACGATTGCATATCTCGTGCAATGCTGACGCCAATGTGTAAATCTACAGAGCCAAGAAAAAATCGACCTCCTCCGCATGCTCGGTGCTGAAGTTTACCCCGTACCCGCCGTCGCGTACGAGAACCCGGCGAACTACAATCACCAGGCGCGCGACTACGCCAAGTCGCTCGACAACGCGATCTGGACGGACCAGTTCGACAACACCGCGAACGCGAAGGCCCACTACGTGAGCACGGGCCCCGAGATCTGGGAACAGACCGAAGGAAAGCTCGACGGCTTCATCTGCGCGACGGGTACGGGCGGCACGCTCGCGGGCGTGGGCAAGTATCTGAAGGAGAAGAGCGGCGGGAAGACGCAGGTGTGGCTTGCGGATCCGCCGGGCAGTGTGCTGTACACGTATGTGTCGAGTGGAGGGAAGCTGGCGGAGCGGTCGGGGAGCTCGATAACGGAAGGTTTGTGCTTTTGCTTGTCACGTCAAGAAATAGGTGTGCTCACGATACTTGCTTCGCCATGTAGGTATTGGCCAAGGTCGCATTACGAACAACCTTGGGACTTTCATCAACGATATTGACGGTGCACTTCATATTGCGGATGAGAAGTCGATCTCGATGATATACCAACTACTTGACACCGAGGGCCTTTATGTTGGTGCAAGCACGGCACTGAACGTTGTCGCTGCTGTGGAGCTGGCTCAGAAGCTTGGCAAAGGTAGGCGTTTTTATCTCTTCGCCTGTGAAATCTTCCATAATAACTTGACAATTGCAGGGTCACGAGTGGCAACTGTACTCTGCGACGGCGCCTATCGGTATCAGAGCCGTCTGTTCTCGAAGAAGTGGCTACAGTCGAAAGGTCTCGAGGCGGCTATACCAGAACACTTGAAGAAGTACGCTGTGCTTGACTAGATGCGTTGCTAAAATGGGGCCTCTACCGGCCGACTTCGTAACAAAATAGTAGACTTTGTATATTTATCTGCTTGTAATCTGTGTGGGACCGAAGTGCATCTGAATAATGGCACTCGCGTGGGCTGTCTTAATCCATTGTAAGCAATCAAGATATCTGATTATAAATTCCGAAGCGTCCTTGAGCAACGTTAACAACCAGTAAACAGCTGCGTTGACCCCCGCATAAAATATGAAGTAAAGCTTTCTAATGTAAAGATGCTCGAGCTCCTGTTGATTCTACATATTCCTGGGTCGCGCAAAGGTATCTGTCCAGTGTGCGGGAGGTGACGGACCGACCAGTACATTCACATTACACTCCCCGTTAAGTTGACCCCCTACTGTTAGACCATAGAAAAAGTTGAACTCTCGTATGAAATTGGCACGAGTTTGCATCTCATTCCCACTGACGGTCTTTCTAATAGAGCGGTTATCACGTATGGCCGGTAAAAATCTAAAGCTGCCATGGCCATCAGACATGTGGCTCAGTGTGGTGCCGAGGAATGGGCATAGAGCGTTCGTAGAGCATCCAGTATCTGCCCCAACGTCCACTTCCATGGGTATATCCCAAGAGAGCTATTGTAAGGCATTAAGAACAAGAACGCTCGTTCTACCATGCCCCAGTCTGCCCGGGCACAGCAAACGATCGCAAGTTCGTGTTCGATGTCCCGTATGTTGACGCATAATCGCGGTTTTTTCGTCTGAGGGTGGTATCGCACCCCAGGCTGGCGAAGCAAACATTTGCGGGGCTCTTCGTGCATGTTCCAGCTTAGTAGGGGCTTCATGGTATCCCATGGGTGAGGGGTGAGTAATTCATGGAGGATGAATGGCGCATGTTGAGGTGGTTGACGAGGGCTAAGGCTTGCCGTCAAAGGCGCATCTACCGGTCCAGGAAATGCGTAGTCGGTGAGAAAGAAGACAACATGACATGGTAGCTGGATGGGGGAGAGACATGCTGCGCACGAGCTGCATCTGTAAGTCGAAGCTTTGGGTTGCCAGGACGTAGACATCAGTGGTATCAACCTGAATGCGTTTGAAGATGGACACTAGAGGAGTGTCCATAGTCCTTTGAATATAAAGAGGATGGCCTTTGCAGCCACTGGGTCCCTGACAGATTGACGCCAACGAGCCACAATAAAGTACAACAGGATGTATAATAAATTCGACTTAAAGTGGCCCGAGTGCGGCGTCGACAAGTGCAAGCCAATCGAAACACGTCCAAACTCTCGGCGAAGTCCGAAAACGCTTCCACCGTGACGCTGAACGTTCAAACTAGACAACAACTCAAGTTTCGACCACCTAGCGGTACCGGGCGTCCTCTCCCGGGCGCGTGCATTTGTAACCCTCTATTCGACGGAACTCAAGACGTCTGATCATTGCTTGCTCAAGAAAAGTCTACCAAGTATACAGTTCAACGCCTGTTAACATGATTGCCACTGAAAAGAGAAGCAAACATCGTATTATAGGTATAGTACTGGCATCAGTCCCGCGGTCCCCTACTGTGCAACGGCTCTTGAACCATTCCTATGAGGGCCAACCAGTACCCTCAAATCACACTCCCTGTCGGTTTGTGTTTCAATCACTAATCCATGGAAGCAGCTGCACCTCCATAAAAGATTGACGCGCTTTGTCGTCTCGCCACCCAAGCCTATCACATCCATTGCATTGTCGTAATCCGGAATAGCAGGGATGAACCTGAAAGTGCGATCCTTACGGTCCTTCTTGACTTGCGAGGTCGAGCCGTGCAGAAAATACGCGCGGAGAGCGTCGAGGACCTGGCCAACTGTCCACTCCCACGGGAGGCGGCCCATACTCAGGTTGTAACACCGTAAAGACGCAAAGCATCGCCCAACTAGGGGCCAATCGCCCAGAGCACAACACGCTATGGCGCGCTCGTTCATGATATTTTTAACTATTTCGCAGGATTGCATCCCGGTTGCGTTGAGGCTATCATGTCGCCATCCAGGCTGGTTGAGAAGCAAGGTGCGTGGCTCCGAGCCCATGTCCCAGTGTACTGGCGGCTTTGTGGTGTCCCAAGGATGTGCGGCGAGAATATGGTGAAGGATGAAAGGAGGGTGGCGTGCTTGGCTACGTGGCTGGAGGCCAGCGGCTGCCACTGGTGCACCGTTCCTTCTAGGGAATGCAGTATCGATAGGCCAGACTGAGGGTGGCTGGTGTGGCAGCTGAACGAGTGCATAGTCATCAGCGCGGCGCGCATCAGAACACTCATGAGCTGAGAATTTGTCTGGCATGGATGCGGACATGATGGGTAGAGAAGGTGAGTGGGAGGTTGAGGATGAGTCCGAAGAGACTCGTACCAATGTTTATATCAAACGGGGACGGTCTAAGCAGGGGGCAAGCCAATGATGTGCAAAACGCGACACCTGACAATGCGTTCAACGTTGCGAAACACTTTGACACAAATGCTTGGACAAGAGTGTCTAAGGAGATTTGACAATGTCCCTTAATGGCCGCCACACGCCTAGACTTCCCGGTAAGTGGTGACCGAACTCAATGCTTGGGCATGGTGTCCGGCAATAGATATGTTTTTACTTTGAGAAAGCGAAGATCACAATCTTTCAAAATCTCAGGGGTTGTCGCCGGCTTTAGTTGAGAAGGTCGAAGCTGAAGCAGAAAGATGAAACAAGATTAGTTTTACTTAAGCAACTCATTTGTCTTTGGGGGATAACCTGAACAAAGTGTGGCACTGAGATCAAGAAACTCCTGAGATCTCCGACTGGCTCCGCAATCTTCAACGTGATGGAGCTGGGGCGACTTGAGTTTGGCCATGCCAGCATCTCCTGAAATTCGGGGAGGACTAAGCTGGATTCTGGAGGCCAATTTCACGTACAAGGATCGGCAGAGTCATACCTTCCAACTGGACTTGACGTTCTTGTTGACGTCACGCATGAACAGCATCCGAGAAAACAGCCTGGTGCTATCGCAAGAATACTAAGTCCCAGTTTTGACACTGCCGTTTTCTAGTACAGCGATGCCTTTCGGAACACCTCAAAGGCTTGGGGTAAGCTGAGGCACAAGTTGAAACGAGGTAAGGGAAATCGTAGACGGGTCTATGGTCTTGTTCTTATGTTCAAGGTGCTGCTGACTCCACACACGTGATCAAGATAACACGACGCGTCCAAGCAGCGCGTTGTTGACGCATGCTTGACCTCTTTGGGTTTGGTTCGGAATTCGGGTCCAAGCCGTTTCCTGGATAACACACTTCAACTTTCTTAAACATAGCTTTAACGGAAGGGTGACTACATGTCGTTTCCCAAAGGCCCACGATTTGTCACTGAAAAAGGCATGCTTTGTACCCGTATATGACTTGTCCTTCTGCTGAATGAAGTATAGAGAACGAAGTTCCTGGTCCGAATACTTACAACGTTCAAGGTACGTCAACAGAACCGTTTGCCTGACATTGATGGGGCTCATGATTGAGGCATAGATCCTCAGCCAGATGCATATAAACGTGGCGCATTCCTCGAGAAGACGGATCGATTCCTCAAGGACAAACCTTCGGAGGTACCAGGTACGCTATATTCTTAAAGTTACTGTATGACATGTTCTCATTTGCATACGACAGGACCTGGGGCACATACGGGTGACATGGCGACCAAGGGGAAGCTCAATGGCGACGCAAAGCGACAAACGAGCGAAGAGCGCTATGTTGCGCTCATGCGGAGATTGGAGGACCTGGAGAGAGTGCATGCGGACGACAAGAAAGCTGTGAGTAGCCATCTTTTCACCATTTATCTACTTCTAACAATTTCTGTAGCATGCCACCGAAGTGGACCGCTTGAAGTCAGAGCTATCTCGAGCCCAGAAAGCCAACACTGAACATGCCGATCGACTCCAGAAAGCCAAGAAACAAGAAGCTACCTTCGAAGCACGCATTCAAGAGCTGAAGAAGGCCAGCGTTTCTGACCAAGCAGAGCTCAAAGACCTCCGTCAAAAGCTGCGTGTATCCGAGCACGAACGTGCTCAGCTGGCAGGCGTGCAGTCGGATGCGGGGGAGGCGAAGAAAGCGCTTCAGAACATGGACCTGAAGCAGAGAGAGGAGCTGAAGGAGAGGGATAGGAAGATGGCAGAACTAGAGAAGGCGTTGGCGTCGGAGAAGAAGAAGCGGGCGATGCTGGAGACAAGTCTCAGCGAAGCCAAGGGCAGGAACGATGACGAGACCAAGAAGGCGCAGGAAGCTGCAAGTTTACTCAAACTCGAGCTCGACTCTGCAAAGCGAGATGCTGCACGGGCACGATCAGAGCTTCGGCAGCTTCAGGAGTCTGTCGAGGGCAACGAGGACGATCTTCTGCTGCAGCTCGAGAATCATCGAACCTTGCTTGCTCGCGTCGCTGACGAGTACGGTCGTCTTGCCAACGTCACTGTTGCCGCATCGAAGCACGTCGCAGCGAAGAATGAGAATGTCATGCTTCAGCTTCGTCTTGCTAGGCTCGAGCGCAAGCTCGCCAACTCGGAGGATCAGGTCGTCGAGCTGGCGCTCCTAATTCGTCAGACGAACGAGCAGAACTCCCTACTCAAGCGCCAACTCCAAGATGTAACTATCGACTCCGACCGGCTCTCTGGGACTTTCGAGGGCTCATCGACATTCGTAACTCGACAAACATTCGATAACGAGGCTCTAACACTGCATGAACAAGCAAACCTCCACTGCCAAGACATATTGCGAGCCGAGCTCGAGCTCGCTGCTACCCGCAGTACGCAGGATGCTTCCACTGCCGACTTCTATCGCATTGCCTCTGCCGATCTTCTTCTGCAGTATTCCATAATGGATCGCGTTCTTTCTCGAGAGCGTGATCTAGCAGACGACACCGACTTAAGACTCGAAGACCTACAGGCAGACCGAAACAAGTTGGCATCCAAGGTGGCCGAAATTGATGTAACTGCCGCAGGTATGCAGGAGAAGATCAATACCGCCGAACAACTGGCAGCGAATCTGAAGGCGGAGAAGGATGCTATCGAGCAGGATATGTCCAATTTGGAAGCGAAGGTGCAGCAAGAGGTGTCGCGATGCAAAGAAACTGTACATAAAGAGAAGGAGAAGGTTCAGAGACTCACAGCCGCATTGCAAATGGGCAAGACATCGGAGGAGTCTTTGACGGCTGAGATTGACCAGTACGTTGCTACCGTCACTTATATTGTCTTCGACATCTCATCCACTTTTTGTAGGTTGACCTCAGAGCTTGCTGAGGCGGAACGCTTCCAAGATGCTTACTATGGCCTGGTGGAGGAAGCTAAGGGGCTCGTCGCTCGCAATGACCTCGCCGAGGAAGAAGCTCAACGGCTGAGCAAGTTCAATGCCGAGATTCTGGGACACCATAACCCATCTCAGCGCATCATGTATGTCGACAGGATCCGCATGGAACTTGCCGAGACCAAGCAGGTAATCCTTAAGCGTCTCCCATCGTTGTGCTGATCTCTGACCCACTCAACCCGCGTAGAAACTCTTGCTGCTTACTCGAGACAGCGAGAACATGGTCGCGGAGAACGAGGATTTGCAAAATGAGCTGGACATGTACAAGTCGGTACACGTCCCTATTGGTAGCAAGCCACGAACGGGCGTGACGAGAGTTAGCCGTGCGCCTCTGGGCAACCACACTTTGAACGTCTCCGCGCCAGCCGGCGCTCAGCAGAATTCGCAAGGTCGATCATCATTAGTGAAGAGCAAGACTCGTGGTGTTGGTGAAGAGCTCGCTGGTATGCTTCCGCCGCTGAGTGATGTTGGCGAGATGACAGTAGACGAGTTGATGTGATGAGTATAGGCGCTGGCGCAACCTACGATCTACTGTAATGCCCATATATGTTCAATCTACAATTTTGGATGGCCTGTCATCGCCATACCCAGGATTTTCAAAGCTCCATGGCTCAATTGCCATGGCTGTACTGCAACTCACTTGAACGTCCATGAGCGTCCATGTCCCAAAACCTTCCTTTCTGGAACGGCAGTCATTGCCCGCCTCGCTACGGCGTCAACTGTGTGACAGCTTCAGGTTTGTCCCATGACCTCCCATGACAAACCCAACGAAGGGTCGGTGAATCTTGTCGGTGGGCAATCACATGATGAGATGCGCGAGCAACAACCCCTTGCAGCATCACTCTGGCATGTGTCAAGGTGGAAAATCAAATCTTACTCAAATCCAACGTCAAGCACGCGTGCCGTAATGTTCCTCGGTGTTCAATTTCGCGCGTCTCTTCCGAATAAGAAGCACCACTATCCCCAATTCTGAGACCAATAGTCTTTCTCCCTTAGACTTTTCTCCTCCAGTTTATTATCGCGACCATGAGCTGCCCAAATTGCATACAGGGAAGCACAATCCCCGGCACTCCGACCGGCTCGATCCAACAGCAGTATGATGGCGCCTACTTCGCAGCAGCTCCTGAGGGCAGCACATCCAAGAGCGCCGTGTTCTACCTCACCGACGCGTTCGGCTTGCCTCTCGTCAACTCCAAGATCATGGCCGACCAGATTGCCCAGAAGGTCGGTTGCGACGTGTGGGTCCCCGACTTCTTCCAAGGTACGCCTGAGATGGCCTTGTTTTCGCACTAGGTGTTTGCTTATGCTCTCAAACAACCAATTGTTTAAATCTTTAGGGAAGCCCCTGTTGGACGTGAACGGTATGGAGGCCCGCACCTTGTCGGTCAAGAAGGGCGGAACCTCCACTTTCGACTTCATGAAATTCATGTTCGCCCGTATGCCCACTTTGATTCTCCCCTTCTACCGCAACCGGCCCGCCGTTGTGGATCCCCGTGTCTCCTCTGTAAGTATGCTTTACATGTTGTCCGTATTCGGTGTCTGAGAGTGTTCTATGTCTAGCTGGCAGAGAGGCTGAGGAAGGAGAAAGGGTATGAGAAGATTGGCGCCGTTGGGTCAGTTCATAGCATATTCAATTTTTTTTATAAAAAAAAAAATAGGCACTGATAGTGGTTTTAGATACTGCTTTGGTGGTTCAATGGCGGCTCGCTTAGGCGCTACAGATGCGTTCAATAGCGTGGTGATAGTCCATCCCGGTGGACTCAGCGATGAGCAGCTGAAAGCCATCAAAGTTTGTCTACAATAATCAACAGATCAGTATCCATAACTAACAAATTCATTTGTAGGTCCCCACATCATGGGCGTGCGCCGAGGGTTCGTTTCTTTATGTGCTTCTCCGTTTATTAAATAGGGTTGACAACCCACGTAGAGGACCCCGGCTTCAAGCCTCAAATGAGAGCTAACGCGGAGTCGATATTCAAGGCACGTGCAGGGAAGCCTGATTTTATCGAGTACGAGTTCAAGGACTATCCAGGTAAGTGTCAGTATCGACGTGAATGTATGGTGTTCTGAACAGAGCGCTTTCACAGGAACCGCGCATGGTTTTGCAGCCCGCCCTGACTTGAATGATCCCGATGTGAAGGCCGGATACGAAGGCGCGCTGGAACAAGCTTGCAATTGGTTTAGGAATACTCTTCTCTGACCTACTTCACGTTTTCGTGGCACTTTTTGTTATGCTTTTTTACTCAAGTCACGACATTGACATGACATGCTCTTTAATACGCTCAGTACTTTACAGACAGTTCAGCCGGGATATTTCACAAATACAGGACCATCAAGTCTGTTGCAAGGAACTCCATCACGCCATCGTCTGCTGCAATCCAAGCGTCCAGCAGTTCTTTGAGCGCTGCGCGTCCCACTGTGGATTGACTGAGTTCTGTGCCGTGGAAGCTGATGAGCGTAGTCGCCATGTCGAGGTAATACGAGCGTAACTCTGCGTCATCAACGGTGAACGTGGGTGGTTGCGTCAAAGCACGAACGACGGAGACAATCTCCCTGTCGCGTAAAACCCCGCTCATATCAATCATTTTCTCAAAGTCGTGGGGGAAGTGGATGCATCGCCAGCCTCCGCGGTGGATTTGCTGGATGAGCTTCGAGAGGTCTGCAGCGTACACTTCGACACGCGTTTCGTCTGACACTTGCCCAGCATTATATTTCGCGAGATGCATCTGTCCCTTGATTCAGTAAGTGGCCTATATGAAATAACTAAGGGAGAGTTCACCTTCAGCGTGACAATCACTTTCCAGTACGCGACTCCGCCATTAATCTTGCTTCCTCCACGTGATAGCTTGCGCTCATGCTCCTCCGCTGCAGCAAGATATTCCTCCACCAACGGGACGGTATGTGCATCCAACTTGAAGGTGTCAAAAACAGCTAAGAAAGACGCTAGTGGTTGTGTTCCACGAGGAGCGCTTCGAGTAATCGGCTCGTACATCATTTCAGGTTCAAGAAGGAGTAGGCCGATGCGCTTCGCGACACAGTATATCTCAGACCTCAAATGTGCGGGGGTGTCGGGGTTTCGGAGGACTGGCAGGAATAACCACTGGATATTGCTCACTAAGATGATACCAAGCTCGTTGATGTTGCGCGTCAGGTTGGAGATGTTCCGAGAATAAGCGGTATCCTGTTTGGACAGCCATTCTTCTCCGTGGTTCTTTTTCAGCAATTCGCACAACGTGTTCACCCTGTCCCGCTGCAGGAAGCTCGCGAACCTCTGCTCTGTAAACCGCCAGACCCACCAGCTCCGTTCATCCACGATCTCGTCAAGTTCTGGGCATAGATACAAATCATACTGCTTGATTGTCTGCGTCAAGACAGTCCACGCCGGTGTGTCGATGTATGCATCTCCCTCAATCGTCTTTTCAAGCTCGGAGTCACCCCCGCTCTCGCGCGCAATCGCAGTTCGCATCCATCGGAGCCGCTTGTTGACAAGTTCGGCTAGGATGGGCTCGACGACGTGCTTCGTCCAAGCCTTACGAACCCTCGCGGAGTTTCCCAGTGACACGTCGAGTAGCAATGCACACGCAATCGGCAGCTCATCGGAGATCTCAGGCATGGGCCCCGTTCCCTCGCGCGCCGCGCGCCAGTCCTCCTCGCTCAGCGGTGTTGACTCCTCGAGCCGCTGCGCGAGCGCGATGAATGGCTGGATGACCGCCCACGTCTCGGGGACATCCTGCGACTGAACAAACTGAGGGCTGGAGATGACAGCCTCAACGAGAACCTCCACGACGTAGGAGGTAATGGCCGGTGATGTTTTCAGCAAGCCGGAGCTCGCGAGATCTTCGATAAAGGACGTGCTCAGGAGCCCGTCTTGTAATGCGGGAAGGAGGAGCTGAATGAACATTTTTTGGGTGCTCATTTTGATGCTAGGCCCTTTGTCTTCTTGCTTCTCGGTCTGGGGCCTCGTTTCGTCGCTGGTCGCCTTAGCATGTTTGGCCGCCTGTATTTCTGCTGCAGCTCTTTCCACTGCCTGCTTGATCTTCTCCTGGCTAAATTCAAACAAACTTCGGGCAAAAACCTTCGCCTCAGCTGGCCGACGGATCTTGAGCGCCTTAATTGTAACGGCTTGCCGGTGCCAACTAGACATACTCGTATCCTCAACAATGCTGAATGCCTCCTTTGTGCCCAGACGAGGGTCTCCGAGTCTGCGAACAGTACCGAGCAGAGCCATACGTATACTGATCTCATGCGGTTCAGACATCTTTTTCGCGAACACTGCGTCAAGCAGAGTCTGAACATCACTTGGGTGTAAGTGTGGGAGTGTCTTCTCGAGGAGGGAAATCGGCAACGTCGTATTCGATCCATGGAGCTTCATGAACTGTTCTGACATGCGGACGTGACGCAGCGCATACGTGACGGGTAAATTCGAGGAGGCCTCTATCTGGTGAGAGTCGGAGGAAACAGTGATCCCCAGAACAGAGGCAATCCATGTGGTGGCGAGTACCGTGAGCTGGTGTGCTGCGTGTAAACAACCTCGTAGATGATATATTTCATCAACGTTAGGAAGAGGCAATTCATGATTTTGACGCCCGGTGGGCCGACGGCGCAGACCGAAAATAGTTTTCAGGGTATCGACCTCTTTCTGGTCAATGCCGCGGCGGAAGTTGTCTTCGCTAGGATTCAAGAGGATGCTGTCTCTTGAAGCACTCGGGAAGGCGGGGAGGTATGTGCGATTCACTTTATTTAGCCTTGTGGTCGACTGAATGAGCTGGAAGGTGCTGTCGTGTTGTAGGACGGAAAAAGAAGAATTCGGGTCCATATGCTTGTACCCATCGAGTAGCTCGCGGACCTTTTGAGCTTTTCGTTTCTTGGTCGTATAATCGACGTACACGCGGACCGCATTGTCGAACTGTCCTGGATGCCAATCGTATTTATCCTCCACATCGTCCAGTGTGGTGGCGGGATCCTGAAACAGTATGTTGTCCACATAGTTCTTCCACCCGGGCGCCAGCTCAAGAGCATCTTCGAGTCCGACCTTGTCGATCTGTCCACGGACGTTGAAGCTGAAAGGTAGGTACGAGCGTGTGCTGTGCTTGCGTTTGTCTCTTCTCCTCTTTATCTCCTCTGCGCTTGGAGATGCGAATCTCTTGCGAGCTTCCCGATAGAGATCTTCACGATGCTGTCCTAGCTTGTCGAGGAATGGGAGAACGACTGGAAGATCTTGTGAGAGTACATTGAGACTACTGAAGGTCTCTGGGGCATTACACATCTCATCAAAACCGAGTAACTGTGGATACTCGTGAATCCTGAGCTTCTCCCATTCTATCCATAGCTCTACAAGAGGGTTGAACATCGCTTGGCGGAGGCTGACGGCATCGGAATAGAGGATAGGGTATATCTTTTCAACCAATTCTGGAGTATCTTAATGAGGATAATGCTCCCATACGCCTCAATTACGAGAGACTTACCGCAGCGCTTCTGAATAATAGTGCATATATGATTGCCTATAGGCATATACTCTGTCATAATCGTCTTCTGATGGTCAGGCTCTTTCGCCCATGTCCTAATCAGGTCGATTCCTATCGTCACTGTGCGATTGGTGACTCTGCACCACTCCGCAACCGCGTCGACGTTGAAGCATTTCTCCATACCAGCGATCGGCACAATTCCACACGGGCCCGCGACGAGGGCCTTGAAAGAGGAATAGCCGCCTGATCTTCCAAACAAGTCGTTAAACAGGCGTGGCGATGTCTGTGGATCCTTCGCGTAGCGTTTAAATGCCCAGTCAAGCGTCTCCACGAACTCCGTAGGGCTCTGCGCAACCGTAGACAACGCAAGCGCGCCGATAGTAAGTGTATAGCGCTGCTCGCGACTCTTTGACGCGCGCCTCCTCATGGATTCGACCACTTTCGCTACATCCGGATCCTTTTGAGCGACATTTGTAGCGCCGAGCCGGAATAGGGTTCGGGAGGAGCCAACGTGAAGTGCGTGCGGTAAATGCGAATCTGCTTCTGCGCTACGCAGAGCACCTTCCAACTTCGAAAAGTTAGCGACTGAGTCAGGGTAGCTCCAAGGAATGCCAGAGCGATAGAAGAAATCGTCATGAGCTCGTCTGCCGATTCCAAGTATCAGTGCCTGATCATCCGGGTCGAGAGTCACGACGACATAAGAAGCTACTCGCGGGTACCGCTGGCGGTCTTCGGGCATTTCCAGCAAACTGTTGCCAGTTTTGGCGTAATGGATGGTATTAATGAGGGAGAGACGGGCAGGACGGGGGATAATGCGAAGCCACTCCATAAGTTGTTGCAGGAGGCCCTCGCTGGGGACCGAGAGGGAGCGAACGGAGTACTGCATGAGATTGAAGATGGCGATCAAAAACCCAGTCGGTGTCTGTGAGCTATCGAAGGAGTGAAGTCGATCTGCTACCATGGGCTCCCATTCTGCAGGGCAGCTAGCATACAGCCGCCGTAGTGCGAGATTCACCAGAGGAGCCACACTATTCGCCGACCAGGGCCCCTCTCTGCAGACCTCCATAAGCCGGGTAAGAGCCTTGCAATGAGCCAACCCAACGCGGATAACATCCTGAGGATCTTTCTGCCTCCTTAGCAAGTAGCTGAGCCACTCCACCAACGAGTTTAGACCGATTACGTTGCCAGCTGTGACATGTTCGGTATGTGTCGCGTGATCAACCGAGGCGTATTTCTCGTAGCGCTGTAGGAAAACGGCGATAAACTCCGGAGTATCTGGGTCTTTAGAGCTCATCAATCTCTCCACGAGCCACCCAAGTTTACCGCCGCCGCAGCTAGGGAGCGTGGCAACTACATCGGTGTAACCCAAGGAGGGCTCTGAGGTAATCGGGCCGCCAACATGCTTCAGCACTATGTTCCGTATAATTTCTGGACGCCTTCTCGGCAATGTCCACCAGGCTGCACTGGAGAGGGGAGAGTAGTGCTTGATGATGGTCATGATGACAGGCTCTGAGGCGGCGCAAACCAGGTGGTGAATTGCAAGCCTAGCATACTGGGAAAGGGAACATTCTTCGGCGGTCTTGTTCGTAAGGAAAGGGTATATTTCCTGCAAGAGCCGGTCTATGTATCTCGAAAGCGCAGTGGTTATCTTGACCTTTACTCCAAGGGTCTTGAACAGGCGCACAGTCGCATAGTGTGGAAGATCGTCTTTGACCAAGCTGACGACCGTTTGAAGTTCGATATTCTCTGGGCTTGCAATCCAATGCGAGGCGAGCACGTCGATACTCGCATTCACGATCAAGGGTTGTCGAGAGGCTCGCGCGGCGGATGTAGCCCAAGAAATGGAACTCGATTTCCTCAGGAAGAAGGCGTAGTCATGCGGAGTCACGTATAGGGAAGACTGGGAAAGGGCGTTGTCGAGCTCTGCGGGTACGGATTCGCGCTGCTCGGTGCTGGCCTCCGACCAGTACGTAGAAAGTCTCTTTCTCCTTGACGGCAGGTCGAGATCATATACGTCCTTGAAAAGCTGGAGCAGTGGGGTCTCCATTTCGTACGCAGCACTAGTACGCAAGAAGACGCAAGATCAAGTCGAACTCTTATTTATGAGATTTCCGGACAAGACGATGTGCGACTCACCTAAACGTTTGAACGTTGATGAGCAGCTGGCCTGTAGCGCTCCAGGAACCAGGTCGCGGTCCTGTGAGGAAATGATTGTGACCAGTTGACTCAACTCCACCATCTCACATGGGTGAACTGCCACGTCTGCCCATGGAGGCTATCCGTTCCTGATATTTGTCCCTTACTATCCTTGCATCAGCTCATTTGTTAGCTTACGCCGGTTTGGCTGTTACATCCCGTTCTCGCGTGTATGTCCGAGGTTGCTGTGTCTGGTCCGAGTCGGCGACGCAAGAGAAGCATGTACATCTCAGCACAGCCACGTCAGTAGCTAAACAAACCTTTAGGCGCTTAGGCGCTTAGCGCTTAGCGCTTACCGTTTAACGTTTAACATCCTTGCACACTTATCCACCCTCTACCAATCGACGAGCGGGACCGATTTGACCAAGATCATCATATTGACATCATGCACCATGTCCTTGCTGTAACCGAGCCTTTCACTGACATATTTGATTACCTCCAGTCCCGGGACGAAAGGAACCTCAGGTGCAGTACTAATAAGGTCACGTCGAACGTGCGCTTGACACTCTGGGATGGTGGACTAGGATTAAGTCACGTAGAGTACAAAATCGTCACTATAAGTAGCTAAAGACAGCGACATGGTTGGGAGACTTCGTACTTCAACATAAACGTTCCAGCGTGCCACCACCGTGAAGCGACGCGAACGTCAACTTCCTGCAGCCGAAGCTCATGACTCCAACAGTCGGAGGGCACGCCCATTTGTGCGCTGCCAAAATGGAGAAGAGCAAAGAGAATCCCCATTCAAACCCTCATCAAAGCTCCCCCTCGCCTCGGCCGCCCCACCCAGGTCCCTCCGATTCACCCTTCGCAACGACCCCGCTTGCCTCCCTAAACTTCTCCGCAAGGCACACCTCGAACATGCCTGCCGCACGCAGATTGTCGACCGTCGGCTCCGCGACGCCGTCGAGGCGCTGGCGCAGCGGCGGGAGACGGTCCGCGAGCCAGAGCATCTCGAGGATGCCCGCGCCGCGCACGGCGGGGTCGTCGTGCGTCCGCACACCGGCAATGTATACCGCGAGGACGAGCATGATGAGCGAGGCAAAGAATGCGAAGAGGAGCTGTGTGGTGGGTGGCGTAGTTTGTTCAGGTTAGTCGTGAGGTAGAGAGGGAGTAAACATATAAGGAGCACTTACGGGGAGAAGGTTGATCTACGAGGCGATTGAACAGTACATGTCAGGATTTTGGTAACATTCTGAGTGAGGGGATACGCACATTCAGTCGCCACGCCAGCACATCTTGGTGCACATCAGCAGCCCCGATATCGGGCGTGTACCCACCATCCGTGAGCTGACCCGCTGTTCGTCGTCAACATCTCATCTTCTGGCTTCTGGTAGTAAACATAGGCGCTGCGTACCAGTCCACAACAGCCCCGCGACATTCTTCGCAAGTCCGCTTTGCAGCGCTTGCAGATCCAGCGTGAAGCTCGGGTCGGGCGGGAAGGAGGGGATGATTCCCGGCGTCAACAAGACGGAGGGCGTGTTATTCCAGATGCCAAGGTCATACATGAGGTAGCTGCACGACGACGGAATTTTTAAATGACACTCAACAATGGCGAAGAAAGAAGTGCGTACTAGTCAAGCAAGGAAATACTATAGCTCTCGTTCTCTAAATCCGTGATCGTGATGTTCGACTTGGGCGCATTGTTCAGCGCCAGCTCGAGCTACAAATGTCAAATAACACACACACATCAGTAAACCGTCATCGCCCTATCTGGAACATCCATTCCTATACAAACTAAGACTCACCCAGTCATGCTGTGGACTCGGATTCGACGTCTGCATATTCAACCCGTCCCATGCGTACACCTTCCCCGCGGGGAGACTCTGCCACTCCTTGTTGACGCTCACGCTTGGCACGTCTCCGACGAGCTCGTTGGTGCGCACGTTGATCTGCACGGTCCCGTTGGACGTGACCATGCCGCAGCCAACCCAGTACGTCGTGACGGTCTTGTTCTTAGACGCGCCGCTGTCAGAGTAGGTCCATTGCATGGGGACGCCAAAGTTTTTGGAGAGTGAGGTAGCGGAGGAGGAGGAGGGTGGGGATAGACTGGTCGTTATGGTGTATACGATGTCGATCTGGATGGAGTAAAAGTATTGAGTGGAACGACAGCGATGAGAGAACGAGGTGGTAATATCGGAGAGTGAGCTCACCGTAGGTCCATTTATCATATCCGTTACAATGGAGTTGTACAGAATCTGATCCGTCCCTTTTCCCAACCACCGCACGTCAGTTCCTCAGCCATCGACGATGTATCTGCATAAGCAACTCACAAGGCGTGACATACGGCCCAGTCTGCTCGGCCGTCAAGTTGTCCCACTCGAGCACCGTGCCTGTCTGCACAGTTGCCGACCCCGTCTGGCCCGTCTTGATGGTCATATTCCCCGCAGGAATTAATCCACAGTTGAACCCGATCGTTGTCGCATTCACCTCCGCCCTCCCCGCATTGTCCAGCGTGACCGCGAGCGTGTCGTATAGCGTCGCCCCGCTCAAGCCCTTGCCGTTGTACTGCCCTATCGTGCTAATCCCGGGTGCAAGCCCGCCAATCCTCTGCCAGTCGGGCCCGCCGAAGCCCAGCGAACTGTAGCCGGTGAGGTTAGCGCTCGGGCCGGGCCAGCCGAGGCGCGTGGAGACGGTGGCGGGCGTGGAGGCGTTGAACGTCTGGAACTGTATGATCGAGCTGGAGGCGATGTGCAGGACAAGCACGCAGAGGAGGTAGAGGGCGATACAGCAGGTGCTGATAACGCTAGCGGGCAGTTGGAAGTTGTTCCATAGCCCAAGGAAAGCGCTACCGAGGCCGAACCACGCGCCGGACGCGTCATAGAGGGATGTGAGCTTTTCGCGTCGTTGGAGGATGCGAAGGAGGCCGAGTCGCTGGGTGATAGCGACGAGGATTGTGGAATAGATCTACGGGGAGAGGGTCAATAGGCAACGCGAGGAAATAAAGGAGGCGCGCACAGTGTAGAAAGCCTGCATAGACGCACTAAGTACGATTGGAAGCACATTGTGGCTCTCGGTGATAGCCACGACAGTGCGGTGCTCAAGGTGGGGAACGTAGATCCCGATCAAGATTATGTGCACGATAAATAACAGGAGATGCAGGCCATGGCAGAGCCAGCGAAGACTCCCGAGTGTGAGCCCGAAAAGTGTTGTTTTTTGCTTTGCGTTGGTGTTGACTGTGCTGGACGAGCCTTGCGGAGGATATTTTAACATAGGTTCCGACCAACCGTCGTCGTTGGGCCGTCTGTTAGGCTGCAGGAGGGCTTCGTCGGATATGTCTGGCCCGTTTGACGCGTGGTGTCGGTGGAAGGACATGAAGAGCAGATACAAACGAGGTCAGACAAGACATAAACGCGTTTTTGTGCCAAGCTCAGGGAGGGGAGAGACTGGGGCTGTGATTGTCGTCGCGACATGTTTGAGTTAAGGCACAACAAGTGCCAAAGTGGAGTTGACGCTCGGCAGTGTCAGTGGACCGTAGGAACAGCACAGCCACCAATTGATAAGCGCCCACTGACATGCCTTCCGTGTCATCGGATCATAAGCTCTCTCAACACGAGTCAAAGAGAGGAACCATTCGTAAAGCCGGATGTATGTCTGGGTAAGATCAGGGACGGCCGTTCAACCGTGTGTCAGGTGGCAGGGTTTAACGCAGAAACATCATGATCACAAAGCTTTGTAGGCTCTGAAGATCTGAAGAGTCAATATTTCATGATTTACATAGTACTTGGTCAGAATGAGTCAAGCAAGGTCAAGCAGATGCAAGCCATGTGAACAATCAAAGTCTTCTTCATGCAGCGCCCATGGTCCTTGGGCGGTGATGTTACCAATCTCATCGGAGATGGCCACGTAGGGGCCGGGCTCTCTCCAACTCGTAGCCATCTCCATTACATCTGGACGGCTCACCACCTGGGATACGTACCATAGGTGGCTCTCCGTTTGCGCAGTGAGTCACACTCATCCATCCTCCGCAGAACAGTCATTATTCAACCGATTGAGCAAGAAGGGTCGCTCAAGATGACAACCCCTTTGCTCCAACTGTTTGAGGAGGTGTACGATTCTCATCTTCAGCTTCGGAGGCAGAAACTCTCAGCGTTTTGGGCAAACCTCAACACTCAAGAACGCGATGCCATTCCTGTTCAACTTGACGCCGCCCTCTCTCAAGCCTCACTATATGTGACACCTCAGGACTATGCCTTCCTGCTCAAAAGATCGAACTCGACATCATGGGCGATAACGGCTGCCAAATCATCGCCATTCCCTCCAGTGGTAAACGCAGCCATTGATGTTCTTACTGCCTCGTGGATTACCTCCCCTGGTAGCTGCGATGTGCAGGCGATCGTAAGCTTGATCAGGAACGATCTCCCCCAATACGCTACGGCGCGTCTTCTCTCTTCTCTTGGTCTTAGAGCCAAGGCAACTGCGGCTCAATCTACCCTGGTTGACGCCCTTTTACGCGAGATCTACCCCTTCCTTACTGACAAGACCACGGAGACTTGTCCACTCTCGCAGTACGCCCGGCTTGCTATACGCAATTTGGTTCCAGCTGCCTCAGATCCCACCCTTCTCGCCATCCTCTCCCGCTGCTCTTCGCAATGGGCTACGGAAAACATATGGCAGCAGCTTGCTGAAAAGCGTCCCAATCTTGTGCGCAACATACTTCTTAAGCACGTCGGCGCCCCTATCACTTCAGAACACCTCGAGAACTTGCCCGACATTGTCGTTGACCAGCCTGAAGCGCTCTACAACACAGTGGACGTGCTCATGCGGGCAAAGGACGGCAAGGGCCCAGAGTTTCTCGCTACGTTTTTGGAACACTACATAAAGTATGCTTCCGTGGACGAGCAGACCCATTCTTCGCGAGTTGTTGCCAACGATGTCATTGATCTTGCGACATTGACGGGCTACATTGCATACTTGCTCAAGAAGCAGAACACACCCAACGATGTCATCCGCGTCGGACTTTCGCAGTGTAAAGCCCTCGCTCAGCTGCAGAAGGTGCTCAAGGAAGAAGACCAGTCCGCTCAGGATGCAGACAACCTCGTCAAGGTCGCCCTCGAGCGGTATGCCAGATCGCCAGAGGAGTGGAAAACCATGAAGGCAGATGAGCTTCGCTCCTTTGAGCAGACGGAGACACCAACGGGCCTTCTCGTCGCCATTTTCAGGCTTATCAGTTACACGAAAGATGGTCTATCCGAGAGCTGGTATGGTGACCTGATGACACCCCTCACCCATTGGCTCAACAGCATCCCGCGCCCCGCTCGTCTACCGCTCATCAACGCATTGCACTACGCTAATACTGGGCACGACCTTCTTACCCTCCCAGCGGAGACGCAGGGCTACCCGCGCTTCTCCTCCGTGCTTCTCGCGATGCTCGACCCAGGCCATGTTGCTACGATATGCGCGATTGGGTTGCGTGCGCACTCAGCATTTGTAGAGCAGAGCAATATGGACTGCTTCATCCCGAAGCCGTACTTCGCGTTCAGTTCCATCAACGGCGCGCTCTTCACAGCTGGCGTGCAGGCGGACCTGCCGCATGCACTGCAGGTCGGCGCAAAGCGCTCAGTATTCCGCCTCGTCAAACCCGATCAGGTCGTGCACAACGACGACGCCGTCGCGAGCGCCATCGAGCTGCTCAAGCGCAAGGCGTCCAAAAGCCGTGAGGAGCGGTACAGCCTCTCGTATGCGGCGATCGTCCTCGCGTGCATCGCCCAGAGTCCGGCGCTGTTTGTGGACACGCTCAGCTGGGCGTTTACGCGCTACGCCAAGGACCCGAACACGGGCCCTGAGCTGTTCTCGGCGATATACGTGGTCAGTGCTAAATTTACGAGGTTCATAGCGGGCCCTAGTGGCTTCAAAGCAGTCGGTGGGCTTCGCGAGAAGCTGAACTTGGATGCGGTAGCTGCATGGTGTAGGTGCACAGAACAGTCGATCGCTGTCGCGCTGGACCTGCTGAAGACCTGGATCAAGGAACCAGATCGTCAGTCTTCGATCAAGTACGACTATCAGACAGTCGGGAAATTCATCGTTGCCGTTATGGAACAACGGTTTGGTGAGCATTCCTTGGCCTGGGGGCTGTGAGATTGCAAAGGTTTTGCTAATCTTTGTTGGCGCTAACAGCGATGATTGGGAAGATATATCCTACACTATGTGGTGATGAAGGCCAGCTACGCGAAGTTCTGCTCGCACCTCTTCTCAAGCATTGGAGAGACTGGGAGAACTTCAAGCTCGTCGACTACCCACATGTCATAGAGTACTGTACCACGGATTACAGCCGAGGCATTCCATGGATACTCGACGAAATCCGCATCGATGCGAGGGTGGCAAAGGTCATACTCCCGTTCCTCGATGGCTGGGGAGAACAGCGTGAGGAGCTCTATCGGGAAGCGCGCGCAACCATGAAACCGCTGGACAAGGAAGAGACGAGGAGCAGGAGAGAAGAATCAATCGGTCAAGGGACTTGGCGGTCGTTCTTACCCGTACGGGTCATCGCTGATGGCAACCTTGATAGCGTTGGCGGCGAGGATGGACTCGACTTGATGCCGGGTCTGAAAAGGTACATTGACGGTGTTTTGCTTCAGGACCCCAATACCAAGCTCGACGACGTGGATGACAAGCTCGATTGGCATCCCGAGAAGTACAAGGGCGCCCTTGAGGCATACATGATGTTCACAAACAAGAAGAAGCACGTCGCGTTGGTCCGCTCTTTGTTGGAGAAGTACAAGCAGGTGGATCCGAATCCGTCGCTTATGCTCTTGCAACACCCCGGGATCACAAAGTTGTTGTGGCTCGATGGCGAGCTGAGCAGAACAAAGCAGGCGTTCTTGCCCAGGTTCCCCGGTCCGGTGGGAGATAGCTTTACGCATGACCCCTCTGAGGCATCACTTCCGATCCTATATTACGAGGATGAGCTACCTACGACCATACTTGCTTTGAATAGTCAGCAGCTCACACGGCAAACTCAGTACTCACTCATCGTTCCCTACTCGAGGGAGCTAGCTCTCAAGCGAAGCTCCCTCCAGACCATCCACCAGTTCACGGTGTTCGTTATTGGGTGGCTTCTCACCACGATACAGGCCGAGATTCCCGGTCCTCCCCCGGATCCAGCATCAACGAGGTTGGATCTCCCTGCGACTTACGCGCTTTATCACGCCCGCGTCTCGCAGGACCTCGTCGACTCATACGGATCGATGATCGTTCTCCCCGCGTGGCTCGCCGAGAAGACGATCTCGCGACTGCACCCGTCCGACATCCAGGTCCTCCTTGACGCGGTCTTCGCGGAGGAGACGTCCGATCCGAACATCATCCGGATGCGCATGGCACTGCTCGGTGCCGTCCGGCGGCTCGGCAATCCTGGTCTAGGGAACAAACAGGCGTGGGCCGTCGTAGAAGACACGACGCTGTCGAGCTGGCACCGCCACGCTATCACGAGCGGGTCGCTCAAGATGCGCAGGCCAGAGGAAGCGAGAGTACTTGCGCGGAGTCTGCTTGAGTTTAGCAGGGAGAAGGCTGAACTGGGCAGACAGAGGGCTGCTGAGGCGAAGGCGCGGGCGGAGGCCGCTGAGGCTGCTGGAGAGCCTCTCAAGGAGACGCCGCAGGAGGAGCCGACGATCAAAGTCAGCACGCAGAAGGCATTTGTTCAGCTCTTCCTTCCTGCTATTCAGTGTGGCATCTTTCCCGTGTCGTTCATCGAGGAGCTGGTGCAAGCTGGGCTGTTCAAGACACCTGCGAGCGTCACGTCCTACGTTGTGCAGGTCCTCGTCGACGTCGTACTGGCCCGGCTGGTAGCACAAGGAGACGATCCGAGTGTGTGGACAGTCCTCGAGCCGTTCATCGAGCTCGCGCAGCGACTTGAGGAGAGTACACCGCTCTCCGAAAAGGGCTGGGACGCCGCCCGACAAGGAACGAAGGACATGCCAGAGATCTCGGACGAATTGCCTATCGCGCAGGCGCTGCTTGGAGCTGACCTTGGAAAGCCAACGAAAGGCCACTCGCGTATCTACCGCGCGTGGGTGAAGCACGTCGTCGAGCCAGTCTTGGCTGAGCTGGTCAACAAGAGGCTGTATTGGCTCAAGACGGCGATTGCTCGGGAGAGTGGCGAAGTCAGCTCAGATCTTGAAAAGAATTTTACAGGCGCATACATCGACACGTCTGCTCGAGATATCGTCCTGGATGCCGTGCGGATCTATGGGTCATTCTTCACTCCAGAAATCATTGGCGCTGCGGCTGACGACGAGCGGAGCTGGTGGGTGTGGAAGTTCATGGAGCAGAGGATCACATGTTTCCTCCACCGAGACCAGACGTATAAGATTTTCAAACTTCTGGAGGAGAAGCATGGAGAAGACTGGCTCCAGAAGAAGGCGACGCACTATCCCAAGAATATCGCGTCGCTGACGGCAACATCTGTTGAGGACGGCTTCATCGTTGTGGATGTCAGGGCATACCTGCTTCCCGTGCTTCGTAATCCTGACGCACCTCCAAACTTGAAGAACAAGATTGCTGCTATCGTGAAGCGCGTCGGTCTGCTTGTGCTTGAGCCGGGGAACATGCAGGAGCCTGTGACAACAAAGTCTCCCCGTGGAATGCCTCCTTTCGGCTCTTTCCTGACACTCCTGAACAACGTCGGCACGGACGTGGATACTGCTCCGATCGTCACTGACTGGCTCGCAGCTGCAGAGGAACATGAACGTCGGCTCTCGAGTGCGAGTGGAAAGCCCAGAGGCGGTGTTGCCTACTGGAAAGTCATTGCTGAGCTCAAGGTGTGTTCCTGCATATCCTGATTAACGCAAGGCCGCTTTCGCTAACCTAAGATGCAGCTGCGACTAGCCAGATTCAACGCAAAGCAGGCGCCCGACGGAGAACGGGTCAACGTCTACGTTTCTGCACTCGCCGATATCATCCGAGAGGTCCATCAGCGCCGCTGGCGATATATCCAGTTTCCTACAGCCTTTGATGGACCAACTAACACGAATGGAATATTGCACGAGGAAGAGGTCGTCGCTGTCGTTGGCAAGTTGACTCAGGCGCCGTTGTATCCCAATAGCGACGATGACGATGAGCTACGTGCGCTCTTTACTGAGACGGCCGCGGTGCTCATCCGCTCGCATGGGCCAAAGATCAACAAGTCGCCCGCGGGATATGCGGCGTTGCGAGATCTGATGGACTTGTGGAATGCTGGAGGTGACGAGGTTCTGGAGCTCCTTGCTAAGGAATTTTCGGTTTTGTATCTGAAGTAGATGTATATTAGCGCTTTCGCGGGACATTGATACTTTCTATTAGCATCTGTATGTCATGCTTACAGGAGTTTTTCTTCGTAAACTCGCATGCGAGCTCGCACATCGACCTGTGTAATGAGTTGAAGGGGTGTGCAACCTTGAAATTGTGTGGCTGTACCGGCAAACCTCCCCCGGCGTTTAGAAATCTCGCCGCCTCTTCACTCCTCCCGTCCCGAGTGCCGTCGCCCGAGTCAACAAGACGACGTTTGCTGACTGAGCTAGGCGATGCTCGCTGACTACAGTTGACGCGCGCATATAAATCACAGCGAGCAGCTGTACGAAAGAGACAGTATACTACCATCCTCAAATTCTCACTCTTGCAATGGCCATCACCAAAACACCCCAGCTCCTCGTCGTTGGCTTAGGAAATCTTCCTTATCCGAATACCCGCCACAGGTGCGCCCCCAAACCGCTCTCTCAGTCGTCCTAACCGCGAACAACGTGTAGCGTCGGCCACCTGATAGTCGATGCACTCTCCTCGAGATATGGCATCCCTCTCGCGACCAACAGAGCCATGGGAGGTCTCTTCGGCCGTGGTAGCATAACACTTGGAGAAACGCCCGTCTCTCTTCTTCTCCTCAAACCCAGTGCGTGCATGTAGAAATTCCTCCGCCCACGCCAGGCGCTGATCCACTTGCCACTTCCCTCTTAGAACCCCTTATGAACATCACCGGCCCCGCAGTGGCCTCGGCACTCCGAAACACTGTCCAAAGCCCCAACTCCATGGTGGTGATCCACGATTCGCTCTCCCACAAGCCATGCGTCCTTTCGCCCAAGCTCGGGGGGTCCGCCAACGGACACAATGGCGTACGCAGCGTCATCTCTGCCCTGGGCAACAACACGGACTTCCACAGGCTTCGTATAGGGATAGGCAGAGGCGGACCGGACGTCGCGGACTATGTCCTCTCAAAGCTACCTCCTGAGGAGCGTCAGTTCTGGTGTGGTGAGGGGCTGGACCTCGTGAGCGGGGAGCTTGCACGGCTTGCAGCTCAGCGGTCACAGGGCTGAGGATTCTGCTGAGTTCTTGATGCCTCTCACGCCGATGCCGTATATAAGGGCTATCGATTCGCCGCCTGGCGGCGAACACGGGGAAGCAGATTTGGTCCACCAAGTCAGTGCCCTATCCCGATCCGCCTACAACGACCGGGCGATCAAGCTCAAGGCGCCCACGAGTTTCGCTGGTTCAAACTGAGACATGACACAAGATGACACGCGACGTCAACTTGAATAGACTTGAGTGGGCAAGGTTTGACAGGGGCGGGCAAGAGCGTCGGTGTGTTGTAGTCTGTTGTAGTGTGCCGTGTGGTGGTGTTCCTGGCGTAGAGTGTGGTACATAAGGGTACATACGGTCCCGATACTGGAGTTTGTGCTGGCTTCTACAAGCCATCAATAATAATGCGAAGTTGTATCTTCTGGACATTGGCTGGCATTGAGTTGCGGGCTTGACAAGCCAAGGAGAGCACACGAGACCTTTTTTTATCGTGGAGATTGCCATGTGGTGCTTGTTGCTTCCCCAGTGCCGACGCTGTTCGGACAAGTCACTGGCAGGCTCTGGCAGGTCATCAGACGATGCCCGCGCTGTGATCTTGATTCCAATTTCCACAGTCATATGCGTGTACATTCTATGTCTCGTTTCATAAATAGACAGCTCACTTCGCTTGGGGATGTCTCTTGAACGCTCGACGGACGACCACCTCCATCAAGATGGGGTTCACCACCAAGCTGTTCGCCGGCGCTCTTGCGGCTGGCCTCGCTGCCGCACAACCGTCCCCTGACGTTCAGAATAGGATTACCGCTGCTATCGAGGCAGCCGCGAAGGCCAACTCGACGGCCGACCTCGACTACACTGCGTTCGTCAACCCGTTCATTGGCACAGGTAAGTGCCAGCCACTGCACGTCCTGCTGTCGCGTTGATTTCAACGTGAACAACCTTTAGACTCTATCAACTACGGTGATGTCTGGTAAGTCGAAAACTATCCGAAGTTTATCCTGCCCGGTCTGAACGTCATGTAGTCCTGGAGCCGCTGTGCCCTTCGCCATGGTAATTCACCACGTATCCATCAAGAATCAGGGATTATTGACGTTTACATCGCGCAGGTGCGCGTTACCGCCGACTTCACAGGTTACGCTCCGGCTGGTACGACGCGTCCCAAGTCTGAAAACACGTCTCGCGCTGACTGTATGCACCATTTCTTCAGGTTACATTGATGACGCGACCCAAAAATGCCGTGGCCTGAGCCCCATGCACGACAGTGGAACGGGCTCCTCCCTAGGCACGTACGGCAACTTCGAGGTCATGCCCATGCTCTGCCCGGGCGGGTTCGATACGTGCGAAACCACACTACTCGGGCGTGAGCAATATCGCAAGAATAATACCGACGGTACGCTCCAGCCATGAGCTCATAGGAGCTCTTGTGGAGTGACCCCTAACCTCGGCGTAGACGCGTATCCCGGCTACTTCTCGCTCACGCTCGACAATGACATCCAAATGGAGGCGACGTCGACGCGTCGCGCGGCGCTGGAGCGATTCACGTTCCCGAACGGCACCAAGCCGTACTTCACGATTGATCTCGCGAACGATCTCCCTGCGTCGTTCAAGGGAGGAGTCATGGACATCGATCCGGAGAACTCGCGCATTACTTTGAGTGGCCACTGGGGCTCTAGGTAAGCACCGGGTATGCTTAACCCTTGCACGCGTACTCATGCACCCTACCACCAGCTTCGGGCCAACCATATACACATACGAGGCGTTTGCATGCTACGACTTCGAGCAGAAGTTTGATGAGTACGGTGTCTGGACTGGTGACCAGTGTGTAACCCAACTCTTTATCAATGCAACGTGACTGACAGTGAGCTCAGGTACGGCATGGACGCCAAAGGCCTCGGCATGACCCATCTGAACGTCACCCAGCTCCTGTACGGTGGCACGCCGTACCAGTCTGGCGCGCTTGTCTCGTTCAACGACTCCTCGGCACCCATCCTGGCGCGCGTCGGCATCTCGTACACCTCCGTCGACCAGGCGTGCCAGACCGCGCAGACTGAGATCGGCGGCGCGTCGTTCGAGCAGGTGTTGAACGCGTCCAAGGAGCTCTGGAACGAGAAGCTGAGCAAGGTCGAGATCGACTTCGCGAACACCCCGGCGAACATCACCGAGATGTTCTATTCGTCAATGTACCGCGCGTCTTTGACTCCTGTCAGTGCTCCTCCTCCCATAGAAAGCGAGTGATCACCCTAATAATGATTGTTCCACAGAGCAATGCTACGGGAGAAGGCCAGGGCGCATTTGCCAACACGACCTCGCCCTACTTCGACTCGCTGTATTGCTCCTGGGACACCTTCCGCACCTTCTTCCCCTTCATGTCGATCCACTCGCCTGACGTGTTCGCCCAGATGACGGAGAACTACATCGACGGCTGGCGCAAACAGGGCTGGATGCCCGAGTGCCGCGCGAACAACCTGCCCGGGTGGACCCAGGGCGGCTCGAGCGGCTGTAACATCGTCTCGCAGTTTGCGATCAGCTACCACGACCAGGCGCAGGCTCTCGGCGTTGATCTGAGCGAGCTGTATGAGGCTCTGTGGACCGACGGGGAGGTCAATCCGCCGGAGTGGGATACGCTTGGGCGGCAGATCAACGTTTACAAGTGCGATAGCTCTACTTTGAAGTCGTAGGTTTCGTGAGCTGATGTTATTTGTAGGGAGTACGGATACGTGCCGTTCGCCGTGCTTGATCCCTCGTCTACCGGTCGTCAGACCAGAGAGGCCAGCCGCACGCTTGAGTACGCGTTTGAGGACTTTGGCATTCGTCAAGTCGCGCTCCTGCTGAACAAGACGAGTGACATCGAGTCGTACACCAACCGGTCCTACGTATGTGTTTCCCCTACTGTGTTCTTATACTGTCTTTTTAAATAACTGCAGTATTACCGTAATGTCTTCGATCCCTCCGTGGAGAGCGAGGGCTTCAAGGGCAAGTCATTGCACATCACGGATTATGTTTTGACTTATTGTACTGATCTTATGTCATGCATAGGCTTCACGCAGAAGCGCTACTCCAACGGCACTTTCTTCTACACTGACCCCATTGACTGCTCGCCGAAGGACACCAACACGTCGCGCGAGTGCTCGTTGCAGGCAGATAACACTGTTGGCTTCTTCGAGTCTTCGTCGTGGGAGTACAGCTGGTAATTCTGTTTTATACTGGTAAATAATTGGCTACTCACATGCTTCCTCAGGTACGCGCCCCATGATGTCGCGCACCTCATTGAGATGATGGGCGGCAATGTAAGTTATTTATATCAAATCATCGCTTGTTAAATTGAAATTAATGATTTGCCCCAGGACACTTTTATCAAGAGATTGGATCATTACTTCGATGTATGCCAGTTTAATGATTCTGCTTTTCTGTTTTATCGAGCTGACATACCTGTAGTCTGGATACTACTTGGCAGGCAATGAGCCTTCCTTCCAGGCGCCCGTCGGATATCACTACGCCAACGCACCCGCGAACAGTGTGAAGCGTTCTCGCCAACTCGTGTATGAGAACTTCGCCTCAAAGACGGAGGGTCTGCCGGGAAACGACGACTCTGGAGCCATGGCTACATTCCTGATCTTCCATCTCCTCGGTCTCTACCCTGGTGCGCTCTCCTTTCTAGGTCTTCGCAAATTTCTATTTGGCTGACAAATGTGCTTTGTCCAGTCCCCTCGACGTCGCACTACCTGACACTCTCGCCTTTCATCCCCAAGTACACGATCCATAACACCTACATGAATGCGAGCACCACCGTCACTGTCCAGGGTTACGATCCGAACTCGATTGCGTATCCCATCGCAAACGGCTCAGCAGTGTACGTCAAGAACGTGACCATCAACGGGAAGCCAGCCGCATCGCGCTGCTACTTCGACTTCTACGACACGTTCAAGGTCGGCGGCGACATCGTCATCGGGGTCACGTCTGACTTTGACGAGGCGAACAGCTGTGATGGGCCGGTGCCCGATAGCTTGTCGACGGGCGGGTTTGCTTCGCTCAGATAATAACAAGGATAATACGCAGGTCACACAGGACTTGATGGGATATTGGTAGAACGTGCGCATACTTTTGCTTACTCTTTTGCACCCCGGTAATCAGCTGTACTTTTCATTGTTGCTTGTATGTCAGCTGTAATACAGAACCATTGCCATAACGCGGCCTGCTTCTATATAGCTGAGGATGACCTTGCCCGAGTAGCCGTCGGCGCTCCACACGAGCGCGGACTTGGGACAGTCTTCCGGTAGCTGAAGTAGCCCGTGCTGCACAATCCCAGTCGACGCGTCCACGGTCCATACGCGCGTATGAGACTGCACGCCGATCGGGAAGTCGTAGAACACACGGGCGAGGCCGTTCAGGCAGCTGTTGAAAGGGAGCCCGAAGGAAGTCGCGATGGACTCGGAAAGAGAGCACTTCTCCCATCCGATGGTCCCATGTTCGCCCCCTGTGGTTGGCGGCGAGAGTCTGAGGTGTCCGTATGCGCCAACCTCGAAGTTAGACCATGCTGAGATTGTGACGCAGAGGTCGTCGCTGCCTGGAATGGTTCTGGTGTCGTGCATAAGGGCGGTAAGGGACGTGACCTTGAGGCCCGGGCATAGGCCAGAGTGAGAGTGTTCAAGGGTGAGTGGGTTGTCTGATTCTATCGTTGACAATACAGGCACTCGGGAAGTTCTTGGGATCAAGTATGCCTCCACTCTACACGTTATGCGCTTTTCTTCTTCGTCGACTAGATTGCTGAAAAATAGCACATGCGTAGATGTAGAGATGCAGTTGACCTCGAGTGAGCGATTCTCTAGGTCGGCGTCGCTTCGTAACTACATTGCACAACAGTCATAATCAGAGAGGTAAAGAGTCTCGATCATTTCGATTTTGGTGCTTACTTGCTCAGTCGGAAAGATGAAAGTCTGACCGGTGACAACATCAAACATGACCACCTGCTGTAACTTCCTTTGGGTTCCGAACATCATGCCGCAAAGCCGTGGGCCGACAACAGACTTGTACGAATTCAGAGAAGACTGCCATGTAACTGTGTGCGCGGTCGTGACACGGATTCCCTTCTCATCGAACCTTACTTTGAATGCTTTGCTGTTTACAAATGTTAAGAAGACGTGGGTACACTCTGGAAGGAAAACATACATAACATGTGAGTATCCCTCCTCACCACGTCGCAATTCATTCACAAAGACGAAAGCTAGACGTTCGCCATCCCCTGTTATGGTGTGTTCGCACTCCAGCATCACGAATTCGCTCCCTTCGGGGGCACTGCAGACCAGGGTTGACCGTGATTCCTCGGTGGAGCTACACGTGTCCAGGTCAAGATAGTATATATCTTTCGGCGTTACCGAAGGCCCTGAGGCTATAAAGAGCCATCGTCCAAAAGCTATGGCCATCAAGCTGAGCTTGCGCCCTCGCGTTTCCAGTCTTGATACGCGGACGGGCCCCCGACATCGACGTTTACTGGCATGCGTACGCCATTCGACTTGAACACTTTGGAGAAGTGTGTGCTCAAGATCTTGTGCGGACTGGCGGGGGTAGGGACCCGGAGGACGCACAAAGGAAGCAGACCGATAAGCATTTGCCCATACTTCCCTCTCTTGTGTTACGAGGTGGAGGGTCCGAGAAACCTTGGGAGTCGAGTAGTCAGTCAAATGCTGGTAAGCACACCAAATGAGCCATGGTACTCCTATGACCATTCAAGGTCACCAGATCTGGGACGGTCACGACTGACGTACTATGGGACGCGTGCTTAGTGATCACTTACTCGTCGAACTGAAAGGATATCTTCGACATCGAGAAAAGCCAGGACAATGTACAAGATGTCTTGAGGAAGCGTTTCGAGCGTTAGGCGACAACTTGAGTTCATGGAAGCGATGTATGAGCACTCGCGCGGCTGGCCGATAAGGTGTAAAGCGGGGGAGGGGAATAAGATGGGAAGCGGAAACCGAGCGGGGACGGGTGAGCAGTCAGGGGCTGGGAAGTCGGCCCGGCGTGCCGCAACATCGCACATCAGACATCGAGGACCAAGGCCTGTTTGCTCACGGATAGCCGTGCGGTAAGGTATTTGACGGTAAAACGGCGCCAAAGGTCGAAAGTCATCAGGATCATGGGCACGAGCTCAAAGCACTCAAATTAGCACACGTTTACGCGTAGAAACAGACATGATCAAAATACATTGCTCGAGCGAATGGCGTCTGCTTGCTGGCCAAGCCTCCCTTTCAGCCGTGTCATGGTCCAGTTCATGCCAACAACCAACGCAGCACACGCGAAGCAAGCTCCTACATAAACTATCATTGTCTCAAACTTTCCTCCCGCAACGTCGAACCCAGTCTTCAGATGATAAACTCTGGAAGATTTGGAAACGTGAGAGTTTGACAGTAATGTGGATATGGGCGTGGACAAGACATTGCCCAAGCCTCTCGAGACGAGGAGATATCCGAAGAGAGATGTCGAGAGAGTCAGATTGTCCTCTGTCAATTTATGTTATGATGTTTAGTTTCATTGCAGATTGAGCTTAACATACTGGCAATAGGCTTGATAAACGAGGTCCATAGGCAAGTCCATCCACCCGCGATACTGCCGTAGACTATACTAAAAACAAGGAGGCCGGCGAAGGAGCTCGAAAAGACCCCCCAAAGAATGAAGATCGACAGCGACGCCGACGTGAGGATAACCATGGCCAGAAGCCATGGGTCGATCCTATCGGACAGAAAGCCGAACCCAATCCGTCCGACTACGGAAGAACCTGCAAGCGATGAGTCCGTTGGGTGAATGCAAAAAGACGTCGGTAATTACCATTCAGGAGTGCGAGCGTCAGCGATGCGGTATTACTGCTCAACCCAAGGGATGTTGCAAATGCTACCAAGACTTTTAGCAATAGGGTTGGCTATGAGGGAAAGAGGAACTCACTGGGTAGCCACACGAGTGGTACGAAGTAGCCAAAGCCATGGAAAGTATTGGCAGCTAGCAGAAACCAGATCGTCTTGTCGTACATCCAGGACCGATCCGTTGGCCGCGCTCTGGGTCCTGAGACGCGAGACTCGGGTAGTCGACCTTTTATAAACGGTAGCCCGAGTATCGTCACGGCAGTGAAGACAATCGAGATGATACGAAGAGCCTTAGCAGGTCCGTAAGCCGCAATCAAGCGCGGGACCACCAGGGGCACTATGAGACCTCCAGCAGCTGTGCCTGTAATCCGCATTAGGCACACGCAGATCCCGGAGCAAAAGTGCATACCAGCAAAGATGATGCCGTTGGCAAGTCCCCGTCGATTAACGAACCATTCTGACATGTACGAGATTGTCGGAGCGTAGAGAAGCGCTGACGATGTCTCAGCTTTCGTTGAAAACTTCAGCCTACCAAAGACTCACAGCCTCCGAGACCGTAGACACATCCTTGCAAGATGACCATCTTATAAACCTAGAGATACCTGAATGGTTGCGCTGGAATGAAGCTGTTGGCTCTCCCCACCTTTGTCGTATATGTCGCTGTGAACAAGCCGAGGAACGAGATGACAACGCCAATCCACATCATCCACCGCCGAGTGAACGGATAACGTGCAATCAAGGGGTATATGATGAAGCCTTGTTGCACCTTAGTATTGCAATGAAAGGATAAACGATAGCCGGAGATTTACACACCTGAGAAATACATCATTCCAGATGAAAGCGGACCAATGAGTGGCAAGGCTGTCGCCGCGGAGGGTTGAGATGCATATGTTGGGTCGAGTAGATACTCGCTCAGGAAGGACCCATATGCATCAGGAAAACCCCAAACGATAGTCTCAACCACAAATGTACCCGCTAGCTATTGGTGAGGTTAGATCTGTGACCCAGATAGTTCAAGAATACAGACAGTCTCACATAGGACCATGCACCAAAACCTCCGTCTACGGGGGCGAGCGACGATTCGTTGCGCAAACTCGTCTCGGAAACATCACTTGCGTCGCTCAGAGAGACTGCGACGGTGGATGAAGACGGAGGCAGCGGCGTTCTAGTGGCTAACTCAATATCATGAGAGGAGTCCATGCAATCAGATGCAAGACAAGAAGCTCGAGTCGCTAGAGTCGGGTCAAGACTGTGGACGCGAAAGGACAAGACGCGCTCAGTGTTCTTGCACGTCTAAATCAGCGCTCATAATCAGGGGCTTTGACATAAAGAGACAGCATAGACGCGACCGATCGGAGTTTATCGGACAGGGCTATGCTACAAGTTCGCCCAAAACCTCCATAGCATAAGCTTGGGCACAAGTCTCACTTAAGGTCATAGTTTTTTAGTTCTTAGGAAACTATGTATATGTTCGGCCCGTAGAAGCAGGACCATCTGAAGACATTGCACTCGATTCTTGATCCGTTTTCAAATGCATGATTCTTCTCTCTATTCTGCTTCAAGTACTACTAAGAGTTGTCCGTGCTCAACGATGGTATCAAAAGCAGAGCTCTCCATGAGGATGACGGAGAGATGAAGCGGTACCATGTCACCGACTCCATGCTTGTCGATAGTAATACAGGGCGATTAGATTGTAGTAACCCACGTATTGGTTCCTCTGAAGTTTAGGACAAAGTCGCGCACAGTATATTGCAGTTCTCCATTGCCACTGAGTCTCTCAGACAAGAATGTACTAATGAGGGGGTGTCACAACAAGCAGAGACCCAGTGACCCAAGAGCGCACGTCCAGGAGTGAATGGCGATACGTTCCAGCGCAATTGTGGACAGGCCGTGTATGTGCACTTGATCAAACAACATAAGGTGAGGCACGAAATGAATTCCCGTTAGGTGCACAGATTAGCTGCACCATGAACGCGGAGAAATATTTCCGAGAGAAGGCCAAATGACCACACAACCGTGTACACAGTAGATCGAATTGATGATCCATACAGTAACGCACTGCATTGCTCTAGGGCGCGTGAAATGTCAAAGTGTTCCAGTGACATGCCGGCATCGTCTTGCGTGGACCTGGTGGGGGGATCAGCGGCGCTGTCTGGAAGCGCTTTGAAGTAAACCCGGATGGAGCGTTTCAAGTCTCGGCAGCCCGTTCGCTGGTCAGACTACCTGCGGGAGCTCGGAGAACGTCGACATTTAGGCGTTTGGTGTATCGGGTGAAACAAACGGAAAGCACGTATGTCTTCGACACGTTCTATACCTACTCCTAAACTGTTGGGCAGAAGGGTACGCGGATCAGCTTACGCGGCCGCCGCCGTCAAGGTCTATCTTAATTTGCGTCTATGAGGCTGCGCATGGATGTTTATGTAGCAACACGGCTGAAAGACTCACAGTAATTCCGAATGGTCAACTTGTCTGAGAAACGGCGTGCGGCGAAGAGCTTGAGATTAAGCACTGCAATCTGTAATCATGTGCAAAGTACGCCGCGTGCAACAACCGCAAGAGTGCGTTACTTCTCTATGATGAACCGCTGTATAGCCAAGATGAAGTGATTGGGTACTCACGGAAAGCAATTTGTTGCGATGGTTCATGATCGGAACCCAAGGTTGATGTAATCATTTCCGAGACGCGATGATTCTTATGTACTAGCATGCATACGATCATGGCTCAGAACAAGTTGCATGGCGTGGCGATGGCGCCAATTTGCTGTTTGCTGAGTGAAAGGTTCGAAATAACCGTCCTAGATGTCGCTGTAAGGGGCTCGCGTTTTCGGAAGTTCAAACCGTTCGAGCTCAGATCGATCAAATGGGCGGGAACGAGCGGGAAGGTCGCACGTCGCGCCGCCACTTCACCAGCCGTTAATCATTCTCTCAGCCCGAGAACGACGAAGGCGACATAAATGGTCATCATTGCAGACTTCTTTGGTGACGATTTACTCGAAGGTAGTCCACAATAATTCCCGTTGGGGCAACTGGCGACCCTCGAAATCGAAGCGGATGTTGCAAGGGCCCAGGGGTGCTGGTGAATCTCGCGCTCATACTTTGGAACGTGGTTTGTCAGTTTTACATAATATAACCAAGTCGAGTTCTTACGTGTTTCTGATCTTGTGCCTGACGAAGTTTGCTACGATGTCGTCTTCGATGGCTGATCTAGTACTCCTTGTGTGGTAAGTGCACGTCGGGAGCTCGGGGTCTCCCTACTAGTACTGCGATCGTCCCACTCGGGAGCGGCGGAGAATGCAGGTGCGAGCTAGCTCAGAAGCACTGACAAGACAAGTTAGCAGAAAGTGGCTGGCGTGGGATTGACCACTCTGGTACTGGAAGGTGAAGATCTTTTTGGGCCATGGCTTTCCGCTTTCGAGCTTCCAGTGGACGGCGAATGGATTAATCGTTCTTCGGCCATTCCGGTGATATCCTCCAGGCGCCCAGACTGTGGACCCGGTGCGGAGCTATCCAGGTGCCCAGCAATTATGGTCAAATTTAGCCCATGCAAATATAGACTTACAGGAAATTGGATCTCCCAGCACGTATATCGAACTTGCCTCAAGGACGGTGGCTGCATGCGAACTGGGGGCCATGTGCAGCTAAAGTCCTGCGTAGCTGCATATCGGTCATGCCCAGGATCCCGATGCGATCCAAGATCGAAGCCAGTGCCTCTATGGGCAGACTTCTGTTGATGATATGCAACTCACGAGCCTTTCATCCGCGGTGAATTAGTTGCTGTGAAGGACCAGCTGTGTTTTCGTCAGACGCTGGTGCTGGCACAAGCTTGCGACTTTGTCTGCCCTTTGGCACCACAGTCTGGGTGCAGAACGGGTGCCTAATCAAACCAAAAATGTGTTCGTTTCAATGCGTTTTCTGACATTTGCTCCCGTACTTGTGGAGACGGAACCCAATGCCGTACACAAAGCCGCAAACCAGACGGTGTTGTCGCACCCAGCATTGGATGAGTGGATGTTCGGCTCGGCTGTCAACTTGTTCCCGTGTTCATCCGGACGGCGTGGACATTTTGACCGCCGAGACGCTGAGATATCTGGTATCAGAAATGACGGAGAGTTCCTGCCTCCTCGTATGTGTCGCACCTCTGTATCTCCCGACCTTGTCCTTTTGATCCTCGAGCTTCTTTATGACGGAGAGTCATCTTGCTGGTGCGTGTGAGGTTCCACGAGTCCCATCGCTGAGGCTCTTCCCTTTGATCATTCATCGCTTTTTCCCGATGTCGATGGCGGCCTCTTACTTAACTACAACAGACCCGCTAATCCGTGCCCTTTCTTTCTTTCTCGGATCCCTTGTTGCTACTCGGACCTCAGCGCTCAGCATGAGGTGAGTCTTGCGGGGTCCCCCTCGAACGCGAGGCTTCTCTAGTAACTCATAAAATGCCATCGAAGACTTCTGCTCCCGTGAAGCGTACTTCGCTCAGGATTTTCGCGGTTGCTTCATCAAATGTCAACGGAGACGAAATTGAATTCATCTCACCCCAATTCCGTGTCCCTGCCTCGAACTCGTCGGCCCTTCTTTATTATCTCGATAACCTTGTTTTCTTGTTTATAATCCCCCGAAGTGTGACTGCGTCCTCGATCGCTCTCTTTCACCCCTGCCATGTCCTCCCCCAGACGCATTCCTATTCCTCCGCCCACCACTGGTCGTCTCGGCCGCCTCCAGCCTTCCCCTTCGCTTCCTAACATGCGGTAAGTAGCTTTGATTGTGAATTCCCACCATTGTATATTAATCGTGAGCATTTAAGGCCTCCCGCACGACTTGGGGACGCACCGGCTCAGTCGTGGGTTACCTATTGTGTACATCTGTGTTAAAGCGTTGACCATGGGCCGTTTTTTATTTAGCTCGCCCCTCAGACCGCGAGTGGACACATCGCCCAGGCCAGATGATCAGCGTCAACACCGCCGACATGTATCTAGCAAACCGATCAAGTCTGAGTATATCACTCCGCCTCTCACTCCAAGATCTTCCCTTCAAAGCGATACCAGCGAATCGGAACGTGGTCACCTCTCTATCGATAACTCGACGTCGGTCGACGGTTTGGCCAACAGCGACTCGTCGGACGTACGTAACAACTTGCTGTAGCCGTCTTTGTCCTAATGACACACAGGACTCCGATCAGGAAGAGGGAAGCGCCCTTCTTACAAGCATCCGTGTTCATGTTTTAAGGCACGACGGCAGTGATATAGTGGCTGATCTTCGAGGCATCCTGAGCTCGTACGGAGAGCTTCACTCTCTTCGGAGCGAGGACGAGGACAAAAAGGTGATTTTCATTCCGATCTTAATGCCTTCAACCATGTATGCGTCGCATTGTGCGATGCTGTGGACATGGGTGGCAGCTCTTAACCTTGGGTCGCCTCGATAGCTGGATTTTGAAGCTGACAATTTTCTCAGATTTTCTCCGCATACTTTCGCGAAGGTTCGATGGCTCAGACCGTATGGGAGTCACTTAGCAGCGAGAACGGCACTTTGCTTAACGGAGTCACCTTTCGAGTGCTCGAGTCAGACGATACTCACGGGCGGGCGGTGACTTCAGAAGCTCACGAAGAGTCTACCATCAACACCAAACTACAGCACATCGCTCTCTTGGACTCAACAGCATTGGAGTCGCTGCCCACCTCTGATACGAATCAGGCTCCTCAGCTTTTACCCCCATTCCCTCACCCAGGACGGCTAACTCACGGCAACTACACAGGATATGAATATAGCTCTCCGCAGGCCCCAGTCGCTGCGTCGCGCTCTGCACGCTCAACTCCTGGCTTCCGAACTTGCTCCGATCTATCGATGAAGCGCCACGAAACTTCAGCGACTCCTCGCGGCAGTGTTGCCCCATCTCAGGCTGACACCGGCCCTCCGACGGGCAATTGGACCCACGGCTCTCCCCCTGCTGATGTCCAATACTATGCCTCTCCCCCATCTCTCGAGTCCACGGTGAACAACTCAGTGTTCGCGTCCAGCGGCGCCTCGGGGCTTTACATCCCCACTCATACTTATAACCCTCAGCTATACTGGGGCGACCACAACCTGCCGCAGAATCACGATCCGTACAGCGGTATTTCCACGACGACTTGGGCGCCTTCCAGCGCGTTACCTCCTACTCCAACATCTGGTGGATATTGGCCCTCAAGTGACCCATCCATGCACTACTTTAGCTCCCCACAGCAAATGTACGGATACGCGTATGCGTATGTTCCATCGCAATATTCACCTCCGGGTCAACCGTCCTACCAACCCTCCGTCAACTCATCTCCCGGAAACCCAGGGATCACCTCTTCGCACCCAGTCTCAGAGGCGAACCAGATTGATATCCGGAAGATTGAGACGGGGCAGGATATGCGCACGACAGTGATGGTGAAGAACATCCCGAATAAGATGACGGACAAGGAGCTGCACAAGTACATTCAAGACGTCTGCCCTCGAAAGATTGACTTCCTATATCTTAGGATGGACTTCAAAAACGGTTAGTTCTTGCAAAGTCAGCACTTTGATTCAACCTTATCAAGCATCTAGGTTGCAATGTGGGATACGCCTTTGTCAACTTCATCTCGGTTAGAGATCTTCAGTACTTCGTGAAGGAGAGGTTGAATAAAAAATGGTCCGGATGCTGCAGCTCGCATATTGGTATAACGAACTGACCTTCGATTAACAGGAACATGTACTCGAGCGAGAAGGTCCTGCAGATGAGCTACGCGAACTATCAGTACGTGTGTATGTTTTCTTACTTTGGACCCATCACTCACCGTAACTTCCTCAGGGGTAAAGAAGCACTTGTCGAGAAGTTCAAGAATTCTTCTATCATGGATGTTCAAGAAGATTGGCGACCCAGAATCTATTATTCTAGCGGGCCACATCAAGGTTTACCCGAGCCATTTCCCAAACCCACTCATATGCGCAGGAAAGAACGGAGCACGATGAATCGGGGCGCATTATATGTACCTGGTGTCAACAGCCATGGATCTGGATACCATGGCCGGACCCACCAGCATGGCAACCCCTCCGGCCCGCGGTCCTGGGCCTACGGCGGCGTGTCAGATAAATTCGCTGGCACTGGTTATGTCGGCGGTTATTGATCACCCTTTCACTCCTTCCATGGACTATCTCCACTCCTTAGGTTTATCGCATGCGTTTTGCTAATGTTGTAGATTTCGTGCTTGTTGTGCTCTTGCTGTGTTCGTCGGTTGGTTGGTCGTTATCTTCCGCTTTGTTGTGTTCGTCCCCACCATGTTGCTTCTGTAGAGATCGTTCGAATGTGTACTGACCGAGCTTCGTTATGTCGTGAACAACTGACCTTCTGTATTACCCTCCACTGTAATTACTAACCTGCTAAAATATGAATCGTGCTTTATTCTGAGATTTTCGTTGTGGGAGTGATCATTGGTGAATTGTTTTCGAGGACGCTTATATAAATGAAAGAAATGGGCATCTGAAACAGCTTCCTTTGCCTGTATCTAAGTGGCTGGCGACAGTGCAGAGAGAAGGAACCACGGAGGCTTCCGAAGCTCCGAGATTCAGATTGATGTCCAAAACGAGGAATCATATCTTCTCACCTCTCCGGCCGTCCGCTACCTTCGTTCAACTGCTATACCTTCCGCTAGGCTTTTGTCGCGCCGGAGCATTCAACGCTTGAGAAACCAAATAGTCCACAATGGACGCCGCTGCATCAAAGGCAGACGAAGAAAAGTCTCGCCATGCGCGGCGGACAAAGGTCAAACAACAGAACGCAAACCGGGACACGCCAGGTTCATATCTTTCCTTGAATTATTCGATCCTCAAACTCACGCCTCCTGCCATGAAGACTCTGCAAAATTGGACTCATCCCTCAAGCGACACACTGCGCTCATCAAACGCATGCGTCAGACTGTAGGCTCGGATAACCGCGACCAAATCGTCAAGGATATAGACACACTTTCGCTCGAGAAGTATGTCGATGAGATCGCAGGTGCAACACTCGAAGGCATTGCTCGCTGCAAAACGGAGAAGGACGTATGGAGTGCGGTTGAGGTGTGTGTCATCGCGCAGCGCGTCTCTTGATCCAACTGACCCCGGCTGCTATGACGTCCTGTGTAGATTATATGTGCGCTGCATCGTCGGTTCCCCGCTGCGTACACTGGCGCCCTCATTCCACTTCTTGGCGGAGTCCTTGCTCCTCCCAACAAGGCTGCGCTTTCTGCCCTTCCGCAGGATCAGCGAGAGAAGGAGGACTCGGTGCGGCTTTCTCGTCAGCGCCCTGTGCTCCGCGTGTGTGCGGAGTTAGCCCTTGTCGGGATTATCAGAGATGGGCCGGGTCGAAGCGGGGGAGAGTGGATTATGAAAGCGGTCAAGGACTTGGTACGCCACCTCATTACTTTGAGATAGTAGTTGCTAAACGCCATTGAAGCTCTCCAATGATCCGACACTCTCCTCGCTGCCTTTGTTATCTACCTTCCTGAAGAACTACTCGAGGCCGTACCTTGGTATTGTGCCGCCCCAACCGAAGCAGTCGCAGACGGATGCAGAGTCAGGGCAGGCGGCGTCATCAGCGCAAAGCGAGGTCCAATCACACTTCCCTCCCATCGTCCATGAAGGAGAAGAGCTAGTCGAGCAGGAGATTAGGGATAGGTTCAAGCGCATGTGCGAAGGGTACTTTGATAATGTCGCAAAGAAGTTGGTCATCGAGCACAAGGTTAGCACACTTCTTCATCACTTGTAGGGTCCCCTAAAGTGCTTAACGCGCTCTACAGCGCTTGCAAGATCAAGATAGAAGGAATCACGAAGCATATATTCGATCTGGAGAAATCTTCGAAGATAGACAGCAAGCGTATGAGAAGATGACTAAGAGCTACGAAAAGTTGCTTTCGAACTGCCAAACGTATGTTTCATTGTAGCCCCTGAAATGCTGTCGCTTACTTCGGGTGTAGACTCTCAGAGCTGCTTTACATGCCTATGCCCTCCTTGCCGACTGCGTCGCAGAAGACTGAGTCTATTCAAATAGGCACCAACACCGGACTACATTCCGGCGATGATGACGAGGGCTTGTCGGTAGGAGGCAAATGGGAAGACGAAGAAGAACGTCGATTCTTTGAGGACATCCAAGACTTGAAGGACTTTGTACCAAAGAGTGTTCTCGGAATAGAGGGAGAGAAGCAGGAAGATACCGAGGGTGACGAAGCGAAGGAAAAGCTGGAAAAGGAGCGGGCGGAAGCAGACGTGAAGAAACTTCAGGAGGAGCTGCAGGACCTCAAGCTCGATGGCAAACCACCTCAACCAAACGGAGATACAGTTCAGGAGAATCGGGTGAATGGCCATGATGGGTGCGTTACAATGTAACTTTTCAGTTTCCATGTTATTGACAGGATATCGTTCAGTGAAAAGACACCTGATCTCGAGTCTCCGAAGGCGGGCAGCCCCCCTGGATCGCCTCAGCTTGCTCCTCAAGGCCCGTCCCAGATGCTTACTGCTCTGCTGGCTCGCCTTCCTGATGCCACCAACCGAGCTATGATCGATCAAGCTGCAGTTGAATTCACCTTTTTGAACTCGAAAGCAGCCAGGAAGCGTCTTGTGAAGGTATGCCCCACTCTATCGCTTGCTGGCATTGCCTGACTATACTCGTACAGTTTCTGGGCTCTGTTCCTAAGAATCGCACGGACTTGCTCCCTCATTATTCTAGGTTAGCCGCGACGCTCAACAAGTACATGCCAGATATCGGGACAGAGCTGGTTGCCATTGTGAGTTATGCGATGCCACGGTCTTTGGCATAAGTTCATGGGCGCGTGACCATAGCTCGACGAAGAGTTCCGATATTTGCAACGCAAGAAGAATGTTGTCAAGGAACTGGCAGAGACCAGGATCAAGGTACGCAGTACTCTCTAAGAATTATTGGCCGGATTTTTCTGACTGGTGTTTGTATAGAATATTGCATTCTTGTCCAATCTCACCAAGTTTTGCGTCGTTCCTTCGCACCTTATCCTCCATATGTTCAAAGTCTGTCTGGATGACTTTTCGGGAACGAATGTAGAGAATATTGCTCTGCTGCTGGAAGGTTGCGGTCGATTCCTGCTGAGAAGCGAGGATACACGAGCGAGGTTCGAGACGATGGTTAGTTTTCTGTATTTTACTCTTCAATATGGACACTGACTTTTTATGTAGCTTGAGTTGATGAGACGGAAGCAAAGCATGCAACATTTCGACCAACGACAAATTCTTCTTCTCGAGAATGCATATTACCAGGTAAGCGCTTGGTGTCGGGTTTAATAATTTAGGCTCAACGTTAGTAGTGCAACCCTCCTGAACGCGCCCCTAGAGAAGAAAAACAGAGGACCCCTATCGAGCTTTTTATGCGTCACCTAATCTTCGATGTCCTTGCAAAGAAGACGATTGACAAGGTGCTCAAGCTCATTCGCAAGCTTGACTGGGACGATCCTGCGGTGGTGCGGAGTTTACATAAAATATTCACGAAACCATGGAAGATCAAGTACATCAACATTAGTCTTCTTGCCATGCTGACCTACGACCTGCAACGTTATCACCCATCTTTTGCGATCGCCGTGGTTGATCAGGTCCTTGAAGACGTTCGCATAGGGTTGGAGCAGAATATTTATGGCGCGAACCAACGGCGGCTCGCCACCATGAAATACTTGGGGGAGCTTTACATCTATCGCGTGGTAGGCTCTGCGCTGGTGTTTGATACGCTGTGGTCCTTGGTTACGTTCGGACATCGTAAGCTCATCTCTCTCATTGAACTGATTTTGTGCTGACTGTTGGGGTAAAGCTGACGGACATCCAACCCCTCACGGACCTTGTCCTATGGACATGCCCGATGACTTTTTCCGCGTGCGACTTGTCTGTGTCATGTTGGACACCGTCGGGATGTGCTTCGATCGAGGCACCCAGAAGCGCAAGTTGGATAACTTCCTCGTTTTCTTCCAGGTGGGCGTTCATGGGTGAAGCTTGGATTCCTCGCTAACCGGTTTCTAGTATTATGTTTTGTGCAAAAGCGACACTCCTATGGACGTCGATTTCATGCTCTCTGACTCTTTGGAGGTACGATTTCTTGGTCACTTCCTCGAAGATAACTAGTTTGACAATTTTGTCTAGGCTATACGTCCTAATATGCCCACACACAAGAACGTTGCCGAGGCTGCCGTTGCCGTTGATGAAATGTTTGATGTGGCCATGCAAAATGCAGGATGTAAGCGTACCATTTTGAGTCATGTTAATCAACCTTCTCATTGGTCATCAAAGTGAAAAATTCCGAGGATAGCGCTGAAGAAAGTGACGGAGAGGACGGAGACAGACCCATTAGGGAAGACGAAGATGACGAGGAATCGACAGAACAGGAGACCTCCGTAAGTTTCTCATCTATCTTCACTTATCTTTATCAAACATTGTCTGTAGGATGGCGAACGTACGGCATCTCCGGAGCCGGTCGTTGTCCGCAATGCGCCAGAGCATCTTGGTCCCTCTGAAGAAGCAGATGCCGAGTTCGCGAAAGAATTAGCGAGGATCATGACTGAATCATCTGCTGAATCCCGCAAAGTCGACAAGAAGGCGGCTTGGTGGGATACAGCAGTTCTCGCTCCAGGTATGCGTAAGAAACGCACGGATGATCCCGATGGCGAGGGCGATGGGGACTCCGGCACCGAAGGACCTGTCATGAATTTTACTGTCATTACTAAGCGTGGCAACAAGCAGCAGCTCAAGCATCTTCCCGTTCCCGTCGAGTCGTCGCTGGCTGTTCACACTCGCTCTGCACAGCTTCAGGACAAAGTCGAGCAACAGCATCTGAAGCGTTTGGTCTTGAACTACGAGCAACGTGAAGAAGCTGAAGAGATGAAAGGCAAGTAAAATTTCTGATAACCTTCACGATGCATGTTATTTACTGTTACCATAGCTCTCGAAGCTCGCAACCGCGCCGGTGCTATCAAGATTCGTTACGTCGGATGACCCGAATCTTCACGCTGACTATCAAGAAGCACTATCGAAGCACGACACTGCTATTGCCGAGCGCATCTCGTCGCCGGGCCCCGTCGCTACCTGCTCTGCCTACCTTTTGGCGACTTGCCTTGAGCTTCCCGAAGAAGTTCTGGCCGGATGCCCCGCTTCTCGTCTGCAGCACTGACCGGCAGACGGCAGGGCGGCCGGCAGTCAATCGCCCAGACATTTTCAGGCGTCCGTCTTCGGAATGGAAAGGCCAGACTGTTATTATGATACTATTGATCCGTATGCACACATAGATAGGCGTTGATATTATGCACACTACTTCTTGATAACTTGGGAATGTCAACCTCAGAATGAATGGGCTTTGCGACGTTAGCTGTCGACTCTACTGCAAACTTGCTGCCAACTGTAAAGTCGAGGTATCTGTTTCGGTCATGTGATTGAACGCGTCAAGGCCAGGGCCGTGACTACGCCCACTCTTTACCTGTGTTAACTTCCCCTCATCCTTTGCTCGTCCTTCTCCTTGTGGTCTCTTGATGTCGCAACATGATAGATTCAAGGAAGGAGTTGTGTGTTATAAGAATGGGCAGTACGACAAAGCAATTGAACACTTTACCGAGGTAAGTAACAGTCTGGTCTATCTGGCGTCACTGACGAGGTGTTAATTGACAGGCCCTATTGTCCAACGGCGACCAGTATAATATATACGATTCTCGGGCTGCAGCTTTCGAGAAGCTGGGAGACATAAAGGCTGCACTCCTTAATGCGAAGAAGGTCATTGACCTTGCTCCAGAGAGATGGCAAGGCTATGCGCGCTCAGCGCGCCTTTTCCATGACCTGAAGAAAATCCCGCACGCTGCTCGGATGGTCCAGCTTGCCCTGGAACGTATCAAACCCGAAGACTCGCAGCGACGCACGGAACTCGAGAGGCTGCAAGCGAGCATAGCAGAGTCTCAAGCACGCGCTGACGCCCAACTCCGCAAAACCGCATGTCACATTGGCATGCTACCAGTGGAAATCCTGGCTGAAATATTCGCGCTGGATGTCACTCCGAATGCTGGGCGTGCCATTACGCTGTCGCACGTTTGCAAGTTCTGGAGGCGTCTGGCTTCGGAGAACCCTACCTTATGGCGAACTCTGGTCCTTTCTGATCGACAGCCGGAACGCAAGCTACAGACATGGCTTGAGCGTTCCAGCTGCAACATCCACTCTCTGCATCTGACCGACCGCTTGCCCCATCATCAGTATGGGAGCCTAATGGGAGCCTTAGATAAGCTCCAGTGGGAGAGACTCCGGTCTTTCACATTGACCTGCAGCGACGCCTGCGGCATCGTTATACGACTATCTAATGGCAAACATAACTTTTTCTCAGACCTTGAGGAGTTTGAAGTCTCCTCCACTCGTTTTAGCGACAAGAGATTAGAAGAGCTTCTTCCACAATCCCTTCGTGCATTTACTTTGAACGAATGCCTGATCCTGACGGGTGATGGCGGGCTTTGGCAGCACGTTACCCGTCTTTCTAGTCTCACACTCAGGTCTAGCACGCTGGACATTCGTGCTGTCTTGGAGGGAAACCCTTTACTTGAGAACGTAACCATATCCGGCGGCATCATACCCCATGAATCTATTGTGCCCCAGCCTCTTTCTCTTGACCGTTTGTGCCATCTTGACATTCAAGATTGTGGCAACATTTCGCGCTTGCTAGACCAGCTTACTGCCCCTGCTCTCCGGACTGTCCGATTTGTGGGCAATCCTCTTGACAGTAGCCATCTTCTCGCCCTCTTTCCCGACCGCCTCACCGAGCTCACCGAGTTACGCCTCGGTCGATGCAGCCTGCAGGCGTTCGATGTTATCCGGATTCTGCGTAATTCTCCATCACTCATCACATTGGAGGTCTCGACAGTGTATGACTGTGTCAACAAGATCTTGGACTTCCTGTCTGGCTCCTCATCGGAAAAGTCACAAGAATCCTTACTTCCGTGCCCAGCACTCCAACACGTCGATGTTTCACGTTGTACAGACCTCAAGACAGGCCCAGTCATTCGGTTTGTCAAGAGCCGCAAGGTGGTATTGGATGATAGCGAAGCGGATGAAGGTTCTTCTCTAGATTCCCTGCGGCTGGATGGTTGTCCGGACTTCCAAGCGGATTGCTTGCCATGGCTGAGGAAGCAGATCAAGGTAGTAAGCTGTGTGTATATGACTAAAAAGCAAGCAAAAACTGTTAAGCGGTAGATGGGCCAATACCTGTTTGCTAGACTCATGTCCGCTATATAGTCACTATATTGGCTACATCTATTTTGTGGATAGAAACTTTGTAGATATGTACACTCAAGTCGCGATCGGCGTGCTGTTGAATGAACGTCAGCTAGACAGGGGTATCCATCACTTGGAACCCGATATCCGAAACGCGACAAATCCATGGTAACACGGTTCGCGTCTCAGGGAACCCGTCTTCAGGCCTCAGGAGCTTTGGCCATCCACAGCTCATTGCTTTATGTTCAAACACGACAAGAACCATCCAAACATTCCAAATCATCCACACCTACCATTGGATGCAAGACTCTGACGATTACTGGGGAGATGACATCGAACTTGATGATGCTACATTGGCAGTACTTGACGAGGAGGAGAACAAGTTCCAACGCTCGCAGACAAGGCCTCCGGACACTTCTCCACCTCCAAAACGCCAGAAAGTAGCACACGCTTGGCCGGCATATCGGGCGAACTACAACTCCAGCCAGGACGACTCTGAGGAACTTCCTGAGATATCCATTCGAGGCGATGGCTCATACACTGTGAGCGCTGCTGCGACGTCCGGCGCGTCGACCAGTGCTGTCCCCAGGCCCATCGTACAACCGCGTACACCCGTCGTACAAGTGCAGAGGGCAGCCTCCGTCGCGTCTGCAGCAAGACCTCAAGCACCCGCACTGAGAGGAAGGTCGCACTCAGGTGGTAGCATCGCACAATCACACACCCCGAGAGCCCCTCCGCATCAAGCACCTGCAGCGAACCGCCAAGGAGTGGTGGCGAGAACTCCAGTCCCTCAACCACGCTCTCATGTTCAGACCAGGCCGCCTCCTGCACTCGCGCCGCCGCATGGACCAGGAACATCTTTGTTGCAGGGTCAAGTTCAGGACATGCAACGCCAATTGGCAGAGGTCAGTATCGTGTCTTCGTCTTCTCAAAAAGCAGTTATTTAGAGTGCATCTTAATCCAGCTTCGCCAAAGTAACGAGAAGATGCAAAAGGATTTACATGATGCTTTGGATACCAAATTTGCGAAAGAAGGCGAAGTGACGATATTGCGAAAGGCCAGCGAGAAGGTTAGACTTGAGATTCTTCACAAGGGTTAGGCATTGGTGTTGACCAACAGGTTTCCACAATTAGGCTGTTCAAAATCATGCGGATCAACTCGCAAAGTTGAAGGTGGCCAAGGCTGAAGCGGACGCAAAGCTAATTCAGATGCAGAAAGATTTCGAGGAAGAAATGGAACGAGTGAAAACTCAGTTTACGTTCAAAGTGAGTGTCTAAAGCAGGTATTCATGGACGTTCCCCTGACGTTGGCATTCCCAGCAACATGAACTGCAAGCCGCTATTCGCAAACCACCAGGGACAGGACGGTCGACGAAAATTAACTATGCCCTTCCTCCAGCTCCGGTCCCTCCACCTTCGCAGATGCGAACATGGAATCAAATTTCTGCACCTGGCCCTTCTCAGGCACCATTTGGAACACCCAACCGGCCACGCTTTGGCGAGACTCCTCGACCCCAGGGGCCCAAGAGACCGCCAGGCTTCGAACCACCGAAGCTTCCGGATGGGTTCCAAACTGCTCAACCGACGACCCCGTCCCGCAGCAAGTCACAGCTCGGGAAGACGCGTTCGGGCAACGTCTTTGGCGGGTTTGGACTTCCTGACAGTACCCAGAAGACCCCCACCAGGCGTGGCCCTGATAATGGGTTGCGTTCATCGCCGCCGAAGGGTTCGAGCCAACCGACGTTCGACGATCAAGACGTGTTCATGAGCGACTTTCCTCCTGTGGAGCCTGATGGCCTCGGGGATGGAAATGCGTTGGCAATGGACATGGAAGACATTGATGCACCACGTCCTCCCGCTCCATTCCTTGATGTAGGTTTATCCCTGTTCTTGAGTAAATCGATAGGTTTACTAACTAATTTTGTAGCTCCACCGACTGATACTTACGCACATGTCGGTGCAGGGACAGCCGACGTTCCAGCTCATGATGCAGATTACCAACGTCCCATCAGACTTGAACGAGGAATATGCCGCCGCCGTTACGCAAATGCTGGAGGTTCTTTCGAGTACTTCGGAAGGAGACGAGAGGGCGGACAAAGAGTCTCTGAACGCTGTCTGTGATTCTTTGCTTCGGATAGCTCACGTGTCTCTCAAGATGACCAACGTAAGTATTTTCTCAACGATACAAAAAGTTGACTAATTGCGGGTAATGTACAGTATACCGTGCTCGCTGCGCTGTTTAACTTTCTGTCCCTCTCGGTCTACTCTATTACCGGACTTTGCTCTTGTCTCCTTGCTGTGTGCGCGCCTGAACCTTCTGAGCAGACGTTACCCAAAGTGTTTTCAATACTTTATGTCATCATACGGGATCATCTGGTCAGCCTTGGGGATAACAACACGAAGTCACTCGAGGGAGAAGGCAAGGCTGAGGAAGATGGCCGCATAGTGAACGCGTTGGGCGAAGAGACTATGAGATTAATGGAAGCAATTTGCTGGAGTACTCCGAAGGAACAAGAGAACCGGTAGGTTGTCTTATGCTCGTGTTATGCTATGCTAATCCAGGGCCCATTAGGCTCATGTCCATCATTACCTCTCAGTCCGTAATACCGGCGCTCCTGAATCCCGAACGACCATGCTGGTTCTTGACTAGGAGCGTCCGGATATTACTATGGCTTTCCATACGTAGGTGCTGTCGTTGCAAGGCGTTGACGACATAGCTCACGGTCAACAGGGCCCAACTTGGCTCGAATGTTGCTCGCTTCGCCCGACGTCGAGACTGGAGGCGTTCCCGTCACACTGCCGCAAATTGAGCAGGTGGCGTATTTCCTATACGACGACAAGTTCAGAGGGTCTGAGGTCAGCTGTCTTCCATCCATTCCCCCCCCCCCAAACC